CTAGCCTTTTTCGAGGTTCTCTTTAATATACTAGCGGAGGACTTCTAACTCCTTAGCGGATAGTACGTATACTAGCCTCTAAGGGGGTATCTTACCTAGTATTAGCTCGATTATATAGTTATACTCTACGTAGGTTAGAAGGGCTATAGTACCTTCTTTACTCGCTACGATAGCTAGATCTTAATATTCTAGCGGGAGTTTAGTTAGGGGTTATACCGGATAGGAGGTCCTATCCGAGCTTTATATTACCCCTAGTATTATTATAAACTCCCCGGTAACCTTATCGATATCTAAGCGTAGCTCTCCGAGTATACTTTATAGTTTTATTTCTTCCTTAAAGTCTTTTAGCGGGAGGGTTTTAACCTCTAGTAGGGTTATATTTCTATACGCCTACTTACTAGTTACCTAGTTAATATCCGGATTTACTAACCTAAGCTAATCTATTCCTAGGATTATATCGTAGATTATTATATCTATAGCTTCGTAGGTTATTTTAATAACTCTATAGGTTCTATTCCGGTCTATTAGACTAAGCTATACTTTATAGCTTCTATATAAAGGGATCTTACGCCCGTCTACGGCTTCTACTAGGCGGGTGCTTATTATATATATCTCTTCTAGGTTCTCTTTTATTTATTTCTAGCTTATAAAGCTCTAGGTTATATTACTATCTATTAGCGTCTTAGCTACCCCCGTCGGGGCTCTAGTCTTAACGTCTAATATTAGTACGTTATAGACGAGTGCTCGGTATACTCCCTTACGTTCTCCGAAGAGGACTATCCCTAATACTACGGGAGTCTATAGTATAGGGTTATCTATTTTTTTAACTCTTCCGCGGCTATAACGTTTACTATAGCTTTCTTATAGTAGTCCTTTATATAGTAGCCTAGCTTACTATAGAAGTTATAGAATTTACTATCTCCGCTTTAGTCTCGTTTAGACCCTACGGTAGCTTTTCTACCCTCTATAGTAGTTATAGCTTACTATACGGGGAAGGCGCTATTTCCCTTAAAAGGTCTTCTACTAGATCCTTATAAGTCTATAGTATTTCTTAGCGCTATCTTCCTAGCCTCCCTAAGATATAATATCCTACCTAGTATTACTTTCTTAATTTAGTTATAGAAGGCTACCTAGTTATCCTATTAATCTATAGTAGGGGCTATAAACCTCTTTATTTCGTCTCGTATCTCCTTAACGATACCCGTCTCTAAATAGTCGATTTTTATCTATCTAGTCGGCGTATCTTTTAGGCGGTTATAGAGTCCGGTAAGCTTTAAGGCGTATTAGTATATATCCTAATACTTAGCTTATATTATCTATTACTAGTTATATTTAGCTTCTTACTATATCTTAACGGGGTCGGTGACTTAAGCGAGCGCCTATATTTCGAAGACTAACTAGGTAAACGTTATACCTAGGTTATTCCTATAGTATTCTATCTATATTATATTAACCTTCGGCGCTAAGAACTTAGTTACTCGGTCTACCTTACGTACGTCGCTAGCGAACTAGTTAGGGTATCTATTCTAGAAGGCTTCCTAGTTTAACTTAAAGAGATTATATTCGCCCGAACTCTCGGCTCTATATATTATTATATTATAGGGTATATATAGTTCCCTCGCTTCCTTCTAATAGGATAGATAGTCTCCGGCACTTCCTTACGATATAATCGAGTTCGTATAGGTAGTATTAGGTAGTTAGTAGATAGTTTAGCTAGTAGTACTATCTAGCAAACCCCGATAGATCCTAGATCTTTATATTCTCGCCTATAGGATTACTACGTTTTCTTCTTCGTCCTATAGCTCCGCGCGGATCCTATTTTTCTCCTTTACTAGAGCTAGACGTCTTTTAAGGGTCTCTAACTCTCGGAGTTCCGCCTCCTTATCTACCTCGGTCGGGGTTATCGGATCCGGTAGGTTTCCTCCCTAAGGGTTATCGTCGACTCCTTATATCTCTACCTCTTCTAGTAGGGGTTATAGGGGTCCCGGGACGTCGTTCGTTTCCGCGATCGGGGCTAAGGTTCCCCTTAGGCGGTCGCTCGTATATTAAGTCGTCGACATTACGTATTCTAACGGTCTAGTTTAATTAAGATTTAGCGATTAGAATATTAGGACCGGCGTACTAGCGGGTCCTAGTAGGTAGTATAGAACTAGAGTAAAGGAATAGTAGGGTACTAGTATATTTATAAACTAATCGCTAAAGAGCTAAGTTCCCCTAGTAGTCTCTATATAGATAACCTTTAGCGGGTCACGGGACTAGGTCACCTAACCCGGTAGGACTCAGTCTCCCTAGTGCGGTCTCTAGCGGGGGGTCATGCTACCCCTGCTAGGTCATAGGTTCTGGGTCATAGGACCAGGCGGGATCCAGCCTATGAGGCACTCTCCTAGTAGAGGGTCGTAACACTTTATCTATATATAGAACTAAATTAAGATAATTAGTTAGAGGTTTTATCTATAATTAACTTTATAGTATCTATTTTACTATAAGATACTACTAAGAAATCTTTTTTTTATAGAAAAAAGATACGAGCCTATAATAATCTTAAACTAGAAAGATCCTAAGTATATCTCCGCTAATAAATATAATATAATAGATATACTTTTATAACTATAAGATATATAGTCTAAGACGAAGAAATAGATTAATAAATCCTAGAAACTCTAGATCTAATAAATAAATAAATATTATTAAGAAGAGGATTTTAGAGTAAAAGATCGAGTCTTTATTATAATAAAAGACTAATTACCTAATAGACTAAGTTAGAAGCTATCTTACTCTATAAGTAGACTATATATAATTATAGAGAAAGTTAAGAATTTATATAAGTTAGATCTCCTAGAGTCGATAAAGATATACCTTATTTTCTATCTTAGTAAACTACGTAAAGCGTCGAAGACTAAGCTATTATAGGGGTAATACGAAGATCTAATACCGCCTATTACGATAAATAAAACTAATAAATAGGAAGTTAGTAAGATCCTAGATACTCGTACGTATTATAAGAAGCTTTAGTACCGGGTAGAGTAGGTAGGATATAATATAGACCTATAATAGTATCCTATAGATAATCTAAAAAATATACTAGAAAAGGTTAAGAAGTTCTATAAGAGGTATCCTATAAAGCCTAGACCCCTAGTACGTCTATAATACTAGATTAAAGCTATAGAAGGCGATAAGGTATTATAGGATCACGAAGATAACGATAAGCTAGTATTTAGGGACTGAATATAATTTAGATAGGGGAGTATATAACGATCGTAGACTAGAGACCGAGTCACGTGACTATAGCTATCGCAGAGTAGGTCAGAGGTTTGTAAGGTTTGCAGCTCGCCGACTCTTCAAAACTCGACGATAGCGAGTTTCCTTTCCTCTTTTCTCTTCTTTCTCTGTCTTAGTATTTTAGTTGAATTGCACTCTTTTCTTTAAAAGACTTGGCTCGTAACAGCTAAGGGGGTGTGTCGGAGTAAGAGATCGGCATACCGGAAGTTTAGTTTATCCTATCTATGTAGTATTTTTAATATTAGTCAGAAAGTCATATTTCCTACTAGAATAGTGGATACAGAAATACAGAGATTTCAACCTCCTTGATTGGACCCCTATTATACTGAATACCATATCAGTTGACACCATCCGGGTGCCGGACCCCACAAACGGCCTCCGAGAGGCATTGATGAGACTTGAAGATATCCTGACCGATGAGTAAAAACGACAATACCAAGATAGTGCTACGAAACCAGATGCGGCAAGGGTCATCGAGTTCGTCGCAGAGATCGATGCTAATAGCACCAACACAACAAGGAGATATATGGCACCAAGATTGTGCACGTTTCTACATGCGACGTAGCAGTTCAGTGATGTCGTGGGTACATTTGCTAGCTCCAATCCTTAGATCCCCGCGCTAGTCAGGGGTGGTGTCAAGACGGCAATTTTAACGGCGAGCAATATCACTTCCTACTTCGCTAAGGTGAGCAATATAATTGCGACGATTAGGAAATCATGTCCAACCTATCAGCAATTTGGTCAACTATATCCCGGCTGTGTCGGTCTCCAGCGTAAACTATGCGATTACTATGCAATCATTGTCCAATTGTGTACCAAGATTACTAGGGTCTCAGGGCGTTCCCCCCTCGTACAAACCCTCTCTTCTGTTCTTAGCCCCTTTGAATATGAATTTCAAAGCTTTCTCGAAAGGCTTAGCCAAGCCACGAGTGATATAGACTGTCAGATCAGTCTTGCTTCCAAGCAGGCTGACGCGGAAGTAAAACAGTTGCTAGAGCACGACAGCAAAGATAAAGCAGCATGCCGAATGTTAGCTATGAGATTTCAGAAAGAGTCTAAAAAGGAAGATGCCGAGTCGCACCAGTGGAGAATTCGCAAGATGAAGAGGGAAGCTGCACGTTTGAGCTCCGATATTCGAAACAATCTTTTCACCATCGATCATAATAAACATTGGAAGCAAGCATTACGAGGACGGGTCTCCATAGCAGAGTGGCTACTGCAGGAATCCCTCTTTTATAAATGGCAATCTGATCCGTATACCGCAATCCTCTGGTGCCCCGGCATAATGGGAACAGCGCTCAGGGGACGGTTTCGATTAAACACGAATTTGCTGCTTAAACGTGCCCGAATTCAAGTTGGTAGAAAGCTAGAACACTAAAAATACGATGGCAGAGACCTTAATCAGTGCACACCTACGTAGATAATGTACCTAGTTCCAACCTTGAAAAGTAGCCAAGCAAAATGCAGCTTTTCATATAGTCCGCCACGTTTGCAGTGTATACATTATCGCCAACCCGTAGTGCGAAATTGGCTGCTCGCTGTTGGACAGGCAATTTTGCGTTCCAGTCGGATTGTTGCCTCCATCATTCTGGATAGTATCCATATTTACCTCTGCATCATACACGTAGCCGATATAGAAGCTCCTAATGTATCAAGGGAGCCTGCTGGTTTTGATTTTGCTAAGACTTAGAAACTGGATTATCAGAATAAAAAGAAGTATCCTAGTATTCTATGCTAACCAAATAGGCTGCCAGTTTCTCAACAATAGTTGCTGCATCATCTGAGTCTACCGTGTCTGGATAATGGGCAAGCACAATTGCAGTCTTCGTTTTAACTGCACAGTATCCTTCTCGGCCCTAGAGTTCTCATGTATCAGAAAAATAAACCCTCTGACGAGAAAACAAGAGGGGAGACGTACCTTCTTTGCGTAAATACTTCGTTCGTTTGCTTTGATCACTTGGAAGTTCTCTCCTCCGATGTGCAGCCCACCGGCATAAAGCGGGATAGTGTCGACATAGCCATGCATCAACCTTTGGACCTCCTCAAGAGTGACCTATACATCGCAGAATCTTTGTGAGTCATTCAAACCTCTACTGACAGATAGTTTCCCTAATATCATAATGAGGAAAGGGCAGCATAACCTCGGTATACATACCTTGAATCCTGGACTGGCTGCCCACACTGCGTCACTAGCTGCTGAGAATACAGCGGCTTTGTCGAACTTTCCAGACCCTACAAGGGTCTGATCGACGTATCCTAGGCGCATTTAATTAGTCTCAACCTCACAATAAATCGACGATTCACAAGATAGCGATACCTTTCCAGCTCATCTTCAGTCAAAAAGTGTTGATATGAATGTGGTACAGACAACTGTAAACAACTGAACGCCTTGAATCGACAATTCGAATGAAAGAAGTTCAAACTTGAAGAGAATATCTTGTATATAACTGCGCTGTAGGTAAGTAGCAGGTTCCTGAAACATCCACATCTTCGCTTAATGCCCCTTGCAGCAACGGTGACGGAAGATTATACGTTCCCCTTATAACCGCAGCTCGGTGGGCGAATGGGCACGTCTGCGACCCCTCCGTATTACTTTGAGGATTTTCTTTTTATGAGGGAATTATGAATCTCCATAAGCTTCAACCCAGATCAAGAAAGACCGTAGCGAAATTTAATTTCCGATAGTAAAGTTGCCTTTTAGAAATCTGACACACCGCCACACCTTTAACCGCCTATATCGGTCTATGTATGTGGCATTCTCCTACAGGTAATCTACTATACACTGTTATTTGGTAATATCCCATCGTTATCTTGACTGGTATATCTGAGCTAAATATGAGTTACCAAAATAACAAATGGCTGATTTTGTAGGACATCCAACTGGTCAGTTGTGTGTTGGACACCGATGAGGCAACATACATAACTCTGGAGAGACGAAAACTAGCAGTTTTGCGAGAAACATTAGAGACTGACACCGAGATGTCCTTATATTTATGGAAGAAAGATATAGTCACTTGGTAGTTAGATTGGCGGGTGAGAAGAATGTTCAAAAGATAACTTGAAAAAACAGTACAAATTACCTGTTGGACTTAGTACGATAACATGGGGTTGATAACAAGTCTTGAGACTATAGGAGAGAGGGAGAAGGAGAAGAAGCTATGATTCTCAAAAAATTGAGGAATTTATACCCCGAAGTTCAGGAAGAACTAGCAAACAAGCAGGGCGCATAAAGCTTTCGAGGTCCCAATGAAACTCCCTTGACTCAAGACGCCGGAACGCGGAATAAATCAATGAGTTTGTGGAGCATAAGCAGCAGATCAAAGCAAATCTACCGGGATCTACCTAGTATCTTGCTGTTTCGGACTATCGATTTGATATGAGCCCAAGCTATTCCCAAAAGGGGGGCCTTGAGGCTGACGGCCCCATCGGAGCTATTGACGTCTCGGAATCTGGGCGAATCACTGTTGGACAACACCCTAATGATCGGCGTCCGTGGATCCTTAAGAAAGCTGTAGACCCCCTATACGAGGTACTTCGAGGGCAATGTTGGGACTAAATTGTGCCCAGCTGGAGAAAAAGTGCGAATCATATCTCGCTGCGTTGTCCACCTCGCTACAATCCAAATACAAAATATAGCTGCCCCCGATCATTAAATGTATTCTCCCATACTCTATACCACTATAATACTACAAGGTTAGCTGAAACTAATTTTTGTACGTGTGCGCAGTTTCAAGGGTTCTCAATTCCCTCGCAGCCATGAAGCTGTCCATAATATTGTCTTTCATCGGACTCGGGGCCGCTTTAGATCTGGCCCAACCCTACCCAACGAAAAAGTTCGAGCTCAATTTGAGATGGAGCTCGAGCGCGCCTGACGGAGTTGAGCGCGAACATGCTCTGATCAATGGGCAATTTCCTGGACCTCCTCTCATCTTTGATCAAGGCGACAATATCGAGGTGACAGTGAACAATTACCTGCCATTCAACACAACGATGCATTGGCATGGCATTGAGTGAGTCACCGAGGAAGATAAGATGATCTAAAGCTAACACCAGAAAAGACAGCTAGGAACGTCGTGGTCAGATGGTGTGCCTGGAGTCTCCCAAAGGCTGATCCGCCCTGGTGGAAGATTTGTCGCGAAATTTACGGCGACACAATACGGGACATACTGGTTGGTTGATTGTTATTATCTGAGGCTCTACATACTTATATTGGCTAACACTGTGAAGGTATCATTCGCACGTCGCAGGACAGATAATGGATGGCCTGTTTGGACCTATCTATATCAGGTTCGTTCATACTGAGTCCTATTCTTCATGTTTATCCACGCAGAAAACTAAGTCTCCTCCAGACCGCGAGAGGTTCCTGCCAATCTGGCTAGTGTGATATCGGATGACACACAAGCACAATCTCAAATCAATCATGCCATTCAAAACCCCAAATTGCTCACGGTGTCCGACTGGTTTCACAACACCGCAGACGAGCTACGGGAAATCTCACACGCAGCAAATATTGATACACTGTAAGTTTGGTAAAGAAAGGATAAGAAAGAAAGCTCATAGTTTGTCTAGATGTGCAGACTCCGTCCTCCTCAATGGCAAAGGAAGAGTGCGCTGCGTCGACTCTGCCTATCTGACCAGCCAAGTTCCTCCTTCCTTGGCTTACCTCCTCCAGGGAATGAACTACACAGCAAAAGGGTATGAGATCAAGCTCAAGCTACTGGTCAAAAAGCTAATATCGAGTCTCATATGAAGATGTCTTCCACTTGAGAATACCTATGCTCAAACGACATTTGCTCATCACGATTACACCGCAGTTCCACCAACCTTGTTTGATCAATGCAAAGCCACCGAGTCATCAGAGGAAGTGATCAAGGTCAACCCTTCGAAAGGCTGGACAAGCCTCAATTTTATCAGCTCCTCATCCATTTCCACGCCAACGGGTATGTGTATCGTTGCACGTGTCTAGGCGGATTGCAAAGTTCAAGTTTATTAGCTGACGAACGCAGTTTCTATCAACAGTCATTCTCTTTGGATATATGAAGTTGACGGTCAATATATCGTACCACAAAAAGTCGATGTATGATAGCGTCAAGCGTTCTTTGCACAGCAACCCATGAAAATTGCACTAACCACCCTTTTCTTAGGCGCTGACATTGAGCAACGGTGCCCGCTACTCCGCTCTAGTCCAATTGAACAACAAGCCAGGTAAATACCAGATAACAGCAGCCAATGCAGGACTCAATCAAAAGATTGCCGGGTACGGCGTCTTCTCTTATGTGAATGGTGATCCTTCCGTCACGGGCGAGCCCTCAATCGACTACAGTGGCCAAAACACGAGTACTAATGTCATTGTGTTCGACGAAAATAAAATCAAGCCACTCATCCCGGATCAACCTAGTGAGGAGGTAGACAGAACCTACCTGCTCAGTATCGGCCGCATTCATAAAGCGTGGAAATGGTCTCTCAATGGAGATAACGCATACTCCCTGTCTCTAGAGTCGGAGAGACCTATACTGTGGGACCCTCAGGGACAGAAGAGTAGTGATTTAGTAATCGCCACAAAGAACAACACTTGGGTGGACCTCATCTTTGCGGTGTCTGGCGGCCCGGCTATCCTTCAACCTGGTCATCCGATTCACAAGCATTCAAATCTGGTCTATGTCATCGTGAGTTCCTCCAGGTCGTGGTTTTTGCATTCGCCGTCTATGAATTCAATGCTGACCTCCATAATCAAGGGCGCCGGGACCGGGCTGTTCAATTGGACTTCTGTTGCGGATGCCCAGAAAGAGATCCCAGAGATGTTCAACCTGGTCGATCCTCCAATGAGAGGTAGGAAACTCTGGAAATGGTTGCATCTTAGTTTTTCAATCTGATTGATGCGATAGATACGTTTACATCACCCGCTGCTCTCGATAATCCGAGCTGGATGGCAGTTCGCTATCATGGTAGGTTGTTCCACCATCTTTGCTTATTTCCCAAGAAGATTACAGCGCTAATACGTCTGAATTTGGCAGTGCAAAATCCCGGAGTAAGAGATAAATCGAAGTGAGAGACTTCAGAACAGTTTTCGCTAACCAGACAGGCATTCTTCCTCCACTGCCATATCGATCCGCACCTCACTGGTGGAATGGCGTAAGTTGCTTACATCCCCATACTGTTACCTGACTACATATTGACAAGGATTCCAGTCTTGCGATTCTAGACGGGGTCGATGCATGGCCTGAAATCCCTCCGCAGTATGGCCCGGGGGGTGATTGGGGAAGAGCCAAGCAGTAAACAATGTTACTGATTAGGGTTGGTAGTCTGTCCAGGCCAGTGTGGTACTTCAACTTATTCGCTATTCGCCGTTTAATTCTCACTCTAATTACACTCTTATACAAAGCCTCGGATCCATATAGGCATCAAACCTCTTCATTTAATCGAGTTCTTCAAGTCTGTTTTCCAACCCAGTGCGTGTGATGTTAGATTTAAGTATTAACAGCTACTGAGCCCTCGCCTCCGTCAATTATTAATGCAGCTGCCGAATTTCAATCTGATTTCCCAACCCAAATGATTCTCTCATATATTCCAGGGTATGTGGTCCTCCTATAGACTAGGAGCAAGAAAATCAATTGATCACGTCAAGGCCACAGCTGTTGAAAGGGCCCGCTATACTCCGTAGGGAGTTCCGAATTGACCCGATCAGCCCGATCACCGGTGTACCAAATAGTCAGTGGATTCAAGTCGGATATACTCACTCGATATACGAATTAACACCGACCGAAAAGAATGGAATGGTCACTAAGTTTTGCATGGGGTTCAGAGACAGAACCAATAGGGCTCGGGTCCTACCGGAGTTAAGCCTGAGATGCTGGATGCCGTCCGCGCTGGATGCCCGCGGAGCAGTTCTCCGCACTCCGTTGCATTCTATGTTGGACAGGGGTATATCACCCCTCGATCCTTCATGAGCTGAATCCCAGGAAATGGTGACAGGCTAGGTGATTTAGTTTGTTACTCGCACTTTATAACCTTGGGAGCCCCATTCTCCTGCTTCCCCATCCAGTTTTCAGCCATCTTGATATTCTGAACCTTCAACTCGCGTCTGAGAATTACAAAACTGGATGTGATTTTTCTTCGCCTATATTCTAAGCAATGATATAACAGAACCTGCTATCCCTTCACGAGTCAGAACAATCGAAAATTCATTATCCTACCTGGCGATCCCCGTGCCTTCGTGGGGAAAACACATCCTATACCGTCATTCTCATTTCAACCGTGCGATTTCTGCAAAATGGTCCGGGTCCTGATAACAGGCTCTACGGATGGCTTCGGCCTCGAAGCCGCCCGCCAGCTAGTCCAGCGCAACCACACCGTCTATCTTCATGCGCGCAGCCAAGAACGCGCAGACCACGCCAAGGCCAAATGCCCCGGAGCCGCTGGCGTGCTGATCGCAGACTTGACCAGCGCCGCAGAAACGCGCAGACTAGCCGAGGAAGCAAATGCGATTGGTGTCTTCGACGCTGTCATCCTAAATGCCGGATTGCTTTACGGCCCCTTCCGTAAGACACCCGATACTGGCGTGCCAGCCCTGGTCTTCGTCAACGTGATCGCGCCTTATATCCTGTCTTGTCTCCTTCAACAACCGAAGCGTCTTATATTTATCGCTTCTACCTTACACCGAGAAGCCAATCCCAGCGTGAAGGACATCTTCTGGATCGGGCGCGGGGAAAAGGAATTCCAGGATTTCCCGGCATACTGTGATTCGAAGTTGCACGTTATCCTTCTTGCTAATGCGGTGGCGAGGCGGTTTAAGGGTACTTCTGTGACTTCTGTGCATCCGGGATGGGTTGCTACTAAGCTTGGAGGTGATGGTGGTCCCGATAAACTGGAGGATGGCGTTCAGACATACGTTATGCTGGCTGAGGGTGATTACGATCAAAATCTCACTGGTGTTTATTTTGAACCCAAAAGGAAGCTCGGCATGCCTCTTGCGGTGACAGCGGATGAAGCCCTGCAGGAAGTTGTCGTTAAGGCTTGCGAGGATGTCACCGGTCTTAAGCTGGGAGCTTGAGCTTGGAATGCTGGCACCCATCCATCATTGGCGTATATCTTCTAGAACGCATATTTTAGTTTTCTAAAACCTGTTGAGTTTTCATAACCTATGTTCGAGTTAATCAGGCCATGGCCCGTAACTCATGGTAGAAAAGCTGCAATTGTATTTACATCGTGGGATTAGCGCATTACCATTGCGGCGACTTTTATCAGTAGGGCAAAGCTAACCTGTCTCACGACGCTCTAGACTTTGCTCACGGTTTTCACAATTTTCACAAACACAGTTTGAGTATTCAAACGTTCTCGGATATAAAGACTGTACAAAGAATAGAGCATATCATAAATCATCTCCACAAGAGGCTCTGCAAATCGAATCAAGGAAAAAGACACACGCCTCCATCTTCCGAATCAACATCCTGATCTACCCCCACCTCAGCCTCGCTTTCTGAAGTATTTAGGGAATTTGCCACGGATTTGCTGGATGAATCATCGCCGATATCCTGCTCTCCAAACGATTTGAAATGACCCAAAGAACGGGTCTCCGTAATGCAGGTTTTAGAATCTGGATGCCAGCGACTAGCTTGCGAGCGCCGCAAGACTTGATCAATTATCTGCCCACGAAGTTCTTGTATTATCTTGTTCATAATCTCTGTTTGCTCTCGAGCCACCATGTCATCCTTGGCAAATGTTTTCACCAGCGGAGGGCTCCATTTTGTCCAGACTTTACGGTGTGATGAAGGGACCACCATACGCGCTGGATGGTGCTTGAAGTATAGCTCGCAGCAAAGACAAGCGGGCTTACTGCAAGCAACGAATCGATCCCCATATGCAAAGGAAAGTTCTCCCTTGTGAAATAGCTCCAAGACTTGAACTTCAGCATGGACCAGAGGATGGGATTGCTCGTATTGATCCATGAAATGCTCGAAGATCATGAAATTAGAAGTTCTGTCCAGATACAGAAGACCGTCCTCGACAATTTTCCTTTCCTCTCCAGTTGTCCTGTACATACGATTCAGGATTCCGCGAAGGTTGGTTTGTGAGTCACGTACTGGTGCTGGTACACCGAGAAATGGATCAATGCCGCGAACTTCATATGTGTGTAATATATGTGCCAGATCGTAGGAGTCGACGACCAGCTCGGTTGGTGCCCGTATGTGATGGGCAAGTCTCAAAATATGATGTCTGACCAAGGCAAACGATGACCGCCGGCCTGCAGGGTCCAGTCCGTTCTCGTCCTGTGACGCAAGAGCCGCAAGTTGCTTAATATACACTGAATTGCGGTGGATATAAGCAAACTCGCAAAGCTCGATCTTGTCATTGTAGTTCACAGCTTCTTGCAGCCACTCGACCAATTCCTGGGCTAAAGGATATTCAGCTGGAGGCATTCTACATGGAACATCCATGCTCACCTGTTCTTGAGCTATCTTGTATGAGCTTTGCAATGCAAATGGCCGCCTCCTTTTGGACATTTTTGTGTTCTGCCTTGATGCGAGAATCTGCAAAATCTGCACAAGATCGAATGAATGCTGATACTGTTGCCGGTAGATCTGGAGTCGGTAGATCGCTTGCGCCGCGCAAGACCTCGAGAGCTTCGCTGAGAAACAGAACGATCTTTCTATTCCCCGCGTTTGAAGCAACCCAGAACTGGTAGCGTGTTGGACCATCTTCCAGGCCGATGGCGGTGCAAGAATCCCCGCCTTTCTTGAAATCACACACATAAGCCAGATTCTGTAAAAACCTTCGTCTCCTTTCCATAGAAGCATCAAAACTCGTGGGCTGGGGAGTATGTTCGCCTCGGGTCTGTCCCAGTGACTTCAGAAGAAATAAGGGCTCGTAAAATCGGGCAAGCAGTCGCCGGTATGGATCAAGTCTTGGGCGAACAACCCCGTTAGGGGTAATTTCCAAGGGGGCTTTGCCTCTCATATGGGCGGTTTGGTATTTTCAGTCAATTTAAGGAGACACGCTGTCGGAGGACAATGGGGGCGCAAGTTTTTCAAGTTGAAGGCAGGTGGTAGGGTCTGCGGGAGGCCCTCAATGCAGGAGGCCACCAATGCGGGAGGCCACTGATTTCTCTGCGTTGACTCAGAATTTCCGTGACGATCTGGCCACAGACGTGGTAGGAATGGAAACTGGCTCTGCAATATTGGGCAATCCCAGTAATATGATCCAGGAAGGAGATACAAGGGTTGTTGATACCCAACACCTTCGTACCATTTCTGGCCTGAGTAAGGTGTGCCCCACCGCTCTCTTTGATGCAACGAGACATACCAAACAATTCCAGGCAGTCAGGGTATATAAACAGTTAATCGTTTATCGAATTCTTCTAGACAAGAAGCCTCTTCAAAATGTCTAAGTCCATGTGTAAAACCCAAAGCGGTCCGTCCTTCTAACCCCTCGTACTTACTCTCTCCACGAACTGATCTTTACCTTTGACCTAACAAGTGCTAACCTCACATATAGATGCAAGATTGAAATACCATTTGAGCTTGCTGAAGCTCGACAGCCCGAACGATCAGAACGAGGATGCTAGTCTAGCACCCATCTTCACAGCACCGGTTCTTTACCAACCGGGACAGGGTCCATCACAATATGGCCTACTGGGAGGTGTCAAAAAGGTCAACGCATCCGGCTTCTCAAGCCCAGAGACTGAGATACTGGCAAAGGACCCCCGGCTGTTTTTCAACGTTGCTTCACCATCGAGCACGTTCATCTGTGGATCTCAGGGATCTGGTAAAAGTCATACTTTATCTTGCATACTCGAAGGCTGTTTGATTCCCTCTCAAGCAGGCAGGCTTCTTAGCCCCCTGACAGCTGTCGTCTTTCACTACGATACGTTTATCTGCGACAATGGTGGTTCGCCGTGTGAGGCGGCGTTCCTCGCGTCGCACTCTAACGTCAAAGTCAGAGTGCTTTGTGCGCCAACCAATCTTCGAACCATACAGGTGATCCAAGCATGTTCCTGAAGCTTTCCCTTATTCTAACGAGTCTTTTCAGGGGACGTACTCAAGATTCAACATCAAGGTAGAGCCGCTCCAAATAGACCAGGCCAACCTCAACACCAAGCGTATGATGGATCTCATGGCAGTGGGCCAAGATAAGGGCCCTGTGCCGCTGTACATGCACACTGTCCAGCGGATTCTACGAGAGATGCGGCTTTTACAACAAGCGTCGGGGTCACAATTCGACTATCGTGACTTCAAAAAAAGGATACTTGACTCTGGCCTTCTTCCAGGTCAGCTTGAGCCTCTGAAACAACGCCTCGATACCCTTGAAAGCTTTATGCCTCCCGGACAAGCAGATATCACCAAGAACAACAAGAAAAAGAAGAACAGTGCCCCAAGCCCAGGATCCAACTGGACTCCAAAGGTACGACGATCACCTCAGTTTGATAAATATAATAGTTACAACAAGAGACTGATCGCCCGGGCCAGCCATCGCAATTGACAATTGTTGATCTCTCCTGTCCTTGCATCTCTCCTGATACAGCCTGTTCCCTTTTCAATATTTGCTTCGGAATCTTCATGGAGCAGAACACAAAGGTTGGGAGGGTCGTGGCACTCGATGAAGCGCATAAGGTTAGTAGATCATGAGGATTCTGGCTCATTTACTGTTTTCTGATGATCACAAGTATATGAAAGACTCCGTCGAAGCACGAAGCTTTACGGACACCCTTCTTTCTACTGTTAGGTTGCAGCGACATCTCGGAGCTCGTATCCTGATTTCAACCCAAGAGCCGACAATCTCAAGTGACCTCTTGAGTCTGTGCTCGGTCACCATTGTTCACAGATTTTCCTCCCCGGCATGGTTGCGCGCGCTTCAAGGCCATGTTGCTGCTGCCGCGTTAGGTGCGCAATCAGATCAAAAAGCATCTGCCAACAACGAGGAGTACCCAGGGGATCTTGAGGTACCAGGTAAATTTGCATTGTTTCATCGGATCGTGAATCTTCGGGTAGGTGAGGCTTTGCTTCTTTCTCCTAGTGCGATGCTGGGCACTACGACAGAGACAACCCGCTCTCCGCAACTGAACAAGCTGGGCTCAGGTTACATGGTAATCAAGATAAGAGATAGGCTGACGGAGGATGGTGGCAAAAGCGTTGTGTCGTCTTGAACTTGGTATCGATGCGGAAAATAGGGGCTACTTGGTTTATTAGAATGACATGCGTGACTTGGTATCTTCGAGTGAAACTTATGACACACCTATGGGTATCGGCTTTGCATCATATCAGTTTAGCCCAAATATGACTCCGGTTTTGAGATGGTAAATGCCTCTAGCGCGGATATTGCTGGGATTCATATGGGTTGACCAAACTCGCAAGCCTTCCTAAAGCATATAGATCGAAAGATATGGGTTTACTAAGGACGGAATAGATATAGACAGTTTCCCTTTGACTCATGTCTAGCAGCTTGTACTAGACCAATGTTGCTTTTTCAGATGTTTCTGAACATTATCCTTGCGAGTAAACGACATCCCGCAGACTTCACATGTTGGCCGGTCCCTTTCCCCCCAAAGCTGCTTAGCAAATGTACTATGAGCAACCTCGACATGTCGACGGATATCCCTCTGCTCTGCTGCTCGATAAGAGCATTCAGAGCATTTGACAGGTTTGATATGCAATCGCATATGTTTCCTGATATCGATCAGTCGACTAACGGAAACGAGCATGGACGTGGAATTTACCTGAGCAAACAGATTTGAGAAAAGCCCATCCGACCTTGACATTTCTCGTCTCGGCAATGATACAGTCCCTCCGCTGGAGACGCGGTTATGGTTTCATCCAAAGGCATCTCAGCTTCTTCGAATCTCCAACCACACTTTGTAGTCCATTTTGGATGCGCTGAACCATGGGGGTCACTGGCCATCACTGAGCTGGTTCCGTCGGTAATACTCGGAGAGGATGTATTTTCAGAAACATCGTCAATGCTTGTCAAGAAATCTTCGCATATAGAACTCTATAGAGGCTGGTTTGCGTCGATGATTTCTTGAGGGACACTAAGCTGGGGGTCCGTCATATCCAAGTTTCCATTCATTTCGCCCGAGTATTCGTTGCCGAGCGCCGTAAAGATCGAATCGGTCGAAGGATACACTAAAGGTTCGTATGTCGATCTGATTATCGAATTGACGGCAGGATCCGCCATAGACGTTTCGTGTTCATGTTGGCCTGAGAACCGGGTTTCCATGGTTAGATGTCATTCGACACCAGATGAGAAGCTCAACGACCAGGGCGAGGCAGAGGATAAATAACTTGGGGAAGCTGCTAGGGCAGTTTTGGGGGGAGAAAACACAAACTAAGCAGCTAACTACATGAGATCATGGCGATTCCAAGATCGCACTACGCACTACTTGCCTAACTCCCTACTGCTATCAGATGTTAGGCAGCAGTGCATCTCTCCAGTTGGGGTTAACTGCGCCTTTCGCCAATCGCGTTGACCGCTTAGCCGCGGTGCATTATCTCAAGATATACGGAGTACTCCATATAAGTTCCAATGACGCATTCGCTTGCCAATTACTGGTAGAACCATCACTTTCGTTAGTCTATATAATTCTAAGTGAGGCCACGCACAATATTGCATACAAGATCTCATCTTTCGCTCAACTCACACTGACGCACCGCCGACAAGATACCAGATGCACCTGAATGAAAACGCGAGGGATCATATATATCACAATACCTACATACACACATGCATTACGGTGTACTAAGGGATCCATTTAAGCTTCACTCCGATCTTTCCAAGGCCAATAGTAAACATATCAGATCGTCCAAGCGTTCTACACAGGTTGAAAGGTCTCGGATATCTAACATCTCACCGCTCAGCTAGAAAATAAGGCACATAAAGGTGATTCCTAGCATAAATCGATTCAATTCTAACAGCTATATCTAGTCAGTCAGGTTAGAGTCCAACCTCTTCTCCCAATGCAGCCAGTCTATCAAAGTAACATCAGCCTTATTACTTTGAGCTTTTACGCGTAATAAGCGATTAGAAGCAAATTATATCCTCAACCCAAGTTATATGCACATCACAAATATTTCTAGTCTATATACGATACTAATTTGGTGTGATCTTGTTCAGTCTAGCTTGTCCTGCCAGACCCGCCTTCATAATCATACCAAAGATCTCAATATCTTTCCTAGCATCCTCCGCCGTGGTTTTAGCAGGCTTACCCTCAACGACGAAGGCATAAAGTTCCTTCATTTCCAGAGTATAAGCATCCTCATAGGTATTCCGAACCAGGGACTCCCGGAACGATCCATCCTCCAATTTCTCACGGATGTGCATGGTCGTAGGCAGCCCCTTAACATAAGGCGAGTCAAAGCAGACCTTGACCGTCTTATTCCCACCAAATACCTCAATGGACGCATCAAATCGGGGAACCTCATCAATACCAGACTCATAAGAGACAGCAAAAGACGGATATTGAAAGAGAGCACTAGAGCCATCAACACCAAACTCCCACAAACAGCAATCAAATCCACAACATACCTCCAAAATGGCGGACCCTGTGTACTGCACAAAGAAGCCCCAAGCACAGCACTCGGCATGCCCAAAGCCTCCCTCATCGCACTAAGATCATGCGACCCCAGACTGCCCAAATTCCTCCACTGACAAGCCGTCTCATCCGTAACCGGAATCCCCAACTCCATCGTCAAAGCCTGTTCCAAAAGCTCCCCAGTCCTCTGCCCCAACTCCGTCTTATCCTCCGCTCGGTAATCCGAGAACACCTTCGGAAATGTCCCCGACTGAGCCACGAAATCCGAATTCGGACCGACGATATCCCGCACGCGCGCATAGCGCACTTCATCAAGGCTACCTATTTCCTTGACTGCGTCGATGAAGCCGCTCGCGTACCGACGCATGTATCCGACCATCACCTTGCCGGAGGAGGTCTTCTCGAGCTCGATGATGCGATCTGCGTCTTGGAGGGAGAGGGCCATGGGCTTTTCGATGAAGACGACTTTATCGTGTTGGAGGGCTAACAGGGCGTGTGGGACGTGGAAGGCGTCGCTGTTGGCGATCATCACGATGTCGACATCTGGGGAGGCGCAGAGGTCTTCGGCCTTGCGGGTTGTCTTGGGGATGCCGCCGATGACCTTTTTGGCGCAGTGTGCCAGCGCATTGTTGGAGACATCGCAGAGATAGGTGATCTGGAAGTAGTCGGAGAGGAATCCGAGAGTTGGGATGTGGGCGACTTGGGTGATCTCGCCACATCTGGCTGGGTTGTTAGTATCGAGGTATGCTATATAGACTTTGAAAATGGGCTTTTTACCCGATCACTCCCACGCGGAGAATCTTGTTGCCCGCGGTCATCTTGGATGTTGCGGTCTCGGAGATAGCTTGTGCAATGACGTAGTTGGGGTATCTCCAAGGTTGGAAGTAGACTCTAGGAGGGTCTCGTATACAACTGATTTGTATAGAGGGAGAATAAGATGTGTCTTGACGACAATTATCTATTCTGTTAAATGATTGTCGAATGGATGGACGAAGGAGCGCTGATCTGACGCCCCGCGACGTGGCCCTGGAGCCCCGCGGCCCCAAGGTCTCCTATTAGTCCAGTATACAACAGACCTGCATGATATTTTGGCACTCAGCACCAATCACTCTTGAATCTGTAGTAGGGACAATGTTCCATTAACTCTAACATTGGAATGTACAGACGTAGATCCAGTCATCCTAACCTGCACCTCGCACTGTAGATACAGATATGTCCATATTCCGCCCATGAAACCCCACGAAACTCCGAATCATAAATAAAAACGCAAACAAGTAACCCAATGCAAAACACTATCTGACGGATCGAACATAATATCCGAGAGAGCGGTGTAGATGAGCATCGAAGCGCCAAAAAACTAGTTTCAAACCTCATACTCCTTCGGTTGGATCGACGATGGAATAGGTGAACGTTCCACCTTGTTCATTTCTCCCACAATATTTCCTAGTATGACTCGCCACCGGCGCCGTTGTGAGACTGGCCAACCATTGCGGGATAGCCGTAGGCGGATGCGTCTTGCTCGGATGGGTCAAGGTTGGGATTCATCATAGGGTTTGAAGCTTCGGTATCCGCGAATCCTGCCCGAGCGGGACCTGGTCCGCCAGGGCCACCGACAGGTCCTCCGGTTCCATAACCAGCGCTTGGGGGTCTCTGGTTCTCGCCACGGGCAGATTGGGTCTGGGGTCTAATCAGCATTCCGAAGCTAGACATCTCTGCGGCGCGTTCCTGGAATGGGTTGTGGGGTGCGGCGCGGGATGCGGTCTGAGGAAGATCATGGGCGCGGCGCTTGGATTGGGGGGAATTTACCTCGCGGTACTTGGAAAGGTAGATCTTGAGGGCTTCGGCGTAGTTCTCAAAACCAAGGGACGTCATAGCGAATAGGATATCTTCGCCATTAACGGTCTTGCGTTTCTCCTGTTGGCATTTCTCCGAGGCTGTCGGTGTGGACGATCAGTATGCATAGTAGGTTGAACCGAGAACTATACTCACCTTCACTGGTGATGAATGAGATGAACTCGCTCACACACTCCTGCATGCATTCCTTGGCTTCTTTGGCAATCTTTGCATTATCGGGCAGGGCCAGCTTCATGATACGAGCCACTACATAGGGTTAGTTGTGTGGACATTTTGCCAAAATCAGATGCTGGGTTGGATGCTATCGCCGAGGGGAAAGTTGCGGGCGAAAACGAGATGGGACGAATATATGAGACATGCGACGAAAAGGAGTTTCGTCCGAACCAGCACTCATGGGTGCAATAGACATAGGACGTAAAAAAGCAGAACGAGCTTCACCCCAACCATCAGACAGAAACAAAGGTTGCGACGAAAAGGAAATGCGGGGAAAACAAGGAGTGGCAGCAAGGGACGCGCAAATCGGAACAAAAGCACAACCTGCAAGACGCAACTTACCATTTGCAATCGGAAGCCACCGATCCTGCTCCTTCACCTCGAACTCGCCCTGATGCCCCTGCGCGTCGTGATGCTCCTTGTCCATATGCTCTTGTTCTTCACCCGATTGCGCCTCGGGGTCAAGTTCAGCGTCCTTAGAAGGAGAAGTCGCCATTATGAGTGGGCTGGATATGGCGGTGGATCCTCGGCTTGGGCGTCAATGCTTGTGTCTCGCGTGCTCTGTTGTCAGACCACGTCAGATCTCCAGGTGCGCGATCTCCGACAGCGCAGAATCGGCACCAAAAGGGGGGGCGCAGGGTTGTATTGGCTGGGTACGAACCAACTCTGCAGTAGCGTTGTGAAAATAGCGTCAGCCTCGGGGCAGATTGTCAATGCAGGAGCTCTGTACATGCGCACAATGGCACCCAATTAGCCTTCTCCCCCAAATAAAGACAGGCACGGAGTTCAGGGATTCGGTATACTCCATACCTTATCGCGCGCTGAATCAACAATAACGCGAGACGCGGGACTCCAAGCTGATGATGCAACGCGGCTGCAAAGGTGGGTCGATTGGGAGGAGCCCAACGGTCCAAGTTATTAAGCGTAAGCTCTTAAATGTTTGGTGCAATCAACCCGATTCGTCTGGACTTGGGATCAGAGCGCTAGAAACAGGGTGTTTTTTCAGGGAAAATCTGGGGAATTGGCGAACCAGAAACTCCCTGGGATCGACGCCTTCGGTTGGTCCGGCCACGTACCAATGTCAATACTTCGCATGGAGGTTGAGATCTGCTTACATGTAGGTACAGAGGGCATAGAACAGAGTGTAGATAGCATTTTTCTGCATCAAGGTCACTTATTACACGGATCCACAGTCCACAGTGTAAGGATTGCCCAGGTAGATGTCTAGATATGTTATTTACAAATATTGAGAACCTTGGTAGCTTTTGGCAATGTTTCTTTAATGAATCTGCAGTGTTCATTATACATGGATTCTGTACAGCCCAGCCAATTTAATAGCCATCGCAACAGCCTCGAAACACCTGTGGTATCACCTGGGCCACTAAATGACGTACGACTGCGCCTCGAATCCCCGATTGAGATCGTGTTCATCACCATCATAGGTCTAGCGAAGCTGAGATCAAAATACGTCCAAGATGAAACTTTGGTTGCGTCCTACATAGTCAATAAGTCGGGTCCTTCAGGGTCCTTTAGGGCCCAACGGTGTCGTGATCATTTGCCGTCCAGTCAGGCATCAAGGCTTGCATCTACACAGACCTAGGTCAACTGCACCAAACTCAAATTATTGACTACATACATCATGTATTGACAGGCGACTTCAGTCAGGCATGATTGCGGCTTCAAGTTAGCTTGGGCCGATCGATGTAAGCTCAAGCCTCGTCACCTCATGACGTCTGCTAAGGTCCGAGAGCCCAAAATCAACCCATCCATGATCCAACAGTTATGGGTATATTTGTTGTTATTATCAGTCAAGGAGCACGTTGTGCACATTCGACGTCAAAGCACAAATCAACGCTGCATTATGTCTAGCCTTTTGCCATTCCCAGTAACGCCGGTAGCCTCTTGCTCTCGCACTTGGATAGCATCCCCTGGGAACACGTAAATTGAAAGTATACAGAGGAAAAAGATGGTGACCTAAGGCTGCACAACTTGGATGTTGTTCTTTTTCTGCAAGGGGCAAACAGAGGTCAGCACTGCTTGTATCAAAAGCGTAGAAGGTGGTTCTAGGCCCGAAGCCATGGACCGGGAGACCATCTTACCTTCCAGTTATCCAACTCAGTCTGCTTTGCCTTGTATTGCTTCAGCATGTCGTCAATCACTTGCTTCAGCCCGTCCGAGTTGGTCTTGAGTGTGGGAAGCACATCCTGGACGGTGCGCTCAACGAGAACGCCATTCACCATGCGGAAACATTTTCGGTCTGCGGCCAGGGGTTCAAGGGTTTCGATCACAAGCCTGCAAAGAGACAGGTATTAGCTATGTATGTTCGTCATATCGTCGCCAGTTGGAGTGCTGAGATAGATGCCGGTTTGTCTCCACAGCAGGATTCCATAATAATGAGAATAGCATGGTAAGGACTCACTTGTGCTCTTCTGCTTCTTGTTCAATATCGCCAATCTTCTGTGCCAATTGCTGAAGGGTGTTCTTGAAGTTGGTGTATTGGCCCTGAAGCTCTGGATTGATGGTTCGTATTAGCTTGCGCGATTCTGGGGTTCCGGAGGAAAGGCGGGAAAGGCATACCCTGCTGCTTCTTCGGGTCAATCTGCTTCTGGCTAGACATGATGGCTGTTTGACACGGTGTGGTAATGCAGCACGGGGAAGCTCGAGAAATTGAGATGACGATGCGGGGCCGTTGCTTTTCGGTGTTGGGTGGAGGCCGCCACTATGCAACTTCATAAGGCGCTTGACAACATATATATATGTATATTGGGTCTATCAAATTGTCTCTATCTACTCTAGTATCTGAAACAGACCTCCAGGTTGCTAGTAAATCGTATGCTGACCCATTTTTCATGTGTCTTTCTGGAAACGAGAGACTGGACCCAAAGGGCGGTGGCTTTCCTCCGGCAATATGTAGGCGGTCAGCTACTGGCGCTAGTGATCAGATAGGAAACCCAGAGGTTCGAGGTCGGGGAATCGCTCGCATAAAGTCAACCTTCTGAACGCCAGACCGGGTCATATAACGCGACTAACTCAAGGCTTAATATTAGCTTCGGAGCCAGGCGAATGAAATGTCTCGCCCCGATATGGGCCCCCCGGCCAAAAGGCATAAAGGCACTGGACATCTCCCTCCAGGCCTACGCGACGCCAGACGGAAGGAAAGCGACACATGGGAGACCAATCGAATGCTCACCTCTGGTGTAGCTCAACGAAGAGACCATGAGGGCGATTTCATGCCCGACGACGAAGAGGCGACTCGAGTGCATTTGCTCGTTCACGACCTCCGGCCGCCTTTCCTCGATGGCCGCACGATCTTCACGAAGCAGCTGGAACCGATCTCCGCCGTTCGCGATCCCCAGAGTGACTTGGCAGTGTTCAGTCGGAAAGGAAGCAGAGTCGTTCGTGAGCGGCGACAGCAGCGTGAGCGAGAGAAGCAAGCGCAGCAGGCGACAAATATGGCCGGCACAGCCCTGGGGAACTTGATGGGTGTTAAAGAAGATGAGGGAGATAGCGCAGTTGCTATGCCTGTTGAGGAAACCTACAAAGCCGGAGGAAACAAGTTCGCCAAGCACATGAAGAAAGAGGGTGGTGGCGCTAGCGACTTCAGCAAAAGCAAGACCTTGCGCGAACAGAGAGAATACCTGCCCGCTTTCGCCGTGCGAGAAGATCTACTACGGGTCATCCGGGACAACCAGGTTGTGGTGGTTGTTGGAGAAACAGGATCTGGCAAAACCACCCAGTTGACTCAATTCTTGCACGAGGATGGCTACTCCAAATTTGGTATGATTGGATGCACGCAGCCTCGCCGTGTAGCTGCCATGAGTGTCGCAAAGCGTGTCAGCGAAGAGATGGATGTTGAACTTGGTGGAACCGTTGGATATGCTATCCGTTTCGAGGATTGCACGAGTGATGAAACAGTCATCAAATGTGAGTGTATATCTGTCTGTTTCCTGGTGGCTACATAGCTAACCTATCTACCAGACATGACGGATGGTGTTTTACTGCGAGAATCCCTGACCCAGACGGACCTTGATAAATACTCGTGCATCATCATGGACGAGGCGCACGAAAGAGCCCTCAACACCGACGTTTTGATGGGTCTTCTTAAGAAAGTCTTGGCCAGGCGCAGGGATCTGAAATTGATTGTGACCTCGGCAACTATGAACGCAGATCGGTTCTCGCGATTCTATGGCGGTGCGCCTGAATTTATCATTCCTGGCAGAACATTCCCCGTTGATCTTCACTTCTCACGGACACCCTGTGAGGATTATGTCGACAGCGCAGTCAAGCAGGTCTTGTCCATCCATGTTTCTCAGCCTGCTGGTGATATCCTTGTCTTCATGACTGGACAAGAAGATATTGAAGCGACTTGCGAGCTAGTCGAGGACCGGTTGAAGCTGCTGAATGACCCACCAAAACTTAGTATCTTACCTATCTACAGTCAAATGCCGGCTGAGCAACAAGCAAAGATCTTCGAGAAAGCCGCCCCGGGGGTGCGGAAAGTCATTGTTGCTACGAATATCGCTGAAACAAGTTTGACGGTCGACGGTATCATGTATGTCGTGGATGCAGGTTATTCGAAGCTGAAGGTGTATAACCCGCGTATGGGTATGGATACTCTCCAGATCACGCCAATTTCCCAGGCCAATGCAAATCAGCGATCTGGACGAGCTGGACGGACTGGGCCCGGTAAGGCCTATCGTCTATACACCGAAACAGCCTACAAAAACGAGCTGTATATTCAAACAATCCCCGAGATTCAGCGGACCAGTTTATCAAATACCGTGCTCTTGCTGAAATCCCTGGGAGTGAAGGATCTTCTGGACTTTGACTTTATGGACCCGCCCCCTCAGGAGACCATTTCCACCTCTCTTTTCGAGCTGTGGTCCCTAGGTGCTTTGGACAACCTGGGCGACCTCACATCCCTAGGACGTCGCATGACACCATTCCCCATGGATCCTCCACTAGCCAAGCTCGTGATCATGGCCTCCGAAGAATACGAGTGCAGCGAGGAGATGTTAACCATCGTCTCCATGCTTTCGGTACCAAATGTCTTCTATCGCCCCAAGGAACGAATGGAGGAATCCGACTCAGCTCGCGAGAAATTCTTCGTTCCCGAATCCGACCACCTCACACTTCTCCACGTTTACACCCAATGGAAGACCAATGGATTCTCGGATGCCTGGTGCAACAAGCATTTCTTGCATGCCAAAACTCTTCGCCGAGCCAAGGAAGTTCGCGACCAGCTCCAAGACATCATGACCCAGCAAAAAATGCCTCTCATCAGCTGCGGCACCGATTGGGACAACATCCGCAAATGCATCTGCTCAGGCTACTACCACCAAGCCGCCAAAGTGAAGGGCATCGGCGAGTTCATCAATCTCCGCACCGGCGTGACCATGTCACTCCACCCCACCAGTGCCCTCTACGGACTCGGATACGTGCCCGAATACGTCGTCTATCACGAGTTGATCCTAACGGCCAAGGAATACATGTCCACAGTCACAGCTGTTGACCCTCACGTAAGCCCCTCCCCTGCATACATTATCCCATAATCCAACTAACTTGTCCCCCAGTGGCTCGCCGAACTCGGCGGCGTATTCTACTCCGTCAAAGAAAAAGGCTACTCCAAACGCGACCGTCGCGTAACAGAAATCGAGTTCAACAAGCGCATGGAAATCGAGGCGCAAATGGCAGTTGATCGTGAACGTGCCGAAGCTGAAAAACAGCGCGAGGAGGAACGCAATGACCCCGCTCGCCGCAGGACGGAAATCGAAGTTGGCGGGAAGTCCGCTGTGCGTAGACCTGTTATCAAACCAGGACGGAAGATCGGTGGCTTGACTGCTTCTTCTTCCTCTTCGTCCCGGCCTGGTGCCAACGGTGGTGCGGCTCGTGGCGGCGGTGCTTCTGGAGGCAGTGTGGTCAAAAGGCCTTCTGTTCCTCGGAGACCAGGACGTGCTTTCTAGTCTGGGGATGAAGACTAACTTTACTGGGGTCTTGCCCTTGTACAACATCATGTCTTTAAAATTCATATTGTTAGATCTGCTCAAATCGATACCCGTTGTTGCGTTCACTTTTAGAGTATTCTCAACTCGAGGATTTTCTATACTTCCAAATTTAGGATCTCTCTAATCTCGGTCATATGCACAGTGGTTGCTCAACAAGTCATTGTTGTATAAGTGACTTAATCATATATGAACAGCCTCTCTCGTTTGAATCAAGATAAAACATAGAGTAGCAAGATAATGACCGGCTAAAAAAAAGGTCCCAACGAGGATGGATATCTAAACGGCATTTCCAATACATCTGGAGATCGAAACGAACCAACCCCAAGCAGAAGACAGAAATAGCCCAGTATGGTATTGAACAGAGGCATTGAGCGCCGAGCACAGCTCAGTTGATAAAGTTGATGCAGAAGAAGTGTAGAATCAAGCTTCCGAAGATGTAATCGGCGAAGGCCCTGTATGAGGTTAGCATGTTGTGTATCTTTATAGTAGCAACAGTCGTGATATTGATATGAGGCAGTGGACAGAAAACTCACCTCTCATGCGAATACCCCGTCCCCTGTTCTTCGGTATCATTATCATCTGCAAAGCGCGCATTCTTCCCCTTAGAGCTCGGCTTCGATCCAGAACTTCCGCTGTCACTAGTTTGCATGCGCAAACTTGCTGTCAAGACGAATTGGCCAACAGCAGCACCGAAGCCACTGAGGAAAGCATTGAAGGGCTATTACACGGAAATAAACCATTAGCTGATACATTCTAATTGGCGCAAATCGAACAGTATGGACAAAAATAACCCAATGCACCGGGACAAATGACAGAGGGAACAGAAGGCCAAACGCCAGAACAATGTTATTAAACAGAGCTTCGACTTACGTAGTTTCCAGCTAGAACACAGTACAAGAACTGCAATCCACCAACGAGAATCAGGAATACCATGAAGGCATCTAGGAGGAGAATCCGTTGCGGGGTTGAGGATGCATATTGCTGCCAGACATGCTGGGCGATTTCAAAGGCTGAAGCATTGGTCTTCAAAGTGGCCGGACCGGAGGACAGTTTTGGTGTTGTAGGAGCGGGCGTGGGTGTGGAGGGTTCCGCGGAGGTAGTTGAGGCCGCGTGGCGCTTGGGAGCCATGATTTCGGGGTTTTAGCGTGGGAGGATGGTAGGGGGATGTAAGTAAGATTTGGAGAATTGGAAACAGGACAGCTGTTAATCGCCTCGAAAGTAATGCGCGAGGACGGTGGGTTGGAGGACAATGGCGGAGTGGAGGGTGATGGTTGATGCCAGCTTGGAGCTTGAATCTCCGTTATCACATCGGTCACGTGGTGGATAATATCCCGATTTGGAAGTATACAAACGAGCGATAAGAGATATATTTTGGCTAACAGATTTTAATAAAAGAACATTGAAGTGATGTACTGAATTCAGAATAGAAAGTTGATTGATTTTATTCTTTCTATTAGCTGTGCAATATTGTCGCGACAAAAGTCGCCGACGTGGTGAATTCACAAGAGAGGAGAGGAGTATAGAAACAGTTGAGAGGAGAGGGATATCATCCAGTAATCAAACTCCGTGAATCGTTATATCATTAACAAACAAAGTCTGGGTCGGAACATCAATCGCTTTATATGGGACAAGGTGTTAGGTATTGCAATACCACCAGGTTAGGCAAACCATCCAGTGACATTGCTTCCATTGGCCGGCTGAGAACTGTCCTTAGCAACATCCGATTGGAAATCGCGCATCACTCGGTCCCATTCCTCCCAGCTGAGTTGTGTGAATTCAGGAAGGGGTAGCTGGTTCACAAAAGGATTGCTCGTAGGAGTATTGTAGGACGGGCCAGAGGAGAGCTCCGGCGCCAAGACACTATTCTGGGTTGGTGGAGCATCGAAAAGATTGTTAGTTGGTGCAAGGAAATTTGTACCTGGGAATAGTTCCTGGAGAGCACTCAAAGGCCCATTGCTGAGGTTGATATCGAAGTCTCCGTTAAATGTGACCGGTGCATTTGAGGTTGGTTCATTTGTCGAATGTGGGCTCGGGATCCCCATAGACATATGGATCCGGGGAAGGGTGTAGTTATTATTGGCAAGTAACGTGTTGATGGGATCTGGGGAAGGGGGCAATGGCCCAACTTTGGAAAGAGATTCCTGCTGTTGCTTGGACCGAATTGCAGTGGCTCTTCTCATCAGAGCAGCGAGGGGTCGCCACAACATCCCTCTTTTATGTGTATCATGAGCAGCAAATGCAGTGTAGATTGAATTGACGGCGTTCCAAGCTCTATCGGTGACAGCGCTCATTGGGCGAACGCATATTTCGGATAAAACAAATGCAACTCCGTGCCATTGCATGTTAGTTCGAAACATCCACCCCCAATGGGCGGTCTTGGGATCGACCTCGATCAAATGGACAAACTCGAGGACTTCAATTGCAGTTATGAACAAACTCTCTCTAGTTTCTTGTGTCACACTTCCGCGGTCTTTGCGGGTCATTGGATGATGCACGATCAACCATAACTTAGCAAGGATCAATCGCCCAATGGTGGCGGAACACCACTGAATGGGGATGCTCATATTGCAGTGTCTAATGTACCGCTGTTCGCATCGATCACTAATTATTTCAATCATCCGCTCAGCGTATTCCACCGGCGGTAAGTCATTAGGTGAACGAAACTGGGCCCCAGGGCACACGTAGTTTGCCCGCCGCAAGGCACTCGTGATCTCACAACGGATAAGACAGAAAGTGGCATCTGTGCAGCCCTCTTGCTCTTTTGGGGGCTCCTCCATATCGGGTGTTAGGTCGACATCGTTGATATTTAACGGCAGCCGCGTATCATACATCCTCTCATCAATGAGTGGATCTGTGCCATGGTCTTCGGACGAACGGACATCCAACAGCGAGATATGCCACCATACCCGGCGCCGCATCTCAGTTTCGAAGGGTTTCAGGCCAAAGTTTGTACCGTCCCGGTGCAAACCTAAGCTCTGAGCAAGGCGTAAGACAATCGAGGTCATAGACCACACAAACTTGCTGTCATCTTCTCGTCGCACGCAGACCAAAAATAAAACGGCGGCTTGTAGAAGGACTAAACTTTGTGTGTTCAAGAACCCAGCTTTCGCCAATGCTTGCTCTGTAGCAAATCGATATCGCTTGACAAGAGTGGCACGGTCTTCGCCTAAACGGAACATGCATTCATCTGGGTTCATGCTGATCACGCTGCAAAAATACATGGCAAACACCAGGGCTTCCGAATTTTTGTCCAGAGCATCTGGTTGCCGTGCTGCCTGAGTAAATAGCTCTTGGGCAGTAGGTCGGTGTACAACGGTGATCAAAGGAGCAACATTTTCGCGATATGCTTCCCAGAGTATTGAGATCTTAGACTCTGCGGGATGAAACTCTTGGAGAGAGTGTGAAATGGAGTAAAACCCAAAAAGGAACCCGTCTTGCGGGCCTGAATGGGCAGACTCTGGCGAAGCTGCATCATCTTCGTCAGACGATGAAAGATCAAGGATATCCTGTAGCTCCTCGATCTACAAGATATCAGTACAGGGTAGACCGGAGTAGCACAAGCAAAAAACAAAAGATAAAAGAAAGATAATACCTCGTCTCCAAGACTAGACCAAAGCCGATTGCTCACGTATCGACTCCGGCCTTCATCAATGACCAACCGCCCAAACTCATTTTCGAACTTATCGGGAGCATGCTTTTTGGGGTCTGACTGTTCAAAAGGGCAACTCTCTTGGGGCTGCAGCTCAGTCGGGATAGATGCGGGCGCAACAGTTTCGCCTTGAGCTCGTGAAGACCCAATTTTAGGAGACGGCGCCTTAGTCGATGTAGTCGTTGGAATTTCCACACCGGCACCCTTTCTGAGGTGGTCAATCACACCCTCCAAACGGCGCAATCGCGAAAGAAGTTCTGTATCAGGTGACGATTTTGATTTCCGCGGGGCACGACCAGGAGGAGGAAAGACGCAATCGGTTCCAGTCCTGGTACAATTGGAGCATGGAGCTCTTTTATTACATCGGACCTTCCTGCGGCGACATGTCATACAGCTGCGGGAGCTTGAACTTGGAGGCTCCGAAGATCTGTAGTGGGGGGCGGTGGCGGTGAAGTTGCCAGGCAGCGAGGTATTGGGGGAATCATTGTTGACAGCCGAGAGGGTTTGCTCTGGGGAAACTGAAGGGGGTGACATAGTGCTGATATGGTGTGCTCGGGGTTCATATCCCTCATTCTTCGACGCCCCCTTATAATCCTAGCAGGAAAGAGCTTCACAACGTCTAAAATAGAGGAATTAGGTAGTAACCAAACGCGTGTATCATCGCGGAACTTTGAGAATACGAACACGACTCTATGACTCAGCCCCGCTTGTCCCGTTCAGGCGAATGGCCGAGCTGATACTCCGAGGTGAACAGATCCTCTGGCATAGTCCCATGGCAGTTAGCAAAGCTTGGACGACTTCACCCCCTTAGTAGATCTTGCTTACGAGGTATCACCCCGTGGGACCAAATCATCTAGTTTGCGTCTAGAGTCTTTGTAGACCACGGAGTACTCGTATCTCTTCTTTATCTTATTTTTTTCCAGGTCATCTACCTATATCTCTTCAATCTGCTGCGTCCCCGGGCGCTATAGTTAATACGGGCTTGCAGACTGATGACGTACATTAGTACAACCTCACCTGGAACTATATAAGGTCCATAACGGTCTAACGCCAAGCCTTCTTCTTCGGAGCGATCTTTCATAAAACCTCTGAAACTACAAATGAAGCAAAGATTGACCAGGGACGAGTCAGCCGTATTATATTCGAAGTATTAATATCACACCAAAGCCATTATTAACATATAAAGCCCTCCAATATACAATCAAAATCCCGAAGTAGGGTTGTCAGATAATTTCCCAAAAAGCAGCTGAGGCAGCCTGTAGCCGACCTGATCTGTCGGCCATGTCCTCTAGAGGCCAGACTTGGAAACGTTCCAGGGTGCATGGGGGCTATATACATCGGTATACGGGTTATTACCTTCCGAGTAACGCCTCCAGTTCTTGCATGTTCGCTTCCATGCAGGACCGGGCGATGGTATCTTGTGCTTAGATTCGAGGAATTGTAAGCCCAGACCCTCGCTTACATGAACCGCAATGTGGCAGTGCAGAAGCCAAGCTCCTGGATTATCTTTCTTGAATGCAATGACCACCCAGCCTCCTGAAGGTAGCATGCCCACGTCACGACGAGGAGGATTCGTGAAATCCAGGATGTCGATGTCCTTGTTCTTGTCGAATATTGCGTTCTCCTTTTGGCCAAGGATATACATGTCATGGCCATGTAAATGAATGGGATGGGGAATGGGTGGGAAGGTGGCAGCGCCGTCGGCTTCTTGAATAACCCAGAAGCTCCAGTCACCCTCTCTGGGGAGTTCGATGAGGTTCTGTGCAGATGCGAAGTCGGTCTTTCCGTTCATGAGATCCATCAAGACCGGCTTCTCAAAGTCGACTCTCATGGATGACCCATTGACCCTCCAAAGGACAAGGCCTCCGTCATCTACATCTGTAGATGTCGTGTCACTGACTTCCAGATTGACGACAGATGACAGGAACTTCGACTTTGGGAGGGTTTCCGCATTCAGAGGCTGGAGTGGCCAAGGCTCCATACAGTCTGAAGGCATCGTATATGCTGTGGAATTTGGGGTGCTCAGCTCTACGCCTCCGTAGTTGAAAATAGAAAGTGCAGAATTGATGGAACTGCCGAAACAAGCAGTCTCAGCAAAAGCGCAGAACCAGTAGTTTCCGGGTTTCTGATTAGCGGTGAAAATAACATCATAACGCTGCCCAATGGCAAGGATGAGGTGATCGACAGCGAGAGGCTCAACAGGCACAAAATCATTCGCAATGATGGTCAGTGAGTGATTGTCCAGAGAAACGCGGAATGCTTGAACATCCGTTCCAGCACAGCGGCACAGGTCACAATGTCGATGCGCGTTGATCGGCCGCAACAGATACTTCTTGCCAGGAATGAGCCCAGGTGTTGTAGCCCAGGAGCCCGTCATGTTCTGTGCGTCCTTATTGGTGCCATTGATGAGAATTGTGTTGGTGATCAGATGCTCGGTCGGAACATCGATCCCCTGGTTGGCCATTACAGCGTACAAGTCCATATCATCCGCAGTATCATAGAACCAGTCACCAAGCATGTAAGTTCCCAGATCGTAGTCATAATTTGCCGATGCAGGGCCATTGATTTTAATGGCACCCAGCATACCATTGGCTTACTGCGCACCCACATGCGAATGGTACCAGGATGTGCCGTACTGAGTTGCCCGGAGCTTGTAGGTCATTGAATCACCAGGGGCAAGTGGGCCTGAATCTTGATTAGTCTCTGAATCATTCTTCGGCATATAGAAAATCACGTACATTCGGTGATACCGGGCACGCCGTCCTCCACGTTGGTCTGGTACTGACGAAGACCGTGCCAGTGAATGCCCGTACCATTCCACTGCAGAGAGTTCTTGAGATTGACAACAATGTTGTCGCCCCAATCTGCTTCCGTTAGACTAGATTCATCTTCTCGGGTGTAATCTACTTACTTGCTTCAATGGTAGGGCCTGGGAATTGGCCGTTGACAAGCATACAAGTCTGCACTTCAACGCCATCTGGGGCACAGGTGGTATTGGTGACTTCAAAGTTGTACTACCTTTGTCAGAACATTGATGAATTCAGAAAAGGCGAGCCACTTACTGTCACAGTCTTCCCAGTTTTCGGCCAGTCAACGTCCCAATTAGTATCGATGTCGTATCCGCGGGACCACCGACCCCTATGCTGAGCGTCATTTTTTACAGCCGGCTTACTGGGCCAGACAGGGCGAGGAACAGGTTTCTTGGGGTGCGCGGCGGAGAGCGAGGTGAGTGCCAAAAGGCATGCACCGATAGCGCGTGAGAGATGCATATCTGCCAAACCGTGATCTTCAATTTAGGAACACAGTGTCACCGAATTGAGTCTTTGGGCAAGCACCAGGAGAACCAAATGTGACTACACTTCATTTCGAACAGCAAGGGCATCGAGATATAAGTACTCAATAGATTTCTAGATGGATACGACGCCACGCTACTGCCTCAGATTATTCCAGCTCAAATGGGGCAATTTGATCATCTCCAAAGCATGACTTGGGCTATCTTTCCCGATTCTCATTTCCGGTGGCCCAGAGCGGTATGGTGTACCTCAAACGTTGCGTCTAATATTTTCGTGGCGTTCGAGAATATTGGGGTATACGGAGTATAGTGAGTGGAGCATAAGGCTCAAAAGCCTCGAGACAACGATCTTTAGGGTAAGTTGAAGCGATCGGTAACCTTCATACTCAATATAATCTCAACATGAAAAAAAATCATTCTGGTGGAAGTTCAAAGGTACAATGCTGGATTGGTAGAAAAGGATGACAGGCTTCTGGATCAAGAACCAGGTAACGACTATTCCCCTGGTAATAATTAGCGCAGCTAGTTCGGCTATTTGGGAGATTTTTTGATTGTTGTTTATAGCCCTAGATGATCAGAGAGGTGAAGATGGATGATATTCAGCTATCTGAGCTAACTGCTAAGAAGGAGAGGGAAGCCTGACTAACTAGGCACCCCATGGGTGTCGCAACACTAACTTACCCATAGGGAGCTCTCTAGCTAGATTCAGTAGAGTTTCCTATGGGTAATTTAATCTAACGCAACAACTGCCCCGTAATAAACTGGGTCTGCCTTGAATTCCGTGGCCATATATTCGAGCACCAAATTACCCTCAGCTTCTAAAACATACAATTGCATGCTAGATGCGTTCGCTTTGAGCTCAACACTTAGTAGTAAATACGCACTATCACCTTAAGCAGCTGCGATATCGATACACATAGTCCTCTGGATGGGAATGTCCGAACATTGTTATGCTCTGAACTTGCACTGGATAAACCATACAAGAACTCGCCGGAGTGCACGATGCGCGCGAGATAGCATAAAAGCGGGGTAACCCATTGGCCACTTGGCATTTCCTCCTTGAGGATTGAGATAGGGGGTTCTTTTTGGTTCACCTTCGGTCTCGCTTACTTTGGAAGGCGGGAGGACCTTCCAGTATACGTGATCCCCATGGGGAAGCGGGGAATCTAGACGAGGCATATGGCTCCCGGTACCCCAGACCCACCGGCTAGTGGAGCCGAACCGACTGGGCAGCGAGCGGGAAGCATATTAGCGTTTGGCATGTTTGCAAGCGTTAGGGCCTTTTCCCTGCGCGATATCACCTGGGAGTACGCTAGGGTGGCTGCGCCAAGTGCCGTACGAGTCTTGTGCAATATTCAATTTGCCTCGTACACATACGATGGGCCCTGGTTGATAGGTTCCTTTCTAGGGTCCGAGAACCATTGGCTGCCCAAAACGCCAAAATACACCAAGTAGTTTGAACGCCACAGAATATATTTGACGCAACAAATATGAAAAGGTATACCCCTCTAGGCTCTCGGAAAGGAGAATCGGGAAAGATTGCAAGAGCCATGCTTTTGAAAGGTCGGTATTGCCTAGTATACTGAATAAGTTCAACATTAGAGGCAGGCTCAACAACAGCAGAGATTCCCTTGCCGACGCATGTATCAAAATTTCCAATGCTGCCAGAAATCCCTTCCTCCCCAGAGTGAGCTGTTTCAGTCTTGGATTTAGACAGGATAGCACGGCCGATGGGATGCTCGCTACCCATTTCAGCAAGTCCAAATATCATCCACCATAACTGACGCCTCCAGCCATTTGTCGTCCAGTGCGGCTCAATCAAGACCTGATCCACGCTCATATGACCCGCCGTCAAAGTACCGGTCTTATCAAACACCACATGGTTGACCTTGGTGGCGGCTTCGAGGACGGCACCTCCCTTGATAAGAATCCCATGTTCTGCACCCACCCCGGTACCAACCATGACGGCAGTTGGTATACTGAGCCCCAGACCACAGGGACACGCGAAGACGATGACCGAAATACATAGTTTCAAACAGACCATGATACGACCACCGCTATCCTCGGACTGGAACACTAGGGGTGGATTGGACAAGACATGGCTCAGAATCATCCACCGAAGGAAGGTGGAGAGCCCAAGGCCAATAATGGTCTGAACAAAGTAGCCGGAGATTGTGTCAGCAGTACGCTGGATAGGGGCGGGACTAATCTGCGTATCCTGGACCAATCTCAAGATCTGGCTGAGCTGGGTATCTTTGCCGGCTCGAGTAACCTTGAAGTCAATTGCACCTGTACTATTGATAGTACCAGCAATGTTATGGCTACCCTCAGTCTTGAGAATTGGTAAAGCCTCCCCGGTGATCATGCTTTCATCGGCATAACTCTCGCCTCGGATCACTACTCCGTCCGCCGAGACCTTGTCGCCGGGACGGAGAATGATAATGTCACCGGCTTGTATCAATTCAGTGAGGATAATTTTCTGACTCATTGCAGTATTCTCCGACAATCCTGAGGTACCCTCAACTAATCTCTCGGCTGCGATAAGATCATCCCAAATAGTGGTCATAGATGGGGCTAGGGACATAAGGCGAGATAGAGCAGCAGACGTCTGTCCTTTGGCTCGATTTTCCAACCATCTTCCTAGCGTGACAAATGTGATGAGCATCGAACTGGTATCGAAAGCCGTACTGGGGCGCTTATGGTGATCTTCAAAGATAGCCACTATCATGGTAAAGCAACTGTAGAATAAAGCTGCAGATGTACCGTTAGATCAGTGCCAATGATTCCCTAGAACTTAGTGCTAGGATTAGGCTCATTAGACCACGAGCCCCCTACGGCATCTGTGGATGGCAATATATCATGATAATATGTACTCCGTACATAGACTGCGGAAAGGAAGAAGTTTCGTGAAAGCAAGAGACATGGAATAAACCGCAGTGACATGGTAGGTGCGGCCAACCGATGTGCGAAGTACGGCTCCTCACTCCGTACTCCCCAGACGAGTGTGGGTTAGCGAATCAGCCTCTGTCAAATGTAACTTTCTATATCACTCTCTCCACGCGGGTTTCGATGGAGAAGCGGGGAGGTTTGATTTACCTCAATTACCCCAGAGCCCAAGAGCCCCACCGGGGCTCTAGACTAAGTCGGCTTCGGCTTCGCTTTCGCATATTAAGACCGAAAGCAGGCCAGCCGTTTTTTATTTCATTTGCAGTGTTTGCTGTGGCTTTGGTTGACTTTGGGGGCTTGAAGCACCCTTTGTGATTGGTCGAGTCAGAAGTTTGCTTGACACGCAAAGACGATCTTAGTCAAGCTTATTCTTGCTTTGACTGCAGGGCTGCTAGTCCATAATTTCGATGATCCACAATCATTGTTGACGCCATTTTGGTATACAAGCTGGCTTTTGATATCACTAGGAAATTGAGTATAGCCTTCAGAATCATCAATGGGCGCACGCTCTTAACTTTTCTTAACTTTTCTCCTCAGTCTAGATCCTCTGGGAACATCCCGAAAAGATCGACTGACGCAGATACAATCCATCGATTTCACCTTCACCATAACAAGGGGTACTCAAAGTAAATTGCTGGGACAGAGCAGGATGGCAGTGGCGTATTGGTCCGCAATGAATCCCACGTGGGCAGAAAACAGAAGCACTTCCTTGTGATCAGCTCGATAGATTAAACGGGACGCGACTGGTCTAGAGTCTAGGGATTGCGAGCGTGTGATAGGCCAGCTCGTGATAGGCCGGATGGGGAAATTCCTTCTGATCGGGAGGTAGTTATGGACGACGAATCGCTTAACTGGAATGGGTTTGAAATCAATTTTCTTCCTTTTGACGGGTGGTAAATAACATCATTTCCGGGGCAGGCGATCACTAGTGCTCCTGGTGTGAGCTCAATCTCCGTGGATATCCTTGATAATAACCAAATTCAGTAAAGTATTCTCGTAGCAAATGTTCTTCTTTCTGGGGTCACAGAATGATTGGCTGCTGATGGAACTAGAGGACGCCACCGGCGACTGGATGACGCGTACGATGGCGGGGCCCCAGAAAGAAGCTTGGAACTGACAGTTACCAGGGGCTGGCCCATGCATACGAGGGGGCGTGTATCTTCTGTAGGGAACTGAATATCACGGAAAACATGTACGGCAGTTGAATCGAGAGCGGCTTTGGTATGGAGTATATGAAGCTAACATGGCGCACTATTTTGAACTGTGGAAGTCTATGAGATATTGGTTAGACATCGAGGTCAAGGGCCATCGCTGAATTGAACCATCAGTCAGCTTGAACTCTTCCACATCAATTATTGAGCATTGCTCCGTGCATTATACATCATGGATCAAAATCTCGATCCTGAGGCAGGATGCGCCCTTTCCATATATCGCCATACTCTATCCGCGTCGTTGCGGGCTAAGTAATTTGGCAAAAGGTATACTAACTTGAAACTGTTGCCTAGGCTGTTCGGGAGCTCGAGGCCGAGCTCCATACGGAGATTTACCCAGGAACGGAGATCATGACTGACACTGGAACCCATCATTTCGTCAAAGCATCAGGTGGAGGATATGCTGTGTTGGTGCCGCAGCCTAGCGATGATAAACATGATCCATGCGTGGCCCCGTGTCCTGGTGAAAAGATTGGTGTTTTTCACTAATTCTACCATCCAATTCCTCACTACCACACGAGCACCCAGGTAATTGAATGTCAAGTTCCCCAAGCCGCGGCGGCGGGTGTGAAGGAAACATGCGGCGCCAGGATGCATCTGGGCGCAAAATTGCCTCTCTTCTGTCCTCAAGCCAGTACCAGTCCTGCTGGAGCAAGTTTTCGATGCCGTTGGCGGAATGTGGAAGGCGCTGTACTAAACGTGTGCCGTGTTCATTGTCATCAACCTTGCCGTAGTCGAGAGTTATGAGGTTTCCCATGAACGGTGGGAATATCTCCAGCAGAAGCGGGTTGATCTCTACCGCTAGGTTCTCCTGTGACTGCGGACAGATGCGAGCTGGTGTGAAGAAGAGCTTGTTCTGTAAAGTCGGGGAGCTGAGAATGATGTCGTTCCATCGGCGACTGACTCTTTGGGCCAGGAGGAGTTCCCGCATGTCAAGATTTATAAGGATACGTTCCACCAGTTCTGGTAGGAAGAAAACGTAGCTGGTCATGATTGTTTTGATGAAACGAGATGGGCTTGAAATTTTTATTGCGTCTCTAGGGTGCGTTGATGCCTCCAATAATGCTGAATTATCTGAAGATTAAGAGGTCAGCCAGAGATATGGACGGAGGATGAATGCTGAAAAAGAAAAAAAAGAAAGGATTTCGTGCGCACGAAGGCTGGGGCTCGAGGTACAGCATCTGACGCTAAGCCTCAGGTACACACCCATCATATAGTCCGTCGCCCCCCAACCTCATATGAGTCATTATTTCAATGTTCGATTTGAGACACCACGGGCGCGTAGTATGGAAGATATAGAAGAAAGCAGTTTCAATATTTGCATATACCCGCCGAGCACAAAGACTGCAACGTGCTATGGACAAAGTCTCCATATCTGCGATCAACATTTCACACCCCGGATACACTATGATCAGCTTCAAAAGAGACTATCTAGTAGATCAACTGTGCCATTTCTTATTCAGTGATTTGAAGGAACTATTGTATAAGAGACCTGCCGCTCTATCTTATGGCTCTGTCGGGAATCTCCAGATCCCAATAGTAAACCGTGACACACACGCATGAGCCCAGTGGCCAATGCAACTATACGAACAGGAGGAATGTAATTAGACGTGTGACTAATGAATTCAGCGCTCTTTCGACTGAAGCACAGGACTTTGATCTATTTATATAAAGCACAGAGAATTGAATGACTCAAGTATAGTAAGCCCCCCATAATTCATAAGTATAACACTTATCCACGGATGGCTCTCACGTTTCAGGCTCCCAGATCTTGGTGTCTTCGTTGAAGTTATGACTAAAATCCAATTAGCTCACAGGTTTAACATGATGTAAGCCTATATGGGAGACTTACCCAGAAAAGTTCGTCTGAGAGAGTGCATTAGCCCCATACTCTTCTTCGAGAATGTATGTATAAGCGTATGGGACTTTGACTGGAACACCTTCAAACAGGCTATCACGCAGCGGGAAGAGGTCACTCTCCTATATTTGATCTGTTAGTGAGAATAAAAACACAGTCTTTGAAGATAACCTACCTCGTAACGATGCTTATCCTTACACATTAGAGCTCCAGGATGACCATTGCCCCGCATATTCTCATCCTTATAGACAGCAGTGATATCAATGAAAAAGCCCGATGACTTATCAATCCAGCGGGCATCAATCTTGTTCGCAGTATCTTTCTCCGATTTGACGACATAGTAGGGGTTGACCTCTAGCACATACGTGCGGCCGCCCTCAACGCCGGGAAGGTCAAAATGATGCTCAGTTACGTTATAGTAATCTGCCAAGAAATGGATCGTTGCTTCTGAGACCTGCACATCTAGATCGCTGTCCCATGGGAAAATCTAAACACCTGGTTAGTGGGGTGCTTTTCACCTGGGAGTTCGGCGTATTTCACCTTCTGGTTCCACCACCAAGCTAGGAGTGTTCCGTGCATGATCCACGTTTCTGCGCCGATGGCATTCATGGTCTTAAAGTAGGTCTGGACCAGAGGAGACAGATATTGGATGACTTCTGTGTTTGTGAGATTGGCATTGAAGTATCTAAGAAGGTTTAGTACATCTGGCTTGAATAATAGGGAAAGGACTTACCGGCTGTCGCGATGAGATTGAAATCTGATGTTGCGGGTTTGTGGTTAGCGTTGGACATCTCCGTTACCATTCAATTGATATTCGACATACTCTGACTCCTCTGTGGATATTCATGCTTGAATTAGTCAAGATTCCACAAAAAGCCTTAATAACCATACAGACAAAACTCTGAGATTGAACATCAACATTTGCGGAAGAATTTCACTCACGGAAATATTTGGTGGTTGGTATCTCGCGTACACTTTTATACTCTCTTGTTACATTTTTCCGCACGCTCATGAAATGGATGTCTGTGTGTCCGCAGACCCTAGAGATGGCCGTTGCCAACAGCAATCCATATAGCCATAGCATGGCCTGGGATGGAGAGCGCATCCTATGCCGAATATCCAAATTAAGCCTCAAGCCCCGAGTTATGAGAGGTACAACGTCAATGATCCGGGGATTGGTTCGACCGGTAATACACTTCCAAAAGAGAAAGAATTCCCGAATATCACGCAGAGGGTGGCAATCTACACTTCTTGAGAATGAATGGGGCCAGCTAAAGAGGAAGTGTGGGAAAAGCAATAGGAAAAGGACCCGGAGACTGGGGCAAAGACTGGGGAAGAATATGAAAAGCGGATGCTACCAGGAAACATTTATTACGGCTAGTGACCTATGTATATAGGCGAAAGGCTTGGTATTCGGAAGCCAACAAGCCCCGTCGAGCAGAGAGCAATGGCAGTTAGACCAGCCAAGGCCGGTGCATCCGTGAACCGGATCAGCAAAGTCTGCGCCGTTCCGCCACCAGTTTGCCCCACTTCACAAGCAGCTTGTCGAGACGCGTGGATCGGAGCTCATCAGGGAAGAAAGAGTTCGCGTCGGGACTCTGATTAACTCTTATATGACGCCTAACAGCATGGTGGCTGGTAGTGGCTGACCAGGCCGTGCACTCCTCGGATGCTAGATCTGTGGGCGTCCCTCACGAGACCACACTGAGATACTTAGCTTCTGTCACTATCAAGTGGCAGAGAGGATATCATCCGGTTATACGCGTCCTTCCCAATAATAGTATCCTTCTAGGATGGCTGGCCGCTGTTCAGCCCGCATCTTCAACCAGACGACCTTGGGAATTGAGGGAGCTGGTATGTACAAGGTTCGAGTGGACAGCCTGATGCTCCACCAAGGAACCGATATCACATTCGTCAGCCACAACATACATACCTCAGCCAACTAACAATTGAAGCTGTCTGGTCCGCCAGGGATTCTGAGGCTGAGCCCTTGTTCTGGAGCAAGCAGGTCTGGAGAAGCTCAGTTCAGACATCTCCCGACATCATTGACACTGTGGCTATGTCTCAGCGACATGCCAAAACTTCCCAATATGCATATTAACTAGAACAGCAAATACGGAGCAGAGAACAGGTAACAGAGAACAGAGAACGAAGCCTTCGGGAGTCAAACTGCATATCCGCAATAACCAGCACCGAGTACGGAGTAATCGTGGCTCATTCGGCAATAACCGGCGAGAGCCTGCACGGCATGATCCTCTGACGAATCAAGCCCGACTGCGCACCAAGTAAGCTTTTATAACAGTATGCAATGATTGCTCGATGCAGATTTCCCGAACCCGAGTTCCGATCCGAATCAGTACGTGGGACCACCACAGGACTTGGCAGAATGGTGTCTCGGAGTTCTTCACATCCTCACCCGAAGCCGCGAGTGGGTCGGATTTATTCTCCGAGAGTTGTGCGACCGGGAAGAACGCGAACTGGTCTTTTTCGCAACATCGAAAGATCATTCCCAAGGGCTCCTCCAGGATCGACGTCCTTTTGTTTCGAACGTTCCACCCGGCATACCGAGACGACCCAGCGCGTTCCAGTTCCAAGGGGCTAGCCGGCTCCTCTATCACATGCTGGGTTATCCACTTGCTGCCCAGTTGTGGGTATAGGTACGGAGTACGGAGGACGGAGTACCAGTTGTGCAGCTCGGTAATGCGCCATTGGGACGGACTCCGTGGTGGATCAGGAAAATTCGGATTGAGTTTTGCCAATATGTTTGAGAGACTTTGTGGCTCTTCTCTGTCCTGTCCATTGAAGTCAATGGTACATTAGGTATGAACTGGGATTTCTACTTGGGGGCTTATGCAGCATAAGTTTTCCGGCGTTCGGGGTATCCGGGCAATTGGCCGATGTGCCAGGGGTAGTTCACTTTGCCACACTCGACTTTCTATATCTTATATGCCAAAAGGACGATATTTGGATATTGGCTTCGGCCGATAGTCTTCTCGTATTATGGAGGCTCGTAGACTTACGGAGTAACAAGTACATAGTAACAAACACCATGAGCCGATTTGGGCAATCGGTCTTAAGTGTCCGAGAATAGGCCAAGTCCCCAATCTAGCAGTGGAGTGAGAGTTGGCGCAATGATTCGCTAGGTTTAGCTTTAGTCTTTCACTCTTCGTCCATCGCGGCCTCCTCATTCGATGTCGCAGTTGCTCGTGTAGTCCCCTCGGACACCCTCGTGCCTGGTTATCCCTAATCCAGCCACCGAGGCACACGGGGGAGTACAGAGGACGGAATACGGAGTACGGAGTACGGAGTACGGAGTACAAGACCCTTATATTAATTGTGCAGATACCTCATTAGATCTGCTGCCTAACTCCATGGAGGTTAGGAGTAATGTGGCACGGTGTCTAATAAGGGACCTAGGGGTGAGTCTACCCCATAGAATCACAAACCATCCTGACACTTGGCGTGGAGAGACAAGGATCTTGATCCCCTGGGCGATTTGGCTACAACACGTACCCAATATCTTTAAGCTTCGAATCATTTTCGTTTCTCACATGATTATGCCAAGCCAGTGCTGGATTTCTTGTTCATCTTAGGTTTGTGGTGTGCAGAGCAGCTGGGTGATTCTCCTGCCGGATATTTTTCGTCGTGATTGCTCTTTCATGTTGCCCCGGAGCCCATTGTCAAATTCCCATTCGAGACCATGAGTCCAGATACGCAATAATCTCTACTTCGGACATACCTTTTTATTAATCCTGGTCTCACCGCGCCTCAAGAGCGCCATTGCATAGTCTACAGGGAATAATTACCGTTCTCTGCGGGTTGGCATGTGTATGCATGTGAATATGACAGAGACTTCCTCCACACCTCAAGGGGATTCAGGCTCCCTACAGGCATCAGCGCAGCAGCTAAACCGGTCCTGCGAGTCGTGCCGAAGCCTTAAAGTCCGCTGTCTCCCGAGCCCAGCCACGCCGAATCAGTGCCAGCGATGCGCTAAGGGTAAACGGTCGTGTATCTTCGTGGCGCCGCAGAGACGTCGGCCCCGCAAGCGGACGGACTCGCGGGTCGCGCAGCTGGAGAAGGAGATGCGGGTGATGCGTTCGTTGTTGAAGAACCGCATCCCCGAAGAAGACGAGCCGGACTTTGACGATGAGAGCGAACGGGACGATCAGGATCATGATTCCACTGATGTGGACGTCAAGCCCAGCGTTGGCTTGCGGGAGCATTCGGCTCCCTCGTCTGATGATGTCCGCTATGTGGATTATTCCCCTGAACTGCTGAATACCACGAATTCCGGTGCGCCCGACGGCGGGACATTTCCAGCGCCGTCGGCATTCGCAGCTGAGAAGGAAAATCCCCCGGCGCCGGACGTGATTGATCGGGGGATTATCTCGCTCGAAGATGCAGAGCAGCTGGTCGCGTATTACATCCATGAATTGGTGTCTTTATTTCCGTTGGTTGTCCTGCCCTCAAACACCACGGCAGCGCAATTGCGACAGACAAAACCAGTACTCTTCCTCTCTGTGATCGCTGCCACAGCCATATGCGTCGATGCAGGAGTGGCAGCCGTGCTTAACCGAGAGATGGTCCGTCTGTACGCGGAACGGTTCTTCATCGAAGGCGAGAAGTCACTAGAGTTAGTACAAGCGTTGCTGCTCATGATCATATTTTATCTCCCTCCCGCTTCACCATTGAAGCTGCAACTTTATCAGTACACACATATCGCCTCGACAATGGCGCTGGAGATCGGGTTAGCCAACAAACGCCGTGTCTCGAATAAATCCGACCGGAAGGGCAACAAGCAAGATCCATACGATATGCTATTCGCCGAGCAGGCGAGAGCAGTTCTTGGTTGCTACCACCTTGGCTCGAGTGTGGCGATGAAAACCCGTCGACCAAATTTGCTGCAGTTCAATGACTGGACGGCAGAGTGTGTCAAACACCTAGAACGCTCGCCACACCGAACAGATCAGCGTCTGGCGATCTGGTTCGAGCTCCAGCGGATAACCGATGAAGCAATGTCTTCATTTGGTCTGGATGATATCAGCACCGGCTCACCTCTAACCGAGTCACGCGTGCAAGCCGTGTTGCGTTGGTTCGACAAGCGGATCGAGACATGGCGGAAGAACATCCCGTCAGAAATGCTGACCGGTAAGAACATGCAGTCCCGTTCGTTTTCGTTGTATCTCCAATACTAACCGTCCCTTTTCCACCAGTTTCCATGATTCTCGAATACCGCTTCACGACACTAGCCATGTACGAACTCGGCGTAGGAGAAGGCTATCGCGACCCCGACGCACTAAAACGCCGATTCTTCACGCTGCCTACTCTCGACGAAGAAAGCGGCAGCAAGCAAACTTCCCACGCCCCACTCAGCGCCCTCCGCATTGACATCAACGTAAAATGGATGAATGCCGCACATGAGCTCCTAGACGCCGTGCTGAACTGCAGCACAGACATGATGCGTAAACTCCCGAATCTCATATACACCCGATTCGGGACGGCAGTAACATCGCTGCTGAAGATACATTTCTCCGTGCGAACCAGTACGCTCGGGGAAGTAGTTACGCCGCAAACAGTGAACGTGGCGTACTACCTCGACGCCCTAGCAAACAAACTAGACGAGGCAAGCGGCGGGGGCAAATACAAGATCCCCGCGCGGTGGTACCTAGTCATTGCCGTTAAGGGCCGAGATTGGTATGACCGACTGGAAAGGCAACAGAGCGAGACAACCGACGCAAGCTCGCGCACAGGAGTCGGAGTTAAATCCGCAAGTTCGTCCACATGCACCGCAGAATCAATATCAGGAACAGCATCGGGCCCAGCATCCCTGCCCTCCCAGGGTCAAAGCCAGGACACACATATGGATCAAACGCCCACATCAACAATGGACTCATTCTCGGTCTCCATGGCCCCAATCCCACAGGGAATCGACAACATGCGTGACGGGTACGGAGCAATGAATGGAGCAAACATATGGCCCATGGATGGCGGCCACGGCCATGGTCATAGTCCGCATTTCTTCGCCATGGACGCAGCAAGGTATCAGTCTTCTCCGGTACATCCGTTGGCGACATTACCATCCCAATTTGCGTATGGGCCGCAGAGGATGCCAGCTGGTGGTGGACGACAGATGGCGGGTGCGGGCGTGGAGCTGGATGGGTGGCTCCCTAATGGGAGCATTTTTGGAATGCAGCAATTGCCTGAGTTCTGATATCAAGGCAGCGGTAATTAATGCTTGTTTATGTATAGCCACATATCATCTGTGTATAGTCTTAGCATGTTGACGTGTAACACGAAAGGATTCTAGCTGGAACAACGAGATCAGGATTCATACCCTCGGGCATTGTTGATCGTAATAGGAGAGATTGATAAGGTGAGCTAGAAGAAAATAAACCCCCTTAAGACGCCAAATTCAATAGACGCCAGTATGGAGCAAGGCTGTGACAAACTTGAGGAGGGAAGATGTATGCCAAACCCAGCACAAGTCGAACAAAAGGAAAGAATCAAGCAACAGAAGAAAAGAGAAACCAACCCCCAACAGTCGGAATAATATCTCAATCCAACGGAGATTATCGTATTTACCCCATTCAATCCAAAGGATCAAATGCCGACATTCACGCGGTCGGGGGCTCGGGAGAATCGGAAGTTCCGCGATTAAAGAGATCCGTGAGGCTTGGAGAGTAAGTCTTGGTAAATATTAGGGCTCGGACCGTTCATCCAGTCCGACTTGTTGGGGATGGGTCTGCTGTGGGCTCATTGGGGCTGTTTATTCCTGGGTCTTCGTATTGGCGTTGGGATGTTCGCCTTCTACCGTGCACCTGATCCGAACGCGAACCCGAACCCGAATTGAGTTATGAATTTCAACTTGAGCATCGCCTTGGGGGGCATGTACGTTACTGTAGAGAATCGGGAGGTTCAGTGCTCGGAGATAATATCTGCTATGGTATATATAGTGTACGGTCACCTCTATATCTCGCGACTTTAGCCTGTTTTATGCTCCTTTATTTGGACCGGATATCGGACTCGGGATTCAGATAGTCGCCAGTACTTAAGCAAATCATTATTCATTAAGGAAATAATCATAGTGGAAACATCAGATAAATCGGCCAGTAACATACATAGATCACCGGATATCAAAAGTCAGGAACCAGAACCAGAACCAAGGAAAATTGGCTTCTTCGACTCCAAGGGAACACCACAGGACCAATGTTCAGAACCCGACCCAAGGAGAAAGCGCAAAGAAAAGAAATGCCATCATAGAATTGAGAACGCCTCTAAGGCATCCATAAACCCAGCAATAGCCCCAATACCCGCCAGCCCCTTCCCGGCGTTGCGAGTCAATGTTTTATGTCTATCCCTGGTATCATCACGGGAGGAACGGTGTGAATACGACGACGGGGATCGTTGGCCCGAACGAGGCGGCGAGGCTCGGAAGCCCGACTCGGGGAATGAAGCAGAGATTGGGTAGGAGGATGGATGGGGGCGGGGTTGAAGCTTGTTGGGGTTTGTGTTATATGCTTGGGCTCGGGCCCAAGGATCCTCGAAGTGGACTTGGTTTGGCGACAGGCCTCTGGGAGAAGATCCGGTATGGGGGATCGGGATGGCTTGGTGCCTGGATTGATTCATGTTCATTGGAATGGATCGGGGAGCTGTGGGGTAGTCTTGATTTGGGTGGGATCTGTATGGTGGCTGGAGAGGACCATGAGTCGCACCCGTTTGAGGGTGTGATGGAAGCGGAGGACCGGGAAGAGTTTGTCCTGGGGGTGGAAAGCTGCCGCTAGGATATGTATAAGATCTGCTATCTGGATTGTTGTAGCTTGCAGAGCTCCTGGATGAGAGGCTGTTGGAGTGAACACGCCGGCCGTGCATTGAACTGCTATGAGAGGGCGGAAGAACATCAGATCTTTGCTCCTCCTCATCGCTAGAGTCTATGACCCTTGAGTCACTGCGGGGATTGCCCCGGTGCTTGATGTATTCATCGGACTCTGGTTCGCTTTCTACGTGAGCCTGGTAGCCGGAATATCTTCGGCGTAACTCTGCTGCATGCTGTCGGGCTGCTTGTGAATGAGGCTCTCTCCAATCCTTGGTCTTTCCTTCAAGGTAGTAGCCTCGAATTTCGTGACCGTCAAGGTCTAGCTCTTCGTTGTCATCTCCTTCGTTATCTGAGCAGATGTACACTCGGGCCTGGCCTAAATTGTTGGGTGTGTTCATGTCTTTGTTGGCGCGATGAAGTTTCAAAGTGTCTGCCAGAGGAACCCAAGCTGAAAGCAGCTGGTTCAGTGCACTCTCAGATAGCTGTACCATATCCTTCGGGGATCTCTCCATATCACTCAGCCCTAAGTCACTGTCACCCAAAGTAACGATGGGAAGCCTTGTCAGATCCGAGCCTCTAGTCGCAGTAACTAGTGGTTTGGATGCCGAGGCTGTGTTGAACGAGTAGTTGGAACTGATTTTCTGGTTTGTTAGGTCCTTGGCAGCATCGAGGTCTTCCTGTTCCACGAGATCCCACAGGCGATCGAGTCGCTTAACGGACCAGTACCTGACGATGATCATATTCTGAGACTCCGCTTTCTCCTGGGCAATGGTATCATCAATGGCAGATGACAGAGAGTCCGTATCAATCCCATCGTCCACGTTGGATTTGATGACGTTTCCAAGCTGCAGAATTCGCATCATCACAATCAGGCTGAGTTTGAGGGCTTCCAGCTGGGCTAAGAGATAAGTAACGTGCTGCTTCCGGAAACACCACTTGAGTCTTTCGTGGAGGGGTATTCTCATAAGATCAGGGTCTCTATCAGTTGCCTTGAGCTTGTCCAGCATGTGTTCGATTTCAATAAAGATCATTTGGCCCTGTCCAGCGATCTCCCAAGCCTTTTCTGTTGCCTCGGGGGACTGATCCACTTCGGTACCCTCGATAATCTGCCCGACAGTTTTGAGAATGAGAGCAAAGAGCGAGATTCCCTTGGCGATGCTATGGATTTCTATTCTGGACTGAGCCAGTTGACACGCAGCAGCGTTGAGAAGCAGTGACAGCCGGAACCCCGCGCCGGCAATCTTCACAATGGATGTCTGAGAACCTTTTGGAGACAACAAATGAACTCGTTAGTCTTGTCTCTTGACTTGTCTGGAGGAGGCATACCTTGTGCCATGATGAATGCTTTGGGAAGTTCAAGTCAAAGAGACATGAAACGAAAGACTTGGAACCCGCCCGTTGTCATTGATTAAAGCGTAGACTCGCACGCTAAAGGCCAGAGCCGCAACCTTCTCGGCAGATATCAAGTGACTCACGGTCTGACATGAACAAGTCTGAGCCACTCGTTTGTATCCCCGCGGCTCATGGCGTCATGGCTTCTACATTCTCCCTTCCTCGTTGGTTGATCGGGGCAGGCGGAGCTAATCTGCAGCTAGAAATAATCTAGCGTCTTGCCTTCCTTGATGCTATACAGCAAATGTGCGATCTTATACGCAGACCTGGGCAGAGGTGCCCGACCGCACTGCCCCGGGTCTTGCCACAATCGACGTTCCACGGCGTGTTCGGCCTCCTTTGTTTCGTTGTTTAAACAAGGACCAGCTTGCTCATGTCTTGTGATGGACTGTTGTTGCTCTACGAGAGGTCTTCGGATATGAGAGGCCCCGATGTTGTTCACCCGGGTTTTTCGGGCCATGCAGGGTGGCAAAGCGCTCGTATTCTGAAGGATTCAAGTACGTGACAGACACCCTTGAGAAACTAATATCAACAAGCTCCGATATATCCGGGTACTTTTGTCTTGAGGCTTTGGTGAGTCGGGAGGAAAAGCAAGTCACAAACCCGGGGACGTGCAGCTATTCCCAGGTGGATACCTCCAGCATTGACCTGTCGAATGTGAAACCGCTGCAGTGGCAGAAAGCACCCCGACTCTACGGGATATAGTACATAGAGAGTGTAGAGAGAGCGCATATGGTTTGGAGATAGTATTTAGAAGAATAGGTAGTATAGCTGTTTTCATTCAGACTGTGTTTATTTAAAAAATATCGGGTCTGACGCATTTCCGCTTTCGGGCCCTCAACAGTTCCTTGTTAACCTCCTGCCTACTTTATCTCTCCAGTCACCCGCACTCTAATTACATATTGCTTCAATTCGAACTATAGCGTTGTGTTCGTGTCGTCGCTGTGCCATCCAATTGACTTTCCCGCATTCTCGGCCCCTCCAGCTCCTTTTTCGCGTGGCCACTGATCGTCATCTGCGGAGATTGCCCCAGCCTGTCCGATGACCAGATAGTGGCCCACCATCGGGGTATCTCGCGATAAACCAAACGCACACAGATAATCGTGGAGAGAGCTCAACGCAATAATCGCGAGGCCGGATGGGTGAGCTCCCGAAGGTGTTGCGAAGGAACCCGAGGACGCAAGGGACAACTGGGATTCGATACACCACCCGTCTTGGGGCCAGGTGCCTCCAGTCCATGAGACCATGACCGCAACTCCAGGTGTCACCATAGACACCTCCGACCGTCCTATATCCTCCCCGCCGAAAGCCCGCAATTCCTCCGAACAGCCCCCCTCGACCAAGGGCGACTCCCCCACAAATCAGAATGCGCAAGAGACAGAGAGCTCAGCGTCGCAACCAGTCAAATCTGAACCAGCCGCAAACATTCCCGAACAAGAAACCCCGCACTTGGACGAACTAGATGACTTCGGATTGCCCATTCGACCACGCAGACCCCACCCCACCCCCAGCGAGTCTTCCGACAGGGCAGAGACCAGCCAAAATGCCCAGAAGAATGTGGCTGTGAGCCCAGCGGAATGTGTTGATACTGGGAAGCAGGCGAGGGAGCCAGAACTGCCACAGGAGGAGGCAGTGCCTGTGGCCTCTACCCCTGAGCCAGCTAATCTGAATAACAAAGAAGAGCAAGGCAAGATTCCAGAGGCGCAGGATGCTTCTCCTCCACCCCCACAATATTCACCAGCATCCGGTACTCTGGATAAGCCTCGGATTTCGACGTCGAAGCAACGACCTGCCCAAGTGTCAGAATGGTCGCACCAGCGCCTCGCGCAACCCGATGCACATCACCCCGACAGTGAAGAGTCGGAACAGGAGCCAGATGAATGGCAATCGATGCCTGCCCTTGGGGAGTTTGACTATTACGACGACTACGGGAGACTCATTGTTCGTGGCGCCAAAGTAGAAGACGACGAGGCTGTATATCAAGGATTAGGAGGCGCAGGGCGGGGCTATACTCGGGTGCAACTCGACGAAGATGCTCAGTCTGCTACAAGCATGGATGAGGATACAAGCTACCTCTTCCGAGATGCAACCGACAACTCTGCTGGCTTGGTTGGCGAGGAACTGCGAGACACCATCAGTCAGCTCCAGGCCACCAAGGACCTTCTCAATGAAACTCAAAAGATCGCGTATGTGGGAGTCGTCAGGTTGGCTATCCATAATATGAACCATGATCTGGCGTCAATTGCTACAACCAGGTCCACGCGTAAGACCATGCAGGATGCCTCGGATGCCATGAGAAAATGGGGACAGGCGATCATGGCGCGAATCTATGCCCATATGGATATCAATTCTGCGGAGCAGATTATGATCGAGCAGCTTGCCGAGCATGGGGTACAACCAGAAGATCTGGTGCGACCACTCATGCAGAATGCACGAGTCAAAAATCCTATGGCAGAGAGTGAGCCGAAGACTTCTATATCTAGTCGCAGAGTCAACTCTATATCTAGGCTCTCCACGGAGACGAATTTGTCTGAGCTGGACCCTCCTCCACCATATCAGGCTCATGAGAACGAGGACCCGCCTGAGGTTAAGACGCCTTCCCAGATGCCAACTTCTGATCGCATAGATATCGATCTCCGCTGGACTGTCCTCTGTGACTTGTTCCTCGTGCTCATCGCAAATTCAGCATACGATGCTCGGTCGCGAACCCTTTTGGAAAGAGTCGGCGCAGCCTTGGATGTAACATGGCTGCAGATCTCACGGTTTGAGAAGCGTGTTACAGACTCCCTTGAAATGCAAGAGCAAGCAGAGAAAGAGACTTGGGATGAGTCAGATCACATGGAAAAGCGCCGCAAAATGGCCCTGAAGAGAAAATATATGATTATGGGCTTAGCGACAGTCGGTGGCGGATTGGTTATTGGCCTTTCCGCTGGACTGTTGGCACCTGTCATTGGAGCTGGTCTTGCGGCTGGGTTTACCACAGTGGGTATCACTGGAACCAGTGCATTCCTGGGAGGCGCTGGCGGCACAGCTTTGATCGCTTCCGGTGCTACTCTTGGTGGCAGCACGATTGGATTGAGAGCCTCGCACCGGCGTACCGGTGCAGTCCAAACTTTTGAATATCGGCCTCTTCATAACAACAAGAAGGTCAATCTTATTGTGACTGTTTCCGGCTGGATGACTGGCAAGGTTGATGATGTCCGTCTTCCTTTTAGTACAGTCGATCCAATTATGGGCGATATCTATTCTGTACTTTGGGAACCCGAGATGCTTCGAAGCATGGGAGCTACTATCAATATCTTAGCAACAGAGGTGAGCTGCCAACATCCATGGCAACTGTTCATGAAACTGACTAGCTTTTAGGCGTTGACCCAAGGTCTTCAACAAGTGCTAGGTAGCACGGTGCTTATGGCACTGATGGCATCTTTGCAACTACCCCTTGTTCTCAGTAAACTCGCATACCTGATTGATAATCCCTGGACTGTTTCGCTAGCACGTGCTAACTCAGCCGGCCTCGTTCTGGCGGATTCCTTGCGAGATCGGAACCTTGGCAACCGACCCATCACGTTGCTCGGTTTCTCGCTCGGCGCGCGTGTCATCTTTTCTTGTTTGAAAGAGCTGGCAGAAAAGGGCGCCCATGGCCTTGTCCAAAATGTTTACCTATTTGGATCGCCCGTGGTTGCAAATAGAGACGAATATCTCAAGGCTCGGAGTGTGGTGGCTGGGCGATTTGTGAACGGTTACTCTACGAATGACTGGATTCTGGGCTATCTCTTCCGTGCCACGAGTGGTGGCATCATGAGAGTCGCCGGTCTAGCAGCTGTCGAGGATATACCGGGCATTGAGAACTTCGATGTCACCAGTCTTGTGAATGGTCATATGGATTACCGAACGGCCATGCCTCGGCTTTTGAGAGAAGTCGGGTGGGAGGTTCTTGACGACGAGTTTGCAGAAATCGAGGACCCAGACCCTGATAACCATGCTGAGCGACAGCGCGAGTTGATACGCGAGATTGATGAAGCTCGCCGGGAAGCAGAGGCCAAGCCAGAGAAGAGACGGTTCGGCCTGTTCAAGCGAGGCAAGATGGCTGAAAAGAAGAAATGGGAAACATATAACGTCGATCGAGACAACACTCCTCGGGATTCAAGCGAGACTGAGAGCAGCCCCGGCACTGTCCTTTTCGATATCGAGGCCATCCGAGCGGAGCTGCACTCAGAAGCGATTGAAATCAAAGAATTGGAGTCCACTATGCCTTTGATGAAGGTAGACCTGAACCCTCCTTCCGAACCACCACCCGCTCAGCCCTCTCCTCCTGCTTCTCGAAGGCCAAAGACGCCCGAGCTTCCACCATCTCGCACATCCTCGTTGCCTCCGCAACCATCGGGGCAGTATTCTCCCTATGGGTACAATGACTACTCTCCCCCGCCCAAGCACGAAGATATGGAAATGACTTTTGACACATCCTTCCATGAATCCCCACGATCAAAGGATGACGACCTTTACTCTCGTCCAGAGTTGCGAACTGCGTCTACAATGCCGACGATTGGTACCAGCGCTCTCGGAGCCATGGCCATGGAGCCCAATGCCTGGGCGGATCATGACCATGGCCACAAGGATAGCGAGATTTCAATGACCTTTGAGTAGTGTTGGTTCTGGCTTTATTGCTTTTGTTTTTCTTTTCTTCTTTCTATATACTTTTCTTCCATCGAGTTGGTTTTGAGAATTAATGAGGTGCATGGCTTGCAGAGGTGTGTTTGGCTTGATGATTTACTTGTGTATATGTCTTTCTGTCAATGTATAGAGGCAGTTCTAGCTTCTGCAAATTCTACGATACGATTTTCAGACCAACGAAAGCGGATTGGCCCTTCTCTGGGTTCTTTGTCTGCCTTCTCCTCGTACCTCGAATATGACTCCCGGAGAAAGAAATCCAAGAATCACACATCCACTGTACATAAATGTCCCACCGTAAGAGAGAGAGAGGGCGCAAGAGAGCGACGATAACAGCACTTGGATTAATTATTATTCTCATAAATGTATACAGCATTCTACAAATCGCAGTATCAAATCGCAGCCTGGGGCAGCGATCGCGTGTCACGCGTTTCCCCTCATTGTGGCGCCGGGGGTCCGCATGTCTCAGCTTCTCGAAACCCTAGCGTTCTTTGTCTCGAAGACCAAAAAGCCCCCCAGCCGATAAACAGTCGATATCTTGAAATTTCGTTTCGGACCGTATCTCAAATATCCTGCGCCCGCGACTTGAAATCGCGCAACGACGCGTCGCCCCATACCGAGTCCGAAATCCTCCCCGTCCTTATCAACGCGCTCCACATGAAGTCGGAGTAATTGTTTGTCTTTGACTCCAACCATTGAGACCCGCGATTGGCGCCAACAATTGGAAATCCACAACTCACGCCACCGCCTACCATGAGGGCTCGGCCTAAACGAGATTCCAGCTATGCGTCCAATCGCTTGACGAGAGACAATCCTCCGCCAGGGCATCTTTTGTCTACTTACAGAGACTCTGAGACCGGAGGGGCGAAAACCAGAGCTGCAAAATCGGTTGCAAAGGCCACGCAACTGGTTACCAAGACAAAGTGCGACGTTGATACGAATGATGAGCGTTTGAGCTCCGACAAGGCGGTAACCAAGGACACCAAAGCGAATATCGTTCAATCAAGCATTGAAACAGGACAGGATGTTGATATAGATGCTGAACCTCTAAGCTCTGACGAAGAGGAAACCGCAAACAAGGAAGCGGACATTGCTCAACCAAGCATTGAGAAAAAGACGGATGTTGATACAGATGCGGATCCTGTAAGCTCCGAGGAAGAAGATAGTGACGAGGATTCTTTGCCAGACCGTAAAGAGGTGAACTATACCACTAAGACATTGAAGGAAAAGCTGGCGGCAAAGAACAATGGGTCGCAAACTAGTCCTGAAGTTCGCAATGGGAATTTGCGCAAAAGCCATCCTGCGCGAAATTTCAGCAATATGATGGGTTCGGACGATGAGGACTCACTCGTCTTTTCGGGTTCCTCGCAGCCTTTCAAGCGGCGCAAGGAAAAAAAATATCCGTCGAGGTTCTCCAACAAATCATCTCTCCCTCCGCGGTCTCCTGCGACACGCAGAGAATCATCGCCAGCGGTTGAAGCCTCCAAAGAGCCCGATGCCGCCAAAGAACCAGAAGATTCTTTCATAGTCCCTAAGGACATTTGTTCATCGGGTTTGAGAGAGCCTCGTGGTGGGGAAGAGTCTAATTCTAGTTTCTCGCACGGTGCATTCTCCTTGGAGGATCTCAAAGCATTGGGTAGTGATGACTCACCTCTCTCATCCCCATCTTCATCTATATGTGGAAAACTATCACAGTCTGAGGAATTAGGAGACAAAGAGGACCGTCAACTAGCACCGGCCCCCAAAGCTTTATGTCCGCTGTGCCATAAGGAAGTAGATCCGATGCTACTCGAAATCTTCAGATCACAGAAAAAGCAACGCATTCGCGAACAGGTTCAGTTCTGTGAGTCGCACAAGATTCATAGCGCGGTTGAACAGTGGAATGAGAGAGGGTACCCTACAATGGACTGGGAGAACTTTGAAGAACGTGTTCAGAGCTATTTCCCCAAACTTGAGAAACTGCTCGTCCCCGGGACCTTCTCTTATTACCGAAACATTCTTGATGCCTCTTTCTCGTCTGGACAAGCGAAGAACTCCCGGCTGAGGGCGGAAGATGACAAGGGACTTGAGATGATGACCTGTGGATATTATGGTGCGCTGGGTGCAACGAAAATGTATGTGGTATACGGTATATATCTCCTGCGTTACTTGCCATTGCTAACGTCTGTCTTTGATCTAGGCTCGAGGTTGTCATTCGTCGCTTCTCTGTGCTAGTGCGTCGCCTGGCCATAACAGATTCCATGATCAAGGCCGTGGGCGTGGCTGGCTATACTCAGTCTGTCATTGTTCCTGAGCTGGCTGTGCTTATGGTCAAGGATGACATGGAAGTGAATGATGAAGATGCACGCCAGATCCTGAGGGAGAGTATGGATATTGGTGGACTACTCCACCCAGATCACAATGTCGTTCCGATACCAGAAGAAGAAGAGGGAGAAAAAGAACAGAGAGAAGACGAAGAAGAAGAGGAACTATGACCGACGGCTAACTTGTTTCCATTTTTGTTGTGGAGGGTATGTTTCTTTGCTTTTGTCGGACCCTGGCATCTGTTTTGTCTATTATTACCCCTTGGATCATGCAGCCTTATTGCCATGAGCGATTGTATATATGTAGGCATTATGATACCTCTCATGTTTCGTTTTATATTCACGAGAATACTACTTGCGTCTATCGTCATATGGTGATCGAATGCTAGACTTCCCTGTGATTGTTCTTATTCAATTGGAGAATTGGAGTAGATTCGTGTAAATATAAGGATTTTATAGATCGACAGTGCTATCGGCCGGTTTCGGACAAGCGGGGTAAGCTTTGTCAGCACCGATAAGGTGATCCCTTGCTCGATGATATAATGCGGAGAAGCTCGTCTCTTGACTCCTTCATCATTCACACAAGATGGGGGAGAAAGAAATGCCGTACTCAGAGACGACACCTCTCCTCGAGGTCAATGTCGCCCGTCGGCGGCATAGATATCCGCACCATGCTCTTCGTCGAGCGTGTACTATCTCCCTTGCAGCCTTGCTTTCCGTGGCGACCCTGCTATTCCTCTCTCCGGTCGCTATTCTACCTCGAGAACACGGCTCAGTTTGGTCGTATCTCCCATGGGCTCACCCAATCCCCCATGAAGCCTGGCCAGAGAGCTACGGCCTTCCTTACGATCAGCTCCAACAGATCCTCCTCGATGTGCCTTCTGCAGATAAGGCCCGAGAGTGGAGCAAATACTATACCGCCGGACCACACTTGGGAGGAAAGAATCTTTCCCAGGCACTTTGGACAATGGAAAAGTGGAAGGAATTCGGCGTCGAGGATACCGGCCTTGCAGCGTATGATATCTATATCAACTACCCGCTCGATCACCGCTTGGCTCTCCTAAAGACGACGGATGACAAGACGGAAGTGACCTTTGAGGCCACCTTGGAGGAGGATGTTCTTGAAGAGGATCCTACTTCCGGCTTGTCAGACCGTGTCCCGGTTTTCCATGGTTACTCCGCTACTGGTAATGTGACGGCCCAGTATGTGTATGTCAATTTCGGCACAGTTAAGGATTTCGAGGATCTTGTGAATGCCAACGTCACTTTGGAGGGCAAGATCGCGATTGCCAAGTACGGCAGGGTCTTCCGTGGATTGAAGGTGAAGCGTGCACAGGAACTCGGAATGGTCGGCGTGGTTATCTACAGTGATCCGCAGGAAGATGGTGAAATCACCGAGGAGAATGGTTATGAAGCTTATCCCAATGGACCGGCGCGAAACCCCAGTGCTATCCAGAGAGGAAGCACCCAATTCCTCAGTAAGTCTCTTCCTCAAAAGCAATGGCATGGTACAGCTAACACGAAGAAGGTATCCTTCCTGGTGACCCTACAACCCCGGGATACCCATCTAAGCCTGGATGTGAACGGCAAGATCCGCACAATTCTATCCCCTCGATTCCTTCTCTCCCAATTTCATACAAGGAAGTCCTGCCATTCCTGAAGGCGCTGAACGGCCACGGTCCCAAGGCGTCGGACTTCAATGAGTGGTGGCAGGGAGGCGGTCTCGGTTACAAGGGTGTGGAGTATAACATTGGACCTTCTCCTGAGGATGTGGTGATTAACCTCCACAATCACCAAGAGTACGTGATAACTCCTTTGTGGAACGTTATTGGTACTATCAAGGGACACATTCCCGATGAGGTTGTCATTCTCGGCAACCACCGTGATGCATGGATTGCTGGTGGCGCTGGAGATCCCAACAGCGGATCCGCTGCTATGAACGAAGTCGTCCGCAGCTTCGGTGAGGCTCTCAAGGCAGGATGGAAACCATTGCGCACGGTGGTCTTTGCCAGCTGGGATGGTGAAGAGTACGGCCTTCTTGGCTCTACTGAATGGGTGGAAGAATACCTCCCATGGCTTTCCAAGGCCAACATCGCCTATTTAAATGTCGATGTCGCTGCTGCGGGTACCAACTTCGAGCCCCGGGCCAGCCCTCTTCTGAACAAGGTCATCAACGATGTGACCGGTTTGGTGCAGTCCCCCAACCAGACTGTGCGCGGTCAGACCGTCCGCGACGTCTGGAACGGCAAAATCGCGACGATGGGAAGCGGCAGTGACTTCACTGCTTTCCAAGACTTTGCTGGCATCGCCAGTCTCGATTTCGGGTTTGGCCGTGGTAAGAATGATCCAGTCTACCACTACCACTCAAACTATGACAGCTTCGCATGGATGGAGAAGTACGGAGACAAAGACTTCCTCTACCACCTAGCCTGCACAAGGCTCTGGGCTCTGGCAGCCGCGCAGCTGGTGGAATCTCCCCTTCTAGCGCTCAATGCCACCGACTATGCCCGCGGACTCGGATCCTACCTGGACAACATCAAGCATTCAGCCGACAACCTTCCGAAGAAGACCCACTTCAACTTCGGATCTCTGGATAGGGCTATTCTCAACTTCCAGAAATCCGCAAAAGCCTTCGATGCCTATGCTGCGGACTTGAGCTCCAAGCTTGGTGATGATGTGCCTTGGTACCACTGGTGGAAGAAGGTGAGACTGTGGTTCCAGATCCGCGCCACCAATGCCAAATACAAGGGCATTGAACGGGCTTTCTTGTACCAACCTGGTCTGGATGGCCGTGACTGGTTCAAGCATGTTGTCTTCGCCCCTGGCATTTGGACTGGTTATGCGGGGGCCACCTACCCGGGACTCGTTGAGAGCCTTGAGGCTGGAGATGCGGAGAACGCCTGGGTACGTTTTTTTTCCCCTCGCACTTTTTATAATTTCTGCCTCGGTTGCTAACTCTTCATTCTACTAGAAATGGAGCACCATCATCGAGGAACGAATTTCTGCTGCGACCAAGTTACTGCTGTAAATGTCTGGCAAACTAGGACATCCCATGATCGAACATTGCATATACAGCACAATCGGCCTGACATACTCGTAAAAACTGGTGATATACAGAGAGAGATCAATACATACGATTCAAAATATTACGTGGCCCATTCACGTAGAACTACTCCCACTTAAGCTATGCGCCATGCCCAGATCTACCCCAGACTCCACCTGCACCTCGTCATCTGACTAATCAATTGCATGACCCGTTGGAGACCTCTAATCAACAAGCCGACAGCTCCCCTCACCTCCATTCTCTCGCTCATAACTCTCCATACCCCAAAAGCAAACCCACAACCAATTCTACAAGATGGTACGTCCACATCCTATACCCCTCACGAACCCCAACTCAACCCAACCGCAAACCCTCCAACCCCAAATCCGAATCACCATACATCTCCGATCCAATCGCATTCCCCCAATACCCAATACAGATCTAACAACCACAGGCCCCCACAACCTCCGCCCTAACCCTCTCCGTCCTCACCAGCCTGGGCGGAATAATCGGATACGCCCGAACAGGCTCCATCCCCTCCATCGCCGCCGGCGTCTCCGTCGGCCTCGTCTATCTTCTTTCCTTCCTCCGCCTGAACGCGGGCCAGCCCTACGGCGAGGAACTGGGTCTGCTGGCATCGGCAGTGCTCGGCGGCAGCTCTGTGCCGCGGGTGATCAAGACGGGTGGAAAGCCTGTGCCGGTGATGTTGTCTGTGTTGGCTACATACGGGCTTTTCGTGTTTGGGATTGCGTTTCGGGAGAAGAGGGCTTGAGAGATGATTGGGAGTAGGGAGTGATAGTGGTGCTGGGTATTGAGAGGAATGGATTTGAAGAAATATCAATACATGCATTCAATTGAGTACTGGGAATTACTTGAGTGTTCGTTCGATTGGTTTGGGGTGTTGTATAAGATTGCCGAGGATACGGTGAATGGCTATTAGTGCTTACATGTAGGATACTACGGGGACAGACACGATCATACAATCAAACATGTATTGGTAGATAAAGAAAAGCCTATCAGATTCCGGGCTCAGAGGCCCGGAACGGTTTTCCTACCTCCATTGAAATGCTAGACACTTACATCAACCGTACATGGCATCACTATGCCTGCTCGGCATCCACATGACACCGGCTCCTCCAGACCAGGGTTAAACCTCCAGGGGGATCAGGAGGGGAAAACAAAAGGGCAAGGCACGTACTGTACGTAGGCTCGTCAATGTGACTTCGCGAGCCATTAACTCAGGTCTGAGCCTCCCTTTCCCGAACGAGCGACCCAAAAATGGGCCTCTCGATTCGTGGTTTTTTGTTTTATCAACTTTTTTTTCGGGTTTTGCGATTTTCTCATGGGAGATTGTTCCGGTGTCTTGGGGATCTTGCAACAGGAACTCAAACAGCACCGACGTTTTCTGAGTTGTCGGGGAAAAGATTGTAGGATGGGGGAGGACTCGCCAAGACTAGTATCTCGAATCAGGGCCACTGATGACAACGAAGACCCGACCAGGAGAATGCTCATGTGTAACTAGAAGTTTTGATGTGTCGAACTTAGCTGAGGTCCGTAACTCCGTCACTTGCTAAATGCAATAGGAAAAAAACAAAGCAGAACTTAATGGGCCGGATCGATCACCGTGTCGGAATCCTGGATGCCGCCCACGATTGCGTTGCCGGGAACATCGGCAAGTGCGGTTTGGGCGCTCTTGTCTGGGACGAATGCATATCGGGGTAGCTGTGCCATCCGCTCCTCTGGGCTGAACGTGTCGTCGTTGTAAACAAGTCGGATCGCGGCCTTTGCCTTTTCTTTCTTTGGCTTGCTAGTACCCTCTGTCTTAGTGGCGGTGTCCTTGACTGCGCCTGAAATCTGATTGTCAACAGGTGTGGAGACGTTTTCGGTCGGTTGGGCGCTGTCTCCATTAGAGTAACCCGGAGCTGCGGGGGTAGGAGGAATGTGCCCGTGGTGCATCTGCTGCATCTGAAGAGCGTTGACGGGAGGCGCAGCAAAAGCAGGACGCTGTGGAAGGTTCGAAGCGGCCGGTAAGCCTGTGTATCTGTTTTCGGAAGGTGGGAGTTGTTGGGGGAAAGAAGGAGCTCCATAGGCGACTGGTAGCGGCGCAGGAAGACCGGCAGGAAGACCGGCGGGGAATTGTGGCGGATTGACGGTGGAGTATGACTGGGGATACATTGACTGGGTGTAAGGCGAGGCACCGGCAGCTGGTGAGTAATTTTGATAGACGGGGCTACCAGTTTGCGGGTAAGGAGACGCCACAGCGGCGGGGGGCCCACCATAAGGCTGAGGATAAGAAAACTGTTGAACGGGCGCAGTGGCGATCTGGGGCGACTGCTATTAAAGATTGTCAGCTATTGAATCGTTTCATGTTGAGAAAAAGGGAATGACTTACATATCCACCAGCTGTTGGGGTAGACTGGACAGCGCTAGACGGAGTCACGTCACCGCTACTGCCACCGGCGAGTGCCTCTGCACGCTTCGCCTTGTGTTCAGCCAATCGCTTCTTAAGATCTGAGATAGGCTCCAGCTTGGGCTTCTTTGCCGGTTGGCCGCCGTTGGAAGACACTCCGGAAGGAGGATTGCCTGTCGCTTGCTGGCGATCCAGCTCGGCTTGCTGGAACTGCGAAGCCACGCGTTGCTGATGGGATTTGATGATGTCTGCAGGGATACCCTCCATTCCGAAGATCTCAACATCGAGACCCATACGGTTTGGCAGCGCATTTTGGACCTGGGTGAGCTGTTCTTTGTGAACCTGACTCAAGTGCACCGAAAGACCTATGCGCAGAAGTTATAAATATGCATTCATCATATCTAGAGACAAAGACAAAACTCACCTCCAGCAGTATTCAGTCTGCGATTGCAGTTGTCACACTTGAAATGTTTTGCCTTCTGATGAGAGATGAGGATCTTCAAGTCGTCAAAGTCTCGCTCACAGTAGTAGCACCATGGGCGATCAAGGAGCTCCTCGAGGGAGGGGCCACGTCTTTTCTTGCCCATTGTGGCGTTGGGAGAGACAATACGCGATGGGGAAGACCGAGTAGGTGAGTGGGGTTGTGAGGGGGAAGTTTGCTCAGGAGGAGCCTCGCGGATGTAGAAGCTCGCCATGATAGAAGCAAGGCGCACGTGATCCCACGTGACCGGGAAGTTGAAGTATGAAAATTGGTTTAAAGAAAGTGGTGATAGAGAGGTTGAGGCGGTGACGTGGTTTGTGGGTTGTGATCTGGAGTCGGGTCTTCACAGCGCGTCAACTGTTTCCTATCGCGTCGCAGTACCTCCTGTTGGCACTCACACTACATGCACTTTCTCGTCTACACATTTCGACCTCACCTGAGACTCGAGAGGGTATGCCAAGTCACCTACCAACTAGGTACGAACTACCTACAACTACCAACTAGAGAATAAGAAACAGCTTTAATCATACAACAGTTAGATTTTGCCTAAAATACATGTGGTGCCCACGGCACCAGAATCTCCATAATGTACCTGATCATTCGCTATTCCCTAGACCACCCTCAGGGAACCGGGACTACAGGGAAACACCTCCACCCCGCTTGGACTGCAGGCAGTAGAAGACCGTGCACCAAGCAATCAAGATGAACCAGGGTGGAGATGAAAGCCCCGTAGTCCCCCTGCAACTCCCCTTTTTGATAGTATCTCAACCCCCGAGGAGGTCCAGGAAACAGCGAATGATCAGTTGGTGTCAAGGCAATCCTCGGCCCTCTCTCTCTCTCACCCGTTGGAAATGAAATGAAAACGACGTGAATATGACTGATAGCTCAGGTGAGAGGGAGAGAGCCAAGGATTGCCTCAACGGCCCGACCTACCCTCAATGGCGTCCCGCCGGGTTGTGACCCGGGAGGGGACCCATTCCGTACTGAACGTACGGGAATGGAGCGTACTGGGGAGGCATGGGTTGTCCCAGTTGCGCCATAGGCGCAACAGGCGCAGCAGTGGCATAAGGGTTCACTGGGCCAGGGCCGTAGTGAGTCACCACCCCCATAGGAGGGAGGGTGGGTGGCATGGGCTGCTGCTGCGCCTGTACGCTTGCCATTGAGGGCAGGCCGGGGGGCCCCTTGGGGGCGAGATTGCCAGCAATTGGCGCCAGCGAGGGCGATCGCTTGCGGCGGCCAGGGCCAGGGGGCTTGGGGACTTCGTCGCCGGCGCCATCTCCACCGACGGTACGGTCCTGCTCGATTTGGGCCTTGGATCGCTTTGGATTGCGGATCCGTCCTTCCCGGTTGAACCGGTCCCAGTGATCGAGCATCGCCTTGGTCCTCTTGGGGTTCTTCGAATTGGCGATCTTCTGCCTCCTGGCCTCCTCAATCGCCTCAGCAGAGAGCGCCTCCTTCTTGGCCACCGCCGGGCTGGGCTCAACGGGAGTGTCTGTGGCCACCGGTTCGATCACCGGGAAGGAGGACTCTGCTGCAGAGGGGATTGATGATGAGGAGGAGGAGGCCAGATTGCTAGCACCACGTCGACCCCGGCCCCGGGATGAGGATTGAATGGGGGCGGGGGTGACTTCGAAGGTAGCCCGAGAGGAGCCAAGGCGACCAAGCCCACGGCCACGGCCACGACCACGACCACGGCCAGAGCCTCTGCGAGAGTTTGCATCGGTAGGAATGGAGTCAGCAACAAAATTCTTGCCGCCACGGCCACGAGTGCGTCGCTTGGCGGGATGGTTGTCTTCTTCAGTTTCATCGCCATCTGCACTCTCATTCTGGGTCTCGTCCGTATCGATCGTTTTTGTTGGTGCCGCAACCTCTGCGGCCTTGCGCTTCCGAGTGACTTTGGGTGCAACTGGCTCGCGTCGAGGTTCGTACAGCTGTGGGTGATAGTCAAGCCCATGTTTCTTCATGGGTGTCCACCCATCAGGGTTGCGATCACCACTCTCAGTTTTCTTCGCAATCATCTTTCTGGCTTGCGCGGGAGTGGGAACAAATCCACCTTGAACAAATGGATCTTGCATTGAACGAATAGGCAAAGTTGGGAGATTGCTTGGGAAATAGTTGTGTTTGTAGCCATAAAGCATGGCCTCTTTCTTTTCCTCAAAATCAAGTTTGTCCTCGTTGACTTTAGCCAGAGGGCCTGCGCCCTTTTTCTTGTGACCTTGCATCTGATGTCGCTTCGTTTCATATGAGGGCTGATCCCGTTTGTGCCGATGTGCCCTGAGGTAAAGGTCATCCAGGGCCAAGTATTCGTCTTGGATTGTTTTCAAGGTAAACGCTCCGGTCTGGGTAAGCGCGTAGAGTTCTTCAGATGTGTATTTTTCGGGATTGCGGAGCATGTTCACAAGATTTTCGATTTCTTGCACTTGGATTTCAAGAAATTCACCCCTCTCAACTTTGGTTTTCTTGTACGGAAGCGGATGAGACGGTGGTTCAGGAGCATCACGTTTTCTGGGTTTGGAAAGGTCGTGGAAAGCATTGTCCCAAGTAGCTTCACACTTGGCAGCCTCATGGTCGTAGTCAGGCGAGAATTTGTTGGCATCATGTACATTCCAGAAGCGGGCAAGGCGCTGTTTGACGTCTGGTCGTTGCCACTCGCCAACTCGGAGGCGATATCCCTCTGGATATGAAGTACGTGGGTTAGAAAGCCATTCAAGTCGATCAAGTTTTGGTGGAGGAAGGTTGTTGATATTGACTGGGAGTACGGTTGGCTTGGTGCCATTGTTACCGTCAGCGGTCGCTTCCACTGCGATCTGTGCACTTCCTTCGAGCTGAGCTGAGCCATCTTCGGGCTTGACAGCTTGAGATGCGGGCTCATCTTGTTCAATAGCATCATCATCTTGGAGATCGCCGTTCTCATCATAAGCATCATCAGCGCCATATTCAGCGCCGTCTTCTGTGACATCATCGCCACCATCCTCAGTGCCGTCATATCCAGCAAATCTGATGGGTTTTGGATGAGCTTCATTAGTGTGATGCTTGAGGAGGTCTTCTTCCGAGATGCTGTTGTCATTTGGAAGCATCAAAAGCTTTCCGCACCAGTCACACTTGACTCGGCGGGGCATGGGCTCCGGGGACTGGGAGATCTGGGTTGAAGTAGATTGGGGACGGAAAGGTTCGGAAAACTGACGGCGCAGCGGAGAGTCCTGGCTACCACCAACATCCGAAGAAGGATTGTCCAGGTCCAAATCGGCCCTTGGGATGGGTGCCATTTTGGCGGAATTGGACGGGGAAAAACAACAACAAAAGGGGTATGAGATTTTTTCGAATAATTGCGAAATTTGCAAAAAGAGAAAACGCAATTAAAAAAAGAATGGACTTCAAATGGAGAATGAAGAATGTCCAGAAAGGATCTGTATAGATGGTCAGCGCGGTTCGCTTGCGGGTGCCAAGACGCCAGTAAATTGCAGCGTAATCCATGGTTCCCAAGGCCGAAGGCACAAGGGCATAGACCAGCGCAAACACAAACGAATCACCAAACATTGTACATCGAAGACACGCGACATGAGACAGATGACAAGGAAAGCATAAGATAGAAGACACGGTCGGGCAAAAATGAGTGGATCAAGATCCCGGAAGTACTGCAATGGGCATACAAGAAAAAAGCGGAAAAGACGCGACACTTACCATGAGATGTTTGGAGTCGAGTCGAATCCTTGTGGATAATAGACCCAAATCACAGCCAATGACTGTCAACTGTTAGTGATGAGTTCTGCAAAGAAGGGTGCAGGATGTGCGTGAGTGGCTGCCCAGGGATGTGTACTTACTTGGTATCCGACTGGAGAAGGTTGGATAGGTAACAGCCCACTTTTGAGACACAACACGAAGTGGGATGAGAGATGAAGAATGGAGGGGATAGGATAGAATGGAGAACACCTCAAGGGAAAATACACCGGAAACTCGTGGTGTTTGGCGCGCAGATCTTGCGTCGCCGGGTAGTATGAAGAAGAAAAAATGATCTTCGTCGACGCGACACCGCGCGATGAGGAAGATAGAAAAATGGATACAGTTGACGAAACCAGATTACAGTGGAGAATGAGTACAGGAGAAAAAAAGAAATGGGAAGGGCAGTGGGATAAAGATGATGAGGTTGCGAAGAGATTGAGGTTGAGAGAGAGATAGTTTTGTAGTTTCATAGGCAGTGGAAACCCCGTCCTGACCCGGCCAATCAGCGGCTGCCTATCTACTAGCCACATTGAACGACATTGAGGAAAGGGGGTTTTTATTCGATTGGATCTATTCATGGCGGATTCTATTGATGCTCTGCATTGTATTAATTGTCAATCTGCGATTGTTGAGATCCCTGATTTGGTCCTTATTGTCATCGGTATGGTCCTTTGACCGAAGACCTACTTTTTTCCTCCCGTGCAAGTTAGGACAGACGTCACATGATACGTACTTTGGAGTCGAATAATAAGCTGGCACCTCTGTATCCTGCCATTGAGATAGTCGATTGTCTGAAGAGGGACGCAGTTCCATGTAGATCTGTATACATGGATTCTAGGCGGTGGTTCCCTAGGGAACACAATCCCCTCAACTCGACCACATCGAGAATGACGAGAAAGTGACGGCCGACTAACGGGAATCTGGCGCCTAGCTATAATATGGTTCTGCAAATATTGTAATCATGTTGACTGTGGAGATAACGAATAGGTGTCGGCCATGTAACAGGAATTTCACACCTGCCAGAATGATTGTACTGGTATTAGGATGGTGTCTGGTGTGGAGATCACGGATGAGTGACGGACAAGTAGCGAGAGACTCATATGCCTTGTACATGCATCATCAAGATCCTATCGAGATGGTCTCCACTTGGTTATATACATGAAAATGAGCAAATGACGTCTAAGCAACGGGAACCCATCAGTGGGCATTATGGAATGCGTGCGTGTACATATAAAATATCTGTATGCCTGCATCTAGTGGCAAATAGAAACAGTAAATCGGCAAACCCGGCTATACATTCAAAATGAGCCATTGCACTTCAAACGGCATATTCAAGACAATATTACCCGCTATATCCCGGATGTGTGCGCGGGTATTGTCTTGTCCTCAGTAGAAAAGATATTCGAATATACCTTCACATCTGATATCATCTGAAATCCTCTTTTCGAACTCCTATCTTTGCTATCTACCTAATATGAGGAGAGTTAGTAATATACAGTTACATTGTCCTAGGCTCGCAGGCCATGAGGGGATTTCAGGGTACATTGTATAGTTTTGTATGTTTTTATCTAAGGGCTTATATTAGAGCTCTACACACTCATTATGCTATCTCGATATTGAAGTTCTTATTTTCCACAAACTTGGAAGCAAGATGACTGATATAAGATACGATGTATACTTGTGCAGTCCCACCTAGCGTTTATGTGGATCCCGAGCCCTGCCCGAGGCGGCCCCATTTGATGACTAAGGCGATTGAATTTTCTCCCAATTTTTAGAGAAGCTTCCTTAGATCCGTGAGATGCCGAGGTCGATTTTCTGGCTTTCGGTATCTGCGGGTTTGTGGAGTCACATAGAGGTGATCTTTATTGAGGACGATAAGACTATGACATATAAGAGCTTTACACCGTCAATCTTGCTCAAATAGAATGTTATATTCCGTACTTCTTTTTGAGATCATAGCTAACTTCCAGTTTACCTATGTAGGTAGGAAGCCTAATGTCTTTACGGAGTATATATGACCATTAAAATCGGAAATCTTAGGAAGCATTCAATATCCTATACAAAGGATGACAATAATCTCACTCTTGAAGATAGAAAGAGACAACCTGTCAAATACACACAAAAGCTCCTTGGTATCACCAGTGCCCAGGAATATACTGCAGGGACTATATCGTAGATGCACACGCTGTACACAAACAACTGCAACAAGGTCACACAAGAAAGAACATTTGACTGATCATTGATTTTTCAGTTTTAATTTCAACGTGACATTGTCCAATAGAATGCCTTGGGCGCCAATCGTATTTGACATGCATGATGTACGCGCTTAGCTGGCGCTTGCACATCACCTACATATACAAAGTACTTTTCATGCAGATCCACTATCTCTAATGATACATACAACCTTGGTGTTTGAAGCAAGGCTTTCTGTATTTCATCGATGATGCAGGTGTTTGGTCGGAAGTGGGAATGACATATTTGCTGTAGGGTATTCCGAGTGACTTCAGAATCTTTCCCATGGCTTCTACGTCCTAGCACCGGTATTATCATTTCCCCAGCGTACTAACAGAGCGACTTTCTGCACGTGAAATAGCTACAGAAGAGTGAAGTTATTGCAGAAGAGGGAAGAAAGAAACCATAGTCAGTTGGAGAAGAGAAAAGTAGTCACAGGAGAAGAAGAGAGGGCTTTGTATATAGAATGTTTTTAGTATAACGGTATAAGTCGTCGACGACGTTCATATCACCGGTGTTTAACCAAGGAGCACAGTAGGGTTCTAAGGTTCTTATTATGGGCAATAAGACTCATAAGTCTAGCTAGCCAAGTATCCTACTCTGCCTGAGGTGAAGTATAAATTAGAGTCTAGACCTACCTAGTAAAGAGGGAAATGCTCGAGGTACCACTGGCGTTAAACGGAAAGGGCGTAGAAAAAGTAACCAAGGAACTTTATATTCTTACACCATGGCTCGAAAATGATGAAGCTGGAGCAAAGGATCAAAGCCAATAGCTATATTTAGATGAAATACCTACATGTAGGTAGAGACAGACATGAAATGGTTCTGGATGGCACCAAGTCTCTTCGGGCAACTTTGTTATTCTACAATTATATTTAAGTTATAAACAAACATTGTTTTCTATAATCTATAACTGACGAAGTTCAAAGTCTATTTTCCCGGAGGGCTTCTAACATAAAATACATAACTCAGTGCAGGTGGTTCTTCTCACCAACATCCAAAGCCACCAAGAACCGACTAACGCAGTTATAAGCTGCAATAGTGGCCGTGATTTCCACAACCTCCCGTTCATCAAAGCAGCCCCTCACCTCCGCGAAGACCTCATCAGGCACCGTAACCGTCTTAGTCATAGCATCGGTATACTTCAGCACAGCTCTCTGATCAGCACTCAAGACCGATGACGCAGCCTCGCTCGAGAAGTCTGCCTGAGCATCTCCAATAAACTTCAATGCCTCCTCGCTCAATCCACCTTCTTTCAGAAGGGGGGCATGCTGTTCCCACTCGAACAAGGCGCCGTTGACCACCGCAACGCGGCAGATAGCCAGTTCGCGGACGACAGTTGAAAGAGTCGTCCGGGTGCGAATGGCTCCAATGAATGAGTTCCAACCCTCTGCCACGGGGAATGAGTGCAATAAGGCTAGGTCGAGAGGCAGAAGCGGGTTTGGGGCCCGGCGGGCTTGGACACTGGCGAGGATGCGGGCCTCGTCCGGTGTGCTGGTCGGTGTGGGGTCTGCAACGTACGGAAGACGCATGATGGATGATACAAAAGAATTTTCGGTGAATCCCGATGGATTGGGTGTTTTCAATTGCTGGATTGAGTGGAATCTGGGGGTTTGAAGTTAGTTGACGTGTGACTCATGACTCGATCCGCTGCGCATTTGAGTACGCAGCTGCCGAGTATGAAGACTGGGTAAGTACCTGATTCGAAGCTGCAAGATACTGAAGTTTAGTAAAGAGATCGAAACAAGTTATATACGGTGTAGCGGCGGGGGAGCAGCTATTTATTCTCGGTACATAACCCCGCGCGGGTCCGCTATATGGAGCGGGATGCCAAAGCCGCGGGAGTCGGGTTTGTGTTTCCGAACTGGAGCCGCAAAAAATCTGCTCGAAATTTGAGGCATTCTGAAACCAAGAAACTGTGGAAATGAGGATGTTATGGTAGTTGATATCTGGGGATTATATACTGGGATGTCATACTGCCTGTGCGGGGTGATTGGCACTTAGGCTTGGGTACAGTCCAGACTGGCCCAACGTCATGGATCTTCGTAAAGTTGGCTGACTTTTCTTTAAATGTCGAACTTGATGTGTGATTCAGAAAGCATTTGTCCTCAAGTTCCATCGAAGTTCAAAACTTGACCAACGCCCATTCCTCTCTATACGCATCTGCAGTGCTGTTTGTGGGTCTTGGCACATGATCTCCACAATTCAGAAGCTCCCAGGGTGTCGTCACTTCTCCTGAATACTGTTCCCTAAACAAACATGCCTCCCAAGGGCCCCAAACCTACCAGCGACGAGCTTTTAGCTCAGTTTGATGACCTCGGTCTCAATGAGTCGGGCAGCAAACCCTCCAAACCCATAGCTGCTTCTGAGGCTGCTCCGGGCGGACAGGAGGACATTCTGGCCGAGCTGGATCATCTAGCCACACAACGTCCAGCCAGTGGACCAGGTACTCCACGTCTATCTTCCGATAAGCCTAGAACATCCACACGGTCTCCCCGACCAAGCACCACCACCGATCGACCGACCGAGGACAAGGCGCCGGTCCGCCAGTCTGAGGAGACAACCCGGTCTTCGCGCGCAGAAGTCAAGCCCGAGCAGCCTAAGCCTGAGCCTCAAAGTGTCCCTGCACAGCAACCATCTGAGGAAGGCGGCGGCTGGTGGGGTGGATGGTCGGGAGGACTTTTTGCAACTGCCACTGCGGCTATGAAGCAGGCCGAGGCGGCAGTGAAGGAAATCCAGAACAATGAGGAGGCACAGAAATGGGCCCAGCAAGTCAAGGGCAATGTTGGAGCCCTCCGGGATCTTGGTATGAGTTTGCTACCAAAATATGCTCTCCGACATGCAGACAACTAACTGGCACGCGCAGGTGGCGAGCTTCGCGATAGGGCAATCCCGACATTTACCAACCTCATCCACACTCTTGCACCTCCTATTTCTTCGCATGAACGTCTTCAAATTCATGTGACTCACGATATGTCCGGCTACCCGGGCATCGACCCGCTGGTCTATGCGGTATTCTCGCGAGTGATGTCCCAGGTTGAGGGTGGTGACCTGCTAGTGATCCAGCGGGGCCAGGAATCATCACCAAAGCGTGGGATTGATGTCACCGGATATATGACTAGTGCCGGACGGAATGACGGGCCCTGGTGGCGGACAGTCACACCTGGACAACCGCGGAGCATCTCCGCCGTGCGGGGTACCGTGGAAGGCTCGAAGCTGGCTCGTGCTAGTGCGGAGTCTTATGCTACCGAGTACTTCTCATCTCGAGGAGGAGTCGAAGAAGCGGCGAAGCATGCTTCTGAGGTTCTGAATGAATCGAATCCAGTCCGCAGCAGCGATATCTTCTTGGCTATCCAAGCTATCAGCCAGACTACTTCTAAGGACCTTTTCCAGGCTGGTGCGACAGGCGAGAAGGCTGCTGATGGTGCAGTGGATCCTGATACCGAAGAAGAGGAGATCTCATTTGCTCTTTACCTTCACGACCCCATCCATGGCATTGCGTTCCATGCTATTTCCCAAAGCATCCCACAAACATGGATTGAATGGCTCGATGCCTCGGTTCCCGCTCCTGAGAACCCCGACGATGAGGATGCGCATGTCCAGCGCATTGTGGTTCCTGAAGCTATCGCCGAGATCATCGAGAGTGGCGGCGTTGATCCTCGCGAATGGGTTTCAGAGTGGATTGAGGAGACCCTTTCGCTCGCTGCTGGTGTCATTGCGCAGCGATATGTGGCCCGCCGAATGGGCGTCGGTGAGGGTGGTGTTGGCAAGGGCAAGATGCGAGCCGAGCAGGCCTCGACTGTGGATAGCGGCGCAGGAGAAGCTGCACGCGCTCTTTAAATCCACCGTTTCCTTCTCGGCAAGAACCGACGCTCTGTTTCCAGCATCTCCCATCTTTTATGTGATACACCCGCTCCGATTGCTTACACCCGAATCTTGCACTAGGTTTCCCTATTCTTATCTCTGTGTTATTCAGTGTCTACTGCAACCTTTCTGGTGGGAAAATGACAGTAAATGATCATTATTGGAAATCAGTTGCAACCAAAAGAGAGTCGTATGTGCAATTCCCGTATATGTACAAAACGGACCGGTCTTCATAAATAACTAAATTATGCATTCGGAAACCATTGTGGGTATCGTAGGATCATTCAAAACATTCAAAGTTCAAGAACTTCAAGAGTCAAGGACCAACGGCCCCTCAAGGCCAGGGACATGCCAGAAGTTGGCACGTAGAGCAGTCACACTAGACATACAATTAGCATTGTCCCTATCAAGCAGCGCAGCGCAAAGAAGACCATCTCTTACCTAGTCGATCCATTGAGCACAGTATGAGCATCCGTACCCTCCTCGCTCTCCTGCAACGTCTTCTTCATGTCCGACAAATCAGCAGACCACTTGAACTGGCGCTGTCTTGGCGCAGGTCCATGTCCATTGACAACGACTCCATTCGTCTCACCATTCATATCGCCATTGACATGAACACCGTTCACACCATTCATCTTGTGAACCCCATTAACTCCGTTAATCCCATTAATCTTCTTGCTCACCCCATCCTCAGCATACAAACAACCTCTAGACCAATAATACGGCAACGTGCGCGTATACAACACAGGCCGATCCTCCACATCCAGCCGCATCGGCACATTGATATTATAAAGCTCGACCCGCTCATCCCAATTCTCAAAAAGATGCCCGACAATCCTCACCGCCAGCCGCGCCGCAGCAGCAATAACATCCGCCGGCTGCGGATCCTTGCTACCGAAGGAGATGGCGATACCGCGTTGTCCGCAGAACACCGCCTCCAGCGCACCGCCTACCGTCCCCGAAGAGAGGTTGTAGATGGTAGAAGCATTGCGGCCGTGGTTCGGGCCCGAGATGACGAGGTCGATGGGCGGGCGATCTGTGAAGAGATTGTGGAGACCGAGTTGGGCACAGCTGGCTGGGGTGCCGTTGCGGACCACGACCCAGTCGTTTTCGGGGTCCTCGGATGCGTAGGACTCGTCCCAGGTGCCGTCTGGGTTGAAGGAGTCTGGGTGGACGTAGGTTGCTGTGAGAGAGGCTTCGATTATGTGCGCTTTGCCGATCCAGGAGCGTGAGGCTGCGGGGATGGCTACTGAGACTTGGTGACCGTTGGCTTGTAGGGTGTCGACCAGGGGTCTGAGGTATGGTGATAGGCGAGTGCTTGGTGGGCCATCATCGTTGACTACCTGTTGGAATTGGTTAGCTGCGTTTCGGTCTTGGTTTGTTTTTTTGTTTTTTTAAATTAAATTGCATGATCTTGCTTTGCACTGTGCTGTCAGGTGCGTAGAAATGAAACATAGAATGTAGATATCATATGATGGTTCATCCCGGAGGTAAAGGAACTAGGTATGATCTATAGAATCCCTGCAAGAATTGATTTTCTATGCTGTATACAACATAGGTATAGAAGAAAAAGGGAAAAAGGAAAAAAAAACCTCTCCGATGACCTCACTTACCAGGATGTGCATGACGAAACAAATTAACTAGCGCTAGGGCAATAGCTTCAAATGTTGATATTCGATCCGGATCGAGGTTCTCGGTCTTGACTTCCGTGTTCCGAGGCCGTGAATAGGTATCCTTCTCTTTTTTTTGGGTTCTTGTCTGAATTTTAAGGAAATAAGAAGCAAAAAAAAGGAAGGAATAAATATTCTGCACCCCGCGGAAATTATCGGGGTGCAGGACACTTATACCTGGGGAATATTAAGGGATTTGGCCACACCGAATCACACACTGGGGCAATGGGTTGAAGCCGTTCTGCGGGGACGGCCAGTGAAAGAGCCGAAAGCAGTGTGCGGTGAACCGATCCGTCGGTTTTCGCTCGGAGATATAGTTTCTATTATGTATTCAAGGGATCTATACGGAGTACGGAGTGTGGAGTGCGGAGTCACGAGTGTGGAGGGTCTATATCGAGGGGTTGTTGCATGAGGCGTTCTATCAGTCAGACATCTGATGTAGATCTCCCCGGGCCAAATTAAATTCATTTGTCAGTTAATATATGCATGTAGTGCCGGTACTTTCGGGAGGTTTGAGGTGATGAGTAGGCAGTTCAATATAGTGATCAGTTTAATCTAGTGTTCAGGCTAGCATGCAGTCCTATAACCTAACAATTCTGACGCCTTTAGATACTATCTAGGTTACTATATAGTTTTAATAGTGAAATGTAAGTTCAAATTCCAAGATCCCTGAACCTAAAAACGGTGGATGACTAATCTTCTGCTAGCCCCGGCCCGGGAGCCAAGCCAACCTCGGAGACCTGGAAAACTCTCCCGAGGTCCCTGGACCCTGGAGTGTCGTTGTGGTTCGATCCCCTTGATACCCTGCGCCACATCTTTCCATGATCGCTGAACTACTCCATATGTCGGGCCACCCATTTGCTAGCGCCGGTCCCTGGCATGAATACGGGGCCCTAGGGCAGAACCTCACTTTCTCGCCATACTAGACATGTTTTATCCAGCCTTGGAGATCTCGAAGTCGACAGGACGTTTATGGCTCAGAGGGGGCAACCATCCCCGTTCAGCGACACTACCATGACTGAGTTTGTGATCGGGATGGGTAAATTCAGGCAGAACACTGAGCTGCAACTTCAAGTGGGATTACAGGTTCGGCTTGGCCTACATAAGCAGTCTTGGACCCGTGGACCCTTAGTGAGACCAATGATCAAGAGAGGGCGATGCCTATACAAGATTGGGCCCTAATCTAGGAGGCAACCACCACTACAAACCCATCTAATGTGCTCTACGCAGTAAACCTTCACAACCAGGCTGGCATCTATCGGTTGGGTGCATACAGTGGTATATGTTACAGCGGGCAGCGGGTGCAGACCACGTTAGACTTGGGGGGGAACCGGGATATGTACGATGCATCGGGTACTTACTCTCAGCGAACAAGGTACTGTGGCTATAAACTTGGAGGAATGGGAGATTGAAAATAACCCTGTAGAATACTCATCGTTCTCTGTCCTGTTTCAACCAGTTCTTCAGACAACTAGTCGGCTCCGAAGTGACCAAATGTGCCCACTTTGAGTTCAAAGGCAAATCTCGTTGCGCGAATATAGCCAGAATAATGTAGAGCCTAGGACCCGTAGTTACCAGGAAATACTGAGATGAGAACTGTTTATGATATTGCCATCAGGTGACTCTATAGCTTGGAGATTGGACCCACGTGCCGTTGCGATGACTAAGATTTAACGTTGTAATGTACGGAGTACATGTAGTGGATATTGAATATTGGATAAAAGCATTCATCCGACAATCGACATTGTATAGACACGTGGTGTTATAGTTGTAGACATGCATTATCCCCCATATGCCTATATATACCTACCTAGTTATCCCGACCGTTCGAGTTAAGGCGAAAGAATCCAAGTGCTGCATCGTACACGGTATCTCGTAGAACGGGGTCTGGAACCGAGAAAAATTCTGTTGTTTAGCCGACTGTAATTTTGACTGGCCCCGTTCCTGGATGATAACTACTTGATGTGCTCTAAAATAGCGTACGGAGCACATAAATCTGACTAGGTACAGACCTAGTTTCTCTGACACCATACTCTCTCGTAAGGTCAGTCCACCCACGGAGATCATCACGCCGATATAGCTCGATTAAACCCCTATCTTTCTTTTTAGGTTGCATAGTTATTTCCAGAGCAGTCTCGTCTGTCGTAGTTCCTCTTACTCCGTACCTCGCTCGAACATCGTATTCTCAACTGGATCTATTTTTAAGTAAACATCAACGAAATCCTGAAGTGGTCTGTGCCAGCAACACGCTAGAGACGATCACAGAAAATCTTGAGGTGGGGAATCCCGTCAGCACTCAACATCTTTCAGCCCCTCAACTCTCATCGTCTCGAGCGACCACCATCGAATTCATCTCATCCTTTGAGATATATCGACTTGTTGACACCCGTGCACTATACAGCTCCAGTCTGTCCCGACCAAACCGTCCCTGCAAAGTCTCAAAAAGCTAGTCTTTTTGGGATCTTTGCTTAACTAGGTCGTCGCTGCCACCTCACCCTCGCCCTCCCACCCTGTATGGACCGTGGAAGTACTGGAACAGCTGCGGGGATCGACCCCAAAATCTTGGATAATTGGCAAACTGAGGCCGCCTTTTCTGTCGCATCGTGGGAACATCTGGGATATGACCAACCTCCCGAGTGGGACACCAGTCAGGAATCGAGCCAGTGCGATGCAGATATCGCGGACCTAGGCACGTTCCATGGCCCTATGAATGCCGAATACCGTCGTCTGGAGAACAGGTCCGGAAACTCCTCCCTGGCGCAACACGAGCTCTGATGGTGATGTGGCTAACGTTTGTTTTGGTTGCAGGAAGCACGATATAGCCCTCGAGAATCCGAGCTACTCCGAGGGCATTGTCGAGGGCACTGGTAGTGGCACTATCAGTCCCAAGACGATTCCATCGTCCGCTGACGAGAACTTCCAATCCGACGAGGGTTGGCCGCAATTCCAACTGTACAACTCCGTGGCCATGCCCTTGGATGCATCTCTTCTCTACCCCTATGCGAAGGGACCGAATCACTCGACTGGCGCTGTTATCGTTGACGATGTTGGAGAAATACCTCACGGCGGGTTTGCAGATGCCCCGGCGGATGGCATCATGTCGTTTCAGCAAATCCCACAGGTCTTCCCCATGATGCCCGAGCAGTGGGCCGAGATTCCACACGGTGTGCCCATGGATAACATGCCTCCGCCGCAAGAATCAATGTCGCTACCGGTCTCCGCACACCAGAGCCCCAAGGATCACTCTATGTGCGAGTTTCAGACTTCTATCAGATCGCTGGAATCGCGCTGGCTGAATAGTCTGGAATCTCAACTACCCACCCCACAGATAGCACAGGCCCCTCAGATTGTCGGCCAGAGAAGCACGCATGTGGGCCAGGAATTCCAATTCAAATCGGAGAATTCTTCGGTGTCGGGCGACTTGTCTGGTATATACGAATGCTCCTATTCGGCTACCAGCGACGACGCCCCAGCTTTTGCGGATCGCCAGCTGGAAGATGATGAAACCCAGTGGAAGACCTCACCGCATGGATCTGCTTCGCCAGAGGCTGCGCAATCTGTATTCAAGACCACTGCCTTCATGGTGAGTGAGAATCCTGCGGAGTCTCTGGTCTCTACCGTGCCTTCAAGGTCAAGGACCTCATCGACTGCTGGCCAACGTGCCGGTCGACCCGCACCACTTGCAATGCAATCCACGGCTACAATCCGAAAGCGCAAGACCAGAAACCCTGGCTCCTCAATCGACCATGGCATCCCGCGCCCATTGCAGATTGTCCAGGAGGATGGCCAAGGTGGCTCTATTGCGTCTGCAGATTTCGTCTCACCTCCACGAGGCGCTCGTCGCAAGGGCCCATTAAGCATGGTTGGAAGAGCCAATGCTGGCCTCCGTAGAAAGAACAAGGATACTTGTGTTCAGTGTCGACTGAACAAGCGCAAGGTCAGTATTTCCTTCTCTTTGCTGTATTCTCATGAGGCTAACGTATTTCCAGTGTGATGGAAGCTCACCTTGCGATGCTTGTCGTCCGACCCTTCACGAGCAACCCTGTGCTCGTGCTTGCTTCTCTAGTATCGTTGAGTTCGGAACCTGCAACTACATCTGTGAGTATAATCTGAAGCATCCTATATACCCTTCAACTGACTGACTGTTTGAATTAGCTCAACGAGCTGTCAATCACCCTACTATGGATGGTTCGAACCGAGTTCGAATGGAAATCCCATCTGAATTTGATCTCAGTCAACTGTTGTCTTTGCTTGCCGAGCGCCAGGGGCGGTTCAACATCCGCGCTAGCCAGGCATGGGGCTCTCTCTACGTTCTTGACCTTGGAGAAACCTACAAGTTCTTAAAGAACCTGAGCGAGTACAACGGCAACTCGAAGTCTACCTTCCTAGAGTTCATTGACCGACGAATCGTCGACTCGAAGGACAAGTCCAAGAACTGGCTGTCATGTGTCGCCGACTGCGACCCAATGAACCAAGCCTACGTAAGTTTCCACTTGTCTCGCCTCACGATTCATAAACGCTAACCATCCTCAGACCCTCCTCTCCCAGTGGAACAACATGCCCAGCCGCGCCAAATACAGCTTCGTCTCACTTGACCCAGCAGGCGAAGAACGAACAATGGACGTTAACAACCCAGAAGATCAACGCGAGATCCTCCTCGCAGCCCAACTCTCCCGAATCTTCTGCCGCATGCTCGAAGTCGAAGGCTTCCGCAAGCTCGAGCGCGACTTCTACAACATCAAATGGAAGCAAATCTCGCACGAGACCCACGTGCGCTTCCTTAGCGAACTCGGTCACATCCTGCTAACGCTACGCTGGCGTGTGAGCTGGTGGAAGCGCCTCGGCGACGGCGGCCAAACCCCCGATCCTACACAGCAGCACTACATCGACCGCGTCGAGCTGCTCTGCCGTATTCTTTACGTCTACTATACCTGCGTATTGGCGAAGCTGCCCTCCTGGTCAGCTGCCGATGTTCCCAAGGGAATCTGGTCGACGTATGCGGACTCGGAGAATGCCGTCTGGGATGACTTCCCTTCCGACTCGAGCGACGGCGGTTTCAATGGCTGGATGGAGCGCGGCCAGGATCTAATCGAGCAGGCCGGTGTTCCCAGCCGGATATCGAAGTTCTGAGCGAGCTCGTCTGCGCATATGCTTTGGATGGTTACGGCAATGGAGTTGGAACTATAGATACCCTTATTTCTTTTCTTGTTTCCTATGTTTTTCTCTTTTTTTTTCTCTTTTTTCTTTTGAAAATTTCGTTGTTCCTCTTGGAACCACATTATGATGTTTATATAACGGGGCTTTTTTATGATTTGATGATTTCGCGCATGTTCTATCAGGTTGATTTCTTTGTACATGAAATTATCCCTTGACATAACAGAACACACTCTACTTCACTATATCTCGGCATCTCATATTCCTAGACATCCCTAGATGTAGATTACATATTTCATCACATCCACTAGAAGAAAAAAACGACAAGAGAAAACTGGGTATCGATTTCATGCACTCATATAACGAGCTCTAGATAGACGAACTGCAAACACGATCGAAAAAAAAACAACAAAAAATAGTCCAATCCATCACATCCCTCACTTCTTAGCCGCAGGCTTGAGAGTGCCATCCTTGCGAGCAGCATTACGCTCCTTCTGCAGACGGTCCTTCTTACCGCCAGCCAACAGCTCAAGGTGACCCGCCTTTGTGGCGAGACTGCGTTCTGTCATTGAGACGAGGCCGGATGTGAGTTTCTAGGGAACCAGGTGTCAGCCTTTATTCTTGTCCACAGATTGTGTGGAATTGCATCAATGAAACAATGTCGTAAATTGTTATCCATACGTACCTTGGTGAGCTTCTTCTGCTTGATCAGACCGGCTTTCTTGGGTGCGACGGAACGCACACCGGGTCTTGTGGTCTTGGAGGGCCTGGAGTAGGACATAGGTTAGTCTCAAAATGATCTTAGATAGCTAGCACAGTCGACCACAAGTGGCTTTCGATGTCCATCTGGACTGGCACTTACTTTCTGCCAGGACCGCTGGGACCGGCCTTCTTCAATGATCCTTGCACCATGGTTGTGTCGGGGTTGGTTTTGTAGTATGGATTGGAGGTATTTAGATCGATAAGAAGGTCAAGAAGTCGAAAATTCCGTAAAAAAGCACCGCCAGCAGCACGAAAGTGGTTCTGGGCTTCTGTTTCTTTTTTTCTTGGGTGGGTTGCCGGAGGGAAATTTGCTTATCGCTCTTATCTGGTCATGTGATGTGTGGGCCTGGGGTGGGTTTTTCCGGATTCCGAAGTATAGCATGGGCCGGGAAATGAGGATGTGGATATTCTTTTTTTCTCATGAAAACCAGGTATTGAAAAGGCGAAAAAAATAAAAAAAGATAGGTATCCATTTCGAGATCGACCGGAGTCGAACCGGACAGCTGGGTGGTGGAAGATCTTCGGCACTTCCCTCGTGGTACACATACGGAGTATGTTACCACTAGGCCACCTGCTGTGAATTAACTGGTTGTTGTTATCTGTTTGTTTTAGCTCGCGCTTTCTAAGGATTTTGCTTTGTTTTGGTCTATGGGGCTATGATATTTGCCCTATTTACCTCACGGACTTGTGCTTATGCACTCGTAGACCAATGAAGCTAGTTTAAGCCATTTGATATGTCTCTAGTAGACCACTGAAGCTGCATGGTGGACAAATATGTAGTGGTTCTTGGTATAATATCGGATAGCCTCAGGCACTTTTCAAACCTGTTGCCTTTCTCAGTCACCTTGATCTCACATATCAGCATTAGACCTTGGAAGATTGGATCGTGGGTATCCATGGATGTGTATATATATAATTAAAGTCTAATTCGAAGCAGCAGGAGTTAAGCTCCAAAGTTTATCCCTGGTATCATGAGATATTCATGGATTGTCACGCGACTCGTCTAGATACAACCCAGATGCAGCCAATCTAACATGGCAAGATGTCTAAGTACCAACAGAAAACCCCTGGAGAGGACACACGTATAAAGCACCAAGTCATCTATCAGTATGTATACTTGAATCCAACCTGTCCCTCAATTGGCTTTCCACCGGCGTCGACCCGCTTGTTTGCTCGATAGAACTTCAGTGTCAGCAGGCCCACGATCACGACGATCAAAGCATTGGCCAGCATAGTACAGATCAGGCCCGGTCCATAATCTGGTGCATCCTGGGCACGGAATACCGTTGTTCCAATAATGCCACCGATGCTGCCTCCGCCGATCAGTGTCGCAGACGTGAAGGCTCGCTTCCATTGGCCACGAATGTTGTTGCTAAAACAAGGACATGTCAGAACCCATGATGGGATGGGAATAAATAAGGGAACGCTGGGTTCTTACCTTTGCCAAGATACCAGCGCTGGGCAGTTTGCGTTTGCTACAAGACACGTCAGTCGAGCCTTAGCCATGACAAGAGAACAGTTCACTCACCGGCAGCAGTAATTAAAAAGGCTCCGAAGTATCGGGGTGCTGGATTCTCAAGATACCCTAGTAGTGCTAGGCCAACAATGCCTACCAGTCCGTTTGCAGCAACGATGGGTCCCCGTATGCGCCATTTATCTGCGAAATATGCCTGAGTGAACATGACTATGGCTGCTGCAGCATATGGTGGCGCAACAAGACACTGCGCCTTTGCCACAGAAAAGCCCATGCTCTTCTCCAGAATGATTGGCAGGAAATATGCAATCGCATAGGTATTCGTGGTGCTAAGCATGAATAACACGGCGTATGCCCAGACCTTGCTATCTTTGCCGTTTGCGAGATAGCTCTTCAGGGAGAACGGCTCCACAGTGGCATCTGCTCTGTCATTTTCAATTCTGGCAATGACAAAAGAGGCCTCGGTTTGGTTGATGAATTTCCAGGATTTGGGGGCTTTTTCTGGGAAGTCGACTAGAAAGATGTAGGCAATGAGGCCCAGCACGCAGGTTAGGAGGCCTTCAATCTGGATTGCACATTTGATTAGCACACTTTCTCGTCACATGAGGGGTAGTTAGTCTTACAATGAAGATCCACTGCCAGCCCGCTTTCCCGGCTATTCCATCCATTTGCATTAAACCGTAGGCTAAGATACCGCCAAAGCCCGAAGCCATGCTTCCAATCAGATAGAAGGTAGCATTACGCTTCTGCAGCTCATAGCGCGGATACCAAGTACTGAGGAGGTAGACGCTACCGGGGAATAATCCAGCCTCTAGGGCGCCGAGGATTATTCGCAGGCCGGCCAAAGTTTCCCAGTTCGGGGCAAAACCAAATGCCTAAGGAATTGTTAGTGAAGGGCCTAAGTCTTGGCTTGTTTTGCTCGCCATGGAAGCTTACAATCATAACGCCTCCCCAGAGAACTCCGATACTCGAAAGGAAGAGTCGGGGTCCAATTTTGCGAATGACAACCGTGGCGGGGATCTGGAAGATTGTGTATGTGATGAAGAATACCAACGAGACAATGCTATAGCCATTGTTGGATTGGTTCATGTTCAAGTCTATTTGCATCCTGGGATAGATTCCAAGGTTAGCTGGACGAATGCGTGTACATGTCAATCGTCAGTCTCCTTCCATGTCACTTACCCTGCAACAGAAGCAGCCCCAAGATTCGTCCGATCTAACAGACTGATACAATACAGACATCCCAGTGTGAGAACCAGGCGAATATCAATCCGCCGGATGAGCTTCTTCTGCTCATCTGGACTGAAAGAGTCGATTATCTCCTGGTGATGGAGGGCCCCCTTTTCAGTGTTCTCGATCTGCTCGACATCGTCCTTATGGTGGGAGTCTTTCATGATCCTTGCTTTGTGAATTGGGCTCTCAAATGGCTCAATGAAACAATTGTCTTCTCCTCTGTGCCATGGTGAATATATACTTCTCCTCTTTGCGGGGTAAGTCTAGCTTCGGCACTAACGTCAAAATCCCACATTTCCCCCGCGAACTGGCGCATCTTGGCGATACATCCCAGCGTAGAATTATCCTGCGCTCATCCGAGGTTGTCTGATCCCGGCTGTTGATTGGGCTGCCAAGCTCCGGTGGGAGTTGTTTGGAGTCTATCACCATGGGTTGGATCTTCCACCGGGGCTTGTTGATCGGCAAACTACACAGCTTTTGACGGAGGCTTTTCGGTGGCAAAGACAGGTGCCGCCCTTGGGAAAGGTCCCAAGAGGCCTAGGCGTTATTCGGCATTCAAAGCTCCCGACGACAGCATAACGGCCCAAGGGCCAAGCTGGCTGCTGTGTTATGCATCACATGATATGACTCTCGTGCGATAGTTTAGCGAATGCCTCGTAGGGAGATACCTTAATATTGAGATTTTATGTGACAGGCTTATGGATATATGTTGGTTAGATCATTGTACGTCTCTGGGGAATCGATGTCATCAATGGGTTTCATAGACTTTGAATATTTATTGCAATTGGGTCTTGATATCAATATTTTCCGTGAGATTGCTACTTACTTTGATCTATTCTTGCTCCCTAGCTGTCTCCACACGAGCCTTGCGCGAGCTGATATTGTTTAAAGCATACTGGATACTAGCGAGAAGATGGAAGACGGAAGGGTCTCCAAAGGAACATTTGGTTTAAGTTGAAATATGACAGCTTAGAAGATATTGTACATGATGCCAAAAAAAATTACACTCAAAGCTTACCACCAGTGATTGCCTCGGCAAGCTTCTTAACACGTTCCTGACTAAGATCCCAGCGCATAGCCTCGTTGGCGCGAGTCTTGTTGGCAAGACTGTTGATAGTAGGGGGGTTACCCAGGTTCCAGATGTTCTCGCCGGGTTGGTGATCGTTGCGCCATGCCTCATTCTCGCCCTCGGGGAAGGCCCGGTCGATCTCAGCGGCGAGCTGCTCTTCCGTTGTAATGAAGGTGCGAGCATTCATATACAGAGCCTGGATGTGCTGCTTGCGCTCAGCTTCTTTTTGCGCCTGCTTGGATTCCAGGCGTGCCCGAGAGAGGGCAAGACGTGCCTCCCGGTTGGGGTCGGGCAAAACTGGCTGTTTCTGGGGCATCATCGCTTGGATGGTGGATGGCCGGGTGAGGCGTTCGTCCTCACGCTCAGCCTGCTGAAGAATGCGGTCCCGCCGATTCTGACTTTCAAGACTGCGGCTGACAATTAAACCATCTGCGGTCCTCTTGCGCGCGTACAGTTCCTTGAGACCCTCTCGCAGGTTCTGTCTCCGCAAATCCGCCATCTTGTATTTCCACGCCTGCTTTTCGGGATCCTTGCTGTCGGGGCTCACTGTGCGCTCTGACTGGGGGAGTGGTGTGGCTGCATCGATATATTGTTTCCGAGGCTTGTCCGCTCGACGGGCCGGGAAGAGTTCGCGAGGCACGGGTAGAGTACCTCTGACATGAGGTTTGCTGGGGTTGGTGGGCTGAACAATCTTTGGCACATTGATGAAATGAGGGGACTCAGGCCCGACTCGAAGCTTGGAGGAGGAAGCAAATCCACGGACCTGCACGGTGGCAGTCCGGCTGTTGCGGAGGGCAGACATGCGGCGCAATTCAATCCCGTCACTCCGTGGAGCGATCGAACTGACAAAGAATTATCGTAAAAGTAGGGGATGAGTGAAAGGCCAATGACACGACCCTCAATTAAACCGAGAGGTAGCCTGAGGTTGATAACCGTATAATAGGGAGGATACGCGGTCGAGCAAGTCGGAAGAAACAGAAGCGATTTTCCCTTGGCCCGTGCACCGAATGTCTTGGCGCCAAAAAAAAATAATTCCTTCGCCGCCTTTTCTTTTTCTTCTTCTTTTCTTTGCACTCTGCCACTCTCCGTGTTTGGTCTTGCCTTCGATTTATTTTTCATCCAGGCACATTTCTCCTTTGTCACTCCAACCTACTCTATCATGGGTACAGGAAAGAAGGAGGCCGCTCGTAAAGAGCGGCAGGGGAAGGTCGACGATGGCATGGCAAATGTCAAGTCCAAAGGTGAAAATTTCTACCGGTATGTAAACCTTCAGCCAACATTTCAGTCAACCTTGATCAGCCAATACTAACCTGTCTACCAGCGATGCCAAGAAGATCAAGACCTTGAACATGTTCAAGGATGGCAAGGCACGCCGCAACGCACGGGGTGAAATCACAGTCGCTGCGAGTTATCAATCCAGAGATGTGCCCACAGCCCGCATCGAGCCACACCGTAAATGGTTTGCCAACTCGCGAGTCATCTCGCAAGAGGCATTATCCTCGTTCCGTGATGCTGTTGCTGAGCGTGCTGCCGATCCCTACCAAGTTCTTCTGAAGACCAACAAGCTCCCCATGAGTTTGATTCGGGACAATGACACGGTCAACGGACTGAAGCAACATCAGGCTAAGATGGCTATTGAGACTTCTCCTTTCAATGATACCTTCGGCCCCAAAGCCCAGCGCAAGCGGGTCAAGCTTGGTGTCTCGTCTCTTGAAGACCTTGCTGGCGAGACTGCTAAGCTGCAAGACTCCTACATCGAAAAGAACGATGAGGGAACCTACGCAGATGGAAGTGCGATTGTCCGCGGCGATGACACTGCCGCCGTGGAAGACCTTGGTCTGCTCACTACATCTCGTGAATCTGTGTTCCTTAAGGGACAGAGTAAGCGTATCTGGAACGAGTTGTACAAGGTCATTGACTCTTCCGATGTCATTCTCCATGTCCTGGATTCTCGTGATCCTGAAGGTACCCGTTGCAGAAGTGTTGAAAAATACATTCGCGAGGAGGCTCCTCACAAACACTTGGTTTTCGTTCTGAACAAGTGTGATCTCGTCCCCACTGGCGTTGCTGTAAGTCTCACTATCCCCCCTTCACTTTGTTTACATCCTGCCCTACTCTTGCTTCTCTTGCTTTTCCTGTGTTTTTTTTTTTTTTTTTTGTTTCTCCCCCTGTTCCATCGCTAAGTCAAGGCTTCTTCCTGCGACTCATGTCGTGCATGACTTCGGTCGTGCTTTTTTTCAATGGAATTCCGTCTGTTACAGCTTTGGTATATTAACACTGGCCCGCACCGAATTTCGTTATGAACCTAGGTTGACTTGCTCTCGTCTTGAGAGCCTGTCGCAAGGGTCAGATGTGTTTTGTTTTTGAGTTGAACTCTTGCTTCTGCCTTTTTTTGGTGGCTTAGTGGCAGAGTTCTTAGTAACATCCCACACATTCCATTTTCACAATGTTCATTCATTGCTAGTGACTGATTGCTAACTTTGCATCTTTGACTAGGCCGCTTGGGTTCGCCATCTTTCTAAGGATTACCCTACTCTTGCATTCCATGCCAATATCAACAACTCTTTCGGCAAGGGTTCTCTGATCTCTCTGCTCCGTCAGTTCTCATCACTCCACTCGGACCGTAAACAGGTCTCGGTTGGTTTGATCGGCTACCCCAACTCGGGCAAGTCTTCCATCATCAACACTCTCCGCAACAAGAAGGTGTGCACAGTCGCTCCCATCCCGGGTGAAACCAAGGTGTGGCAGTACATCACTCTGATGAAGAGAATCTACCTCATCGATTGCCCCGGTGTCGTTCCTCCCAACCAAAATGATACCGCAGAGGATATTCTTCTCCGTGGTGTTTGCAGAGTTGAGAACGTTCACAACCCTGAACAATATATTCCTGCTGTCCTCAAGCGTGTCCTGCCCCGTCACCTTGAGCGTACCTATGGTATCAAGCACCAAGAGAACTACCTGGACTGGCTCGCCCTTCTTGCCCGCCAGGGTGGTCGTCTTCTCAAGGGAGGTGAAGCCGATCTGGACGGTGTCGCCAAGATGGTGATCAACGATTTCCTTCGAGGAAAGATCCCCTGGTACACACCCCCACCCAAGCCTCCGGGCAAGGACGAGAACAGCGAGAAGGGTGATGCGCCTGCCGAGGGCGTCGAGGGTCGTGAAGGCCGTCTTGGCGAGATGCCTCGCAAGCGCAAGTTGGATGAAAACAACGAGCCTGCTGCCAAGGAATCCAAGACTGAGTCCGCTCAGCAAGATGCCGCAGATCCCGATGACAGCGACAATGATTCCATCGCCAACATTGAGGTCAGCGATGTGGAGAGTGGCGAGGATGAGTGATTGATCCATCGATGTTTTCTCTAGCACTCGTGTTTCATCTCCATTCAGCCTTATGAAAACAGGCAATCTGCCCACATGAGATCAGCTAGGCATGCTCTTGAGATACCAGAGCTTCTGGCTGGCTCATTCCCCCAGTTCCGCAGCGAGCGGACTTGGCTCTCCACACAGCACCTCACGTATGCTTGTACGGCGCAGCAGTTTGAAGGTTGTCTTGCGACACGTCGCCCAGCCCTGAAGAGCGCCTGCTACCATATTGCTGCGTGATCTATCGTGAGCATCCCGGTACAAATCTTGTACAACACCTGGTGTTTTGGTGTCTCACCACCAGCTCCAACTCAGATACCCGATTCAATAGGAATCAAAATGAATGAAAATATTTCGCACCCTAATCTCTTCCTCGTTCTCAGTAGTCGTAAAATCACATCGTATTAGTCCCATGCACTGCTCCGTATAATCCAACCTCGCATGCTGAGATCCGTTCTGCGGTTCTCCACTCCAGAACCACGGGTTGAATCCGGGGAGAGAAGCGCGGCAGAAAATAGCGACTTCCCTGGTCAAATCCACCTGGCACTGGGTCATTTGCTTTCCATCAGAAAGCTACACCTGCTGGTCTGCATCTCATTTCTTCACTTGCTCTTTCCAAGGCGCCTGACGGGCCAAAATAGCTCGCAGACCATGATAATTCCGATGAGCGGTTGGTACCATTCTCAAAAGATCAAGCACATTAAACCCACTGCCCGGATCCCGAATGGAGGGATCGGCACCTGCATCCAACAGGATCTCCACAACCTCAAATTTGAAACGCAGACTGGCAATCCATACTGGTGTGGCTCCAATACGACCACCGGGAGCATTGACATCGATGTCTGGGTCCGACGCGAGAAGAGACTTTACGACAGGAACCATGCCAAAGGAGGCGGCGTAGTATAGAGGATGCGTTGTGTCAATGGCCATGATATCATTTTTGCATGTAGCGGTGGTCGTCTGAAACAATGTCTGTATCCAAGTGCCATAATTTCCTCGGCCAGCAAGGGTTCTCGTAGCAAAGAACTTGTGGACCATATACTGTTGTGGATCTCCAAACCCACAAGCAGCACCATGCTCTGGCCAAAAGTTTGCAGCGTAAACTATGAACGGATGATTATCTCTCAGCTTTGATGGATTGTCAGGATATGCTAAGTATCCCTGCGCGAAATTGTCGAGGGAGAGGTATGTGAGACAGCTGTGCATGGCTTTCAGGTCCGCACTTGCAGGATCCAGCGCAAAATATTGTACTCGAGATGAGCGGATCCAATCAGAGGTCAGGAAATCTTTGACAGATGAATGTGCCAGGCTGAGATAGCCGTCTTGGTCTTCAGTGATGAGCCCTTGGCATACTTGAAGAAGAATGTGGGGAGGAACAAGCATCATGTCCTCGTCAAGTGTCATGCATGTCTCATCTAGTACCACGATCTCGTTGAGACATTTCAAATTTAGCGGCTTCTTAGCGAAGCTTAGCCAGAAGAGGGCCTCGCGAGCAATCTTCCAATCGTCAGGGGCAATTCCTTCTAACATGCTTGCATAGGTCTCTCGCAAAGTCCCTGGGAGGTTCTTCAAGGCCTGTCGCATGGCCCTTACAGATCGCTGCGTGCTCAGGTTCTCCAAAGAGAGCTGAACCCAACGGAAACTAGAAGAGAGGAGTTAGGAATCAAAGAATAGGGCCTATTGATGGGTTCTACTAACGATCCATCGGCGCTGCGAAAGAGATTCCATTCAATCTCTGCTTTAAACTCCGACTCGAGGTTTCTGAGCGTATCATCGGTCTCAAGTCGATATTTGATGAAGGCATCAATGTCCCCCCGTGATTTCCAGCTTATATTCAGGATGGATGCACCTGGTTGCTTGGCGGAATTTGTGGTATTTGTAGTTGTTATAATCACACGAATATTCTTGCACAACCCGGCAAGCCTCAGAAGAGCTACCTCAAGAGGCTGCATATCATAGCTTTCGTTGATTGCATCAACTAAAAGGATAACCTGGATCTTTTCGGAAGCACACCTGGCAATGGCAGATTCAAGAACAGACATCTCAATAGGAAACCTAGTCGTTTGACTCCTCGGACCTTTGTTATAGATAGATCGGATTTCATCCAATATCGAAGGAACTGTACTCGAAAGCTGTGCTACCAGTGATCCTAGAACATTTCTTGCATTCTGAGATGCATTGTCTCCGATTGAGCAGTAAAAATAAGCAACGCACATAGTCTGGCTCTGAGAAGCCAGATACGTGAGTTCATTAGCAGTTTGCGCACTAAAGCATGTTAGATACAAAAGCAACCCTTTTCCCAAGGGAAACTTACAATAGTGTGCTTTTTCCAGTTCCAGCTTGATTTATTATGTCAGTGAGGAGGCTTTGAAGATAGCAGTAGCTACATACATTTTCCGAAAAGGAAGAGAGCTCGGTCTTCGTCTTGAATCAGGAACTTCTTCAGATGGCCGTCAATAAACCATCTACCAGTCCCAATATTGAGCCTTTTTGATGCCCGCAGGTGAGAATTTTCAGGGTTCATAGGAGCTATCCATTGAAATATCTTTCTGTTAGCAACTTGGTTTCGCTCTTGGGTTCGAATCTGCAAGTCCTCCTTAACTGCACTTGTCAGATCACGAATTTCATGTTGAATGTCCCGATCCGCTGAATTGTGGTCTGCCAGGAGGACCAATATCAACCACGATTTGACCCTTTCCAGACGAATCAGATGCTCATTGGCTTCCTTCTGGGTGAATGGCCATTTGAGGGTCTGCTTGAGACGCTTGAACTTGGTCTCAGAGGTTTCCAAGTCAGTGAGTAAGGATTGCAGGAATTCATTGGTTGTATGCAACACTCTTGCCAGAACCTCGCGATCAAATGGGCTTGTTTCCGAATGTTCCCATTCAAAAATAGCATCTGTCTGCACGGCAAGGTGTTCCAGGATTCCCTTGAGAGCAAATAGCTCTTCGCTAAGTTTGCGTACTTCAGACTTTGCAGTCTGTACCGTTTTGGCATATCGAATCAGACTCGATAGGACATGGCTGACCTCTATCACGAGGCCGGTGATTGAAATTGGGTCCATTGTGATTCCAATCAGGCTGAAATTGGGTTTCTGTGTATCCAAAGTCGAGAGCTGTGTGGGTTGTTGACTGGAGGTGGACCCCGCTTATAGATCATCCACGTTGGTCTGTTTCAGTTCTCACGCACACATTCAAATTCCATCCCCTTTTCAATTCAAGATCAGGCTGCATGGGAGTGCTGTGCAATCTAAATAAATATCCATCTCATCGTCAGTGAAGGAGGATAAACAAGCACGGGAAGAGAGATACATATTGCAGCAAAGATATTGACCAAAGTGTCGTTATCCGCTGCCGTCGCCTCACCGCCCCAACAATACATCGTCATCGATGAGCATTGTCATCCCATCACGTCTCCAAAATGCCCGCCGACATGTCTATGGTCCCCTACAATAGGGGGGATTCTGATGTGGTACTGTAAGTAATTTCAATTCCTGTGCTGGTGATTATCTAATTATCAAAGACGGCACAATGACTCGGTGGTTGTGTTCGACCATGACTCTCAGCAGCTCGTTCTCCGCAATACGTCAGACACGGACATTGGCGACATGGAGCTAGCCGACTGCCCATTCTGCCATCGCTCAATGCGCGAAAACAGCAGAGAAAGGAATTGTGTGAACGCCGAGGCCGAGGGAGAATTTATTAACCCGAATTACTTTCGCATGCTCAACAATAGCCTACCCGGCTCTGAAGCATCCTCGACTCCTCCGTCCCCACGCCATCGCTTTGTTCAGCCTGCACTCCCCGTTGGACCTACAAATGACACACGCGCTCAGTCTCCCTCGTCACCGCAAGGGATCTCCTCTGCGGCATTCAGCCCCGATTACTTCAAGAGATTCTTCGTGGAGGAACGAGTGCTGGGTAAAGGTGGAAAGGGAGTGGTGCTACTGGTGAAGCATGTCTTAGACAGCGTGTCACTTGGGCATTACGCATGCAAGCGTGTTCCTGTCGGTGATGATCATGAGTGGTTGGAAAAGGTACTGGGCGAAGTGCAGTTGTTACAGCATCTCTCCCACCAGAACCTTGTCTCATACCGTCATGTCTGGCTCGAAAATGCAAAGATAACCACCTTCGGCCCAAGTGTGCCTTGCGCATTTATATTGCAGCAATACTGCAATGCTGGCGATTTGCATGACTATATTTGCGGATCCATTGAAACCTCAACCACTGCACAGCAATTAAAGGACCGCCTCCGCCGCAAATCCAAGGGCGAACCCGAACCTCGAACTAAGCTGGCAGGGGCTCGCACCCTCCAGCTGGATGAGATCTACTCTTTCTTCCGTGATATAACCTCTGGGCTTCGCTATCTTCACGCCAGTGGATACATCCATCGTGATCTAAAGCCACACAATTGCCTGCTCCATGAGACCAGTGATGGCATTCGGGTTTTGGTCAGCGATTTCGGCGAGGTACAGTCCCAAGATGCAATGCGCAAATCAACCGGTGCGACTGGTACTCTTTCATACTGTGCTCCTGAAGTTCTTCGTCAGGAGTATCCTGACGGTCCATTTGGCAATTTCACCTTCAAATCCGATATTTTCTCCCTCGGCATGATCCTTTACTTTTTATGCTTCGCGGCACTTCCATACGCAAATGCCGATTTAATCAACGAGGAAAAAGAGGACTTGGATCAGCTCCGCGCCGAAATCACCAGTTGGGCTGGGTTTGACCATGCACGAGCTATCCGCTCCGATCTCCCAGAAAAGCTGTACAGGTTCCTAGAGCGCTTGCTCTCAGTCGATCCTGCTCGGAGACCCTCCGCCGAGGAGGTATTAAATGGCATCCAAGTTGGTGCCAACGCAAACGAAAACTTCCGCTTCAGAAAGGCTAGCTCGGGAAGTTCTGACCTGCCTACCGCTCGAATCCGCCCATTAGATAGCCCGCAGCCATCGTTGGAGCGGGCTCTATCCCCTACCAAAAAGCTACAACGAAACCCAACATCCTTCCGGCGTGACTCGATGTTTGACTCGAGCAAAGTTCGAAACGGTGCAGCACCAGTGGTTGACCGCAGTTCAGAGGAAAGCTCCTCTTATAGCCCGGATCGAGACATGGTGGTCCGGCGTCGCTATTCAACTACGCAACAAACGTCTCCCGCTCCACGCCCTCATGTACAATCGTCGCCCCTAAATTCTCAACCTCAATCAATGCCTCAACATCATCTTCTCCCACCCCCACCGAGCCGCTTTCCCGTCCTAAACTCCCTAGCATCTTTGGCCCCATCTTCACCCTCATCCATCTTACAACTCACACTCTTCCTCGCCAAAGTCACATCGCTCCTCCATCCATGCTCGCCATTAGCGGTCAATCCTTGGATTCTTTACCCCCTCCTTATCTCTGCAGCATTCACCTTGAGAACTCGCAATATTTGGGCTCAAGGCGTTGCCCTCTTTCTTCACATACTGGTTGTCGGGTTGGGTTTCCGTCTAGGTGCCCTGTGCATCTGGCACCAAAATTCAGAGATGCACTTGTAACTCCGTACTTTTCTCAGCATCCTCGGCATTCTGTTTGCAGCCTTTTGTTTCTTTGTGTACATCTACATGACCCGGCATGATAACCCCTGTTCAACGAATGAAAACGCGATGTTCTTTCCCAGGATGGAGATATGCAGCCACCCCATAAGATGTGTATTTCTATCGATTGTATTCTACATTGCTCAGAAGCAAAGTCAACGTCCACCCATCTACCCCCATCATCGCTGAGTAAGAAGGAACCAGAAGATTTTTCGCATCTCCTTGATATCCTCCGAAAGAAACATGTATTAATTAGCGTTTGCTTTGATCGTGTTGATCCGGTAGTCCACTAGGCATAGAATTTCCCGGGATGTTGTCGTCTGCATTCTGGTTCTCTTGGCCCGTTGGCTCGTAGGCTCGTAGCTAGCCCATTCTAGCGATCCAAGTTCGTGGGGACCGGGAAAACTCATACTTTCTTTGACAAAGTAGAGGCGCAACACATCAAGAATATAATGAACCCAAGCGCATCACATCCCTACTAGCAGGATTTGGCAGGATGATACCCTGATCAAAGAATAGCCTCGTCGGCAGTGGATCAGAGATTCTTGGACAGTGATCAGTGATCTTACAAACCAACCGAGCCCATAGCCAAGCTCTTGCATGCAGGAAGAGGTGATCCTTTCTTTCGAGTCTCTTTGTCGAGTTTGCTTATTTACTGACTCGTCGGTCTTTCTTCGAACCATCTCTTTTAACGTGGTGAACACATTCTTGCTCGATACCCTGCTAGTCCCCAAACTGCGAGAGTCAGCCTCCAAGTTCAATGTCACACCTCACATTGTCATCCGAAACACCATGTCTCAACATACAGCTCATGCGCCTCCTATCCACCGACTCGATACTCAGAACGAGGGTGGCATTTTCAAGTCGTTGGACAGCCATGATATGACCTCGGCGGATCGATATGTCCTGTCACAGATCTTGCTGACTTTTGGTGTAGGATTTGCAAAGTGACTCGCGCAGGGTGAAGTGCCGCTGGTTTTCATCAACTCGGTAGAACGCGCATTCGCTCCGATGGCGAGTTTGGAGAGGGTTGGTCCTTATAGCGGAGCAAATTTCGGGGATTTCGGGATGGCGTATGATAGTCGCGCTCTGGTTCATGCGATCATGGTCGATGAGAAGAGAAGCATGACCCAGGAAGCCTTCTTCGAGGAACTGGTAGCCGAGTTGGAGAAGATTGCACCTGGTGTAACCTCCTGGTGTTGAGTGTCCGTCTCTTTCAGTTTGCAGATTAAAATGGCTGTTGGCTCTGATGGATAGACTGGACCCTTCGACGTAATGCGAAAATCCACGCCAAGTGATCAAGGTCCATCAGGGTCAATAGTTAGGTGTGGGAGTGATGCAGGTTTAGGTAGAACCAAGTGGAGGACTCGACAGCCGAACTAGGACGCTACGGGACAGAAGGTGCTGGAGATGAGTGGGTGTAGATAGACAACTGAAGTCGAGATACAAGTTTATTCACACTGAGTCAAGCTACATATAAAGATATAGGATTGTAAGGGATGTCGAGAGAGATAAAATAAACCACATCTCCATTTATCGAAATCCCCAAGAAGCAGTCAATACTCGCGTAGTTGCTCTGAACCTTCCAAAGGAATGGAACGAGCATCATACACTTTCTTCCCTATGCTTAACAAGGGAACCCAAAGAAGTGCAGCCAGAGAAGCTCTCTTTTCGATCTTGGACTTCGGTTGGTGAGTGATACCACGGTTTCCTATCCCACGCAGAGCGAGGTCCACGAAGAGACAGGGGTATGCACCTTGTATGATCTTAAGGGTAGGTACCCGTTAAGAAATTTGAAGTCCTTTGGTCAGAGGGAAGAAGGAAAAAAAAAGGAAGAGAAGAAAGAGAGATTGAGGGGGACGGGACCTTTTATAGAAGGGACTAAGGGGTACTTCGTACAAACAAAGCAAACGTCACATGGTTGGCTAAGGAAAAAGCAAAGTTTACTTCCACACACGACTCTACTCATAGACACATGACATTGGATTTGGGTAGCAGTAGCCTGAATCTAATGCAAAACTACCCCATTCGGGAAGCTTTGAACTTACTCACCCGCTTAGGCGGCTCCTCTGGCTCGGGAGGGAGGACCTGCTGTTCCTCGTCTTGCGACACGCCATTCATGCGGTTTTGCATATGGAAGAACTCCGACGCAATCTGCTTTTGATGAAGCTCCTCGTCGTAGTGGTCCAATTCGGGGGCGACTGCAGCCCCTGGCTTGACCTGTCGCTCGAAGACTTTCTCGGCTAGAGTCCGGTCATGCGGGAACTGAGGCGGAGAGGGTTTCTCGGGCGTTTCGGTGATATCTGTGATCGGCATGGAAAAGGGTTTGGGTGCTTTTGGTGTTGCTGGGAACAGGGCAGGTGGTACTGCAGATGGAGCTACATTGGCTTGTTTGCGAAGACGAGCCTCGGTGGCTTGTGAGGGATTTGCGATTGTAGCCCCTGTAGTGACCTGCTCACTTGCAGTGGTACCGGAAGCAGCACTCCGGGCACTCTTGAACTTCGACGCCTTCTTGGGAACAGCTGGAACAGCGGGAGCGGTTGAGGGGGGTTCTGAGGACCGGCTAGTACGTTCAACAATGGAATCAGCGAGCACCTGAGGTTCAACTTGTGAAGCTGGAGCTTTCTCAATGGGGGCTGGAGGCGCAGGAGCTGGTGCGATGTCAAGATCATCGGCGAATGCGACCCGCTTCTTAGGCTTCTTCTCTTTACCGGAAGTCTCAACCACGGTAGGCTTCTCGATCTCTTTCTGCACTTCCTCGGGGAACGTCTCAGTATCCTTGCCCATGTTCATTAAGCCACGAGCATTGAGTTTGGCCTCCAGCTCCATCATCTGTTGATGATATTCCGGCGTGAGGCGAGTGTGAGAGCGGCCGTAATCGTCTTCATTCTCCTCTTCATCATAGTCATAGTCGTATTCCTCGTCGAAAGAAATATCGCTTGCGGACTCATCCATTTCCAGCTCTGCGACGATAGCACCGACCTCATTGATTCCGTAGTCGAGCATTTCACGGCGAAGCCTTGCTTCTTCCGCGGACTCATTGACATCGGTGACAGGGGGTTGCATGCGATCTTCGGCAGTCACGACAGACTGAGGTTGGGAGAAGTGCAGGGAGGGACCGCTTGGCTCCGCAGCTTCATTTTGGCCGCCGCTTGAGATATCATTATGCTGATCTGCGCTCTCTGAGACACTTGGCTCACCCAGCGCAGCTTCAGATGTAGCATCGGTGGGGTTGGCAGCAGTCTTCTCCGGCTGATTGGTCTCTGGAATATCCTTCACACCAGCCTTCTTCAGCACATCCAGCAATTCCGAAGCCTCATTCCCGGGAGTATTGATCTTGCTAGAGACAACGTTTCCATCTTCATCAAGCTCCTCCATGATCTCCTGCATCGGGAAGTCCGAGCCATCGCGGACTGGTGGTTGATCATCCAGGACCAGGGCGTGGAGTTCGTCCTCGGCTTTCTGCAGGCGCTTCTCCATGGTCGCGACATTCTGCTTCACATAATCGATTCGTCTTCCCAGAAGATCAATCACTTGCTCACGAGACCGTGCCACGCCTTGGGTACCAAGTATCGTATGCATTTCCTTCTGGTCCACCAGCGTGCCACCGAATTCCTCGGCGACGGCGATAAATTCGTCTGTGCTGGCATCATCTTCCAGATGAGTTATCTCCTCGCGGATTCCATCGTATTCAGCTTCCCAGGTTCGCCAGTGGTAAAGCGATTTCTGAAGTTGGAGGATGTTGTCTTCGAGCGCGAGACGCTGCTCCTCGAGAGCATCAAGATTAGGGTTCGGTACCCCCATGATAGATAATGTAGAAATTTGAGCAACAGCGTCGCACTGTTCCCGTCAAGTGGAAAAAAGAGAGGAAAGCGACGGTGTTCGGGGGCAACGGGGGAAAAAAAGAAAAGAAAAGTCCCAAAAAGTTGAGACGATATGGTCCGTGCGCCTGAATTGCTTATCGGCTTCAACTGAGTCCGCGGGCCATCCCTCACACGTCACTCCACTCTCACTATGGCTTCCGATGCGGCTTCCCGCCGCGATGAAGATGGTACGTTTGTATAGCTTTGTTGGTATGGGTTATTCTAACATCGGCTTGTTCCAGAGGTCTGCCCTGTCTGCAAATCGTCGCGGTACCTCAACCCGGACATGCGCTTTCTCATCAACCCTGAGTGTTACCACAAGATGTGCGAGTCATGTGTGGACCGCATCTTCTCATCTGGTCCTGCAAATTGTCCAGTAGCCGGATGTCGCAAGACGTTGCGCAAGGCCCGGTTCCGCAAGCAGACGTTTGAAGATATCGGGGTCGAACGAGAGGTAGATATTCGGCGGCGCGTGATGCATATGTAACGTCCCCTTTGCGAACCCTGCCCTACAATAGGAAGCTCTAACATTATCTTTTGATCAGCCTGAACCGCCGTGAAGAAGAATTCGACTCAAAACGTGCTTACGACGACTTCCTCGAACAAAGAGAAGACATAATCGCAAATCTAGTAAGCCGCATCGACGTGGCGAAAACAGAAGCTCAGTTGCAGAAATATGCAACAGAAAACATGCAATCGATCCGCGCAAACCAAGCTATTGAAGCCGAGGAAGCTTCCTCATTCCAGGCCCGCATAACCCTTGAACAAGAAGAAGCCCGACTCCGCCGCCAAGCAGCACGCCAGGAATACGAGACCGAGCGACGCGAGATGCAAGCAGGCCGCGAGGACTTCCTCTCCAGACTCGCCTCCGGCTCATCGACAGACGCCGCAGCCATCGCGCGCGAAGGCCACAGAGTGCTGCTTAAGAAGTCGTCCGCGCGTCGCAGTGAGGAAGAGCGTATTAGACAGAAACAAGCTGCGCTGCGTGGATCAGAGACCAAGCGCGGGACGACTCTGTCGACGGCGGAACTTGCTGGTGCGGGGGATACCGGGCTTGTCAAGGGTCTGCGTAAGATCAAGACGCCTGAGCCGGAGAAAGCGTACGATCCGTTTATGGGCTATGTGGCCGAAAAGCGCGACTACTACTCTCTCCAGTCCTATTATCCCTCTCAGTATCTTGATCCTATTCGCAATGATGCGCGAATGCTGGCTGGTGGGTATGACTTGCGTGAATACTACTCGCGCACACTGCTCGAGGCCTTTGCCGGGTTGAGCTGCTTCGTTGGGGAAGAAATCACTCAGCGAGATACCACTAATGTTACGAAGTCGACGGCTACCGAAGGTGCGGCTTTGGCTGCGGAGAGTGGCCATGGCTCTACCTAAATGATATTTCGACCTGACTTGCATGGTGATTGGGTTTTGTACAATGAGATATTGAGCATAGCGATGGCGTTTTTCTGTTGGCTTGGAATATCTATCTTATAAACTTTCAAGCGAAAGCGAGGTTGAAGGAAAGGTAATAGAATTTGTTTTGAAAGGCCACGCTACGGCCGCAATGACATTTGAGTATCAAGAACTACCTAACCAACAACCAATTACCCGATCCAGTAGACTTAAACATACAGATGGGACAGACTCCATAATTCAGCGCCAAAGTAGCAATCAGTGTACCAAGACAGCAGCGAGGCTGTCAGAATAATATCAACAAACGCAATGCAAGGAATATTTTCAGTGACCGGCCAAAGAAAGGTGGCCAGTCATCTCAGAAGAGCTTTCAATGCCTTCCCAAGGCAGGTCCTCCTCATCGTCCAGATCAGTTTGGTCGTGACGAGAAGACTTATCGGTAATACTGGTGATATCATGTGCTTGGGGCATGCCAACATCGATTCCAATAGACTCGAGGGTCATTTCCACCTCTTGTTCGGTGATTTCATGGCCGTCTTGCTTCTGGCCCTCCAGAACATCATATAGTGCATAAATTTGGTCAGACTTCATGTCAATATCTTTGAAAATTTTGTCGATCTTTTCCTGAAGCGCCTTGCGTGGGCGCTTGCCAAGTGATGCGTCAAGCTTGTTATAGGCACTTTGGTATGTAGCCAGTTGCATTTTCAAGTGAGAAAGCTCGTCCTCGAGGCCCTTCAGGACGGTAGCAAGAGCGACAGCCGGGGGTTGCGAGGGGCGCATAGTTGGTTCTTCGTTGTAGATGGATGGCTTGGGCATACGCTCCGAAACAGGAATGGGTTTGGTGACCTTCACGGACTCATGACTGCATGAACCGTCGGTGGAGCGGCCCTTGCAAACTGTGCAGTTCTGTCCATTGTGCCGAGAAATGCTATCCAATGCTTTTTGAGTAGCTTGGGGCAGCTTAGAGGGATCAGAGGCTACCAAATCCACGTGGTGAAGGGTGATGTCAGGAAGGATGAAAGCGGAGGTCATGTCAGCGGCAGGTCGCTGCTTCTTACGCTGGGATGTTGCAGGTAACGAATAGTCTGAGTGACGCCGAGGCCGCTCTGCAATCGGTGCTGTAAGACTGCGATCCTCATCAGTAGTTGCTTTTGAGGCGGCAGTAATGTCGCCAATAGCCGATGCTGGGCGAGGGATCTCTGCTCTTGGTTCGCGGAGTGATGACTTGCGAGGGGCGGAGGTCTTCAGAATGCTTTGTCTGGTTGAGTTGACAGTCTCTGTGGGAGAAGTTTCCTTAGGAGCATTCGAACGTCGTTTGCGCATCAATCTTTCTTCTTCCAAAGTCTTACGTAGACGAGAGATCTCATATTCATCGATAACACTCAACAAAGTGACATCTGTTTCAGATGCGGCCTTGATCTGCTCAGACACATCTGGCTCAGTGGTATCCTCAACTACAACACGCTTCACACGCTGTTTGCTCGTGCTGGACTGTTTCCGGGCGCTCTTCGAGTTAGAAGAGCGAGGGACAGGGGCCTTTGATGACTTGGAGCCAGATGTGCGTCTGGATGACGATGGCATCTCAATGGAAAAGAGAGCCTCATCGGCACGTTCCTTCTCGAGGCGAGAGATCTCCTTGTCTACTTGAGTCGACACCTTGGAGCGTGACTCATCCCGTCGTTTGGTCCTCGTGGTAGAGCGGTTGCTCTTCGATGTGACATCTCTTGTGCTTCGACTCAAATCTGCGCTGCGGTCACTGTAACTTTGGCTGTCATCAGCATCAGAGACATTCGAACTGACTTCGGACTCGGCTGTGTGCTGTTCGCGAGCCTTGCGGCTTGAAGATCGATTGAGCTGAGACTTGAGATCTGCGTTCTCCTGTCTCAATTCCTCATTCTCCGCCTTGAGTTCCCTGGTTTCGAGATAGGCAGCCCCGAGTTGCGAGATAGCCGACTCTCTATCATGATTCAAGCGCTTGATGGCGGATTCTTGAACCTGAGCCTTTCGATCTGCAATGTCCAACTGGTTTTGTAAAGCGAGATTGGCTGCATCCAACTTTTGGTTCTCATTTGCCAGGCGCTTGGATGCCTTTTTGTAGTCATTATCCTCCGAATCATACTTCGCTGATGACTGGCGGGATCTATTCGCCTTCAGAGATGAGTTCTCCTGGCGGTAGTTATCCAGCCTTCTTTCCGCCTCGGACTTGAACATCTCCAACTCTGCCACCTTATCCTGAAGCAGCCTCAGATGAACAAACAAGGCCTTCTCATCTTCAGGAACTGGCACCGCGTCCAGCGGCATGTGTTCATGGGGGAGAGACACATCTGTGATATCATGAAGCGGAGAAACAAATCGAGTAGATCGTACTTTGCCCTGTCGAGAGTAGACAGGTGTGCCATCCTCGTACACACCGGAAACGAGTTCAGAAATATTAGGGAGGTCGGGAAGAAGGAATGACTGGTGAGTCATAGTGTCACCAATGGTGTTAGTGTTGGCTGCATTGGCACTGCTTTTGCGAGGAGTGCCTGCTGTGTTGGAATTAGATTTGCGCAGTTCTTTCGCATAGGCATCGCGCGAAGCTCGCTCAATTGCGTCTGCAATTTCCTGCGAGGTGTTGGCGTTTCCAAAACGCGTCGAGCGCGTCTTCGCGGCAATAGGGGCAGGTCGTTCATCTCCCAAAAATGAACCTTCGTAGGTATCTCGTACTTTCGCGTGCATGTCGGATAATGTCCGACGCTGGTCACGTTGAGCCTTGGAAACTTGTGGGCTCATGTTCTCTTTCTGTGTCTGAGTTGCTCGTCGCACCTGAGCATTCTTTCGTAGATTTTCACTGGCGGCACGACGCGACGGGCGCGTGACAGGAGCGGGCTTTTGCGGCGTAGGATATTCAACGCGTATTGCCGGGGAGGATGAGCGGACACTGTTCTCGAAGCTCATGATCGAGCTTCGCGAATCGTCGCGTCCTGGTTTACCAGCACCGCGTCCCACCTCAACAGACATGTCGAGGTCGCTATGTGAAAGTTCGTCGTCCAATTCCTGTTCCTCTTCCTCGGAGGTCTGTATTTGCGAGAATTCGGGGAAAGCACGATCAAGGGTTGAAGTGTTGATATCATAGTCGAGCTCCTGGTCGACACGTCGTGTCGAGGTGCCCATGATTTCGTCGTCCAAATTGGTGAGCGAAAACGAATCGTCGTGTAGATCCGAATACTTCAATGGAGGCATTCTGAGGGTCAAATGGTATGGAGTGTAGATGGAGGGAGCTGGTTTGTTTTGGAGCAAAGTCGGAATGTTTGGGTCTGGCGCGTCTCGGCAACCCCGGGTGTCCTGATTGGCTGCTGTTCCCCACACTCGGACTAGTGGACTGATTGTTTATTCTACTTTAATGCTTTGATGCTTATTGTATGATAGTTCTTTGACGGTTATGTATGTCTTAGGATTTGTCTTTTATTATTGCCTAGGGACTACCATAGAGCTTGGACTATCGAGTACGGAGTAAGTGTTGATGAACTACTCTACCATGTCTGTACACACTGATCTTTGAAACGGATGATCGTGCCTTAATTTTATAGCTCCAACGAACGGAAATTTGGCCAAGGCTTCGATGATCGATGATGTCCTCTTGGTATACATATCTAGGCCTCTATCATGCCAGTTTCCTGGTTGTGTACCTGTATGTATCGTATGTATGAATCTGAAGGAGATCAAACGATCACCAGTTAAGATGGCTATATTGCTGGAACTATACTTAGGTTGTATGGAAATTTCAATAGGTCTATTCCATTAGGATTCTTATATACTTTCGAAGTGCCACGTATACCGAATATTGTCTTCTTCAACCTTGCGGCTTGCCGTGCAGGGTGATCCCTCTATAGATATATAATTTGTACAAGCATAGGTTGTCCTCACCGAAACATGTATGGAATGTACCGTGGTTATTAGTACGAGAACCTTCTTCCCCCTCCTAATGCTATTTATTCAAGACCACCAACTAGAGCTAGATAATATACCGGGATGTCAACGCTACCCTCGTTCTCGTATGGACAGGAATATACAAGGAGGGTCGAAAAAGCACACATCCTTGCTGCGTCTACGCCGAGTGAACGTAAGACCATCAAACCCAATGGTGTAAGAAATCAGCCGAGCAAAAGGTAAATCGGTCAATATGACCAATCTTACGTATACGGAGCATAAGCCAAGCAAATGCCCATGACTTGTCCAGAGGTTGATAATACCTCTCTGCCCGCAAAGGCAAGGAATCGGACGATCGCTGGACTTCAAACACACCGTTGTCTGAGGGATGCGAAATACCTCCAGTTACATCCATCTGCATACTAAGATGATACAAACCCTCGGTACTCGCAAGTACCTGGCCAAGTCACGGATCTTCCACGTGTCTTCGCTTCAGGCAAGAGCGACCAATCAACGTGACCCGAACACTCACGAGTCCAACGTCTGCAGGGTTAAGCCAAATGCCTTCAGATCGGGTCAACATTGAAGAATGGACTGATTTCCCCTTCTCTGCGACCTTTCTTATCCGTGCAGGGTTTCACGTACTTGTATTTGTACGGGCCGGTGACATTGTGACATCATTTCTACAAGCCCTAATGAGCCCGTCTCGATGGCAGGGTTCTACAATCAAATTCCTGGAGAAGAAGAGAGCCTGCTGGGAGGAAGAAGGAGCCCAAAGTGGAAGCAACAGAAGCAAAAATTACGATGTTGGACTACATTGACTATCATTGCTCTGCTGGGCATTTTGGTATTGACTGTGTACTTTGTGACGGGAACTGAGCACAAGATCTCGCATTCCACAACAGAGACGCCCGACACACAGCATGAACTACCTGCAACGTCATCTCAAGATTGGTCAAAGAGAACGTCTCAGCATGAACAGGCCTGCAATACCATCGAGGAAGGTTACCAATGCAATCCTGCGATCTCCCACCAGTGGGGCCAGTATTCGCCCTACTTCTCTCTTTCCGAGGAATCAGCCATCTCAGGTGATATACCTGGCAATTGTGACATTACCTTTGTCCAAGTAGTCTCCCGCCATGGCGCTCGATACCCGTCATCAACAAAAGGCAAGACTTATGCCGATCTCATCGAAGCGATTGAGGCGAATGCAACTGCATATAAGGGCAAACTGTCTTTTCTCCGTTCATACAGATACAAATTGGGCACTGATGATTTGACACCCTTTGGAGAGCACCAGATGGTGGCTTCTGGCATCAAGTTTTACCAGCGCTATGAGGCGTTGACCAGGCAAGCTGTGCCCTTCATTCGTTCATCTGACTCGGAGCGTGTTGTGGAATCAGGCAACAAATTCATCAAGGGCTTTCAGAAGGCAAAATCGCATGATAAAGATGCGAACCATGAGCAACCGCATCCCAAGATCAGCGTCATCATCTCCGAAGAAAGTGGTGCCAACAACACTCTGAATCATAACACCTGTACGAATTTTGAGACGAGTAGCCTGGGAGATGAAATCGCAGACAATTACACAGCCATTTTTGCACCGCCCATCCGAGCCCGGATTGAGGCTGATCTCCCAGGCGTTCAACTCGAAGACAATGATATCCCACGCTTGATGGACCTTTGTCCTTTCGAGACAGTTTCCCCAAGCTACAACGCAGCCGAACAATCCCCTTTCTGCGACTTGTTCACCGAAGCTGAATGGATTCAATATGATTATCTCCAATCACTGCATAAGTATTACGGCTATGGCGCAGGCAATCCACTCGGCCCAGCCCAAGGGATCGGTTTCGTCAATGAATTGATCGCTCGACTCACAAACACCCCAGTAAACGACCACACGACCACAAACTATACTCTTGACGCACCAGGTGCTGCAACATTCCCCCTCGATTACAATATATACGCAGACTTTACCCATGACAATGGAATGATTCCAATCTTCTTTGCCCTGGGGCTGTACAACGGCACCGCTCCACTGCCACTCACCCACACCCAGACTCCAGAGCAAGCGGATGGCTACTCAGCTGCGTGGACTGTACCTTTTGCCGGTCGCGCTTATATTGAGATGATGCAATGCCGTTCGGACCCAGATCCAGAGCCCTTCGTCCGGGTCCTTGTCAATGACCGTGTTGTTCCACTGCATGGTTGCCCGGTGGATTCACTTGGTCGATGCCGCCGGCGCGACTTCGTGAATGGACTCACTTTCGCACGCTCGGGAGGGAACTGGGACCAGTGCTATGATTAGATGATTCTGAAGAGATTGAATGGTTGGTAAAGAGATGGCTGTCTTCAACGCCCGCGTTGAGCGACTCGATACCCTTAAAACTTCATCATTACGTATTATTATGTGCTCTTTGGCGAATATTATTAGCAGGTGCAAATTATTCCTGAAAATGTCCGAGGAACAAAAATAACTGTAGCCAAATATATAATTGCAACGCTTTAAACAACGCACGCAGGCTATCAATAAGGTAATTCAAACAGCCCCCAACGCCAAAAGAAAAAAGCAACCCAAATCATTCACTAAGTTTTGAATCTCCCCACCAACCCCACAGCTTTCCGTCAACCTCACAGCTCAAATATTCCAATGTGACCGACCATTCCTCTTAGTCCGATGCGGAGCAGAAAGAACCCACGCCTCCCAAAAAGGCATTTGCTCGCGCGAGACATGCACACCGTCATCCCCCAATTCCTCACTGGACAATGTGCGCAACCTCTCAAGCGAGGTCCTCTTCAAGGGGAATTGCCTTCCTCCAATCCAGGCAGGTGGGCCATCTGGCACAAGCATGGTAACAGGAGACTGCACACCTGATGTACCAGCCGCAACAGTGAGCGAGGACGGCGCGGAGACAATAGGATAATCGTCGAAGACCTCGACACCATTCGAGACAGCGATGGAATCAAAATGAGCTGCATAGTCAATATCTCTCAAGACCAGCCGTTCTAGCTGCTCCATTTCATCATGCAGGACAGCAAGGACATCGCGCCACATTCCGCCTGGACGAAGGTAGACGCCGAGCAAGCGGAAATCGCGTAATTGGGAGCTATGGCGGCGGGCCAGGGCCATGATTTCGTCTGCGCTCAGACGCCAGCCTTGGATGCTGAGTTTGCGAAGTGTTTTCCAGCGGATGTGGTGGAAGAGCTGCTCGAGATCGAGGTCGAGAGGTGTTTTGCTGAGGAAGCCGATGTGGATCGCGATGAGGTTTTTGGCGGCTAAGAAGAAGTGATGGAAGACTTCCGTGAGGTCTCTCATTGTTGTGGTAATGTCTGCTGTTGAGTGGAAGTTGATGTCCAGGCTCGTGAGGCGCGCGCCCATGTCGGCGAGGGTTGCTGACGGGGCACGAAGGAGCTGCAGGGTTGCCTCGGGGCTGATTTGTGGCCCTGTGAAGCGGATTGAGCTGCATTTTGAGGCGAGCAGGGCGATACTCAGGTTTGTTATGGCTCGTGAGCAGGCGGTTTCCCAGTCGAAGCGCATGGTTGGTGCATTGCCGTTACCCAGGGAGTGGTCGCGGACGAGGTCAATCAGACGTTCGTCTGCTTCATCTTGGAGTCTGAGGAGCTTTATTTCTTGGAGGGCCGAGAAAGATGCGATTGCGCGTCGGAGGCGGGATTGATCGTTGTTCGTTTCGGTGAGATTTGTTTGCTCACGCAGTCGGCGGCTGTGTAGTTGGGATAGCTCATGATTCTCCGGTCCTAGGGTGCGCAGTATCCGAGCCCATCCTGTGTTGTTATTAGTTGGTTGGTTGCATATGAGAGACCGAAGAACTGGTACCGCTTCCTTGATAAAAGGGCCGCACCATGTATGTGATGGTCTTCACATAGCAAGCCAGATGCATGTCGACCAGTTCGTCTAGTCGACGGAACCCATGATCAGAGAATCGCAGCGTGAAGCGATTAAACCTGTGAGGGGTGCCGATGCGCATGAAACGCTTGCAAACGAGTCGAAAGCGATCGAGGTCAGACGTTTCGCCATGTCCGCGAGACCTGGATGTCTGTCCGTTTCCATTGACTTTACCGTTTAGGGCTCGGGGTGTGGGTTCGAGAAGGAAGGACAAGATCTCGCTCAATAGCTCATCAGCGAGATCATGAATATGACGGGGCTGATCCATGATCGTCGCGCGCAGCCGAACAATCGGCTGCTTGATGAAGTAGCAGCAACATGGAAAGAGGAATTGAGGGAAAGTCGATGTTCTTGACTTGTCCGCAAGACCGGAGAGACAAGTCACGGAGGGAATTGGGAGGGGAAAACGGGGTCAAAAAAATTAAAAAATTAATAAGATATCTACTCGACTCGTCGAGGCTGTCTGCTGCAATCACTACTAGGACAGTTGACTTGTCTCACCATGGCCGCATGGCGAAAGCTCTCGCCCTAACGATTGCTCTCGCGACCGGGGTGATCACCAACGCCCTAGTTTAGCGCCCTTTGCACTGACAAGCCGGGCTCTGTGACCCGATCCCCTTGGTTTCATTGGCGATGCTGCCACACAAGAATCACATGATTGATTGACTCTGCGGCCAGCCAGCAAGAACCTGCAGGAAAGACCATTCGAGGAGAGCGAGTGGTGTTGGAGGGGGCCAATGCAGACCCCGCCGGGAAGTCGTCACATCATGCAGAGTGACGGGACATACGTGCGGATTATGTGTCTGCCCAAGAGGATTGGGGGTTAATGGCCGAAATCAGAATGAGCTAATGTATGTACTGATGAGATTATCTACCGCTAGCTGCCGGATCTTCCATATGTATCTTTACGTCTGTGCCTATCAGACCTTTGCCAGATGCACTTGGCGACGTCTGATATCCGTGCTGCTGATCTTGGCCTCAAACCCTTGGACGTCAGTCCCCATAGCTTCTGCCTCTCCGGACTGGAGTACATCCACCTCGAATACGGCAAGGCCCTTCCAACCTTTCTTCACCCGCTCCTCGTTCACAGCTGCCCCTCCTGAGTGTGTCTCCTTGGAGACAACGATGGCGCCGAGGTTCTCCTCCGTGATTGTGGGCCCAAATGGATCAGAGATCTCCACAAATTCAAACGATAGGTTGGGTTGGATCTTGGTTAGAACAGTCTTGCCATTGGGACCTGGCGCAAAAGCGCGTTCAATGAGCGGTGGTTTCTCCTCCGGCGAGAAGTCCATGATAGCTGTCAGGAAACCTGCAGTATTCTGCCAACGCTCCTCCCAGCTTTCGAGGAATTCGGCATATTTCTTGTTGACCAATAGTGCATCCCCGGTCACCCCGATGGTCAGGCGGCCCTCCTGCTCCCGGCCGAGCGGTTCTAGGACCAGTGCAACTGCTGTGAGTAGAAGCTTGTGACCAACATGAAGGTGATCAAATGTGCCACCTACCACCACAGAAGAGTGTGGGATGGATGGTTCTTGATCATCAGGAATTAACAGGGGTTGCGGTATCGCCCAGTCAGCATTACTTGTGATGGCTTGCATGCTTGCCGCCGCGCCGTCCCGACCCTGGCTGCCAACACTGTTGGTGAAAGAATTGGCCAAATCCTTGCCGATGGTGTTGGACAAGTAGTAAATAGAATCCCAACGGCGTCCCGAATTTGCGAGTGACTGCAAGTGCAGGATGGGCCCAAACCGAGAGTTATCAGAGGTCTGAACGGCCGAGGTATTCTCGCCTGCATCGACAAATACCACCCGGGTATCAATGCCACCTGGAGAATCCAATTCAATGTTTTGTGTTGCACAGACAGCACCAACCAGGGTATAGACGCTTGTCAAGTAATGCTGGAGTTGTGCAAACACTCTGGCCCGAGGTTTGCAGCTTGGAGACAGTAGATCAGGAATGGCCAGGGCAATATCCAGCAGAGCTGTACGGTTGGATCCATCTAAGGCCTTTGAGAGCCTAGCATAGACATCCACTAAGGATGGCTCAAAGGCATCTTTGACTTGAGCAAACGAAAAGGCCGAAGGCGGGGGAAGAAGTAGTAAAGCCGAGGGTGAATTGGTATGATCGGAAGCCATGATGGAGAATATGAAAGCTACGAATTGAGTAACCGGAGTTACAGCTTATATCAACAAATCAATGCTCAACAACAGAACAGAAATCACAGAAACAAAAGCAAAATCAACCTCATCGCTGAAGAAGTGATCGGATCCAATCTCCATTGCAGGCTGGCCGGGGGTTACCCGGATGAGTCAGCCGCTCCCTGAGCCCCGGACGTGGGATGAGATGGCACCGCCCGCTTGTCCTCTCACTCTACTTCTCGACAGAGATGAGGATGCCATTGCGATCCAAGTGAGTTGTTAAGCTGGAACGATAACGGGTTGACACGGTCCTCTGATCGGAGCTCTCTTGAAGCCCACCGCACCCCCGATCTGCGACCCCTCCCCCAACCACCTTCACTGATCTCGATCGAGGGACAGTGGAGCTCAATTTCGAACTAAGAACCCTCGCATTTCCTCTGCATAGACGGCGCTTTTGATCTCCAGCACAGACCGCATTATGTCAAACCCTGCCTCTTACGACTCCCACCGGCGGTCAACTGTGTTCAGTCGCCAACCTGAGGAGCTCCATATTCCATCAACTGGGCTGATCAATCCAAACTTGTCCCGCCAATCATCCTCACAAGACTATCCCACCACACCGGACGCAGGTGCCCGGCTTCCCTCAATTAACGTGCAATCCAGCTCGCATTACGGCGGTGACGGGAACAGCAGCAGCAGCGCACTTCCCGGAGCCTTGCAGTCAGGGAACCAGAACCGCCCGGCAGCAGGATCAATAAGCACAGCTCCCTCGGTCGTCCCTACCATGCCTCAATCATCGTCGCAAACCAACCACCGTGCTAGCATGGTTAATTCACACGGACATTCCCGATCTAGCCCCGCCGGCTTTGACCAGTCGATGTACAAACAACACGGCGCGCCCGATGGCTCCAAATATCCCTCTTCTCCTGGGGCGTTTCCGCCTCACACCCCCCAAGGCTCCAAGTATTCTCCTCTTGGCCTAGCAGATATTAGGCCCTCTGGTGAACACTTGCTGAGCGAGGCGCTCCTAAACCCCGGGGTATCATCGTTGCCTTATAACAATGGAGACAATCAGGTCCCAACCAACAGCAATTACGTGGCGCCGTGGCCTATATATGCAGTGGATTGGTGCAAATGGCCCATTACAGGAAACTCAGGCTTTGGTGGGAAACTAGCAATAGGAAGCTATTTAGAAGACAGTCACAATTATGTATGTGCTTTCGTCACATGAACCCATGTGATTATGCTGACTATTTTTTAGATTCAAATCCTTGATGCACACTGGACACAGCCAGACCCCGACTCGCCAGATGCCGCTGCCGGAGAGATCAAACTGGATTATGTCAAGACAGCCGAGGCCACTCACTCCTACCCTGTCACCCGCATCCTCTGGGAACCTCCATCATCTCAGAAACAATCGACTGATTTGCTGGCCACATCAGGAGATCACCTTCGTCTATGGTCACTGCCAAATTCGCAGCCTCTACAAAGCTCGAACTCGATCACCCGTCCCATGAACCAAAGAGACACTGTTACCTCAAAGCTCTCTCCGTTGGCTTTGTTGTCCAACTCAAAATCACCCGAGCACACTGCTCCTATCACCTCTCTTGACTGGAACACCATTTCTCCAAGTCTGATCATCACTTCGAGCATTGATACGACTTGCACCATTTGGGATATTCCCACATTGACAGCGAAGACGCAACTGATTGCCCACGACAAAGAGGTGTATGATGTTCGATTCTGCGCCAATAGTGTCGATGTTTTCGTCAGCTGTGGCGCTGATGGTAGTGTGCGCATGTTTGACCTGAGAAGCCTCGAACACAGCACTATCATTTATGAGCCCACTGATAAGAACGATAAGCGTAAGTGTCCGTCAATTTACATGTCTACATAATCCGTGCTCTGAAAACTGACAACCGCTTCAGCAGTGATGAGTCCTGGGAGCTCCAGCCCACCTGGCCAATCGCAGACCGGTCTCTACCCTCCACCTTTGTTGAGAATCGCAGGTATGGATGGACTCACCACCGCAAAGAGTATATCAACGACTAACCCAAATACCCAGCCTCTCCCCATGATGCCCATCTCCTCGCAACATTCTCCCAGGACTCCAATGTTGTCCGCGTTCTCGACGTCCGGCAACCGGGACAAGCCCTCTTGGAGCTGAAGGGCCACTCCGCGGCCCTGAACTGCGTGGAATGGTCTCCAAGCCGCCGCGGTATCCTGGCATCCGGCGCTGACGACAGCATGGTCCTTCTCTGGGATCTGATCAACCAGCACAATGCCGCGCCGATCGCTTCTCCTCCTACTATCACACCGGGAGCAGCGCCATCCACTACCTCCGAGCGCGGTCCAGCCGCTGTCTGGCAGAGTGAATATGAAGTCTCCAACATCAGTTGGTCCCCGCAGGGCGGGCCCAACCACACAGGCCAGCCACGGGAATGGCTGGGAGTCTGTGGCGGACGAGGCTTGACTGGCGTCGCGTTATAAGGCAGGTAAAACGGAGATGATCTGGGGTACTTTGTTTGTATTGGTTGAGATCAATGGTGACTATACTTCTGACTTGTTTGGTACGAGTGAATGAATGAATGAATGACTATACGTTGGGTACTGACTCCTTTCTGCTGGGAATAGCCAATGTTGGCTATCACATTCTACGTAGACCATGGTATTCTGGTCAGCTTGGGCTTTTCAAGACCGTATTGAATTTGTAGTGGCCCTAGAGACGATACCTATTCTCGTTACATCCTGACTAAGAATCTCATGCAATATTGAGACGTGTTTGATTTCATTTTGTGAAAGAGAAGTGTATATGAGGTCTTTGAACGATGAGTCTATGTAACAGCAGCATGGAGAGAGACCGAATCTCCAATGCAGTAAAAATAACTAAAGCAGCTCGTCCAGCGAGGCAGGTATCATAGAGAATATAAAAGGTAGAGCAAAAGAGAGAAAGCACCCGCTAATCGAGCAAGTCTAATCGAGCCAAAACGATGCCAAACGAACACAATTCAATCGGCGTGGGTAGCCAGGCCGGAGGGACCGGACGTCGGGCCCTTGGAGATGAGACGGTCTTCGAGCGAGCGAGCAAACTTCACACTAGGAATGTCCACGGCACGCCAGAACACATCGCCTAGCCAGATGGCGACGGGGAGGCAGATCAGCCAGCCAATGAGAAAACCGAGGCAGTATTGGAAATCTGTCTCTTTGCCTGTGAGATTCCAGATGGTAGGCATGATAGAGTAGCCCAGGCAATGAAGGATGGGGCCGTGGACGACGTAGAATGCAAAAGAAATTTTGCCCAGGTATTGGGAAAAGGGGTTTGTGAAGAGTTTCTGGATGTCAGGGGAGTGATTGATGGCGAAAACGATGAGGACCGCGCCGATAGTTTGCGCGAAGCGATGTGGCTCTGGGTATGTCTTAGGAGTGATATGCCACATCCAACTGTAGAAAGGCGTCCATTTGAAGCCGATGTTGGGACATGAACCAAAGTAAAGACCGGCCACAAAGACTGAAATCCACAAACCGCGGCGGGAGACCTTGATGGTCGTTGTGCTGCTAGGACTGAGTCGAATAGTTGTTTTCTCGTTTTCTACTGCCGATCTTGCGGATGGCTCCCAGGTGCCGTTGATGAGATCCACTTCGGCCATTAGCATGCCAAATAGGAACAGGACGATCTCCCAGCGACCATAGCGCATGCAGAACCAGGTCAGACCAGAGACTACTGCCATACGCACTGGTGCCACCAAGCGTGATGTGCCCATGATGACAACGAACAGAATGAGCGAGGAGCGGAATTCGAGGGGAATTGTCCAGAGGTGCGGGTTGTAGTAATTGTAGTAGAGGGCATAGTCGAATGGATTCATCAAGGTGGCGAGCGTGAGCCACAAGTCACCGCTTTGCTTCGAGAAAGATTTATACACACGTGGATGTTGCTCATTAGTGCCCAGGATAGTATGTCCCTCCTTGATCACGCGGTGAGAATAATTATAGAGCCCGAGGCGAACAGCCACAAATACACAAAAAATCCCAGCAATCGCAGGAATATATAGACGAAATGCTCGACGGAAGGTCCCCGATGCGAGCGTGGTGAAAGTTTGATCGAAAGACCTGCTCCGGATCGTCTTTAGCGGTTTATATGACAGAACATAACCGGAAAGTACGAAGAAGATGGCCACCATGATATGGCCAGAAATCAACATATGCAATATGGGCAGCTGGTGAATCCCAAAGTTCTCTCCTCCGAATCCCCATCCTAGCGCGACCTTCCATGTGTATGTGAAAAGGAAGTGGAAGTTGAAGACCAGCAGACAGGCCCAGCCGCGCAGCCCGTCCAAAGCCGCGATGGCGTGCAGTTTTGCAGGCTGTGGTGGCGAGCTCCCCACCCAATGTTGTAAGAAACTGGGCGTGAGTGCGACTACCAGTCTATGCCATGTATCTTCAGAATATGCCAGCCAGTCTTCTTGGGACATCTTTGGCGCGAGTCCCCCGGGATGCGCGAGGATGTTCGACGGGTGAAATTGAGAAAAGCCATCCCAACGAGATGGTATGGACGAGCCGGGTTCAAAACCGGACGCAGATTCGAGATCTTTCAAAGGAATATCGGAGGCCGACGTCGTAGCCCGGTTTTCGAGATGGGGTGTCATTTCGTTATGAGCTGTAGGTCCCTCGGTCGCAGATGGGCATGTCCTGTGGGGCAAAAGCCTTCATTTACACGCGCTAACAGACAGAGAAAAGCATTGGAGCCAATATGGGGCGGGAAAAGACAGAAGAGAGCTGGACAATTCGAGATGCGATTCAGTTGGTGATACCGACTGAGGTCGGTGAATTCGGGCAAATACGTCAGCAGGCAGGGGCTTATCCACTTCACGCCACTTGCGAGGGAAAGAGGGTGGACTACGGAGAACAACTCGGAGATTAAGGGTCAAAAAGCGAAGATGAGCTTATCAGATGCATAATCATGGTCGATCGATTGCCGTTTTCGTTCGAATCGCATTCAGCAATTCCGCGTTGGTGCCTTATAAGTTATATTATATACAGTTCTATCTACGGGCTACGAATAAGGCTGCATTCTACCTACTCTGTAGGTATGAACGGTATGGATGTTTCATGACAAGTATCACAATCCTTGACAGATCCACAGATTAGTCTGCGGACGCGTCATGGTTGAACATTGAATGCTACTACTAGCCAAAACTTGGTCATCGGTCATCTACTGTTTTCTCAACCTAAGTATGCCGTCTTGGAACTTGAATGTGTCGTATCATTTCTAACTAATCCAAACCCGAAAGTCACCAGGAGAGAAAATCCCGTTTACTCGTCCATCTCTGCATCAACATCACCGGAATTAAGGTCAACAGAATCAACATTTAGAGAATCATCATCCTCAGAGTCAGGATCCTCAAATCTAGCCTCTGAAGCCAGATCTTTTGCTCCAACTTCTTCATTATCAGAATTGTAGAAAGCGTTAGGCTCATCATGCAGAACGGCCTCCTCAATTTCCTCATCCGAACCACCATCGCCAGCAAACATTAACAGCTTTTGGATGTCATATGCCACACGAGCACGAAGCTGACAAAGATCTTCACGAACAGCTAGAAGGGTCTTGAAGCTCTCCCCTAGATATCTATCATTCAAAGGAGATTCATACCATTCTGTGGGATACGTAGAACCGTGCTGTTTGGGTGAGTTTGAAGAAGACCTGCCGGTTTTGACAGGCTTAGAGATCTGCCTCTGATCTCCACCTCTGACAAACCAATAGCCTGTGTATATACAAACAAGATTATCGCAGTGACTGGACTATAATAGCTTGCTTAAGCCGGTGTGCCACCTCGGATGGCCCTAATATCAACATCTCAACCTGTTAGAGATGCTTTTGTAGATGTCGAAGCACTAGAAAGAGCACGTGTACTTGGATGGGTAAGACAATAATCAGCAAGACTATTCATTATCTTGAATAATCGAACTTGTTATCTTCTGCACCTGGGATCTGCAATTCCCCTGTCCACTGCACCGTCCTCCAGCATATAGTTCCCAAAACAGCATAGCTCCGGCTGCGTGGCCTCAGGTGTCCGTGCCAAGACATCGAGAGATCACAACCGTGGCCTTTTTGGCATTGCAGAGGACGATTGGAGACCATGGCTATATAGATTGAGACAAAGACAGTGTGATATCGGTTCTTGTCTGATTGGCGCATGTCATGGAGAGAATCAGACGGGTTTTATAGTTTGCGATGCTACCTAGCTCTTCTCCGAATGCATCATACTTCGAACAGCTCCAGTTTTCTAGGCCGTACTGGACGTTTTGGAGCTCCAAAACCTCCAACGTAGAAGTTAGACATATCTTTTCTTGATAGAAATCCACGCGCAATTCAGGACATTGGACCTTGATGTCGCCAGCTCCCTAAAGCGGCGACGATCCTCTCAGGACCCTGATTCGCGCGATTCCGCAGTTCGAGAACTTCTCCCTTCCTCTTTGTCCATCCACGCTCATTGTCCCGCCGCCTTCTTTCTGCTCCCCGACATTTCGCGATACGATCTGAATGTCGCGATCGCGTGTTGCGTGCATATTTCGATAAAAGTGCTCGCGTGGTTGAAGTGGTCCCGAAGTGGGTGCTGCCACGATGGATTTGCGCACGATCATGAACACCGACGGCGGCGCTTCCAATCCTCCTCCAAACTCGGCCAGTTCGCCCATATCCGACCAAACCCCCCAAAAGCGCGTGAAGAAGGCCGCTTCTTACTCTGAATCTTCTTCACGTCCCCCCCAAGCTCCCCCATTGCAATACCCACCGCACGCTTCCCTAGAGCAAAGCTCACCGTACGCCTCCCTTCAATCACCATACCAGCAGTTCAACTCCGGCACCGCGATTAATACTGCAGCTAGACCTCAGCGCAGTCAGACTCCTCCACAAGTCTCGACACCGTATGGTCCTGGCACGCGTGATACTTTTGGCGCGCCGGTATACGGGTCGCACCCTCAACACCCTGGCGGTCCTCTAGTCTCACCCTACACCCCACAACCCTTGAGTGCAGGACCACAGCATCCAGAACAGCAGTCCTACTTCGCTCAGCAGCGCTCTCAACAGCGTTCTCAATCACTTCAATCGTTGATGACAAACCCTCAAGCTCCAACCGAATCATTCCGCAGCCCTCCCGTCGCTCCACAACCTCTTCCATCACAGCAGTTCTCCCCCTCGGCCCATCGATCTGTTGCCGGTACTCCTTTAAGACCACCTCCCGCATTTGCATCCCGCCAGTCACCATCAACGGCCCGTCCGCCATCCTCCGGACACGACTCTCCGCGCAATCCCCTATCCAGCCCGAGGCCCACACAAGAAACTCAGATACGAGACCAGGTTCAAACGCAGTCGCCTGTAACTCAACGACCATTCTCTTCGCATAGTTCCCGACCCTCTGAGCCAACTCCTCATCCTTCTTCTGCGGGGTTGAAGCAAGAGTCAACGGATAGTGCTAGTCCCAAATCCGTCTCCCGTCACAATAGTATCGTCACAGCCTCCGAGTCAGCGACCGCTGGTCCATTCCGTTCCTCTGAAGACCGGATCTTGATTGAAAGTCCCACCACACAAAAGGCTTTCACCACGGGATCAGACTTTTTCACCTCTCCAATGGCGCCGGGCAGTCAAATGAACAGTTCACCCTCTGGCGCTCGTGGAGGCACTCACGCCCTAAAGATGGAGATTGACTACCAACCACGTACTGAGGCACAACAACCCAAGCAAAAGAGAAGGAGATATAACGAGCCTCCAATCTATGCTCGGCTGACACCTCGCAACACTAGCAAACGCCCCATTATTCCCAATCCCCGAGCCCCAATTCCTAAAGGCGCAAGACAGAGCCAGCAAGAGTTTTCTTGGGCTGCTCGTAGACGGTCCTCCTCGATCAAGACAGTGACCCCGGCGGCACGGGTCACCCGAGCACCCACTGTTCCTTCACCAAGAACTAGTGTACCTCCTGTAAAGGCTCCCCCAGCACCTCCCTCTTCCCTAATTCCCCCGTCGAGTAATTCGCAGGCGGTAGGCTCGTTGGGTCCTTGGGAGCCGTCGATTACTGGCTTCATTCCACATGAGGAGGTTACCAAAACTCTGTGCGATTTCTTATTCCAACATGTGGTCATGCGAAATGATGTCAATGCCGGACCGACAGGCTCTGCTGCAGCCGGCCAGGGGGCGATCATTGAGATTGAGGCGAAGCTGGGTCATATCATCGACTTGGACAGCAGAGACCGGATTAATCTCCCAATTTTGACGGAAAGCATCATCAATCGGGAACATACACGGCTTCGCACATCGTTCGAGAGCAAAATGACCGTGGTACGTAACCCTTTCTCTTTGCCTACTCCCTAGCTTCTTTGAATTTCACATACTGAGTTCGACATACAGGAACAACATCGAGCTATGAACAATTTCCTGAACGAGGCTGTCAAAGCCTCAATGCCGCAGCCCAATTCGACTCGGATCCCACTTGCATACGTGCACAAGAAAGAACGCGATACCTTCTACGAGATCCAAGCATCTGAACTACCCCCGGTGATCCGTCAGAATTTGAACCCGAGACACAAACCCAAAGTCCGAGTAACGACCGATGAACGAACCGGCGAGATCCTCGCCAAAATCGTCAAATGTCGAGTTGCTGATTTGGACGTGTGCAGTCCGCGGACCACCGTGGATTGGCGCGTCAGTATCAATCTGGAAATGGAGTACACAGGCGACGTCAGCACTCTGCCAATGATAGATACATCCGTCGCAAAAGGTGGACGAGGCGATCGCATCAAAGACCGCATGAGCTACAGCCACTTGGCCTACCAGGTGGACCTGACCCAGGTAGCTAAATCCGAAGTAAGTTCATATTCCGATGTCCTGGATCATCCTGAAAGCAGTCTTCTGACCATCTCACAGCAACAACCGGGCAAGCCTGAGTTCGAGCACGAGCTTGAAGTTGAAGTCTCGGGTGCTGAAGTCCGTCGCCAGGGCCAGCTTGCTATGTCAGGCGATCTGAAGAACCAGTACGAGGACCTTGTCAAAGGCTTCGTGGATAACATCCGTCTGCTGGCTCGAGCGGTGCCGCCTTGATGTTCTTCTGACACATTGTATTATTTATGTTCCTGATGTACCCTATGTTGGCTTTATTACTGGGGTTTCTTTTGTGGTTTTTTGTTGTTGATATGATTATATGCTTGTTTTGGGTTCAAAAGTACGCACAGCAATAGACAGCGTGCATGTGTTTCTTCGTCATTCCACAAGGGTGACATCGTTACCTAGACAAGGGCATGTCTCAAAATATCATTTTTCCTTCTTGGCCTCAGTCTGGCCGAACCTCTTTCACTATGATAGCCTTGCCACACAGATACATAATGCAATGCACATAAGAACAAGGAATCAACAACCACCCCGAGGCATTCGGCCGCCACAAGGGCGAGCTCCTCCAGTTCGTGGCGGTCTTGTTAACCAATCTTCGTACTCTTGCCAAGTGCTTCCTTTAGATAACATCTGTCAGGGTGTCCGGCCCACTGCATTCGGTTGGTCCATCAAGGCATTAGAGCTTCCAGCTGCCCCCCGGAGAACAGAAATCATTTCATCCCGTGCCTTTATCTGGTCGACTATAGAGACTCTCTCGATAGGAACTGGCGAGATGCCCGTGGCGCAAGGTCTTCATCTCCCATCGCTGGGTGGAAAATTGTATTGCCCTTAGCATTTAAGCGTTGATATCAGCATCATGGCGGAGTAGGGCCTTCACTGCCTCAACCTGTCGCAGGTGTCTAGCTATCAGGTGTAGAGCAGTCTCGCCGTCTTTGTCGGCGAGTTTGGGATTCGGATCGCGCGCTATCAAAAGCTCTAGGAGATTTGTATCGATAGGATCACCTCCCCAGCAACCAAAAGCCAACTTATGGAGAACGGTTTGACCATTGCGGGTCTTGCACGGCTGCATCAGCCCCTGCTCCTAGTAATAGCTTGAGTGTGGGCTCAAAGTGCCCGTGGTTGCTGTGAGAGGCAGACTAGCCAGTTTGTCGAGTCATAGTATTGAGAAATGCTTGATGTGTTTGCTGGGTTTAGTGCGGGTGACAGAGGGAATATAATCTTTACTATGCTATATGGATGGCTATCTAATGAATGACAAACAGTTCTTGCATGGAATGAATATTCAGAAACAAACATTATCAGCATCGAAAAAAAGAGCTAGGTAAGTATAAATAATTTGGGAATAGTCACAGTGATCTTTTGACAAGTACATAGAAGCACATAAGACAGAAGTGAAATCTCTAACTACTGGTGTACAGCAGACTTCATACAGAACAATTGACGGAGGATGATACATACAAAGCAATCCAACGTTCTATACCTACATAGAGGCAGGATGCATTATTAATTCTAGCTACAGACTTGCTTAGTTTCACCGTCAAGGTTACTTATCCCGAACACCACGTAAAGGTGCAAGTCTTGTTCAGGTATCAGAGGATTGTCTCTGACAAAGAGGGTTCAAAAAATTAGGTAGTATCTTGAACTGAAAGCCACACGGCTAGCTCGTGGATAGATCCCTGGAGAAAACAAGAACGGACAGTCTGTAAGCGCACGCCTTGTCAAACAAGACTGCTATCCGCAGCGGTCCCGTAGGCCAGTCGTGGAAACCTGGAACATGCTTCGTGCCCCAGCCGAACCTGAGCCGCAGCAAAGACCTATCCAATCCCCTCAGAAAATTCTTCACTGGGCAACAGAAACATGTTGGATGTGACCGGAGCTGGTGTTGAGGAGAGAAGAAAGGAAGAAGAGGAAAAGTGGGAAGAGGCAGATATTTATATCGCCGGGGGGTCGCTGAAGATCAATGGGGTCAATCAGGTAGTAGGGTGGGCGACGAGGACCTTCCTTAATGGGAAGGTACGTACTACCTTTCCAAACAGGGAGATATCCTATTACCCAGACACATATGACCTACTAGCCCATATATCATGTAGAACAGCATCTCTTCCTTGCCCCTCATGATCTCCCTATATGGATATATAACATGACCAGTAGGCCTCTAACTTGATGCTATAAAAAACCTATATATGCCGCAGAGCAAGGACGAAAGGAGGGTTTCATATCATGCAAAAGCTACCTCTGCCTTCCGAAATTCTATCAAAACAATGACGAGAGTCTTATTCAATTTTAAAGTCGCACTATTCCCATCCTGGAAGACTGTACCAGGGAAACATGAGAGAAGCCGACGTCGATCAAAGAGCCTATGTTGACTGCCGGAAACAAGACTTTCGATCTGAGGAGCGGTATCTCTCTTTACATCTTTGCGGTGCATACGAATCAGCTGTGCTCCATTCGGGATACAGAACACATGGCTTTTGTCGCTGTCTGGGCTCTCATACCAGTGGCATCGGTGGCAGCGGGGTAAGATATGGGTATCATGTGTAGCCTGTCGTCGACTTCCAAAGTAATCTCCGAGTTGGTTATATATTATCGGCTTGCGAACAGACTGCTCTGTGCTTTTTACCATCCTCTCGTTGGCCCGGAAGGTGGCCTTCAAGGTCTGGAAGTTCATGACACTTCTCCTTTTTACAATTATTCCAGTCCTACCTTGTTTCTCGTCTCTATTCACATTTCTAGTCTGAAGGTATTTCAGCTTCTCACCAATATCACATCTTCGCGGTCCACTCTGCTTCGGGTCATCTCTGACATAACTCCTCTGCCCTACGGCTCCTCAATCCTACAGCCCAGTGTCTTATGCCTTTGCTTCTATCCCTACGCAAAGTCAAAAATGCCTGAGTCTATTCCTAGGTTCTCTTTTGAGGCTGAGAACACTGATCCTCCGGGAACGTTTAAGTTAATTCGCGGCAAGTCTTCTCTTCCTGCCTAGTCTACGTTGTTTGATTGACGCCCTATCCTTCCAGACGACGAGACCGATATGCATGGGCAACGGACCGTTATGCTCGACCCGGTCCCTTCGTCTGATCCGAATGAACCACTGGTAGGATAGCCGTTAGGTTTTCCTTGGCTCAACTAAACGCTGAAACCTCAGCAGAATTGGAGCATGATTCGGAAATTGGTCAACTTTGGAATTGTCCTGGCTATGACAATCGTCATCTTCACAGCGTGAGTAAAGGATATCATGTCACATATACGAGCCATCGTCAAACCTTCATCTCATACAGACTGTCCATTCAAGCTATATTTTGGCAACAGATGGCTATTGATATGAAGTTGACTCTGAAAGATCTGAACAAAGCATGCTCAGTGAACTACGTTGGGCTTGCAATTGGCTGCATTCTATTTATCCCGATTTCAAAGAAATACGGCCGTCGCCCGGTCTATATTGTGTCAGCAGCGTTGATGTTAGCAACGTCATTCTGGATTTCGCGAATCGACTGTTTGGCAGAGCTTTATGTTGCCAACTTGGTACAGGGCTTGGCCGGTGCAACGAACGAATCAATTGCAGAGATAACAGTGAGCTATATCTTCTGAGTGATAGCGATATGTTCTGCTAATGTAGCACAGATTGCCGATTTGTTCTTCGTGCATCACAGAGGAAGTATGAATGGGCTATACATGACTTGTGTCATGATAGGTGTATGTCCTCCAACCCTATTGCATGGTCAGTTTATGCAGCACTGCTAATACAATCTTTGATAGAATTTCCTAACTCCCATGGCTGCAGGCGCCCAGGCTACTCGACATGGCTGGCGCTCGTCGTATCAAACTATGGGTATTTTCAATGCTTTTGTCTTCGTTGTCTTCCTTTTCTTCTACGAGGAAACGAAGTACATTCCGTTGTTCACTGGAAAAGCCGATACTGTCATCAAAGAGAATGATGTGGTGAACCAGGGCAAAAGCCATGAGCAGGTCAGGGTCGAGGCAGCATCTACTACCCCGGGCTCATCAATCACTGAACGGACTACATCGCACCATATGCTGGACCTAACCATTCCCCAGAGGCCATGGCACAAGCGATTTGCTTTTGTAACGCAGACTCCTGAGCCAATTTGGCCGCATTTCTATCGACCCTTCTGCGTCCTTGTCTTTCCTGCCGTCACATTTGCTGCTCTGCAGTATGCAGCTGGTATAGTATGGCTTACTGTCACCACAAGTGTTCTCTCGCTCAGATTTCCCGAAGCCCCGTATTTCTTCTCACCCGCACAGATTGGATATACAGGCACTGGACCCCTGATAGGAAACATAATCGGCGCTGTCTATGGCGGTCTGATCAGTGATTGGTCGATTCTGTACTATGCCAGACGTAATAGGGGGTATTACGAGCCAGAGATGCGGCTATACATCCTGCATTTACCGGCTGTCTTTATGGCCGGGGGCATTATCATGTTCGGTGTGACAGTCTCGCGGGTAAGGCAACAGCATTTATGTTCCATCTTTGCATTTATTTGGTATCTCGGTTGACTATGCTAACATGTCTCTCAGGGGATGCATTGGATTTGGCCCAACTTGGGGGGTGCTTTCTTCGCATTTGGTCTTGGAGCTATCAGCGATGCTGTTTTGGTGTTCGTCATGGACAGCTACAGAGAGGTAGGATGTGTTGCTTCCCAGTGAACCTCGTTTCGAGCGTCGAAATCTTTGGTCCTTTATACTTGCTTTTGTGGCTATCCTAACACTCATTCTAGATAACCGGTGAAGCCTTTACTGCTGTAACGTTTATGCGCAATGCTCTGAGTATCGGCATTCCGTTTGCAATTTCTCCATGGATTGAACGAAGTGGGATCCAAAATATGTTCATCGTGTGCGGGACAGTCAGTCTCGCCATTACCGCGTTGACCATTCCTATGATTCTCTGGGGCAAGTCTGCTAGGGTTGTGCTGGCATCCCAATACCATGATATTGAGGATGAGCACGGGCACGCCGGCGCCCAGTGAAATCCACAAGTTAGAGTGAGATGAAATCTATGTCCTTCATATTCTCTATTCACGTGTAGGCTGTGGTTACGGTCCTGCTTGCCTGTTTGGCCCTTGATTCCACGCTTCCCTTTGAATTTTGGTGTAATCTGGCTGCCTGGGATCAGATGCTAGTCTTGTACATGCGCCAGAGTGTTGACAACTCGGGTGATATTGAACTGTACACCGGCCGGGCTTCCTTCGAGATAAGGTATATTGGACACGAGAGCTTCCATTGAGCTGTAGATATGAGAAGTGGAACTGATAGCCATTTGCGATCAGGGAATTTTGTGATTGGATATCTCAGAGATTCTGCCTCAAGGTTGTACGAGATGATACAGTCGCTGTCATCCCTCGCTATGCAGGGGTACGTTTGAGGCCGTTATCATGTTTCACGCCCTTGGGCAAGCCTTGCGAAAAACATGGATGCCTGATGGGATGTATTTCCTGGGCGTTGCTCAGAATACCCTACTACTCCGTAGCCGGTCGAGCCTTGCCTATGATCCAAAGTTGAGATCCGTGTACAGCTAAGCATCCTGAGTTAATCATGAAGGATCTAGAGTAGTAAAAAAGTACACTTGATTAGACGCAACGGAGAAATCAGCAGAAAATACGTTTCCATGTCTTGTAAGCGCACGTAAATCAAGCAAAACCCAGAACATACGCCTTCTGTTCGTCATCCCAGACCTCTACCGGCAAAGAAGCCTCAGCCAGTCTCTCCTCAGATACAAGCAATTGCTCCGGAAACCAAGGAAGAGCCTCAGAGACCGTCTCACTCAGCGAGGCCTCCTGCGCAAGGAGCATAGTCGCCAGAGCCTTACCAGAAAGCCAAGCCTGGACCATTCCATCTCCACCAAACGCAGCACAGATCCATTCAGCCCCTTCAGAGCCATGATCGGGTCGACCAGTCGCAGCAGCAGGCAATCGTCCCACCCAGGGGAATCCATCCGTGCTAAATCCCATACTGCCGGTCCACATCGCCATCACCCGGTTGCGATTTTTGTAGCCCCAGTCTGGTCCGTAGATCTCACGCAGAGCCCCAGCTAGATGGATATCGATGGCCCGGCTGGTGTCGGCGTCTGACGGGACTCCCACGTCTCCTAGGCCGCCACCCTCGGATCGCGCGAAGCCGCCACCGAGCATCATCTCACCTGTCGGCAACTGGGTCATGTAGTCGAAGCCCCGAGCGTAGTTGAAGATCCAGGAATACTTGGCCGATTGATTGGGGAAGTTGTCGCCAGGGCATTGCGCGGACATCTGTCCCCGGACAGGGAAGACCCGGGCAATAAGACCAGGGACTAGGTGACTGACGTGGGCGTTGGTGCAGTGAATAACGTGCCGCGCGAGAATAGTGCCGTTCTCTGTCTCGACTTTATAGCGGGGACCGTCGGCAGAGGTATCATCGTAGACGGCAGTAACGGTGTTGTTTTTCTCGACACGGAAGTCATTTGGGAAGTCTGCAAGCAGACGAGTGAGGACACCAGTGACGAATTTGTACGGCCAAAGAGCCCCTGCTGGGCCGGTGATGACGCCTCGAGCGTAAATCAAACGAAATTCCTACAGAGGACATTAGTATAAGTCGTTCCCGGTGCCGATGAGATATAAACATACACTCGGGATCGTGTCTCCTTCGTAAGCAGTCCATTCGGCAGCTTCCTCCGGCATATCCGCCTTGAAACGGTGCATTCTCTCCAACGCCTTTTTCCAAGGCTCGTCGTTGAAGTAAACGCTCAAAAACTTGACCTTTCGTACTTGCGTCTCCTCGGTAATACCAAGTTCTTCGGCAACAGCGAGTATCTCATGCAGATGTGCCAGTCGGAAACGCATGAGCTTCCGCGCATCGTCCTTCCCATAGACATCGGCTAATTCGGCGTACCCATCACCGGTCTCTAGAATATGACCGCCATTACGGCCGGTTGCGCCGCTGCAAATTGCCCGGGCATCGATCATGACAACAGACGGATGGGAGGTAGAGAATTTCTCTGAGTTGCGGGTTTGAAGGAGGCTCCGTGCAATTGATGCACCAGTAATCCCAGAGCCAATGATTACCACGTCGGTCTCTTTGGGCAGAGGCTGTGCGGGTTCCTGGCTGAAGCTCTGTGGATCCAGGACCCAGAACGATGTGGTTGCGATGTCTGAGGGGTCTCCTGGGTCAGAGTAGATACGGTTCAGAGCATCAGCCCTAGCAGAGGCTGTGTATGAGGGATAATCCTCAATTTCAGTAGTAAAAGGCATGGTTGCTGAGGAGCTAGATCAGTGGTGCTGGATGAGATGGTGATTCGATAGAGAGGAAGAACCAGGAAGAGGGATCTCTTGTATGGAGCAAGCGAGAAAGATCAAGGGAAGAAGAACAAAGCATAAATGTTGACCTCTTCGTCAGATCAATAGTACCGGCAAGTGAGAGTCAAAAGCCGATAGCACAAATACCATGTTGCGGCTGGCATCACAGCTCTAACATCCTAAGTCTCGATCCGCCAACTGGACTCTTTTTATTCAAATCTTCTCTGATACCACACTACCCTATGACCTATCATTGATGTGCTGCATTGTTCGATACACTGCTCCATTGAATCCGTATGCGCCCTCCAGTTGCCTAGGAGGTAATAGGCCGGTCAGCCTTCCTGTTCGGGTCTTAGAGACAGCCGGGATGCTTGATGCTATTACCTCTGCTTAGATCTGCGCTGTGCATACACATATATGTACACATCATAAGCATTGGCCTTAGAGCCTTAAGTAACTCGTATTATGTACAGGATGGCCAGCATAGAGGCAATGCTAATCCCCCGGGGACCAAAGCAGTCTGCTCGGAGCGCAATGAGCGCAACAGCCGTGGACTCAACATACGCACAAACTTGTCGTTTTCTTCTTTTCTGACTCGATATTGAGTCCGCCTGATTAAACCGCCCCATATTCAGTGCAAGTAGATACATGCAGCACTATTCATCCGCAAATCACTACGTCCACGCCCCAGGGCCTGTACCACCAGGTTCCAGGAACAAGCCATGCAAAGTGCCTTGACAGTCTTCCTTGTCCGTGTCTGAATCAATGTCTTCCATACCAGTAACTGATCTATCCGGCTCGGGGATGTTGAAACCAGGAGGTCAAACATACGAGGTCGGAGAGGGGCTCTCCTCGGCGGCACTAGAAACCGATTTCCTTATATTGACAACGTCTAAATTCCCTCAAAAGCAAGAAGAGGACGAAAGTTGCAAGCGAATGTGTTCAGAATATGCAAGTACAACTGTTTGCAAACGTTTCAACAGTCCGACACACTGGATTACATCCTCAAAGTCCCCCCTCCCCCCAGGCCACCACCTGAGAGGCTGAGACACAACCTCGGGATGATCGTCGCCCGAAAGAGGATCGAGTAAGCAAAATGGAGGTCTGATCCATCTATATATAGCTATTGATAAGTGATAATCTCACCATAATCTCAGAATACTACACAGTGCAAGAGAAACCAAATACACACGAGGCCTCCCATATTTCTACTGTCTCTATATACCAAAATGGGATCCCTAACAGCACCAAGCAACTGGCAAGATATTGTTGCAGCCAAGCGACAGGAATGCCAGCAGAAGATCCCTCGCGAGTGGCTGCTGAGCGCTGACCAGTTGGCGCTCGCGCAGAACAACCCGCGCTTGTTAGAAGTTGATATCCCACGTCGCAGTGGTCTAATCTCCGAACTCGAACTAGAAATAACGGAGAAGTATTCTGCGGAGGAGCTGTTGGCGAAGTTGGCCTCTGGACAGCTCAGCTCGTTGGCGGTTACGACGGCGTTCTCTAAGAGGGCTGCTATTGCGCAGCAACTCGTGAGTGCAAAGTATCCCCTGTAAAGAGAAAGGAAGGCTCCGAGATTCTAATATCTGGGCAGACGTCGTGTCTCACAGAGACCCTCTTCCACCAGGCACTTGAGCGGGCTAAATATCTAGATGAGTATCTCGAACGAGAGGGAAAGCCGGTTGGACCTCTCCATGGTCTGCCCATCAGTATCAAAGACACCTTTTGTGTCGAAGGATTGCAGTCTACGATCGGCTATGTCGCTTTTCTTAAGAATCAACCGGCGAAGGCAAACTCGGCACTGGTGGAGATGCTACTGCACCTTGGAGCGGTGTTATACGTCAAGACCAACCTCCCACAAACCCTGATGGTAAAAAGCACTGCTGACTTTGTACATACCTCAAAGCCTCACACTGACAATCCCTCAGACAGGAGACTCCGATAACAACATTTTCGGCCGTACCCTAAACCCACACAACACGGCCCTAACAGCAGGCGGATCCAGCGGCGGCGAAGGCGCACTACTAGCATTCCGGGGATCGATTCTAGGAATAGGAACCGACATCGGCGGCTCGATTCGCATCCCCGCTCAATGCTGCGGAGTCTACGGCTTCAAGCCAACTGCCGACCGCATCCCCTTCGGCGGACAGGCCTCAGGCGCCGCGGAGGGAATCCCTGGACTCATTCCAGCCGCCGGTCCGATGGCACATAGCATTTCCGATCTCAGGCTGTTCATGAGTGCGGTTGTTGGCAATGGCCAGGCATGGCAGTATGACTCTGCTGCCATCGCAGCACCGTGGCGACAAATGGTCCCTGGGGTCACGCGTGCTGGGTCCTTGACCATTGGTGTTCTGGCTGCGGATGAGCATTATCCGCTGCATCCACCTGTGAAGAGGGCTCTGGATCGTGCTGTTGAGGCATTGACGCGGGATAAACATAACATCGTCCGAATCGATGGTGGTAGCGATGAAGCACACAGTGTGGCGTATGCGTCGCGTCTTGCGTTCCAGTATTTCATTTACGGTCCACGGGAAGACCATATTGCTGCCAGTGGGGAGCCTGCTGTGGCATCTGTTGCTAAGGGGGCGTCACCGTTGTTCTCTGGTCCTCTCCCCGTTGAGCAGGGACTGGAGCCGTTTCAGACAATCCAAGCATTACATGCAGCTCGGAAGCGAGTTCAGGATGTCTGGAGACAGACGTTCGTGGATCAAAAGCTTGATGTGATCCTGGCTCCGGCGGCTCAGGGTACAGCTGTAGCTCATGACACATATGGATGGCCTCCTTATACGCTTCTGTGGAACTTGTTGGATGTAAGTCGTTTCTGAGTAACGGCTCGTTGGCTTAATCTTGGCTGTTTGGTTGATACACACTGACTCTCAGCCTCCAGTATCCCGCATGTGTTATTCCATTCGGAAAAGCGTCGAAGGAGCTTGATCCTGATCCAATGACAACAGGTGATGCTGTGCAGCCGGACTGTATGTTAGCCCGTACCCCTTGTTGTCAAATGCGATGCTAACAAATCGTAGATCATCCTGATGAGGTGGACGGTGCCCCATGTTCTATTCAGATCATAACACCGCGCTTCCAAGATGAGAAATGTCTGTGGGCGACGGAGATCATTCAACGTGTATTGATGGACTATGTCAAAGAGTAACGTCGATGTCCCCTTCGGGTAAGTATTTCCTCACAGAACTGATAGTTCCTTCGCAAAGGCGCTTTCTGGATGTAATTAGTGCCTTACTGCGGTTTTTAAAGAACTAAACATTGGTTTTGTATCTGGCCTTTGTGTGATTACACGTTATGATACTTCATTGCATCTATCAAGTACAGCCCTAGTAGACGCCTGGCTCTTCGGTCAATGACTCATGGTATTTTCAATGCAAGAATTCAAATGGCAATATACCGGATTCCATGGTGGCCTAGCTGGAGTGAGCTACTTACGTTGACTATCATCATCATCAGGCCTAGGAGTATACAGTGACATTGGCCAATGAGCTATTCAAAAAAGTAGACACATGTTCATTAAAACATCAATTGACGCCGTCGGCTGTTCTGCAGGAAAATAGATTCAAAAAGTAGAATACATATGTGAAACCAGTCCTATCCCATTTGATATCTTAAGGGTGTGGGTGAGATGGACAAGCTTTTGGTGCTGGGAAACGAGAGAAAAAGGATTACGGGCTCGGACTATCGTCGTACCGGGGTCCGCCATCATTACCACCGTATCCAGCGCCAGGAGTAGCAGCTGTACCGCCCATTGCCGGAGTCGGCGCATCGAATGCTGCAGGAGTTGGGGCTTCATAGTCACGCTTTCCGGGGCCGCCGGGGTGTGGGCGCGCTGAAGGCCCCACCAGGTGTGGGCGCACTCTCGGGCCATCCGCCAGGGGTTGGTGCGCCAGGGGTTGGGGCAGTGTATGCGCCGGGAGTGGGAGCAGAGTAGTTTCCGCCAGGAGTGGGGGCGTCGTCGAAATCACGCTGGTCTCGGCTGCTGGACATGGCATTCCAGCCGGGAGTGCGGCTGCCTGTGTTAGCGGCACCTGCACCCCAGCCAGGGGTGCGGGACCCAGAGGCGAAGGCGTCAAAACCGGAGCTGGAGTCGTACGGGGTCTTGGAGCCCGAGGTCCAGGACGGTGTGCGGCTGCCAACTCCTCCATAGGCGGTGCGGTTGCCTTCATAGGGATTAGCGGTGCGAGAGCCGTCGGCCTTCCAGGCAGGAGTACGAGAACCACTCATGCCACCCCAAGCAGGAGCTGAATGATAATTAGCATCTTCGACAACAGATATTCTGAGAAGAGTGCACTTACTTCTTGCGGAGGCGCCACCCCAAGCAGGGGTCCTGGATGAATCAGCAGAGGCCATCGGTGTTCGACCACCCGACCAACCACCCTCTCTCCCAGGACCACTCGAAGAGCCGTAGGGAGTTCGCCCTCCAGGACCGCCTCCTCCTCTTCCACGGCCCATTGATAGGGGCTGTTTGGAAACAGGACTGCGAAAAGTTAGCGAATGGTCAAATTAAATATAAGCAAAGGAGAACATACTCTTTGGGTGTCAGGATGTCACGGGGAATGTGTACGGGTTTGTTAGATGTGTAAAGCTCAACCTGAGCAGAGCTGTCGTCTGCGTCGCGAACAATACCGACGAGACCCTTGTAACGACCCTTGCGGATGGTCACGGTTTTTCCGATGAGTTGATCACGGCCGCGGCGAGGAGGTGGCATCGCACCACCACCGCCAGGGTTTTGCATTGCCAAGGCAGGGTTCATCTTGGTGAGATCGGGCCCAGTCGTCCGACCACCTCGTGCGGATACAGTAACAACATTTGTTGTCCGCACCACGGAGATACCGGCGTTCTCGGCTTGCGCCTTATTATGCAAGAAGAGGAACGAACGGTGAATATGGCGGATTACTCCGCTACGCTGCTCCCCGTAAACCTCGCGAACGGTATCACCACCACGGATCTCAGCGCCGTTACGATCAGTAGCTACGGCATCGCGACGGGGGGTGATCTTGTTTGCGATCTGCGTAGGAAGGATGTTGCGGATAGAACCATTCTGGTCAACTACGCGGAGCGACTCTCGGTCCACTTTGATGACACAAGCAACGGTGGCAGCATCAAGTTGGACGAGGTCGTGAACATCGTAGATGCCGAGTTGGCCATCGGCGGCCATTTCAGCAGAGAGTCGAAGATCCTTGCTGAAAATTGTGATTTCTTGCATGCTCATATCACTGAGCAGAGTGACCGTGTCGTCCTTGACCTGGACAACCATACCAAGTTCATTTTGGTATCGGCTGCCACCGATGACCTTGACGTGATCACCTTCTCGGAATCGTTTGCGTAGAGTTCGAACAGGCGCGTCAATTGTCTGACCGGCCAGCTCGCCCTCGGTGACTTGCAATGAAACAATGTCACCTCGAGTTGACACTGTGCGACCGATAAGACCTTGCTGCTCACCCCGGTAAACCTCTACTGGGTCACCCGGTTGGTATGAGTCCTCAGCCGTGGAGTTCTTGAGGGTCTCGGCCAGTGACGCCAGATCCAAATTGGCAGTTCCGTCTTCTCCTCCACGGGCAAACATTGTAACCTCCTCTAGCCGGGGGTTAACGTTCTTGGCACTCAAGTGCTGGACACGCATGTCCTTGATGAGGAAACCATCCACGTAGTTGTCGTTCAGGTAATTCCATGACTTTCCACCTAAACCGGAAGTAGACGAAAGATACTTCGCATGCTTCTTCTTTGCCTCCGTCTCACTGAACAAGCGCTGAGGAGGACGGACCGTGTTCACCGCACCACGTTTGCGCTTGGCATCAGTAACAGGAGCACCGAAGGTATCATCATTCATGCCGTAGTCCAGTCGAGGAACAAGTCGTACGGTGACATTCAATCCATTAGTCTCTACCTCCTCGATCTGGGCCAGATCGCCCTGGTATTTGCCACGCTTGATGCGGATCCAGCCACCAGGCAAAAGCTCCTCTGACTTTTGGACACGAAGAAGATCTGGCATCTCCTTCACAGGGACCAGAGTCAACTTCTGAGATGGATAGTAGAAGTTAATGGCTTCCAAGCCTTCAGTAACATCCGCCTGTCTGCGAGCTTCACAATAGAACCAGCCTTGCATGATGTTTCCGCGCTCGAAAGCTGAGATAATCCGGATGGGGTTGCGGGAACCTGCTGGGCGCTCCTCGATTCGTTTCTGAATGGAATATACAACCTCCTTCTCTTTTCCAGGCTTGCAACGGCCACCCCAAATGCTAGGGTCTTCCACACTAGGGAGCAAGAGTCTTTTGGGGATCACGAGTGAATCTGTTGCGGCAGCACGGTTGCGCCCATAACGTTCCTTGAGCATCTGTGCCTGCTTCTCTGCATCCATGCTGGCGTCGATTTCGCGCTGCCGATCCAGCTGTCGATGCCGGCGGTCATCTGTCTCGGTGCCCTGAGGTAGCGCATCGAGATCATCAGGATGTGTTTCCATGCCATATTCGGCGAGCTCGTCCTCCTCATCCTCGGCTTCGTCCTCCTCTTCGTCGACGCCGGCCTCGTCTTCAATGAAGGGATTGGCCACGCGCTTCGCTCTTTTTTGTGGACGACTTGACTAAGTTAGAGACAAGGGGTTAGCAAATTTCCCTCACATCGCTAGATCTCTATGGGAAGCCTACCACTTCCTCTTCCTCATCTTCATCTTCGTCTTCGTCGTCGTCGTCATCGTCGACTTCATTCTCGAGCTCGTCGTCGTCATCTTCGACATGCTTGGCATCATCCTCTTCGTGCACATGGCGTTGGTACTTCAGATCATCATCCTCGTGGCCGCGTGATCTTTCTCTCTTAGTAGGCTGCATCCCACTCATTTGTTAGCGCCTTGTCCATGGAAAGTCGATATGTCTGTAGACCGACCTGGGCTCTCGAATCCTCGACATCGGACTCTTCTTGGGGAGCGGGGTTGAAATCATCCTCTTCGTCTTCGGAGCCGAAGTCGTGGTTAAGAAAGTTAGACATTTTGAGAGATGGTGTCCAGCGAGCTGTCGCAGGTAATCTAGTTGCACCGCTCTAGGGGATTCTTGAACGCGAGTCGAAAGATAGTGAGATTCCTAGCAATCCCAGGTATGGTCAGCATTGAAAAAGACGCGGTGAACATGTAAGAAGCAAGACGAACCCTATCCAAGGAAACCGCGCTCCAATGTAGACACCAGATCGCAACTTGTCCTGGTATTCTCCAATAGCTGGGAAATTCGAAGAACTACCAATTCAAAAGGATACTAGCCAAATCAGAGAGAAAGGCGAGTGCAGACAGGGAGCACGGCAGACAGTCGAGCTCTGCGGGCAATCACCGAGTTCCGTGACCGCCTACAAAGAACACGATCGGAATGGAGATGCCGGGTGTTGTGAAAAAGGGAAAATGCCACACCTGAAAGAAAGCGCCACCGATAGCCTTTCTCACGAGGGATGTTTAAAAAAGGGAAGTGAGAAATTGCAGCGTTGGAGCGAGGACATCGAGTTGCCCAGGTGAGGCATAATCTTTGCGCGGATGGTCGTTGTGGAGCGCCCTACCTCGCCTTCCTGGCGACTTTCACCTTCCCCCTTCTTCCTTCGCAAAGCACCTGGCAGTTGAAGGTTCGTTTTGAGCTCAAAGGGTACAGATGTACACATGAGGCTTATTGCAAATGGATTCCTGGACACACCCATCATATCATCTCTCAGTGGGGGTAACAATTATCTCCGATCAAGCCCTAGTAGAGTCGTCCCCGTAGTTCTCCAATCGGGGTGCTTGAACAATGATACTGATGCTTTTGAAATGAAATAACTCCTGTTTCCCCCATGGTTGTTCAATTTCTCCCTCTCGTACTTTCGATCTGGTTATCTCGCATCACTCTCAAGATGGCCGAATCATAAGAACCTTGGTAACTCGTGATCCGCAGAATGTAGCTATCTGGCCGAGCAGCTCATGGAAACCCTCAAAGAGCTCCGGCAAACGGGACCTAGAGCAGCTGGGACTCTACTTCTACTATCGATACGAGCAGTATGGTGTCGATGCTGTCTCGTATACGAAGTCCCCTTTTAAACCCCTCCATACTATGGCGTTCAGATTCTATTTGGCATCGCCATAAAAAGCCTTCTGGGACTTGCGTTGTTGCTGGGGGTTGTTGTGGCTATGGATGTAAATGCTGTGAGAAACGAGTTCTTACCTCGTAGCTAATTCTTCCACTGGCTATTGTACAATGAACTGTGGCTGCCGTGGTGCAGGAAACTATCACCGCACATGAAGTCAAGATGTATATGCTATTCTCCCAAGTCGATGTAATTTACACCTCAACAAAGGCTGGAGTCAATTCCAAGGTCATCTCCAGTGTGTTTTAAAGCAACCTGTTTCCAAAGTTGCAGGACCTCGTCGGTTTAAATGCTTTTGTGTCAATCTCAATATACCAGGTCGCCTTTGCCCTCCGAGCTTCGGACCCAACTATCACAAGGGGGCTCAGCCGTGATATAAAGAGAACAGCCTGTCTCTCTTTCTGGCCATTTGGCTAGAACATGAAATATCTGTGATTAGATTGATGTCATGAATATCTCGTTGTTTCGTTGCATCTCCTCGTTTTCGCCACGCATGCGAGCCTCGCCACCAGATGACTCCAACTGAACAATCAAACTCCACAACCATAAATATCAACGCTGGTGGTAGGGGAAATCCCATATTGCGCTTCTCCAGCCAGAGTACAGGAGATATCCAGGGGAAGTGGGCTGACACCACCAAACTCCACTCTCTTGACTTGGCCCCGTTTGCTTAGCGTCATCATCCGGTATCCCATCGCTGCTCTAAACTGATACTATCTAGATTGCATTCAGTGTCTCCGATTCTTCAAGGCGCTATATCTCGGTATAGCTGGTCAAGGTATACCCAAGCCATCGTCTATCTTCTGATATTTCTACTCAAGCAGCCTCCAATGAGATATTTAGGGCGAGAAATTGTTCATGGAAGCTGCAGCTGGGGGTGTGTAGAATCTCCATCTTCAGGCTGAAGTAAAAGTTCCACATGCTGCCGAACTTGAGAAATTGCCTGTTCCTGGAAGTGAGGCTTTCCATACCCACTATACTGTCATTATGCTGATCCTACATGTATAAAAGCCCCAGGGATGGTAGTTTAATCTGCAAAAATAGACTCTTAGATCATAAATCAAAACCATGGTATGTGCAACGAACATCACAAAAAGGTGGATTCATCCACCATAAGTTAGAAATGTACAAAAGAAGTCAATGTTATGGTACATAACAGATCATGGCCAAAAAGAAAAGAAATGCCGTCACAGACGCGAGGATATCTAGCCAAAAAAAATGAAGAATCAAAAGGAAGAATCAAAAATAGGCAACCTCTATCGCAGGTGCAACCAGAAAAATGCTTCTATAGCTTCATGCCGAACATGCCGTGAACACGCAAGCTCTGACGCATGCTCAAATCAAGCATGATTTCCTCGCTACCACCGGGAATAGCATAGGCACGCACATCACGGTACAATCTCTCGATCTTAGCACCCTGGCCACCGCGGCTGTAGCTCAGACCACCGAAGATCTGACTAGCCTCGCGAGCGCAGAACTCGAAGCATTGAGTGGACTGCGCCTTCAAGCCGGCGATAGCACCGCCCAGCTTGAGCATGGCCTCGGTGTCCTCCATGGACTGGCACTGGTAAATGATGTTCTCAAGCCAGTTGTAGGTAGCCTCGATCTGGCGGGCCATGTGGGCGAGTTTCATGCGGATGACTGGGTGGTCGATGAGGCGCTTGCCGAAGGTCTTGCGCTTGTGGGCGTACTTCATAGACTCCTCGTAGCAGACACGGGAGAAACGAACACACTGGATGACGATTCCAATACGCTCGTGGTTGAAGTTGGTCATGATGACCTTGAAGCCCTGGTTCTCCTTGCCGATGAGGTTCTCAACGGGGACCTTGACATCCTCGAAGGTGACGTAGGTAGTACCGCTAGACCACACACCTTGGCAGTCCATGCGACGGGTGCTGACACCACCAGCTTCGCGCTCGATGAGCAGCACGCTGAGACCGTTCATGCCGTCCTTTCCGGTGCGCACAGCGGTGGTGAAGTAATCAGAGTAAATACCGTTGGTGATCCACTTCTTCTCGCCGTTGACGATGTAGTGCTTTCCGTCCTCGGTGAGCTTAGCCTCGCAGCCCAAGTTTGCGACATCGCTGCCCGCATCGGGCTCGGTAATGGCGAGACAAATGCGCTTGTCGCCAGACAGGATACCAGGCAGAATTCGGTCGACGAGAGGCTTCTTGCCGAACTTCACCAGAGGTGGGCAGCCGATACCATAGCCACCGATCAGGTTCCAGACCAGACCACCGCTGCCAGCGCGCGACAGCTCGTCGGTCAGCAACATCTCGTGGAACAGATCCCATCGCTCTGGTGCCACGGACTTCACGCGGTGCTGGGTGTGGTTCACGGGATAGTGGACACCGAGGAGACCGGCCAGATAGCCGCGCTCGCCCATCTGCTTATAGATGGTTTCGGGGACTTGCTTGGTCTCCTCCCATTCATTCACATATGGCTCGATCTCGGACTCGACCCATTGGCGGACCTCATCTCGGAGAGCGGCATGAGTTTCGTTAAAGTAGGGGGAGGCATACTATACGCGCACAAACAAGTTAGCTTCTGCGGGTGGATCCATCTAATCTGCACATCCAGACGGCGGAACTTACACCTTGGTACCATGAAGGGTCGGCGAAGGGGATCAGGTCTCCGTAGGGATCCTGTGGTTCACCGGTGGCAGGCGCTGTCACGGAAGAGGGGGCAGGGGTCGGCTTGGGCGCAGCCTGTTTCGGTGTGGGCGCAGGTGCCGGGGGTGCGGGAGCGGCCTTCTTCGTATCCAACGAGCCGATCTGCAGCTGACCCTTGTACTTCTTCAAGATGCCCTCGTTGTGGTACTTCCAAAATTGTTTCGAGGCGTCCTTTCCGGCCACTCGCTGGAGAACTAGACAAAGTCAATAGGAAGTCATTCGAAAGAGCGGATGATCTCGGCAACGTACTCTTCTTTCCACCTAAGAAAAAAAAAAACTGTTAGCATGTGATTCCTATATCCGCGCATGACTTGGAATCCCTACCAGGGTGCTCGTCTTGGAACTTGGAAACATCATAGACATCCTCGTCAATGATAACCCAAGAGCTGCTGCCCTTGTTATGGGAGGCAACCTCCTCCTTGCTGAATGTCTTTGCCATCGTGGAGTGTGTAGAGAAGAGACACGAATAAATCGGGGGGGGGAAAGAGGGATAAAGACTTCAATTCGAGGTCTAAGAATAGGAGATAGGGAGAAGAAGAAAAACTCTAGTCCGGGGAATCTGGGGAGAAGTTATACGACTGATGGGGCAAGACACCATTCCAGGCTAATGTCGGGCGACGTTCCCATTCTGGACATCGAGATGCACCCAAAGGGGCCTCGGATTACAATAGCACCAGTTCACATGTTCACATGCGCCCAGCCAGAGCAGCAGACCCTAGGAATGTACATTGTAACGCTCGGTGCCTACTCTATTGGCTGATTACTTTCATTACTGTTGACCGTTGCTTCATTGGCGCGTGCGTCATAGTGAAAGTGCCGAGGCAGAGCAGACCCTTGCTGAGTCAGACTCGGGCATGTGAACGGGCAGAAATGCGTATTGGCCGTCTTGCCATTGGATTGTTCGGGCTTTTGCTGTTTCCATGTGCACATATAGGGGTTTCGATGCAGAGATGTATAACTATTTTTCAAAAAAAAATACCATGCACAATGCTTCCTGCGTGATAGCCCGGGCAGATCCCTTGAGACCCGGGGCCTACGAGTCTACACATCCAATATATGGGTTCATATCAGGTCACTCTGGGCTGTTTTGGCTGTTTTGACCGTTGAATTCAAGGCAATTTGCCAACCGTCCTGGTGACCGAGAATATACCATATTAGAATAATGCACGAAAATTTATAATATGCGAACAAAGGAACTCTCATATCAACCACACAGAAAGCTATACCAGCCCCCAACAGATAAGGTCGGCATAGACAGCCTGATTAGTCTAGTAATACATCCAGCATCAAGATTCTATGCCGTCTCGACACTCTACTCCTCCTCGCCATCAGACTCGTATGTGAAGTCGTTGGGAACAGGTGCGTCTTCGACGCCTTCCTCGTCCTCATCCACCGCCGTTAGAACACCGGCGCCAGCGGCAGCACCGCCTGTGGCAGCTGAAAGAGCAGCCCGCGCATCGGCCCGTTGAGGGGTCTGCAAAGCAGCGGTTCCAATGGCGGCTTGCAGGCGGTCCTGAAGGGTTTCGGTAGGAGGAGGCGCTTGGCGAACCTCCTTGCTGGCCTTCAGTTCGACCACCTCGCGAGGCTCGTCGGGCTGCTTATCGAGAACGACAACAACACCACCGGTGGGCTGTAGTCTAATTAGCATCGGGTGCATTGTAGGGAATGAGGATGGACTTACGCGCTTGACCGGCTCGTATCGTGGGTCGGGGAAAGTGAGATACTTGAGCTGAGCTGGAAGCACCCTTGATAAGTTGTCCAGCTCATATCCAACCTTCTCCCGCTCCGCCTTCTTCTTCAGTCCCTCTCCGGCACCCTTTTCGGTCTCCTTGCCTTCTTCTCCCTCCTCCTTGGGGCCCTCGTCTGTGTCCATTGCTTCCGGCAATTGATCGGTGGCCTTGGGTGTTGTGGGAGCTTGGTCAAGGTCCATGCTCTCGCGGCGTGCTTGCTTCTCCCGACGCTGCGCGCGACGCTTGGCCTGCGCAGTCGTAGAGAGGACAGCAGTCTTGACTTTCTCTGGAGCCTCCTCGGTCTTGACCTGTTGCTCAGGGGGGTAGTCGAAGAGACTAGGGCGGGTGTTGCTGTGGAACTTGAAGTGTGGTACTTCAAGCTTCTGGTCGACACCAATCACCGATGTGGGGGTGAAACTGAGTGACAAGAAGTGTGTGAGAGGGAACCAGTACCAGTACTGCACGAAGACAGCAGCACCAACGATACCGGGCATGTTGAGGTTACCCGTTTGTGTCTGCAAGCTGATGGTGCAGTTTCGGCCACCAGCATCGATGATTCCAAGGGCAATGGCACAACCAAACTTGGCCATAGCATCCTCGTGACGGTCACCAAGCATCTTCATCATAGCCTTCCGGAGGCTTGTGACACGAGGGTTCATGGCCTCGTTCTGCTGAACGAGAACCATGGCAAGGGAAATCAAAGCACCCTGGCGAACAAAGTCGGTGGAGTCTTTGAGCATGGGCTCGAGGAGGTCGATAGCCTCGTCCAACCCAGTGCCGGCACAGGAGATACCGAGCGCCATGGCAGCACCGTATCGCACGTGAGGGTTGTATGACTCGGAAAGCAACTCAACCATGCGAGGAACGCTCTGGTGCTTGCGGAACAAGATGAAGCCCAAGCTGAGCACAGCAACTCGGCGCACATCATCGTTCACATCACTAACCGCGACATGCAAAAGCTTGCGAACTGCCTTGTTGCTGCCAGTGCCACAGTAAGCCAGGGCAATGGTCATGATACCACCGTAGCGAAGAGTTGGATCGGGGTCGCCGAGGAGACCGTTGATTAGCTCGTCGGCAGCCTCCTGGCGTCCGAACATGATCAAAGCCATACCCATAGCCAGACCGCGAACGATCTTCTCGTGCTGCGTGTCGTGTGCGTACTGAATCATGTCCTCCAGAGCTTTCATGTTACCAGTGCCAAGCATGATAAGACCCATCGCAAGACCGACTGCCTCACCATTGAGGGCAGAATCAGTGTAAAGAACGGCGCGCAGGTCTTCGTAAATGCCCTCGTCGCCTGTTGCCATACCGGCAACACCGAGACCAAGAGCACCTCCATGCTGAACAACCTCTTCGGTCGCCTTCTTGAAGTGATCGCGAATGATATCAACTGCCATACCGCCGTGGTTGGCGTAAATGAGACCGAAGGCATAAAGAGAACCTCCCTGGCTGTAGACAGATCCAGAGCCTCCAACTCCAGCGATATGTTCCCGAGGCAGGTAAGGCTGGAGGAGCTTTTGACCCTGGCTAAGGTTTCCACGGTGAATACAGCCCAACGCAGCAGTGGCTGTAAACTTGGACCAGTTCACAGCCTTGCCAAGCCACTCGAGATTGTCGCGGAAGAACTTATCGTGGGTGGTTCCCGCATGCATGAAGGCATTTGAAAGTGTCACTGCGGTATGGAAGATAGAATTGCGTGCCTCGAGACTGTCACGAATCTTGTTCAGAATCGCAATGTCAGCCTTGTTGTTCCGGTATAAGAACTCCAAATTCAACTGGATCGTCTTGATTCCGTCTAGGATCGAAAGGATGTTCTTGAAAGCAGTGATCGCGTCTTCGGACAGATCTGAGTGTTTAGCCGAGCGATGAGAGCTGCCCTGGTCTTCCAGTAATGCGTCAGACTCTCTTGGCTCGATCTCGTTCTCCTTATTTTCCTTATCGTTTTCGTCCTCGGGAACCAGCTCGGCAATCTCTTGCCGAACCTTCTGAAGGAACTCTTGCGTGCTGTTATCGTATAGATCGAATGAAATTTGATAGGCAACTGCGAGAGATCGCGCATCACCTTTCTCGACCAGCTGGCGGAGGATATCAGAGGCCATCGAATGCTCATTAAGGTAGACAACGCATTTTGCGATTGAGAAGAAGTCAGGAGCCGGGATCTCATTCAGTAGTTCCAGAATGAGTTTGAGGATCTAAATATCCAAATCTTGGTTAGTCGTTTTAGGCAGGTGGTAGGAAAGCTGCTGGAGACACAAACCTCACTGCGGAAAGCCCGTTCTTGGACAATTCCCATGCAAATATCCAAGACATATTCCATCAGTTCCTCGCTACCGCGGGAATCGCCTTCCTGCTGTTTCTCGTCGCTGCTAGCCCGAAGGATGACCATGCGGAGGACATCCAAGCTCTTTGCTTCGATGGCAATTCCGATGACTTGACGATATCGCTTTTGTCGGAAGCATTCTTCAAAGAGGCGCTCAATGACGGTCTGCAATTGACGTTGTACACCACGTTTCAGTACAAGGTTTGTCTCCTCGTGCTGAACACTCGTGTCGTCGCCACCCGGGTGTGCTGCGTCCACGCCTGGAACTTCTGCGCGAGAAAGCAACGATTTCGAGGGCAATGCGGATTTGGAGAAAGGTGTGATGGGAGAGGTCAGGCTGGCGGATGTGCTGGTGGCGCCTTCGCCCGATGCTGGGAATGCAGTGTTCAGGTTGGCTGGCTGATCACCGGTGCTGGGCCGTTGGGCGGCAGATAGAGAAATGAAGGTATCGACGCACTTCGCTGCATTGAAAGACAAGTTAGCCTCCGACTAGAGGAAATCAATGCTGCTTATCATACCGATGATGGTCTCCTCGTATTCGCCGCCGTTCTCCAGCTTGAACAGCTTCCCAGCGCCCAGAGCAAGAACCATGCTCTCATTATATTCCTGCAGATGATAATATACCTTCGATGCGACTAGTGCTGCAAGGCCGCGTTCCGAAAAGGATTCATCTTCATAGAGAGCCTCGCTGGATGAATGGTCAGTAGGAATCCAGTAGCCGGTCGGACTGAGCAGGAATGACGCAACAATCGACATGAAGCTCATCCCCCCAAGTCTATCAAAACCTGAGGACTCACATTTCAGGGACAGCGTTAACAACCTCTGTCCACAGATGATCGATCTGAGAATCTAATGTCTTCAAAGCAAAGACCTTGAGCTCTGGGTCAGGCTCGGAGAGGAAGCCGACCAAGCCGGCGGCCGATACAAGTCCGACCATCTTTATTGAGTAATGACTTGCGTCACGGTCCGTTGGACGGATTTCGAAGAACGATAGGTATGTTGTTGCGGTTGTGATGGAGCAACGTCAATGAGAGGGAGCTTGAAACAACCTGAATCAGCCAAGCGTAGAGCAACCTGTCAAGGAGGAATTAGGTACCCAGATTATGAGAAGATCACAAGAAACACGGAATTTGATTAAATGAAAGAGACGAAATGGATAAACTGCACGTACAAATGGAAGCTGGAAGCAGTTGTCAGAAGCTTTGCTGGCGCGACCAACGTCAACGCCTGAGCGGAGCTGACTGTACATTGATGGTCACGTGAATGGCGCCCAGTCAGCTGCTAGCGGCCCCGGTCCGCGATAAACAGCTCGGTATCAGCTGGCGAATACTCCGTACACTATCTCGTTTTGGTCTGGTGATAATCTTGGGAGTCATTCGATTTTTGACCTAAAACTACTAAAGAGCCTGCTTAACCAACACGACCATCGTAAAGTTACAATCCACATCCGGTTCAAACCTAGCCGTCTACGCTCGTTTCTCCAGCATGTCAACACTGCTCCAACATTCCTTCCGTGATAAGAGGCTGCCACCGGTACCAGCTGGAGCTTCCATATACCATCACGATCCTCTTTTATATGTTGAACGTCAGACAAAGCACATACAGCGCAACCTCCAAGTCCTGATCGATGCCCAAAGCGAAGGCCTTCTCTCCGTTCTTGCTGAGCCTCCTGCGGATGATGCCTCGGCCGGAACCTTCACGCCGGCCCTATCTTCAAGGAGTGGATCGCATTCCCCTTCCATAGTGCCTGCTAGGCAGCCCGCGCCCAAAAAGATCGGGCTTCGAGCTGCCCGGGAGGGCATCTTTCAATCGATATACGACCTACTTAAGCTACGAGAAGAAGAACGAGAAATTCTCACGACACAGACCAACGAAAGAGAGAATGCGCTGCATGATATTCAAAGCTTCCTTTCGAGGAAAAGTGGCCTTCAAGAGACCATTGCCACTATACATGGAGATCAGGAAAGCCGACGGTCGAAACAACTAGAAGAAGAGGCCCGTAACCTCGAAACTGACATTCGTGAATTGGAGACCAGGTTGTATGAGATGAAAGCTAAACACCGACAACTTGTGAATGAGATATCACACATCGATAACTCGGTCGACGCCAAGCTTTCTTCTTACACCGAATCTCTGTCCTTGCTCGAGTCTGATATTCGAAACTACCTGCGTGACCCTCCCATCAAATCGTTAACACAATACTCAGGTGAACCTACGTTTCACGCCTTGAACCCTAAACGTCGGACACTTGAGATGGCCCAGGAGCACTGGAACAGCGAACAAAACACCTTGCACAATCGGCAACAGAGTGTGGATGCGGAAATATTGGCTTTGGAAGAAGGAGGTGGAGTGTGGAAACAAGCGGTGTCTGATATTACTGGCTTTGAAAAGCGTTTACAAGCCAATATGCGACATTATGTTGAGATGACCGACCCAGCAACAGACTTAGCAGGATCCGCCCCGACAGATCACAAAGACAGTCTGGTGAAGAGTATCTTGGATGACTTGGAGAGAACCACACAGCGGCTTGAATCACATCTGGAGCTCGCCGAGCGTAAGGATTGGAAGCTATTAGTTTGCTGCATTTCAGCCGAGCTAGAGGCCCTGCGAGAAGCGAGGGGGATGCTTCTTCCCGCGTTTGGTCTGCCGTCGCATCAAAAGGATACACTCCTGAATTCCCCAGGGCCCAAAGATTCTACTGCCATCAGGCATGTCGCGGAGGATGACCATGAGGACTTCCTCACGCATCCGCTAGAAAATGATGATCCAGAACCTCCAGCTGATCTTCTTAGAGATCCAGATACTCATCATTCGGATGCTGCATCCAGGTCGGATGAAGACGATGAGCCTGATCCGTCATGGCTGACCTGATCAGGATGGTTGATGGGTTAGCCAGCAGTAAATATCGCACGGCCTAAGTCAGTACATTCCGCACAAGTGATAATTTCATAGCATGATGATATATGTCGTGATATTGCTTCCACCTACATCTGCACTCAAATCGGTGTTGAAACCCTAGATAGCTTTGTAGGCGATGTCCAAATTGTGTCACGTAGTGGATTGTCCGAATTCGTGGGCGGACGGACCACCGAAACCTCGCCGCACCCTCGACCTCCTCTTACTAGCAGCGAACTCCGATCATTGCATTTCGAGGCGAATAAACTTGGGTTAAAATAGAAACAGCTATGGATCTTGCATTGGCGAGCTTCTCTTTCTCCATACCATCTATTTACGATGGCGGCAAGCTTGAGTGTCGCATATATCTCCCGCCCGCTTTCAAAAATATAGAATCAGCGACTAGCTGGCCTGTCCGCGGTGCGATAGTCGCACATCCTTATGCGACCTTAGGAGGATGCTACGATGATCCAGTCGTCAGTTTCATCGGCGATGAGTTATTACACGCCGACTACATTGTGGGAACATTCAATTTTCGGTATGATTACTCAGTCTTCGCGCTTTACCTTCCAAGGTTCGTAGCGAAGTTACTAACAGATGATACGTAGTGGAGCTGGGAGTTCCCAAGGACGCACAAGCTGGACTGCAAAGCCCGAGCTTGGAGATTATGTGTCGTTCTACGGGTTCATGTTGCAATACCTGCACTTATTGAAGCTTGCATTGGCCCGGAGAGATCAAACAGACTCTTCCAACCCTTGTATAGCCACCGACGGAGCAAAAACTCGCTCGGATGTGCACCTCATTCTTGGTGGCTATTCATATGGGTCTATGATCGCGTCGCATGTACCGGCCCTTGATACCATGCTTCACCTCTTCCAAACTGTGCCAACGGCAACTACAACCAATCAAACACCCATGACCAAGATCAAGGAGGCGGCAGAGCGGATAGCCGCATCTACCCTGGACAGACTCGAAATCCATTACACTTTGGCTCACACCTCAGACCTCACTGCATTGAATACATCCATTTCCTATCTCCTCGTGTCCCCCTTATTACCCCCGGTTAGCCAGCTGCTGACTATATTCTCGACCTTGTCGCTGAATGTGAAAACGGAGACCCCGCAAGGTCCCCTCATTCCCTGTCCGCGTCTGGCAGACCAGCAGAGCACACACCCCGTTTTAGCGCTCTTCGGGGACCAGGACACCTTTACCTCTGCTGGAAAGCTGCAGAGGTGGTCAGACGAGATGGCGCACATGCCGCGCAGTCAGTTCCGATTTCGGATGATTGATGGCGCGGGCCACTTCTGGCGTGAGCCTGGGGTTGAGATGCGAGCCAGACACGCTCTGAAGGAATGGCTCGGTCAGATCTGACCATTCATATAATTGCTCGACCGTCCGATTAGATTTGCCATGAACGCTTTATACATTGAGATATAATTTCCAATGATGACATATGACGAAGGCTTCGCCCTGGAAGGCCTATCTCCCTGCAGCTTGCATGTGAAGAATGACCGGGGCCAAGGGGTTGATGTGAGATTCGGGCGCCAAAGTAATCAATTCTTTGAGCCTAATATGATTAGTTCACCGAATGCCTGTACATATTAGGAAACGGGATGGAGGAAAATAAAAATCAAATCAAAAATAATAGCAAGATTGTTGAAGTATCTTTACGAAGTACCCCGTAGTCTTACTCCGCAAAATGGAGACATATCCCCAGAATATGTGTTCAGATGATCGTGGGGGCGAGATCATGGGGAAGCACAACATGACTTCTCGTGATCAACCTGAGAGTTGCAAGTCCATTGGAAGACACGAAGATGTAGATCGGAGGTGAAATCATCGGACAAAACCATGGGCCTTGGGAGGAAACAGGAATCGGGCGCATTACCATTGGCCCTCGTGACGTCTGTCTTCCTTACCGCCAAACTTGAACTTCTTCTTTTACAACATTAACCTATTCCCTCTTTATTTGTATACATTTCATCAGACTTTGTTGCATCTTAGAAGGCTGCATGGCTTGCTCCCCTGATGCACAGGCCTGCTATGTCGGTGTTGGGCGACCCCACAATAGTCCAGTGCCATGGGCGCAAACCCTCTGCAGAACACGTTTCATCACAATCACCCCCACGGTCCCTGCGCAAAGCAATCTCCATCCCTGCCGTCTCGACCCTCGTGAAAGACTCGTGGAATTGGGCCGGTGATACTCTTCACACCTACCGCGACGGCCTTTCCAAGGAGCAGCGCAAACAAAAGGCGGATACCGAGGATCGCAAACAGGTCCTGTATCTACGGATAAAGAATGTGAGTACATGCGGTGCACTTGAGACGGGAGATTGCATCTGCAGAGCAACCCTATCTAATATTTCGGTATAGGCTGTGTCGTACGAGGAATGGCGAAATTGCGCCAATGAACTAGATGAACTAGAAGGCAACAACGTCTGGAAGCAGACGTTTGAGTGCTCCGAATATGACCCTCAGTTGGTACAAGATCGCTTGCGACAGCTGGAAGAGGCTCGGATCAGCTGCGATGTAAGTCGCATGCTGTTTTTGGTGCGCACGGCGCTGAGTCGGGACCTGGCACACATGAGTAATGCCTCCCTTTATCGCCATTCGCATATTGGGACCAAGGACTTGATCGATAGATATATTACGACCGCATTGGACACCATCAATACCCTGGTGGATCTGTCGGTGCATGGTCGCTGCGATGGGCTGGAGCTGAAGTACATTCTGGACCAGCTGTTGGCGGCTCGACAGGCATTTGGCCGTAGTGCGCTTCTCTTCTCCGGCGGTGCCACTTTTGGAATGACTCATATTGGTGTCCTCAAGGCTCTTTATGAGGCGAATATGATTCCTCGGATCATCTCTGGAGCCTCTGCTGGCAGTATTGTGTGCGCGGTCTTCTGCACGCGTACAGATGAAGAGTTGCCGGAACTTTTGGAGACCTACGTTCATGGTGATTTTGCCGTATTCAACGGGAAGGGTCAAGAAGAGAACGTTTTGCAGAAGATGACTCGATTCTTAAAGTTTGGATCGTTTTATGACATAAACCACTTGGCGAATACGATCAGGGCCTGGCTCGGAGATATGACCTTTCAGGAAGCCTATAACCGCACTCGCAGAATTTTAAACATTTGTGTGTCAAGCGCCGGTATGTATGAGCTTCCAAGGTTGCTGAACTATATCTCGGCGCCTAATGTCTTGATTTGGTCTGCTGTGTGAGTCCCTCTTTCCCATCTTCGCGTTTTCATATCATTCCTAACATTACCAAGGGCTGTATCATGCTCTGTCCCCTTTGTCTTCAGGCCATACACGTTGATGGCCAAAGATCCCTTGACAGGCGAACCGGTCCCATGGAATGACCTCCACAAACAGTATATTGATGGCTCAGTCGATGGTGATTTGCCAATGACACGCTTATCAGAGATGTTCAACGTGAATCATTTCATTGTCTCTCAGGTGAACCCTCATGTGGTCCCATTTCTTCCAAAGGAAACAGGACCGCAGGGCGACTCAGACTATGGCCCATCCTTGATTCCTAGGTGGATGAACACGATGACACACCTGGCGAAAGATGAAGTTTTGCATCGTATGAATATACTCTCGGATCTTGGAGTCTTCCCGACGTCAATGACCAAGTTTGCGTCAATTGTGAACCAGAAATATCATGGAGACATCAACATATATCCGGAACTCATTTCTTCCAACTTTCCGCGGCTCCTGGAGAATCCGACAACGGAGTTTATGCTTTCATCATGTTTAAGCGGCGAGCGTGCGACATGGCCGAGACTCAGCCGAATTCGAAACCACTGCGCCATTGAGCTGGCACTCGATAGCGCCATTCAAAATATGCGAGCCCGAGTGGCCTTCAGTCCGAGCCAAGTTGACCTACGTATGCCGAACTTTAGTCGTTACTCGATTGACTCAGCAGACAGCAGCGGAAGGGGACGTTATCGCAACAGGCGAAGAGGATCCCACAGTCCCGAGCTGGAAAAGAGACAATCGAGTGGGAAAGGGCGACATCAAGCAGCTCGGGAACTGCGAAAGGCACGAAGCACTGTCTCCCTAGAGAACCCGTCCCCAAACGAGTCAAAACCCGTGTCGACCCAAACAAGATCTCACCGTCGCACATCCTCAGTATCTATTAGGAACGGACCAATATTCGATATTGGATCAAGTAGCGATGAGGAGATTGAACGGCTATACACTCTTCGTCCCAAACTTGCAGGTCATCGAACATCCTCAGACTTACCTGCATTTGGCGGAGCACCCGTGAGCCACGGACCCCGTAGCCCCGTCCGCTCCCGTCGATCCTCATTCTCTTCTGGCCCAACTTTCAACGATTCCTCTGTTACGGCACGTCGCAGCTCCCCGAAGAAGGCTCGTGCGTCTTCGGCTCGTGAGTTCTCAATGACCGTACCACCGTCGTCCCGTCATTTGCTCAGCATGACCCCAACGCCGACGGTCTATCCGGGTTCGCCTGACACCACCACGCGCAAACAGCGGCATTGACAAATACGCTGTATAAGGGCTTATCGAGACTTGTTTGCCTTTTTGGGAGTCGCACATCTAATTCCCTATCTCTTTGAAACATACAGGGTCACCCACCCACCAAATCAATTTAATCTTGACCCGCATGGTCCCGGCGTGGGCGCGATCCTTGTTCTTGTCGGAGCTGCCATTCTGCGAACTGTGGCATGAACTTCAGCATTTCCCATGATCAGTTATATTTTCCTAGTTTGTCTACAGATTGTCGGCATTCAGACAGGGGGCTTTGTCTATGCGATAGATTGTCCCTGTACTCCGTACTAGACTCCCCCCTTGGACATTCTGCAGTGGATTTCGGCTTTTGGCTCTTCGCCTATCGAATGCACTCGATTCGCGGGTCTCGCTTCTCTCATACTCGCATCAAGTTCGTTATTCACGACTTGCACATGGTGGACTTTTGCACATATACAGCAGGGAGATGTTATACACCCTAGACGCAATGGATTTAGACCATTTTTCGAGCTGATCAGTTGTTGTTTCAAGTTGAATATAAATTGATAGTTCCCGCTAATCTGAAGGCAGTTTTAAGTATAATCCTGAGGGCATGCCACTGAGCTTGAAAAGCCACCTGGGCATAAACAGATGCTTGGCAGCCTTGGCCTGCAGCCAACTCGGAAGAAGCTAGCGGGGGGTCCAGCAAATCAACATCAGGAACCCACCCGCAAGCTTCAACAACAGGCAAAGAACGACGGTAGGCCGGTAAATTATCGGGTACTGATGTCTCGGGCATTGATTCCAGAATCTTGTCCTTCAACACGAAACAGGTCCGGATTTTATGCCGTCTTTTCCGTGCGCGCGAGTCTTCAAAGGAACGTTGTAGAGTCCAACGTCGATCCTATGTCACGGGGATCCACTATGGGCCAAGAGGCGCCCCTTTTCTCCCCAGGGCTGACGACGACTCCAGGATGAGTATGATATGCGAGATCGAAGTCTGAATTCTAATATTCAAGGCTGGGGCTTAGATCTCGATGTTTTGCAGACTTCCTCAGGAGCAGGGAATATTCTCGACTGTGCCACAGCTTCGGAGACGACTATCATCGCTCAATATTTTCAACATAAGACCATTCTTGCGTCTTCAGTAGCCTATCACGCCGATCTCTGACGTTCCAACTCAGAAAACAATGGAGCCAGAGATTCCACCTCGCCGATCGGTCGGGGATTACTGGCCCCTACTTATCAATCAGTACTCCGTAGCTCTGCCAACCTTTCCCACTACCGCAAGTCCACTTGTTTCCGTGGACACTCTGACACAGGATGTGTCTCAGCCTTCTTGATAGACGTGGTGTGGCGAACACAATACATGTGAGACAAATTAACTGCACCTCTGAGACAGATAACTCCCGCTGGGGCTAGGAACAAGAGGGTTATTGTGTATATCTTCGAAAAAGGGGCTGATGGCGATATGCACCCTAATCACGCACGACTCAGCGGTTAACGATAAAGCTGACCGGAGTCCGGACTTCAGAACCGACAGCCCTGGTGCAACCCTGGAGAAAAATCTATATCAGGCAGGTATGAACAGCTCGTGGGAAAAGGATTGATACGGTCAGACCCTCACGGCTATCATCCAAGGATCCTATCCTATAGAAGGAAGATGATCGTCGTACTATTCTTTGGTACCTGGCTGTGGCGTCTGCAGCCTAACCGACCCGCCGATACCTGCCCCGTTGGACGAATTGAGAGCCACTTTTTACTTTTTTCTCGCGCGTTGGCTGGCCAGCAAAAGCGTCTCGGGAAAATACCTCAGCCCCAGGCCTTGTGCTTTTGCCCGTTCCTTGTGTCTAGTCCCTGACGACCCTAAGCTACTCCCTCAGGTCAAGATCGTCGAACCCACACCCAACATTCGAAGCATGGTGGTCCAGTCATTCCAACCATTCAGCACGTCTAGTCTCTAGGGACATTACAATATTGAATTTGGCCCGATCACGGCATCCACATCTAACTATGACCAAGCTTGCCGATCAAAAAGCCTGATAAACTGGCAGCTTTATAAAGACGTCCTTGGTTCTCCATGATATCCTTTTGCTTTTGACGCATCAATTCTACCTGTGATATATCACCCATATATCTCCACTCATTTGCATTTGCATTTGAATTATTGTCCAATAAATCTGAACCAGTCAAAATGAAATATACTGGTCTCGCCGTTATGGGCTTGATGGGCTGTGCCCTTGCCTTGCCCCAGGGTCCTCCTCCCCCGGGCCCCCCTCCCCCAGGCCCTCCCAGCGAGCTTCCGAGTGGTTTCCCAACTCCCAGTGGCTCTCCTTCGGGATTCCCGACACCAACCAGCACCCCCAGCGGCTTTGAGAAGCGCCAGGCCTTCGACCTGCCTTTCTCCATCCCCTCCGGGTTCCCTACTAGCTTCCCGTCTGGCTTCCCCACGCCTTCCTGCTCCGGCCTCCCTACTGGATTCCCCTCACCCACCGGCCTGCCTTTCGGCAAACGCCACTTCCCCCACGGGACCCCGCCTCAGGGTCCTCCTTTCCATGGTCCTCCTCCCTATGGCCCTCCTCCCCATGGTGTTCCCGAAGGCCCCATCCCCAGCGGGTTCCCGACCCCAACTGTCTCCCCTTCTAGCGGGTTCCCGACTCCAACCAGCACCCCCAGCAGTACCCCCAGCGGCTTCGTGAAGCGCCATGGGCTCCCCACTAGCTTCCCCATCCCCAGCGGCTTCCCTACCCCCACTGGATCCCCCACTGGATCCCCCACCCCATCCGGCACTCCTCCCCCCCTTCTTCCCTCTCCCCGCTTATTAGATACCGAGCGAGAGATAGAACGGATCTCTGATTCACTGCGTCGGGTACCATCTTGCAAGACTGCATCCATGTGATGCATGTACTGGTGTTGCATGCGGGATAGACGCCCACGCTTACATACATTACAGTGGAGACGGAGGTTTGACTTATTGGGATTGAGATACTCAAGTGCCCAGTACTGTATATTATACAGGATATATGGGGGTACTGGTATAGATATTTTGGACATGTCTTTCGTTTGTTAATCACGAGTCTGCGGAACGATTTTTACTATTTATGAATTATACGCAGGCTCCTTTGTTTGTGAATTTGAATATATCTTTCCAGATTGGAATGCACACACTCATTTGGCATATCAGTATCTTGGTGGTTTCTTTTAGAGGTAGATCTTTGGGCCTCTCATATTTGGGTACAGTTCCCGTTCTCAAGGATAGACGTCCATTGCGTGTTCTCCGGGTCTGTCGCGTCGTCTTTGGCGACATGGGAAGCCTGTTTAAGGGTTTTATAAAACATGGTTTCATCGGGATACCTGTGTGTTCGTATCTAGACCGGACTCGACATATATCACCTCAGCTGTCATGATTGTACCTCCTTTGGGGATCGTGTGAGATACTCCGGTCTCCATTATGGGTTGGAGGTCAGTAAATGGAAAATCCCTAGGAATTTAGTTGAATGCTGGCATCCTCAAAATGAGACAAAGCTGATGGAACAGGACCACAAAGTGTCTGAATCAATCGTGGTGCCTTCGTCTGTGAATCAAGTTTGATCTCGCCCCCAATTATATCATTGGACTGCGTATACATTTGCTATGCAGCAACCAGGAAATCCACAGCGTGTTTAATGGAAAATTTCCGATGATCGTTGCTATCAACAATGGTCATGTAAAACAAGGGTTGTGGTGTCTCCTAGGATGAATCTTTCGTTGAGAACCTGAGCAATGGGCAGAACCGGGGTCAGGATCCTGTATCGGGTCTTCTACCCCGTGAGTCAAGGAATAACGGCCATCAAGACGTGCAATTAATCACACAGAATGGGTGATAAGAGCGGTTGTAGTGGGTTGTTTGCATTTATGTTTTTATCACTGAATTGCAGTCGCGCAAATGATCTCATGTTATTGAAGAGATAACGCCACAGCAGGGTATATCTAAATCCAGCTGATCCAGCTGATCCAGCAGTTTTCAGGAACTGAAAGCTTTAAAATGCACAGTGCACTCACGGGCGAGATTAATTGTTTGACTCTTTGGAGGGGGGCAGACTACGTTCGGGATTTCAAGGGCATACTCTTGCGTTGTTCAGCTACATGCACGCTGCTGCAATAGCTTCCACAATATAGTCAGAGATCCTGGTTATTTGTTCTTCATGTTTAACATAGCGCTTGCAACTTACCTTTGGGGAAAATGACGAACGTTGATCAGCCAACACACGTTCTAAGGCTTGCAGGAATATAGAGGATCGATGGCGTGGTGATTCAACGGCTTTTCTATGTGAATGTTTCTCGCAGTTCAACACCCTAGCATTAAACATGCTCATTCTTTGTAGAGATTGTACTGTAGTAAGCGCAAGTAATCTGCGTAGTTCAATTTCTGAAAATCTAACTGATTAGGAGAAAATTCCCTTTTTGGTCAAGTATGCATCTTTGGCGACAGGAGATTACATCCTTCCGCATTGATCTTCCGCGTAACAAACTCAACAGATCTAGCTTAAGTAGCTCACTTTGCTTCTGAGCACCTTCTGTTTATTTGTTCCTCGATTCGATTCTTCACTTGTTTTCTTCTTCTCTCCACAAGTACCATCAGAGCCCCAATCCAACTCTTTTCCTCTACTGCACGACTCACAGCCACCATCCAAGAGCTTCATCAAATCTCGTAATGGCTCCAACTGAGAGAAAGGCGAAAGCCAAGGCTAGCGCTTCGGCGAAGGCCAAGGTTGACAAGAACCCTCAGCCAAACAATGGTCGCCCATCCACTGAGCAATACCTCATGGCTCTGATTCATACTGCAAAGCAGCCAGTAAGTCATCTATATGCTGACGCTGCCAATCCTAAATCCTTGATCATACTAATCAAATCTCACTGCATAGGTCCAGTTTGACTATGAGACTGCAGCCAACGTGCTCGGCATCCACAAAGTGACTTGTCAAACCCGATACCATCGGCTGAAGAAGACTTACTACCCGGAGGATGTGAAGCCCAGCCCTAAGAAAAGGGGAGAGGCCACTGTCACCCAGCGACCTGCCTCGGCCGAGCCCGATGTGACCGGTTCACCCGGTGAACACGACGAACACGAGGAGCACGAGGAGCACGAGGACCGCGATGAGGTTGTGAAGATGGAAGATACCTCTGACTAATCATTTGCCGCATTCTTTGCTGCCAAAGCCATATCAGATGGCACGTCTTCCACATTTGACCTTGCATGATGTCCATCTGGGGCCTGCAGTTGACCTACTGACTCGTCTTTTTCATTTCTTGCACTTTCACCCGTCAAAACCGTCTATCCGTTTTGAAACACCAGGGTTGAATATTCGCCGAGACCTAGCTAGCAAGATGCAACTTAATCTTGAACTTTGATAAATCGATTCTATCGTATGCTTGTCGCATCAAATAAACACAGTAGAATGTACGCCCTTCGAGTCACCATGGATGTCTCTCGCCATCGATGCCCAAATATCAGGCCGAGGACGGCTTTATATAGCAAGAAACCTTTGTTCCTGGGATATTGAATTCGTTTTCTTCCTGCGCTGTCTTTGAAATATCGACAGGGCCCCTAACAATTGGGAAAGATGGGCCGGCAGATGGCTCCTCGCGCTGTCTACGCTGCGTCCTCGGTTCTTTGATCAAGGACACAATCAAGAAGATTCCAGCAGGGCCAACATGTGTATTCTGAACAGGATCAAAAGAGCAAATCACACCATGCCCGCAGAGTCATATTTTGATGTACACCATGAGAAGCAACTGTATCGGATAATCCGCTGCTGATGTAGACAGGGATACCCAGGCCACGCCGATAAAAACAGTTGACTGGGTCGCTTTGGCCTTACAAAACTTGAGAGTCTGTAGACACATGACGATGGAGCAGATCCCCCGCTATGGTCGCAAATGATGGCTCGATTTGGAGGAGACCGACACGACATTTGACTACAAGGTCGTTCAGGTAAGGGGGATGTGTATATCAATCCCCTAATGATGGTGGTGATGATGACGGTGACCATGACAGTGGCCATGATGACCATGATGGGCATGACGGGGATCATCGCGGGGATCATGGCGGTGATGGTGATGGTGACGGTGACGGTGACGGTGATGGTGATGGTGACGGTGATGGTGATGGTGATGATGATACTGATAAATAATTCGATACATGTATGCAGCCATATAAGTACCCAATCCGGATAGGGCTGGCTTAGTGAAAGAATGCTAGTCAGTATAGACTTAGAGCTGCATAGATTCTGCAGGTCTATCGTTCAGTCTTTGTCTGATGAGGAAGGATCCTTGGATGATAGGTAGACGTGAGGCCGTCAATGCTCTTTTCGGTCAGGAATTGTCACATTTGTTCACGACGATGGGAGACTGGTGTGGGAGCCTGGCAATTCAGCGGAGATATGCCTCACGTGCCTAGTCGAATGAAGACGGCGAGAACGATTGCTTTGTGATGGCTCGACCGACATCGTTTGCTCGAAGCCTCTCACCTGCAGCGTCGACCATCCGTTCCGTTCCTCTCTCGTCTCGTTCCTCTCTTTTCTCCGTTCCATCATCCCATTTCAAGGCAGCATCCATCTTCCATCTCTATTTCATCGCCATAATACCTCACTATCTATCAACTTCATCATGGTTACTCCTACCAAGACCAAGAAGTCGACCGTCGACGGAGTCAAGAAGTCTCCGGCCAAGGTGACCGCAAAGACATTCACCAGAACTGAGATCTATCTTTACCATGCCATCAAGTACGGCGGTGCGACTGTTAGTACACTCCCACTTGATCTATGCTTGTCGCCTTGCTGAGTCTCGGCTGACATTCGATTGACTATAGTTCGATTATAAGGTCATCGCCAAGGAACTTGATGAGCGTCATGAGGCCACCCGCATGCGTATGTCTCGTTTCATGAAGGAAGTCGAGAAGTACCTGGCTGCCAAGAACGACCTGGCGCAGAGCACCTCTACCAACCCTGTCGACATGGCTGAAGAGGCCCCTGCCGACAAAGCTGAAGAGGCCCCCGCCACCAAAATGGACGAGGATTAGGTAAATGGTGAGGCAATAGCATGGTCTACACAAAGCGAGGACAGAGTCAATGAGAGAAACGGGGAGGAGTGACTTTCGTGTATCCTTGCTTTCCTGCTTTCCTACTTTCTTGCTTTCCTGCTTTCCTGCTTTCTTGATTTCTTGCTTTCTTGCGTTCTGCCTTTTTTCGTTCTGCCTTTTTTCGTTTCCGGGATATCAGTTCTCTCAAATCATACTCAAGCGTTAGTGATTCCGTGTGCATGTAGATGAGCTTCTTTCCCGAATGGCGTCACCGTAGAGTTACTGAGAATTTGTAAGCCCAGGGCAGCGCCAAGCGCAGATCACAGGGTAGAGTCCTACTAGTTCTTGCTTAGCACAGATTGAAAGACCACCTGGACACAGATCAGGATCTTACTGAGCTGCGGGTATTGCCTTAGCCAACAGCAGAGGCCCCCTCAAAGTGAAGGCACCCTCAAAGTGAAGGCATCACCACAATCTTAACACTTACGGACTAAGACTTGGTGTCCCCATCGGTCGAGCGCATGACTCCAATTCAATAGAACTTGTGTCTACAGCCATCTCATGTACAACAAGTTTGACTCAGGGAACTGTGAATGCGGAGTCATCGCGATTGCCATCAGTCCACTATACCAGTAGAATTCAGTAGATAGCCGAAAGCAGTAAGCATCAATTGATGATGGCCAGATGATACCCTGAGGCATTTTCCCAAAAGGCTTTCGAGTTCCTTGACAGCTTTGTTTCAAACCTTGCAAGTTCCTCTCGTTAGACAAGCGCACTAGACTTGACGGTGTATTTTCGGCGACACGCTTGTACTTGTGTGCTAGTGTGCGGATTACAATCGTTCTATGTTGTAGATAGCTCTGGAGATGTCGCGTCCCCGCATTAGCTTATACCAGCTTATACTAGCTCGGATTAACCTTTCTAAAAATATCATTAATTAGCTGCATTTGCCGATGGTGGGTTACATTCACTCTGTTCATGCAGCACGGAGTCTCGAGATTTGACTCCTCCGTGCCCCAACTGCAAACAGATGGCATATAAGTAGGTAGCCTTAGGGGAGTTCATTATGATATAATGGTCATTAGGAAAATGGCCATTGGGAACAATCTATTCTCTGACAATATGGGAATCGTACTTAGCAACATGCAAAGACCTTGTCCCATGCAATGTTTGAATAACATCTCAGCTGGAAATCAGAATAAGTTCTAGATTCACTAATGGATATGCACCATGTACCCTTGTACTCCGGAAGTTAAGACTGCAAATGGCAGCTAATTGACTTCTATTTTAAGACCCAAAGCGGCCGATATGCAAGCTAATTAAGGGAGATATGACCGTCTCGAGCGCAGACTGCAGATCTCCGCACATCTGCATCACCTCTCAGCGGTAACTGACCACCCCTATTGGCTGATGGAGTTAACAAGGTACAGCTCCTCCGTACAATGAGAACTCCAGGACAATGCACTGTTGACATCGAACGAAAGTGGCCCGGCGGTTCCAAAAACCAAGCTTTATATCCGGACGCCTTCCGCGGAGATGAGATGGGTCGTTTTTCTCTTTCGAAGAGGTCGACTTGATCGAAGTCCCCGGCGAAGTCGTATTTGTTCTGCTTGCTCTTATTGTTTTTCATTTTGCTGTTCATATTTCCAGCTTGACGGCCTCTTTGCAAGGGTATTTCAATTCGTTGGCGTGTGACCCCTCCATTGCCCCTCGAAACCCTTGTTCGTCGTGATCCTAGCCACCATCCAATCCGCAGTCTTTCCGACTGTTGGTTTCTGTATCATTGCAGAGAACGGGAGATTTGCATCCGTGAAGGGTTGCCAAAAAATCTTGTTGATCCCTCTATCGGCGTCCGGACCTAACGTCCAGTCGTCGTCATCGGCTGTTTGTTTGCTCTCGTTGAAACGTACCATTTAATATCAACCCTGGCCTGTCTTCCCCCGCTCGATCATTCTTCTCCTCCCCCCACCAGACGGATGTTACCTTTGGCTCCTATAAGAGGGAGAGCTCAGAGAAGTCCGAGTCGATATCACACACTCTCCTCCCCATAGACATCATGGCGGGAATTGTCAACGGACCTCTTTCCCTCTTCCGCAAGTCAGACTCTCCAAAGCCTCTCCATGCTCGATGGGGCGATGTTGCCATCTCCGTGCCAACAGACGGCTCATGGAACCAATACGACAACCCCCATCGACCCGTCAAGGGGAGATCCTCATACGGGCCAGGCTATGTACCCGACTGCTCCCCACAGGACCGAACCCCACGCCCAGTGAAGGAAGACGACCCCGACGAGGACGCCAGAAGCGTCTGCAGCGAGGCATCGACAGCCTCGCGACGCAGCTCATTATCCCTCGGAGGATTGCGACCGGGTCGGCTCTCGGTGCGCCTAGCGTCGCGCCCCAAACATCTGCGGGGCGAGTCGCAGGCAGAGAGAGAAGCCCGGCGCTCCGAGCAAAAGCGAACTGAATTCGCATACAGACCAATTCAACAAGACTACACCTCCGAAGTAGTGGAAAATTCAACCAACCCCCATAATCGCTTCAAGTACATCCCCACTGATGGGCGGTACCCCGAGGATTTGGGCCCGGAGACCCCGCGTAGCCAGTCCGTCCACTCGCCCCGCACTTCTCACTCGCGGGACTCGTTGCCTGAATCTATTGATCGCGGTCGCGATCGCGATTATCGAACTTCAGCTGTTCGAGTTAGTACATGCCATGAAGACGATCGTCAGAGTGTTTACTCGAGCATGGGTGATAGCTCGGATAGCTCCAGTTCGCGACGGAATTTTGGTTTGCCGCCTAGGCGGAGGACGTCGCCTTTTGTCGCGGCTGACCGTCGGAGGGCTTCTCTTTCAAGGCCGATGACCATGGCCATGGTCCCTGATCCTGATGAACTCTATGAGTGATAGATCTGTGAGGTTACGGGTTTGACGATCTGGTTTTATTGCTTATTTTTTTTTTTACTGAACCATTGCGTGGCGTTGGCGAGGCGTTTTTGGTGGTCGTCACCCTTCTAGCAATACCTCAGAATGAACCCATCCTATTTGCTTGTTTATCTGAGTAAATCATCCTTCACCAGTAACTTGAATATCAAAGTGATGTTGTTTAGAGTTTGGCTGAACGGCCTTAAGCGTATGATCGCCAAATACGAGCTACGTCATTGCCGGAGTATGCAACTCATAACATTGGCAAATACGCCAGTCTGAATCAGGGGTTTTCCTGAAGCCCCTCAGGAGACAAGAAACTTCTCGTTGCCATTCCAATTGGTCTACGGGTGGTCTGGCCGAGGCGCTGCCAGGTATTTTCATGCCTGGGGCGACAAGTTTGGAAGATATCACAATGACGGCATATCAACGTCGGTCGCCCCAGGGAATAGAGATCTGGGGCACCGAGCTAATCCAAGGATTTATATGTGAGTTGAATAAATGAACTTCCGTCACTAAACATACGGTATAGAAATTGCTCTTTGGATATTAATTTAGACGATGGCAGCCGCGGTAGTTCAACTCCGGTGTGGTGTCAAGGTCAGTCTATTCAAGCTTGGGACTGAATTGCATTAATACTAATTAACTTGGACTGATAGAATGACGATTGGGGAAAGAAAGGAAAAGACTCGGTTGTCGCTCAACTATGGTCTAAAACCCCAAATAATGCGCCGATTGACGACTCCAAACATTATTCTGAAGTAAGTTTCTGAGGATCAGTGACCCTATGGGTGCACCAATGCTAACTTCGAAAAGATGTGGATGGGTACATACCCGTCGAACCCTTCATATCTGCTTTCCACTGGTGAACATCTGGGGGAATATCTGAAAAAGAACCCCCAGCTAGTGGGCAAGTCCGTGCATGATCGTTGGGGTCCAGAGATCCCATTTCTGCCCAAGGCAAGTACAAAATCAAACATCTGATGGGATTTGGCAAATAGCTAACCGAGTTGGATGTAGATTCTCTCTTTTGAGAAAGCATTACCACTACAAATCCATCCAGACCTCAAGCTTGCCGAGCAGCTGCACAAAGAAGACCCAAAGAAATACGGCGACACAATGCACAAGCCAGAGATTGCAATCGCGCTTTCGAAATTCGAGCTCTTCGCAGGCTGGAAGCCCCTAAAAGACATCCAGGCTCTATTTGAGTTAAACCATCTGTCAAAATTCAGCCCTAAGCCAGGACAATGGAATGATGAAACCCTACGCCAAGTATGCAAGGCTTTGCTGAGCGCATCACCAAAAGAAGTCGAACAGACAGTCAAGGATCTACAGAGCATCCCGGAGTCCCAATTTGGTGCTCACTCCTACATCCCCACCCTGCTCGGCCGTCTGGCAAAACAATACGGCCAAGGCGACAATGGAAACCTCGTCGCCGCACTGTTGATGAACTTCATGACGCTGGGGCCCGGTGACTCAGTCTTCGTGCCAGCAGATAGCATCCATGCATACCTGGAAGGCGATATTGTGGAGTGCATGGCGCGGTCTGACAACGTCATCAACACCGGGTTCTGTCCGGCCGCTGATCGTGATAGCGTGGAGTTGTTCGGAGAGGCTCTGAGCTTCGTGCCACATAATTCACAGGATGCATTGCTCCCGCGCAAAAAGAGCGACAAGGGCATGCACGGTAAGACTGATGTCTATGCGCCCCCCATCAGTGAATTCTCGGTGTTATGCACCACCCTTGGCGCCGGAGAGAAGGAGACGCATAAGGCCATTCTAGGACCGAGTTTGATGATTGTCACCAAGGGATCTGGTCGTATGAACATTCCTGGTGACCAGGCCGTCGAGCTGAAGGAGGGATATGTATTCTTTGTTGGCCAGGGGGTTGCGCTCGACTTGGCCACTGACAAGGGCCTGGCTGTTTATCGGGCGTATGCGGAGTAGAGAGACTAAGGATTTTGCAGATCATATCAGAAGAAATGAAGGCAATGGCCCTATAGAATGTGTGATATTTCCCAACACTATTTATTCTGTTATTGTGACGATCAGAGTTTAGAACATTGAAGTAGATATCTGCATGGGGTCAGATTGGCCGGATGTCCATGCGGGCGTCGAAGCCCTAACTGCCAGCAGATCCGTTTCTAGCAGGAGACTCGTCAAACCACCTGCACCGAGTCGACAAATTGAAGAATCATACCCCGATACTTGACAACGCATATCCATCGACGTTATCATCATTCCGAACCAACAAGTGATGATCCTCTTTTCATTTATACGTGCTCTGGATACTCCGTACTCCGCACGCCGATGTTGGAACGGAGAATATTATTCGCTGATGGCGGGGCGCTTCCACCGAGCCAATGAATCAACAACAACACTGTTGGTGACGATTAACGCCCCAATGTGATTTGATCGCAGAGACAACAGGTTTTAATTTAGAAATTAAGGCGCATTTGCAATCGTCTGGCCCGCCCGATTAGCTCGGAGATGCAGGATAATCGAGCTAATGCTTGCTAATTGACTCGTTTATGGGTGAATCTATCTATAGCTAATTGATACTATCTTTATTTTTTTCCCGAGTCGCTCAAAATATCTCTGAAACAGGGACCGTGTGTCAGGATGCGACTAAGCTTCGTTGATCTGTTTCAGCGTCTTATATATCTATATCCTCGCAGTTTCATGGCATGGATTGTTCTTAGCATCAGGGTCGAAGCTCCAATTTAGAGACCTCCTGTTCGAGTTTGTGATACGAGTTCCATGAGGAGTTCAATGCTGGGTTGACTTTCTATTCTTTGTTTACTTTGGACATCTATACTCCATACCTCGGGTGCTTTGATTTCTCGCCTGGCCCTCATATCGCCATTGAATCAGTACATGTTGGGCTATGTCAAATAGTTCGTCGCTGGCCAATCGCTCTGACAAGAACTCCTCTTCTCGTACGCCCGTCATTGTCATTGGTGCTATAGCCGGCAGTCTCATCTTCTTAGCAAGTATGAAACCTGAGCCGCAATTGCCAATGCCAGACTAACAGACTAGTGGCTGGCCTACTATACCTCTTTTCCCGCAAAGAACGGGCCAGACGAAGGAACGCACACCAAACTGAGGACTTTTCTCCTCTCGAGCCACCACCAGCCTATAAAACCGATGAGCTCGGCACACCCAGAGGGCTCCACTCCCAACCCCGGCCATTGTCCTCCTTTGCTCCGGACTACTCTCGCCAGGCCCAGAATCAGTATCAATACCAGCAACATCTCGGTCGCACCTCGTGCGAACAACCCCCGGCATACCCCACACTGCCAACATATGACCCATCACGATATCAGCCTGTCCGGCCAACCTCCTTGGACATTAACGCCTTCCCCTATGCCCACCCCACCAACCCTGCCAATCCACACCCTCCTTCTTCCCGCCTCAGTGCAGTGCACTACAGTGATGCCAGACTAGCAAACCCCCAGCCGTCAATGGTCGACCACGGTCCTCCAATCGCACTGCCAGTTGCATCTAGACCACGGCGACAGACGGCTATGCCCCCTCCACCGCAACATAGCGCCAGGCAGCACAGGGAGACTAGAGAAAGGAGTGCATCGGAGCCAACGCCTTCGGCTCAGGCACCAAGACAACCTAAACCCGTTCTGTCGCGGCTGATCACCAATTTCCGTTGATTTTGTGATGGTGGCTTGGGCTTGTTTTTATGACTATCACGATGGCGTTTTGTCTTTCTTTTTTTCGGGGAAAGTTGGACTGGGATCTTTTCTCATTTGCTCTTTTTTTAATATTTTCGCCAAAATGCCGCTTAGCTCCAATTTCCCAGACTAGCACCTTTTCCCAATGGAGTTATGTGCTCGAACTATCCAAAATACCTGGCTCCTACAGTGCATGGCGTAGGTATACTCCGTACGTCAGTCGGAATTAACTCTTGTCCGATCGACTCGATCTCTTTTTCCCGGACAATCACCCGGTCCACCTTCACCAACTCCGTGCTCCATTCTGTGTACTTTGTTCTTGATTAAGTCTCAGTTCATGATCATCCCGATATTACCCTTTTGATTGCTCCAGCGCCTATCCAAGCTTCGGGATGGGGTACCTCAACGCCTCGCACCAGACCCAGTCAACAACCCTGGACTTTTCCAACAAATTCTTTGTTTTCAGAGCTTGGGATCACTCCTGATTTTGCGCACAATGGGAAGATTGATCCTTCAACTCCACTCCGTTGCAGGGGTTGAGGTGCTGCATCACAGTGAAACCGGGCTTTTCTCCTCTCGCGAGAGGGGGATACCCCCTCTTTTGATCCCTGTCGCTTTGCCTCATATTGACTTTTTTTTTCTTTTTCTATATTCGCTTTTCCGTGACTTTTTGTCTCGACAAAAAACGAGTCAGGTAGGAGCTCCTAACCCTGCATCTATCACGTCGTTGCATCGGGACCCCTGAAATTACGATAAACCTGCCAGTCATAATGGCCAACGCAGCGTCCAACGATCCATTTTATAACGGCTTGGTCATTATAAGTGTAGATCTCGAGACAACCGCCACGCCAAGATGACGAACGACGAGGGTGCATTGAGACACACTATGTACAACCCATGGCTGACCCGCGTCAACTCCATTAACGCAAGTTGACTGCGCCGCAGTTCATAGGTTAGTATCTAACAGCTGGAAATGAACAGGGGTCAGGAATTCCAAATCCATTTCGTCTACCCCTCCCACATGCACCTTCTACGCACGCACTATGGGAGCTTCTCGTTGAGAGCGACCCGTCTGGATTCCTGAGCCGGTCGACGGTTGCGTCTGCAGTCTACCCGTTGGTGCTTTTCACGAAGCGCTGTTGTGTTTTTTTTTTTTTTTTTTTTTTTTTCTCACGGGAAACACCGTCTGGATTCCCTGAATCCCGCCCCGGGGGCCACCAGCAGAGGGGTTGACCCAGACCATCGGACTCTGTCCCGGGTCTCTAATCGCTCGCTGGGTGATTTGCCTCCCAACACCGATCTGTCAAGCAATTTGTTCGGAAGATCTTCCCTCTTCTCGGTCAAACAAGCGGATATGCAGTGGGTGACTAGTGCGCCCTTCATGGACCTGTCGTTTTGATATAACTTCAACATAAGCGGGCGATCTGTCTGCCCTTGACACCTTCTCTCTGCCTTTCTTTGTTCACTTGCAGGCTTTGTGATTGACTTATCACCCTCAACAGAGACTTCGTGCTCTCTGTGGGGAGTTAGGCCGGCTCTGAGATGAGAAACGTATTAGGGAGTGATTTGTCCTCCCCTTTGTACATTTGAACCCCGAACGCGTCACGTCTCCAGTTCCGATGAGAAATCTATTGAAGGCCATGGCAACCTTCATGAAGAAGTTCAAACGAAAGCGCAGAGTCTCTACAGAGCTGCACTCTCGCTGGGGTGATGTGACCATCACCTATCCCACACAAGGATCCTGGAATCAGTGGAATCAAACCTCCGGGTGCGTCGCCACTACCCCAGCAAGAGCAAACAGTCAATCTGAGTCACCTCCACAATATACCCCGGCTGTCGCATTACGGCAGTCAAGCCCTAGCACCTCGAGCAGGCGATCCCACAGCACAGGCAGTCGAGAACACCAAGCAAGCCCCCCTCAATCCTTCCCCACGGGATATTTCGACCAAAACATTCGACGTCGCGTGGGGGAGAGGAGGAATAGCTTTACCGCGCCAACCAAAGGCATTGGAATCGGAGATCTTCGACGAGGAGCAAATCGGCGACCCTCAAGTTCGATCATCACCGACGAATGTTCTTCTGATGACACTTGCGACGAAGAAGAAGAACGCGATACCTTGGGCCCACGAGTTGATCTGAGCCCCCGCGACTTCGGCATGGGCGATATGTCACACACACCACGCGAAAATGCCGAAGATTTTGATGTCCCCGCCAAGTCCCCACCACTCTCGGTGACCTCGCGCATGCGCCGTTGCAGCGTTCAAAGTTGTACGACAGAGCCCACAGTGTCTGTCTCTGGTGGCACCAGTTCGAGACGAACAAGCTTTACCGCGGCCTCCTCTGTCTCTGCTCCATCAATGCCCCCTTCTACTCCTCAGTTTGGATATCATACACCGAAGCAGCCCCCCTTCCCTGAGAAGAGATATCCCTCCCGTACAAACCAACGGGAACCCGAGTCTACGCCTCGACATGAGATGGTACCGTCGTATGATGAGCTTTATGGTTGATATATCTTGAGCATACCGAGTACAATGTTCAATTCTAGGAGCTCTTCATATTGTAGTGGTTCTATTTGTTGAATTTTCCCTTTTGTGGCTGATCTCCCAAGCCAAGCAGTCCAGTTGGGAATCCCTGCAGTTGCCCGTTGGACTTCTCTTTTATTTAAGATTAATTTTTGCATTCGGCGGTTTTTGTCTGCAATTCAGTTATTTTCCTATACATTGAAGAGAATGTCAAGCGCTTTTACATCTATACGAGGGTACTAGAAGATCTTTTACTTCAAAACGTCGATAGTCCGCAATGTCCGCCTTCTCCCGGCCCTAACACGAGGGGTGCTTGCTTGGCAGACTCTTAGACCTCAGCTTTTTTTTTGTTTCCAATCCCCAGGGGTGATGATACCTATCTCAATCAAGTCCAGGATCTCGCTCGACTCAAATGAGGGGGCATAAGCCGGTCCGTGCATATCATGCAGACTGTATCACAGTCACAGCCGCTGATCACCAATCAAGCGTCAGACACCATCACACCGATCAGCCCTCCGACATGTTCACTGGGGGCAAATCGACGGGGCGATCACCCTATCCCCACCAGCCGTCTTCAACAATCTAGTCAGTGTGCAATCAACAACCAGCCTGTAGGCGGAGTTCTCTAAGCGCCGAGGACCAACACTGGGAGTGAGAGCGGTAGCTTGATTCGACCGGTGCATGGTTCATGTTTCTTCTCCCAAGCATTAGTAGCTCTGCAGGTGCATTGTTGGTGCAGCGTCTCCCTGTTCTGCGAGGGCCCGTCGACTCAATTACTCCACCTGGTCGTCACATCCATACAGAGCAGCCTCGGAGCTGCTGGCAATGAAAAAAAGAAGCTTTCCCGCCCCCGAACAGAATCCCACGAGATCCTGATTCACCATCTCCCGTCTCTCATGCGAACGTGAGATCGCTCTGTCCGGCACTCTGCCTACTCTCACCCCCCCACTCCCTTGGCGGTCGCTGTACGGAGTAAGAACAGAAGCTGTCAGGACTCTTTGTCCACATCGCATCATGCTCAGGCTGAGCGATAGCGGTGCAAGGTCCTTCAGGATGCTGGCTTTCTTCCTGGCTGCGATTTTGCTGAGTAGCCCAGCTCCACTGGTTTTTGGATTGAGAACCGCGCCGGGCTCGCCATGTGCAGATGTCTGCGGTACAACAGCCAACACGACATCCTCCGAGATCGAATGTGTGGACCATTCGTACAATGAAACATCCGTAGGCAAGGATTTCCAAAAATGCGTCTCCTGTCAGTTGGAGAGCGATTTCCACGATCCAAACACTGGAGACTCTGACGTCAACTGGGGACTCTGTATGTTGTACCACCTTTCAGAAAATCACAGGTTTTCAATTTCCCGCTCGGATCTAATTGATTGAATCAGATAATCTGCGCTACGCTTTTTCGACCTGTGTCTTCGGATATCCGGATTCGATCTCGCATGTCTCGTCGCCATGTCCAGTCACATGCGAAGGCGTGCGCTTAGCGGTCAAAACCAATATCGATGAGCCAGACACGTCCAATCTGGACTCATGGTGTAGGACTCCGTCATTTGCAGATAATGTGGTTGATGCCTGCGAGTTCTGCTACAACATGACAACCACTCAGGTCTACATGGCAAACTGTACGTATGCCTGGAGCCCCAATTCTGTATCTTCATGGAGATCAGCAAATCGCAATTCAAATGGTCAAAAAAAGAAATACCAACTGACCTTTTATCCCAATTCTAGTCCTCGAATCCATCCGGTACAACTGCCACTTCAAGACAGTAACGGGCCACACCTTCAAAATAGCCCCAACAAGAATTTTCAGCCAATCTCTTCTCCCATCAAGTCTTTCACTCGAAACATCGAAGCCAAAATCCTCAAACCTGAATCTAGGCGTGGTGATTGCCGTGCCAATTGTAGGATTCCTTGTTATTGTCTCAGCACTCACAGTATGCTGTTTCTTCTTCATCCGCCACCGACGCAAGAAGGTCCGTCGAAACCGCCATTCAAGCCATCTATATGGTGGCTGGAGCGATGGCTCCCCCATCAGCCCGCAGCAGCGGCAACAAGCCTGGGCCGAGCAGCAGATGTACAGCTCCGGTGCCTACGGGCACGGTGCAGGCTTCGGCTTTGTTGATAATGATGGTCGCGGGCAGGAGCTCGCCTATAGCCAAGGTCTAGACCAGCAGTATCAGAGTCAGCAGTACCAACAGCACTTCCAACAAGGAAAGGCAGGTTTCTCGCAGGATGTCAGTGAACAGCCTGCTCAGCCATATCAGCAGCAGCATGCTCAAGTTCCCGTTCACTCTCCCATCTTGGATCCGGATCAAAAGCAGCAGTGGCAGTGATGATGAACCAAAACTTTGTCTGACTTGTGTGTTTATCCTGTTGTAACGCAATGATGAAATGTCTGTGGAGAGGGTTAGTGGACTTAATGAGATCAGGAGTATCACCTTACATCATTCGGCGTTTGCGTTTTGGTTCTTTGCTTTAAGGAGTTCTTGTACTCCACGATCACGCCGATATATCCCCCGGACATCTGGTAATGTCTGCATGCTTTTTTGTCTGGAGTATAGTATAGTCACTGGTCCAATGAACCAAGGTGATAGTCAACCAAGTCCTCGTAAACCCACACTAGATCTAGTGCTTTGAAAAGTAGAGCGAAAGGCAGAACTGCTACCAACAGCAACATCCAACCCTCCTCCGTCTCCAGACGGCAAGAAAAAACCCCCCTTTATGTATCAATCCGCACCAACCCCCTCTACCAACCTATGTATAAACATACAACGCACACAGCGCACAAAACCCCGAAAATAGCATCAACAAGCCGCCGAGCCACGCCTTGAACGGGCCAAGCGAAACCTTCCCAAGCCCCAAATGCCAGAGAATACGAGGTGATCAGCTATCTAAATCTCTCGGCGATGTTTTCTCTGTGAGGGGAGGGCCGCAGATTGGCCAGCTGATCGGTCTACAAGCGTTTCAGCACGCACTGCCAAGAGCCCACGAGTCCAATTGCGGAGAGAGGGGTCGATCCGTCAGTTATTTTTGGATTTGGGGACTATGTTGTGCTTTGGGTTTTATGTGTTGGTTTTGGGACTTTGGGCGTTTCTTGCCTTGGTGCTTGGTGGGGAGATGGGTGGTTCATTTTGTCTTCTACAGAGTCGAGGTATGGTGGATTTTATGGGCTTTGAAATAAGGTCAAAATAGAATAGAATAAATACACAGATATGTCAACTGACGTGGTATTCAGTATAATAGGGGTCCAATCAATGATCCCGCTAGTACGCCGGTAACAAAAAGTAAGGGCCCCGATTCTATATCTCATAATAATACTCCGTAGTAGTTCCTCTTCGGATTCGAGTGACTCGGACTTGGATTCTTCCGCGATAGCTACTCATAAACCTCCGCTAGGCAAAGCAAGGAGGGGAAGTAGGCTACTAAGCGGAAGAAGTAATGTGTTATCTCGGAGGGAGAGAGTGCTATAATTAATAATATGGCGAACTAGAGGGTTTAGCTCTTGTACGTATTGTAATTGAATTTGATCAGTTTGACATTAAACACCAGCGCACAGTAGCGCGCGCCGGCAGTGTTCTTGTATATTGTAGTTAACGTAAACAACCAGATCCAGTGACAGCCTTTTATCTTATCCGCCCTCAAACCGCGCAATCCACACCCAGACCAGCTCTTCGACCTAACAATCCTCATTGGCCAACATGTCGAACCTCAATCAAGACCAAATCAAAGTCCTCGAGCAATCAAGGCAGCGTCTCGTCCAGCTGACCCGCTCCCTGGGCTCACTCATTGCAAGCCTAAACCAAAGCGACCCTCTTCCCCCGTGGTACGAGCTACCCCCTCAGTCCCCTCTAGTCAATCCCCCGAAAGAACCAGACGTAAAGCAATTAAACCGTAAAAGTACTAACCAATCAAACCAGGACCTCCCTCCAATCCCAAGCAAGCATCATCTCCAACAACCTCATCAGCGTCTCCGAACAACTCTCCGACCAACGCGACCTCCTCTCCACCCTAGTCGCCTACCCAGGCCCCGAATACCCAGGTCGCACACAAGCAAGCACGCTCGAACAACTCCTCCGCACAAAACTCGACCCCCGCGTCGAGGACTGGGTCGCGCGCGGCCGCACGGCAGGCACGGAATCCGCCGCCGCACCTACCTACCGCGCCGATGACGCGTACAAGCCGCTGAGCGAAGCGCAGCTGGCGCAGCTGTGGGAGTGGGCGCCGCTGGAAGCGAACCAGGAGGCGCGGCGGCGGAACTGGGGTGGGAATTATACGCTTGAGGAGCGCGAGGCTGGGATTGAGAATGTTGTTACGGGGTTGAAGAGGCAGTTGGAGGATGATGATGGGTCGGAGGAGGAGAGTGATGGGGAGGATGGGGATGGGGAGGAGATGGATGTTGTGGGTGTTCATCGGAGACCTGGGTCTGCGGGATTGGAGTTTGATATTGCGCCTCATGTTCAGCATCCGGTGCAGCCGTTTGTGCCGTTGGATCTTATTTTGAGGCATATGACTACTGGGCGCATGCCGTAGTTATGGTGCGTGGTGCTTGGGGTCTGTGGGGATTGGGATTGGTGGTTAGGGTTCTACTTCGTCTACGGTCTGGGATGAATACAAGTTCTCGTGGCTCGTGTCTGCAATTGCGTCGTTCTAAAAAAAGGGTGGCATTATTATCATTGTAACCGAATTGGAAAGAAAAAGAAGCAACAATTCGGCAGCTATCAAGCTATCTAGCCTCGGCGGCGGGTTGTGGGTGACTTCACGCCAGGCCGGGGAGAGGCTCCCGTGGCCTGGGCTGATGGCACCTCGACTGCCTTGGCTCGAGGGGCAGCAGCCTTCTGCTTGGGTGCAGGAGTGTTCCAGTACCAGAGCATCTGTGTTGCCAGGATAACGTTGAGGGAGAAGCCAGCGATGAATCCGTAGAGGATAAGCTTGTCATCGACTTCCTGGAGGGTGGTGAAGATTCGGGACAGCGACCCGGCAAGATAATTGAAGACCTATTGGAAGAGGATTATTAGTAATTAGATTTATGTGTGTAAACGATCGACGTCAACATACCGCGAATGCGCTGAGCTGTCCGGTTCCTCCTTCACGCCAGATGGTATAGATTTGAGGTGCCTTGCTAGCAACACCCAATGCACCAGCACCAGCCTGCAGGTAAGACATGGCCTGCGCATCGATAAGAGTCTGGTCGAACAGCAGCGCATAAACGCTGGCAGCTACAACGGCAACGAAAGCCGCGGCTGCGGCGGAGCGGCCGGCATAGTTCAGGACCAGAACACCAACAGCGATATCCTGGACAGCGATGAGAGCAGTCTCACCGTAGGTGCTGAAGGGGAACTGGTTGCGCACGCTGTACGAGAGGGTGATGAGCAGACTGGCAGTTTCAAGTGCGTAGGACACAAAAGAGACACCGGCCGACGAGCGGGAGTTGATCAGCTTCAGGATCTGGGGGATTTTGACAACGGCGCTGGCACCAACGATGGCAATGCCGAGGGCCTTCGAGATGGCCAGCGATGTGCAGGCAGGGTCCTTAGTGACATCGAGATCGAGCAATAATGCGCTGTGGCAGGACTTTCCGATCAAGGACACGACGGCATCGTGCACTGGCTCCGGGATGGCGGAGACAATAGGCGCCAGGTAGGGCTGGAGAGGTGTAATCACTGACTTCTGAAGAGTATCCATGGCGAATAGCGGATTGGTCTGCAGAAAAAAAAAAGGAACAGAGATGGATCAGGCAATGCCCAGAGAACAATTGTTGACATTCCACCAGAAGGAACGGATGTGGCCCGTGCGCCACCGGGGAAATTCAACTTCTCTCGTTCACTTTTCTTCTTTCTGCATGACCGACCCGCCATGATCCCTCTGCGGCCATCACTCCTACGGAGGCCTCGAGAGGCGCTTGTATGCTCACAATGCCTCATTGGGTCTCGTCCTGTGCGCCCCGACACCATTCGGGGGTTCCTATCGGCCTCAAAACGGAGGACCGGTATTGCGGATAACCAGTCCCCTTCGGTATTTCACAAGTCATACTTCTCGGCCAATCGATTATACGACGGATCAAACAGGAAGGGTGGCTTATTGTCTTCACTTGCACCCTCCGGGGCGAAAAGCAATTCCAAAGCTCCATCGTCCCCTAGTGATCCCGCCGCGGGTGAGCTCAATTCGTCTACAGCACCTCCCTCCGCGGCAGTTACGACAGAAGCGATCCCAGAGGAATTACCACATCGGCGGCGGAAACGCTTGAAGCAGGAAAGCAATGCAACCGGAGAACCAGATGGCAGCCTCCCGCTGGACGCCTCCGCGCAATTGTCGAACTTCTCCTCCGCCCTCCCCACCACCTCCATTCGCCGTAAATTGGCCGCGTATCTCGCCCTGACAAAACCTCGACTGTCCTTCCTGATTGTCCTCACCACTACATCTGCATACGGAATGTACCCAATCTCGTCCTTGCTCACCCTCGACCCGGCCATGACCCCACTCCCCACTCTTTCGACCTCGACCCTCACCTTTATATACCTGACGGCGGGCACATTCCTGTCCTGCTGCAGCGCCAATACACTGAACATGATGTTCGAACCGAAATTCGACGCGCTGATGTCGCGAACTCGCAATCGCCCTCTGGTCCGCGGTCTTGTCTCGCCTCGGGGAGCTCTGCTGTTCGCGATTGGTACTGCGGTTACGGGCCTCTCGCTCCTTTATATTGGAACCAACCCGACGACGACCGCCCTCTCTGCGACGAACATTTTCCTATATGCTTTTGTATACACACCCCTGAAGCGGATCTCCGTCATTAACACCTGGGTTGGGGCGGTGGTCGGCGGAATCCCACCCCTGATGGGCTGGATCGCTGCAGCAGGCCAGACCGCGACAATTGGTCACGACACTTGGCGCGATATGCTGTTCAGTGAGAATAGCATTGGCGGTTGGTTGCTAGGTGGAATCTTGTTCGCCTGGCAGTTCCCGCACTTCAACGCTCTATCCCACCTCATTCGCGACGAGTACAAAGCGGCCGGCTACAGAATGTTGTGCTGGGTTAACCCCGCTCGCAGTGCTCGGGTTGCTCTGCGGTACTCTATCCTGATGTTCCCCATCTCCATTGGACTGTGGTGGGTGGATGTTGTTGGAAGCGGTTTCCTCGTTGGCAGCACTGTCGCCAACGGCTGGCTGGTGCGGGAGGCGTATCGATTCTGGCAGCACCAGGGTGCAAACGGCACCGCACGTGGCCTCTTCTGGGCCAGTATCTGGCAGCTGCCTATCCTTCTGGTTGGCGGCCTCGTTACCAAGAAGGGTCTTTGGGATGGAGTTTGGAGGAACATCTTCGGACATCCTGACGAAGATGAGGATGAATTCTTGTACTATGATGATGAGGAAGAGCTTGAAGACGAGAAGTCTAAGGCCCAAGACCCTGCATCTACCCGTCCGTCGGCAAACCGGACAAGTGCTTTGTCCACTGTATGAGAGTATGGAACTCAACCATAGACTTTTTGTTGGATTTTATTCACTCTGATTGGCTCAGCGCATTGATTTGCCTCGGCCAGTCTGTTCCCACCCTTCTTTGTTCTTCGGAATTTGTCTTATACAGCGGTTTGGAGTGGCGTTTTCTGTCTTTGTATAACACCAGTCCTCTGTGGAACCTATACAGATCTATTTAGTCTTTCTTCCATTTCTTTCTTTGTAATTTGATTTCATATTATAATTCACCAGCGACTTCCCTTGGATACGAGTTTGTCACCATGTTCTCGAAACAATTGGGCAACGTTAATCCTAGAACATGATTCAACCTATTGATGTATCTATTGTGTCCTACCAATGCCTCACTGTAGGTCACAACTGTAAACCCGAAATTAATCCCTCAGATATGCGGACGGCATGACTCATAGATCCTTGATCTCGCCACATTAGCTGTCTAGTGATTCAGTACGACTTACAAGGTCCAAAGCAAAGCATAGATCTCACAGAGGAGAATAGCCTGGTGACCATGCACATAGGGTATAGCACTGCCTTGGATGGGAAAGGCCGAAGAAGTGAGAATCATTGAACAAGACACACACAAAGACGTAGAGTGTACGCGCGGTGAGTGAGATCGGTTGAAGTATGTTCAAGGAAGGGTTAAGTATAGGAGAACGAGTAGTTAATGAGATTTCAACTCCAAGTTGATAGGACAAGGTCTGTGGACGGATTGAGTAATGCAGTGTAGGATGAGCTGTCATGGTGAAGGGTAGGTTAAATATAAGAATCCAGATTGAAATCAGTAATCCTGGGAAGTTAGCCTAGTGTGTTTAGGTCCGGACGAATGTCTATGCAATGAAGACCATAAACCGAATGGCTTTAAATGCGACGATTGCCTGTGAGACGCGGCCATAAGGAGCATCCCAGTCAGGGGTGCGATTCCCCGACACTTTTTTTTTTTTAGCTTGTTTTCCTTGTTTGATTTTTCTCTTCCTAACTGACCCAACTAGCTAACTGGAGTTCTCACTGATCTGATATACATGGAGAGTCCGGAATCGGTAGCCGTCCATCCCAATAGCCCTGGGGAACACTCCAGGACATCCACTAGGCTCTTGGAGTCTGAGCTTGCTAGGGCTCCCTATAACCTAAATGAGAACTCTCTAATCCCAACAGCTCTGGCTTTAACTATTTCTTTTTTCATCTTTGCTTGGGTATAAAAAGAGAACTATCGATAGAGTTGAGATACTCTGTACCAAGACATGTGGTTGAAGCTAACCCTAAGGATACCAAATGAATCACAAGCCTTAAATTCGAGGCATTTACACTTCTTATGACCCGACTCAAGTGGTACGGTTGTAAGCAATGGCTAACGCGGTAATGAGCAAGGCCTATCAGCTGTTCATGTGAAGTCTAAGAAGCTCTTGGGAGTGGATCCGTTCGGCTCGGGAGGATCAGTGGGGTCACCCGCGCCGTTTATTCAACACGCGTAGATATCGTCATTGGAAGTAAAGCGTAGAGAGGAAGAGGGGAGCGAATGATGTGTTTTAGTTTTAGAAATTGACATAAAAGAGTTGTAAATTTATAGCTCTGTGGCTCGAGATATTTTCTATGCATCGTTCTATTATGCTTCATAGGTGCAAAGCCACTGCCTCTCGTGTTCATGGAGATTGCAGGTAACTTTGTCTGTACATTCATATAGTATCGCCTTACCTCAGATGACAAGGCGAGAGAGATCATCATACTCGGCGGGTGAGATATAATTGCGCCAGAAGCGTAGGCCTTCAATCCCTTCTTCTCGGCAAAGAATCCCCCGATCTTCGGCCATTTCCAGCTCTTCGGCAGCCACCCCGACGCTCCACTTGAACCGATGCGCAGCTTCCTGTGCAGTGACAGCCCGACCGAAAACAGACCAGTCCCATGGAACAGGATCATCAGGAGGAACTTGTCGGAGCTCTTCCATCCAGGCTTGGAGCTTACCGATTGTCTTCTCATCACTCCAGTCGTATCGTTGTACCACAAGAAGCCCGCTCTTGAATCGTCGTAGCCGCACTGGCAATTTGAGCTTTTCCCACAGCTCCGCTGCTTTTTGGAAATCCGACGGGCTGGCCAGCTCTACTCCATTACGGGAGCGGTTGAAGAGCGCCCAGAGATCGATGAGACTTATAATCCCACCTTCTCGCTGTAAGATGCCTTTCCTGTCATCTGTGAGGTATTCGGCCAGGTCGCGGGCGAGTTCTGATAGATAGAGGCTTTCAGATCCAGAAGTCAGCATATCTTTGGTCGTCACCATCCCCAATGCCGCGGCGGACTCGGATAGCACCGCGCTGGTATCTGAAGAGCCTTCCTTGGTGGTCATCCCCGACTCGTGCGCCAAGGTTTCAGCCAGAGCAACGATTTGCTTGGCAGAGGCCATCAAAGCCTCTAGGTCTTCAAAGGCGTTCCCTATGACAAATTCATTTTTCCTCCGTGCTTCTAATCCTCGGCGCTCTAATCCTGCAATGCCAACACCTGATGGTCGTGGTGCTGAGGGTAAAGGGCTTTCAATGATACCCGCAGCAGAAGACGAGCCCGGTGAGATACTCGCTTTGGACGGCGGAGGCACTGGAGGGGCATTTTGCAAAAGCCATTTTCTTTGAACTAAAGCCCCCTTGAGTCTTTCGTGGAACGTCTTATCTCCACCCGCACGAAAGGAAAACTTGATACACTCGCTGACCTCCGTGTTTGTGATATGTGATTGCTCAAATAAAGGCGCAGGTGAGTCCACTCGGTTTGTGTTGAGCGAATTAGCAGATAAGGGCGCTCCGCATATCTCACATTCGACGAGCGATGGATGGTTCACAAAGGTACATCGGGGACAAGAGACGGTTTTCCCTAAGCTAAGAGGAGCTGGAGGCGCATTGGCATTCGGTTGGCCGATACCCTGTGCAATGGCCGACGAGGCAACTGAGCTCGGCAAGGGTTCCCGGTTTGTAACAGCACTGATTGCTGCCTTTAGAACTGTTGTAAATGGAGGCTTGATTCCACAGGCTAGACAAGGAGGTAGATGTGTCGCTGCACTAGCCGTTGCAGGGTCGAAATTCGACGGAACGGGGTTGGAGAATGAGCATATAGGGCAGATCCAAGTGGCATTGATTGGTTTTGGAGATAATGGACTTTGAGGAAAGCTCGTTTGCGGAAGGTGAGAATGCGACTGCGTGGGATGAAGTGTCGGTTTCTGGGGTACAGCTGGGCTGGCCGTTGCGCTCCTTGACTTATCGGTCTTCTTCTTCTGCGGTTTAGGATAGATGGTAACCTTCGGAGAAGACTTCAGGAAGCCAGCCTGGATTCCAAGTTTGTTAGCGATGGTCCAAAACAAGATGATTGAATTGAAATGTACGCATGTCGCACCTGAGACTCTACTCGATCGAGTTCCTTCAGATCAATAGCAACTGAGTATTTTCGTGAATCCTCAGCTGCAACATAGCACACTCTGTGAGATGTGAGGTATGCGTGGCCATTTTGGTAGTTCTGGATTTTGTATTTCCTTTATTTCCCATTAGCACCCCGCATCAGGAGCATCATCATGAACTACTTACCCGTCATACAGACCCACTGCGTCTTGAACAAAAAGAAGGGTCTCGTCAGGCAATAGCAAGGGTCTGAGCGCAGTAGTCAGATCCAGCGCTTTGAAGAACATCTAGTAGGTTCAACCAGCTCCCAACATCTACGTTGTAGGGGGTCCCATGTGGAGAGTGATATAGAGGGTGCGCATCGTCATTTGCCCGACGCGATTGCGATAACGATAAGGCGGGATGTCCGGACTGGAACAACAAAGGCCCGGTGAGTAAGCGAGTATCTTCACCTGACCGTCACGAGTCCAAGTGTCTGTGCGGACTTCACCCTCATTCTCATCTTGCTTGCGACCATTCCATCTTGAAAATAAACGTCCATCATCTCTTGTCCCATCTGAAACGCATTCTAGCTGAGGTTTAGGCTTGACCCTTCATCACTCCAGCCCTTTCTCGAGTCTTGCCCTTCGTAGCTTTTTACTTCCTTTCATCCCGTTTCTTTGTTTTTTCCAATTTTTGCATCTACGATGAGTTCCAGCATACCACCTTGGCGTTCTACCGCCTCGGCCCCGATGCCTAGTGCGTTCCCTCCGGTTGGTAAGATAACAGATCCGACTCGAGTCAGGTTGGCCTCGTGTCATGAGGCTAACAGCCCGACAGCGGCTCCAGCATACACTCCAGTTCAAGCCCGTCGTAGCCTCGTCCACAATAGCAAGCCAACCAACGGGTCCATTCCCTCCCAGTCCACCCAGTCGGCATCGCCGGATACAGAAAATCGGGCAAGAGTGGAGTTCCCACCACCGGTCCGCTCCTACGTGCAACGCTGCTTTGCTCCCGAAAACCAGGTCCCCAGCGTGAGCATTCCTGAGATGCAAGAGAAGCTGAGACATGTTATCACGGATGCAGCCCAAAACCATAAGCTGGAGTTGATCGACTGGGAAAGACTACCTTTGCCACAGACTATGGTGCAAAATGAACGCAACAAGATCCTGGCAAACCCCAGTTCTTCCAACTGGGCATCCAGTCTGCCATCTTCTCCGGCAGACGCTACACGGAAGAGAAAGTCGACTGATGCCCATCAATCGGAAACTGGATCCCCTCCGTGGAGACAAGCTAACCGCAATCGTTTTGAAGACCGAGTTACTCACCCTACCACAGAGAAAAAACCACGCATAACACTGGACCAGTCTAGTAAGTCCAAAGCTAATTTGGAAATGAGGAAGAAGCGATTCGAGGGAGCAGGAGGCCACGCGACCTCTCCTTCCTCTCCTGCCAGATCGCCGACGGATACTCCCGATGCGGATCAAGGCCCTGTCATCGGTCGCTGCCAAACTTTGGAGAAGAACTATTTCCGATTGACCTCTGCCCCCAACCCGGACACTGTCCGTCCTTTGCCCGTCTTGCAAAAGGCCCTGGATTTATTGAAGAAAAAGTGGAAGAATGAGGGCAATTATGGTTACATCTGTGACCAGTTCAAATCGTTGCGTCAAGACCTAACGGTCCAGCACATCCGAACTGAATTCACCGTCGTCGTCTATGAGATTCATGCGCGCATCGCCTTGGAGAAAGGGGATCTTGGTGAGTACAACCAGTGCCAGACCCAGCTACGAGTGCTGTATGCGCAGCAGCTGGGAGGACATCCGACAGAATTCAAGGCCTATCGTATTCTCTATTTCATTTACACGCGGAATTGGACGGCCATGAACGACGCATTAGCCGACGTGACTGCAGAGGATAAAAAAGACCTGGCCGTGAAGCATGCCCTGGATGTTCGATCTGCCCTTGCGCTCGGGAACTACCATCGTTTCTTCCAGTTGTACCTTGATACGCCGAATATGGGAGCCTACCTCATGGACATGTTCGTCGATCGTGAGCGGTTGAGTGCTCTGGCGACAATGTGTAGAGCGTGAGTCCTTCTGGTCTATACTACGATACGGTTTTCGCTGACTTTTCCCCCTAGATACAAACCAGATGTCAATATCCGGTTCATCACTGAAGAGCTTGGGTTCGAGTCGGATGAACAGACCGCACGCTTCATTATTGACCACTCCTCTGCGGAGCTGCTGGAGGATAAGAGTGGGGCTGTGAGGCTGTTGACGGCCAAAGCAGGCTTGCTCTTTGACAAGGCCAAAGCCGACGCCAACCGTGTGGTTGACATTAAAGGCCAAATCTAACCAAGTTCACATATATCTTCCGCCAGGGGTCCACACCCCCTTGGATTTCTCGGTCAGGCCGGTCTTTTCTTTTTGCATCTTTTTTTTGGCGTATTCTCAAAAGCGGCAGGCGTTCACCCCCCAACGTCCACATTTGATTTAGCCTTTACCTTTGAGGCTTACCTTTTCGCGTCATTGCCTTTTCTCGTTTTCCCAGCTTCATCCCCCGGATTTCTCTCCACAGGATTCTCGCTACCGGAAATTCGATACTAATACCCCCGACGGCGTCTGGTTCTGGAGTTGGTTGGTTCTTTGGAGGGTCAGTGGGCAGCAGGCGTGCCTTTTCGATGAAGAGGAGAGAGGGTGTCCAGTAAATACCTACATTCAATTTACTTATCTATCTTGTACTTTTCTTTTTGTCGATGGCGTATTTGCCCTTCGCATCTTTAGAAACTCGCCACGTGGGGAACCCGAAGTCAGGGCTGGGTCACCCAAGCGAGGTGTCTCCAGCCATTCGCAGGAGCAGGTTCAACGGGGATCTGTGCGGGGGCTTGCCAAGCGTTCCCTTCATCGAGACCAAACGGCTTAACGGCTCTCTCATTTCACATGGTACAATCCTCCGTACAATATCCGTTATCTGTGATCGACATGGAATAGGCTTTCTTCAGGTTTACTTTTTTTTTTCTTTGGGGCAGCAAAGAATGGGTGGTCTAGATTGTGTTCCACCTCAGGTAATTTCCGGTGCATACGTCGAATCGGCAGATTGCAGCCGCGCGCATTCGCAGTCAGCCCCAGAATTTTAATTTGGGAAAAACCAGTAATTAAATTTCAAGCGCCCGATTTGGCCCCATTCTAGGCCCTATATTACATACATTGGTCTGTGTGTGGTCGAGGGCATCCAGGGCAATAGAATATCTAGTGTCTAGGGGGAAACGCCGATCGGAGCGTTGGGAAAGGGCCAACGTCACGATCCACGCATTGGGCGTTGCTAAACCAAGGTTCAAGGTGGAGAGGTGAGGGGGCAATTGTTCTTTTCTTCTTTTCTTCTTTCCTTTTCTTCTTCTGCCTTCGTTGAGAATCCTGACTGGTGACTGGGGACTGGGGAGTAGCTCCGAGGCCAAAAGTCGCCATTGGTGCTAGTCCCTATGTAGGGTGTGATCCCGTTGCACTAGCCGGTGGATTATCATTTGTCTGCCCAACGGGGCTCCATTGTATTACAAGCTGGTATATTTCGAGTCTGGGGTCGCCTGTCGCATGGGAGAGAATAGGAGAATGGAAGTTGGGGAGATAAGGGGAAATGGCGCAAGAATCCCCTTGTGTGGGCTTTGTTGTTCGCCTTTTACAACCCTTGTGTCCAAGCGAGGTGAGACATGGAGGTGTGTCGATGGAAGTATGTACACCTAGGGTTCGAAGGTTCACAACGAATACGGACTTTTCACATGACAATACAGTAGCAAGGTATACATAGTCGGTTCATTGTTGGCACGTACAGTAGGTAGGGGGCTTCTATATCTAGGTATGTATGGAGGGTCAAAGATAGCATACCAGCCTTGGAACGCCAGCCCTAGGGAGACCAGCCCTGGAGACACCAGCCTAGAAGAAAGAAACCCAACCTGAAAAAGCGGGCCCCCCTAGCCATCGCCATCTAAGCCGCGTGGTTGGAACCGCAATACGGATTACCTGGGCAAGGTATAGAGGACATTTGGCTCAAAAGAGCTGCTCCTCCTTTCTTTTCTCTCACCATTCTTGATCTTCTTCCTCAACGTACTAAGTATGAAGGTGAGACTCCCACGTGTCATGACATACCTGGTAGTTAAATTAACCCGGTTTCCCAGGCCTTTAGGCGATCCTTGAAGGGGGAGAAAGATCCCAAACATCATCACATCTCCATTACCCCCAAATCCGCCATCGCCATCTTACCCCCCAAGAAAGTGAGTGCTTCTGGCAGACTGAATTCGCCCTAAACCCCCTCGCCCCTCCTGGTGTCCCACTCCCGACACGTTCTTGGCAGTGGCTGACCGCATTCCAGGTAATTAAAGCCCTCTACGATTATCAACCTGAGGGAACCTCGCAGGAATTGGCCTTCAGCAAGGGTGATTTCTTTCACGTTATCAGCAGGGAGGACGATTTGGATTGGTACGAAGCGTGCAATCCGCTGATCCCTAGCGCCAGGGGGCTCGTGCCCGTCTCCTTTTTTGAGGTTATCGGCAAAAACGAGAGGGATAGTGGGGGCTCTGGAGACTTGTCTAAGAACCACCACGACTCAGGCTTCTCCGACCGCGGTCTTTCCCGATCAAATTCTTCCAACACGAAGAACGGCGCATTCAGGATGTCTGCACTCAAGGGCCAGGGCGCCATGGTTTATGGAATTGTCCAGTACGATTTTCAAGCGGAGCGACCCGATGAATTGGATGCGAAGGCGGGCGAGGCCATTATCGTCATCGCCCAATCCAACCCGGAATGGTTTGTCGCCAAACCCATCGGGCGTCTCGGCGGGCCAGGCCTGATTCCCGTTTCTTTTATCGAATTGCGTGATATGCAGAGCGGCCAGGCCGTCACCGACCCGTTGGATGCCGTGCGGCGCGCCGGCGTTCCCAAGGTCGAGGAGTGGAAGAAAATGACTGCCGAATATAAGAACAGCAGTATCACTCTGGGCAAAATTGACGCTGGCCAGGGCGGTGGCAACGTGACGGCGGTCACGTCCGGCATGGACAAGATGTCCATGGGCCAACAGACTCGGATGAGTCAAAATGGCAATGGCTATGTATGTCATCACTTGTGGACTTGCGATTCTCGATTTCATTTGACTGACCATGCGCTCGAACAGGATCACCAACGTACCGCTAGCAAGGGAACCTTGTCGCAAGTGTCCACGTCGCAACAGGCCTACCAAACCCTCATCCCTGTCTCCGCGTATATTCCCCGCTATTGTTTCGATAACGATAAATATTGGTACATCATCGAAGCGAAGATGGAGGACGGGCGCTGCTGGGAGCTGTCGCGTTATTACCACGATTTCTACGATTTCCAAATCGCCCTTCTGACTCAATTCGAAGAGGAAGCTGGCAACCGTGGCCGTTCGCGAATCCTCCCCTTCATGCCGGGTCCTGTCACCCATGTTACCGATGCCATTTCCAATGGCCGTCGTCAGAATTTGGATGAATACATCAAGAAGCTGCTGTCGATGCCCCCGCATATTTCGCGCTGTCAACTTGTGCGCGACCTCTTTGCGCCCCGCGAAGGAGATTTCGAAATCGATCCCAATGCGTTCGGCGAAGACGCCCGATACTCAGGTACATCTCAACATTCCGGCGGCATGGATCCCCAAGGAAGTGTCTCGCGCCAGTCTTCCCAGCAACAGATCAATGCAGCCTCGGATCGCACATCCCAGCAGCGTGCGTCCGCAGCGACGGCCTACACCAACGGTGGCCCACCACCCATGAACCGGCAAGCCAGCTCCATCACCCAAGCCTCTGCCGCCTCAGCCAATAGCGCGATGAAGGTGAAGGTGTTCTTCCAAGATGATTTGATTGCTATCCGTATCCCATCCGGTGTGAGCATGCAGCATCTCAAGGACAAGCTGTGTGACCGATTGAAGATCCAGGATGAAATACTTGTGCAGTACCGCGACGAATCCACCGGCTCCTACATCGATCTCCATACTGATCAGGATTTGGAGAACGCCATGCAGCGGAACACTAAGCTGACGCTCTTTGTCAGCGTCGGATAAAAAGCACTCATTTTCCTGGTGTTGTGGTCGATAGACTTGTCCTTGATTTGGTCGATGGGGTATTACTACCTACCTCATGTTAATGTTTGCAACGAGTATGGGTGCATTGGAGTTTTTGTCATAATGTGTGGCCATTTTTTTGGTCATTTTTTTCTTTTCTTTCTAACTGATCGTCAGTTGAGCGATTTCACATTGTCCATGAGGACGAGATCGCGATGTTACGAATCTGATGCGACATGTACGCCATGGTTTCTCTTTTTGTCTTTTTGCTCCCCTTCTTGATCTCCCTGTTTCTACGGTGTCGCCTTATGGGTCTGCCTTTTTTCTGCTTCTCTTTCGCCTCAGATCTACATCTTATCCTCTCCAGGATCATACCCCGGTCTGCCTGCTTTTCTGTACATATTTTCTTGTTCTCGTGCATATACCGGGCAGGCCTCTTGGCCTGCACTGATATACAACAATGGTATTTCACAGCTCTTATCAAATATCAAATTTACATGTAACTTGTTGAGCAAAAGCCGTTCCTGTGAGAAGACTATATAGAAACACCGACATATTACCAAGTCACATGACTCGGGTCCGAGATGGGTTCCGGGTGTTCTATTCTTAACAGGAACGGAACATAAGTGCCGAGATTCAGTTAGAGTTGTGACCTGAGTTTTGCGGACTCCAGTTGCTACATAGACATCCGCTGTGTCTTGTTGCAACACTTACAATCTATTTGCGTTGCCTCGTGAGCACCCACCCGCTGCCGCTCCCCGGAGAAAAACAAATCTTGCCTGAACAATACCTCGGTTAACGCCGTCGCATCGCAACGCTCTACAACGGTCAAACCTGACCTCGAGTCTACCGTTGCTGTTTCACCCACGAATTATTATTTTCAAAAGACAGTGCCAATGAGCCGCCCATCGGCAAAGCTATGCGCAGAGTGCTTCCCGAGCGCGCTTCGGGCGCCTCGGGGCCTTCGGCCAACAACGTTGCGGGGCACGACTCATAGATCCTATGCTACGGAGCGGAGAGCAGTCGATACTCTGCGGCGACCAACTCGGTCTCCGCTGGTATGTGTGTCTTCGAAGCGGATCCCTCAGCTGGCTGTGCGATCTCCGCAGAATGAGCGGGGACTGGCGACTGTTTCGGACAGCGAGAAAACCCCCGTCGCCGCTCCGCAGGATGGGCCTATGAGGGAATATGACTTGCGTGTGCAGTCTGGGCGGTTGAGAGATGATGAACACCAAAGGGGTAGGTTGCGGGCTCTAGCGATGCACAAGACCGAACTAACATGGGGATTCGTCAATAGGTATCATCCAGAGTCTACAGGACCTCTTCGAAGCGTTGAAAGATTACACCCCGCCTAAAGTCGTTCACCCCTCGCCCGAAACTCTAGATCTCAACCAACAAAAGACGTCCTTCTTCGGGTCTTTGTTCGGCGGCGCGAAGAAGCCTGCCACATCTGTTGTTCCGGATAACATGCCCAAGGGACTATATATGTATGGCGATGTGGGGTGCGGAAAGACCATGTTGATGGATTTGTTCTTTGATACACTGCCGCCGAATATTACACACAAGACGCGCATTCACTTCCACAACTTTATGCAGGACGTACATAAGCGCATGCACGTGGTGAAGATGAAGTATGGAAACGATTTCGATGCGCTTCCGATGGTTGCGGCGGATATCGCCGAGCTCTCGGGCGTGCTTTGCTTTGATGAGTTCCAGTGTACAGATGTAGCCGATGCGATGATTCTGCGACGGTATGTTTTCATCCCCAGCCCAAGGAATGGTTTCGGTGATCTGGATTCCAACTGACGGTTTCCAACCAGACTGCTCGAGATTCTCATGTCCCACGGCGTCGTTCTTGTCACCACCTCTAACCGTCACCCCGACGATCTGTACAAAAACGGCATTCAGCGCCAATCTTTCATCCCATGCATCAACCTCCTCAAGACCGATTTGAGCGTTATCAACCTTAATTCCCCAACTGACTATCGCAAAATTCCCCGACCCCCAGCTGCTGTCTATCACCACCCGCTGGGTGAAGAGGCACAACGCCACGCGGAGAAATGGTTCGAGTACCTGGGCGATCCTATCAATGATCCCCCTCACACAGCCACCCAGGTCGTCTGGGGCCGCGAAATCAATGTCCCCAGGGCCAGCGGCACGGCTGCATATTTCTCCTTCAACCAGCTTATCGGCGCGGCCACAGGTGCCGCCGACTACCTCGAACTCGTCCGGCATTACGACGCGTTCATTGTCACGGATGTGCCGAGCATGAACCACACCCAGCGTGACCTGGCTAGACGATTCATTACCTTTATCGATGCTGTGTATGAAGGCAGAGTAAGTGACTTTCTTCCGTATTATAGGAACCATGAGTCGTGTAAGCGTAGTCGACTAACATCCCACTCAGGCCAAACTTGTCCTCACAACCGCAGTCCCTCTCACAAACCTATTCATCTCCGAATCCGATATCAAGAGCACCCTCAAAGCTGGCGACCACTCCGATCTCTCCGATGCCATGCGCAACCTCATGGATGACCTCGGCATGTCCGTGCAAGCACTGAAGAACACTTCCATCTTCAGCGGTGATGAGGAGCGCTTCGCTTTCGCCCGTGCTCTTTCCCGTCTATCCGAGATGGGCAGCAAGGAGTGGGTCGAGCGCGGGTTGGGACATGGAACCGATGTTGCCCAGAACAAGGCGGAGCGCGAGGCTTGGCAAAAGACCAGGAGTCAATGGAGTGAAGATAAACTGTAGATTTGACTAACTTTTTTCCACCATCCGTTTGACTTTCCAGTTTCGTTGTTCACTACAACTGTGCTATAGAGAGATACCTGCTGCACATAGATCGACATGGGTGTATATAGCATGGCTTTTTCTTAGAATCAACATGGATTGAATCCATGAATCCATTTCAGCGACATCCTCAAACTGAATATATCCTAAGTTATTATACCTCGCAAATTGTTGCTTATGGAAATCAGCGGCCGTCATTTCCACCCTGATATCAGGTGACGTCACAACCCGAGAACAAGTTCTAGATAATCCAGACAGCAGAGACACGAATAAGAAGACCGAATCTAGGCATAATTTCACGTCATCGGAACTGAACTCGGCCTGGTCCACCTCCCAATTCCAATGCCGAAGCACAACTCTTAAGTAGTGGAACCTATGATCAACCACCCAGACAACGCAAAAGCTCCCTTCCCAAGCTCTCGTGGAGTCCAGGAAACCGCCCCACGAATGAAAAGCGCGGGATTCGCAATATTTCTTGTCTGCTTGAGTTTATTACAGGTTTTTGTTGGATCGCGGTATCGGGTTCGGGGGTCGGAGGATAGGTCATACTATGATCATTCTTGCAAAAGCTGAGCTTCGGTGTTTCCACCCTGCTCGCCGAGCTGTTCTGAGTAGTATCTGGATTTCATTTCATGGATTGCTGGTTGGGACAGTGTGTGTGTTAGAGAAATTACATCATTGACGCAATTGGGGGTTTTTCCTTGGTTGGACAGATTGAGAAGCTTGAATTTTATATATAAAGCGACTGGAGCCGAGCGGGCGAGAGCTCCTTTTTTCTGTTTCGATCTTCCCCAACTAGTATCAATCTACTGTCTATCAAATATGGCATCCAGTACAAACGCAAAGTCTGCAGACGGCAAGACCGCCGATCTACAGAAAGACATCGTCGACGTCCACACCCAACGGCATATGACAACCGACCATGGAGTCAAAATCTCCAACCCAGACCAATGGCTCCGCGTCATGGACGAAAAGAAAATCGGTCCATCACTGCTAGAAGACCAAATCGCCCGCGAGAAGGTATACACACACACGCCGCCGCAATCCCCTTCCGAACTAACGATCTATAGATCATGCGCTTCGACCACGAACGCATCCCCGAGCGAGTCGTGCACGCCCGCGGCACAGGCGCCTTCGGCACATTCAAACTCACCGAGAGCGCAGAGGACGTAACAACCGCCGGCGTCCTGACAGATACTAGTCGGGAGACGCCGCTATTTCTGCGCTTCTCGACTGTGCAGGGAAGCAAGGGCAGTGCGGATACAGTGCGAGACGTGCGCGGGTTCGCCATCAAGATGTACACGGCCGAAGGAAACTGGGATATTGTGGGGAATAATATTCCGGTTTTCTTTATTCAGGACGCGATTAAGTTTCCGGATGTGATTCATGCTGTCAAGCCCGAGCCGCATAATGAGGTGCCGCAGGGGCAGACGGCGCATAATAATTTTTGGGATTTTCAGTATTTGCATTCCGAGGTTACGCATATGAATCAGTGGGTGAGTATTTCTATTCTTTGGGGAAGTGGAATTGGGTTGCTGATGATGGTAGATTATGTCTGATCGAGCTATTCCGCGATCGTTCCGGATGATGCAAGGGTTTGGTGTCAATACTTATTCGCTGATTAACAAGGCTGGAAAGCGGCATTTTGTGAAATTCCATTTCACGCCGGAGCTGGGCGTGCATTCGCTAGTTTGGGATGAGGCGTTGAAGATCGCTGGACAGGATCCCGATTTCCATCGGAAGGATTTGATGGAAGCCATTGAGGCTGGCCAGTTCCCGCGCTGGAAATTCGGTATTCAGGTTATCCCTGAAGAGAAGGCTGATAACTTCGAGTTTGACCCCCTCGACGCCACCAAGGTCTGGCCCGAGGAGCTGGTGCCCATTCGTTACATCGGTCAATTGGAGCTCAACCGCAATATCGACGAGTTCTTCCCGCAGACCGAGCAGGTCGCGTTCTGTACCAGCCACATCGTGCCTGGTATCGACTTCTCTGACGATCCACTGCTGCAAGGCCGCAACTTCTCATACTTTGACACCCAGCTCTCGCGGCTCGGTCCGAACTGGCAGGAACTGCCTATCAACCGACCCGTGTGTCCGTACATGAGTCTGGTGAACCGTGATGGGCAGGGTAGACACCGCATTACCAAGGGTAAGGTGAACTACTGGCCGAACCGGTTCGATGCAAACCCCCCCGCGAAACAAGAGGAAGGCGGCTTCACCAGCTATCCCGAGAAGTCGCAGGGTGCCAAGAAGCGCGCGCTGTCTGATAAGTTCAAGGAACACTACAACCAAGCGCAGACATTCTACAACTCACTCTCACCAATCGAAAAGATGCATGTGGCGAAGGCATTCTCCTTCGAACTGGACCACTGCGACGACCCCGTCGTCTATAAGCGCATGAGCGAGCGTCTAGCCGCAATCGACCTAGACCTAGCCAAGACCGTTGCCAAAAACGTCGGCGGCGACACGCCCACCAAGGCCCTGAAGGAGAACAAGGGCAATAAGGCCAAAGGCCTGAGCCAAATGGACTTCATGCCCGAGAAACCCATCATCTCAACCCGCCGCATCGCCATCCTCCTCGCCGACGGCTTCGACTACAACCAGTACACCACAATGAAGGAAGTACTCACCTCGCACGACGCATTCGTCATCACAATCGGCTCCCAGCGCCAGGGCGTCACTGCCGAGTCCGGACAGAAGGTTATCCCCGACCATCACTTCCCCGGGGCGCGATCCACACTATTCGACGCTGTCTACGTGCCCGGCGGCAAACATATCGAGGCGCTGTCGAAGAACGGCGTTGCGAAGCATTGGATTGCTGAGGCATTCTCGCATCTCAAGGCTGTTGCTGGTACTAACGAGGCTGTGCCATTTATTCAGAGGCAGATTGGGCTTTCTGAGGTCGAGGTTGCGCAGAGTGGTTCGCCACTTAAGGAGTCGTATGGTGTTGTTACGGGTTATGGGGATGCGGTGTCGCTGTTGAAGGTTGGCACGGTGGGACCTGATTCGAAGGGTCTCGCGGAGCAGTTTATTTGGCATATCTCGAGACATAGGAACTGGGCTCGTGAGTTGGATGGACTTTCTGCTCAGATTGCTGCTTGATTTGTGGTTCTGCGGTAGTTCTGAGATTAAGTGGATATGTGACCATGAAATTGTATTTGGTTAATGAAAGTTGGGTCATTGTACACTCTCGTTACTCTATAATATTGTGTAGTTCATAGCGAGTTCTCAGACTTGAGGGCTTTGATTATCTGGAGCATGATGAATGCGTCCGGGCTTGAGTGGGGGTGGACTTGAAAAGACAGTTTGACTACAACTACCTGGCTGGTGCGGTGTTCCAAAGCCCGCACTAACATAACCATGCCAATTCTCATTCTAAACCGCTCAGGGCCGAATATCCCCGTGGACCTTAAGCCTCAGGGCCCGTAACTTGTAAGGCCGCGGTGTTCTAGCGATAGACCATGACCCGCTGGGGGAGAAGAAACCAGCTCTCTCTCTCTTTCGTTCTCTTTTTTCTTTTTTGTCGCTTCTCTTTCTGCATTTTAGATATTCCTGTTAGCTGATGCAGGCGAAGAAAAGTATGGTGTTGGACGTAGACAATCAACGAGGATCCGATTGTTGCCCTTGGTTTCGGGACGCTGATATTTCCCAACTTTGGAAGGTTTCCACCCCCAGGGCCGATCTTGAGCTTGGGTTAGCTCAGTCAGAGGTAATCGGCTCCTATGACCCTGATTAAATGGTCCCGCATAGTGGGAAAGGCTTATCGATCTTTGAATTTCGTGTTGAACTCGGCTGGTGCGGTAGTCCCCTGAACGTCAACGAAAAATCTCATGTCGCTCTCTAATTCACTAACAACAAACTCATTTCTCAATGCCTTGTCGAGTAAGAAACAAGTTGGGGTATATGGCTTGCTCGCAAGTCTTTGATTGATGCACAATCTAGGTTGTTCAAAAAGGAATTCGAATCACGCCAACGATGTTATGGCCGTTGCATTGGTGTCAAATCCCACGTTCCATGCCCAAACCAACATTGGCGCCCCGTGTCAAAAGCAGGGTAGAAAACTTAATGCGAGATAAATCCTGTTGATTCAGATTCCCACTGCACGGCTGTCGGAAGATGGTAAGCCTAAGCCCCTGGGAACGGTCTGGAGCTTATGTTCCAAAGCAGCATTGACCAGATAGTCTGACCGATCATCTTGGGCTGCATAATCATATGCAGTGGTTACCACCGCCTTTTCAATTTCATACTGTGTAATTCTAAAGGAGCTGGAGAGTTTAGCTGATGTTCTAGATATCATGGCTTTTTCAGGGGGTAGGGATATATATAATCGAGGAACAGGAAGAGGAAGACAACATATCAAACCGTATAAAAATGATCAACACCACAAATAGCCACTATATATTGCAATACTCCGTACTCCGTACTTGAATCCTAGTCCTTCCCACGGAGTACACCGCATGAAGGATTTAAAGTCATGGTGAGATCTCACATTCAGATGCTGTGATACACCGCATATGTGGCAAGTCAGCATTCTTCATCGACTGATCATCAAAATAATAAAACCTAATCCACAAGCTCCTGTAGGGCTGGGGGGAAATATGTTCCTGCGAAAATTCTCTCTCTCAAGGTCCCCGGAGTGGTATTCTTGGTCTCATGTACTCAGCCGTCAAGCGCTACACCAAGCCCTAAGTCTCTCTCACGAGACAACAACAACGTACTATTGGCAATTATGAGATAACACCGTTACAGAGAGAGCACCAACTCCGATGCTTCACTTATCAAGTTTTTTACAATACTCAGCCTTTCACATACCACGTCACCCCCACATATTTCTAAGCGGTCGGAGCTCTGCCACATTTCAAGGCGAATAGTTACACGGCGGGAATATCGGACCAGCCATTTCTTTCCCAACTGGGGACCGGAAGGCAGAAGTATTCACGATCTCGCACCGAAAACGGGGGTTCTTTTCTTTTTCCTAATCGGCAACCACGTTCCTATTCACTGGTCCTTCTCGATTCGATCTCCTACGATGGTCTTTCGCCTATCACGTTCGACACGCTTGAGCGTTGTGATTGGTATTTCGACATGTTTTTTTCTAGCTGAGATCTCGGGTAGGTGTTCTCTTCTTGGTGACGTTGGATGAATTGATGTGCTGATATTCGGGGTAGTGGGCTTTTATACCCATTCCATTGCTCTGATTGCGGACGCCTTCCACTATGTAGGCATTTTCTGAAGTGTAACTTGGCGATCTGTTGATTAACACATGTCACAGTTGAATGATTTGGTTGGGTTTATTATCGCTCTTGTGGCTTTGAAGGTATATCCTTGTTTCACTGTCCGGTTGTGTATAGCCCAAGCTGACATTTAGTTAAGAAATCAGAGCAAGCCGAGTCGCCTAAGGAACTTGCCTTTGGGTGGCAGCGCGCTCAGCTGCTCGGTGCATTCTTCAATGGTGTTCTCCTGCTTGGTTTGGGCATTAGTATATTCCTACAGTCCATTGAGCGGTTCATTGCTCTCGAATGTAAGTCTCGCATTGTACACTCCATGTTTGCAATTTGTCCGATCAGAACTAACATTGCCGTCAGATGTCAAAAATCCCAAGTTGATGTTTATCATTGGATGTATTGGATTGGCACTGAATATTATCAGCGTCCTTTTCCTTCATGGTAAGAATTCCAATGTTGGTGTCATTGTATCAAACTAACAATGATCAGAACATGGACATGATCATGGACATGATCACGGACATGGACACGGGCATGAGCATGATCACGAACATGGGCATGACCATGGCTCGCCTACATCGGTTTTACATATCGATGAACATTGCCACGATTCCGACACCAAGGTGAATATCGAGTGAATTCACAACTACATTGAAGGGAACTGACCAATCTTGGCTTAGCATGACGATCACAAGCATATTAACCTTGAAAAACATCACTGCGAAGACTTGGGTGGCCACAGCCATGGACATGGCGGCCACGACCACGGTGATCTGGGTATGATGGGTGTCATGATCCATGTCATTGGCGATGCAATCAATAATCTGGGTGTCATGGCTGCCGGTCTGGTCATCTGGCTGGCAGCACCCCACACTGGCCGATACTACGCCGATCCTGGTGTGAGCATGTTCATTGCTATCTTGATCATTTTATCATCGTTCCCTTTAAGTAAGTCAAGATCACTCCAAACGAGTGAGAGTGATAGCAAAGCTAATAATACGTTCCAGTGCGTCGAGCCGGGCTAATCCTGATGGAGAGCGTGCCTGCGGGTGTTGACATGGACGATGTCAAACACGACCTGGAAAAGGTAAGATCATATTGATTCACTTTTCATTTACCATTCTCTGGTTTTATCTCTCTCAGTTCAATACTGACAACCACCAGATCAAGGGCATTAACTCAATTCACGAGCTTCACATCTGGCGTCTGAACCAACGAAAAACCCTCGCTTCCGTGCATGTTGTTGTATCCGAGAACTCCGTCGAGAGCTTCATGAAGACAGCACGCGTGATCAAGGAATGTTTCCACGCCTATGGAATCCACTCGATTACCCTGCAGCCCGAACTCGCAGATGTGACGGACGGCGAACTGTCCCAGAGCTGTGACGAGCCTTCCCGGTGCCAGGTTATCTGCGGGACTCTTTGTGAGCCATTAACTTGCTGTGGGTGAATGACTTGGAGTCGGGGATTCCTATGTGGTGTTGTTAGACTTGGTGCGGGCAGAGAACACGACCACATCTACAGCTTCCATGTATCAATATTTTTATGGATATCGCATATACATATATAGATTTTGTTATCTGCCTATGAGGCTACAATTTGCATAATATTCCATCAACCAGCCAAGTGGCCGAGCAGTAACTCAGCCATCGCATCTTCCTTGGTCTAGTGGTGATGATTTCCGCTTGTCATTAACACCGATAAGCGCGGGAGACCGGGGTTCGATTCCCCGAGGGAGAGATTTCTTTTTGCTTTTGCATTTTACTTCTGATCTTATTCATTGCTTTGCAATACTTTTTTTTGTGGGAGGATCGCAAATTGCTGAGTTGGAAAGTTGGTGGTTGACAATAACCTCATGTATTGCAACTGCCAGACCAATAGGTATACCTGCAGCATCTACTAGTCGCGATAGATACCATCTTATATTCTTCTATTACTCGAGATATTTCGTCATGGTTCCTATGTGTATTTGTCTTTGCAGACTTGATACTCTATCTGCGAAATCGTTCGCTCTCTTTGATCGGTGTTTTTGTCGTCGATGACAAAAAATGGCTTCAGACATATACCAATGTCTAGTGGGAACACGAGCAAACGTGCCAGTCTATTAAAATCCAACAACATCATCAAACCATTACACATAGTGGGACCCAGACGGAACCCCTCCGCAGCGATGCATCTCTCAAGCAAGACCCCTCCGTCAGATACGAGCTGCAAGATGCTCCACCAAGACGCGGGGAGGCCGCCACAGCAGCCGTAGAGCGTATGGAGTGAACGTTGTGGACCACTGCCTACGTTATACGGTGCACATGTAGGTAGGAATGCGAGTTCCGATTCCGAGATAGCTGCAGATCGTAATAGATAGAGGCCGATCATGTGCGGGGAAGATTAGTAGTACGAGAAGGGCATAAAGTATCATTTCGGTCCTGCTACTTTCATCTTAATCTTCTCCAAGTATACCATTTTTGTATTGCACATCCCTCGTCAAATCACCCATATTGAAAATGGCCATCGAAGGCTGGGAAGCCCAAGCCCAAAGAGGTAAAGATATTCTTACCAACTCTATTCCGAAGCAATGGCTTCTTCCCGTTGAGAGACTACCTCCGGTCTCGCAGAAGAGCGTGGTGGATTTCCCCCGACAAAGCGGGCTGTTGAGTGAGCGCGAGCTCACTATCACTGATATGTCGGCCACGGCACTGGTAGCGGAAATGGGGAAAGGGAAGCTCAGCTCGGAAGAGGTTGTGGTGGCATTTTTGAAGAGAGCGGTCTTGGGCCATCAACTGGTAAGATGATGGGTCTGGTTGAAGATGTAGTTGCTAACCATAGTTCATAGCTCAATTTTGCTACCGAATTCATGGCTGAAGAGGCAGTTGCTCGTGCCAAAGAGCTTGATGAGTACTACCAACGCACGGGGAAACTGGTCGGGCCTCTGGTAGGTTCATCCATTTACTGCCCAATTTGATATCGGCGAGTTTCTAATCACGTACTTCCAGCATGGCGTTCCGATTAGTGTGAAAGAGCATATTTCCATGAAGAACCGAACATGCAATACTGGATATGTCGCATGGTAAGTACATATAGAAACTCACCGCAACAAGTCCTTCTCCTGATAATTGATGCAGGGTTGATAAGGTCACTACGGAGGATTCGCTCCTCCTACAATGCCTGTCCAAATCTGGCGCCATCTTTCATGTCCGGACTAACCAGCCGCAATCATTGATGGTAGGCTCACACATCTCCAATTGCTCTTTGGATTTTGACCAACGTTAATCTAGCACCTGTGCTGCAGCAACAACATCACCGGCACAACATTGAACCCATACAATCGCACTCTAACTCCAGGTGGATCCTCCGGTGGCGAGGGTGCTTCTATGGGCTTCCACTGTGCGCCGCTGGGCATTGGAACTGACATCGGCGGATCGATTCGCTGCCCAGCTGCCTTCTGCGGTGCATACGGTTTCCGACCTACAACTCTGCGGAACCCTCTAACGGGATTAAAGGCTGCTGCCTCGGGCCAAGACTCAATTCGTGGTGTGGTGGGTCCACTGGCCAGCTGCTCGATTGAGGATCTAGAACTGTTCCAGAAGGCTGTGTTGGAACAGGAACCTTGGGAGATTGAGACAGCGCTGGTGCCTGTGCCGTGGAGAACTGTTGCACCGACACGGGATATGACTGTGGCCATAATGTGGGATGACGGGTATGTTATGGCTTAGAGAAACATCGTTGTTTTTCAATGTGTTAATCATTGTTATAGTTGCGTTCGTCCTCATCCCCCCATAACTCGGGCCTTGAGACTCGCAAAGGAGAAATTGTCCGATGCGGGCATCAAAGTCGTGGACTGGGAGCCATATAAGCATCAGGATGCCTGGAATATTATCGTGAGTGCTGACCGTTTGATCCGATTATACTTAATCGACATTAACATCATCTAGGCCGCTCTATACTTCCCCGACGCCACTAGGAGGCAACGCGAAATTCTTGCCCAATCGGGCGAGCCAATGCGTCCGCTAACTGAATGGGCCTTTAGCTATAGCCAAAAAACGCCCATTTCCCATCCTGAGGCTTGGATTCTTCACGGCCAGCGCGATACCTACAGAGACGAGTACCACGCTCTCATGAAACAACGTGGTGTTGACTTTATCCTCTCTCCGGCTTATTCCGGGGTTGCTGCCGTGATGGGCGAGCCCCAGTATTGGAACTATACTGCGATTTGGAACATAGTTGATTTACCTTCTGCAGTGTTCCCATCTGGAATAGCCGTGGATTCCACGGCAGATGCGCTGACGGACGAGGATAAACAATACGTTCCGAGAGACGAAGTTGACGAGCGTGAGTGGCGTAAGTATCAGGGCCCAGAGAGGTATGAGGGTGCGCCGGTGGGACTGCAAATTGCCGGTAAACGATTCAAGGATGAAGAGACCCTAGCGGCGGCCAAGCTTGTTGAGCAGATCATCAAAGGCGAGAAGAAAGCATGAGGAATTAGGTGGAATATGAGTTGATTAACTTATTCTTAACATACTAGCAACAGAGAAATTAAGAAATCTGCTCATTCTACCCTCAGCCATTTCGCTTTGTAGCAAAGACCATAGCTAACGGTGTGGCTGTCTTCACCTTCTTCCCTCCAAAAGCCCGCTCCATCTCATCCCAAAGAGGATTGATCTCGGACTCCGCGACATCTGGCGTCGTCCAGGTAGAAGCATAGCCCTTGAACCATTCACAATCCTGTTCATCCATCCAATCCTCAACATCCTCCTCCCAGACAATCTCTTCCCCATCCTTAACTTGACTTTCCCCAACCCGATCATTAATCCTAAAAGCCTCAATCCTCCCCTGGGCATTGATATACAACCTCTTCACACCCTCCCAATCCCCCGTCGGGAACCCAAGAGCCTCCATCCCAGAATTCAAAATCCGCAACGCATGATCCAGCATCGGATCATTGACCTCCCCCGCATAGAACCCACAAACCGCCTCCCAAGCCCTCTGAGCCCGCTCATTCCCCTCAATGCGCGGGTAATTATAATGCGTAATAACCAGCGTCCCGCCGACGCGCAACTCCCTCGCAAATTCCTTAATTGCAATCTCCGGTCTCGTCCAGTGGATACATTCGCATGCCATGATGAGGTCGACGGAGCCGGACTCGACGGAGCTCTTCTCGGCACTTTCCTGCAGGAATCTGAACTTTGATTCTGGAAGTTGGGATTGCTCGACGAGGACTTTGCGCGCGAGCGCAGTGTAGCCTTCGTTAGGGTCTGAGACGATGACTTTGTTGAAGCGGGGGGCGAGGCTGGAGGAGACGATTCCGCACCCGGCGCCGATGTCTTGGGCGATGGACCAAGTGGCGTGGGACTTTTGGGCGTGGTAGGTGAAGACTTCTTCGAAGAATGAGGGTGGGTAGATGGGTCGGAAGGTGACGTAGTCAGACCAGTTCACGCCTTGTTTGGCGTTGAAGCCGTATTCTGGGGCGGGTGCGATCTCGCTGGTTGGCATGGTGGTTGTAGACATTTTGAGATATTTGGAGGGTGACTGATTTTTGATTTTGATATTTGAGAATTATGGGAAGTATTTATATAGCGCGTCCTCTTGCCCCAAGGGTCCTTGTGCAAGCAGAGACCCTGAATTTGTCATGATGGATCGGGTCATGGATGGACACAGGAACGATGCTTGTTGCGCTGGCTGTTTGGAATGGGGCCGAGGGAAAGTTCGGAGTATGAGATCCGACAATCAATCGGTATGGAGCGACTGAGTCCCGCTTATTGGTTGGTGATTCACTCGAATGCGAGTGCTTCTTCCAATCATCTTGCAATGGAGTCGACCGTATTTCGATTAGATTTCCGGGTTGATCGCGATCTCGGAGATCATCGGTCGTCTGGATCTCGCTAGATCTCGGGGCCTGGTCATATTCACTTAGCATATGATTACTTGACAGGCAGGTCGATAGTACGGAGTGCTGTGTATTGATCTTGTTGATCGCCTTCTTTCTGTTTTCGTCGGGGTTATACTCGAGTCCATCCTGACTTGAACTCCTTTGCTATGGATGGCGGGGCTAGTGGAGCCCTCTGCTGGTGATCATCAATAGCGTCAATGGTTATGCCCTGATTTTGGGAGAACCGAACATATGCAGAGCAAAAGATAAAGTCCCTTCATTATTCCGCCCTCTGCCCTCTTTCTCTATAATGGTCGCAATGATTCACGAACATCCCCTCTCAAGAACTCTGCTCAGCTCTGAAGCCCTGCAGGGTCTTAATTTGGCTACCATCCTCCCTAAAATTCTCAACATCGAGCCATTTCTCCATTGCGACCTTCAGATACGCATCCCACTCATCCTTCAAGATAGAATACCAGCTTGTATCCCTATTCCTCCCCTTAACAATCATATGCTGCCGAAAGATCCCCTCAAAGGTAAATCCCAAGCGCAGCGCAGCACGCCGCGAGGGCTCATTCAGTGAATGACATTTCCATTCGAATCGCCTGTACCCAAGGTCGTGGAATACATGTTGGGCGACAAGATAGATCGCCTCTGTCGCGCCAGTGGTGCGTTGCATGGCAGGCGAGTACATGATATTGCCGATCTCAATGCCCAAGTGATCAGGCGTCATGCGCATCAGAGATAAATAGCCAATTGCCTTTCCGAAAGTGGGTAGAGTGTCGCGCTGGTCGATAATGGCATAGAAGAATGGATCTGCTGACGTGGACTTTGTCGCGATGCTGGCCTTGAAGACTTCTGCATCCGAGTAAGGCCCGTCAAACATGTAGTCCCAGAGGGCTTCTCTGGATGGGTCAGCCCCACCAGTAAGGCTGAAAAGATCATTGGCGTGCTTTGGGTCGAGTTTCTCGAGCAGGATTGTTCGGCCTGGGATTGTTTTGCCTGACGGCAGGAGAGCCGCGGTGGCGGTGACAAGTGGGCCTTTTGGACGGAGCAATGCCATGTTTGAGAATCGATTGTGTGGATAGTGATGTTTGAGAGCTGAGAGCGATGGCAGATCTATATTGTTTTTTGTCTCTCCGAGTTCTGTTGATACCCCAGTACTATCAATGACTCAGGCGAATACCTATGGATGATTCGCTGCGAACCCCGAAATCCCGTGACATTAGGGCTTTCCCAGAGCGTGATAGGTCGCGTCTCCGAACTAATAATCCCTGTACGGACTTATGTAGTGGGTAACTAGATAGTAGAAAGCCATTTCTAAGCAATGTGCGTAACAGGAAGTCTAGACCCCCGAAACAGGGTATAACGAACCATTTATGGCGCTATTCACAACAGAAATCAGGAGTGATTCTAGACATGTATCATATTGACTATGAACAATTTTGTTTCTTCAAACGCTTTTAGAATAAACCCCTTTTGCCTCTTTTTGTATACAGCAAATACCATAGTAAAATGAGCTGCAACGCGCCAAAGCACATCACTATCCCACTGAACAACTGAATACCGAGATAGTTCAAGTCCGAGCTGCCCCCAGAGCCAATCGAGGCGAGTGCACCTGCTATAGGCGGACCTATAAGCGAGGCAAAGCTACTCAAGCTCTGCGCCATTCCTAGCCAAGTTCCCAAGCTTCTAGGATCGGGACATACATGGGCGAAAACGCTGGGTGGGAGCGGAATCAAAGCCCCGGAGATACCACCTATAGCGTAGGTCAGAATGAAGCACCGAAGATTAGGAGAAAGTGGGGTTACTTACCATAGAAGGCACCAAAAAGAATAAAACGCACAAGGCTGTCTGCACTGATCCAACAGATACACAGCATACCTGAGAGTACACCGCAAACAATCCACGAGATCATCGATCCATAGCGATTGGCGAACAGAGTCAAGACAACACGGCCAATAACCGAGGCAGCCTGTGAAATCATCAAGACATTTGACCCCATTGAGCGTGATGTCCCCAATTTTGTTTGCGCATAAGTTGGAATGTAATAAAACGGCGTGATGTAACCCAGGTAAAGGAAAAAGTTGCCAACAGCAAAACTCCAAAATGGCAAATCCTTGAAAGCACGCGTATCAATCAAGCTTCGGCGCTGGGTATTTTCAACCTTCGCCGTTCTTTTTCCAATCTCCGGTCCCAAAAGCAAGATAGCACCTGTAATAAAAAGTGCAAGCATCACGAATGCGATGACACGGGTTGTCCAGGGAAACCCAACTTTGGAGATGAGCTCATTGAATATAATTGTATAGATGATACCCCCAGCAGGTGCACCACTGGTTGCTGCACCTAGTGCAATAGCTCTTCGCTTGGTGAATGAACGACTGACTAATGCAATACCGGGTACATAAAGCAGTCCAAATCCGAGGCCCATGCAAACTCCTTGGCTGAGGAATATCGAGTAGTACTTATCTGCGAGACTGAGCATCATCATGCCGAGAACGCTCACCAAGCTACCAATAATGAGCATGCTTTGGTTATAGCCAAGATCGAAAAGTGGGCCGGATAGTAGGCCGCCGACGATTAGAAGCCAGGATTGAACTGTGCCAATCCAGGCGATGTCAGACGATGTTGATGATGGGATGTAAGTGAGTGCATAGTAACTTTGAAATGCCCCAAATGAGAAGTTCAATCCCCTTAGAGGAAGTTAGTTTCAATGTACAACTATTATTCAGAAGGCAGACTTGACTGACCAAACATTGAAGAATATAAAGAATGCACCGAGGACTTGCAGACAGCCACGCACGTTACTCTTCACGGCAAATTCAGAGGATGCTCCGCATGATTTTTCATTTTCTGCTGTGACAGGTGCTAGATCTATGACCTCCGGGTCATCAGGTATCGTCTTGGTGTCTTTTTCCGACAGCATCTTTAACACGGCCTCGAATAGACCCGAAAAGTGATTCAAGACTTAGATCAAAGCTGAAAAGAGTCAACAAAAAGAAAACGGAATCTTGGGGCCCCTTTAAGATATTAGTCAGTCACATATTAGCCCTGTTTTGTACGCGAGAAGCCGTGTTTGCCGATGCGGGGGTGGATGTCTCTGGAGTCTGGGGTAGTCCATCATACATGCTGAGGCATCACAAAATGGAGTCAACCTTCGCCAGATATATAATCATTACACTTGCAAAACACTGCCTATTCAGTAGAACGGTGGCATGTTATAATTTTCAGTATTGGCTTGCGCCAATGTGGGTGAAATTGGGTTATGAGGTTGCGGGATGGTTTGATAGTTACCTCGGCTAGAGCAATTTGCCATAGTAAGATGAGATGGCCGAATCACATCCCACTCCTACCAGATTTGGAGTTGGATAAATACTCCAATTGGGGTAGAGCCTAAAAGCTTCTAGACATTCAACAGAGCCATCGAGCACAAACTAGCAACCGGTTTTTCTGTGCTAGATCCCATCTGTAGCTGGTGACTGGCATACATAGCGGAAGGAATTCCGACCTTTAAGATGCCCAGCAATTGAACACGTTTAAAATACCAGTGAGCATACCTATGATACAATAACTTGTGGAGAATATAGCTCAAATTGGCAACCTGTGTTTAGTATTTCGCGCTTTTCAAGATCGTCACGACAATAACCCTTGCGCAGAAATGAGATATAAGGCAAAATACAGCCTATACTATTTGACCTTGGATTATCAATTAGAACAAATTAATACCGCACGGTGAATATAAAGCCTATAGACTAACTCTTACTGACATGGCCTTTAGTGTCGTTTCTCACCCGCTGACCGAAAGAATAGAATAGCACCTTCGGGCCTCAAGCAATCAAAGCAAAATTCCAAGAGTGACGATCCCAATGATGTCGCAGGCTTTCGCTATTTGTAATGATAGTATAGCCCCCCTTGTATGGAGTTAAAGAAGACACTCCGGATTTTGCTCAACCCCTGCCGAAGAAACAAATTTCAACTATCCAGAGTCCCTTGCACCCCGAGCCTTTCTCTTTGATTAAACTGCTCATGTAGTCATTAGACTCTTCCCCATAAAAGGGTTCTCACTCATCTGTAGTCCTTATCTTTCCTTTCCTTCTCCATGGGATATCACTATATCTATACAATTGAACTTGGTGCTTCATCTTTATGATTTTTAAGCTTCTTCTTCATCTAGTAAAAGCGCCTCAATACTGGTGCCCGATCTAACAGCGACAATATGATCTGCTTGTGTTGCCCATCTTCACAATAACGTACCCAATCTAATGGCGATTCCTCATCGCCATCGGTCAATGCCTCAGAATCAGCTCCATTCTCAAGTAATAATCGAACGGCGTCAGCAAAACCTAAGCGTACGGCATTGTGCAGAGGAGTTGCACCACAATAATCCTTCACAGTGACATCTGCCCCTCTCTCGATCAAAAGGACTCCTACTTCTCCACCTGAATGGCCCCAAATATTGATCGCTTGACATAGTAAGCTATCACCGTGGCAATCCTTAGACTCGATATCGGCTCCCTTGTCCAGCAAAAAGCGAACAATTTCGACTTGGTTCCTCGACACAGCCTCCGATATTGGACCAGAATAAGGAATGTCCTGCAGAGTTCCACAACGGCCAATCATTGTTTTGACCAAATAAGCCACAATTTCCAAGCGACCCCAGTATGCTGCAACTTCGAGTGGTGTCGTCTTGGGCGTGAAAAATTGGGTGTTGATGTTGGCACCGCTTTCTACCAAAAGCACGGTCACTGCGTAATGCCCGTGGAGTACAGCCATACCCAAAGGTGTCACATCCTCCATGAGCCTATCAAATGAGCTCCCCTTTCGGTTCTTTTTCGTCGTTTCAATATTGGCTCCGTTTGTAATCATGTTCCGGACTGTTTGTAGGTATCCTCCCGCCGCAACCCATGATAAAGCAGAGCTTTGTTCATGTTGGATATTATGCTCATAACGAAGAGGTCTGAAGAAGGCGTACAATAAGCGATTTGTTTTCATAAGGGCAGTCATTTCGCGAGGTGAATCCAGATAATTAGTTATTTGGTAGAGCAGTTCGCTTGGTAGGCGTGCAAAAGACATGTTGGGTAAAAGTACGCTTATCCATGCGAAAGTATCACCTATATTTGATGATGTACATGAGTGAATGCTGTTGGCTGTCAAAGGGAAGATCGTGTATGTTTGGGGTTTGTAGCGTTCAGTCTTGCGTCATGCTAGAAACCAGCGTCAGGCTAAATCAAACACGTTCGACATCAACTTTTGAAACTGAGGGAAGGGGCTCTTTGGGCTGGATTTAGAGCTAGCTTTATCTAGCAAACTGCTTACTTTGTGGTAAATAGCTCAAGATATATGAAGCTATCGCCTATTGTTGAGATGCCTCCTGATGCCTAAGGTATTCATGTCTTTTTTTGACAGACTCCGTTTCCACCCCAGGTAGTTTCTTACATGTAGTCTTCCAGGGGTTCTACCTTCTAAAATCAGAACTTCTTGTTGATGCATCATCATCCTGATGCCTGCCCTTTCAGGCAGTTTTGTTTGACAGACTGAGCTCTTTTGACAGATTGACTCTTTTAGTTTGCTAGTTTGCTAGTTTGCTAGTTTCTTAGTCTTCATGGACTATATAGTCCCCAGCTTTTGCTAGCTTCAGAGAATCATAGCTTCTTCTTTCTCCTTCTCTCCTTCTCTCAGTAGCCTCATTACTTCTTCTGCTATCCCTTCCAGTAATCATACCATCCGTGTATCTAGCAGATATCATCGGTTTCATCATCAGTTTTTCATCAAATACCACACGAACTGAGGCTTTCTAGCACACTATCTAGAGTTCTCATCGACTGAGGACCACATAGTTTCAGCACATCTCACTTGGCCCAGTGAAGTGAAGCTAAGATCTACCCTGAAAACACAGGCATTTTCTAGCTGAAAGATAGCCAAGGCTCTTCTTACATCATGGCTTCTGTTCTTGCAGACAGGCCGGATAACTCCGACTGGAAAGAGGTCATCCACGCACCAGTGGAGAACCAAGCAGTCAACCTGCCGGAGCTCGGTAGCTTCATCCTTGACAAAATCACACCACCTCTAAAAGAAAGGGAAGACGCCAACGAGTGGATCGACAAAGCGGAGAAGATACTAGACAGTCACAATTTACATCACCTCATCAACTGTGCGGTGCCTTGGCCAAAAAGGAACAACCCTGACGGAAAGAAATGGATGACACTATCGAAGCAAGTGAGGGCATGGTTATCTGCTAGCCTTGATAATGAGGTTATGCAGGAGATCCGGCTCAGAGGAAACGATATTCATTTTGCCGATGAGTTTATGGACGAGATCCATAAACATATGAAACGTGATAGTCACACAGCACAGAGGATGGCAGTCAAAGCCTTTCGAACCACCTCCCGCAGCCAGTTTTCGTCAAACTTGGAATTCATCAGGGCCGTCAAACGACGATACAGGGCTATTAATGATGCGAAGGGTGAGATCCCTGCATACTTTGCATTGGAAATCATACTTGAAGAGTTGGACAGTGTACCGGAAATGAAGACCTTTCTTGACATCAAGAGCAATGAACTCAATGCCCTCAAGAACCCAATGGTGGAGATCACCACTGTTGATCTTTACCAGTATGCAGCTTCGATTGAAGATTACATCAAGCTTAAAGGCATTGACTCCTACGGGGAGTAGCATGTGCAGTTACAAACCCCAGATCCCGCAGTTTTGGCAATTCGAACAGTGCTAGCTCCCCATACCAGTGGAGCCAGCAAAGGCAGTCAAGTTATCGGCACACCGATGGCCCTCCAAGGGGCATTCCAGCAGCTGTACACGCGGGAAAGTGGAGAGAGCATAAGCTAGAGAGAAATCATAGCTTCTCCTTCTCCCCATCTCTCTCCCTTCCAGTATTCAGATCATCTATTCCTAATATAAGCATTCTAAGTTTTGAAGATCGAAGGTCAAAACCAATGTCTGAAATTACTTCACCACATCCACATTGCGTTTCCTTTCTTTTCCATTGACTTCAGTATTCGATCTTCCTTTGCCCGTAAGTTTACTGCACTTAGCTGTACAGATTGTATTACCCCATTGGCACTAAGGCCTTCCGATGATTCTCATTGAGCATTATCAACGGGTTCATGTTCATGTTCACTTTTAATAATATAATTAGTTCTCCCTGGTATCAGCAATTCCTACAGCAACAGTAATAGTTTAGCTAACTTTTCACCAAGTGCTCTCTACAAATGTTAAAACTGGGACAAGGTTGCATGGAAGCGAAACAACCGACATGCAATGCAGTATTTCCCATGGTAATATTGCCAAATGAAACACTCAGCTAGTGCTCGATGAAAAGTCCAGTTGAGACTGCTTAGTCGAACGATATTCAGTAAAAAGGATGTTAATCCATGGTCGCCATATGTACAAAGTTCGTATAACACGCTAATATCCCAAGCAAAAATGCGCCGAAAAGTCCACCAAATAACCCTACTTATCTTATACAACGTATCCATTCATTTCTCATTGACTCGATTCCCCTCAACCTCATGAATCCGCGTATCTCGCGGCCCCAACTCGGCCGGAAACATCATCTTCTCCCGCTGCGGATAAACAGGATAAACCAAATGCTGCGTCGAGCTCGCAGCCGCAATCTCATCAATCATCGCCTCCTTTTGCCGCAGATTCTTCTTATAGATCCGTCGCTGCACAAGCATCGTAATCATTGCTATGAGAAGACACCCGCCCAGTCCAGCGCCCAGTCCAGCGCTGATCGCTGTCGTGTTCGATGCTGGGCAGGTAGAGCTATCGCCCGAGCCGGTGTTGCACAGCGACTTGTCGGTATCGGGTTGGGTATCTGTGGCGTTGGTCGATGAAGATGACGGGGAAGCTTTTGGAGAAGGAGAATTGGAGGACACGGATGAGGAGAGCGAGGATTCGGTCGAGCCTGATGAAGAGGATACCTCGGATGTGATTGAGGTCACGGATACGTTGATCATTTGGCCCATGTCCAGACGTACGGCGTCATCGCAGCAGTTTGTGCCGTTTACGCTGCAGCACCAGAAGCCACGGCCTTGCATTGGGCAGGGGATTACGTAGAGGGTTTTGTCGGAGGCTAGTACGGCGAAGACGATCGAATGTTAGTTATTGAGACCTTGCTGCAATGTGTGGATTAGAAAAGCTCTTACGTGTATCGCAAAGCTCAGGACACTGTCCGCTCTTCCATGTCTTGTCGGTGCAAGCGCCTTGTCGTAGCAAACCTCGGAAATTCGGATCCTGGATATAACATACGCCGCCCGAGAGACAGATGTCGTTCGGAGTCGTATTACTTTTTCCTAATGAGCAGCATGGGCTGTCCTCCTGGTCTGGAAAGCACGGTTGGAAAGTTGAGTCTGCTTTTTGTCCATTTGTGAGATAGCATTGGCGTGCTTGGACTGTAGTGGTTATAGCGAGGAATGCTATTTGGAAGATGAGGCGAAGCATTTTTCTTCCTTGTTAATTGAGAGCGTGAAGGAGAGGTGGAAAGGTTCAAACAAAGACCAAGAGAATCATATTTTAGACAGAACTTATTGCTACTCCGTACTGAGGCTCTCATTCTAGGTAATAATAGCAGTTGATCTCGGGGATTTCGAGGCGCTTAACTGATCGTTGAGATTGGTGGGGGAGAGTCCTCGGGGCCCCGTAGATCCCTGTGCCCTGGCCCCAAAGCCAAGTCCACTAAGCGCCAGGGTTTCACATTATGTTCTTTGAGCGCTAAAGGACTGAAAATATCCTTAAACAAAGATTTTGACGTTTAACCTACGCCGCACGGTGAGGGTCGGAGCCATATTGCCCCTTGCGAACACACACATTGTTTCTCGGTTGGTATAGAGACGTGGCTATTAAAGTACTTCTACTTCCTTCTATCGCTATAGAGCATACGCATGTTACAAAGAGCATACAATAAAGGCAATATTCCATGGATAGTCATCAAAAACATTGATTCAAATCCCCATAGGGAACGCATAAGTACATCCATCAATACACATATCAACGTAACTTCAACAAGCAACGAGCATTAAGACAAAACAAAAACTATCGTGACAATATTTCCATCATAGAAAGAAAAAAGAAACAACATAAGACACCTGATATCTCAAAGGAAAAAACTCCAAAGACGAACTCCGCGGGATAGACAAAAGAAACCCAATCCCATAAGAAAAGAAAAACGCAAAGAAATCATCTCATCATCTCTACTTACGCCAGAACATAGCTTTTCCAACGAGCCTTCCAGCAGACCAACGAGCCTCAGCAAACCTATCCTTCATGGTAGCACCGCCGCCGTAGCGGACAGGACGGGCGGATTTAGCGCCAGCCTCAGAGGGATTACCGGTGCTAGACCCACCGTGAGAACTAGGCGCGAAATTTGACATGTTACCGGCATCGAACTTCGTCTTTCCTTCGACGATCATTTGGACGACGTTCAGGATGGCGTAGGTAGTTGAGCCGATAGCACGGATACCAGCGAGAATGGCCACAGACCACAGGATGATGGCAAGGTACACGTTCGTGCCACCGGCATCGATGCCATAGACTTCTGATACGGCCATGCCGAGAATCACATTGGCGATCATCCAGATGCAAACCATGTAAGTACGGACAGCGCGGTAGTAATCCTCTTGCAACTGGGAGTCGGATGGTGGGGGCTCAGGAACCTCGAGGCGATCACGGAGATTGCGCAGCGCGGCGTCATAGCCAGAGTCAATGTCGAGTTGCTCGGAGGGCATCTCGATGACGACGGTTGAGCCGTTGATGGCCTTTGCGGCACCGAGATCAGTATGGATCACGTTGTCACCCTTGGTACCCCACGTAACGTCGTGGGTGTTGCAGAAGGCGTACACTTGCAGGATACAAATGTAGCTAGGCATGAGTAGGAAATATTGAACCGAAGAAGTGAACATGTGCCACGGGTCCAGGTAGAGGAACGAGGCGTAGAAGTAGAGACCCACGGTTGACAACATAGAAAGGACAATGTTCATCATGAGACCATCGCCAACTTCCATATCGTCGGTAACACCAGCACGTGCGAGTAACTCCTTGACCACCAAGTAGAGAGCACAGAAGACGGTGTAGAACATAATAATGGCATACACAATGATTCCAGTCAGGTACAAGTTTTTAGCACTAGAAAACCAGTTAGCCAAAACTTCAAGCATTGATAGCGTAATAGAGACTCACCCTTGCGGTCGATTACCCAACGAGATGATGAACTGCAAACACATAACCAGGATACAAGCATATTTCAAAACGATGAAAATGTATTTGCCCATGTTGTGACCAAAAGGATCAAGCTTTTTATCAGCCAAAGATCCAGCAATGAAGTAGAAAGCGAGATAGAAATTGGCCTGCTGAAAGTCAGTGATGTCCAGTCAACTAAAAAGACATTAGAAAAAACTCACAAGACCGAAGTAGGTAAACAGCAAGTTGAGGAATTGATAAAAGAACTCGATGTGAAGCAGGATCTTTCGAGCAAGAGTGTGATCCGTCTTCCAGATCTGCTTTGCGTTGAAAATCGAGTACACGGCGGCGAAGAAAGCACCGTTCAGCCATCTTCGACGCTGGGAGATGAATTCAGGGACAGTATCCGGCACATCAGTTTCTCCAACAGCGTTCTTGACAAACTTCAGCACCCATCGCTCTTCTCGTTTAGCAACCAACTCCCAGCAAAGAATACGATCTTCGGCCAGATACATGTTGGCAGTGAAAACGTCTGCATCCTGACCATGAAGTGTTTCACCCTTGAAATACTGGTTGAGTGGGCCATGGCCATCGGCATCGTTTTGCAGGGCAAAGAACCGGTAGGCACTGAGCGCACCGGGCAACACAGTAATGTAACCAAAGACTGATTCAAGCGGCTTGTCAAGAATGTTCGACATCTTGTATTCGAAGTTCTGACTGGCCACAAGGGGGTTGAGCAAACCGAGCATGTTCTTGCCCTTGGCAGCCTTAATCTCACCGGCAGCACCGGCAACATTTGAGTCCTGATCAAATGCCTTCCACAGGTGATATAGCGCTGTTGGCTCTGGGCGGGTTCCAACATCAAGCAAAATGCAAATGTTGGGTTGTAGAGCACGGCCGAAAGCATTGAAGAACCATCGGTGGGAGTTCAGTTTCTTCTTATTGTGTTCTTTCAAACAGAAGATGACCTGACATGGAACAATGCCCTTCTCGGCACCCTTGAACTTAAGGTCATCGTCGAGCGAAACTTGCGTGGTGTACTCGTACACGTGTGCTTGGACCTCTTTCTGGTTCACAATGTTCTTTGCGATACCCTCTTGGTAAACACCCAGGGCAGCCAATGCGTTGAGAGTACGCGGGTGAACTTTCTTACGACCATCAGAAACAATACAAACAACGATCTTCTTCCATCCATCACGGCCCCAAGTACGCGACTTGGTTCGCGAACAGAAGTGACTGATGTTGCGCATGACACCATGCATAGTACGGGTGAAGCCAATTTCATCTTCGTTGTACATGGTGATACAAATGAAGAGCTCTGTCTCGCGCGTAGTGGCACCAATTTGTTGTCGAAGCTTGTAACCGCGCTCCGCGTAATCATCTGGATCGGATGTGACAGCGGTATATCGCATGTGGGTAAACTCACGCTCGTCGCGGCGAGGCAAAAAGCTATGAAGAATGGTAGGGATCTTGCACTCCAAGATCAGCTCACCATTCACCAGCTGGACTTCTCTTTTGGCGACCTGCTTGGATCGGACACCCCGACGACCCTGCTTTTCAGGTGCGGGGCCGTAATGAAGGTTAGGATCCATCATATGTGATTCGTCGTCGTATTCCTCATCGAGGTCGATTTTCTCCAAGCCATCCTTCTCGTCTCCCAACATTGTTGATTCGCTCATGAATGATCGAACACTACCGCGCGAGGTGTGGTGAATTGTTCGTCCATCCCCGCCAAACGGATCTTCTCCGCCGTGGCCATCGCCAATGTCAATACTCGTATCCACTGTCGTTCTTGGCCCAGAGAACAAAGGAGCGGGAGGTAGTGGCCGACGAGGGCTACCCCCATACCTGGAGCTGGGTGTACCGGGTCGCGGACTGCCATTGATATCGGCGCGTTCATATCCAACACTTGAAAAGGATCCGGCTCGGATGTGCGATGGGCTCCACGGGCGAATTGGGGATCCTGTGCGTGGGGGAATAGACGGGTAGATAGACGAGTCTGCGAGGCTTGCTGTTGGAGGCGGGATATGGGGCCCACTGGCTAGGCTGGATGGCGGACGTGAGGGTGAAGACACACTGGGCACTTCGTAATAATGATCATAGCCTCTATGTTGTCCGTTCCTATAACTCCGCGATCTGAGGTTAGACCTTGGCCTTGGAGAATGATCCATTTTGCCTGAAATGCGGCGCAAAGAGGGCCGATTTGAGGTAAAACGACAAACAATGTGCTAGGGTAGAGAGTTTATGGGGAAGATGGTTGAGCCGCGATAGTAAGGAGTTGGCCCGCGCCCATCAGCAATGTCAATCAATAGACAATTCCTCAGAGCCTAGGTTACTCCCGACCTCTCCGTGATGTCAACGAAGGAGTCAGAGATGTGGGTGCACGTGGGCCCGTAGCAAGGGAAACCACTGGAATGTGGACACAAACAGGGCAGCATGGGGAACAATCAAGAAGTACATACGGAGTGTGGTCATAGTCCGGCTCATACTGAGAGGGCGAAGGAGCTCTATGGGTACTGGCTAAGTCACTGGCGCCATCACCGCTGGTTGGCAACAATCGTAGTGTGCCTCCATTGAGACGCGAGGCATTGATCGGCGACTCGGGGTCCGACAGAAAGGACGATGTTTCGTTATCGGGGTATGCGGGCGGCGCATCGCCGTAATTGGAGTGTGGATAGCGGTTCATGGTCGAACGTGGACTTGGGTATGTGTGTTTTTGTTTCTCGATTCACTCCCTCATAGTACGCTGTGTGGTACCTGCAGTGTGTACGGATGACACAACTTGCACACTGAGGAATTGAGCCACGTCACTCGGGGATATTGAGACCAAAAAAAGGTTGTGGTCCTGTCAGATTTGGCAGGTTAGTGAATAGTTCGGAGTTGAGGAATGCTCTCGAGGAATGTGAGTCGAACCTTAATGACGATGTTAATGCTCGACACACAATCAAGATGAATGAAGAGGAGAAACCTGACAGTGCGGAGACAACATTAAACGATAAAGTGGGCAAACAAAGTCCAGCCTTCGTCCGCAGCCTGCATCAACAGGGTGGAGAGGTGCAGGTGGTTGTCAGGGCAACGCTCAGGGCCAATTTAGAAGACGTGCCTCGCGCCGAATCAGCACGGGGGAAGTCTTGGAAACGGTGATCAGATCGCTCGTGAGATTGATTCCCTATGGATTCATAATAATTATCCGTTTTATTCCTTGCATCCTACAATATGAAGCCCGAAACTACTCGACCTAATTGGATATCGAGCATCAAGCCATCTCCAGTCCAAGTGGGTCGAAGCCTCTTCCCATTAGTGTGCAGCCCTGACTATATGTAAACAACGACAACGGTACTCCAGGTATCGCAATAAAACAGTGCATAACTATTCCAAAATCAGAATGGGGCTTGTGGATCCTCCCTATCCTCCACACATGATCTCGTTCCCATGGATTGGTTCTCGTTCTAGGCCTTCAGCCGGTCCAATCCCACAACTATGCCTTAACAACCCACAGGTACCACTGATTGTGGCAGTGGGTCCTTCGAGACTGCGTCACGACTAAGCTCACACCCCCTCGTTGAGCAACGGCTCACGTTCGCGTTCTGTCGATTCGGGATGCGCCACGCGACGGAAGAGGCTATCACGGCCAGTATACTTCACCGAGGAGATGTAGAGAGACACGACCAAAAAGACGCCAAAGACAACAAAGGCAAAGATCCACTGCAAAGCAATGATCTTGATGGCGATTTGTCGCAGGGCAAGTGCTGCAAGTATATGTATATATTAGCGATGCGCTCACAGAAAAAGAGAGTGAGAGTAATGATAAAAGGCGTAGAAAAAAAGGAATGACTTACACAACGTCAACCAACTCAAACAATATCCAAGAATATAATCCTCCCAGAGGACAATATCAAACAGTCCAACCACAAGGATGACCCAGATGAAGATATTAGCGACAATACGACCAGGCAGATTGTGGCTGTGGACGGCGACAGCGCCATTCCAGAACAGCGCCATCAGGGTCCAGGCATACGGGCCAGCGACAGCGGGCAGATGTACGAAAGCCGGAAGACCGCGGTGGCGCCAGTATGTAACTGATTGATTGATAAGGTGGGCGATCAGGATGATCTCTGCCCCCCAGAAGTGATTGCGGGTCCAGAGAAGGATCCAGGCGAAGAGGAAAAGGTTGTTCAGAATGAAGTGCGAAGCAACACTAGCAGCTGCTGCAACGAGGGCATCATTCTTGGAGAAGAGGTGCCAGACATAGCTGAGCTGGGACAGGAGCAGGAGAATCCTAGATGTCGGTTAGTTTGGGATATTCTTCCAGTGACCTGTTCGCGCATGGTTTAGACACAAAAGAAGAGCGCCGATTGAACTAACCAGAAAACGCCAGTCAAGGTAGTGTTCTGGCTGAATGGAGTGTTGTGCTTATCAGCTTGTCTCCAGAGCTTCTTGCCATTCTTAACATCGTCTGGCGAGTGGACGGAGTGGTAGATGCCGACCACCAGGACCAGCGCCCACGTGAGAGGTGCAAGAACGCGATAGGTATTCAGAGAGCCAGGGCTGTAGGTTTCGCGCCTAGCGAACGGGTTAAAGTTGGCCATGATTGTTAGACTCCTTTACTCAACCTGAAGCCGAGTACGTGTAACGGGATTCAAAAAGCGAAAGATTTTAGGAGAGGGGTCTGTCTTATAATAAGATTGACCAAAGGGACTTCCCGCATGGAGTCATCAGACTTGGACCCAATAGAATCAGACCATTCCAAGAACAGGTAATGATGCAGATGAGGTCAACTCCAGAACTGGTGATGACATCAACACCTTTATCTTATCGGGGTCTGCGGATATCTCCATCTACATCATTCTGGGTGTTAAGATAGCTCTATATTAAATTGCACGAGAATCTTTGATGAGATTCACTGAATAACAGTGATTCATGATCCAAAGCACCCTGTTGGAAGTACCTGTGTTCCTAACAACAGGGGACTGAGCGCCATCTCAAACTTTAGGTACTCATACTGAGACCGAACTATAACCTGGCGCAACCTTCTGCCAGACGTCGATCCCCGTGCACAATCCTAACACAAAGATCAGCCTGAGATGGCAAGAATACAAAGTCAATAATCGCCAAACTCAACTCAAAAATCCTGAAGTTATTTTCTAAGGCGTGGGGGTAAATGTTGGAAACGTCTTGAAAGGCATTGGAAACCAAAACAAAAGCCAAGACCCGCAATTGGGTCTAGGTTGGCGCCGGAGACTGTCCGAGCCTAAAAATAACGAGAAGAAGTATGAAATACACACAGTGCCTACTATTCCGCCAGCTTTGCTAGAATGCACGTCGTAAGACCGCTGAACGATGTGACCTCCCAAGGTTGCTTGGAAATGCGGGGCAAGGGGCCAGTGCTTTTCACGCCTCATGCCGGCACACGAGGACGATCAGTGCATCTGTGCCTTGACCGCCGATTCAAGAGTGTAGTAGAATATACGGAGTAGTAACCATGCCAATGATATGATTATGTAGGGTATCAAGAGTATCAAGACCAAGACCAAAATGCGAAAAGGACAAGACCGTATATGTAGAAAGTGCACCATATAGAGAACCTTACAACCCCCGTGCCTTCCTCACGGCCTCCAGAATCTTGCCATGAACGGAGACCGGCGCAACAACCATGCCATAACACCCGGCCAGAGTGCGGCCCTGCGCACAATCAACCGGCTTCCCCTCAAGGTCTGTAACGAGACATCCCAGCTCCTGCACAATAAGCATACCACCCGAATGATCCCAGATCTTCGAGCGATACTTATCGCTCAACGGCACCTTGATGAAGGCATTGCATCCGCCCTGCCTCGCAATAGCGACATAGCGCATCTGCGCAGACCACAAATCCACCGGATTCGGCCATGAGCAGCCGAGCTCAGCCGCAACACGACCATGGCACTCTAGATCTTGCGTCTTCGCTGCTCGCGTATCGATGAATTGCACGCCCGACTCTTCAACCTGCGGGATTTTTTCGAGTGGCCGTGCGGGCAGCAAAGCGCCAAGGCCCAGGGGTCTGATAATGGCGCCTTGCCCAGCTACTGCTGAGATCATCTGCCCGTGACCATCACGATCGACGCGATCTTCCGCAACAAGACCTGATTCCAGCAGGTTCGGGCAGCCTAGGACGCCGACTTTCTGGATTCCATTTTCGACTAGTGAGAGACAGACGACATATTGTTCGCCGCGAATGTATGTCGCTGTCCCATCTACGGGGTCCAGGGTCCATGTCCTGCTTGTTGGGGTGCATGCGCCCTTTGCGCCGAGATCAATTAGGTCGAGGAGTTCATCGCGAGTGCTCGGAGTGTGTAGAAGGGCTTCGCTTTCCGGATCGTTGAGATGAATGCTGGTCGCTAGCTCCCAGGTTCTTTCGAGGAGCTCCGGGTTGGAGCGGAGAGCTGTGGCATCTTCTTCGCCGACGATATCGTCGTCTGGGAAGACGTTGTGGATGGCTGCAATGATCGATGCTTGTGCTGCGAAATCGGCAATTGTGACGGGCGAGGCATCACTCTTGTCAAGGGCACCCTTGTCAACAGCCGAGAGGAGCTCTTTTGTCAGGAGAGCTGCTCGTTGCACAGCTAAGCTAGCGAGCTGCAGCTCTTTGGCGTAGGGAGTAGAGGAGCTCATGGCAGTTTTGGGGCTGGCGGATGGGGAGGGGTTGGGATGATATATCCCAGGGGGGAAGGTTTGCTCGAAACGAGCGTAGAAATAGCAATTAGTGGCAGTTGAGAGAAGGAAACGGTGAAGATTATTTTCGTAGAAGATCGAGGGGCATCACGTGCGGCGAATCGGTGAGCAACCCTACGTCATGGATGATCCATGGATGTGCCATGTTGTACCTGTTGAGGTTGTACCTCGATAGTATACATATATAAATGTAGAGTACCTGCAAGCTATCAGTATGTACCCGAGTACTATAAATTGCACAAGAACCTTGAGGAATTTGTTCAAAATTTACTGAACATCCTATTAAGAAGTTGCGGTTGTGTTGATGCTTAATTAAACTCTTGGCAGGGCTAGATGTATGTGAAGATCGACATTGAATTGCCTACAACTATTGCCCCTTTCATCCCCGTTCTTTGTGAAGAAGCTTGCTGGATGCTGTCTCTGAAATTAATTTGACTGAAGCAGTATCAGATCAACCCGCAGATAGTATGATAGTACTCCTTAAAATGAGGCGAGGATTGACTTCAGCCATAGCATCCGATGGTTATATACTAATGCCCCTACAAATCTGTTACAACACGCACAAGAAACGATGCACAAATACCAATATAACGAGTGTATACTAGAATATATATATATGAATGCAAGAATTAGTGCTTTTGATAATAATTCTCCCAGGCCACTCCATATTTGGACAGTTGTCTACTTGGCCTGTCCCTAATTATTCAAGTCGAATATCCAGGGATTCACGTGCAAAATAGGCTATTCTGATTATCCCGTGGTTGCATCTTAGGTGTGACATCTTATGCCTAGTAGATGGAGGTAGTCGTCTCATCCTCGGGCTGGAGAGATCGAAAATTGAAGAATATGAGTTCAATAGAACGAATGTTTATCTAAGTGAAGAACAAGGTAACTACAGTATCCCTTTGGCCATTCACGCATGAATTCAATTCTATAAGGATCAAATATGTAAAGGGAATAGCATTCTTTAATCATTGAGCCACAGAGGAAGAATCCTTTGCTATCATGATAGAAGAGAAATAACAAGTCATATCATTTGATTGAGGGAATTTAGGGTATAAGCCCTCGAAACCAACAAAAAATAGGGACATCAATGGATTGAACCTCAATGTATCTTAACGAGGGAACCCAGTTTGGTATATCGCACAAACGCCGAACTACAGTATCATGTAAACCAAGCACAGAGAGGAAATCAGAAGGGAGCAAAAGCCAGCTCGTAAGCGAAAGCTAAGCTCATCTTCGCGTGCTGCAGCATGTGATCGAAGCTCAAATATTCGATCTTGTCCTCTGTGGTGTGAATTTTCTTATCGGAGTTCTCGAACTTGGACTCGATGACGAATGCGGAAGGGTATCCGTACCGACTAGCGGAGGCGTGATCAGAGCATGCATAACCACACTTCGTCTCAACATATGGCACATCGCAATATGTAGTAATAACCTCCTTGATGAACGAAGTGAGGCCCTGGTCGACGTAGTCGATGATGACACCCACGGATTCCTGCTCACCAGCATCCAGAGTACCCTGGACATAGCCAGTCATGTCCTGCTGGAGCATAGCCTTGACATTTCGCGAATCCTTCTTATACTTGGAATAGACAGCCTGAGATCCGAGCAAACCACCCTCCTCGGCAGAATACCAGTGGAATTCGATGGTATTGCGGGCCTTGCCGTGGGCAATGGTCTCCGACCGCAGCAGAGCACGGAGAGCTTCAAGGATAGTAACGGTTCCACTGCCATCATCGTCTGCGCCCGGCGCAGCCAGGATAGAGGGCAGGAAAAGGTTGATGCTATCCTGGTGGGAGCCGAGAACAACGGTGTTGTCCGTCTGACCGGGGATGCGGGCGATGATGCTGAACTGACCCCAAGAATGCTCGAAGCGCTCGACGGTCGCGCCGTGGTCGCTCGCACCGGACTCGTGAATTGCGGCGGTCACTTGGTCGAACAACCAAGTTGCAGACTCAATGCCTGTTTGCGACTTGTAGTAGCGCGTGTAGAACGAGGTGAAGTGTTTGAGGTTGCTCCTCATGTTTTTCTTGTCGAGAGTTTCGGCCAAAGGCAAGATCTCATGCGAATGTTCCATCTCCTTCGGGTAGTGTACGACCCGTGATGCGTGAAGGGTGCCATAGGAGCCTGTTTGGTATTCCTCGGTGACATCGATAAAGTTTACTCCGTCCTGGTCCAGATTGTTAGCACTATGTCATGACCCAAGGAAAGATCGCCACTCACCAGCTTGAGGGACCATTTCTCTTCATCCGATACCCAGCGAGTTCGGTATGGGGCTAGCTCGATCAAAGACTTGGCCTGTGGGTTTTGCACAATTGACGGCGCTAGTGGTTGCTGCTCTGGGTTCACCATAGCCATGGCAGCTGCCGTTGCGCTCAACGCAAGAGGGGAGAGGAACTTCATGATGGATAGTATTAACAAGATGAAAATAAGGATAAATCAGTATGTAACACGAGGGTCCAGGATCTCTTTTAAACGCTGTCGGAAGGAGACACGGCTGAAGCACGGTATCACGCGCCCTGTGCCAAGCCATTTTCGGACCCCGCGCGCTAACCACCGAGGCTCTGTGTCATATTATTCTTAGCAATGGGCGTAGATCCGGTGTTTCCGGCTGATTCATTCAGCGATGCGAGATCTCTTCTTAGTTCTACTCCGTACTCCGAGCTGCCTCACAAATTCATGCTTAAAATCCAGCGTATACGCCGACCGGAGAGAATCCGAATGATTCAACCCCTTGGATCAATGGGTGCACGGTTTATTACCGAGAATGCTGATGAAGGAATACGCCTTATGCCAAGTGCAACTACTCCGTACTGGGGGCCAGCTAGGGATCGACGGAGCTATATCAGCCAATGTTCCCACACTCCAAGGCGAGGAGAACATGATGGGTCGTAAATTGGTGCGACCGAGCGCTTAAGGAACATATGGTCTAAAATAGGCTATCGGAGAGGTAGGTACGCCGTAGACCCAATATCTAATCCTTCTCCCTTTACGGAGTACTCCGTACGGAGTATTATAGCTACCTAGGCTTCTATTACGAAGGTCCTATTACGGAGGATAGATTCCATAAATGCGATTGGCCTACCATGACCACCTGCCTCTTAAGGACAAACGAAGGGGATACATTGAATCCACCTAATGCTTCTGACATGGAACATTGATGCGACATCTCCCGAACCCAAGAAAGTGTTACAGAAATTGTCACATTCATTACAGGGCTGGAACCGAAGGCCAAATGAAGGTTGTTTTGTTCCAGGAGGTCTCTAGCACAGCCTTGCAGCAAAGCCCCTTTGATAGGGTGGTACTATGCTGCGATACCTTTACTCCTTCGCCTAAAGAATTAGAGCTTTCTTCTGACACAACAATACGGCCTGTGAATGCTCATCTGGATTCCCTATCAATGAACCCTTTCTATCGACCGCGCCAAATTTCTATTGCCTCTTCTCTCCTTGGCACTATAGGTCGGGACTTGGGCGTAGTTGAGAAGATTGAGCAAGAGTTCAGAAGGAATCGTGATATAGATACTGACTCGAAACCAGGTAGGATGAAAGATATTGCAATCAACTGAACTGTATACAAAAAGTGTCTAAAGTCAAGGGAGCTGGAATGTGTCGGACGTTAGTGAACTTTCATGAGACATAGGGATCTACATTAGAGGGGGTCTGAGGGCAGCCTTGACTTGATTTAATACATAGTATCTCGAAAAGGCTTAACACTATATGTACGCTTTCAGTGGCGGAAGTAACCAGTGGGCGCTGTCCAATTAAAAGTTTCCCATGCAGAACACACATGCAAAAGTGCATGTTGTATAGCGCCCAGGGGTCAGTTTCAACCAAAAACCAATTAGCTGCCTGTATAGGTACCTAATGTATGCCTGTTTTAAAGCTGACAAAAAACCAGAATTCTCAAATTACTATGACGGAATTAATAACCCAGTCAAGATCCCAAGGTTTCACCTTGGGATGTCCCCTTTGCAAGCAGGCAGGCAAGATGACGCTTTTCATATGGTCAGAAAAGCGGCCTGGGGATGCCTTTTTAGTGGTTTTGTTGGTAGTCTTTTTAGCTGTGTTCTCAAAGGTCCCTTTAGATATCTATTGTAGAGATGTCGTTTTACTTCTCAAGATTTCTATGATAGGAATAGTTTAGATCAGGAATTTCGAGTTACAATAGAGCAATGAGTGGTGCCGAGGGCAGTCCCAAGCCAGGCATATTCAGACAGTTCGATTTTAATTGAAACCAACTCCTGAGCGCTATACACCTTCCCTTCCACGACCTGCACTCTATGTGCTTTCCCAGTTGGAACCATATCTACTGAGGAAATGGGCGCCCTCCGACCCGTAGCTTTGGACGTTCAGCCCCTTGAATAACCAGTGCCGTATAGCACCACGATTCTGCTCGCGTCCTGATGTTGACGCTCGAATTCAACAGTGGATAGTTGATTCTGAAACTCGGGGTGTTAAAAAAAAGCCGATGGATTAATCATATCTGTTCAAAATTCTTTCTAGCTGGAGTTCCTCTCGTTTGATGGTGGTCCACTGCAATACTAGACTTTCTAGCGTTACATCTGATGTCTCGTCATGGGATATGCACAAGGGTAGGCCTGGGAGCTCAGTATCAGGAGCCGATCGGGGACTGAAGCTTGCAAGCCGGATTGGACCAGATTCTCCGGACCAATCAAGGTCAATCTCATCTTTGTCTTGCGATAAATTAGACCGGACAGCAAAACCTGAGAGGCTCTCATTGGTATGAGTGTAAGAGCGACCTCGGACCACATCGTCATCAGAGGGGGATTTGGATCGCTTTCGTTTGAGTCCATGTTCTTTGTCTTTTTGTCTCTCATACAGGCCAGTGTCAGCAGCAGTAGCGAAGCCAGCACCCACGATTGGAACAATATGCCTGAGCCTGCTTGCGGACCTGCTTCGGGAGCGAGATCGAGTTTGACGGTCTTGATTGTTCATACAGCGCACAGCCGCAGCGCCAGCTAACATGGAACTAGCACTGGCACCACTCTTGAGCGGAGTGCTTACTGGCCAAGGAGAACAAGAGCGCATCCGGCCCCGGCTCAAAAGGTACTTATAGCTGTGAGGATGGGACTCGCCAGCCATTGCATCAAGAGCACTGAAATCAGCGGGTTTCCCGCTACGGCTCGAATCATGGTCGACTTCCCCATCAATCTTGCAGCCCCCAGGTTTGTCACTCTCTATTTTATGCTCAAATTTAAACCAATCAGAGGATTCTGCTCGAGTATCTCCACGTCTCGCAGCCTTATTTTTGCCAGAAGCGTGACAAAAATTGACTGGGCTAGTTACATATAGAGAAGGATCCCCAAATCTGAATAGAGGATCAGCAAAAATTTGGCTTGTCGCCTGACCATGAATGTGTTGAAAAAGAACAGCTTCGGCTGAATGCACATTCATGACACCATTTTGGATCCCGAGATAGCGACTATGCTCCAGGACATTTCGATATGTATTGATTTGACAGAGTAGGCCTCGAACCAGAGTGTAATATTCTCCCACTTCTTTCGAGAGAGTGGTTGGCTGTGGATCAATGCTCAAGGCATTCATTGACGGCTGAAACGAGCTATCATCTTTGGGCATAGAAACAGCTTGAATAGATTTGCTAAGATCACTGAATCTGGCATCATTTGTGATTTTCTCTTCTAAAAGCGTTTGGATGAGACCGCGTTGATCATTTAAAGTTGTTTTCATATTTGTCCTGCCAAAGTTAGAGCAAGAAACATGATAATAAATCTAAAAAATCTCACTTGCGAAGCTGTCCCGCATACATGATCACATGCAGCATCAACAGTGTCGTCGATTTCAGCCTCTCTAGGTTACCCTTAAGGACATCCAAGTTCGATCCAAGGAGTGCGATCGTGATTTTTCGGGCCTGTCGCATCAAGCGACTTTGCTCATTCTCTTGGCTATGCTTGTCGATTGCGCTTTCTATTTCTTCGAATACCGACTTGCATTCCTTTAAAACATCTTGTGCTGTCGAAAATGCCTGCTTGGAACAAAGCTTTGTCTGTTCATCGTTTCCGAGAGTCTTGCCGAGCTCTTTTAGAATGCTGCAGGTAAGTGACACATCGCTTGAAAGATCTTGCATGGACTTGTTTGCGACTTTGACTGTTTTGTAGAAAGCACAGAGCTTGACGGATAGTTTAGCGCCAATGTCTGCGATCTGGATGATGCTGGCGGCGATACCAACCACCTCGAAACCTGACATCACGATAAAATATACTTGAAGAGTGGAAGACAAATATTTGCTTGAATAGAAAGACAATTGGTGTGGGGGTAGGTGCTTCACCCGGGCTCAGCTCAGCTCCAGGCGGTGCATCCTTTTCAGGTGCATCTATTAGTCTGATGATCGACATAGTAATTTTTCGGTATAAGATAGAGCAACAGGAGGTTCCAGGTTCTTTCTAGCAACCATAGAAGACGGTATTATGAAACCCAGAGACAGGTCTGTACTAACAGACACGAAAGATAAATTAAGCCCGAGCTCAGATCGCCGTCTAGATGACCCCCAAGGGCGGCAAGTTATGCGCTGCTTTGTGGGCGTCTTTGGAAGGGGCTGATGATCTAAACTATGAGAGCATCGCCCGATGTATCTTGAGTCCCAAGAAACCCAAGGCACAAAGGCACTATAAGTATGACCCGACGAGTCTGGGGTCAAATCCGGTGGAGAATGCTCGAGTCAAGAAACTCCGGAGGTCCACTATAACTGCGTCGTGACTCACAGCTCTGCGGGGATAAGGCTTGCACCTACATATTCAGGGTGACAAAGGGTTGTAGATGCTATATTCGAGAGTTTTACGGAGTACTGCGTACAGCCTCTAAACTAGCCAGACAGCCTCGCGCTATAGCAACTGCGTCCACTCTCTTCACTCTGGTGTCAGCTGAGATCCTGTTCTTCTTCCCCAAATAGGAAACCAGGGCTAGGGCTATCCAGTGACCGTTTCCACCAATCAGCGACCAGCGAGTTATCCCGTGCAGCGACAACCCTGCGTATCATCTCCCCCAGTCCTTATCTCGTTCATTCTTATTCTTATCCTATCCTATCCTTATCCTTCTTTTCTATCTAGAACTACTGCGTTCATCAGATCGCATTGCGTATAATATGGCTATCCATCCGCGCATGCGCCCGGAGGGCTCACAAGGGCACTTATCACCTCAACAAGCCCTAGCAATCGCCGCATGGTCAGAGCAGCATGCAGCAATGGCTATGCAAGACTTGACCCTCTCAGATTCGTCCCCCGCAGCAAGGGCTCCATCCACACCGACCCCAACACGTTCAGGTCTGCGCGGAACCACCGTCTCGCTGTCGATCCCTCTTGATGACGAACCCACTCCTAAGGTCGAGTCGCGCCCCCCGACAGTCGCTTTTCGACGTCGAGCGCCACTGAGTCGCGATACTCTCAAGAGTAGGGAAGCTCTGCTGAAGGGCAAGGATGGGAGCCGTAGGAGACAGCGCTGGGAGAACGGTACGTTTGTCATTCACTAGATCAGTGGCGGTGAAGCCAACTCTATCCCTTTTGGCTTCGGCGCGGCTTGGGATGTAATTGCTGACCCAGCATTAAGATCGTCTGTTGCACAATCCCTGGGCGGAACCACCGTCGAAGCAGGACTGGGATGTCCAGCCGACCTATCCTCGGCATGACCCAATGCCGTATTACCTTGCGCCCCTATGGGACGTTCACTATTCTCATGTGGCAGATCAACAGTCGGCTCTGAAGGCAGCTGAGAGGGTTAATGAGAAGCACCATATTCCGAAGGAACTTCGGACGAAGCTTAAGCATGCGCGTGCTGCGCGGGGCATGCTTCAAGATCTGGAAGAGGAAGTCCGTTCCTTTATCCAGAAGTGGAATGAGAAGGAACTCCTGCTTGAAAAAGAGGGGCTAAAGGATGCACCAGAGCACTCAGGCAGTGATGATTCGGAAGATGAGATTGTCTTTGTTGGTCGTAATGGGCAGATGCATGATTCTCCCGAGCGGAAGGAGAGACTCCGCTTGCTCCGGGAGAATATCAGCTCGCACAGTGAGCGGGATGGGGAGAAGATGGTGCTCGAGACTTTGGTTAATGACCGCGCCGCTGGATTCGGGTATGTTCTGAGCTGGTTTCCTAATTGTTCAGCCCGCTAATATTCCTTAGTCGATGGCTGGTTCACTCCATCGCATCCTATTATGGACTACACACCTGGTCTGTCACAGTAGAAGACCGACGGGAAGCCTATGTGGGAGTCCGACCACCAGCCCCGGGAAGTCGTGCCGGTCTAGTTTCCCACCCGACCTGCCACTCAGAGACCTTGATCAAGCCTGGCGAGGAACTTCCTCGGCCTCTGTATGTGCAGATCTAACCTGCTGCCGTTCTGTCTTCATTCGTTCGCTTCTCTTTCAGATTGGACATATTTTCTTGTGGGTTCCATTCAGGGTAATGTTCACGGATATCCCGATCAACATCTCGGCATGAACCAGATTAGACGCAGTCTCTGGGCTATGGATGGTCATAGATAGATTTCATTGGACATATTCTCTCGGTTGCGGCCCACGCTGCCAAGGGATACTTTCTTGTACATCGTATGTTGATAAACTCCCTGATCTGTCGAATTGGCGGTCAGTTGGAGGATGCGTTCATTGTGCTTGCCTCTCACGATCGGATCGGAGTGAAGAATGTGAATGCGATCATAGAATCCCCCTTCCCTGGCTGTTGCGACGTTGACGATAGATCTAACCCCCACATGGTTCAGGCCACACCAGTCTGTGCACTGACTCTAGTCGATCCATGTCGTCATGTCAGGGCCCATACATAATGGCTCTGCATCAGACGAAAATCAGATAAGTGACGATCGGAGGAATGTCGCGAGCATGAAGTCTGAAGTTCCCGAACCCTCCGGGCAAGGATCATCCCAGTGACTGTTCAGGGACCGAGGATGAGGTCAGATGTCCTTCTCATAAAAGGCGTATTATAGCTATTGTATAGTCCTTTGTCATATAATCTCATGATCACTCCAGGAGTTCCTGTGTTCGCCCCCACCGCGAAAGAATGGATCGGATCGGACCGCGGGGGTCCCACGGTTTTCCCAAGTTTACCATGACGTCTATGCTGTTGATGCTCTACCTAGGTACGTGGTAAGGGATGCCTTTTACAATGCAACTAGAAGTTGTGTAGACGTACGGGGTACACGGAGGATTTTTAAGCGCTTGGGCCTTCAAGGGCCTGAACCCTGACATAATGGAAGAATCCCGTGCCAGTATCTGGAAGACAAGGTACGAGCAGGGAACATCGTGTCCAGGCCCTTTCGATGCAGGCCCTCCCGATCTGACTGGTTCTTCCTCGGAGAACCCAAAAGTCAAAGAGGGGGTCAAGCCACGAATGAACATGAGACACAGAGGCCATCGACTAGCTCGTCCTCAGTCTGGGGACACATCACACAGCACATAGCGCGCTAGAAGGGTGTTCTTCCCTCCCCCCATAGGTCGATTTACGCATAGCCCACGGTGCGAGGCTGGCTTGTTTCTGGTTTGGTCGTGGTGTAATTGGGCTATATCACAGCCTGAAATCTGAAATGGGACGCGACAGTGGCTGTGGCTCTCGTAAATAACTCTTGTGGATTTGGATCTACCTTTTTTTTTTATCTTGGAGGGGCTGTTTGGTGATAGTTAGGATGTAAAACAAAGGATGGGTACCCAAATATGACGAGTGGACATTCCCAATGATTCCAGGGTTTCTTCTGATGTTCTGGTTCTAAATACTTCGGATACTACACTGTGGCAGTCCGGTTTCCACATTCTCCTGGGTTACAGGTCTCTTTTTTTATTTTTCCTGCCTCCACTCTCACTTCCGAAACGAACTCTGCTCCTAATTTCCTTGAGTTTGTCTATGATTTCTTCTTAAACAGGCAATCCCCCACCCCTGCCTGTTCCCCGTCTTTTTGTCTTGGTGGCTCTCGGTCGTATGATTTTTGCCATCTACACTGTAGCAACACCGAGATCCTCCGACAGCAGTCCTCGTGGAGGTACATCGCTCGCATTTTCTCTGTCAGAGAGATTGCCATCGCTCTCAACCCCGCGTGGTGATTCGACCCACTCACCCCTCCTCGAACTGTTTGTGTAATTCGGAATCAACCGGACGATTCAAGTCATCCCCAAGCGCCGGGATAACTATTGTTCTGATATACCTTATTTTGTCACCACACCACCGGCTTGCTTACGGCCGATAAATTTTTTAAAAAAAATCTCACACCCCACATATACCCCGACCCAGTTCTTCCCTTCTTCGCCATTTCACCTTCACTGTAGATCAGTGGATCAACACATCTAAGCATCACACCCGAAAAGCTCATCATCATGAGCTCCTATAAATACTGCCAAGCCGGCAGCTGCAGTTCCACAGACAGCGCAACATCAAAAAGCACTGCAGCAACAATTCACAGCGAACGCCTCGCCCCTAAACCAAAAGACAGCGACTGGATCACAGAATCAAGTCAGAGGCATTCATATAGGACCGAGGTAGAGCCCGAGTACGAGTGCAGAGAGCCCCGACAGCCTCGACCCCGCTCCTCAACCTCAACCTATGCATCAACAACAAATTCCGCCGCAGACCTTGAAGCAGAGCAGCAAGCCGTGGCCGATGACCCCTACGATGGTCGCTACTGCGTTAACGAGCGGGAGGAATTCTTCCCAATGAACGCACTTCCCTCAACACCTTCTTCCTTCGCTCCTCTCTTCCCATCTTCACGCAGGCTGCTTATCCGCCACGACGACGCAACTATCGACGGCAATATGAATCTGCGCGTCGACACGCCCGTACATCTGCGCGACGGGTCCCAGCGCGATATCATCCTCTTCCATTTGCGCATGTATGATCTCCTCTCGCGGAAATTCTCGTTCCGTCGGTATTGCCGAGATTCCGGACGGGAGGTATGTCATTCTGCCCGCAAAGAACGTGTTCCCGCCCACGCGCGTAGGTCCTCAACGGGCAAGTCGTGGAGTAATGTGCTTGCTGGGTTAAGGCCCGGTTCTTCGAATGGGCATTGTGCGCATGCGGAGCTCCAGCGACAAAACTCCGGAACAGGGAGGATTGGACATTTGAGGACGGAGGGAGAGAATCAAAACCATGAAATTGACTCTGAAGAAGGGCAAAGTGCCTCCCCGATTCTGGGGGAGACAATTTTGCTGGAGTTTTCAAATTACGCGCATGTTGAGTTGCGTCGCAAGGGTCCGGGGACAACGAAGAAATACGAGTTCGAGTATTGGTCCACGAAGTATCAGTGGCGTCGTGAGATCCGCAAAGAGGGGGATCTGCAGGAAGTGTCTTATTTTTGGTTGACTCGCGCACGTCCAAGACCATTGCGCATTTGGTGCCAGATACGCTGGCGCCGTTGGAGGTTGTTGAGGAGGAAAGTAAGGGTGGTTGGGTGCCGCCTTGTTCGTTGTGGATTAGTGATCCTGACGTTTACAAGAACATGCATGATATTGCTGAGTAAGTTTTGAATCCCGGTGCTATCCCCGCGAACACCTGTCTAGTCTCGTTGGTTAGTTCTAGATCTGGACCGGCTCGCTTTGACTTTTTTACTTCCTACTTTTGTTTGTTACGCTCTGTTTTGATCCACGAGTTCGCATGAAGTGTGTGGTTCGTGTACAATGCACCACGCACGCACTGCATCCACTATGATACCCCTGCACAAGGCGATCATTAGACATGAGGCTGATTTGTTTTCTAGTGTGATTGTGGCAACGGGGCTAGTGGCGCTAGTTGACGACTGCATTCGTCGTCGCTGGCCTCATGAGCGGCGTCCGTCGTGGATCCTGCCTGCCCAGCATCAGCTGGCAAAGAGCCTGGAGCGCATGGGCCCTCGACGCCTGATCGGTCAGGTACTCCAGCGCAGAGGATCTGCTTAAGCTACCAGGGGTAAAAACCAGGGGACTGGCTCTCAGTTTCAAGGTTCCTGGCGCGAATGACAGTCTATGATGAGATGAATGCGTTGGTCCTGCATTAGTTTGGATATTTATGGTGCACATGGCTGAATGCACGTGGCCCTAATGATTTAATGATACGAATGACTCCGGATATGGTTATTTTTTTTTCTTGTTCTGGCTTAGTTTCTTCTCATTTGGGATGTTCTTGTGATGTTTTCTCTTCTGTTTCTCTTGTTGCTTTTTCTGACCTACCTTTTTTTGGATCATTTCCTTCTTTGTTGTTCATTGCCACGAATCATCTCGGCTGGACGGGAATCCCGGGACTTCTCGCAGCCCGGTTCTAGGCGATCCTTTAACGCGGATTCGACAGGGGACTCAGCAGGCTTGCAGATTGGGGCGTTTTCATTCTATATCACATTTGAAATGGGACAAGCTGTGGATAGCTTACAATTGCATATCGCACCGTTTCGTGTTTTGTGTGCTCATATCTTCTTGCATTGCTATGCTGGCAGTGCATATTAGGTCCTTGTATTGGAATATTGGAGTACATGTGAGGTTCTATTTTGAGCTGTAGCCCTCGATGCGAACCATGGTTCCAACCTAGCTAGTGCTTGAGTCAACTGCATGGACACCTTACAGGCTGCCTGAGGTTTCAGAACGGTCGATTAGACTAGTGATGTGAGTGAAGAATTGGCACTATTTAATGGGGCCATCAATCGATTGGCTCTGAATGAATCTTTTCCGTTTAGCGCGGGTCGCCCCGAAGAATCATCCCGGCCTTGCTGCCTTAAAAAATCAAGAATCAGCCAATGTGATGCCCAGCACTCATTATGCTATGATGGTCGACTACTGTAGGTACATTGTGTTCATGTAGTCTACTGCGCATCATACATGTAGCGATGTACTCCGTACTCCGTACTCCGTACCTCGATCCAGATTGGGTGCGGGGCAAAACCCCCTCTTCTACGTTTTAGACGCCATCCCATGTGCTGGCCTAGTGCCCGGTCGACCATCGGCTGTTTCTCTGCGGAGTACGTGTTGCTTGCATACTCGATGTAGCCGCATTGTTGAGAACCATGGTTGAGGATATTGTCGACTCTGCATGAATGCCCAACTCTCTCTGTCGAAGCGAAACCACCCCCTTCGCTCCGACTGGAACATTCAATTCCTTTGTAACGGACGATCTTCGAAATGATGGGCTGTCGATGCATTTCCTCATTCCCTTGTTCCATGGTTCTCTGCACCTCAGGCGGTTAAACCCAACGGAACTAGCCGACCTAAATGTCCAACCGGGTCTCTTGGCCGTATTTTTGTTTCTCTGCACACCCTGACGTTGACGTTTCCGGCGACAAGTGCCACATACCCGCCTCATTTCCTGACTCAAACTCACTTTCGTCTATGTTGATCCTGGGCCCGACAGCAGCTATTCATGCAGGGCGGCCCGGTCTGTGGCTCTGGAGATGCCCAGCAACACACATCCCCGAGTCAACAATGTGAAGGTCTTCATCACCAGAACATCATGATCTCATCCATCATGATGAGCTGGCAGCGCTCTTGTGTTCCAGCCCAACTTGGGGTTGAATCTACACTTCGGGCATCTTCCACATCCTTTACCTAAAGACCCGAAAAACATTTAGCCAAAAGCTATGACACTAACGCTGTGGCCACAGGCTCCGCTTTTTGGGCAGAGATCACCTACAGCTCTCTTCCCCTCATGCATTCTCTCTTGTTCCAGAAGGCCACCGTTCCGCCGATACGGTTCCAGTCCATGCGCAACTAATCTCTCTTGGGCGATTCTAAGGTCATACTGCTTCTTTCCTTTTTTTTTCTCCCTCCCTTCTGTCCAAAGTACGACTACCCTTGCAAGTGGATAAGAATGGGACAAAAAATAATATGAAAATGCAAATCGCATGCAAATTCCAGGCGAAAAAAAAGAAAGAAAAAAATCAACGTGGGGTTCTCTGAGTTGTTCGCTTTTCCATCCAATCCGCATCCCAACTCCGAAAAACGATGTCATTCTGCGAGAACTAGTCTCTTCCCTTGCCTCTTTGTGCCTGTCATATATGGGGCGGGAACTAACTTGGGAACTTCCGGTTTGCCCCTCTTCCTTCTATAACCCTTACGTGTTGTCTAGCGTTTCTTCAAGGGCTGTTTTTTGCTTAGTCGGCGTGCGCCGGGCCGTTCCAGGTTGCAGCCTCAAGATGATCCGCATGCTCTCTCCCACTACGGTCCTTGACTGGTGGATAAGGGAGGGGATTTGGCTGACGCTGATGTCCACATCGACATGCATGAGCCCCCCCTCCGTTAGGTTTGACAGTTAGGCCGCTGTTCGTTCCCAGGGGGGCGGATAAAATTGGAAAATAAAGTAATATTGCAATTAAAAAAATAAAAAAAAATAACACGGGAAACGAAAATTCCATATTTCCGAGAAGGGGATTTTCTCTGTTGAAGATATGGCCCACTGTTTATATGACTCCCCGCTCCCCATGTTGTCGTGGATATTGAAAAATATATTTATACGGACCTCTCGAGAGATTCCAAATAGGTCCAATTGAACTCATCGGATCTGAGCATTCTTTATATCTTCGGGTTCCTTGCAAGTTCTTGCCTTTTTTTTCCCCTCTTTCTTGATCTTCAACCCCCAATTGGGCTGCAAAAGACTATTGTGCACTGCTCCCCACCTTCTATCCCACTTCATACCACTTCAATTGCAAAGCTTAGCAGCAGCTTCCCCGCCATTCCCTTCTTCTACAGCGCAGCAATGTCATATTCTATTAGTGTACCCGGGAATGGTGTTGGCAACCGGCCCACCTGGCAAGATCAGCTTCTTGGTAAGCCATTGGAAAGCGTGGCCGAGGCTCAGCAGGCCTAAACTCCCCTCAGATGACAAGAGTATCTGGCTGACCATCGAAAGACCATTGCACACGCACCAAGCAGCCTCCTCCAGTCTTCAATATTGTCTCCGATCGGCGAGGTACTTACCCTGATTTCCGTCCTCTTCCTTCACCCCCTCCTCGATATCCATCATCCACAGTCTTTTCTTCCTACAGACCAGTTTGTTCTACATTTTGGTTTGATTCTGAGTGGGCAAGACATATACGGTCACCCGCACACTTTGTCCCTGCCTGCTGTGTGTCTCGTGTGTCTCGTGTGTCGGCAGTACAGGAAGGAGTGGAGTCTTGCAGAAAAAGAGAAATGAAAAATGCCCCCCTCTTTCAGTTGTACACCGACTTTTATTTCCTGACACTTTGACAGCGGATGGCTAATGATCCTTATCTCGGAATTGCAGGAGGTCGTACTGCCTGGTCCAGCACCGTTACCGTTCAAGGCCAAAGCATCGCCGCTCGCTACTGGTATGACGGCCAGTTTATCAACAATGCCAAGGAAGACGCCGCCGAGGTCGCCCTCAAGACACTAAATCAACAGCCTCGGGCTGCTACCGTCTATCCGGGCCAGCTGTTCCCGCAGGCGACGTCGAGCGGCTATGGTCGCGGAGGCGGGTATTGAGCGTATTCATTTCCCTCCCTCAAATATTTCTTACTAGTCTTGGGTGGCTTTCTCTTCCCTTCTTGTGTTTTTATCAAATTTCTTAGTTTGCTGTGACCTTGCTCTTCGTTTCCTGGTTGTGTGGTGCTTGTTTCTGGTTTGTGTCCAGTTGCTGTTGGAGGACAGTTGGGAATCCACTGTCTTGTCCACACAAAAGTCATACATTGGTGGCCTTGGCCTTGCTATCTCATCTGCGTCCTTGAACGCATGCAGGAAAAACAACTCCACATCCCCTTCACCGCATACCTCTCCCATCCTCTTTCCCGCGTCGACAACCCTTTGCTTCCCGAGGCCCGACGCTCCTGCATGCATTTGCCTTCGACAAACACAGTGTGTCCTGGACTTGGCAAGACCTATCCACCATGATCCTCTTGAATGTAAAATTCCTGTCATATACATATTGCGAAGATCACCAGCGGCTGGAAGACGGGACAAATGAAAAGGGGGAGGGAAGGACCATGCAGTATCCCTGGTCCGGATGGCCACTTCCAAATGCAGGTCACTACCTTGTTTCGCATTCGTGGAACCTCAGCTTCAGTCGTGACACACCACAACCTAATTCCCGACGGCTCAGGCGGGTACGGTGTCTGTACAGATATTGTCAAAATCGTTGTGTGATGCATCGCAAGTTGGGACATCTGTCTTGGCTCCTTTGAGACCCTCGCATACATCGCTTCTATGAACAGCAGATGTGTCCCTCTAGAAGCAGCTCACATATCCTTTTCACCGATAGACCCATGTTTCTGCCGGCCTGCGCTTGGGAATTCCACAGGTCGTCTTGGCTTTTGATTCGTTGCCGCTTGCTTTTGCGGTCTGCTTTGCAGCAAAGGGAACAATCGACAATTGAGACCGGATACATGCTGTGACTTAGACAAAGAGAGTTCTAGGCTCTTATGCATCGTGTCAAGTGACTGGTCTTGACCTTTGAGAACATATGACAAGTCATGCTTGAGCGGAAACAACCTCATCCTCGGATTGAATCCGAATCGCTGCTCCTGTTACAGCGGCTCGGGTAATAGCTTGACCTTGCGGCATCGTCTACATGTTTACATATTCGATGTGGGAGTGGGGCTCATGCGACTTGCCCCTCGAGTTATGAGTGTGCGAGTGTAAATGTCTGTACTACCACGGGTATGCAGCCACTCGCCCCAGTCTCAAGTGAAATGCAACATGCAGATTGGCAAAAAAAGCGATTTGGAACGAAAATCCACGAAGAGTCACAGAAATTATACGGGGCTAAAAGCTTTTCATTTTCCGGGAGTCTATTTTGCTTAGGACTTGGATTTGATTTACTTTCCCGGCTGGTTATTCGATATGTTTTGTTTTGTTTTGCTGTTTTTTCTTTGCTTCAGATCGGGTGTATATGCCTGTAAAGGGAGTTTTCTTTGGTCTGTTATCTGTGCTAGGTTTTGGTAATTTTGACATGGAACTGGACCGGGGTTATCTATTGTGTTGGCATCATGTATGGATGGTCCTGGACTTGGGACTGTAATTGTCGGGGGCTGGCATTTCAAATTGGTTTCTTTCTTTGTTTCTTATTATACTACAGAATCTCTATCGACAGGACCTTTTATCAGTTGTTTCTTCTTTCGGTCTTCTCTAACAATGTGGTATAAGACATGATACACAGCTGCTGACACCCAGAACAGAGCCAGACCAATCTAGAAGAGGGAGTTGTACATGCTACTCTTGTTTAAGGTACCGTTGATCATCGCGCGTTCTCGCCGCATTGGCCTCCTGTCCGAACTTACACATCCGCGGGTAGAACCCGGGCATCGTTGGCCATGTGTCTAGCCAAAATTAATTTCCGAGGCGTAGCGTCCAAGTTGGGCAGCATTTCACAGAGCTGGCATGGCTCCTGGTGAAAATAGATTAAATGTTAGATTCTGGATTCAACACAGATCATCAAATAACAGCCCTCACTTGGCGTTGGGAACTATATATTGTGCAAAAGTACATACGACGTCGGATATTGGTCGGTGAGTTTGGACTGAACCATGGAACGCTGAACTTTAATAACTAGCAACCCTAATTGTCTATTTCGACCAACTCATTCCTCTTGGACCTCGGGCTGAACCTGACTCGCGAAGCAAAACAACTAATAATAGGTCTTCTGAATCATGTAGTCCATTATTTTGTTCAGAATCTCGTTCCTAGAAAGATCCCAGGTTGCAAACCCTCGTCTGAAGAGTGATCGCCAAGACCCCGGCTTAATATGGCCCCGACCCAAATCAACTGCAGATCCCGCCCCCATATATTGTACAAATCCCGGCTGCTATGATGAAAATGATCATACTCAGCCCTGCTCGGGCGGGGGCTATGTGGTCCATTCTTTATACAAAACAGCGAGTGAGAACCAAGAAGCCCCCAAACTACTGATTTGAAAACCACCTGACAGAACCCAGGAGCTTATGTAGGATTGAGACTACATAAGTAACCGATTTGTTGCCTCCTTACAACGAGTGATCTTGATAGTATTGCCGTTTCTCTCAAGCCGATTATCTCAATCTTTGAATATCCAAGCGTTTCAAACACACAAAACTGCTACGTGCCCCACTTTCTAATCCAAGTCCCTTTCATCCGAAAATCTCCATAAACACCATGTGTTTGGGCTTGTCGAATAAAGAGAAAAACAATTCTCCTCCTCCACGGATGGTGTCCTTTGGCTTTGGTGGCTACAAACATGACCTCTATAGCCATTGCACATACAACACAGGCCGCGATGCAAACAAGAAAAACAAGCGTCGCAGGCCTGGGAATTCTGTAATGGCGGCGTGTGGAGGTGCCGGAGCGGCTAGCGGGTGTGGTGGCGGTGGGTGATAGATTCGGAGTGGAAGTATTGCTATTGAACGGAGGCGATAAGTATGAATCGCATAGATATAAACGGATCCGGAACGGGGGGTTTACCTTTGGGATGAATTTCGACAAGACATCAGAGATCCTAGATGACATGTACATTACAAATTCCACAACCTTGCATTTGCTTTGTATTTAGAATTCAGTTTAATTAATCGGTCTCCCGTACGGAGTTCTCCGAAGATTTTCTGAGAATGCATACTTTTCCATTAAAATTAAATTAAGTACTTCATATACCACATGTAGTCTATAGCTCAGATGCATGCAGGCTCGTCTTCGTACTCCGTGCGGAGTACATACATGGCATGCACATATTGCTGCTTGTAAACCGAGTGAAGCCGAGACTTGTCTCCACAAATCTCCCTTCTGGTTAATCTAATATGCGAAACTCTTTCCATCTCTTGCTCCATCTCCGCGGCGATTCCGCCATCCGTAGTAGAGTCTCAGTAGAATACAGCCGGCTGTCACGAATAGAAGCAATGCGGCATTTGTCCAATGGCCAGTGGGATATCCGGCCTTTGCCTCGTTGCTCTTGTAGATCCAGACGCCGACGATTTGGCCCGGTGCGCCGAATGATACGTTGAGAGCGATTGCGAGACCTGCGCCTGCTGTTGAGCGGATGTTGGAGGAGAGCCAGCCCAGTAGAGGGGGGATACAGGCGAAGGAGCCGCTGGCGGCAACTATAAGACATCCATAACGGCTCTGTGAGATTTGGTTAGTTTTGATAACATGCATCGACGTCGATTTTTGGAATGATTAGTTGACTTACTAAGTAGGCAGTAGGCGGGAGAACGGCGGATGCGAGGAAACCCATCGCTCCGATGAAAGAGAATATGGCGGAATGGAGACCGCGGCTGTGGATAGCTTGGTTAGTTATTGTTTATCCCTCCAGATACCAGATGTCTCACCTGTTGAAATGGTCTGCAGACCAGGCAGCGGCTACTGTTACTACATAGGCTACCGCGTATGGAGGCACAGTCATCAACTGGGCCTGCAGATTGGCGTATCCCAGACCAGCAGTGATGGCAGGCGTGAAAAGAGAAAGACTGGAGAATGGTGTCGAAATACCGAAATATACCTGTCATCCGATCAGAATGTCCAATCAAGCCAAGGAAATTTGCTCTCCCTTCCTTGTGCTTTGAGAAGAAAAAAGAAAGAAAAAAGAACAAAAACATACCGCGTAGTGAGCATACAATCTCCAATCCGTTAGTGTTTCCTTGGCATCTTTCCACGACATAGCGTTTGCAGAGCCCTTAGAGCCCTCCACGGCCAGTCTTTGCGCAGCGAGTTCTTTCTCCTCGGCAGTAAGCCACCTAGCAGTCTCTGGGTAATCCGGCAACAAGAACCAGACCAAGACAGCAGAGGCGCACGACGGAGCTCCCTCGATGATAAACAACCATCTCCAAGCGGAGAGACCGTTTGCGCCGTTCATGTGTCCTACAGCAAAGGCAATAGCACCACCAAATGCGCCAGCCAATGTTGCCGATGCAAGAATCAGGGCTACGCGAATCGATCGCTCCGAATTCCGGTACCAGAAGGTGAGGTAGTAGACGAAACCAGGGAACAGACCGGCTTCCATTACACCGAGAAGGAACCGAAGTCCTGTTACTTGGGCGTAGTTGTGGACACCTCCAAGGCCCATGGTTGTCGCGCCCCAGGAGATCATAAGGAAAGCGATCCAGCGCTGGTGTTGATATTAGTAAAATTGTAATATTCGGTCATGGGCGTGTTTGGTTCAGTATAGACGTACACTAGGGCGGAGCTTCTTCAAGAAGTAGTTTGATGGGACTTCGAATAGTGCATACGCAATCAGGAATACCATGAGTGCGATACTGGGGAATGTCAGCACTTTGGCTTTTCCTAATTAATGAATACGACTCACGTATATTGATATGAAGTCATATTGGTTTCCGTGAGAAGATCATTTTGCGTATCTGCATTCAAAATCTTGGCGTTTCCTAGAGAATTCAGCTTATGACTTATCCCATATGTGGGTTGGAAACATACCGATATTCGAGCGATCGAGGTAACAGAGCAAGTAAATGGCAGCGCACAAAGGAATGATGCGTAGATCTTGTTTCCAGATCAAGGCCTTTTCACGCGCATTCAAAGCCTCGTCGACGACATTAGGGCTTGCAAGCTGGACTATTGTCAGTGCGTTCTCCACAACATTAATTGACTTCATAGCAAAGGGAAGGAGAAACGTACCTCTGAGTCTTGTTCAACATCTTGCATGTACTTCTCGGTCGCCATATTGACCAGATACTGTCAAGCAAGCCCAATAAAGAGGTTTGCTACAAGGAAAGAAATTTTCAAAGGATTCAAGACTCCTTTTTTCGGGGCGAGTTCGCTTCCCCGGGGTATTGTCCCCCGCATGGAAGCGACTCGGGATAGTTCCGAGGCCGGCGTGGGGATATTATTGGGGCATTCACCTTCCGTATGGGTTAAATCCGAGTCTTGAATGTTTCTGTTTCAAAGAAATGCGCTATACCAATTACTTTGTATACATTTAATTGGCGTTTCGTTGGGTCCCTTGATTCCCCTGAATTGGGGTTTCCCCGGATCCCCACATCGAGATCTCAGGGTCCCTTGGGGTCCAAGCCAACCCCACGGCTTTTAATGGCTGTAATAAAGTCAACATCAAGCATCATATATCTTAATTTATATGGTAAATAGTCTGCCGAGGATGAGCTTGTCTCTTGGAGGGAAGCATAGTGTCTGCACGAATCTGTAAGAGGAACACTGGCTCCAGGGTAACCGAAGCAATCGGACAATCTACAGAGAAATTTGGAGATTGCTTATTCCAATCAGATAGCTTAACTGGAGCCCTCTAACATATCCAAACATCAAGACCCCAATTAGATTTACATTGACATTGACATTACTCCGTACAGACCGCGGAGATGAGCCCCAAAAGCCATCGATGCAAACACAACAAACAGCTTATCAGATAAACGTTCCTGATCGCATCGCAAACACTGCACAACCACCCCTCCTCATGCTATGCCACCGTGTTCTCGCCAGACGCCCTGCTAGAATTTTGTCTACGGCTCTGTCCGTATCAATTGCAACCATGTCGACCACCACCACCCCAGCCCACAAACCCATGCCCTCTGCATTAACTTTTGATCGACACGCCAAATGCTCGGTACGTCCTTGCGACACGGCCTTCAAGGCCCACCGTAACTTATATCTGACTTGCATCATAATATAAATAGACCACCAAGGCCCGTGCTAGTACCCTTCACCTGCCTCATGGCTCGGTCCCTTTGCCAATTTTCATGCCCGTCGCGACACAGGCATCTCTTAAGGGCTTGACGTACGACCAGTTGCGCGAAACAGGATGCATGCTCTGCTTGAATAATACATATCACCTGGGCCTGAAGCCTGGTCAGGCAGTACTAGATGCAGTGGGTGGAGCGCATAAGTTACAAGGCTGGGATCGCAATCTCTTGACCGATAGTGGGGGGTGAGATATACTACCCCCGCACATGTATAATCTTTGACTAACCGGGTATTGTGTCGCTAAAGTTTCCAAATGGTGTCACTTCTTCAGTTGGCCACTGTCACAGAGGAAGGAGTGCGATTCCTCAGCCCGCACGATGGTTCGCCAATGTGGGTGCATCCTCTCCAATTTAATGTGTCGCCGAACAGGTGAAAAAACTAACGTTTCCTAGGTTACTGACCCCCGAACATTCGATCTCCCTCCAAAACTCTATCGGATCTGATATTATCATGCAATTAGATGATGTGATTGCTACCACTTCGCCAGATCATGCTCGCATCAAGGAGGCTATGGAACGCTCTGTGCGATGGCTAGATCGCTGCATTGAAGAACACAAATATCCTGAGCGCCAAAATCTTTTTTGTATCATTCAAGGTGGTCTGGATCTAGAATTGCGAAAACAGTGCTGTGAGGAGATGGTAGCGCGTGATACCCCGGGAATCGCCATCGGAGGTTTATCCGGAGGTGAAGCGAAGGAAGAGTTCTGCAAAGTGTATGTGTCTATCATTTCTCGCAGAAGAGAAGCTGAATATACTGACCAAACTAAAGAGTGGATACGTGCACTGGAATCCTCCCGGAACACAAACCCCGATACGTCATGGGCGTGGTATGTCTCTTTGACTTCATTCCTCTGGCCTAGCTAATCACCTGGATTAGGGATATCCCGAAGATATCGTTGTCGCAGTGGCTCTCGGTGCAGATATGTTTGACTGTGTTTGGCCGACACGGACGGCGGTAAGGCTCAGTAGATCCTTGATCCCAGTTCTCGTGCTAACATCGACCAGCGATTCGGCGATGCCATCGTTTCTTCCGGTACTCTTAAGCTAAGCCACAAATCGTTTGTCGATGATTTCAGACCAGTTGAAGAAGGCTGCACATGTACTTGCTGCCGTCCAACTGACCAAGGTGGTCTTGGGCTCACACGAGCATACATGCACCATATCACAGCTAAAGAGACTGTTGGAGCTCACCTGTAAGTGTGAACTGGCCGCAACATCTTGGATCCCTGCTAACCCTTTTATAGACTGACCATTCATAATGTTCACTACATGTTGACCTTGATGGGGAGAATCCGACAGGCCATTCTCGATGATCAATATCCGGCTTTCATTCGCAAGTTCTTCTTTGATATCTACGGAGACGACAAATCGAAATTACCTAAGTGGGCAGTGGGTGCTCTGCGGGGAGTTGGAGTTGACTTGTTGGCAGATTCATGAGCACAGTATCACTGGTACTATGCAAGTGAGAAGCGCGTTGAAGAGAAAGTTGAAGAGATACTCATTTGATGCTATAGAAAAGCGCATGCATTGATTCCAGCGATTCTGAATGGACTGACCATAGATTGTATTGCATCAGCTATTTACGGGAAATGGTATTCTAGTCTCCGAGACCTAGGTGACTACTATGTAGCATCCTGTAATAACTCTCGCTCGATGTCTTTTCTTCGTTGATTCAAAGAACTCATTTCTAGTCAATTAGTCTTGCTTTTCGCAAAGCTACCAGTGAACAGGCCGATATGCTTTTCCCAGAGATATACTACTTGGAATTGAGACTATGGCTGCAGTGCCATGTAGCCGAAGCTTTTGGTCGAAATACTACCTGCGTTGGTTATTGTTATCATATCTTAGCTGAGTATTACGATCAATGTTGTTGTAGCTTTTGAGTAGTCCCTTCCAGCTCCCCCGGCCCAGTTCTACCCAACTTTCGCATACCCAGGCATTCAGATATGCTTAACTATGACGGGGATTTAAATAAATTGGCTTGGATGAGTTCTCTAAGTTTGTGGTCGACGCGGCCATCTTCAGAGAGATCGTAGCTTCTCCCCCAGGTGAATACATATCACCGGGTTCCCTCCCTCTCACGTCTCATCAGATTCGAGTTTATCCTCTGTTCTATCAAGCTGGATTCTATCAGGGACTTTTGTAGGGATTCATGCTACTTTGAATGCAGACTAGCAGTCTAGATCAGTTGATTGGAGTACCGATATTCCCACTATAAAACCAAGGGTATGCACGTGACCACGTGTCGCGTTGACGCGATCCACCGATTATCATCTTCCTCCCTCGAACGTGCATTTGACACTTTCAAGTGAAGTTGTATCCCTGATTTCTTTAGAACCTCCGACATTTAGTTTCTCGTTATCTGCTTTACATCATGACTCAAGATCAAGTAGCTGCCGCCCCCGTGGCATCCTCGCCACCACACGACCCCTCGCACGAAGAGCACCAATACCTCAATTTGATTCGCACAATCCTTTCCGAAGGTGAACACAGGCCTGACCGCACCGGCACTGGAACACGATCGATCTTCGCGCCACCTCAATTGCGCTTCTCTCTTTCAAAGCCCAACCCAGAAGGCGGCGAGCCAATTCCCGTCTTGCCCCTCCTCACCACGAAGCGAGTCTTCCTACGCGCCGTGCTCGCCGAACTACTCTGGTTTATCTCTGGTTGCACATCATCGCTACCTCTCTCCGAGGCTGGCATCAAGATCTGGGACGGAAATGGAAGTCGCGAATTCCTTGACAAATCCGGCCTCGGCCACCGCGAAGAAGGCGATCTCGGTCCCGTGTACGGATTCCAGTGGCGACACTTTGGCGCCGAGTATGTCGATGCCAAGACAGATTACACCGGCCAGGGTGTGGACCAGCTCAAGGACGTTGTGCACAAGCTGATCCACAATCCTTTTGATCGCCGTATTATCATGAGCGCGTGGAATCCCGCTGATCTGAAGAAGATGGCTTTGCCTCCATGCCATATGTTCGCCCAGTTTTATGTCTCATTCCCACCTAGCATGAAGCTTGATGAGAAGACTGGTCGCCCGTCGGAGAAGGGTACCTTGTCCTGCGTGCTCTACCAGCGCTCCTGTGATATGGGTCTTGGTGTGCCATTCAATATTGCGTCCTATGCTCTCCTCACTCATATTCTTGCGCACGCTGCGGATCTTCATCCTGGAACTCTTATTCACACTATGGGTGATGCTCATGTTTACCTTGACCATATCGATGCCCTCAATGAGCAGCTTGTTCGGGAGCCAACTGAGTTCCCTGAGTTACGCATCAAGCGGGATGATCGCGGCAGTGCGGTGATTGATGGCTGGAAGGAGGATGAGTTTGAGGTCATTGGATATAAGCCTCACAAGATCATCAAAATGAAGATGAGTGTCTGATTTATATAGATTTTTGATTTTCGGCTTGCAGCCACTATCTGAGTTACGACTTTTTTTGTATGATACCAATTGTTCTGCGGTATATGCTACAGGCTAGACTATTTTTTTTTGAGAAGAAAAAAGAATGGCAATGTATTGAAACGCCGAGTCTACATGTACAGCGACTCAAATCATGCTTTATTCAAGCAAAACATGCCTCCGGGTGTATCAGGCTGTATATAGTATGCTCCGAAATCAAGCAAAAAGAAATAACAGCAAAAAATGTAAAAGAAATGCCCTATGAATTCCCGAGAACAGCCCCAGCGCCGCGCAGCAACACAATTGTGTCGCCCTGCTTCACCTTCCCGGCACCAATAGCCTCCGAGAATTCAAGGAAAGCCCCAGACTCCACATGAAAGACCCGCAGCTTCGAATCTTCCCCATCAACCCGGTTATTCAGATTCTGAACGCGCAACTTCTTCGCCGCATCATCCAGCACCCGCCCAACCTTCCACCTCGAATCGAAAAAGAAATCCCCCGACGGCGGGTCGGCAGCCTGCGTCTCTGCCGTTCCAACAGTATGCAAATACAGCCTCTTATCCGCCGGAACCGACGCATCACCCTTAGCAGTGCGCTTAAGGCCATTAAGCGCAACAGCCCGCGCAGCGGGGCTATTCGGCTTAGGCTTCATCTTCGGCAGCGTCGGCAGCAGCGTCCCGCTAGTAGCAGCCTGGTGCTTATCGCGGCCCCAAGTGCGCACACGCGCAAACATAGATTTGATAGTATCATTCGGCGAAGCGGAATTACCCTGCCTCGCGCCCAGCGGGGTAATCTTGGCGCATTCGTGTTCCTCGCGCAAACGGTGTTTTAGACAATACTTCCTGTTGCACTGGGGGCATTGCACGGCTGGGTCTTTGAGCGTGTTGATTAGAGTTTTGCACTGGACGTGGGCGCATTGCTCGGAGTTGTAGATGGAGGGTTTTTCAGGTGCGCGACGGTTTTCTTGGTTGGTTGTGCCGTTGCGGCGACGGGCCCATTCGCCTTCGCGGGGACATTGGTGCGCGGTTTCGGTGCGGTGGTCGAGGCAGTATGTGCTGCGGCAGGATTCGCAGCGGAAGGGGAGGAAGTCGAGTTGGCCGCAGTATTCGTATTGACAGTGGCGGCCTAGTGATTCGAGGTCTGTGTCGGCCATCTGCGTGAAGGATTCGTTGGGTTCGTTTGAGGGGCTGCGGCCCTTGGACATGGTTATGGGAGGCATGGTTCTATGCTGTATTGTTTCGATTTAGGGGGTATCACAGGGGTTGGAAGAACGCAAGATTGACTAGAGGCTGAAGTGAACTACACCGCAGAACGCGCTGGCACAATCGCCATGTGACTAATGCGGAGAAGCTTCTGGGCTTATCTGAGGGCGGAGATATCGGAGTTAACTCTTTTGGGAAAATTGTTCACAATCCATAGATGTATCCATGGATTTGAGTACGAAAGGAGAAGTATGAGGTAAGAAATAGTCAAGGAATATTAAGAAAACAGAAGGATCTATCTATGGTGTAGGACTGCAGACCGAGGGAATTCAAGTTCACTACTATCGTGAGACATTGAGTACCTATCATGCATAAGAGAGGTCCGAGGTGGAAAGACTATTTCAACTTTGAGATAGAATACGAAAGAATCATTGGTTTAAATGGATCTAAAGGTATAATTAACCTCTAGAGCTAGGGATTTCAGGGTCAACTCTATCTCAAATGCATCAGATTTCACAATATGAGCTTAAAGCCGCCCACCAAACTGTTTTGACTCACAACTCACTGTATGCTAATCCGAATCTGCCAAAAGGACGTATTCTAGGTTCTCTGATAATGATCAGGTTGCAATGTTGGTGCAAATGATATTTCCATGCCAGGGGAACCTTCCATAGTGAGACTCCACTTCTCCTAGTCAATGAGATAATTGTAACAGACTTGACTACTGCTCTTTTTAATAGAGAACTCCAAGCAATCTTCCAACGAGCTTCATATCAGTGAAAGGTTTGATAGGAAATACAGTCTCTGAGGGTTTCTAACTCGAGTGTTGTATCTGAGCTTAGTGCCCTAATTGGGTCCGATGAACCCCATCTAACCCTATAGGGCTGAACAAAAACCAACCTTTTCATTTTACCTAGATCCTCAGCTACATTGTAGTCGCAAGAAGGGAATTACAACTTACGCTCCCGATACTTTGTACGTTGTGAATGAAGATATTCTTGCTCATGGCCAACCGAAACGGATCCACACGTACACAATTCCTCGCTAGTCTCGCCGTGCACCAATTTTATCGGTGAAACAGTACTCATTTTAGAGAGGTATATTTGGAAGAATACATTCTAAGATCTGACGGTCTCGTTGACTAACGCTGTTTTCCGTTGATTGACTTTGTCTGCGTCGTTGAACATGCTTATCAATACCACCTGATTGGCACTGAAGTCGTGTATTCTGGTATCCAGCAATATTACGAACAAAATAGATAAATTTTTATAGAGAGACGAATATAAAAGTTCTATTCAGTCGCTCACTATCTTCTATTCCAACACTCAAGTCCATCTTGACGTTATGCTTGGGTACACCGGTAGATCCATGACTAGCAACAGATGAATAATGCCGGAGCAACATCTTACTAACGGACGTCAATTTTGTGTGGTAAGCAGTATAACAAATCCAAATGTGTTGGTTATGACTCAGAGGCCAGTCCGGAATACAGCCTACGGAGTACACATCATCACCCCGACCCCCGCGGTGACGGTGTCCTAAAGTGGAACTGGCAAAGGATCCTCATTTGATCCACCTACCATTAGTGCCTAGCCATGACCATATGTACAACATACACAAATCTCACACTCGAGATGAACTGGCAATCCCCAAATATCCGGATTCCGGTCATGTGTGGGATTTGTACAGCATACAAGGCAGATACATTGACAATCTGAAACGAGTATACGGAGTCACCCGGGTAGGAATTGGGGACACTCGCTTGGATACTTATCAATCACAACCGGATGTGATAAATGGTGTCTAGAAAAAGGATCAGATAGGGAATGCATTTGATCTTGAAATTCCCCTAAATTCTCATCCCCGGGTCTTAAGCACGTCTATTGGAGAAAAAGGGGCGAAGCTTTTATTGAAACATAATACTCCGTATTAGGTACGGAGTAGTTAGCCCTACGTTTCTGCCTTGTAGATCAAGCGTTCGTGACGGCCCAGCGTAGTGTCCGTGCCTAATCTAGATAGTCATTCTCACTTGATTCAAAGTGAAACACCGATTGTTGTGTCTTAATTTTTTCATTCTGCTCATTGGATGCATTACTTTAGCGAAGGACAGATAGTAACGTGGAGGCAAATTCACTCGGCCTGATTGGGAAGACGAAGAACAACTCCGCACCAGGCGGTGAACAAGTAAATTACAACTCAACCGATAGATAAGGATGAACAAGTCACGGATCGGGGGAATGCGGGGGAAATGCTCTAAAGGTTCCCCTAGGGGAAATCGCAGCCGTCCCTAGATATCCTCGTATGCGCGTATACTCCCAAGTCAGACTTCTAGAATCGCGTCCCTGGATTTTAAGGTCAGATTGGTGCGGCGGTCGCACCAATCACCGGCCCGTCTGCAACACCGGCCGCCGGCCCGGTTGGCGCTGTGATTGGCTCGCTTGCCCGACGCGTTGTCGTTTTGAGCTGGCGATCTATAACTGTCGATGCTTGATTCTCGATAAGACGTTGGCATTACATTATTGAATGCACTCTAGGGTTATATCTACTGAGGGGGTTCCTTCTATCTTTCATTCATTTTCCCTCCCTTGGTTCATATCAAGTACACCCTAAAGTCTGGCAGCCCTAACTTGTCCCATCGATCAGCGTTGATCCACAGTAAGTTGTCTCACAATTCAATGGCCCCGCGTGCAATTTCTCTGATCTAACAGTAGCAGGTCTTCTATTCAACTTGCAACTGTGCCAACCTCATTCCTTCTATCTCCCGATACCCAAATCCAGACCTATTGCCAGGCGGTCACAAGCAGATGATGATAGCTTTACCCGCTTGAATCAGAACAATATACAGCATAAGACATGTCTCAGAGGGTCCAAGACCAGGCTCTGCCATTTGGTATTCACTATACCAAAAGCCGAATGGCAGAGCTTCTGGCAGCCGATGTAGTGATTGCTGCAGGTTCAGCAACACTGATTACGCCAGCCGTCATGATCTTTGACAGGTAAGGCAATCTTGCAAGTCCTTGTCCATCTCATAAACAGATACTAACCAAGCTATGTCCAGACTCGTCATCGAGAAATCTTTCTACAACCAGCCCCTCTTTCCAGCGTTTCGCAGACATCTTTGGTTCTCCATCACACAGCCCTCGACCTTTTTAACATCTCGACCAAGTCTCCTGGTCTGGTCCCTCTATACAGCGACATTCGCAACAGCCAATGCCTCAGAGACAATCCTGAGCAAGTGGTACCCCCAAATCGACCATGCCATTGCGGGCATGACCACCTTCGCTGCAACATTCATCGTCAACTCCTCCGTGGGAATCTGGAAGGATGTGAAGTTTGCCCAATTATTCGGCCACGGCAACACCTCCATGTCCTCTGCAACCACCCCAGCCACACCTACTCCTACACCTACTCCATCTCCATCTCCCGCATCCACTGCTAGTACCAGCGCCAATACCACAAACTCCAACCCAACCTCATCCTCCAAGACCGCCCGTTCAATCGGTCGTACCCGAATCCCAGTGGCAACCTACTCCGCGTTCCTGGTCCGGGACGCGCTCACAATCTTTGGCTCCTTCGGCCTTCCCGCAATGGTCTCAGCCTCCATCCCAGACTCCGTCACCTCCCAAGAATACCTCAAGATCCTGATCGCCCAGCTCGCCATCCCGGCCTCTATCCAACTGGTCAGCACACCCATCCACCTCCTCGGACTAGATCTCTACAACCGTCCCCAGGTGATGCCGACAAAAGACCGAATCAGCCGGGTTAGTCGGGACTGGATTGGCGCATCACTGCTACGCATGTGTCGCATTATCCCCGCTTTCGGAATCGGCGGGTTCGTGAACACTGAAGGCCGGCTTTACTTGCATGACCAGCTGGATGGCCGGCGCAAGGGTTCTTGAGAGTTTGCATTCCATAACTAAATTAAATATAGACTACACATAGAAGACATACATTATACCCATTTACCACTTTTCCGTTGTGTGCTTATCGTGCCCTATCGTTCCCCCCACTCCCGACACCACCGGCCCGGTTCTAGGCGCTTGGCCTCGGGATCGGCAGCCGGCAGCCACAGGCATGGAATTAGGAAGGGTTTTTCTCTGTCTTTTTTTCTCCCTTTTTGCCCCTCTTGGGGGTTTTCTCGCTCGCTTGACAATGACGCGACCCGGGCTGGGCGAATCTATCGCCGGGCTGGATCTCTCGTTACATATTACCTGTTTTGGAGGCGAAACAAGAGACCGACTAGCATCTCACTGGTGTTATAACATAGTTCGGCATCTCCGAGGGATAGATTATTCCCTGCAAGACTTTGAAATTCATGAAACTCATAGCATTATCCGATCGTATACCAGTGGACATCCCGAACCTAGAGCATCTGAGCAGGTCATACACCCAAATAGGCATATATTCAGAGTCCTATGCATCCCGATTTCCCGAACCTATTTCTTCCTGTTGAACTCACGGTTTTCGTGAGTATATCGCTGGATGCATGATTGTTGTAGCAAGGACGACTGCTCTTCCCCGCTCGAAAGCCACGCAGCAGCCATAGATTTCAAGTTGTACCGGTGACAATTCATGTAACAAGTGAAGATTTGGGGCTTGAAAACGCCCCAATGCGTCACGACTAATTGGGTAGAGCAGTAATCCTTGACAGCATGATCCTCATCCTGATCTTTCCGAAGGCACTTGTTCTGACTTTGTGATCGGTAGAGACACGCTCTGCTCTACCCTATAGAGCGTAACTATACATCCTAACGCTATGTCGAAGATATCATATAGAGAATCCGGACTTCCCCAGCGATTCACGGGTTTAAAGCTACAAGTATGTTCTAACTCCTTTTTGCTCCTTGGCCACACTCAACAGAGATGTATACATATAGGTACCCGATCCCCCTCCTCGCATATCCGATCTAGGAGACATGAGTACTCCCTACCTACCTACATGTAGGTAGTACGCCACTCATGACCCGATATGCCTAGGGAGAAAACACCACGCCCATCGAGAATTTACGGGATATCTTTCCGAATACGCAGAAGACTCATCAGATCCCTAGTCATGTCCAGCACACGAAGCGGTGCATCCCGATCCAATCAATAATCTCGTGTTAGGCGATGACGGGAGAAATTACTTAGAAACGTGAGACCAGTTATCAGAGTCTCAAAGCTGCCATTTACCTTATTGGGAAAGAGCTCGGTCTCGGCACATTCTCGGAAAACCGGTTCGTAGCCAAGTAGGTGGGGGACGAGACGAGATTAGCCTGAAATGTATATCCACCCGGGGCACAGCTCCTGGACCCTGGAAAATCGGCACTGAGACGGGCAAGCTACATACTATAAATAGTGTCCACCCCTTGTTCCAAGGGTGAAGTATAATGTAGATATTCAGCAGTAGAAGTATGGTCAGAGTTTATATCCAATAAATTGGAGTTGGGATCTAGAGGTCTTAGCATATCGGTATTGGATGAACAGATAGCTATAAAAATAAGTTAAGACTTCGAACAGTCTAGATTCAATGATCGCCAACATCAAAAACATGGCAAAAGAACGCCTACAGATATCCCAAAACTTGGATATGCCGGCTTGGTCACTATCTCCAGGTTGGAAACACAAAGCCTCAAAATTACCTCGGCGGGCTTGTTAGGCATGGATTTATGCCTCAAACATAGGCTGCAGCAAATGATCAAGCAGATACATGGCGGTTTCATTGTCAACGTGTCATCCGGAGGTGCTCGGAGACCTCAACCCATCGTGGAAATGAAGGCGTAGTTTTGCCATGCACCAATGGCATGGACAGATGGAATGACTACCATTGCAGCAAAGAAAATGTGTATGACAGAATGAGAACCATGGGTATTGTGATTTTGTAGCCTGGAGTTCCGCCACAACTAGGATGTTTATAGATTCCACAACCAGTCTGCTGGGAACCGACCAGAGATAGTATTATACTTATATCTCAGTCTGCAAGCGCAGAGGAACTCGTGGAGGTACTGTCGTAAGTTGGGTAGCTGGGGCTTCCGATGAAGCATCTATTGTCACGGGCACCGTGATGCCAATTGATGGTATATAAGCTATAGAAGAGAGAATATCTAATATGGATCTTTATCTCTATTTGATGAAGACAAATTTCGGTGTCTTCGAGGTTCGCTTTGGGAATAGGTCAGCATGCTCGAAGGCATACTTGCTTATTGCGGTCAAAGTACTCTCTTTCGATCCTTTGGAGCAATGTCTCAATGTAGGCTGAATCAACGAGAGACTGATCATAGCAATTGCGACCAGTGTATCTTCAGTTTGGGAGTCAAATCTTGAGTAACAGACATGGTGGGGACATGCGCTGTTCATCTTTGCGTATGGCGGATTGGCGGGATCATTTTTGTGATCGCTTCGCTCACAGAAGGCGCCATCGCGATACCAGAAGACAGTTCAGTGGTTTCTCTGACATGGAAAAGTTGAACGGAAATAGCGATATAGTGACGCTCATCGAATATCCATATCCATATCCATAGCTTCAGTGCCCGATGTATGACCCTTAGACGCCGAGCTCGTAGCCAAAGAGTCTGCGTGGTTGAAGTCATGCAAGGCAAGGCTCGGGTCAACAAAGGACGGGTAATGCCCGCCGGTAGTATTGAAAGATGAGGATCTCCACATATGCTGGTGCGCGATGTTGACCAGTTTTCCGAGGACAGCAATCTCGAGTTTCAGCTTGATACTGTACAACGTAGCCTTGAGGGTCGTTTGGTAGATATAGAAGTCCCTAAACTCGATAATCATCAACGCGATATCCATCAGGATACAAGAGACGTTGACGGCGAGCAACTGCAGAATCGTCTTGCGGCTCATATGGTCCTGATTCAAGCGCAGCATGCGGTTCGTTTCCCACATATACAAGCAGGAGATGATAACCTCCTGCACGCAGAATCCGGTCAACTGCAATTTTTCCATGACATCATAGCCTGAAATTGAGGCTTGCGTGTGGGAGAAATTGGCGACGTACGTGAGGACCGTTGTGGGTACGTGCAGGAAGAAAATGTTCATGATGATCATGGCTCGTACCATGCGCAGCACACGCTGGTTTTGGATCACCAGATGGAGACGCGAATATAGCACGAAGGACTGGCCGGTCACCATCGTCCACCAGCCAATTGTTATTAGCGTCACAGTTACCCAGGTTGGCGAGCTTTGCTCGAAGAACTTGAGCAGGTAGCCGACCGAGTAAGGCAGAACTCCCACACTGGCGATCAACATGCTCCAGAAATAAACGCCTTCATAGCGTTTGAAGGTCATGAAGATGAGCACAATTAGCTCTATCACATTGTACCACGCGACACCGATGAAGGTCGCGATCGTGATTCGAACGGCATCGCTGTCGCCCGTGTAGCTGCCGGTAATCCAGTTTCCTGGACTGGAGTCACTGACTGAGAACATGGCCTCATCGGGAGGACCTGCTATGTGGTGAAAAGAGAACACACGGACCGTGACGGTGTGTTATTTTTTTTCTTCCTTCTGGCGCGGGGTTGCTCTAATAACTGTAAGAGGCTGGTTCCGCCCTGTCCTGCCCCCCTTGGGGGGGGCCAAGTGGACCAGATGTAATAGTTGAATTGGTTTTACGCCTTTTGCACAAATGAGATCATCACATTGTACTTTGTTATGACCCACTTGCCGCGTTGTGTCGATGTTAGGGGTGACATATATGAGGGCTTCAGGGGTCAAACTTATATCGGGTACTCCCTATATCGCGGTCTTATCCAGTCTTTTGCGCTTAGTCAAGGTCGCGATCGACTCTTATATTTGATATTGAAGATTATGGGCTGTCAGATGGAACAGGCCCCTTGACTAGAGTTGGAATGTGCGGCCCCCATTAATATCTTGATTCTTACGTACTATTGGTTTTATTCTCGTATCCTGCATGCAGCTAGAGAATATGACATCAGACCATAGGATACTCTGAAAGATACTATGTATCAAGCTAAATTACAAGGTTCTGCAAGACCTACAATGGTGGAGTGTCACCGAAAATACTGTCCATCATCCTAAAATAGTATGAGTAACATATCAACCTGCCATAAGTGGAAGAACTTACATCGTGGGATACCGGGTGCCAGAGACTTCAGTCCGTGCGATCAATGCCCGAATCTCTTTCAGCTCCACATCGGGTAATTGCAGCGAGACAGAGCGGGTATTCTCATCAAGGTATTTGATCGACTTAGTTCCAGGAATAGGAATGATATCTGAACCTTGAGCAAGAAGCCATGCAATGGCGACTTGGGCAGCAGTGCTGCCATGATTATTGGCAATATCTTCGACTCCCCGAACCAATTCCTGAATCTTCGGGAAATTCTCATCTGCGTACTTGGGCAACGCACGGCGGAAATCAGTCTCGGGAATGTCGGAGAAGGATTTGATCTGTCCCGTTAGAATGCCTCGGCCGACGGGGCTGTATGCAATGATAGCGATGCCAAGTTCTCGGCAGGTAGCCAGAATATCAGTGGACGTTTCAACTTCCATAGCGAAGGCACTGTATTCCACCTGGTAGGCCGCGATGGGGTGGATGGCATGGGCACGGCGCAGGGTTGAAGCAGAGCATTCAGATAGTCCGAGATACTTGATCTTGCCTTGGCTAATCATGTATCAGCGACAAAGTCTCTTGATTACTCAAACGGGTATGACTTACTTCTTCAGCTCGACCATAGCTTCGATAGTCTTCTCAATAGGGGTCACACCATCGACGCGGTGACAGTAGTAAAGATCAATGGTCTCAACGGCGAGTTTCTTCAAACTCTTCTCACACGCAGCCTTGACATACTCGGGATCAGACCGGAGTGTTTGAACATGTCTAGCCGCGTCATATTGAATTCCAAATTTGCTAGCCAAGAAGATATCATTGCGGTTTCCGGATCTCTTGACCCATTCACCCACTGCATCTTCACTGTCAAAGTACAGGTCGGCAGTGTCCCAAAATCGGGCACCGATCGAATGGGCATGTTCGAGGAAGGCTACCTTATCTTCAAGGGAACCAGCATGTCCATAAATGCTGCCAAGGCTCATAAGTCCGAGGCCAACTGCGGGGACTTGCGGACCATTGCGGCCAAGGGATCGAGTTGGAAGAGACATCGTTATATAATGGTTTCGAGAGAATCCAAGAAGATATAAAAGTGTGATTGTGATTGAGATGAAGACAAAAATAAATGGGTTCCCACAGGATGTTATATATTTCTACGCGGATAGTCTCCTGGGTCTTAACTCCGACTGATCTGATAATATGGCAGTCCCAAGTCTCTCCAAGAACACGGCGCTATTCACATCAACTGCTCATCTTGGAAGTGGATATAACGGGTCCTCACAGGCTGTGATCAACCAATCAAAGCCCGTCAAATGCGAGCCCACCAATCAGCGCTCTTCGCAGTTAAACATTAACTCCGATGATCGTGTCCTGCACGTCTCCATCGTCATTCATAGATGTGCCTGGAAAGCAAAAGGCCTGGACTGTACTCTCCATGTCGATTTATCCAGGAGCTACGGATATTAGCGTTCCAAATATCCCTCAGCTATGCACGTAAGCAACAATATGCACATAGCACACGCCGCATCAGCTCGGAGAAAGAAAGTCAAAACAGGCTGCAAAACCTGCAAGTAGGTACGATAATCCATTGACATCAAGAGCCCACTAACTGAGCCAAGAATACGGCGGGTCAAATGTGACGAAGGCCGACCAGCTTGCCGAAAGTGTGTATCAACCAGTCGGGTCTGCGACGGCTATGGCATCTGGGGAGGAGGTGGAAGTCCCTATGATCAGCCGCAGTGCAACCGGGCTCTGTCCGTATATTGCACTCCAGTCCCTGTCGGTAACCTCAGCCAAGAGGAACAGGTCTGCTTCGACTGGTTAATCAAGCGGACTACGAAGAAGTTCTCTGGGTTGTTCCCCTCCGACTTCTGGCAGACTTTGGTTTTCCAAGCCAGTGCACAAGAACCTGCCGTGCGCCATGCTCTGATTGCAGTATCATCTGCACATAGATTCGATTACCAACATGGGCCAGATTCGCTCGCGGAGAACAAGCTTAAAGACGAGCGTTTCACTCTCCAACAATACAACAAAGCAATTCGACATCTACGTAGAAACACAACTGATAATAACCATTCTGTTCGAGTAGCGCTGATTACATGCCTGCTTTTTATTATCCTGGAATACATGCGCGGGCAGTACGAAGCAGGAAGTGAACATCTCCAATATGGCATCAAATTGCTCTGCAGCATATCCAAATCAAATCCTCCATCTCCCATGACCCCAACAATTCTGTGTCCTGGGAAAGACTTCGCCTACAACGCTCTGGTCGATGCATATGCACGATTAGGCACCCAATCAGCCATGTTCGGCCACTCGTCTTCACACATCTATCTCATAACCCAGGATCCGCAAGCTACCACGCTTCCAAATGTATTCTCCTCGCTCGAAGAAGCCAGACGCAGCTTAGACGACCTCCTGAACAGAGTACAATGTCTGACAAAACATTACTACGACTACCATACACCCAATCCACCAACCAGCAATCAAAAAACGATCCAAAATGAAATCCTTGCCGACCTATCCCTCTGGCGAAAGACATATACCCTATCAATTACACTCGAAGCCGACAAGACATTCGAGAAAGAAAGGTTCAGCTGTTCCCTGCTGCAAATGTACCACGAGATGGCCACAATAAAGGCCTCAGTCTGTCTACACCCAACAGGGGAAAACGAATCTGAAATGATTTTCGACGCCTACACCGAGAACTTCCTTGCAATAATGACCGATTTCCTGAACGGTTGGAAAAACTGGGCAGCGACAAGTCTCCGCGAAGAAGACATCCCGAAACTTATCTCGCAATCTGACGAGCTGAAAACCATCTTCCGAAACTTCAACACAATGTCCGACATGAATGAGATATTGGAAAATTCTCTCCTAGACATCCTCAAACAGCCATCTGCCTGCAGCTATCTTCTCCAGATGCCGGAGTGTGGCGGGAACGGTTTCACCGTTGAGGCCGGATATATTCCACCCATCTACTACACGGCGCTCAAGTGCCGTGTTCCGCGGATCCGGAGGCAGGCTGTGAAGGCGCTGAGGGCCGTGCCGCATCGGGAGGGGGCGTGGAACGGTCCAATTTTGGCAGATGTTTTGGAAGAGGTCATTGCTGTTGAAGAGGGGGAGTTCTATACTGGTGATGTCGGTGTTAATTCGTCCGTTGGATACGTTCTACCTAAGCCCGAGGAGTTGGTTGTGCCAAAAGTGCCGGCTGAGGCGAGAGTCTCGAATGTTAGGGTACTTCTACCGGATCATGTTGCCGGACATACTTATATCAGTTATCGGAAGAGGGTGCGAGGTGAATGGGTGGCTTTAAAGCGGAAGGTCGGTGGATAACCGCTGCGGTAGATCATGTCTACTTAGGTGCAATCAGGTACTGTGTGTATGCAGACATATGATTGCTTTTAGTCAACTTCAATATTGAAGGGATACCCAGGTCTTCGCTTTCCAGCGAAGTCAACTGGGTCCCTTCCTGACTTTTGATCGTAATCTTCTCTCATTGTATATTATTGTACAATTTTGTATCACAGCCTAAACGGCCATGGGTCGTGATTTCGTAACATGATTCCCGGGATCCAGAACGCCCCCAGAGATGTTTGCTCTGCTATTCCAAATTCATCATGGCCGATGCCTTAAGCCATACCTAGCCCCCATCACCTACTTACCTGCTGCCTTCTGACTCCGTAAAAAGGCAGCAACTTGCTCATGTCTTGTGACAAAGAACATTCGTTTCCGGTCCGATTTCCAGACAAGGACACCGATTTCCGCGGCATACTGGCAAGGAGCTTGGTATTCGGCCAAGCTGGTGAAATCCTTGAACAAAAAGCCTGCCGTGGCTCGGAGACGGTCTCGCTCCAGCTGCCACAGTCTGATTTGATCTGTCACGGTAGGTGGCAGTACAGATGCCGGGACACCCTTATTGCTGGGTTGGGCGGCACTGTGTTTCCGCAGCTGTGGATGCGCGTGTGATAATAGGTACGAGATGATTTGATCAGCCGTGATTCCCATCTCGATGGCACGGCGGACAGACTGTCTCGTAATTTTTCCGGTGACCAGATTCGGGAAGCGATATTTGAGATTTGTGAAGAGGGAGATGAGGGAAATTTGTAGCGGCGATGAAGTATATGCATAGAGCCGGTAGTTGGTTTCGATGATGATGAATCCGGAACCAGCACCACCAGACTGTCCGGCTGGCCCAGTAAGAGAGCCTGTGACAGGGTTACTCAAAGCGCTCGAGTCGGATGTGAGAGTTGTTGCGAGACGGGTGGGGTAGAAGCGCGTCGCGTCGGCATGTTCTTGGTAAACAATACCAAAGTCGGCCAGGTCCGTGAGAGTGCGAAGTTGGTTTGGCGTCATATGGCTTTTTTCATAAGACGACCCGAGCTCCAGACTGCTCAGAAGGAATAGGAATGAGAGAACCTCGACGCTGTCCATGCCGATGGCTTCGGCGCTCTCGACATAGAGAATCAAGATATGCCAGACCTGGGTGTTCACATCCTGCAGTACGAAGCCGAATCCGTCCTTGGTGATGTCGACGCGGTTGCCTCGGATCTCAACCAAATGTCCTGCTTGGAGAAGTTGTTTGACTCCCTTGCTCAAATTGACCGTATCGCGCTGGCCACTCAAAGCACTTGTTCCCACCATGTACCCCATAACACCTTCCCACTGTCGTCTGGCATATTCGTCTAAGTCGGCGATCGAGGTCATGCTATGTTCAGCAGCTTGTGAGAATACACCGAAGGACTGAGAGTCCTCGGCGCCCATCAGAGCTTGTCGGAGCGAAGCAGCGAATGGGTTGGTGACCATGTAGGCGCGAACATTGTCGCCTGTAAGCGTTGTAGATAATATATGTAGTCGACCCAATATTGAAAGCGCATTGTCTCGTTGTCTTGTGTGAACCCGGTCAGTTGTGTCTAGGGCAAGACCCGTCAGATAAAGCCACTCACTTCTTGCTGTCTGAGTTGACCCAGACTTCCAGATCAGCCGTTGGAAGAGGGTCTTTCAGGTAAAGCAATGCCATCACAAAGCATTTTGCTGTATTCACAGTTAGTGGAACGTTTCTATCCAGGTGAGTGAGCTCGATGTACCCAGATCGGGCAGCATGCGCCGGAAGATCGCAAGGGCCGTGGATGGCTGCTGGTATAGCTTATAAAAAGTCGTCCCGGGAAGACCTTCTAGGTATTCCAGGGGCCGGGATGTCGAGCTTGCCATATTGAGCTGTGAGAAGCCGAGTTCTCAAGCAACTGGAGAGAAAGATAAATTGCTCAAGTGGTTGGATGAATGACGATGGTACGGTGACCGGTGCGGCCAGAAAACGCAGTTCCGGGATATCGCCGAGCCCAGCAACGGTGTTGGACTTGTTAGCCCCCCATAGCATTGCGATTTCGATATTTTTGTCATTTGTAAAGATGGCTTCTCTCAAGTTTGTTCGCTCGGTAAGTACTAGAATCTACAGCATCCTAGATGTACTGCTTACTGACCTATAGCCACTATCTATAGGTATGGGAGTCCTTCCGAGCTACCTCGGGTCTGGAGCCTCGGTATGGAATGAATCCCAACTTGTGTCTACTGTTGAGATACAAGAGAAAAGCTGACAGTTACTGTTGTGAATGAAGGCTCTTGAACAATGCAAGTTTGGGTCAGTATCCAATCGAATGAACTTACCACTGACTTCTACTACAGCTCCGTATCACAGCCGCCAGGCCTGGCGTGGTCAACTTTGAGTTGGACATTGAGAAGCAACACACCGTATGTCTCTTTGTGCCGCAAAATCTCCAACAAGACATTCCTGGGAATCTATGCCAGGAGACCATCTTCCATACGGAAGATCGTGTCTAACATCTATCATGTAGAACCGCCTGAACATCCTCCACGGAGGCACCATTGCCAGCATGGGTAAGAGATCCTTCATTGTGAGGCAAATTCCATTATACTTTGCTAAACGATACAACAGTGGATCTCGGAGGCTCATTGGCTGTGGCATCCCGTGGCTTGTTCTCAACAGGTGTATCTACTGACTTGAATGGTTAGTCTATTGGATACTCACCAAACCTAGCTTCTCGGTTGCTAATGATCCCATGCTCCAGTCACATACCTGAACTCTGGTGGCAGAGTCGGTGATCGAATTCTAGCTGTATGTCTTTCTCCCTTCCTCGGGATTTCCAAACGTATACTAACTTTCCACATCAGGAGGTGACATGTGACAAGTGTATGCTTCAATCCATCACTTCTATCTCGATACCTGGGCAATAAAAGCTAACCATTGCCGCACAGTTGGCAAGACTCTTGCATTCACAAATATCGAATTCAAAAATCCCAACGGACACGTCGTTGCCCGCGGGAGCCACACCAAGTATATAACCCCGCCCATCACCGATATCTAGCAGCTAATGTTGTTTAGATACGTAACTCTGGCCTGGAAGGACCCCAACAACATCGTTGAGGAAATGAACAGGCTCAAGGACCTATAAATGCGGAATTGGAGCATTACAGTGGTTGCTTCGACACAATGAGAGCCAGCTGGGTAAGTTCCGCAGAAGCTTCAAACTAGTGACAGGAAGGCCCAGACATGATGAAGAATTATTAGAGGATTTCTGTCGTTTTTCAGGCTATTGATCCCTCCGGAGAACCCTATTGTCTGGTGAATGACCCATTGTTGCTGGAAATCCTTCTGTGGAGAGCCTTCCGAAAGCCATGTAGAAAAGCCATTTCACAAATATGACACGAGAGATTAGCTTAACCAGCTAGATAAAGACGTTATCTAGATAATGCATCAATCAATTGTTAGGCTATGCATTCGATGTACGGAATCATCTACATACACATATCTTAAACTTTTTCTCTGTCTTGCCCTGTTCCTTGTCTATAGAGCTTTCAAATCTCATGCAATAGGAAAATATGGATCTGGAAAAAGAAAATTTAGAACGACTACCACCTTTCATTCCATCTATGCCACTGTATAATGAGAAGGAAAAAGAATAAATCGCAAAAAGAATGGCGCCAACTGGGGCTAACACAGAACTGGAGCACAAATTACAATGCGTCGTATATCATGAACTACACCTATTGAAAGAATCACAAAGTATGGATCTATAAAATGCGAAAATGCTCGCTGGTATTTAATTTGGGAATACAATTAGAGATATACATGAATGCTTACAATCCAATGCAGTGGCCTACGAATCAAAGTCACTAACTGCTTTGATTCCCTGCGCCAGCCTCTGCTCCATCTGTCTGACCAATGACTGCGGGACCTCTTCCTGAGTGGCACGAATAGTGACGCGATACATCTGAGCGGAAGAATTAGCATAACAGAACCAGTATATGAACCAATGGGGACTTGAACACATACCTTCTTCTCGTAGTTGGGCTCCAGCCGCAGCAGACAGCCCGTCTTACCTCCCTCGAATTGGTACACGGCGCAACCGACAATGTTCTGTGAGTTCGGATCGACGCCTTCCAAAATCTTGAATGCGAAGCCCTCGACAATCCTCCGGGTAAAGCCGTCGTTGACGATCTTGTTCTTGCCCAGTAGGCCAAAGGTCTTCTGGGATTCCAGCGGTCCACCGCCGATCTGGCGCCAGCGCTTGAAGAATTCCTCGGCTGATAGCGAGGAGGATTCCATGTAGCGGTGCATCAACACAGGCAATTGAAGTGTATAGGCCTGGAGAGCACCGGCCAAGTATGAGATACGGATGGTAGGAGCGTCTGTGAATGGACCGTGGGCGGTACAGAACAGAGTCTGCTGTGTCTGACCGGCAGCTGGGATTGTTGGCTCGGGCAGGTTCTTGGTGTCGATCTTCAACTGGGGAGAGGCTGGGTTGTCGACGGTGGTGGTGAGAGACCCGATGGGGTATGTGGACTTGTTCGAGATGTAGATCTTCACGACACCCATAGGACCACGATATTCCGAGCGCAGTCCGACTTGGATTTGTGCGTCCTCGAAGAGCACACCCTCGCGGGTGAAGAATAGTCGGTTGTAGCCAATGTCCCAGTCGGGGGTCAGATGAGCGGCACTGGCCATGTTGGGAGCCGGTGCTGAAGGACCGCTGAGATCCAGCCCTGCCAAGTCGCCCGATGCGCTGACTGCATTAGCCGGACTAGCTGGGGTACCATTGGATCCGGTCCGTGTGTTCTGGACGATGGTCGTGAAGGTACGCTTGAGACCGGTGTTTTGTGCCAGAAGCATCTCCTGTTTGTCGGCATTCGCGTCCTTGCCACCAATAACCCAGGTCTTCTTTTCACTGGCACCGGCTGTTTTCTGGTGCAGTCGAGAAAGTAGAATGGAGGCTCGCTCCGAGAATGGTGGCATCTCATCACAGACCGTTCGCAGCAGATCGTCGGTCGGGAGAGTCGCCAGCGACAGGTACTCAAATGCTCGCTGCTGCAGTTCGGAATCGGGAGAATGGCTGTACAATCGGAATATTTGCAAGAGCTGAGGTTTGATTTCGGGGAACAGGTTCACGAACTTGACAAATGACGAGAGGATCATCGCTCGCGCATTGTCAGAGCTGGAGAACATCTTGCCCTGCAGGGCCAGGAATTGCTCAATAGGACTTGAGCCTGGGTTTTCGGCGATGAGGTGGCCGAATTCGCCCAGTACATAACAGCCGATTTTTACCAAGCTTTCATGACAATCATTCTTCATATAACCCAGAAGGGTATGTGCTGCATAGGCTTGTAACTCTTCGTTGTTTGTGACAATTTGAATGACACGTTGCCATACTTCGTCGTTAACATGTTCGCCTGCTAGCGAAAGCAACTTCAATGTCATATCAATGTACCACTGTGCATCAGCGGCATATTTCTCGGTCAGAATGGCGACTTTGAGCACCATTTCCTCTCGAATGGCATAGTCGGCCGTTTGGAGGTACCGCAGAAGCTCGTTAACAATGGGGCCGGCATTGCTGGTATCGCACATGCTGTATAACAGGTCCAATCCTTTGCGACGAACACTGATATCACGGTCCCGAAGCGAACCCAGAATGATGTTCTGGTGCTTTTTAATCGGATCAAGGGTTTCAGCTCGAGCGGCGAAATGGGTCAAGGCATCCAGACCAAGGTATCGAACGTTAGTTTCACGGGACTGGATGTATTTGCCTAGACGGGTGGAGATTTGCATCATGAGGTTGTGCTCAGAGTCGAGGTGAATAAGGAGGTTGATAGCTTCGAAGAGAATGGCGTTTTGAGCATTATTTTGCTGCACATTCTTGGGTGTTTCCATTGCTGCTTGCATCATCTGAGATAAAGACTCTCGAATGATCTCGCGAACGTGGCTATCCTCTGTAAATGTTGTGAGGAACTGAATCACAAATACCGACAACACTGGACATACCTGATGGGGGATAGTATTGCAACAAGCGCAGGAACTTGACTTGAATCCACGGACATGGCACGCGGTAGTAGAGGTAGTCCGGAGCAACATCGTTATCAACGACAATGCGCTTCAAGCGCTGCGCGGCCTTAACATAACAACCTTTGTATTCTTCAGGCAAGTCCTGAGCTAGCGCCATGACCAAAGAGGTGACAGAGAGAGTAACTCCCATGTCAGGATCATCCATGATCGATATAATTCGTTCAGCCCATTCATTTCGCACGATGCCGGGGTATTTGCGGTACAACCGAAGCAGCGTTAAGGCAGCCTTCTTCTTGACGAAAGCTTTAGACGTGCTATAATCTGTCAGAAACATATATATAAAGAAAAAGAAGCTCCCAAAACTCACGGTGAGATAAGCAACCTGTGAACCTCCGATCCCAGCGCTTCTCCAAGCTCTCTGCCACCAACATTAGCCACAGCATGCAAAGCCAAGCAGTTATTCAATTCTTGATGATCAAGCAGATCCTTCCGAATACTGTTAACAACCAAGTGAAGCAGCTCATGCTCTTCATGCAAGAACAACGTGACCGCCAAGTACCCAATCTGCTTCTCGGAGTACTTCGACGAAGAGATCAAGTTCACAGCCTCGAGATGGCCGAAATCCACATCATAGCCTTGAATATAGACGTAGAGCAATTTGCAAACATATTTCTTCTTCTGGTATCCGTTCAAACTACCAGACTTGAACTTCTGGCGAATATTGGCCAGCTCCTTGTTCACGCGCTTCTCCTCGAGTTCTCGGGCGCGAGCGTTCCGCAGATCCGCAATGAACTGCACAAGCCCTCGCATCGACGACATGGCGTGTGTTGGTTATCGCGAGGCCACGCGATAGTATCGGTTATGGTGTGGCGGGGTTCTCGATTCGAGGTGCGCCCTCGCATGCCACGCGGGATATCACCTCAGGGGGGTTCGCGATCGGACGCACAACGTCACACAATCATGTCCCGGTTATGCTATGGGGGCATTGGCCATGCAGTGTTTGGTGAGAAGCTTCAGGTGGATTCGTGAAAAGACCCTTGGAAAACAGGGGGTTAGGTGTAGAAGGGAATGAGGTAAATCCTGGGGAGCTTGTCAGCAGTTGGTGGGTGGGTGGGCCGGAGATATCCGATTGAACCGCGGGGATGCAACATACAATATAGCGCCCAGTTCAAAGATCCTAGGAGAAACAAGCCGAGCAACATGCGAAGTCGAGATGAGTCCATGCCCCGTAACTTGTCCGCTCCGTATTTCCTTTGGGTCACTTCCGCCGTCGATCAGCACGGGTTCCGCTGTGGCGGTGTGTGGCGGCGGAGAAATACTGATCCGATGTGGCTGGTTTCGGCAGAAGTATAGATGCGGCTTGATTTCCTAGCAAGGACAGAACTATATTCGGGTAGATCAATTCTGGTTGGGAAAGAGAAATACTGGACAAAAATCAATGCTTATTTTTAATTGCTTAACACCGCTATCTTCGGTCTGCATGCTCCCGTACCAAACAAGCTTTATGAGGCTCGAAATATTGTATGTACCAGGTCTATTTTAAGAAGTTTAAAAGCCACCCAGATCTATCTGAGAGCTTTCAATAGATTTTAAATAGATCTAGAATCTTATTTACGCATGTGACTCCGCCTCCTCTACTGTTCATTTTTATGCTCAGAGCAATTTGAATAAAATTAATTTCTCATTTCATCATAAAGTAGTATTAAACCACCGAAGCAAGCCCCAACCATAACCCTGGGGGAAATATGCCCAAGACCCTAACGCCACCGTCCCTCAAAAGCGGGGATTGGAAAAATGCAATTCAATAATAGAAAGCAAGCCATCAAAGTCAGAGACATCTAAGCACTGCCAGTGAAGTCAACCTCAAGGGCAGAATCGATAGCAGCGGCCTTCTCGCAGGTGCAGGAAGCTAAAATCAGAAAGTTAGCCAGATATCCTTATAGATCGCAAATGCTTAGTCGAAGAGAAACTCACCCTCAGGACGGCTGCCACAGGGACAGGTTGAACCAGAGACGGCCTGGTTCTCAGTAACAGCGCGCTCGCAGGTGCACTGGCCAGCGGGGCGGGAGCCTATTTCGAACACGTTAGTATACCATTCCTCTCAAACAGAGCAAAACGGAATCACTTACGGCATGAGCAGCGAGGACCCGAAGTGGTGTTCTCAGTGGAAGCCTTGTTGCAGCTGCAGTTGAGAGCACTCTGCTGGCCGCAGGAGCACTTGGCCTGGGCGGCGCAGACGCAGGAGCCATCCTGGGTGGTCTTGCAGCAAGTAGTAGTGGGGTGGACCATGTTGGCGGTTGATATGACGTAGATCTCGAGATGGAGAAGTTGGAAGTTGGAGAATGAGACGTTTGCGAGTTGCAAGGTTTTGAAGATTGGAGATGAGCTGGGATTGTCTTTTTGGAATCAAGATGAGATCTGATGAGAAAAGAAAATAATCTCTTGCTTCTATGAGTTGCTTTATACTCTTCTGCATGCGTCAGAAGGCGAGTGCTGATTATCAATTACTGAGCTCTGATTGGTTGTGGTGCGTTGTGTCACGTGATACATGTGTTCCTTTTGGGGGGCGCTGGTTGGCTCCTGGCGGCGAGGTGCAAATACATGCCACTTGAGTGGCCAGACAAGGTGGTCTGACTGTGGATGTGTTGAGACAAAGAGAATTGATTATTATTGTCTCGATCATGATTCGATGAGCATGATTTGGATGACCTATGTCGGGTGTACAATGGTGTCGGGAGCAGGGTTTACTAGGGCGAGCACGTGAGGGAACTATGATTTAGTTGCATCGGAAGCTCTGACCTTAATGAGTCGAAGTCCGATACCAGTAGCCGAGCCGACGACTGTAATGCGATGGTGCCATGAAAAGGGGGAGATGGAGGAATTCGAGCGTAATCTGGTTCATTTGGTCTATGTGGATTTTTGGACTTGATGATCTCTATGATCTATCCATAGGACAGCAGCATCTCTAGCTAGACTATGTTTTATCCTTTCACACCAATGTATCAAGGTCGAGAAACAAATTAATATTAGACAGATGTCTTCCAGGCAATGATCGCTAGATCCCAGACCAGACCAAAAGACAATTCGCAGCAAGGTGAATAACAGGGGTGGTATGAAATCAGAAATGAAATGAAGGGGGTGTAGAGTAGATGCAGGTAAGAAAAATTTTTAGAAAAAGATAGTGTAAAAGAGCACACAGAATAGAACAGTTGAACCCAAATGAAAGACCCAAACCAGTAACCAGAAACCAGGGATAGGAATAAAAAAACGCTATGAGGATGATTAATGATTAACAATCGCTGATATAGGTCGCGGACCCTTGGTTAACCCAGCTAACCAGTTAACCAAAAGGCGGGAGATATGAGATGAGATGGAGGGAGGTGAAGGTGAAGATGAGGAATTGAACAGAAAGCACGAGGGGCATCGTATAGCAATGAGGCTGATAGTCGTCTTTTTTTTTTCAGGCCCATTGCAGTGCTCTCCCTCACTGCTGGATATAGGTAGGGTAGTTGTAAGATGGCTCCGATGTTGGGAGGCTCATATTTGAGGGGTTGGCTTGTGTGTAGGGAATTGGTGCACCCATTGGGCCGGCGGTAGCGTCGTATGAATAGGCTCGATAATCCGGTGCTGCTGAGACTGGCAAGCTCTGCATGGGGTTCATGGCACGACTTTGATTTGGTAATTGAGATCCCATTCCAAGGCTATAGTTTTGTTGTTGTGGGCCTGTTTGAAATCACTAGTTAGAGGATGTGTTTGGTCGAGAAAAGAGTGTGTGAAAACCAACCTAGATTGTTCATGTCGTAGGTGATATGTGCGGCTTGGGTGTCTGTTGGTGACACGGAGCCTTCAAATGACTGACGTTGATCATATGGTCCCATGCTACCTGGATGCTGCGGAATAGCGTATTCCATGGGTCGTCTCATGTACGGAAGACCTGGCTGGTTCGGCTGGCCTGTGAAGCGATTGTGTATCGGATACCCCGCATACGCTGAAGGATGCGCCGATGCATCAGACAGGCTGCTGGACCGGGTGACTGGATAATCGTTGCGGATAGTTCTATGTAAATCGGACATAGAGGCGGATGCAGCAGGACGGAACATCATACTCGATTGGGGCAGGCTGTCATTTCGTCCTGTGGAAGACATGTAGGTTCCTGCCGTTGATGCAGAGCTGAGAGGAGAGACGAGATATTCGTCTTCACTTGATCGGGGATAGCAGTCGGTACGAAGTGTTCTCAAGGAGCTGTAATCTGGATTTGGGGCTGCGTAGCCTTGTGGAGATGCCACTGGCGTGATTCCTGATGCTTTGCCCTCAAAGGGTGTGCGAAGGACTTTTGTGGTATCGAAATCGTCAGGAAGGGCTCGAGATTTGAGCATTCTTTCCCGATCATTGGTAGTGAGACGCTTGAGCTTTGCCCGTCTGATGATTCATCCATGTCAGTCGCAGAACAGAAGATTCGAGCCATGAACACCCTTACCTGTTTTGGAACCAAACTTGAACTTGACGCGGGGTAAGTCCAGGGATTTCCCTTGACAGACGTTCGCGATGAGCAGCATCTGGGTGTGCCTGGCGAGTGAACTCGCTCATCAAAAAGCGAGTTTGGTTATGTGTTAAACTATACTCCCGTCAGCAACGATGCTCAACAACCCCCCACTTGACTTTGACAATCTCATACCGGAAGCGCTTCATCTTCTTCTTCTCCATCGAAGGCGATCTATTGTTGTCATCGCTTCCCATCATATCCTTATCGTCATCAGGACTGCTTGCGGAATCTCTGTCGTGATCGTCTCTGGGGTCATGCGGGGCTGAAAAGGATGAAACACCCGTCTCCTCATGATGACCACCGTGCCCGACCAGGGGCTGAATAGTTGAAAAGACGCGCTGGTTCAAACTCGGGATCTCCAACTTCACACGTGGGAGCATGTCTTGCTTCGCCGCCTCCAATCTGTGGTTGACTGTCTCCGGACCTGAAACATCTCTCCCCAAGTACGGTGCTGAGCCCATGCTGAGGGGCTGTGGCACCGGGTTATTCAAGGCGTTCTCAGCCTTAAAGCCAGCCGAGTGCATCTCCACAGGACGAGCAGGAACGTGCACAGGAACAGGAACGCCAGGCTCCTCTTTCTTCTGTGCAGATAGTCGTGGTGAAACAGTCCTGGGCCCTAACGAAAGTCTATCGCTGTTGCGGGCTGCGGAAAGATGAGATGAAACTGCAGATAGGGGCGAAGGAACTGGCGATGATAACGAAGGCAACCAAAGACAAGGGCCGCCGACTGACATGGTAAGGGTATAGTTTGGAGGTAGATGGTTGTGTGCAATGCCCTACCCCGTAATAGTTCTCAAAACCACCCAAGTCACGAGAAATTTTGGGTGAAAAGAAAAGAAGAAAATATAACCAAAAACGAAGGAACACACGACGAGACTCGACACTTAACGCGTCGAATTCAACAGAGCAAAAGGAGAACCCTCAAGCCAAAAAAGGAACTAAGCACGGTAGACTCCCCCGAGATGAGACGTTGGTGGGTCTGATCGAAGTGCCGGGGCGCTTGCGTAAAAGAATCAGGGTTTCTTCTGCAATTAAAGTAAAGGGTGAAGCTGCGTGTTCCAGACTTCCGAATTGTTCAGGGATATTTCAGAGAAATAGAAGGGAGAACTAGGCGCCGACTGGAATTGTGTCAGGTGAAGGGCCGGTGTGTGCTAGAAGAGGAGAAGGCGAGAGAAACGAAAACAAGGCCCAAACGAGGATAAGACGTCAAGCGGGACAACTGTCTCCAGTCCTTTTTTCTTTTTTTTTTCCTTTTTACTCCCTTTTTATTTCTTTTTTCTTTTTCCTGGATCTAAGATCGTTTCCGCTTGATGCTGATGATCCTTACGCAGGTGGGCAGTAGTTAGAAAGTATCAACCGACGAGAAGCATCCACCAAAGTGAAAGTGTGGTACCTGGGACACAATGCCGCTAGCCTAGGATCGACCGGAGATGTCCTAGACGTACGAGGGGGCAAATACTGCAAAAGGTCTCAATAGCCAAGCGAGGGAACAGGGCGGGAGTGGAAATAGGTCGCGGATATTAAACGGACGCCCGCGATGGCCCCAGGGTCCACAAGTATAGTCACAGGTTTGCCCACCCGAGAAATTCCATACGATACTCCATATGTTGTACGATGTATGGTGGATGGCTCTACGCTTCATTTTCGCAAGGGATGCCACTCTACAAGATACATAGGGGAACGATCAGTTCGGGGAAGATCGACTTCAACGGTCATAACGGTCAACGTGGATGAGAATGCTCAACTCAAAAAAAAAAAGGTTACCCCTCAAAATAAGGCAATAGCCCAGCCAACATACCGGGATACAGTGGGCAGTTCAAGCAATCACACATACTCCTCTCAGAGAAGGGGGTGGGCCTGAGAGGCGCACGACTGTACATGCGCAGTCCAAAGAAAAGACCACCGATCAGAGAGACTCAGTGCACGAGTCCACCGATCAACATCCGATCTATTTACTGACTGACGATCACCTACCGAACTGTCCATAGCGGCTGCCGTTGACCTCGTTGGTCAAACACCAGGTTACAGATGGTATAGGAGTGGTATAGATACCACCCTAGTATCAGTATCAGAAACTAAAAGGATCGTCTCGGAGAATAAACCATAGCCTCCGATCCAATGCCCATATCCGGTCTAAGGCGGGTTTTCTTTTTTTTTTCTCCCATGGAACATGACCCTGTGCACAATCCTTTAGGAAACAATAATCTAGAAGATTCGGATGGAATACGGGGTAGAGTCGACACTGAAACCGCTAGAGTTCTGCCGTGCTCAGAAGCGGTCCATCAAGTCCACCTAATGCCCACGACCGAGTCTTCGCCATGAAAGACGTATGGATCAGTGGCGAATGGTATGGTCTCTGCTTGTGCCGGAAGGACTTAGTGGGAACTTCCACGTCAACTCAGCTCAGAAGAGCTTGGACTGTCAAGGGGAGGGAGCGAAAGTATGGGTCCTGCGGGACTCGGGTCCGGAAGAGAAAGAACGGGAGAAGAACACGGAGGAAACTTCGAGAGGGTGAGAGAGCCCTACTTGTATGCCTTTCTCTTAAGGAGGGGTGGTTTCAGCTCTATATTGCCTTGAAGAATGTGGGATTTCCGTGGATCTCAGCCCAGATCTGTATGGGCCGCGAGATGAGAGGCAAAAAAAGCCATATGGTGATTTTTACCTGGACGCCCAGCCAACCGTTGCAAACGAAGAGTACCAGACCCTTGCTCACCGGAACGCGCATACCAGACCATGTGGGAAGGGCCAGTCGGCTGTGTGAGTGGCGTGCTGGGATCCATAAGCGGCACTCTAAGCCGCCGGACCCTCGGGGCTATCGATCAAGGACTAGACGAGCAGCCACTCAGCGGGCTGCCCGCCACACTCCATCGTGAATGGATGCTTCGGAAAGAAGCGAAGTGGTGTGTCGCGACCAGGTGGAGCGATCACCCACTGAAATCCGCTGGAAAAGCAAGAAAATGTAATGGAAAATAAAAAAATAGAAAATAGAAAAAGGAAAAAGGAAAAAGACCTCGCAATCTATTTTTTTTTTAATAAAGAAAATGCCGAATCGAATCCAATATCGAGGGCTCCATTGGCAAGGCCAGCTCTGAAACTTCGAATGGAGATAGCAGGGCTCCAGTTAACCGAAGCGATGGCCTTTGTAGAGCCTCGTCCTCCGACAGAAAATCGATAGTTCCATTGACCTGGAACGGGCGTTGCCTTCTTCAGGAAAGGCCACCAGGCGGGCCATGCGCTCGCAGCCAGACACACGAGCTCGGTAACGTTTCGGAAACCCAAAGGGGATAAGCGAAGAGAAGATGCCCATGGCTCGGTAGATGTCTGTAGCAAGCCTCCACCAGGACAGCTCCCCTGGAAATCTCCACAATCGATATGAAACAACTCGGGTCACAAGTGAAATGAGGCACCAACGCTACAAACAAGATCCGATGTGGGCCAATCGAAGGAGTCCAAGACTCTTGACGAAAACCATCGAGAACAGCCGTGTGGGAACAAGGAGGCGCAGGTTCCCGGATTGCGCAGTTCTACTCCGTACTCCGTACCCAGATCTCTCCTTTTTTTTCAATAGTACTATGAGATCCATCTATAGGATTTGGGAAGTGGACCTCATAGCCGGTATTGAATCGGGACTCATGGTTCCCCAAGGATGGAGTTTGAACGTGGGGCTTTTCGGAGGAGAAAACTCGGAGCCGTTGGTTTTCGATCCCGAATCACAACTCGCAGAGAGAGCCACCTCGCGGCCGAAAGCTGCGACGATCGCTACGTAGTTGGCCACGTTTTCTTTTGGTTTTTTTTTTTCTTTTCAGAGCCAAGACCCTGAAGAGACCATATTGTATGATGTATGGAGTCCTGGCCAAAAAGGAAAAATCACCGTAAAATTGCCACACGGCTGATCATTGCAACGTTGTATGTTGTATGTAAAGATCAGAGGTCCAATGTTGCAATCCTTTCTACGAAGTCATCGCTCACCAATATGTACTCCGTACCAATACACTAAATCTCATTCTGGAACGTGCTGTGCGGGGAAGAGATTCACGATCGCAGTCCTTAGCTTATTCTGCCCTACATGTACTCTACCAGGTACACTCCTATAGGTGCATGCAACATGGCTATATCTGTCAATAGCTAAATAGTTACGGACCCTAGAATATCTTCGTGATATATTACCTTCCAAAATACTCCGCACTCCCCAAAATACTCCCAATGATTATTACCTATCCCCGTTTACGATATACCCATACATCAGGAATATTAAGTGGGTGACGCAAGCCGATCTCTTGGCCCTCGAAATGGAGTGTCTCCCTTTAGTGCGAGAATTTTAGAACTAGAACCTCCCGGCAAAAAAAAACGCCATGCTGCAGGAGCAATCTACACGGAGCATAATTATAAGCCGGAGAGAACAGGTGTTCTCTTGGTGATTGACAGGTCCATTAAGGTGAACAAGAGCCGTCCGGAGTACGGAGTAGAGAGTACATACTCCGTCCAACATACCCAGATCTACACTCCGTAGTGTCCAACATACATCTACATTGCATCCAATGACTGCATCTTGATCCCGAGAACCGAAATACCAACTCCGAGGCGGGGCACAGAGATCCGGAATACCCTGGAATCGAAAAGCTCGCTTGGGATCTGACGTAAAGGGAACGGAATTTGACTACTCCGGACAATATAGTTCAGCTAGCACAGCAGACGATAAGTCCCACAGATGGCCAGTGCATTGCGAACAGATCGGACAAACCACATGGCTACCGTTATACCTCCTTCCATGTCTTGTATAGCGGGAGTCCACCAGTGGAGCCCCAGGCCGCTTGATAGGAGTTGCAGCTCCATGTGGTCTTTTTCGTCCTTTTTTTGCTTTTTGTTCCTTCTCTTTAGTGCGAGTGGATGTTTCCAGATTGAATAGTGTGCCTGATGCACCGAACCCCAGACGATCAGTGCGCGATTTATTTTTTTTCGTGACTGGCTTCGCTTGCCCTTCTCGAACCCTATTCTGGATATGGCACTATATCCTCACGAACTACTGAAAACGAATCAAAAGGATTCCCATCACTTACGCAAAAGGGGGGGCCGGAAGGGCCAAAAGGGCCAACACGGTTCCCACTTCTGCAACTACTGGTTCGAGAGAGAGGGGGTGGTTGGAGGGTTTTTTTTTTCCCTCTGGCCGTGATTCTCGTGTACACTCCCCTTTTTTTTAATTGAGTCGGACGCCAAAGCCACTTAATCTTACCCCTGGCTTCTAGAACTCGTGGTGATACACATAAAAAGGGAGATAGCGATAGGTGAAACATGGCTGTGACGGTTAGTCTCCAACCACGCCACTGGAGATAATTTAGCGAGATTTCTGGAGAACATCATGCAATGTTACTATGCAGGAACCCTTCCCAAGTCATTTGTATTAGAGTTGCCGATCAGCTAAAGAATCTTGGTCTCCACGTCGGTAGCTAATTCTCTACGAGGTTCCGCCTATTAGTCCGTGGCCCCAGGAAACAATTCATCGCTTCTACTAGTGGCCCGCTTCCCGTTAGCCGTAGAACTTTCGGATCGAAAGGAGAGTCTCAGGAGTCGTGCCGCCATGGGCCAATCGCTGAGGGGTTTTTTCTCTTTGTTTTTTCCTTTTTTTTTTCTGGTGCTTTCGGTTTGACCGGCATCTTTTTCCGAATTCTCGATCACCCCCTGGTTTGTTTAGGGAGGCGCTCCTGGGAGTCTTGGAAGAGGAGAACGAAAACAGAAAAATAAAAAAATAAAAAAAAGGGTCGTGAAATGACCCCGAATTGGGCCAAACAAAGGTTTCAGGTCCTGCCTGTGGGAATGATTCAGGACACAGTCTGATATTCGTATTCGAAGGAAAATATCGGCCATTGTTGATCGTTGCAACACGAACGAAACGGATGTCACAGATAATGCAGGTGCACAGATGTGGTAATCACCCTCTCCGACCATGATACCAAACGCCGTGGGTATCGTGAAATCGTGATATCGATGCATGGATACCTGCAAGTTGCCTGCGTACTCTGGGTGTGGCTAGTCGCGGCGTGACATCGCCAAACGAAACCCATTGGGGGATTTTCTCCGAACAAAGGGGTCAAAGCCATGATGTATCCAACAAAATATCTTCAAGCCACAATTCAGTCATTAGGTGGCAGAGTCGGTGGCCGGGTCCTCTTTCGAGGCGCTAGCCGCGGCATCTGTCTCTTCATTGTTGTCAACGGCGCTCGGGTCTTGTGTTTGTTCGCCGATGACGTCTTCATGTTCAACCTGCAGTTCCTGGTCACCACCTGTGTCCTGGGGTACATCGTGAGCGTGGAGGCCCTGGGCACTCTCGGATTGGTCAAAAGGAGCAGTCTTGTCGTTGTTCTCGACGGGCTCTTCGAGTTCAACGTGTTCGGTGGCTTCAGCGGACTCCTTGGTTCGAGCAGGCAGGTCGTGGGCTCCATCGAGGGACTGGGGAAGATCCTTGGCATCACCGGAGACGGTTTGCTCAGTATCCTCATTGGCTGTAGGGCTTTCGAACAAAACCTGTAGATTGTTTCCGTCGCCAATTTTATCGAACGCAGCGAGTTTTCCTTTCGCAGAAAGACGCAAGATCCGCCAAGACTTGCTGGCCTTCGCATTTTCGGCAATTGCCTTGTCCTCATCGGTCATCGCCATATCGATGTCCATTTCATCGTCCATAATGCCCTTCATGAATGTTTCTGCGGAAGGAACCCCGAATCGGTCGGATTCCTTGAGACGCTCGATATTGGCCAAAGCTTCACTGTCGGAGAGGAACTTCAAATCAAGAGAGCCCATTGGGGATGGACGCAGGCGTTTGTTGGCATAAGCCTTGGTGGCATGCTCGCGTGAAGTCGTATATTCTGCTGCAGAAATGGCCGGACGTTCGATCAATGGGCAGCCTTCAGCCTTCCATCGCACCCAGTTCTTGTCCCGGGACAAGACTGTATCCACCATGCGATAGTAGAACTTCCCCCCTGGCCCTTTTTGGAGATATTCCTCGATGCTTTTCCTCATGTCGAGCGCCCACGTAGTGTCCTCCTCGTTCAGGGTAAAGCCATAGAGAACGGACTTATTCGTCGTATTGACCAGGCGTGATTTGGACTTTGATGTGAGAGAAAGCACAAAGTCAAGGAGGATGAGAGCCTGTACAAGAACATGTCGCCTGAAAGCAGTGTCGCTGACTTCGAGATCAAACAGATCCCGGCTAGTCAAGTACTTCGGGTTGAAGCTGGTGGCGACTTCAGTGCCATCCGCGATGCGCCGGCGCTTGTTTGATTTCCGTGCATCTTCTGAGGCTCGAGCAGAGCCCTCGTTTTCCATCTCAGTGTTGATGTTTCTAAATGCAACAAGCGTAGCTTCCATTCCAGCCTTGAATGATGTAAACCGTTCAGCGTCGAACATCTTGCTCGGTGATGAGAAAAAGGCCTGGAGGCTCCAGAAGACCGGATAAAGCGCATTCAAGTCAACATCGTCTGGCTTCTTCTGATCACCCTTGGAAACAACAACTCGAGGCAATTTTGGTGTTTGGTTAGAAGGGGTCTCAGCCTGACCGGCCTCTGCTTCTCCAGGCGTCGCAGTTTCAGTCCCTTCGGTCATAGTTGTATCTTCCTCTTGCTTCTCAATAGTCTCCTTCGCGATCTCGTCGAAAGTGGTGACATTTTCCGAGTGAAACTCGCCCCGCAGGTTTACCGAACTCTTGTCTCCAAGGGGGAAGCTCTGGAAAAGGTAAATGAATACCCGGCCACAGAATACTGTATCTTCGGCGCGCGAGAGCCGCCGAAGGAGCTCGTTGCATGACCGTAGAATGACCAAGCTTTTCTGTTTGAAGTGTTTCTTTCGCGAAGTTAGTTTTGCGACAGATCAAAGAAATGAAGGCCCATACTAACCTTGGTGTTCCTCTCCCTTCGAGATTCCAAGTAGTCAAATACCTTGCGACAGCCATCAATGGTTTGGCTATCCAAGAGCTCTTCGATCAGCCAGAAAATTAGGCCGGGTTCGCATTGGTCTAATGGTTGTTAGAGCCATCTGGATTGAGGGTGCACCGTAGAGACTGACCATTATCGGAGAAGATCGAGACGATGTCAAGGAGATTCCAGATTTGGATAAAAGCGGGGTCGTCTATGGAAGTCGAGGCCTATTACGAGTGGGTTAACATTGGCCTGAAGAATTAGATCTCTCCGCGGGCCATACCAAGACGCGATAGAACTTCTCGCGAAACGCAATTTCCACAGCTGCAAGCCTGGTCTGCTGGCTCAGGTGTATCGTATCCTCCTTATTCTCTGGAGAGAGTTCCCAGATAGATTCGCCCAGGTGTGTTTCTGTCAAGGGGGGTTCGATCTGCTTGTCAGGCTTAGCCTGCGCGGCGCGATCCAGTAGGTTGTCCACTAGCTGTCTGTAGACTTGAACACCGGCAGCATCCTCGTTCGCCATTGTCCGAGACGTTCTCCCAGGCGCCTGCTTAGTTTCTTGTGGTTCGTCGTCCCAAAGTGTCGTCTCCAAGCGTCGTCTCAGGTGTGTTGGAGGGCGTTCCTTGAAAGTCTTTCGGTATTCGGTCTCGTTGGCCCTGTCTCGCGCTTTTATTTTCGTCGTTTTTTTCAGTCGTCTGCTCAACCCGGATTCAAGACGAAGAAAAGAGCTTGGTTGTTGCAGGAAAAAGAGAAACAGAGTGGTCGGGGTGATTGAGGCGGCTCGGCGGAACTCGAAGCCAAGACTTTTGAAAAAGCTCCCCCCAGCTTCACTAATTCAGATGTTCCCGACTCCGCCAATCAACCCCTCCTTGACCAACCCCAATTTATTAGGTTAAGGGACCTATTGACTCGTGCGATGGCACAGAGTCTTGAATCCAGGCCTACAGTGGTGGACTTTCGTGAAGAAAGCCCGTGGGTACAGCTAGCCAAGGCCCACTGGCTGAACGCGAAGGTCCGTAAGGCCAAACCAGATGTCATCAAAAAGCAATTGTGGGATCCTTTGGAAGCAGAGGCTTTCAATAGTCGCTCGCTCTTGATCCTCGAGAACCTGAATATTCTTGAGAAGTATGACCTCTTTACAACACATGCTACAGGGCAATGGCTAACTAGTCCTCAGGTTCCTTTGGCCAACCTACACCGAGGATGCATCGAATCACCATGTACTGCTGATCGCCTTGATTGTCAGCGTAAAGCATCGCGAGCACTTGCCGATATGGGGTGAGTGAATGCGACAGGATCTATAGGATAGCGAGACTAACAGATGCAGATATCTTCTCCGACCGTGCCGATGACTTCTCCAATCTCTTCCACCGCATTCTCTCAATGAGCATTGATCATTCACTCTCGACTCGTTCCCGGCTTTCTATCATATCGTTCATCATCAGCGCTTTCCAGTCACTCGAGAACGTACTGATTCGCAAAGAATGCGCGCCTCTCGTTTCTATCTCGGTCTGGCATAACCTCGCTAGCGAGGAGACAAGGGATCGCATCATCGCGAAGGTACCGACATTGAAGAAGGCATGGAGGGCCTCTGCGAAGCGCTATGATGCTGGAGATGATGCGTCCAAGGCAAAGATGCGCTTCGAACGTCTATGGCTGTATACAATGCTCCTGGATTTCCTTCAAAGATTGAATGGACCTGAAAAGGACCAGGCTGAAAACTTGCTATACTGTGAACGTTTCCTTGAGCTCTTGGTTGACCTCGAAAGTCAGCTTCCTACTAGGCGCTATGTGAACACACTGTTGAAAGACCTCAATCTTCTGTCAGTAATTCGCCTTTCGCAGCTGTATCGTGTGCCCGAGAATGCCCTCCTCCGTGATTTCCATGGCCTTCTCAAGCATTTTGTCGAATTTGCGATTGACGACTACACGGGCGAGGCTCTTTCGCCACAGGGAGTCTACGACCTGCATTGCCAAGAACTGGCCCAGTTGCAAAGAACATCGATGAAGCTCTTCAAGGAAAAGCTCATGATTCTTGCTTTATCTAATATGGGATCAATTGAGCAACGGGCAGATCTGGAGGGACAGTTGTCTTCTCTTGATGAGTCGGAACTTGAAAGCCTGTGCTCTCACCTAGGATTCCGCACAAGCTACCCAAAATCATCGCTCGTTACCCCAGACCGGCAGTTTTATTTGGAAGTTTTGGCATCTTTCTATGAACGCAAGATCCCTTTCCAAGAAGCAGTTGAGAAGTTGAGTCCCCTCCCGACGGAAGAAAGTCTCTACGATCCGGCCTTGTTGCGGAATGAGACATACGACGGATCGAGACCTCTGGCAATTCCAAAACTAAACCTCCAGTATCTGAGTCTTGGGGATTTCCTTTGGCGCTCGTTCCTCCTCTACCGCTCGGAGGCATTCTTCCAAATTCGCAAGGACATGGAATCCCTCGTGAAACGGATGCAGCCAAAGGCAACCCGCGATGGAAGCTTAAACTTCGAGGGATTCTCTCGAATGGCCATTCCAATTTCAAAGCCTGCTATCATTGACGTCGCACCGCCCAAGGTTGGGGCAACAAACCCAGCTTTTGTTCGGGCCGAGATTGCGATAGAAGTGGGAAGGCTTGCCGATAATGTCAGGAAAGAATGGGACTCACTTCGTCCTGATGACGTTGTTTATCTGTTAGCAGTCCAGTCCAACCCCTCACAGTTGGGCCAGAGTGCATCTGAGGCTCCTCGGATGACCCACCTCCGAACGGCCGAGATCGTACAGGTACTCGACGAGCAAGGTCGCGCACTGCGCCAATATCCCGGTCAAGCAAATGGCTCTCAGTCCAGAGCACGATTGAGGAGATTGATTGTCAACTTGGATGCAGCTGCCTTCAAGGCTGACAAGGACCGACAGGCCAATGGCAAACCGGACATTTACCCCATGATCAATGTGGTTGCACGGAGAAAGGGCAGGGAAAATAATTTCAAATCAATTTTGCAGACGATGCAAAAGCTTATTGTCTCTGATATGACACTTCCTTCATGGCTCCAGGATATTTTCCTGGGTTATGGAGATCCCGCGGGTGCTCAATACACACAACTGCCAAACAGACTTCGCACTGTTGACTTCCGAGACACGCTGTTAGATTGGTCTCATTTGATTGAAAGCTTCCCAGGAATCGAGCCTTCGGGGGCTGAAAACTCCAGCTTTGGACCACCATATGTCATTAATTACATTGATCAAGAACCTTTAGCAGAGCCTCCCACGTCGAAGAAGAGACGCCGGGAACAAGCTGCAGAGACAGTGTCTGCGCCTAGCAGTATGATGGTTTCCTCTTACAAGCCACCGAATCCCGGGCCATACCCTGTCGACACCCCTAAACTGAACAAAATTCGGTTTACTCCCGCTCAAATTGAAGCAATCGCATCTGGAACACAACCGGGACTCACCGTCATTGTGGGACCACCTGGTACTGGAAAAACAGATGTCACAACTCAAATCATTAACAACATCTACCACAATTTCCCCAATGAGCGAACACTGCTCATTGCACACAGCAATCAAGCCCTCAATCAACTCTTCCAGAAAATTATTGCTCTTGATATCGATGAACGGCACTTGCTGCGGCTAGGTCACGGCGAGGAAGAATTGGACACCGAGGCCAACTACAGCAAGTATGGGCGAGTTGAATCCTTCCTTGACAACCGCAATCACTATCTGTCAGAAGTGATGCGTTTGGCAGCGTCACTTGGAGTTGAGGGTGCCCATGGAAACTCATGCGAGACTGCAGGATACTTCAATACAGTTTACGTTCAGCCAACATGGGCCAAATTCTGGGATCATGCCAACTCCGAAGGAGCATCAAATGAAGATATTGTTGCGTCCTTCCCATTCCATACATACTTCGCAAATGCTCCCCAGCCCCTCTTCCAAGATGAAGCCGCGAAGGAAGCAATTATCGACGTTGCCACAGGTTGCCAACGTCATATTGCTCGAATCTTCTCTGAACTTGAAGACATCCGGCCTTTCGAGATCTTGAGACAACCTCGTGACAAAGCGAATTATCTTCTCGTGAAGGAGGCCCGAATTATCGCAATGACTTCGACTCATGCAGCTATGCGCCGGCAAGAAATTGCCGATCTGGGCTTCCACTACGACAACGTGGTCATGGAAGAAGCCGCGCAGATCACTGAAGTCGAGAGTTTCATCCCTAATGCTCTGCAAAATATGAAGAATGGCGAGCTCCCTCTCAAGCGCGTCGTTCTCTGTGGTGATCACTACCAGAACTCCCCCATCATCCAGAACATGGCTTTCCGTCAATATGCTCACTTCGAACAAAGTCTCTTCTTGCGACTGGCGCGATTGGGTGTCCCAGTGATCAATCTTGATAAGCAAGGTCGTGCACGTTCCAGCATTGCAGAGCTGTTCCGCTGGCGGTACAAGGAACTCGGAGACCTTCCAGTGGTTGAAACTGCCCCAGAGTACCAACAGGCCAATGCCGGCTTCCAGTTCGACTACCAGTTCATCAACGTTCCTGACTACCAAGGTTCCGGAGAGCGAGAGCCGACACCACATTTCATCCAGAACCTGGGTGAAGCGGAGTACGCAGTCGCCATGTATCAGTACATGCGACTTCTGGGTTACCCTGCTGCCAAAATCTCGATCTTAGCCACATATGCTGGGCAGACGGCCTTGATCCGGGATGTATTGAGTCACCGCTGTGGCAAGAATCCCATGTTCGGGATGCCCAAGATTGTGACTACGGTGGATCGTTACCAGGGAGAGCAGAATGATTGTGAGTCACATCCAGCACTTCCTTTCTCCAAAATATCGAATTTTCTAACCCTTCTCTAGATGTGATTCTTTCTCTCACCCGAACTCGCAGTGTCGGATACCTGCGCGACGTCCGCCGTCTTACTGTGGCTCTCTCTCGTGCTCGGCTGGGTCTATACATCCTCGGCCGTCGAGAAGTGTTCGAATCGTGCTATGAACTCAAGCCCGCATTTGACCTGCTCCTGCAGCGCCCCGATAAGCTCATGCTTGCGCCTGGCGAGATGTTCCCATCCTCGCGGGAAGCCAATGCAGCCATCGAGGGCACACCTATGGAGAGCGTTGAGCATCTTGGCCAGTATGTCTTTGAGATGACGCAGGCCAAGGTCAAAGCCATGGGCGATGGGGACATCACAATTGATGATGCGGCGCCGGCTGGTGAGGAGGGCTATGTGGATGAAGATGAAATCATGGGGGCTGATGATGAGGATGAAGATATTGTATGAATTTCTCTCCCACAATAAATGGTAAAAGCAGTACTCCATGCAAGAGTTTGATGGTACATGACTCCACGTTCTTCTTATAGAAATATAGTATCTGTGGCACAGTGTCCTCCGCCATATTCATTTGCCACCGCTAAGCTGTTCTTCGTCCTGATATACATATACGCACTTCAACAGTTATATGTGTAGAAGCTTAAGAGGCCAGGCCTTTAACTCCACTTGATATGACCACCAACAAAGCCATGGATTTATCCCACCATTTGTATGTGTTTATGATCTGTGCTGGGGCGTCTGGGCAGACGCAATTGCAAAGCGATTTGCGCAGCTCACCTATTCGATATGTAAGTAAACATAAACACCTAGGCGAAAATACGCCATTCATAGTAGGGGGCATACTGATGGCAGGGCACAGTGTGTTAATGCAAAAAGTTATCTGGCGTTCACTCAAATTGCTAGGATCATGTTCGGGGCTGGGAACGGGCAGAGCAGTTGCTATGTAGAATGTGTCGGCCTCATTTTCTTCTGTTGGGACAGAATCCCTGAGCCAAGGCCAAGGCTAGAGACATAGCTAGCTTCTCCTCGGCATTGGAGCAGCGTCCCACGAGTTGCAGTGGACAACTTACGACGAAAAACGAGCAAGTAGAAGCCAAAAATAGGAGATTCAACACCACTGGCAAACAATTGAGATGCATCATGATGTAGTGGGAGATTGTAAGATGAGCGAAGTTGTTGAAGTGTGTCAAGTTGCTACCTACATGGTTGAAACTGCATGTCTATACCCATTGGTCACTGTCACGTTACATGTTGACCCGCGCCTTCCTCAGTAGATATATCTCTTCCCTCCTTTACACCGCAGGCTGTAAACCCATAACTAGCGTTAATCTAGTTCTTAGAGAAGAAGACACTCTTATTGAACCATTCCCGCCAAATCAGCTCGATAGAATTGCTGCTCTACGGCTCAATCCTTAAAGTACAGAACGTTAGAGCCAAAACGACACAGCAGTTTGGACAAGTCCAAATTGCAAGAGGCTGGACGCGCTCCTCTGTATACTAATACAAATGAAACCGTATGTCTTCACACTAGCTCATGGGCTATAGACTCCAGACGGGCCAAGGGTGGGGGAGTCGCTTCATCACACTTTCATATGCTTTCTTTGTCAAAAGATGCAGGTTCTGAGTGGATGATTTCTCGAACGACATGTCGGAATAAGCTTCAAAGAGAAACCGAGGACTATGTTGCATGAGCTCACCACCCAGGAGTAGAGGAGCGTACTGTGATGCCAACGAATGAACCTTCCACTGAGGGTCGTTTGGGGTTAATCCAGGGCCAAGATTAATCCACCTGGTAATCATGAAAGCAAGATTATTGTTACCAAATTCACGGAGCTCGAGCTGATAGTCGGTGTTGCATTTGTCGCATGCCGTCCGTAGAAGTGGGAGCGTCCCCCTCGCTCTATAAGCCTTCATCCATTCCTGGTATGTACCTAACACTCTAGCGATGTCTGTGTGCATGCAAACTTGGAAAAGGTGATGAAAATCCGGTTCATCTCTGTCCGATAGTGGAGGTTCTGCTTTAAGGCCCAACGATATGATGTCTTGAATTCGCAAGCATAACACCGGCGAACCCGAGTAGTGGCATATCTCTGCTTCAAAAGAACATAGGAAAGTTAATCCCGTGTAGACACTCACTTTGGTGAAAGACAGGGCGGATGGACTGATGCCGTATCGAGGACCGTAGTAGTCCCGCCTCATTGCAAGTTGAAGATGAAGAAAGCAGAAGGTATGATGGGTGTCGTGATAGCCGTCCTTACTATTCATACACATCACCAAACTCCGATTGGGTCGCCAGAGTTCCAATTGCGCACAGGGGGGTTTGGACGGCGATATCTGTGGATTGGGCGGTTCTGATAATCCAAAGCTGTTTAACCCGCAATCATATTTGTGGAGAGCACAGCAAAGATAACACGTGAAATAGTCTCGATTGTCTCGCTCGAGTCGTCCTAAGAAGGATAGCCGGCTTTTGTTCTCAAGTTTCTCGCGTTTCCTCCAGCGCTCAAATATTATGAAAAATTGATGATTGCAAAGCGAAAGACAGTGGATATCTTCAGGTGGAAGAAAGTCCACTATTGATAGGAGTAACTCAACAATGAGTGCGCTAAGCGTATTCGGTCTCGGGACTTCAAGATGAGGAGATGTGGGACGAAGAGGAGATATGGGATGAAGAGTAGATGTGGGACGAAGAGGTTCAAAATGAGAGGTCTGGTCTCTCCCCCGGATACAGGAGAAATACTCAGTAACAAATTGCCGAAAACTTTTCATGATAACAGCATAAGTCAGCCAAGCTGAGATCAGGGTATAGTCGAGAAGGGTAAGTAAAAGTCCAGAAGAAATAGCCAGATGAATTCTGGCTCTAAATTGAAATTGGGAACAAAGATAGTGCAATGAACTAAAAATGCATCCAAATGTCTGTGGCCAAGGAAGGATGCCCTGTTAGATGTTAGACATAAGCAGCATTAGAATAGCCTTGAACTTGTGTCTTGAAGAGGCTTAACACTATACGCTTTCGGTGGCGGAAGTAACTGTCCAATTAAGGTTTCTGCGAAGGTGTACGGAGTATAGCATTTCAATTAAACTCAAATTTGCTACCTAGATGTGCCTAGATGTTAACAGAAAATACATGTACCTCGGTAGCGCCTAATTAAGGTACCTAGGTCTAACATTGGGAGACAAACCGAAGCTTTTCATATAGTCGGCCGCGGCCTTGCGAGGTCTTTTTAACTGTGTCCTTAAAGGTCTTTTTAACTGTCTTTTTAAAGGACTTTTTACAAGTCACTCTTACAAATATCTTCTTCCCTTCTCGGGATTTATATGGTAGAGATACCTAGGTAGCTTCAATCAAGGACTATGATTTACAATATAGTAATTAGCGGTATCGGAAGAGGTCCAAAACCAGGCATCTGCAGGTAGCGGATTCGATTTCACTCGAATCCGACCCCTGGGCGTTATAGACCTTATTACATATATGTAGTTGTCCCCTATTATTATGTGTTTATGACCTGTTTAGGAGTGGTTTCACAGCTCGAATTCAGTAAAACGGACAACAGGTCCAGAGAAGTCCTCTTGTCTACTATCCTAGTGTCTCATGTACGGATCCGCAGTTGAGATATACATCCCACTAGTCAAACTCAAACGACACTCGCCTCCGCCTTAGGCGGCCGATCACCAAAGATAGTAGTCCCAACCCTGACCTGATCACTACCGAGGGCGATAGCACCCTCGTAATCCGAGCTCATTCCCATACTAAGCTCCAGCTCAGCCTCATCTCCCGTCAATCCCAACTCCTTCACAACACGATCCCGCGTCTCACGCAAACAAATGAAATCCTCATTTTCATTCTCCGCTGTCGTCGCCCGCGACCTAGCGATGGCGCCAATAGTCATAACACCCTGCAACTTGAGCCGGGGGCACTGCTCCCGAACATAACGACAAAGCGCCGCTGCAGCGGCAGGCTCAACGCCAGCCTTGTTCTCCTCACCAGAGGTATTGACCTGGACATAGATGCGCAGCCTACCGTCCTCGGGATTCGTCGCCGCAGTATCGGCCTCTCGCTCCCCCCAGCCCTTGTCAAGCAGCTTCGCCTTCTTCTCTGAATCGACGCTCTCGACTGCCCACAGTCCGCGCACATCCCGCGCTAACGTCACACATTTGTTGCTCTGCAGTCCGCCGATGAAGTGCCATTTGATGGTTGGTGGGAGCAGACGTGATTTCTCGAGAAGCTCTTGTAGGTAGTTTTCGCCAAAGTGCATTTGCGACGCGGGTGCTTGGTGCAGCGCGAGGGCGTCCGATGCGGGCTTGAGTTTTGATACCGCCACTAGTCGGACCGGTTTGCTGGGGTTGGGCGCTTGCAGAACGGCTGTGCTGATCCGCGCGCTGACGGCTGTTATGTTGGCCAGTAGCGCGGAGGCACGGGCAGGTGTAGCGGCAGTCATTGAGGGAGGTTGAGTCGACGCGTTGCTTGTCATTGCAGATTAGGTGGGGTGGAGGTTGATGTGTTGATCGGTGGATTGATTGTTGAGGGAAGGTAGGGTGCCACTTTCGAGTATTTGGTTGAGTAAGCTGTGTGGTTTGATACGGTTCACACTTGGCTATAATGCATAAATTCCAATGACGTGCCCAAATCAATCGAATCAATTAAACCCAAGCTATAGAAGGCGGGCTTTCGATAGAGGCCTTAGGCGCCAATGCCTCGGGCAATTCCGATCCACGTGACTGTATTGCACCGCCACATATGTCCATGCGCCTCACCGTTCACCTCATGTTCCGTTTGCATCTTGGTCGACAATGAGATCATCCATTTCGATCTCCAGTTCCCATGCGACGCCCAAGTATGTCGAAGGACATGTGACCCCTTTTTTTTCCTATTTGGTGCAAGACCATGCAAATCACCCGGCATAGAATCCCGATGTAGGCTCCTGGCGGCAAGTCAGACTGGCCTCTCGTCCAATCACCGATCTGTGCACTCGGAAAAGGTACCCCTGCAGAGCGCCGGGTATGAGCGGATCCTCAGTTCGTCTCAACCCGTCAGGGCTAACTGGATTCCGGCTGGACTTGTCGATCAGATTGTCGCCGTTGAGTTTCAAACTACATCCTTTGATGCAAGATCTCTATTTTTAAGCAAGGCTGCAGTATTATCTCCGAGAACCCAAGACCGCAAGACCGCCTTTGTTGAACCTGTCGAAACAGAACAATAGCCGCCTTTCCCTTCTCACGGTCTTGGTTTCTGACAGCCAAGACTACTGTCATTTTCTTTCCCTGTCGCGGACCACCCCTGTCCCATCACGGCGCTTGCCAAGTATGGTACCCAAGTCTGTTTCATTTGAGCTACTACTAAATAGACCCACAACCCACTTGGCGAGAAGCAAAAATAGTGGCACCAAGTCAAAATCACGCCCTCGGCGAAAAGAAAAATACGACCTGGTTCGCTGTGTCAGATGTAACCTGCAGCCTCTCAAGCGACGGATGGGGTAAGATTCGGCTTCTGCAAGGTAATAGTCTACCCACTAGCACGATAATAGGATTAATTAGTAGTAAACCCATCAAAGGAGAAAAAAGAAAAGAGGGTTTCTTTGACGTCAGCACCAATCAATAGCCGTGGTTTCATTCACAGACCCAGTCAATGAGCAATTTTAACTCATCATTACACTAGGCCCCGGAGTAGTCTGGAAGAACTTAAAGAGCTTACGGCCTGTCATTGCGATTTGCATTTCCTTGTCGATCCCAACCTTTCTACCCCGTACTTTTCCAATATCTCGTCTTCGCCCTCGCGTTTCATCTCAGCTGGACTGAACACGAGGTTGTTGACACTCGGAGCATCTTAACATCGAAAAATCGACCTCCAAGATTTCCGGTCAAACTTGGTAGCTACACAGCTCTAGCATCGAGACAATCTGCACGCCACCTGCACACCATTTGGCATTTGGCATCTTCATTTCCATATCAGTCTACCATCAACTTTCATCTTTCAGTCTTCCCGGCATATTCCGGAACTTCCACAGTATCCACATCCTCAACCATCAACCATCAACCATCAAAAGGTTCAGTGCAAGAAACTGCAGAGCCTCTAGCGATAGTCGGAAAATCAGCCGCCATCTTTCTTCTTGTGATTTGAGAAATACGCATCAATCCACTGTTATCTAAACATCAACAATGTGCCGCCAATACTTCACACTCTACGAGTGGTGCCAATGCGAAGAAGATGCGGGCAACAGCGTCTGCGCCAGTCAGAGACGGAACAGCTGCCCTGGCGTCAGCGTCGAGACCGTGCATATGCATTGTTTCTGCAATTCCCATGCGACACGCGGCTTCAAGTCTGAGAAAAAACACGTAAGGAGGAAGATAAGGAGCGACGCCGATCTCAAGATTCTCTAGATGAGAAGAGCTCTATCGGGCGCCGTTGGTATCAATGGTATCAATGGCGGAATCTGCGTTCACGGTAGAGCCTCGACATTGTCTCTTTTTTCCTCTCTCTTTTGCACTTTCAGATTCTCTGTCTATCATTTTCAGCTTTGGTGTTTTGGGGAATTTCGGGTTGGGTCTGGGGGAGATGGAATTCTGCGGGTTTACAGCGTTTCATCACGGTGCAATGATCTAGATGATCTTTTTAAGATTCATTTCATGTCTTTATTGTTTTCTATTTTATATTCGAGGGGGTGTTACTGGTAGGGTGGATTTTGGATCTTGGGATCCTAATGGAGAGCACGAAGCATCGGTGTGGTATGTTTCAAAAGCTGTCGAAATCAATCCAGAGCTATGCAAGAACCAATATTATTGAACCTATTCAGGCAACAAAACACAAGACAAGCCAAACAAGCCAAATATCAGAAGGAAGAATGTGTCGTGTCGTTGTGCTATGGTATGGAGATCGGCCGAACTCCTGCCGCATAGGGCCTAACCCAAACATGTGAATGATCCCCACCTGTCTTTGTTTCTTTGTTGCTTTGTTCCCCTTCCCTATTCACCCCACGACCTATCATCGCTTTTCTTCTTTTCAGCAACAAATGAGAAGCAAGGATTCTTTCTGATTCAATAAAAGACTTTGTGGATGAGTCGGTATCTGCGAGATGGACCCACACAAGCTCCCCTCCACTCAGGAGGACCCGCCATTCGGGGACAATGAGGTCAACAACAATATTGATGAAGTGCATGATGGATTGACAGATGCCTTGGATCGCCTCAGTCTGGCAACAACAACTGTGTTGCCTCCATCGCCTCGTCTTTCTCCTCTTCCATCTGATCCTCCTCTCTCCAAACCTGGTCATGCCGTTCGACCTGTTTCTGCTATTCCTCAACCGCCCGGTCAAGCTGGTCGATCCGTTTCCTTGCAGTCAGGCCAAACTGCTCAGTTGCAAGCAAGCACCTCTGTTTCGGGTCGAGGCGAACGGCGCAAGTCAATTGTGCCCTTGCAAAAGCGCAAGTCTGCTGCATCTCTTCGTTCGGTCTCGCAACCTCAAAAGTCCCCTTCCCCAATCCCTGACTCTACACGCCGCGCATCTTTCACCGCCTCAGTGTCACCGATTACTGCGACTTCTCCTGCAATGCATCCTACACGCCTTGCGATCAGCCCGACCCCCGAAGCTCTGCTCCCGACTGCCTCGTTCGTTGCCGCCGAGCACTTTGTAAAGGAACTCGAGTTACACCAAACCAGTGATGTGGAGACGAAAATTGCTGTTATTCTTCATGATGACTGTTATGGACACCGGTACTCCCAGCTGGATGCAACAAAACGGGATCTAGAGAGAATTGTGGAAAGACCAGAGCGTATTCGTGCCTGCGCTGCGGGCATCTCTGCAGCTTATGTCCGTTTCAGTTCCCAATATGGAGATCTAACGCCACATCAGCTTCTGGCTTCGAAGAAAAACATTCCCTTCCGAGTTGTCAAGACTGATCGCAAGGTGAAACTGTCTGAAACTGCTGTTACAGATGTTCATGGAGCCCAATGGATGTCAGAATTGAAGTGGATGGGGGAATGTGCCGAGTCCCGCCTTATCATCGACGGAAACGAACTAGCCAGGCAGCGAATCCCAGCCAAAGATGGTCTTGGGGTGAGCGGGCCCCCTTTGGACAGTAACGATCTTTATCTGTGCTCCGAGTCAGTCAACGCCTTCCAGAGTGCCTTGGGTGGTGTCTGTGAGGGAGTTGACCTAGTTTTCAAGCCTGGTCCAATCCAACGCGCATTCGTTTGTATCCGCCCTCCGGGTCATCATTGTTCGGCAGACTTCCCCTCTGGTTTTTGCTGGATCAACAACGTTCATGTCGGAATCTCTCACGCTGCAACAACCCACGGACTGACCCACGCTGTGATCCTGGATTTTGATCTCCATCATGGTGATGGCTCTCAAGATATCACCTATAACCACAACTCCAAATTGTTGAACAAGATACAAAGGGCTGACTTAGCCAGAAATGATGCCAAGAAGTTTAAAGAGTATGAACACGCTTCTTCATACACCAAAGCAGCAATTGGATATTACAGTTTGCATGATGTGAACTCTTTCCCTTGCGAGAATGGTGAACGGGATAAGATCATGGGCGCCAGTCTCTGCCTCGAAGCGCATAACCAGTCCATCTGGAATGTTCACCTCGAAGACTGGGACTCCCTGGATACATTCTGGAGATTGTACGAGACAAAGTACAAGGCATTGCTCGTCAAAGCGCGTTCATTTTTACGCAAACGCACGATTGAGCTCCTCCAAGAGCGACAGCAGAATCCTAACTCTCCACCTCCCAATGCAGCAATTTTTATCTCTGCCGGGTTTGATGCCAGCGAGTGGGAAGGCAACGGGATGCAGCGCCACAGCGTGAAGGTGCCGACTGAATTCTACGCCAAGTTCACCGCGGATGTAGTCCGCATGTCGCAAGAAGAAGGGCTCGGCGTCAATGGACGCGTCATTAGCGTCCTTGAAGGCGGTTATAGTGACCGTGCTCTGACCTCTGGAGTTTTCAGTCATCTCTCGGGTCTGAACTCAGAGAGAGGGTACAGTGAAGAGTGGTGGTCTCAGAGCAATCTCGAAGAATTGGAAGCTGTGATGGCGCCTGTGCCCAGCAAAGGACGCAAAAAGGCTGCCTCCAGCTACCTGACGGCGACCAAGTCTTTCGCTGCGAAGGTTGTCTCTCCCGGGCGGGAACGTATCACTGAGGAGCCAAATGCCAACATTGCTGTCCCTCTTCCCGAGGTTAGCTGGGCGGTCGCTACCGGGGAGCTTACCAAGCTCATCATCCCCGGAGGGCGGCAGACAATGAGCTGTCGTCCTGCGGAGCTCAACCGTCAGCGTCGAGAGCAGGATGCTCAGAATGGTGGGCTCGAACTCAACATTCGAGGCGAGGAAAGACGCCAGCTACGCTCGCGCAAGCCAAAGGAGTCGACCACTGCACCCGCTACCCCTCGATCGTTCACACCCAGTCGCCAAACCCGACGAACTCCCAAGACAGTCATTGGGACCACTACCCTACCCGCTACCTCGCATGAGGCTTCGCCATCTGTGGGGGCCGCCCGCCGTACGAGCAGTTCGACTCGCGCTGTGACCCCACGCCGGGGCGCAAGCCCTCATGACCATCCGCCTGTCCCCCAACTCCCGGCATCCGCGGTTAACTATCCTCGCCTTATCTTGAGCATGCCTCGGGATCCTGCCCGCGGCCGCAAGTTATCTGGCGATGGTGCCGGCCGCGGTCGAGTTGCCAAGTCATCGACGTCACCAAAGAATGGGAAGAAGAAGACACGCGACTCTGGGGGAAGCTCCGGTACTTCTGTTGGTACTCCTCCGGCTGTGGAGGTGAAGGACAAGCCTATGGGGAGTTTCTAAGTTGCTTTTACTTCGCATGGTTCGGTGCTTTCTTTCTTTTTTGTCTACTTTTCTTCGATACCCATCGCTATACCCATTTCTCGTATTCTTATTTTGAATTAATTGGATTTTTTTCCAAGGGGCAATCACCTCAGTGCTCATTTGTATAGATAGATACTTTAGATTGATGGTGCTGCTTGCTACTAACAACTTTAGCAGCAAAAGCGACAAGTCAGTCTATATAATTCACCACATGCTACCATTTCTTGTGTAATGAGCAAAGGAGTTGGATTTCTGAGCTAGCTACTCCGTAACAAGGAGAATAAAAAGGGGGGCTAATCGGTCGGTTGTTTCACAACAATGCCCTTCTGAAAAAGCGGTCGTCGTCCTCGACGAGCATGAAATAACAAGCACGAGGCATTAAACTCGCATTCGTGTGTCTTTTTACGCGATTTCCGGCATTTGCACCTCCACTGCGTTGGCCGTTTGTTTTGCCCGTTTGCGAGTATCATCCGGGAGCATTTCTCAAGTTTCTCCACGTCATTGGTGGACAATCCACCTCTGTATGAGGTACAATGATTTCTGGTGTGTAGAAGGCAGAAACGACTTGTTTGAAAAGATTTCAGTGGGATGTTAGATCGAGAGATACAAAAGATATGTGGGAGGAAATTAAATATATAGAGAGTACTGGTGATATTTTCCTACTCGTGATGCCTTTGTGGATGAGAAAGACATCATGCTTAGTGTAGTATGCGAGAAATAGGCAAACAGAGCAGTCAAAGGGTAAGTTAAGCCTTGTGAAATAGGAGACGACTGGATGAACAGTAGGACTATGTATAAGGCGATCGACATCCATAGACACGTCTTCTCCCTATCCTATATGGGTTTAGATCTTGTTTGGCCTATATAACTTGGCAGGCCTATCATAGAAGCCAAGCTAGACTAGACTTTCAGATATAGTACTATCTTTCCGAGTCACTTTATCCTTATGGTTGTAACTCCAGCTATAGCCTATCACCATGAACGCTGTTGGCTTCGAGGTATGTACCTATGGAGTGAGTGGTTTGTTCTTTCACTTGTTTCATTTACCTCCTTCTGATTTACTAACGATAAATAGGTGGTTATTCTCATCAAGTCTATCATATAATTGAATATCATTTATTAAATTCATGAATGTTTTCCGACGTTTTTGGTTTGAATTGAATATCGGATGTAGCCTAGAAGCAGGCACATCATATTCCAAAGAACTAACACATCTTTCATCAAATGGGCCTGTGGTTTAGGGGTATAATACCCGCTTCGCACTACGGTGACTAGCTCACTAAGTGACTTGCGGGGGGTCCCGGGTTCAATTCCCGGCGGGTCCATTTCTTTTTGCTTTTTCTTTTTTCGGTCTTGGTTTCTGTCACTAGTTTTTTGGTCTTTGCGTCGACAATATATTATTCGTTTTTATTGTTAAAATATTTGCCGGTCATAAATTATCTATGTGTTGAATCGCAACAAGACTCTGGGGCTTAATACTGGTTGTTATATTCCATGCGAAATATATATATGCATGTCAGGCGCTTATAGCGTGAATACATAAGCCATATAGTCGCAAAAATGAAGTATCATGTCATGAAAATCGAGTGAAATCAATCTAAATTATAAGGATACAAAATATGTCATACCTAAGTAATTGCCATACTAATTAATCACATCCATTATGGTAGTCTCCACCCCAAGCGATCGATCATGACCACAAGTGGTGGAGTTGTTGATACATAGAGCAAGCTTGGAAGGCATATCAAGCCCTACCCGACCAATGAACACAATAAAACCAACTAGAGCCTATGAAAACCGGGAATATCAGACACCTTAGTACAAAGGCTGCAACGAAACAAACAGGGAGAAGAGTCGCCACAAAGAAATGCACTGCAGACACCGAAATGAGACCGTACAGCTATACAGGGCTAGGACTGTTGCGAGCCCCGGCCCCAGTGGGTTTTACCCGAATTATCTCAAATCCACCCTCGTCTCTGTCCTCACCCTTCTGAGGCCACAAGATCTGCCGAATCAGAATGGCCCGAACCATCATATAGCACACAAAAAAGTACATCAACAGCAGTGGCAAAATCGCCGCACACCCAACAATATTAATAGGCTTACAAGAGAACGCCTTACCAATAGCGAAAGTAGCAGTGATCAAGGCAGTGTTAGGAAAAATGAACGAAAACCAGGTCATCGAGAAGTCCATGCGCCCATGTCCAATCGCCGACCAGTGGGCAGCACTCGCGATAATAAAGAAGAAGATTGCCAACCTAGAGAAGAATTAGCAAAGTAGACAGAGAACACCAAGGAAATTTAAACATACCCCCATAGCCAAAGACACGAAAAATCAGCGACAATGTTCAACACCTCGGCAGCCAGCGGCCCATTGCCCATGAAATCCGCCGGAAATGACCTCTTCGCTCCGGCAGCCATGTTCACCAACCCCGCGACCGTGAAGCCGCTAGGTCCAACTGAGACGAACATACCGGGACGGAGATTTTCCTTCGGCAGTTTCTGCGTCATCAACCTGTAGATGAACGCCGAGTATACCATCAACGAAACCAAGAATCCAACTCCCTGGATAGTCATGCCGCCAATGATAACGGGCAGGGACTGTGACGGTTCTAGTTTTGCACTGAGAATACCAGCATAGGGACCAATAATGAGCATCGGATACGCAGGGAAGATCCAGATTGGAGTCATCTGCGCAATAGTGAATGTCTGCGTTGACCACAGAAGAAGGTAGATGCCCGCCGAGAACATCACAGCGAGAGCGGCATCGATCCAGAATAGAATGCAGACTGCCCGCATCAGCCACGGGCCGGTATTTTCAGGCCCATATTGCGATATGTTGATCAAGATTGTGCCGAAAGATACTATAGATGCGGGCACGAAGAGTGATTCCGTGGGATGCAAGAAAGATGCTTTGAATGTGTAAGGATAGTAATAGAATCGAACCAACAGAAGTGCCCAGATAATGAGGTATAGAGCAATATTTATCAGAAAAACGACGATTCCAATCGTATCCAAACCCCTGAACCGAAATGGAACTGTGTTCTGTTAACACCATTTACTTGTATAGATTTGACCACACATACCTTGATAGAAGACATTAGCCAATCCGCCCGTGGCCATCGTCAGCGTGAAATACGCCCAGGTAACATGTCGAATACGCTTTTTCCAGCTCAGCTCGCCAGACACCGTACGCTTGAGCCCAAACAGGCCCAGCCCGTTATGTCCTCGGCATGTACCGGCTTCCTTGTCCGGCTTCGTATTCTCGGTTGCCCGAGACGAGGCCCTCTGCAGTACGGCTTCCAGAGCAGATGAATGAGCCTCGAGCACCCCACCACTGGAACTCTCTTCTACACCGAGAACCGAGAGCGCCCGCTCGGCATCTTCGATGGTTGGCGTTCGATATCCATCTTCGCCGGGACTGCGCAAGTGCCGGGGTAACTCAAGTTCAGTGGCCATCGTCCGTCTCTGTGGGCCGACTCAAGCGCGGGCAAGACTTGATGTAATTGATATATACAAGCGTGGATAGCCCGGGCCTCCCCGTCTCATCCGGGTTTTGTTCAGCGCCTGCTTTCGGATGATGGCATGGGCGATAGTAGAGGCGATATCATGCAAAAGTTAGGATCCTAGCACAGAAATGATCAAGAATTTTCCCCTCTGGGATTTTGATCAAAGTCCTTCTATTGAATAGCAGCTGATGGAAATATCCTGCAGAGAATGATAGACGCGTCGTTGGGATCGAGGATCGACGGTCATTAGTGTGGAGACCGAAGGCGAGAGTCTACTTGCAGTGGCAGGCTCTTGGCCTGACGAGGGCAAATATAATGACCCACAATCCGATCTCTCATTAGATACAGATTTCGGGCTTCCATGCATGGATGGCGATAAAATCTCATCCGGGGCACGGAGACCCCGGGATTATGACTGTTCGGTACAGCGGGGGCGATGTCATTCGTCGAGTTTACTTTTCGGCAATCGGCACGCATCCGGCGCTTCCACTCGTCTCATTTTTATTTCAAGCTATCAATTTAGGATGACTGTTTGGATAGTGTTGTGCCCTTGGAATAGCTTCGTGGCTGGCGTTGTCTTTCGTCTTGTTCGGTTGTTATATCGGACCGGACCAACGGAACTTATATCATACGGCTACACGGGAGAAAAAGATTTTCACTGAGTATTACCGGGGAAAACAGCATATTATGGGTGATTAGGAAGATGAAGAGTCAATATTGAACGATCCAGAATTATATATATAGTGTTATGATGGTGATATCACGGAGCGGCATGGGTGTATACCGTGCAGCAGATGGACGACCTTCAACGTTGTTCCCACATTGCGAGCAGATCCACCAAGTGGATATGGGGGATATTAGATATCTCTTTATATTCTTGGCAGCCGTCAGTTCTGACTCTATCTTAAAGTCGATCCAAAGTTATATCACGTCTCCGAGCCACTATTGATACTATACGTCCCAAATAGGCAGTAGGGCTTAGGGCTAGGTACCTGTTCCTGTGAAACGGGAGAGCCGAGGCACGTATGTTTGGTGTCCACCTGATGTAGATGTACGTTATACATGACTACAATCTGACTACAACCCCTTATTCAATTAGAACGAAGTTCTTACTGACCCTGCAACTCGTTCATACTTACACTGGACATGTCGGGAGTGACAGACACTCGCAGATCGGTGCTCATCACGGGGTAAGTGTCGAGTAACTTGCGACAGATACAAACACGTGTTGACATGTCTTATAGATGCTCACCTGGTGGCATCGGCAACTCCCTCGCGCGCGAGTTCAACCGACAGGGACTACGGGTGCTGGCCACAGCTCGTGATGCAGCGACTATCTCTGATCTGGCCGAGCTCGGAATCGAAACACTGAGTTTGACTGTTGATGACCCGGAGAATGTGAAGCTGTGCTTTGCAGAGGTTGAAAAGAGACTTGGAGAGAGAGGTCTTGATTATCTCGTTAATAATGCGTGGGTACTCTCCAAGGCTTTATTTACCCACGTGTGGCTAATATAAAACAGTGGCCGCAGTACGTATCTTGATTCGCATGGCTTCGACAAAATATGGGAATCTGATACTGATCGTCGCAGATTACACTGTTCCTGCGATGGAAACAGAACTCGCCGAGGTTCGCCAAACGTTTGAAACCAATTTTTTCGCAGTTATCACCATGTGCCAGACTTTCCTTCCCTTGCTCATCAAGGCGAAGGGCACTATTGTGCAGATTGGTTCCATCGCCGGGGTAAGTTTGGGATAGCGGCATTTTTTGACATCCCGTCGAGAACTAATAACTATTAGATTATCCCATATGTGTTTGGTTCTGTCTACAATGCCTCCAAAGCAGCTCTGCACTCATTTAGTGATACGCTTCGGGTGGAGCTGGCTCCATTCGGGTATGTTTGACCCGCCCCGCACATTCCGAGTTTTTATATGTTTTTTCTGACGACGAGCAGCGTCCATGTCACGACTATTGTTACCGGGGGTGTTCAATCGCGCATTGCGCGTACCGATCGTACCCTGAAACCGGGTTCTCTGTATTCCCCGATTGAGGATGAGTATCTTCGCCGAGTGAAGCACAGCCAGCACAACGCGATGCCACATGCGACCTATGCCCGCAGTGTCGTTTCGCAGGTGCTGTACGGATCAGCTCCATGGCGCTGGTTGTGGCCATGGGCTCGTGGTCGCAAGGCTTGGATTTGGGAGGGCCATGCGAGCTGGTTGATTTGGGCCCTGTCGGGTGGCTGGGCATGGTCGGGGCTGTTTGGTCGGCTCATGACTAAAATGTTCAAACTATGGAAGATCAAAAATGCCTCGGCCAAATAAGGGGGGAAATCCCAGTCCTTTCAGCGCCTTTTGGAAGGCCAAATAATGTAGTCATAAATAGCAAAGAATCGGCAAAAAAGCCACACGAAATTAAGCCGAAAATCAAGAGCATAGCCCGGTGCTAAAACAAATGTCAAGTACCGACTTCAGCAGCCAGCTTCCGTGATATTTCGCGCTGGCCCCCGAAACCATGCTGAGTCAGGTCAGGGCCGGCAGCTGGTTGGCTACAGCACCCGATTCTACCTCCACGCAATGTTGTCCCCGAGAAAAAGAAAGCTGTTCTCCCCAAAACCATCCAAACGGGCTTCATACATCCGCCCTTCATACATCTCCTTCTTTCTTCCTACATCCTAATACATCATGTTCAAGCTTGCTCGCGGTAGACCCGTTGCGGCGGCTTTCAAGGCTGCGACAGTGTGTAATACCCGAAGTTCAATCGGGCCGCGGTTGATATGAATGGAATGAAGCTGACTTTGGATTTTGAAATATAGCAACCTGCTGTCCAGAGCCGACTCGCTGTGCAGAAGCGCAACCTTTCCATTCACGAATACCTCTCCGCAAGACTCCTCAAGTCGGTTCGTGCGCCCGGTTCCCCTTCAATGGCCCCCAAAACAGGGACTCAACATAGCTGATCAACAAAATAGTACGGTGTCGGTGTCCCCAAGGGCGAGGTCGCCAACAATGCCGAAGAGGCTGAGGCGATCGCCAAGTCCATCGGTAATTATATTCTACCAATTCTCCCCTTTTGAATGCGATTGCTGAACATTACATGCCAGGTGGTGGTGATCTTGTTATCAAGGCCCAGGTTCTCGCCGGTGGCCGTGGTAAGGGTCAGTTCGACAATGGTCTCAAGGGTGGTGTCCGCGTTATTTACTCGTGAGTTTCAACCACAAAATAGCTAAGCCATTGATGGCAGTGAAGCTAATTGGTATCTATACAGTCCTACCGAGGCCAAGATGTTCGCCGGCCAGATGATCGGCCACAAGCTCGTTACCAAGCAGACTGGCGCTGCCGGTCGTATCTGTAACTCAGTCTACATTTGCGAGCGCAAGTTCGCCCGTCGTGAATTCTATCTCGCTGTCCTTCTGGACCGTACCACTCGTGGCCCCGTCATTGTCTCATCCTCACAGGGTGGTATGGATATCGAGGCTGTTGCCAAGGAGAACCCCGAGGCCATCACCACCACCCCCATTGATATCCACGTCGGTGTGACTGACGAGATCGCCCGCACCATCGCCATTGACCTTGGCTTCTCCGAGCAGTGCATTGAGGAGGCCAAGTCCACCATCCAGAACCTCTACAAGTGCTTCATGGAGCGTGATGCTACCCAGCTCGAGATCAACCCCCTGTCTGAGACCTCCGACCACCAGGTCCTCGCCATGGATGCCAAGCTTGGCTTCGATGACAACGCCGAGTTCCGTCAGAAGGAGGCCTTCTCGTGGCGCGATGTTACCCAGGAGGATGCCGATGAGGTCAAGGCCGCTGAGTAAGTTGCCTTGCTGGAAACGAACAAAGGAAGGTGGTTACTGACTTATTTTCCAGGCACGGTCTTAACTTCATTAAGCTCGATGGTGACATTGGCTGCCTCGGTAAGAATATCTTTGATATTTCACCATACGACAATGCTAATCCCTGTTTTTAGTCAACGGTGCTGGTCTCGCCATGGCCACCATGGATATCATCAAGCTTAACGGCGGTTCCCCCGCTAACTTCCTCGATGTCGGCGGTGGTGCTACCCCCGCTGCCATCAAGAGCGCTTTCGAGCTCATCACCAGCGACCCCAAGGTTTCTGCCGTCTTCGTTAACATTTTCGGTGGTATCGTCCGCTGTGACGCCATCGCCCAGGGTTTGATCAACGTCGTCCAGGAGATGAACCTGCGCACTCCCATCATTGCCCGTCTCCAGGGTACCAACATGGAGCAGGCCCACAAGCTGGTATGATCTCATTCCCTCTTTCTTACATCCGATTCTTTTTTTTTTGGGTTGAAACTAATCCAACCCCGCTTTCTAGATCAACGATTCCGGTCTTAAGATCTTCTCCATTGAGGACCTCCAGACCGCCGCTGAGAAGTCCGTCCAGTTCTCCAAGGTCGTCAAGATGGCCCGCGAGATCGACGTCGGTGTCGAGTTCACCCTCGGTATCTAAAGGGTGTAATATGTAATAACCCTTGATTATAATGATAGAGAGAGAAGGGTGGGGAGCATTTTCATTTGCCTTTTTACGTGGGGCTAGCGAACCGAACTGAACCGCCGCAGTGACTTAGAGATAATCTCTGTAATGCTTTTGCGCCTGTTCCTGTGTCATTTATGTTTCTTTTGTCCCTGCATTCTTGCGTGTTTCTACGACCTAGATCAGTTTCCTAATCGGGGATGTGTGTGAGAGTGGACATATGAATTCTGAACTCTCGTTCTGTGTGTGGTTGTGGATATCTTCCATTTGTATGTAGTGTACTTGATTGCTTTCAAGCGGACATAATAGTGGGTTGGATCTGTGTGGTGTTTCTATATAGCCAGGAGGTATAGTACAACACAATTCACTGTGTATGAGTGGCTGTACGGAGTACGATAGTCCTGGTTGCGCATTTCAATTGACCTATTACCCCTCGGCGAAGAAGAATACAAGGAATTATTGCATGTTGAGACTAAGGAGTTGAGCCTCAAAAGTATTTGCCCCTCGTCTCATTCTCCCCCGCGCAGAAAGGGTCAAATACTTTTGCCCTCAACACTTGATTGACTACACTTAATTCTACGTGGACCTCGCTGCTCATCTCGCTGTTCGCCTCGTTTCGGAATTTCTCCATAACCCTTCACATCATCCAACGTTCTCCGACAACAATCGATTCCTCCATATCTCTTTCATCCAGATTGTCTGATCGAACATGGCCCTATCTCCGGAAGATCTCGTGAACGGCTTCCGGACGATCAACGACAATGGAAGCCGTCGAGCAGTGTATGTGTCCACGCCCCACAGTCAACACATATTGATTTAGGCCCTAATTTAGACAGTCTTCACGAAATTATGAGTAGTCTGAGTTTCGGCGAGAAAAGGGAAGTGAAAAGCTGGGCCAAATCGTTGAAATTCCAATGCGATGTGTTTGCCAAGTTGCCTGTCGAACTGGCAGCTCTGTTGGCGCAGTATTTTAACTTATCTGACATTTTTGTCCTTCGAAGAGTATGCTACCCTCTGTCTGCTCACTTATGATGTCTATTGATACGTCTGTAAAGGTCTCCAAACGGTGGCATGACTTGCTCACTTCCACAACTGTTCTGGGAGCTGCCATCAGAAATCGAGTTGGGAAGGATGTCGTCAAGTCCCCATCCTCCCTTGTCGTTCTTGAAGTGCTGATTAAAAAAATAATTCGAGCGGAAAGAGGGATGCCTGCCGTTGTGGCTCTGTTTCCTCAAGATTTGCCGCCGTACTTGTGGGAGGATATAAACAGAGATGCCATAAATTATTGCAAAGGAGTATGCGCATGGATTGAAGGATCCACCGAGAGAACGTCGATTTTTCTTGTGCATCTCAAAAACGGGAGCAGCTGCAAGTTCACAACAGAAAATCGAGAGAGATTGACCCATATCAACGTCTCGGACACCTTAGTCTCGGCGACTTCAATTCAAGGGTATGTATCCCGAAAAGAAAGGAAGAGAGAGAGAGAGAAAATCCCTTGTGTAATGCAATTCTAATTTGACACAAAAGGTACTGCCATGTCTGGAAAATTCTCACGGGGGAACACAAATGCTTCCGTATCCCGAGAGTGGATTTTCTCGAGTGTGTTTCCTGTGGACCTAAGGTTCTACTGAGCTATAGGGACACCATAGTGCACTTCAACTTTGACACCGGGATAACTCATTCGGTCAATACTGGGCCGACTATCATTTCCGTGTCAGCACATCCAGTGAAAGATGAATTTTCCGTTATTTGCATCCGCAGAAAACACCGGTCCGAGGGCTTTACCGATGGTCACTCGCTAGAGTGGGAGGAGCAAGACCTGCGAAGCAAAAGATATTCAATTCGCGACAACGAGTTTGTTTGTATCTGGGAGCAAACCCACGAGCTTCCTCTCAAGACCGACAACGGATGGTGGCTGGGCACAGGTCCATGGGGCGAGAGAGCGCACAGAGAGAGTCTGTATCCTGGCCAAAGTGCAGCTGTGATGAATGGTGGTGGCCCTGACAAACCTTCGCTTTCCCTCGTACTTGAGGACGATGGCCAGATCACTGTGCATTTCCTCCTCAGTGCGAAAGAACTCATGGGCCGTCTCACCAACTTGGATTATTCAGACCAGGGTTCGCGTTTGATCTATTGCGCCGCGACTGAAGACGCCAGCAGTGGATATAGATTATACATTGGCTCCGAACACTCGGATTCCTCACCTATCTGCCCCGATAACAAGGCGTTTCGTTTCCGAACCAATTTTGAGCTAGAGTTGCCGGACTGTCCCGACTGTATCGGAACTGTGGGGGATGAAGACTTTATCATATTTTACTCTGAGGTTGGCGAGACTGTGGTATGGAGTTTTGATGAGACATGGGTTCCTTCTGGGATCCCCGGTATCAGGGCTGTAAGTCGATGATCACATCTGGGTATACCAGGAGCTAAGCAGTCGAATTGGATCCATTGAGCATTGTGGAGACTGAGCGCGGTGTACTGCCCTTCTCATAGAACTCAATGAAAGCACATGCCCTCTCTGTCTTTGGATAAAGAGACTGACGACTGTAGTAAGACAACATCTCGAACAAGCCCTCTTATTTAGGAGGTGTGTAGTACTCGCATGTACATACCCGGGGGCTAGATCCTATATCGAACCTGCCATCTCCGGGCAGGATCTATAAAACAAGAGGGAAACGGCTAGGTACTTTCAAGCCCTCCCGATGTGTGGCCAACGGACTGTCACAATTCCCGAGTTGGAAAAATGGAGCGTTTCCGATGTTCCAGCAGGCGTGGATCAGGGATTTAGGCTCCGCAGTGGAAATCTCTTGCGCGAGATTAAATACTCGAAAGGTATGAGGTATTATTAGTTATTACCTAAGACTTCTGCAGCTGACGAGCGACATGGGTATAATGCATGCATGCGGCCAAGGGAGAATCAAGGTCAAAGGATCTCTCATCCATGTGGCTCCTCTGTATGGAGGACAGTATCCGGCGAAGCTACAAAGAACATACAGAACGTTCAGAACATACAGAGCATACAGAACATACAGAACATGTTGCAGTGGTTCGGGCTGTTTTTGGGCCGACTGTGAGCTAGTGGTTTTTTTGGAGTTAATGATCAGCTATTATTAGTGGTAATAGCCATTGTGCCATATCCATATACATGTAGCCCTCTAGAACACACATAGTGCGCCCTACTAAGTACACTAGCCTCATGTCCTGGTCCAGCACAATCTTCATAATTCTCGAATCCAAAGTAAAGGTCTCTACGATTTTGTTTTTTTTTGTTTTTTTCTGCTTTGGCGTCCATGGCTTTTAAATTGGCAGGATTCAGGCCAATAGGAAGCAGAAGTCCGATAGGCAATTAAAGGTGCTTTTATGGCCTATGCCCCCTATTCTCCACCAGATGATTTGATCTTTCATCCCTGTCGTGTATAACTTCAATGTTCCTCTTCTCACATTCTGCAGATCCGATTGTCACGCATTTCCGGCCCCCTTCCCCGCAGCCTCAACCTTCTTAACCTTCCAGGCACTTCGAGACTCTCATTTTTTTTCTTTCTTTTTTTCTCCCCCTTTGCTTCCAAAATAAACCTGAACCTCGCCCTTCGCGCGATGATAGAAGGATCAACTATTGGGTGTTGATCTCCGAACCCTTCCCACGTTCTTCGGCACGAGCGTCAACGGTCCATCGCGTCCACCCCTCACGATCCCGTCGCATCCACCCCATCGAATTTGCTGCCAATATACCCCTCCTGCGACATGAGCCGTCTCGCCGACCCTCCTTCTTCGAGAATCACTTTCGCCGGGGTCCCAGATGCCCCCGGTAGGACACGAAACATTCCTGTTCTTTCCTCGTCGGGTCAGCATTCGAGCGCGATGGATATCACCCTCCGCCCACGGGCGCACCCCGTGGAAGTCCTGACGGCGACCGAATGGCTGGAATCACCAATGGCGCTGAATCAGGAAACAATGCTTTGAATGCCCCCAACCCTGCTATTGGTGCCGCAGCCGCAGCCCAGCAGCCAAAAGTTGTTCAGACTGCTTTTATCCACAAACTTTACAAGTATGTGTGGCCCGCTGCCTTGCGTTTGCCTTAAGCTTACCCCGTTCGCACAGTATGCTCGAAGATCCCGGCATTCAGCACCTCATTTCTTGGTCTGGTACCAATGATAGCTTTGTTATGTCGCCTACATCAGAATTCTCCAAAGTCCTAGCGTGCGTGTCATTCTCTCTGCCAATGAGATCGCCTCTGACCTTCGCAGATCATATTTCAAGCACACAAATATTTCCTCGTTTGTCCGGCAGTTGAATATGTATGGGTTTCACAAAGGTAAGCGTTCTGTGTGCGAGTGTGAGTTTTTACTGTGCCATTTCTGACTTTTTTTTTTTTCGTGGCTAGTGAGCGACGTATTTCACACCGGATCCCCAGACTCTGCCCTGTGGGAGTTTAAACATGGCAATGGAAACTTCAAGAGAGGCGATCTAGCTGGTCTTAGAGAGATCAAGCGCCGTGCCTCACGACACGCTCTGATCCACCGCGACTCATTCCCTGGCCACAAGGCCCCTGTTTCGCAGCCTGGAACACCGGCCGAACCGGTACCCGATGCGACCGAAGCTAGGTTCATGAACATTGAGCACACCCTATTCGATATGCATGCTCGTCTATCTCGGGCGGAAGAGGGTAATATGGCATTGAGTTTGAGGTGCCAGGCCATGACCGAAGGCATGACAAAGTGCTACCAAGTATGTCCACCATCTAATACATGTGTGGGGTGTGCTGGTGCTAATTCTATTCCAGTGGACACATTCCATTTCGCGATTTCTTCAAGCTGTTGTACCCGATAGAGAGAGCCCTCTACATCGCGATGGTATGTCAATGCCTGCCGCTTCATCCATGGTCACACTGACAGCCCCCCAGTCTCGAACATGCAAAGAGAAGTTGAGAAACATATCGAAATGATTCGGACCCTTGAAACCCCCCAAGAGAGTCTCATGCCTCCACGGCAACCATACTTTGCCAACATGACTGAAGCCGGTCCACCTTTGTCTCCGCGCCAAATGCCACAGGACGATGGCCGTCGACAATCCATGATGGATCATACATCCAGACCTAACAGCATGATCCGGCCGCCCGTCCCTCCACACCTTTCAGTATCCCCTCGCCGTTACGGATCCATTGGTGGTGCCAATTCCGCCTCAGCATACGCTCGACCACAGCCTCCTGTTGCGCCGCCCCCACAGCAACCAATGCCGCACCCTCTCTCTATCTCCACCTCCCCGGGGCCTAGCCTAGCTCGCCGTCACACGTCTGCGGATATCCGACAACATGGCTGGTCCCCCTCGGCAGGCTCGCCTTACCCTCCTGGCAATCCCCCTAGTGGCCCTTGGCCTTCATCGCCAGGGCACCGAACTCCGGTTTCCAGTGACCAACAAGTGCGGGATGTCCTCGCCCAATACGAAATGGGTGCTCCCCGCCGCCTACAAGAACAATCCCGCCATGCCACTCCACCCACTGCCGAACCTTCACCATCCCTGCTTGGTGTCGATAACGGCTGGACGCTTGGGGGCTCAAGGTTCCCTCACGGATCTTCGTTGCCCGCCACTCGTCGCTCAAGCATGGCCAGCAATGTGCATTCACTACTCAATCCTGCTGATACCGCTGAAAGGCCCGATGAGGACCAGCAGGCGATGGTAGAAGATCGTAAGCGAAAACGATTGGAATAAATCACTTATATTGGAGATTTTGGGTGTGTATCTCTTTTATCTGTCACACTACATTTTTTTTTGTCTCATCATCATATCCTCATACCTCTGACAGGCAATACCCTTCTTCTTCTCGTTCCACTTCTTTCTTCCTCTCCTTCTATTTTGACCTGCATATGTACCATTGGCTAGGGCCAGTGGCATATCTTCAATGATCTGAAGAATGTCCACAGCCCTGATCACTTTTTAATCGCACCTGTAGATGTCCTCTCTCCCTTTTCCATCTTTTCCATCTTTGTTCCATCTCTTTTTTTTGGATATTTAATTCTGGCGAAGGGGCGCCAACACCGGTGTCTGGCCCGACAAGGCTCCGGATTTCATACTTCGTTCACACACAGCATATTATATATACCCTTGGGTTGGGCGGAGCAAAAAAAATCATTGAATCTTGTGGCACCTAGAGCAAGGGATTGGAATTGAATTGTATTTTATATTTGCAGTTTGATTATATCAATTGAAATGATGTTTTTCTCTGCAGACTGTTGGATCTTGGTCTCTTGAATGGAGTGAGACAGTATGGCAACCTGTCGGAGTTGCCTTTGGAGTGGTCTTCCCTGCTTGTGTCTGGCTATGGATTGCGCTGCTGTCTGCGAGATGACAGGAAGGGCGCAGCGGTCGAGCCCGCTCTGGCCGACAACGGGTTGATCCAACAGCCATTCGGATCGCATATGGCGCATCCAGAGCGACCAACCTCCAGACCACCATCCTTCCAAGAACACAGCCCAGAGCCTAGATCAAAGGCCCGCGCAAGGCTGGTATAGCGCACGAAGATTGAATCGAACCTAGCATATTCCCCAAGGGCTTCACCTCTTCTTTCTCTTCTTCGCACGCTCCGCCAGGAGTTCATCCAGATAGCTCGTCGCCTTCTTCCTCCCTTTAGATCGCGCCGCCGGAGCCGGCACATCCTCACTCTCCCCGCCCTTATCATCCCCAGCAGCGGCAGCAGCCGCCGCCGCCGCAGGATGCACAGCGCCACCCTTCCTCTTGTTCTTCTGTCGAGCAAGCATAGCCATCCGACCATCCTCTTCATCATCATCCTCGACATCCTTAGCATCATTCAAAGCAGGCGCAGCCCGAACAGCCGCCGCCGCCGCCTTCTCCTCAGCCTTAGCCTTCATAACGCGATCATAGTTCTTTCCAAGAAGCTGTTTGCGCAGTTTATCATTCGAGTCCAGCTCTGTGCGCTTCCAGCTTCCGTCGGGTTCTTTCTGGGGGAGGGGGGCTCCGATGCCGAGTCTGTGAGTATCCGGTTTAATTAGTGTAGTTCTTTTTGTTTCGTAGCAATATTTCCCCAAATAACGAGTATAGAGGGGTATAAAAACACCCGACTTACCTCTCTGGCACCGCGGTGAAAACCTCGTCTTCTTCTTTTTGGAGCTCTTCGTCGGTTTTGACGTTCGCTAGCTCATCGGCTGTCTGTTGCGGTAGCCATGAGGCTACGAGTCTTTGGCTGCGGGAGAGGGCGACGTTGGCTCGGTTGAGGATTACGTCGGACTCGGCTTTTGAGAGCGACATTTTGTTTTTCTGTCCTCGCGATTGAGGATTTGGGGGATCTGAGTCGATGGGTGAATGCTGATCTGCGGTGCCCTTTTTTTTCTGCCGATATGCTACAGGCGGTGAATGGGATCTATACAATGGGTTGGAGATTGATGTAAGGGTGTTCGTGTTGTTGTTGGGGATAGATGAGAAAGGATGTTGCTGTAAGTAGCTTGATTTAATATGAAATGGTGACTAGATACTTTTTAATCTTAATGGAATGGTTCAGATGTTAGGTTCACTTGTCCAATGCGCCAGATACTTGGAGGCATCAACACCGTTTATCGTGGGGGTTTTTTTCAGTAGTATTTTGCTAAGTCGACATGCTTCAATTGTTTCGTTTGTCCAATTTTGACAAAATAATGATAGACTTCAGGTTAAACAAAGCCGGTTCCCGATTTCTTGGTGGTTCGATGCGCTCGAAAGCCACTCGTATAGATTTCAATTTGATATCCTCAGTATAAAAATCCCATATCAACAAAGATAGTCACATCATGTCATTAAGAATGATTTCTCAACTCCAATCTCACCATCAATTCTGGTTTGTCCCATAGAACATAACAGTTGTGATCCATCCAGTCTAGTTCAGGCTGATCCAATTCCATGTCGAAGTTGTAGATCATGCGAGTGAGAATCATGCGCATCTCGACATATGCCAGGCTAGATTCATGATAGAGAGATATGTCAGTCATACTAACCTCGAATACATGATAGGAAATATAGACAGATTGAGAACTTACTTGCGTCCAATGCAGTTCCTAGGACCGAAGCTGAAAGGCTGCATTGCGGTCTTATTGTCATTCGCAAAGCGGGGATCATCCAGATGGCGCTCTGGGATAAACTGCTCTGGATCAGTGAAGTTGGTAGATGAGTGACTAGCAGCGTAGTGGGGGACGGAAACGACTGTCTAGAAAAAAAAGGATTAGTATATCGCTGGGCAGACCATTGAGAGTGAGCTCTACACATACTCCTCCCGGTACCCAGTGTCCAGCAATCATGTCACCTTGAGCATCTACAACGCGAGGAAGCCCTGCTGCAACGGGAGGGTACATCCGAAGGGTCTCTGTGAGAACGGCGAGACAATACTGCAGTTTATTGCAGGACTCCAAGTTGATCTCTTCTTCGCTTGTGAACATCGACCTGATCTCGTCCTGGAGTTTTCGCAGAACGCGCGGATTTCTCAGAAGATAATATGTTGCGCCAGAAAGCAGAGTGGCAGTCGTTTCCGAGCCGGCGATGATCAGTGTGCTACCGTTGGAATTCATCTCTGGGATGCTGAAGCCCTTCTCTGTATTTTGATGCTTCAAGATATTGCCAAAGAAATCCGGTCTTTCATTAGTCTTGCTAATTCGAGTTTCAACCTTTTGCCGAGTCAAGGCTAAGTGTCTGTTCACGCGGGCGGTGATATGCTTAGGCGTAATATATGGGAGGATGTATTCGGATCCTGGGAGGCGGCGAGACACATTTGCATAAACAGCCCATTTGAGAGCGCTGAAGATAATGGATACCCATTCATGGTAATCCGAGTTCTTGAGACAGTCGAATGGTTCACCGAAAGCCAAGTCACCGATGATATCAAAAGTCGTGAAGTTATACCAGGCGACCATGTTGAGGGCCTTTGAGCCATTTGCAATGTTTTCACGCAGCCGCTGCATTAGAAGATCAACATGCCTTTTGATGATGGGCTCTTGACCACGCAGTGAGTTATCGGAAAACGCGTGCGACAATAGACGTCGAAAACGGGAATGGTCGGCATCGTTGGAGAGAATGATACCGGGAGCTTGTCCAGGGAGTGGTGCGTAGAATATATTGTCTTTGGCCTTCTGGCCATGGCCGATACGAGTGCCATAGATTTTCTTCCAGGCTTCGCCGTCTATGAACGAGAGTTCATCGGGGGCAATGCGAACTACATCGCCGTACTGGTCATGCAGTAGTTTCGTCTTCTGTGGGAAGCGACCACCCAAGATCAGGCGCATATACGGTAGACGAGAAGCTGCCATGGATTTTGGGCCGGGGTATTTGGCAAGCGGATGGAAGTAAACATTATAGACTAGGTGGCCGATGAGGTAGAGAGGGATCTATATGAAGGCGTGACCTTAGTCGAAACCCTATTAACACAACCTGATGGAGAAGACTGTACTTACGAGCATTAAGCTCAGCTTCAACAAAGTAAGGGCTATATGAGCAAGGCCTTGCACGCTTTGAAGCGCTGTAAATACGGGAATAACGGCCATGATTGAGGCTATTCAGCATGAATACTGGGAAGGTTCGAAGCCCCAACTTCCCACATTTTGAGCTATATATACCTCTTTCCCCCGCCTGGTAGTCTCACAAGTGTGACATGAGAAATAATGCCTCGCAGACTGTTCATAAGAATGATTTATGAATCGAAATATCAACCTGCACGGCATCTTTCCGGGTCAAGGGGTCCTTGTGCTTGGTTCTTGTCCTACTGCCCAGTCTTGATCCGAATACAATATATATAGAAAGCGTTATTTGGCCTTTGACCGGGAGCAATTATCTTGCTTCCTATAGTGTAAGTACTGTATTCAAATCTAGATGTTTGTATAGACATGAACTGGACACTTTTCACGAGAACCAAGGCTCACAGATCAGGTACAAGACATGCTAGTGAACATTTGACATATAGATAATGGAGATGTAGATCCGCATGGAACTAGGAATAGAAATGGTTGGCTTCTGAGAAGTTACCCAACGTGTGGTATGGCATTGACTTGTAAAAAGTGTCCAATCTCTCTGATCACTGGGAACCAAGTCCAGAATTTCAGCTTTCAAAACTTACTGCTTTGAGTCCATAAATCCCTTGCGACTGTTAATGCCGTTCTCATACACCGTAAATGCAGCTTGAATTGGAATCTGGCGTCCAAAATGACCATACATAGTCCAGTTCTGCATACACAGCGTATACAGTGATCGTCCAATTTGCGGGAATCAGCGAGAACTACCAGCAAAGAGGAATTAATATTTCTATTGAATATACACACCTGTAGAACAAGGTCTTGTTCTCAATATGATCGGATGAGGATCAAGACTCGTGAGGATGCCCTAGTGATTTCCCTAGAAGCCGAAGGAGCCTTAACAGGGGATTTACAGCCAATGAACGGATTGATATGGAGTTGACGAGGGAACAATATACTCTCTGGCAAATAAGCGGCTTCCGTATCTGTGAATGAATAGGTACTCCTGCTTTCGAATTGAGATCAAAATCCGTCTGAGGACTCGCATATACTTTAGAGTATCAGCAACGGTTTACGAAGGTGTAACTCAGGGGCTAGTTTGAATTGAAATCGAATTGGTTGAATATGTCCAACCCTGGACGGCTCTTGACACTGCTCATTACTGCACTGTAGATCATGGTCTCGAATTGAAGCTATTCATACCATATACATCTCGAGAAGAGAAGAAGACATCTGTAAAATATGACTATTAAAAGGACATTGTAAGCCCGCAAACGCGGCCCACTATATGAAAGGCTTCATTTTGCCTCCTTTCCAAGGTTGGACCTAGGTACCTTGAATAGGCATTTATTAAGGTCTCAGTCATAGTAACTCAGGTATTCTAGTTTTTTGCCATCCCAAATTCTGGTATATTCAGCCAATAAATTCGATTTCAATTGTGACCGACTACGGAGCATTATACACCTTCGTAACGGTTGCTAGCTGATACATTTGGGGTTCCGAATAATTGCCAGCAATGACTGGACCCTGTTTTCATAACTTGGGATAGGATCCAAGGGGAACATGCATATGTTTCATCTTCGGATTACCTGCACGAGTGATCCATAGATAAGTCTACTTAGTGAATGCTTTCAGATAGACCACACCGATCGAAATTCCTTGAATGAGGAATTGGTCCTCTCTTAAACGATATGAAACATCGTCGTGGCATCGTTTGTAGTGCATATGTACAAGTCTATCTATATACCACATATGTCTGATGCTTTTTAGACACTACCTTCCCAATTTGTGCCAATGTAGTATAACACAGGGTATAAAAATCAACATGCGTGAGAAAATCCAAACCTCACGCTGTAGCCTCCTTCTGCTGCTTGACTCGCAACCTTTTCTCCGTTTTCATGAACTCGCGAATACCAACGGGAACATTGGCAAAGAGTTCATCGTCTTGGCTCGGCAGAGTCCAATTTGCCTCGCTGCCGCCGCCATCATCATCCATGCTTCCACTAGCCGAGCGGACTTCCGCTCGAGGCTCCGTGCGCATGTCCTTCGTTCCCTTCTCAGGACCACCCTTGGCTTTCGCCGTGGTGACCCGGGATGCCCATTCTTCCATCTCATCGCGGAAGTCATCCCAGACACAGTGTACACAGCCGCTCATGCAGCAATTGTCTGGTTCTTCGGGTTGCGGAGGGATGGGGACTCCGTTTATAGTCTTCCATGTTGACTCTGGAGGGGCTTCACCAGGGTTATACCTCGAAACTCGACCTGGGCCGGCAAGACGGGTGCCGAATACAATCGCCATTTTTTCTTGGGGTGATTGGGGTTCAACGGCAGATGCCGGCGTCACACTGGCCTCGGGCCGAACGGGTGTCGGTCGCGACGTCGGCGCACCATCTTGGTAGGGCGAGCTTGATTTCAGAATCAATGAATAGTATCCGGAGAGAGGGTGGGCTTGGAAATGGTCCGTAATTTCTTCCACAGAGACTGGGGCATCAGAGGCGTCGGATCGATCGGACTGGCTGTGTCCGTTCATGCGCCGGGGTGTCGGAACCAGTGCATATTGGCGATAAGAGGGAAATGAAGAATTTTTTGGAACGGTAAAAGTACGAAGTTGGGATCCAGACCTCCGCAGCGAGTGTCTTATACTCCCCGAGAGACACTCCATGATATGCGCTGGAGAAAGACGATCTTGGAAGCTCTGCAGAGGTTCTTCAATGACGAGGGGAGATTATGTCATAGTGCAAACTGAGCAAACGCGATTGTTTATCTTCATCATGTGCGCGCCAGATGCGATGAACAACCCACGCGACAATGGATTCCCCGGCAAAAAGACGAAAAACTAGCGAGGCTGCAGACCTCTCTGTGGTGCCAGAGCTTCCTCGAAATGACCAACATCGGCCAAGACGGCCCTCCTTCCAGTCTCCAACCAGGGCCAGTCTGGCACGATCACATCCCGACAAATTAGATCGCGCGCTCAGCCGATCTCCCGCCCGACGGCCAGCAAACAAAGGCAGTGAACAGCAAGATGCTCGAAAACTTGGACTTCGTGATCGCAAAGCGCTGCGACCATCGCTCAATGCCGCGGCCAGTCCTCTCATTCGACCTCGAGGCTCCGAGGGGCCAGGTAGTTCTCCCAACAGGCGCCCGAGTGGCATCCAAGCGTTCTCGAAACCACCGCGCAGGATTTCCAAAAGGATTCTCCCGGGAGACCTAGTCTTCGGGTCCCCAATGCCACAGCCACAGCAATCCGAATCGAATACCCCCGAGGGTCAATTGGCATTGGAATTGGGCAGCGCTACAAGAGAAACAGACATGGACATGGGACCTGACGCCAGTTTCATGGATGGGGATGTATTAGAGCCCGATCTTCCACCTACGCCGACACAATTGGGGTTAGAAAAGGCCCCAGATCGATCCAGAGCGATGCAGAGCAGTAGTCCGAGTATGCGACAGGAGAAACGAGCAAAACGACGAACTGCCAATGCATTGCTCGAAAGCCCACTGAAGGCAGTGAACTTCCAATCCCCGCCATCGGAAGATTTGGAGGTGCCTTCAAACCTGGGTGGACTTTCAGCGACCGTCCAACAGAAACGCCATGCGCGCGAGAAAAGTGCCGCGGATCTGCGACGGCTGAAAAAGGAAGTTGAAGAATTGGAAACATGGGCAAAGAAGATCGAGTCTAGCCCTGACTTGGAACCCGAAACCAAAGGACTCGATAAATTTTTGTAAGTCCAAGAATCCAATATTGGGTCGAACATGACTGACAGTCTCTAGATCTTTACTCACATCGGGAGAGGCAAATCGGACGAGTGTCTCAATCCCTCAAAAGGCAACTAAACCAATATCATCCCTCCTCGCCACTTTACTCCCATTCTCCGCCAATATTCCTCGTCCAAAGCGCCAGACATCATCGCTACCAACAAATCCATTCGCCCTGCAAGAATCGTCTCAGTCACTGCCATATCTGACAGCATTCGCACCATTGGCTCTCAAAACCCGTACAACACGATCCTCACGTAAAGAGGGACTATCAGAAACACATACGCTTACATTTTCCCCTCCATCCCCATTTCCAGCAAGTCTATATAATGTGACTGTTGTCTATGAGACAGACCCTGAAACCCAATCTTTGACCTCCCTATCAGTGCCCACTGGCATCGACAGCAAGAAAAGAAAAATCCCCGAGCCTCTCCGCCGATGGATCGATACTCGATTAGAGAACCCACTCCTCAAGCTCGACGTGGCTACACTTTGCTGGGGAATCAATCGATACTGGGAATCCGCGATCGCCCGCGCCCAATTGTGGGCTCACATCGACTACAAATACGGGCCTCGCGCTTCGCAGAGCGAAAAGGATCCCATGCCGGAAAGCAAGAACGGCACTATCACACTTTCTGAACTACGAAGCTTAGTCCCGCATCTGGATCGGAGCACGATGGTCATCAAACCCACGTCTTCAGGCTCCAGCCTTCGAGTGCTTTTGTCAAATACCCTGGTTATGGATGAATGGACTGGGGAGCCTCAATTGCGGCCTGAGGTTAGCGTGTCGATTCCTGGATCAGATAAGAAGGTTGATCAGGAGACGAAGAAGCTCTTCTATGCCTTGTTGCGTGAGGATGGCGCTTCGATCATGAGAGGCGTGGAGGGTGGGATTCATGTTGATGCGGTGGTAAGGGCGACTGAAGGTGCCCTTGGTGCCTTGTTTGGTGTTTGATGGTTGGATGCGAGTGTCAGCGTAGGTGGTGTAATTATTTTGCATTTGACGTAGATCTTTGAAGATACCCCAGCAGAGCCTCATACTGCAAGTTTAATGAATTTTCCCCTAAGGGGTGTTGCCCAGAGATATTGGTTTCCTGTGGTCCAGAACGACTTGGCTATCTATGAACCTTGCATGCTTATATGTGATTGAGAGAATTTCATTGTAAAGACTTTTTTGTCGATCCCATTTAACTAATACTCCTTGCGCAGAAATCTTCTTGCATCCAGATCCACAGCGGAGCTACAGAGTATTCAGTGAAATGAACTACTACGAAAAGGTTCCACCCAGCTTGTCTTGACTGGAAGCTTGGGACAGAGTATTCGGACTACCAGCTTGACAGCCGCAAGCACGGATTGTGCAGGCGTGAAGCCACGATTGAGAAGATTGAGCGGTTTTGAATTTCGAGAGATCTTCCGAGTTCTTTCTTTTAGAGACAAAAAGGAGTAAAAGTTTGGGAGGGAGAGAGGGAATCAAGGAAGAGGCGCAACGCCATGCCACAGTACACTAATCCCCGATTCGAAAACCGACCCGATCATCATCATCAGCACGAGCAGGGAATTAACACATTTATTTCTTGGCATTGGCCTCATCCTCAGCCTTGACACGGGCACGCTTCTCGCGCATGCCGCGGTAGCGGGCCTCAGCGCGGGCGTCACGGAGACGGCGGTAAGCAGCCTCCTCACCCTTGGGGAGGGAGTCGCGCTTGACCTCGGTAACGGCCTCGGCGGCGGTGGGGTTGGTGATGGGGAAGGTGGCCTCAACACGGGTGGCAATGCCGTCACGCTTGCCCTCAGCGACGGTGGCCTTGACGGCCTTGACTTCCTCAGCGGAGGAGTCGAGCTTCTTGAACTGACCGCTCTTGCGGGGGAAGAGGATCAGGCGGGCCTTGTAGTCCTGGAGACGGGCGACATTGGCAACCAGGGACTCCTTGGAGTAGTTGGTGCGACGGTGGTCAACGGAGATACCGACGGTAGGAGCAAGCTTCTTGGGGATACCAGCTTCCTGTAAGGCGAAAAGAAATCGAATCAGTACGTTGTTCTTCCACGGTGCCTCCACACTTCTTCTGCGGCTCAATTTACCTTCAGCTCAGCGAGGGTGAAACCACGACCGGCACGGACACGGCGGTTGTACTTGATGGTGGGGCATCGGACAACGGGACGCAGCTTGTCCACGGGACGAGGGGCAACAGCGGCCGCCTTGGCGATGCGGGCCTCACGACGACGGTGCTTCCGGCCGGGCTGTACAATTGATGTTAGTCGGCCAAATTCATATCCTGCGCAAAATTTTTCTCCCTCGATTTCAAGTCGGTTGCAATATCGTTCGGGATAAAACTTCGCTGGTCGGGGGGATGTTGGAAAGTCGTACCTGGTCGAAATGCACACGCACACGACGCTGCCAATCCTTGCGGAAGTCTAATCAAGAATTCGTCAATCACCAGTCCTTTAAATCTGATTCCCCAAATCTTCTGTCGTGTTGAGGCGATCACATAGAGGTGCAAAGCGACGGGTCACTCACGGTTCTTCTGAATCTGGTTGTTGTGCTTGATCGCCTATATATCCCACACACAATCGGTCAGTCAACCATTCTTTCGTTCTTTTCGAGGCGAATTTCGATCCGTCGATTTCTTTCAATCACACAAGTCGAATTCTCCATTGTATCTTCCTAGCAGGAATAGGGAACGCACCATGGTGACGGATGGGGATCGAGCCGGGTGGTGGTCGTCGAGGGTTGCTGGTCAGATCCTCCTTCACGGCAGAAAATGAAGTTCCCATTTTTCGTGTGGCCGCCCGCTGACTGGCACACCGCCTCGCTTAGCGAGCCCTAACTAAGCCGGATGCGGTAATCTGCCAGAGTTATTTTTTATTTTTTGTTCTTTTATTTTATGTTGGTCGGCTGTGATATCAAACATGGAAGTGCTTAATGAGTCCATATTAAAAATATCCGATGGATTCGATTGGTCCTACAAATACACTTCATATATTGCTTTCAATGTTGTATTTCGTTATTGGTCTGTGAAGACTCTATTCCTATTGTACATGATTGTACCCCCATCCCGATTTCATATCCCAGGCTGCCATCTATAGCTGCAAGATGGCCTGTTGGCTCCAAATCTGTGCTGATTTCAACCCAAGTCCAAAGGGACTGATAGGCGCAAAATAGACACTGAGCCATAATTCCCATATCGAGAAGTCAAGTCCGTAACGCCACATGTCAAAAGGCCATGGATCACTGTCGCATGGTCCCTTTATATCAAAACAAAAAAAGAGCAAAACAAAAACAAAAATCGCTAGGTTGAGAACACCACATTTGGCATGTATTCGTCATTCGTGAGGTTCCATAGTCGTAACAGCAAAGCAGCGCTTGGTCATGAATCAGATCAAAGCCTATGGCTCAAGTTCGTGAAGCTCCAGGAAGCGAACTTAAGCATTGATACCTAGGCCAATATCACCGGTAGTCCTGGACTTCTTTGTAGTGGTAGTCTCCACGTCACTGTCTGCCTTGCGCTTGTGAGAGCGGGGCCGCTCCACGCCGGGTTTCTGCACTTGGCCGAATAGCTTGGTCTGGAGCAATGTGCTGCTCTTGGGGACAACGGAGCGCATGTGGTGGGGAGTGCCAAACTGCTCTGCCGCGCCCTCAGAAGCTGAGAGGGATACGGTGCTGTCACTGTCATAATGTTCCTCTGTTGGGTGCCCAGTCGATGTGGGGTAATGGCTCTTGGAGTGGTTGGGTGTAACAGGGACGGAGGTTGAAGGGTGGGCGGCATAAGCATGTGTTTGGTTGGTGAGTTTGTCAGCATAGAGAAGAGCGGCGAGACCATCTGTGTGTTCGCCGTGGCAAATGTTATGGATCTCATGCTGAGTACCCGGCGACATGCTGCCGTATGTGAGAATCTGGGAAAAGTGCTTGCGGTTGTCCCCGATGCGCTGCTTGAGCATGAGATTCTGCTCCTCAAGATCCATGGACCGACTCATGGCTTCATCGATAGCGCGCTTCGCCCTCCTAAGTCTTCGATCTAGAACGGTGTTGAGCTCTTCCAGTTCTTGTGAACGCTGGACAGCCGATAGATAATCGGAATTCATGCCAGACTGGGACTGAATCGGCGAGATGGGGTCAGCAGGGCGCGAGCGACTGCGATACTCGGCGCTTTGGAGAATCTCAACTTCGCGCTTGGCGAGCTGGTGTTCCACTTCGGCGCGCTTGACGGCTTCATTGCTTGCGAAAGAGACCAGGCTATTTTGGAGTTTGAAGTGCAACGCAGACATACGCGACTCTCGGGCCACGGCTAGAAGATCCTTGGCAATAGTGCGCAGTTCAGCCTCACTGGCGTTATCGATTGCTTCAATAGTAGGCAGGTTCTCAGAGGCACCATAGGCATCACACAAGGTCTTTTCCAGATCAGACTGTTTGATCAATGGAGGGCTCAAGGACCGCGAGTGTGAGCGAGAACGAAGCGGGGCGCCTGGAATCTGAGTTGAGGGTGGAGGAGTCATCTCTGATGACAACGGCGGCGGTGAGAGGAACTTCTTATCCGACTGGAACGATGGGCGCTTGGTCATAGCGCTAAGCTCTGGTGATGGGGACAAAGTGGCTCTTCTAATTGGAGTTGAGGGCACTAGCTCTGTCGATGTTCCCAAAGAGCTTTGTGAGTTGATGTTTTGAGACATGATGGAGGTGTTGAGTGTGATGGTGTGATGTATACCAATTGGATCAGACCACGAGGGTACAATCAAGGTGGGGAACGGGTCCTCACGCTAATTCCATCTAATCAGTATTTTTGTTTCCATATTGGGGAATCCAAAAGCGCAAGGAATATACATACCGGAGACTGATAGTTGCTGGGGTTTAGACTAAGGCAATCGCACCGGTGCTCTCAGTATGTTGCCTTAGGAACCAAATCAGAAGATTGGAATGGATCAAGGGGAAGAGCTAGAGAAAACAAATGGCTTGGGGTAGGAGGCGGATGAAAGAAGGGAGAATAATGGTGTGCAGGGAGAGCTTAAGAGGAAGAGGTTACTCCAGCTTGCGTTATTGGGAGGGGCTGGGAGGCTGGGAACGGGGGAGTCTGAAGGTACCCGCTTTGGGTTAGCCCATATCCCAGCCCCGGTCAATTATCTAAGAATATGGGCCAATCAGCGGTCAGTATTCACTCTCGCTAAGCCTATCTGGGTTAGTCTGGCGATCACGGGACGCTCAGGGCAAGTAAACACCCGCGACCGGACAAGCGCTGGGGGGTTGGGCAGGCAACCGATAAGCGTGGTCACGATCTGGACGATCATAGCGTGGACGTGTTTGAATCCTGACGCTTTGTTGGGTCCCATTATTGACAAGAAACGTCGGGCTCCTGCATGACATGTCCGAAAATAATAATAAAGAAAACCTGTGGTCTTTAGACTGCAATTTCCATATATCGGCACATAGTAATGTTGCTTTACTGAATTGGCACCATGGATACCTAGACACTGACAATCTTGGAACCCACTACTCCATACAGCCAGAGCGTCAACCAGGAAGACTACACAAGGGAACATTGAGTGTTTACCACCTGAAAGACATATCTAGTTGGAGATAACTGGTTCCCCGGGTGATTCTAGCTAGCTCCAAGTGGCAACAAAAATCAAGTCCCTGAGATTCAACCGGTATTACACAATTTAATGTAGAATGTAAATTACCTCTTGAGAGAAAAACAAGAAAGGAAAGACAGACAGTTCGAATGAAAGAACATTGGAAGTTGCCCATGTACACATGTAAGGGATTCTCGGGATAATCGACTGCCACGTACGAGTGAGCCCATGTCCATGTATATATCCGACGGAAGAGACCATGGCTAACAAACCAACTAGCCACGAGCCTACGAGACTATTATCGCTATAAGAGAACCCAAGACATTTGGATTCATGTAGCAATAGATGACAAAAACACACAGCTCGGATGCGAGGTCTTTAGCCTATTTAGACGATATTTCAGGAATCGGAGCAAAACGAGTTGGTGCCTGAGGCTGCTATCGCGGGATTGTGAGACCTTCGAAATGTAAACATTCCGCTTCGTCCGGAACAGTTCTAGACCTCTGAGTCTTCATTCTTTTGCAAGGATAACCACAATTCTGACAGGAGGTCATCTGATACTGCGCCTATTCCCCGCCCTCCACATTCCTTGTCCCGCTCCCTATCGTTGGACATGCGCGTCCAGAGTCCTTGACGTGCGCCTCCCTAATCACACACCAACATCAATAATCGCAACGATAAGATGGAAGGAAAAACGAAGACATTGACTCGCCCTCCGAGTGGTATTCCACGACCCGCAAGCGGTATTCCGCGTCTTGCTTCAAGGTTGCCTTTACCCACGACGACCGCATCAAAATCGATCAAGCCTTCACCCTCTCGAGACAGACTGCGAGCCGATCCTGGTCTGGACGAAAAGAGGTTGCGAAGACCTTCCTACGACGCGCTTGTGAAGAAACCACTCTCACGTCATTTGTCTCCGCCCAAGCCACAAGATGATCCTATCCCGACACCCAAGCCAGACGAAGCCGAAGTCGTGGAAGATGACACACAAATTTCGGAGGAATTGAGCTCAATTGCTGGAGATGATGACACTGCATCTGTCATATCTACACAGGAAGCGCGTGGCCGTCCTGGAGTACGTCCATCTTTGTCCGAGCGTACACTTGAAACGTTAGCGCAAATCCCACCATCACCAGCTTCAATGAGCAGGAAATCTAGCTTTTTCAATAACGCCAGCCCCATACGATCCACATCTCGCGCCCCGTCCACTGTGTCAAGTGCGTCGAGACCGACATCAAGGGCATCCTCTTGCGCGCCAACTAGCAATGAGCTACATGTACAGCCTGTTTCCCAGTTGCGATTTCCTTCGAAGCCTCGCCAATCGACAGCTTCGTCTTTGTCTCTAGCTCGTGGCTCGGAGGAAAGCGTCAGTCCATCAAGACTGAAGCGGCCATCACCTAGATATAGTATCGTACCGGGAGATGGCGTCCATTCGGATACCAGCTCGCCGCCCAAGAAAATGATACCCGAAAGATCAATTGGGAACAAGGATACAGGAAAACCCTCGCTTGTCCGCCCATCACCTGGAAAGGCCCCTGCAAAGCTCGTGAAGTCAAACATGGGCCCCCCAGACAGGCCACTTCAGGTGAAAAAAACAAGAAAACCCCAAACGGGACAAGTTTCGACCCCACGCTCTCCCTCGACAGGATCAAGATATGTAACGGCTTCTTCCATGCCCGATGAGCTGTCTCCAGAGCAACAGGCAGAAAGTGAAGCTAGAAAAGTATCTAAATCCTCCAGTACGCTCCGCGAACAGATAGCAAAGGCAAAAGCTGCTCGCAAGGCGATGGTGTCTAAAGAGAACAAGGAAAGTCCGCAAGGGACAAATTTGCAAGCCCTGCCCGTCGATGCACCTCTTGAATCGTGGGCAGGTGGCGACGACGAGGACCCATTCAATCAACTGCCCAAGGGATCCAACTCTTTAGTCATGCGAAAGCGTGTGCAGACAGCACGTGCGACTGGTCAATTAAATATTGCGGCACTTTCTTTAGCAGAAATTCCTCAAGAAGTGCTGACAATGTACGACTACGATCCAGAAAACTGCGCAAACTGGTTCGAGAATGTCGATCTAGTCAAGTTCAATGCCGCCGACAATGAGCTGGAACAGATCTCAGATGCAACATTCCCCGATATCGACCCCGAGGAGTTTGATCCCGACAGCGATGACCGGGGGCTACAATTCGGGGGCATTGAAACCCTAGATCTTCATGGCAATGTCCTAAAGTCACTCCCTATGGGACTTCGACGTCTACAGAGCCTACGGACTCTTAACCTGTCCAATAATTCTTTGGATATGACCAAAATCGAAATTATCACAGAGATCAAATCTCTTACAGACCTGAAACTCGCGAATAATCAGTTGCAAGGGGAACTGACTTCTGTCATTGGTCGGCTTGGAAACTTGGAGGTTTTGGATCTTCGTGGGAATAATCTCACAAAGCTCCCAGATGAACTCGTTGAGTTAACTTCTCTGAGAACACTGGATGTCAGTGAAAACAAGTTCACTTCGTTATCATTCGAGGTACTCAGCAAATTGCCTCTAAAAACACTCAATGCACAGAAGAATAAACTGGAAGGTACTCTGATCCCGGCGTCAGTGAATGGCCTGGAGACATTGCAATCCCTGAATATTGCTAATAATGCCGTGGTGGTCTTCTCCGCAAATGACGCGCTCGAGCTTCCTAATTTACACACTCTGTTGATCGGCGTCAATCGCATCACGCATCTCCCATGTATGTCTTCTTGGCAATCATTATTAACGCTATCCGCGGAAGAAAACAAAAATTGCGGAGCTCCCGAAAGGATTTGTGGAGCTCCAGAGCATCAAGAACGCCGATTTCACTGGGAATGACCTCTCGTCTTTGGATGAAAAGATAGCATTCATGGAAAGCCTCACGTCTCTCCGTGTTGCCAACAACCCATTACGTGAGCGCAAGTTCCTGAGCATGGACACAGAAGACATCAAACGAGACTTGCGGAGCCGCTGTGACCCTGATCCGCAGGACACAGATGATGAGGGCTCGGTGGCCACCCAGTTCACTCTGGCACCCGAAAATCCCGCGCTCGATGGCAGCTGGCAGATCAAATCCGGTGGTACTCTTGACAAGTCGTATGCCGACTTGACCGACCTCAAAGTGGAGCAATTGGAGATGATTGCCTCGCAAGACATTCGATGCTTGTATTTGCAGCACAACGAGTTCACCTGCTTCCCAACCCCCGCGATTGAAATGCTTGCGCCGGGTCTGATTGAGCTTGATCTCTCACATAACCCTTTGAAGGGTGCTGAATTCCTGTCTTCTCGGCTTGAGCTGCCAAAGCTTCAGTCATTGACTTTGAATGCTGCCAGTTTGACATCATGGGAGCCTCTCTTGTCCAACTTGATAGCACCGTCTTTGACATTATTGGACGTATCGCATAATCGCTTAAAGGGACCGCTTCCCAATCTGAGACAGACCTACCCAGAGCTCAAGACGCTTGTAGCCTCCGACAACCAAATCGCTAGCCTGGACTTCGAAGCCGCGCAAGGCTTGCAAGTCTTGGAGCTAAGCAACAACGACCTTGATGCCCTTCCACCGAAGATTGGTCTCCTGGCAGCTGAACGCTCTCCTCAGAACTGGGGCACTGGATCAGCCTTGAGGCGCTTTGAGGTCGCTGGCAATCGATTCCGGGTACCTCGCTGGCAAGTAGTTGCCAAGGGAACTGATGCAATTTTGGAATTCTTGCGCGAGCGTATCCCCGATAGTGACCTGCCAGCGTGGGAGAAGGAACATGAAGTCTTGGAAGAGGAGTTCTAAGTCCGAGTAATCTAATTGAAGGCCATGATTTAAAGTGCCATGTATAATATCACCATCTTTGTTCTATGTACATATACATAATATCGCTGTCTATGCTTTTCTCGGGCTTTTGTCATCTCATCATCAGCTTCTTTATAGCTTTGTGACAGGGAATTCCGTTCAGTTTTTCTCAATTGGCTTGCTGACTTCGTCAATCACCTTGAGCCAAGTCTTCGACCACGTAGCAAACTTGTCTGCTGGTGCATCGTCCTTGGAATCCACAACCTCCCAGGGCGCCGCGACCAATTCCACCGCCTCTGTTGCGCTTTTCTTCGTCTTTCGCAGATACTGAGCGGATGTTTCAAAATTGGCCTCGTACAATGCGCCAGCTGCCTCATCGACATCATCCGGGATAGCTTGCAGGTTCAGCATCAACGACTCCAACCTCTTGACACCAGATGAAGAGGCCAAAGGCGCATTCCCAGCGTTCTTAAGTCGGCTGTTGATGATGGCCGGGTAGACTTGAGCGATGGGCTTGAGGAACCGAATGGCGGATTTCTTGTGTTCATGAAGAGCAGCAGTCTCTTCTTTGTCATCTTCGTCATCTTCCGAGTCATCATCGTTTGCAACCTTATCATCATCATCAAGAAGTTCATCGAAGAATTCATCGCCCTCTTCTTCAGGATCCCAATCCTCGATTTCCTCGACCGCATCACGAACCAGATCCCTCCACTGCTCAACGCGGCGCATAACGAATCCAACAACGCCCTTGTTCGCGACATCGGTGGCGCTATCACAAGCATCCCAGACACGGCCGGTAGCGAGCATAACAGCATCCTTCTCGGATTTCGTCACATTGCTCTCCTTGCCGGTATCCTTCTTCTCCTGATCTTTCTTGTCCCCAACACGCTTGACCTCCTGAATGAGCGCAGACAGTTCCGTCAGAGCGGTCTTGGCGAGGACTAAGACCTCGGAGTGAAACGCCTTCGTGTATTGCGCCGGTGTAACAAGTAGTGCGCCGGTGACGAGCGACGGCAGCACGGATTCATTGAGCTCGCGGAGCACGGTGCCGACTGCGGAATGCGTGAATGGCGAGCTAATAGCCAGCAGGGAGAGTTTCGTGGTATGGGCTTTGAGCGCGGTCGACGAGGCCGTCAGGAGGGGCAAAGCTTCGGCATCTTTTGCGGCTTCGGGTGCGGCGGGTGGGGGCGTGGTGAGAGCTGTTTGGAATTGGCCGATAAGGGTCAAGCTTGTGCCGAAGACGGCGGACAGCTCTTTCGACATTGTGAGGGTTGTCGGTTGGCCGGGGTTGGTATGGAGGGAAGAGCAGTAGAGAAAAAATTTGGACGGTTGGGCCTGATAATGATCGCGGGGCTGATTAGGGCTCTGCGGGGTCACCTGGAAATTTATCTTCAAGTCGAGGGCCGCTAAAGGAGGCTATTTTGATTAGCCTATTGTTTCAAGATGATTATGGTGATATAAATTGGTGATTTACAGGCTTATGTCAACTTTTAGTAAACCTGTCGCTTGTATCAATGCTTTTCCTGCCTGTTATACATACCACAGCTAATTGTTTTGATTATCATATGTAGAGAAAATGGAGCTAAAATGAAATTCTATACGCCAAACAACATACATACTGAGGTAAAAATCCTATATACATAGTAAGTTACTAACATAAATTTAGCTAATTGTGTATTCAAATCATCATATCATCAGAGACGCCATGTTGTATTCTTCCAACGCACCGAGTGCATAGGTATATCTTCATCTTGAATCCCGCCACAAAGAACCTATATCTAAGAGCCTTTATGCTCCAAAAAGTCCGATGCTATTGAACAAACCTGATTATAATCTGAATCATGAAAATCCTATGTAGCCCGGCATTATAAAGCCGCTCAGGTGCCAGGTCCAGGCCCGGGTGGTCCGTGCACCACCACCTTGCCCAAGTTTTCGATATCAAACAAGACAAACAGCTTCATCATTGCATCCCAGCTTCCTACAAGCTCTGAACTTTGGTTCATCAAAGCCAGTCACAATGGGAACAGCAAAGGCTCGTGCTACTCCAAGAACACCCGTGGCAACCACACAACCCTCGGAGACGTCGCGCTACCTGCCTGACACGACCTTCATCATCGACAATGGCGCGTATATGATCAAAGCTGGCTACGCCGGTCATGCTCCGGTTCCTGAAGATCCCATTTCTACCTGCTCCTCGATACCCAATGCTCTTGTCAGAACCCGCGACAACAAGATCGTCATCGGCGCTCAATTAGCGACTGTCACCGACTGGAATGAGGCGATGTTCCGGCGCCCGGTGGAGAAAGGATATGTTGTGAACTGGGAAGCTGAGAGGGAGATTTGGGATCAGTCTTTCTTTGATGGGAAGCCGACCCCTCGGAATAAACAACACCACATTGCGGATCCAGAGGATACTACTCTCGTGCTCACAGAGGCGCCGAATGCCTTGCCCATTCTACAACGGCACACGGATGAGATGGTCATGGAGGAATGGGGATTTGGAGGATATGCAAGATGCTTGGGTATGATGTTCTGATTCTTTGGCGCCGCATATGATATCGTACTGACTTGAATTCGTCTGCAGGTCCAACCCTAAATGCGTGGAACGAAATCCATTCTCTTTTCGGCGATCCTCTCTCCAATACATCCGATGCCTCTGTCCTGCCTGCAGATTGCTTGCTGGTCGTGGACTCTGGCTACTCTCATACCACAGTGACGCCGGTATACAAAGGCCAAGCTCTCCAACGTGGAGTCCGAAGACTCGATCTCGGAGGCAAGCATCTTACAAATTACTTGAAGGAGATCGTGTCAATGCGGCAATACAACATGGTGGATGAAAGCTACATCATGAACGAAGTCAAAGAGGCAGTCTGTTATGTCAGTAATGACTTCGCTAATGACTTGGAGAAAACGTGGAAAGTTGGTCGGAAGCGCCAGACTAGCCTTGAAGAGGGAGTTGTGGTGGATTATGTGCTCCCGAATGCCAACAATAAGGGCTTCACTCGACCTCACGACCCTCTTCTACACGCCAAAAAGAAGAAAGGAGCACTTTCAGGTCTCAGTGCTGAAGTGCTGTCAGAGGATGTCTTAGTACTGGGCAATGAGCGTTTTTCTGTCCCGGAGCTTCTGTTCACTCCGGGAGATATTGGTATGCAGTCTGCCGGGATACCTGATATGATACTTCAAAGTTTATCAGCTCTGCCTACAGGCCTGCATTCGGCGTTCTTGGCGAATGTTTTGGTCGTCGGAGGAAATGCGTTGATTTCGGGATTCATGGAAAGATTGTGGGTTCCTTGAAAGCCAGGTGATTTGAGTTTATACTGACCTACCATCTTCTCGCAGGGAAACCGAATTGCGGCAAATTGCCTCTTCCGAATGTGTCGTGAGAGTGCGTCGGGCTAAGGAGTAAGTGAACATCTGTGGATACGTTCCTTTAATCCGTCTTCAAAATGCTGATATCGATACTAGCCCTATTCATTCGACATGGCTAGGCGGTACTCGTCTTGCTAATAACAAAGAGGAACTCAGCAAGGTAGCCATCACGCGCCAAGAATATCAAGAATACGGGTCAGGATGGGCCGTTCGACGATTTGCTGGCCTTTCATAATGTTTCAGTCCCCTGGGCTATGTTCGTGGGACCAAGTATCGTGGGAGTTTACGGAGGCCAAAATCGACAGCATTTATAGCATTAGTGATACCCTTGTTTTCAGTGTCTGTGTTTGATTAATACAAGTGCGAAATGTTTCGAATATCCCGCTACATGCGTTTAGATACATGTATGAACATAATCGGGGCTAGAACACGACAGTCCTCATATGACGAGAGGATTATGCGCTCTCATTTTAGCTCACATGCGTTCTTCTTCAGGAAACTCTCAGAACCACGGATCTCCGTCTATGGTCTATTTTTATCTCTATATTCCACATCAGCTACGAGGTCCAAAGACTTGGAAGTCCACCATGGCATTGAAAATGCGAGACAATGAGAGAGAGCTCCTAGACTGCTCTATCTTTTGGAAGCCGGTTTGATACAGCGAAAACAAGAGACAACAGGATGTAGCCGTCATATCGAGATTAACCATGGGCCTTCTCAGGTACAAGAACGAGATAATGTTTGCTCACCCATGGCCAGACGACCAATCCATCTATGACCTGAACGGACATCTACTTAAGGGGGTCTTTCAGACCCTAGATCTTTGTTTTTGACGATGCATCTCCCCCCCCTCCTGAAGGGTCCAGTACTACCCCAGGCAAATCTGACCCAGATTGACGGCAACATGCCAGGCAGGCCTTCAACCATCCAGAAAATCCTAATCTATTTGGGGCGAGTGTTCAAGAAAGCCAACTCCGAACTAGGCGTGTCAGTATAGCCCAAATATAACCAACAGCCAGTGAACTACAGACATATTGACCGCAAACAGATGCACAGGATGTCTTGAAAAGATCCCGTCCAGCAAACTGCTGATTACTTCCTGCAACCATAAATACTGCTCCTCCTGCCTCCGCCGAATGGCGGCATCAGTATTGGACAACCCCGAATTCTTCCCAGCGAAATGTTGCAGCATAGAAATCCCCCGAAAAGCAATCGTGGCGGTGATAGATTCCCGCAGCAAAAAGCGCTATCTCGTTCAGTGGGAGGAGCAGAATCTCTCTCCGCTGGAGCGCTTGTATTGTCCCCGAGCATCATGTGGACGATGGATACCTCCACGCAGCTCTGGCTCACGGCTAGGATACGTTGTTTGTCCTCATTGCCGGACGAAGGTTTGCCCTACTTGTCGGGAGTTTTTCCATCTCGGTTGGTCGTGCTCGCATGATCCTGAGATGAAGACTGTTATGCAGATGGCGAAGGAGAATAATTGGCAGAGATGCTCCAATTGTCTTTATCTAGTTGAGAAGATCGATGGTTGTAACCATATGGTGTGCAGGTGTGGATATCAATTTTGGTATGTTGATGAGTGTGCTTGGCAAAGCTTCAATGCTAACCAGAAAACAAGTTACATTTGTGGCCAACGCGGACGATGTGTATGTGCCTCACGTGGGATGGGAGATGAGCTAGTTACAGATGAGGATATTGATGTCGACACACTGGTTGCTGTGATGGAGGAAGCGGAATTGGCGGGAGAACCATGTTTGTTGGTGGACAGGGCTGAGACTAATTGAACGTTTTATTGTTCTATGACAAGTAATCAACGTTTTTTTTTACTCAGAAATTCGCAATCTACAATAGTATGATGTAGGAAGGGTATCTTGATACAAATGCTTTTCCTTCATCATAGGGGAAGCATGGCGACTAGTAATCATAGAAGCCCTTGCCGCTCTTCTTACCAAGCCAGCCAGCATCGACCATGCGACGCAGAAGACCAGCAGGTCGGTACTTGCTGTCACCAGTCTCTTGGTGAAGAACGTTCATGATAGCAAGGCATGTGTCGAGACCAATGAAGTCAGCCAAGACAAGGGGGGCCCATAGGCACGTTGGTGCCAGTCTTCATAATGTTGTCAATGTCTTCACGACCACCAACGCCGGTCTCTAGGCAGATCACCGCCTCGTTGATGTAAGGCATCAAGATACGGTTGGCAAGGAAGCCGGGTGAATCAGCCGACACAGAGGCCACCTTACCCATTCGCTGGACGAAAGCAATGGCAGTGTCCATGGTTGCTTGGGATGTTTGAAGTCCCCGAATGATCTCCACACCCTTCTGAATTGGGACGGGGTTCATGAAGTGGGTCGAGATAACCCGGGAGGATGCCTGTAGGTCGGTGGGATCCGAGCTGGTGGCAGCGGCAATCTTGGTGATGGAGATGGAAGAGGTGTTGGTTGCGAGAATGGCATGCTTGGGAGCGATCTGGGCCAAGTCGGCGAAAATCTTTGTTTTCAAATCCGGGATCTCGGGGACAGCTTCGATGACGAAGTCTACTGATGAGAGGTCGTCCATCTTGACGCTTGTGGCCAGAAGGCTTCGGGCTTCATCAGCTGCCTCACGGGTGATACGCTGCTTGGTAACATCCTTTTCAAGGAGCTTCTCTATTATTCAATGGCATGTCAGATGTTTCGATGTGACCGGAATAGGCGGTCCGAGATCTCGGCGTACCGGCAAACTTGAGGCCCTTATCCAAAGAAGCCTGCGAGGTGTCGACAAGAGTAACAGGGACCTGAGCCTTCAGGGCAGCGACAAGGGCAATACCCAATCCCTAGAAAGTGTTAGACCTTCAGTGTGGCTGTCAATTCCACTTTACACACCATTTGTCCCGCACCGATAACGCCCAGCGACCTGACCTCGGCTGCGCGCATTGCCGAAGACGAGCAGAAGCTTCGGGCCACCGCAGGGCCCTTGCGAAGGGAAGCAAAGCGAAGAGAAGAGGCAAGCATGGCTGTGGTGAGTTTTAGAATGATGGAACACAAAGCGAAGGAAGTTGCGAAGGTGCGTGCGAGGAATCAGCTAGGTAGTATACTCCAACTTCACGTGCCCCCGGACGTCATTATCGTGCGGGTAGAACAGTGGCCACTCAGACATATACTTCACCGCCTTAGGCCTCGGCTTTAAGGAGGCCTCGGGATGCCTTTACTAATACCTAGGTTACTTTCATATTAGCTAGATATGATAGCTTCAAGACCGTATAACAGAGCAGAGGAAAATCAGGGATGAGTGGCTATTATATAGAGGAATATCAAGTATTGTATCTTGAAAAAACGATGAGCGGAATGTTGAAGTCTGCTCCTAGGGTATCTAAGAAAGCCTTTTATCAATAACTTTTGGGCAGAGCTTATCAGAATCCAAAGATTCTTGTCATGATTGATTGCCCAAGAAATGGATACCCTTCGTTGCGTTTCAAATTGGTAGTGAAAAGAGCTAGCATCATTTGAGCCAATGGGTACCGAGGATGAGATGCCGAGGATGACAAGCACGACTCGTTGATTCAATGATACAGCAATACATGTAAGTATAGTCAATGTTATTTGAAGTACTAGTTTAGTTGGAGAGAAGAGGTTGCGGAGTACGGAGTACAGACTTCGAAGTTGCTTTATTTGACTCCATAGATGTGATATTCTGCCAGATATTGCTGCAGCGGCCGCTGATCTGCGCTGTAAAGTCATCGGTTATCTTCGGCACTTTGGCGGCATCCAGTTTCTCCGAAACACCGAAGCCGAACACGCGTCGACGCGTCCCCATTCAACTCGATTCGGGAAGCAAATTGATGGGGTATCAAATCAGCACGTCATGGATGAAGAGGCTGTTCCTCTAGGACATGATGTCCAAGTTGTTGACCCAGACGTCCGCAACTATGTTTACGGTCTGGTCACCGCTGTGAGTTTATTGCTATTTCCACAAACTCTTTTTGGGTCTTTAATTTACTGACACACTTGTCTATCTAGCTCGGAGGCTTCAATGGCGAGAATGCCGACCAATACGTACTCGGAGACGATGCGCTGGCTTGTCTACGCGACATCAAGCGCTGGCTGAGGTTATATGATGAAAAGAACAACCGGATGGATGTTGCCCGATGTCTCGGAGAGGCCAACTTGATCAACGGCGACCTGCTTCCCATCCTTTCGCTGTGGTGGGCCACCGGACAGAACAGCAAACATATGACTAGGATCTCGCTGGCGTGTTTAGAACTCCTCGTCCCTTTGACATGGCCAGTCGAGTTCCACAGCCAGATGACAGTCAACCACCATCGCCATACCCCCTACATCCAACAAACACAAGTGCAGTACAAACGGGGCGTTCTCAGGTCCGGCGGATCGAATCTCCTTCGTGCAATAATCCGGATCGCCCTCCCGAGCATGGCAACCCCGCGGTCCGAGCGCGGAACCCGCGATGAAGGAATCCTCAAGCTGATGTTATACTTCCTGCGAAACATTGCGATAATATCCCCTAATGTTCGACTTGCGGCGGAAGGCGAAGAGGAGGAAACGTCTAGATCGGCAACGATCAACGCTTTCCACGACCAAGATGCATTTGCGCTTCTCTTGACCATGTGCTCCAATGTCGGCGATGACTTTAATCTCCAAGATATTCCTTTGATGGAGACAATTTTCCACATCGTCAAGGGTGTCAATGTCGAGAAGTTGTTTATGGACGATGACCAGAGGGCAGCGAAACGAAGCGATGAACTCAAAGATTTATTGCAAAAGGAAGCGCAAGTGCGAAGAGAATATGCGAAAACCGCGCCTTCACGCCATGGAAGATTTGGTACAATGATCTGGGTCAAGCGAGATGGCGCGAAGGTGTCCACCGTTTCTGGACAAAGTGTATTGCGCGACGATCAGACTACGTTTCAGAAGATGGACGAAAGCAAGAAATGGAATAAACCTCGTCCCCGCCGCAGGCAAGAGGATGTGGTCCAAAACAGCAACTTCAATATGCCCGCTCATTTGAACCCCGAGGCAACAAAGAACTTGAGAACCTTTGTGGAGGAGTTCCTCGATTCTGGCTTTAATCCTCTTTTCACTCATGTGCGGAAAGCAATCGAGCGCGAAGCCGAGCGGGTAGTGGGAATTAATATTCGCCAATTTTTCTACACAGTCAGTTGGTTCCTGGAAGCAGAGCGTGTACGACGCACTCGGCAGCTGCGCCAGCGCACTGCGCAGAATAAAGGAAGGACCAAGGAAATAGAACCCGATAGTTATGGTCTGGTTGCTGGAGTGCTGAACCAAGAGACATTCATTTCTCTCAATCGGGCTATGCAAAGTAGCCTGGACAATAAGGAATGGGATGATCTCAATGCTCAAATGCGCTGCTTCACGCAAATCCTGTTGACTGTCCAGGAAATGGCGGCCTCGCCGGTTGAGGAAGATCAAGAGATTGCGGAGAACATCCAGAACCGGATTTTCTACGAAGAGACAACGCATGATCGAATTCTCGCTATCTTCCGCGGATACAAAGACCAAGGATTTGGCTACCTGGATGCTTGCACGGAGTTAGCACATGTGTTCTTGCGGATGTTGGAACGCTATTCGAAAGAAAACGCCGATATGCAAATTCGCTCGCGCAGAAACGCCAGGCGAAAGCAGAAGAAGGCTACTCAAGTCGAGCAAGAAGGAGGAGATGACGAGGAGGAGCATGCCTCCGAAGACGAAGACATGGAGGAAGTCGCCCAGGTCACCAAAGAGCGCAGCTTTGACTTCAAACGATTTGCAGCTAAGTTCTGCACGCAGCAATGCGTGAACACCTTCGTTGCATTCACTGGATTCTATCGAGAGCTCAATCCTGACCAGCTCAAACGGGCCCACCGTTACTTCTACCGGATTGCTTTCAAGCAGGAGATGACTGTGTTGCTCTTCCGTGTTGATATTATTAGTCTTTTCTATCGAATGATCAAAGGACCAGGACCCATGGACTCAAGCAAGGCCGTGTTCAAAGAATGGGAAGAACTGGTTCGACAAATCATCCGGCGACTGATCAAGAAGCTCGAAAAGCGCCCTGCCTTGGTCACTGAATTGCTATTCAGCAAGATTAACTCCACTGCCCACTACCTTGAATACGGACACGAAAAGCAAACGATATCCTATAGTAATCGTCCCCCGGCTGATCTTATGATTACATCGACGGAAGCGGAGACAAGGGAAGCCAAGCTCAAAATCGTGATTGGTGCTCTTGTTCTCGACGGCAGAGCAGATCTAGTCAATTGGATCAAGGATATCATGAGCTCCGCAACTTCTGAAAGAGAAGCCTGGGAGGCCCAAGAGGAAGCCCGTCATGCCGAGGACCCGGAGACTGCCAGCATTCCCAGCCCACTAATAAGTATTGTTTCCCTGTCACACTTTGCCTTTTGATTGAAACTAACACAACAAACAGCCGTGAAAGGGAAGAATGAGTTCGTCCAGAACGCCATGTTCTCAAACGCAAAGCTGCGCCTGCTCATGGCCATCATCGGGTTTGAGCGACTCGGCGTCGAAGATGTGCGCGGTGCCGCCTGGGTTATTCCCGCATCACTGAAAGCCGACGACCTGCGTGAGATAGTTTCCGAGTTCCTGAAGATCCTCCAGAACCCAGTCTCTGGTATCACCGGCGATGACCCCCGCCAGCACCTCCAACCAAAGAACAAAGTATATGGTCGGGGTAGCACGGCCCAAGGCACGGTTGATGTTCTCTTCGGATCCGAGTCAGAAGGCGAGGACATCCCAGATGGACCTTTGTTCCCAGCGAACCCGCGGTCAAAGTCCAGCGCGTTAGATGAGCTCAAGAAGAAGCGTAAAAAGAAGAAGCATCCCGACACCGAGGCGGAACCGCTGGACGATGAAACCCTGGAAGCGCGGCGAAACGCTCGTCTATCAAATGCGCTGTCTCGACAGGCGAAGATTAAGAGCGACTTATTCATTCACGCTAGTGATGAAGAAACCGACGAAGAAGCCGACAAGGAGTTCTTCCGCCTTGAAGCAGAGAGGCGAGAGAAACAGGCCAAGGAAGTTAAGAAGGCCTTGCTCACTGGAACCGCCGAGAAATCAAGCAGGAGCAAAGGAAAGAAGCCTGCCGCCCGCAAGCGGGTTAGCGACGGAGGCACTTCTGCGGCAGCAAAATCAAAGCGACAGCGTCGTGATTCCGGGTCTCTTTCTAGCGATGCTGACAGTGATGACGACGGCGATATCCTCATGGGGGGACTTGACGCTCTGTCATCTCCGTCCCAGCAAGTTTCCACTAGCCACGACGCTGGAGAAGACGACATCCCTCTCATATCGGATCAGGAAAACCCTGATTCAGATGACGATTTCGCCTTCCTGCGTGAAAGCCCGAGGAAAGCTCCAGCCCTAGACCCCGAGTCTGGGAACGACGAAGAAGAGGATGCGCCTGTGGCTCCAGCCCGAAGACGTATGCGTGGTGGATTTGTGATCGAAAGTGACTCTGAATAGTGACTTCTGATCTCCGCGAGATGTTCAGATATGATGACCTGATGAGGCGTTTGATATTGGCATGGGATAGGAATTGTACAGCATAAGATACACCAGCTCAATGGAACATTTTAATGACAGCTTTTCTCTACTCAATCTACTCCGCAGCCAATACTGTTATAGCTGTGACAGTTCGTCGGGTTGAACAGTGTTTCTCTACCTAATCAGGACTAACCCCACGCAGATCACCCCCGCTTTACGAAGCTTGGCGGCCTTGAGAAACAGCTCATACTTTCAAGCTGCCCAGTTGTATCTTCGTCTATATGTCACTAGAGGTACCTGCTCGCAAGAATCATCATGACAATTCCTTCCAGACCGAGTGAGTTTGATGCCCGATTTCTCGGCCGCCTGGTAGGGACTAGGGTCACTACGTAGTCTACCTTTGATGACTTCGACCCCCTGCAACAGCTATCTGCTGTCTCTTCCTCCGCGTCTGCCGTCTCTCCCCCTCCGGCCTCGCTTGCTACGACCTCCCTTGCTACGGCATCCTCAACTACGGCCCCTAACCTTTCCTTCTCTGGTTCGCCCCCTCCTCCAGGGGCCGGCCGCTCGTGGATCATCACGACAAAGCTCTCGGAGAGGGCTGTTCATCTCACAAAGGAAGATGTGGATATGGGCGTTGGGTCTCCTATGACGGTTGGCAAATTTCTATGCCACCTAGAGGAGGACCCGGCCCAGATAGCGTTCATGCGAATATATTATCAGATTCCTATTACTGGGACGGAAGACGCTGATCTGACTATACTAGCCCAACAGATCCAATCTCCTGAGGTGTGTGGTGAACTGGAGGCGTCTAAGCTATTGATGAGCCAGGGCTGTAGCTCTGTTCCACGTTTCCTTGGTTACTGCGAAGAAACGCAAGGGGAACATGATCTCGTTCCTGGTGGCCATGTCAAATACCTCGTATGGGAAAAGGTGCCTGGGGAGCCTCTTACAGGGGAAATTTTCTGGAGCTTGGATCCCCTGGTACGAGAGGATATCCGTGCCAAGTTTCGTGTTGCCTTTGAGTCAGTTTATGCAAATGCAAAATGGCAGACAAAAAACGCTAGTATAATTAAATAGAGAGATGCTACGTTGCGGTGTCAAACCGCAGGAGTCTAGAATCTCGAAGATCATCTATGATCAGTCCACTGGCAATGTGTACGTGGAGGATTGTACATTGGGAATATTTACTAATGAGTCCAGTCGCATTTCGGGGTTCCGAAGGGGATGGCCAATCCGTGATCAACTTGAATGGTCAGACACCCGTTACATCGCGTACATGTTGGCTAAGGGACCCGACGAGAGGGACTGGCGTTCTCGCCTGGAGAAATGGCAGTTATGAAAGGTTCACAATGTTGCGGTTTGTGAGTATCAGATTAATTTTTAATTGCTGTTATGCAAGTCGAGGGTTTTATTTATTTTTGGGTGTTGTGGTTCCTACCTACAAATTGAGGGGGTCTCTACTGGATCTTTTGAGGTTTTATTGTACAGTTGGCTCACAACTTCAAGAGTAGCTAAATGTGACGATCTAGAAGTACATAGACTGATTCGACGATAGGAACAAACAGGGCCTGTTAGACGGGAAGTTGACCCACGACCCTTTGTGGCAAAGTGCCCTCTATAGACCTTACGGCTGGTCCCAGGGACTCCGTAGCACTGATCTGCTGAATTCTTGTAAAAACACTGATAGTAGACGAAGAAATTTCTTCATAAAAGAGACGATGTCAATGATTCCCGATGATATACAAATCCACCTGGAACCCTGTCCCACTAGGGCGGCCAACGCCGGTCAATCGACTCTGGCAGAGCCACGCGAGGGCCAGATGGAGCTTACAGTCAGCCCGCAAAAGTATTAAAATCCCTTCTTCTGCAGGGTGATCGGATCATTGGGTCTTCGAAAAGTTACAAGTCTAGTGAAGGTGTGCTACGTACATTCTGTGGGACGTGTGGTGCGACGGTGTTCTACACCTGTGCTGAGCGACCAGGGATAGTTGATGTGGCGGTTGGCATTTTGCGTGCGCCAGAGGGAGTAATGGCCGAGAATCGGGCGTTGTGGAGGACGGGCAGGATAGCTTCTGCCGATGATGGATTGAAGTATGAGCCTGGCTGTAGTCGAGCGTTGATCGAGGGAGTCAAGGCGCGGGGACGTCAGAGGGGTATGCCGGAAGATTTGGTCATTTCGTGAATGTAGAAGCTCATCACGGCGACGTCCGATGCATAACAAACCGTGACTCACCTCGTGTTCAGCCAAGTCGTCATGAACAACAAAAAATAGTCTAGGAATTGGTAATCATAAACTCACCCCAGTCCATAGGTCGGGACAAATCTGTGAGTCAAAGCGAAAAAGTGGGGAGAGTATATAAAGCCACTCGCTATCCTGTCGATATCTCCCCACCCAACTCAGAAGAAAACAGAATGTCTCAACTCAACTTCGTCACTCTCGATGTCTTCACATCAACACCCTATTCCGGCAACCCGCTAGCGGTGGTCTTCCTCCCGGAAGACGAGTCCAGCGCTCTAACCCAGAACCAGAAGCAAACCATCGCACTGGAATTCAACCTGTCCGAGACTATCTTCGTGCACCCAGTAGGCAGCGATAAAAGCAAGCGCACCATCGACATCTTCACCACAGACTGCGAGATCCCCTGGGCAGGCCACCCCACCATCGGTGCAGCCTCATGGTTCCTAAGCCTTTCAACCGACCCCGCAAGCGATACGAACGTCACCACCCTCACCACCAAGTCCGGGGATATCCCCATATCCTTGCAGGACCGCGCGACGAATCATGTTACCGCCCAGATTGCGCACAATACGCGTATCCATGCTGCCAAATTCAGCCTGAAGGAGCTGTTGCGACTGCACCCGACATTGGCTCCGTTCTTCCCGCAGCTGGATGTGACTTTCCCTCTCTTTTCGATTGTCAATGGAATGAGCCAGTTATTTGTTGAGCTTCCCTCGCTTGAGGCGTTGGCTGTTCTCACGCCCGCCACCGGCGGTGAGCTGATTTCTGCGGCGGAGACCGTTTACCTCGATGAGGGGTGGAGAGCGGGACTGGTCGTTGTGTATTTCATTGTCCGGGACATCGAGGACAGTGTCACGCAGCAGAAGGTGATTCGATCTAGGATGATGCTGGGGAATATCGAAGATGCCGCTACGGGCAGCGCAGCTAGTGGACTGGCGGCGTACCTGGCTCTTACGGAGGGAAAGCCTGGCCAGCATCTTCAGTATCATGTTGTGCAGGGTGTTGAGATGGGTCGTCGTAGTGATATTGGCGTTGGGGTGGAGTTGGATGGCGAGAAGAAGATCCAAAAGGTTGTGCTGACGGGCAGTGCTGTTAGCGTGTCGGAGGGTAAGGTGTTGGTCCCTCAAGCTTAGAGAACCGTTGTGATTGGAAGCTTGAAGAGTAATGAGTCAGGCTGGAATAAAATATGTGGAAATTAAATCTATATACAGCTGTACACTGTGGCGTGCGTCAGCCTCATCCTCTCGATCGAGTCCCCGCCAGGCTCCAGGGCTGACCCATTTCCTGAGTCATGAAGATCAAACCTACACTTCCAGCCTTGTTTTTGGCAATATATCAAACGATAAGTCTCATGTCTAATATTACAAATATTTTTGTTATCTTATTCTACAATCATGGCGAAAGCAACAGAACCTGGCCTAGAGCCTAAATGCTATCAGTATACTCGACGCCGCGAGTTACATCCTGTGCCAAAAGAGGTCCAACGTGCAAGATCAAAGGCACAGAAGAGACAACAACCAGAGCCAGGAGAATTCGGGGAGTCCAAAGCAACTCCCCTTTATAGAAGGTATGCGATCTTTCATCTCAGAGCTTCTAGTTCTAACCAAGACTAGATTCTTCTCCCTACCACAAGAAATAAGAAACATAATTTATCGCCAACTCCTGGTCCAGCCGTGCAAATTTGACATTATGCATTTAATCCCATGCAATATGCGACTCTGCCATATGAGACCAGGCCCAAGTCCAATGTATGACGGCCGCGATGGGCCCCAATGTGCAAATTGCCATCCATCCATGTGGAAGAAGCCACAAGTCACGATCTACACCTCCCCCGCACGAAGCCAGTGGGCAAGACCTCATTCTAACGCCTATCTCTGCGACAATTGCTACTGGGACCTAAACGGGGCCGCGGACGGAACTCCCTGCATGAGATATCTCCGGTGTCTATGCGCACGGCGCAAGAACCTAGCCATCCTGATGACCAGTAAGCGGTTTTGGAACGACGCCGCCCCGATCTTTTGGACAGAGAACTGGTTCGCTTTTGAGCTTCCTTGTCTGTTGATAGGGTTCCTGACTGCTCTTCGTCCACAAGTGAGATCGTGGCTGAGACGGATATCCTTCTTGCCCCTTCCTGCTTACGACCGCCTAGAATATTTCGATATCTTCCCTCAGCGGCGGGACCCGGTTTGGAATGGGTGGGATAGCATCGCCCGTTGCTGGAGTTTATTGCAACAATGCGAGGGACTGGTAGAGCTGGAGCTTGATGTGGTCGCTCTGACGCGAGTGAAATGGGCTCGGATTCTTCGACAAGTCCGTGTCAAGAAACGGGTTATTTTCAGTTATCAGCTGTCTGAAGAGGAGCAGGACTATGCTTTCTATGAGCGAGAAGATCCAGGGGCATGGGTATGGGGGCTTCATTCTCGTCGGAAACGATTCGATTCGTCTACTACTGCTTTGATTGCATCTAGCATGATGGACAAGGTTATCAGAACCAAAGACCTGGCAAGACATTATGCCCAGAGCACCCTATCCCAAAGGTGTGGTGTCTATGGGGCGCAGTTTGTCCAGGAAATAATCGAAGGCCGGGTACAGGTCCATGAGAACATGTGAAATACAGCTTTTCGGCTGCTATATGCATCACAGTTTCTTCTCCTCCACCAATTTTCTCAACGCCTTGATTGTCCCCTCAACGGCCATCTGGCTCATCTTCTTCTCTTTCTCGAACAGCGCTGCCAGCTCTTCCTTTGATGCATCGGGGTGCCGCCACTCAAAGATATATGTCATATAGAGCTCGCCGCCAGCTCCTTGGCTGATCACGTTACTGATCTTGCTCCCATCCACCTGCCCGAAGTCCACTCGGCAAGGCTCAAATGCCGTCACGGTTTCTCGTACTGTTTTCTGGGTTTCGCGGAATAGGACCTCGCGAACGGTGACAGGGTTCCCGGTCGATGGATCGACAGAGTCACTTATGACTTTGGTAGATTGGATTGCTCCAGCAACGAATGTCTCAGCAGAGCGGATCTTGAGGAGGAGACCGTTCCAAATTTGTTCGGGCGTGAGAACGGGTGTCGCGCCTGGTGGGTTGATCGGAGCGGTGAAGGCGATATTGTTGGTGGATGACATTTTGGGAAGTTTGTGTAAGGGAAAGGTATAAATATCTGAGGTCTTAGGTCTTGAGAGATGTTGCTTTATAACGGATTTCGTCTGCACTTCTCTTGTGTTCGGTCTGTTTGCAGCGAAGGGGAATGACGAAACTGATAAGCCGATAAGGCTCATCAGCTCTCGGCGCGCCCATGCCCCGGATTCCAAATATAGTATAGATGCCTTACACGGTAGGCCTTTCTAGGTAGATTTTCTCCTCTTATGAAGGGAAATGAAGCAAGAAAAACAAAGCAAGAAAAATAAAGCAGCGAATGCTGGGAAAGTATGTAATTTGTGGCAATTCAATGATGCACTTTCCTAGCTAGAGGGTTCGGGGACTGGATCAACCAGAGAAAATACTCTCAATAAGAATTACCACCAACTTTGAAAAATAAGGCAAAAGTAGGAGACAAATAACAGCGTAGAAACAAAGTCGGTCAAATGCAGCAGCAGCCTCTCCGATGAATCCCCGGATAAAAGCAGCCCGATTTCAAATCCATTGCTAGACATGATCTATTTCAACCACAACATCAATTCGCAAGCATGTAGCAAAACGTCTCACAATGATTCTCCCAGGGTGTCAGGCAGAATCAAAGAATTGCAGATTGCGCCGGGGGCTCATTGTGTTGTCTCATGTGGGTAAACACCCAGTCGATCATATTGTCATCGTACTCGATGTCGAAACTCGAGCGCTTGACGCCAGGTGGAGCCCAGAGTCGGAGCCTGTTCTCATTATCAAGGTAGTTGTGGTATTCATAGAACCGAAGTTGCATGTCCATAGCCAGAATTGCCCAGCACCGGCCCTTCTCAGGGCGGGATTTATCGAGTGCGGCCATGAGCTGCTCCAAGACTTGCTGTTGGGTATCCGTTGGGTTCTTGGCTAAGATCACTGTATGATCAACGAAACCACTCCAAACTCCCGGAGCGACAAACCGGAGACGAGAGATGGCAAATTGTGGATTGTTGTTCTCATTTTGCTTAGAAGAAACACCGAATCCTTGAGTGGCGGGAAAGCAATAAGTGAGAATGATAGACAGCATTGCTCCCATGTTGTCTAAATAGTTGGACCCGCCCTCCCTAAGGCGCATGACAAACTCCTCGATGATAGGGACGGACATGTAGTTGGCCATGGTTTTTTTTGGATTTGGAATCGTTAAAATTTCGATTCTTTCTACTCTTTGATCTCAATTGTTGGGAGACAAGGAGATGGAAGTTGGCGTTGGGAAGCGAGGTGGGGGTTGGGAGATGATGAGATGGTTAGAATTGAGAAAACCAGCACGTAGGCAAATCGGTTGGAGAAAACGCAGCAAGGAACCTCGGGAGTTAGGCATCATAATAGTCCCTTACATGGCCTTACCTACCTAGGTAGTATCCTAATGCTTTTTCGGAGGTTTACAATTCGAGGACTCACCAACCAGTGCGTTACGTGGAGGGGCCCATCTGTTCTAGGCCCCTAATGTCGCCTAGCACACACCTCTCGGGCTGAAAATAGTCAAAGTCCCCTGATCGCACCCAAACCTCAAGGATGGAATGCAGCCGATGAAGGTTGTAAATGCTGCTCCGCACAGGAAAATGCTCGGGCGCGTAACCTTAGCATACTGGGTCTGACATCGATGTATGTGATTCTCGCTTGGAAGGTTTATCGAGAGCTGAACGGTGGAGTCCAATGGAATAGCAACTGTGACTGACTCTCTTTGACATCCTCCAAGGATTACGAGAAGGAGAGAGGGTGTCGTGCTTGGAGTATGACCTATAAGGCGGTCCAGTGGATCCGTGATCTTCTTCTCACACTTTTGATACAAACTTGGCTGGGAGACAGATGGACCGTTGGGATTGTCAGGCTCAATATATGATAAAGGTATTATGACACAGCCAGAGTCACATCGAAATGCAAATGGGAATTGCGAAAAAGAGGAAGTATTGCGATGATTCTAGAGTCATGTGCCTCCGTTTGATATTGAGACTGAAGCTGTCTCCCCGTAAATAGTTTCTTCTTTCCTTTCCTCTCTTGCCCCCAACTCAAGATTTCCTCAGAGCCTCTCCTAGCGTCAAGCTCTGAGCCTTGCAACAAGATACTCTGTTCTCCAGTTTCTACTAGTGGCACGTCCTGCTCGCGAACCATCTCAACCAGATCTTGCCACATCTGCGAAATTTATCGCATCGTGTCATCGGTGTCCCATCGAAAATCATCTTCCCAGTTCCCTATCAGACAGTCTCCAAGATGGCCGTAGGATTTTGGCACGTGCGCGTGAACGGTAGGTGGAACGCATGAGGCTTCATTGCAAGGTACTAAAGAGGGCAACTAGGCTACTGGTACCGTTACTCTCCAGGACCAGATTTAGTTGACCCGCCCGAATCAGCCAAAACATTGGAGATGGTCAAACGAGTACGTGACATACGCTCTGATCTTGACAGGTGGAACCAAGTCCCTTTTCCAAACCCACTCTCTCAGTATCTGGAATACATCTATGCCGCTGATCAAGGCGCAGACACCTTCACTCTTGCAATGTGGTCAACCGTTGATGGCATCCGGACACCGGTCGTACTTGAAGCCAGCCTCTCCGAGATATGTGAATCTTGCCGCATTTCTGTTGAATCTTTGCGACAAAATGCTGCCCTCCGGATTCTTGATTCCACAGAAGATCCCAATCTAGAATTCGATTCGAAAACGCTGGAACCGTGGAATGAGCCGTCGAACTTGCCTACCGTCATGACGGAACTCCAACAACAGTTCTTCGTGGACTTTGTCCGTCAATGGCAGCCCTGGTTTGATGGGGTCAACACCTGGAGATGGGGAAGCTGTGCATTCAAGGCATTAACCATTGCGATCTTGCGTCTTGCCTCGTGGGACTTTGAGGTGTCCTCTTCCGTCATCGACATATTACTGTCGACGTCTCATTTCCCAGATCCTGTTTGGAAGTTCCCAAAAGAAGAACAGTATTGGTTTCATGGATTTTTTGTTATGCTGCAACCTGATCTTGAGTCCCCTCAAGCATTTCACGCGGCAGTCGCTGGAGTCAAAGTATTCATCGATAACTCTGGTGGCACACCTCGTGGAGTCAGGTCTATTCTCATCTCACCCCGTCATGTGGCTTTTGTACAGATTTCAGGGACCAATATTAAGTGCAGCGAGATCATGCCACTGCTAACAAACTCCTCGGGATCAGCAAGTTCCCCAGGGTTTCGCGTGTTAGCCCAAGTTCTGTCAACCGATTGCTGGAAACCGACATTGGCCCACAGAGAATCGTGGGGTTCCCCCTTGTCACTAGAAGCTCTGTCGCGTGTTTTCCATAGCGCGGAGCCGAGGGACAAAGTGGCACTAGCACAAGCTTCATTCCAAGCGGAACAAATCTACTATAACTCAATTCCCCAATTCGAGAAACTTTCCATGCAAAAACTGTTCCTTTCCATAACCTGCTGTGGGAAGCGTCCTGGGTTAGAGGAGTCGGGTGTACGCTGTATTAAATGTCGTGCATGGCAACATCGATACTGTGTTGGACTGGAATTTCCGCCGCCTGACAATTCGTTCATCTGTGCGATTTGCCGTGAGAACCCAGGTTTTACAGGCCTCGACCTCCTAGGGATTGACAGGCATTCTTTACATCACAGGAGGAAAGATTTCATTGTTCAGATTGACGGTTCTACCAAATGTCTTCGGAACCAGGCCTGGAAACCAGGCTATTTCCCTCGAAGGGCACGGAATGGCTTGAGTGAAGCTCTCAAGATTAATTTTTCTATTCGATTCAATGGGACTTTTACGGCACTAGCCTATGGCATTGAGGATGTTTCACATTGACTATGTCCCTTCTGATAAGATCATGAGTTCAATTGAAATGACAGATTTAGTATCAAACACAAGGACAGGAGCAAACTGTAGTCATGAAAGGTAGAGCTCTTAAATATGTGACAATTAGCAAGGCTAACTAGCTGAGCGATTCTGACACTCAAAAAAGGTATAGACATTCCTCGATACCTTCTGTATGGTATCGAACAACCAGAGTGTTTATCTTGAGACAGTTCGAACAAGATTCTGCCTACATGTTTTGCTATCATAACAAGAAATTAATTCCAATTAAGTAAATCGCACCTGTTTTCTGGAGCTAGATCCTTTGTAACTTCACGGAAAGATATCTGGACCCAATAGGACGAGTCCAGTCAATCCGAAGAAGCCGTCTGAACAAAGCTTCACTAAGTGTGTCCAAGAGCCGTTGATCTGTATCCTCTTCTTCTGTATTGTCGAGATTCCGGGCACGTCTTTCAAAGAGGCGGATTATATTGATAGTAGAGTTCGCCGCAATAGCGAGAGTCCAGTCACATAATGTCTTTGCGCAAGGAATAAGAACATCTTGATCAAAACTCGTACATGTATCTGAAATGAGTGACTGAGCTCGTGCCGAAGCGGGATGCACAACGTCTTGCTCAAATAGATCGACAATCTGCCAATCTGCCTCTAGCTCCTTGAGGATAGTATCTACATCCTCTCGCTTTCTGAAATATACCGGTTCCTGATATGCAGCAGCAGTGGGTCGACCGGCAACATCTTGTATAGCGCCACGGAGTGCTTGGATAGGAGAATCGAAGTTCAATTCCCCGTCGATAGGGAGGCACAAGAGTAGAGTTCCGCCGGGCCGCACTTCCACGTGCCGATGTTGAAGGAAGCACGTGAGATCTTTCATTGCCGCAGCGCAAACCTCTTCCGCGGGCAATGGGGTCTCGCGGGCGACTTGCAAGCATGGGAGCCAGTTTAGAGAGCTCGTAGAGACACCTATGTCTACCGAGCCCGCTGGAAGGACCTGCTCATAGTAGCTTTTTGGTGCCATCAGAGGTAAAACCCGGGGTCCCTCGAGAGTATTAGCTGTGAGCGAGCTAGAGGAGATAGCTGAACATAGACTGTTAAAGTCATTGGAACAGGTGTCATTGAAAATGATCGTTGCGGTTGAGTAGGATGACAAGCAAGCTACTAAACTTTCAAGGAAGATGATTCTAAATTCTCAGCAGATCGCAACAATCAATATCAATATTGAAACTTACGAATTGGAGCCCTCTGAACATCCGTAGTCGGCAATTGTGACATTGGAGCCAGTCTGGGATACCGTGACTGGTAGAAGTTTGAAACAAGTGCTCAAAGCACGACGTTGGAATTGTGAATTTTCATTGTAAACTCCGGCTCCTCTCATAGATACCGGAGTATTCATAGTCTTAAACGTTTCGTTTTCCATACTGCCTCTAGTGGGGGTGAAATGGGGTGAAATGGGTGGATCAGGCAAAATGCGCTTGTAATAGTCACTTTCTCAAGTCAATGAACAATGTGGCCTTTTATGGGAGTTTAGCCCTTCAAATACAGGACTTCTTCTCATTTGAGAAGTCCAAATGATTGGCCAGCGATGTGATTCCAAAATAAACACGAAGTACGACGCCCATGAATAACTATTTTAGGAAAGACAGCTGCCTATCGTGATATCATAAATGCCTCATGCAGGATTTTCATTTTCTATGAAGTTCCTCTGGTGATCGCCTCAAACCCTCAACCCCTCCACAACAAGTCGTAGCCATCCTGGTGTTAGACAGACTGAGCGTGTGTGCTAGTTCTTCCTGGACTATAAAGTCCCCAGTTTTTCTAGCTTCTGAGAATTATAGCTTCTGCTTCTTCTTCTTCTTCTTCTTCTTCTTCTTCTTCTTTCCCTCTCTCTCTTCCCCAATAGCCTCGAGAGAATGGCCTAGGATTAGAGTAGAAAATCGTCTCTTGAAAGGTACTCAAAGTGAAAAACTAGAATACTCCAGTTCGCTTCGATGCTGATTATACCAAAACTGATACTTGCTTTGCATCAACTTCTTCTCACTCTCCCGAATCCACTTCATACGTCGCTATTGAAAACATGCATCAAGAGCCGGACCATTTCAAAGCACTCTTTGAATCGCCCGATCACCATGGTTGGATTGGCGACAAATATTCTCGCACTACCTTCCCAACCTCTTCGTCCCGCTTGCCCTCCACAACTCGACGAATAGTCTCGCCCCCTATTTTGGGATCTTGCGCCCCCAACCTCTTCAATGTATCGGTGTTCCCCCCAAGAGAGGTCGCCATTAAGCCCGGAGAGACCGCCCACACTTTCACACCGTCGTTCTTTAACTTATTAGCCCACTCCACCATCAACATATTAAGCCCTGCTTTTGCTGATCGATAGGCAACAAACGGGAGCATCTTGGGTGATTCAGCTGACCGGGAGGGAATATTTGAATCATTGGGACCAGAAGCCTCATGCAGAGAGGACAGGCCACTCGTAATAAACAATAATCTCGGGTCTTGTGATTTGAGCAGGAGAGGAAGGAATCTGATTGTCATCATGTGTGCACCCGTGACATTAACATCCCAGGACCTGTTCCATGCCTGGCGGGTGGTCATGCCTCGATCAATACAGGAATCGAACAAAGCGCCTGCATCAGGTCAGTTTGGTTTGATTTAGTTGGGCAACTCCGTGGTACGAACCGACATTATTGATCAGACAGTCAATCCGATCGTACTTGCCTGCGATTTGTTTGAAAGCTGCATCGATGGATTCATCGCTCTCGACATCTACCACGAACGGCTCTACGGTATTCTGTAACGATAGGGTGGCAAGAGTCTGGCAGGCAAGCTGACCCTTTTCAGCATTGCGAGTGCCAAGCAGGATATGATATCTCCGATCAGAGTGGTAGAGCGCTTTGACAGTCTCCAGCCCAAGACCTGTGTTCGCGCCTAATAGACAGTCAGTGGTGCATTCGATATTGACTACATGAGCTGTATCTACCTGTGATAACGATGATTTTGCAGGGCATTTTTGAATCTGCTTGTGGGTTCAGTCTAGTTTGACAAGGAGAATTACTGCATACCGGCAGACTATATGACTGGTTGACGGATGCTGATGGGTAACTCGAACAGAAACGTATCTCCGAGAGCATGGAATTAATAACCCCGGATCAAATTATTTAAAGCCTCGTGATATATTACCCGAAGGGCTGTCACTGATTACCGTTTGAGTGATGCATACAGGGCCAATATGAGCGAAATTCTGGTCATCACTTGCCCCAGCGGCAAACAATCCAGTCGCTTGATTCCTCTCTTATACAAGCAAGGGAAATTTCGACTCCGACTCGCCGCACACTCTGCTACTTCGGCCAAGAAGCTGGAAATATCTTACCCCGAGGCGGAAATCGTGATAGCTGACCTCCAGTCGCTATCCGACTGTCGTGGGCTGCTACATGGTGCGGTGGCCGTCAATGCCATTCTGCCTAGCTTGCACTCTCGCGAAAAAGAGATTGGATTTAATCTCATCGATGCGGCTGTCGCAGAGTCGTGTCGCGAAGGAAATACCTTCAAGCACTTCGTTTTGTCCAGCGTTCTGGGAACTCAACATCGTGGTCTACTCCAGCATGACTCGAAGAGCTATGTCGAAGAGCGACTGTTGCTCAGTCCACTAGACTGTTGGACAATACTGAAGCCGGGAAATGTGAGAGTTCATGATGTTATTGATTCAATGTTTCTTACTAAGAAAACTGACAGTTTCTCGATGCCTACCCCGTTGCATCCCTCGCTTCGCAAGAGCAACCTATCCTGGAAAAATGGTGGAAGCCCGAGCAACCAAATAGCGTAATTGCTCTTGACGATCTTGCTGCTGCGTCGGCAAAGGTTCTCAATGAGCGTGAATCCCACTACCTAGCTGAGTATCCACTTGTATCGACTCTGCCCATCTCAGAGACAGATATCATCAAGATCATCGAGAAGCGAATTGGGAAGTCTATTGAATTGAAAACGCCTTCTTTTGATACAGGGGTCACTAAACTTATCAGCACCCTATATGGTGGACCTGAGAAGGGGGAAGGGGAAATTGGACTCGGTCGCTCAAGTCCTGGTGATCTACGTGGGGACCTCGTTCGAGATGCTGTTGAGCATTTGATTATGTTTTACAATCGGCGTGGGCTGAAGGGGAGCCCAAATGTGCTGAGATGGCTCTTGGGAAGAGAACCAATTACAGTAGAGACATGGGTGGACAATGTTGCGACGAAGGCTGGATGTTGAGATCCATTTCGTTCTTCTGCTTAAGTCTAGTATAGTTTGATTCAACAAACTTGTGGTCGTCAAATAGATAGCTCTATATCTGAGTACTTCTGATGTCATCCATCTTCAGTATAGGTGATCTCTCTGCTAAGAGCTAGGTATGAATGATGTTAGGTCCTACAATGGCAATTCCAACAACTTAACTTGAAGCAATTGCATATAGATGCTTATACGGGCGGTTATTTCCCGGGATTTCTCCATGTCAGCAATTAGGCCATAGAATGGGGGATATTGGAAGACCGTTTCTGGAGTATTAGAACTCCCCGACCCATGAAACTGCCGAAGCAAAGGTAAAGCTCCTCTCTCTCCCCGCATTGTTTAGGTCAGTTTCCCTCCGATATCATGTTTCATGCCCTAGCTAAAGCCTCGAAGATTGCAACCCCCCAGTAGACACTGCGGACCACTACCCGGGCCGAGGTATTGCCCACCTGTGCCCTACCTAAACAAAGCAAGCAACAGGCTCAACTTGCTTTTTACTAATACTAGTTTAGCTAATCGCCATTGATACATTCAACAATAGCACCTACCGTCAGTGAGAGCCGGAGTTTTGATTTCTCGCTTACACTCGTTTCTATGGCTGAACTCTCTCCAGTGCGTCACATCATTTGAGACAAACCCTTTGGGAGACTAATCATTAAATGATTAAACAGAAAGAATCAGCACCGGGAACACAAGAAGTATATATTTTGTACCATGACATTTATCGCGAAGACCATTGGTTAACATCATGGTCCGACCTAGGAGTGCGGCCGAGGAGCCAATCTTATGCGTCTGTCAGATCCTCCCTCACCAGTGAGTAAAATAGTATTTGGTGAGCGTCAGCCTAATCGGAGTTTTTAAAGCCCTTAGATGCGGATCGAGGAGGCACACACAGCTTCAAATCATTCTATTGTTCAGAGAGAAGTTGCCTAAAATGTTCATATATTTAGATGCTAGTCCCCAAATAGAGTACATGCAGAAGGTACAAAGAAAGGTACTACTTCAACATATTCCCGGACAGTATTCAACATTTCTCGTTTTGGATTCCTCCAGTTTTAACCAGTGATTTCATTCACCAAGCTATCAGTCCTCCAAAATGGCCGATCTGAAATCCACCACGCTTACCCTCATTTTTGGGCCCCAGGATCCAGATATCAGTGGCGAACAATTGGACGATCTTCGAACAGCCCTGCTCGAATCACCGCGTTTTCAATGGATGATAGATCTTCTGACAAACTTAAAACCAGAGTGGTCGACAATCGCTACTGCTCATCCTGAACTCCAGGCTTTCCAGGGTTCGAAGTACCTGCAGATACTGGGCGAATGGATGAGAAGGGGTGTATTGCCTCCGAACATATTTCCAATGCCCAATGTTTTGGTCACTCCGTTGGTCGTCATAACTCAATTGGTGCAATATACCAAGTTCGTCGAACAAATCAACCCAAAGATCATGCGAGAGGATGCTTTGAAGGGGGTATTGAAGATTCCCACCGAGACAGCGGGTTTGTGCACTGGGCTGTTGAGCAGTGCTGCTGTTGCTAGCTCGGGAAGTCTTGCAGAACTCGAAAAATATGGAGCGACTGCCATCCGAATGGCGATGGCGATCGGCGCCTTAGTCGATGCCGGAGACTCGGAAATTGAAGATGGCGATAAATGGCAGTCGCTTGCTGTTGGTTGGACGACCCAGACAGGGGAGATGGAGTTGACTAGTATTGTGGAGCATTTTCCCGGGGTATGTCGATTGCTAATGCCAAAAGCGAATGAATATTAATGGCTGACTTGATGATTCAGGCTTATATCTCTGTCATTTCCGAGGCCCGCCTGGCCACCCTCACTATTCTGAAGAAAGACACGGATAGAATTCAAGAGGCATTGAAGAATTCCGGTTTCATTTTCACAAAGACAACACTTCGTGGACCCTTCCACTGTGCGCGGCGCAAGGAACATGCGACAGCTCTTTTGAATTTATTTGACTCAGAGTCGACTTTCCATTTTCCGGCCAGCTCGCAGCTCGCCTTCAAGACACGAGAAGCCAATGGCTCTCGATTCTGCGACAACGATAGACTTCACCAGATGGCCACTTGTGCAATGCTGACAGAGCAGGCCAATTGGCACAAGCTATTCAACACACTGCATGATTCAACTTCCCTGGCTGTGACCTTTGGGAGCCAGCGTTTCGTACCGCAGTGGTTCCTCCGCAAGCTCGGTCCTAACTTGTCATCTGCAGCCGATCTCGACATACAGGCAAATATTTGCCCTGCCCCGATGTACGCTCTACTAGACCCTGTCCCAGACTACTCGATTGCTGTAGTCGGTATGGCTTGCCACTTCCCTGGCGGCAGAGATCTAGATGAGTTTTGGCAGACTATCTGCGCGGGAGAATCGCAGGCACGCGAGGTCTCCGTGGACAGAGTGAACTTCGAGCACGCGGCCTGGAGAGATAGCAAACCTGGGAAAAAGTGGTATGGAAACTTTGTCCAAGATTGTGATATGTTTGATCATAAATTCTTTCAAAATAGTCCGAGGGAGGTTGTATCGACAGACCCTCAACACCGGCTGATGCTGCAGGTTGCCTACCAGGCTGTGCAACAATCTGGATATTTCAACAAGCGGAGGGCAAGTCGAAATGTTGGATGCTACGTTGGAATTGGAGTCACAGACTATGAGAATAATGTCGCGTGCTATGAACCCACGGCATACACCGCGACAGGAAATCTCAAATCCTTCGCTGCCGGAAAAATCAGCCACTTCTTCGGTTGGAGTGGACCGGGCGTGACGATCGATACGGCCTGCTCTTCCTCCGCCCTGGCAGTCCACCACGCATGTACTGCAATTCTGAGCGGCGAGTGTGTTGCCTCCCTTGCCGGGGGCGTTAGTATCATGACGAGCCCCGAATGGTATCAGAACCTAGGCGGTGCATCCTTCCTCAGCCCCACCGGGCAATGCAAGCCATTTGATGCAGCCGCAGATGGCTATTGCAGAGGAGAAGGTGCGGGCGCCGTCTTCCTGAAAGAATTGTCAATTGCTCTTGAAGAGGGCGACCAGGTTTTGGGTGTTATCAGGGGATCTAGTGTGAACCAAAACGAAAATTGCTCTGCAATCACTGCTCCGAGTGTATTATCTCTCAGCAAAGTCTTCAGCAGTGTGCTCCGAAAGGCGAGGCTGGATCCAAAGCAAATCACAGTAGTCGAGGCGCATGGCACAGGGACACAAGTTGGCGATAAAGCGGAATATGATAGTATCCGCAAAACATTGGGTGGCCCTGGCCGAGCGCAACCGCTAAATTTGGGATCCGTTAAGGGTCTTATTGGCCACCTGGAGTGTGGCTCTGGCATCGCTGCACTGATAAAGGTGTTGTTGATGATTCAACACGGCTTTATTCCCCCACAACCTGGTTTCCGTACGCTGAATCCGAAATTGAAGGCTCTACCATCGGACAACATTGATATTTCCAAAAGTCTCAAGCCATGGCAAGTGGAATTTCGTGCAGCCCTTCTCAACAATTACGGCGCCTCAGGCTCAAATGCATCACTGATAATTACCCAGCCGAACCAAGCAACGTGCGAAGATGCAGATTTGGAAGCCTCTATCGCATACAAGCGGCCATTCTGGTTTTCAGGTTTCGACAATCAATCATTGCGATCATATGCAGGGAAGATGTCCCGATTCCTTCGATCCAGAAAGAAGAACGTCCCTTGCTTCTCGATCCCTAATGTATCCTTTCAACTATCTCGGCAGTCGAACCGCTCGCTGGGAGAGGCGCTTATATTTAGCTGTTCCTCAATTGATGACCTTGAAGCAAAACTTGGCGCTTTTGCAGACGGGCATGGTGAGTTGATATCGACGGCTAGGAGAATGGCATCAAGGCCAGTGATTCTCACATTTGGCGGCCAACGATCCAATTTTGTCGGTCTCGATCGAGAAGCATACGACTCTTTCCCACTGTTGCGCGGTCATCTTGACCGATGTCACCATATCTGCCTATCTTTAGGGCTGGGAGGAATGGTACCCGCAATCTTTGAACGGACCCCGAGAAAGAGTATTGTAGAACTGCAAACCATGAAATTTGCTCTACAGTACTCCTGCGCGAGAAGTTGGATTGATAGTGGCGTGCAGGTCTCAGCGCTAGTAGGTCACAGTCTCGGTGAGCTCACGGCAATGTGTGTCTCTGGCGTGCTTTCGCTCGAACATGCATTGAGGATAATCTCGGAGCGAGCGCGTGTCATTGAAGCGAAGTGGGGCACAGAGAAAGGACGCATGGTAGCCGTTGAAGGCAATTTGGAGGATGTGCAAGGGCTGTTGAAGTTGGCGAACGCTGCCTCGCCAGTCCCTGTCAATATCGCCTGCTACAACGGCCCTCGCAACTTCACCTTGTCTGGCACATCCTTTGCAATGGAGCGTATCAAACAGACAATAATTGCCACTCCCGCCTTTTCTAACATCAAGACAAAGGATCTTGAGACTACCCATGCTTTCCACTCCTCCCTAGTGGATGATCTGATTCCTGAACTTGAGAAGCTGGGAGAATATGTGATATTCCGGAAACCAGTTCTTCACCATGAGCGAGCAACTCAAGAGACTGCTAGCGGACCCCCAGTGTTCACAGCATTTGCTTCTCATATGCGAGACCCAGTCTACTTTGGAAACGCAGTAGAAAGGCTTGCTGAGAAATACCCTTCGAGCATCTGGCTCGAGGCAGGCTCGGGCTCAGGAGTAACAGCGCTTGCACACAAATCCATCAAGTCTAACGGCATGATCTTCCAGTCTATCAACATCACAAGCTCAGGGGCTGTTCAGAACATCACTGATGCGACAATCAACCTGTGGAAGGCGGGGCTCAATATCTCCTTCTGGGAGCATGTCGAACCTGCAGTCAACTACCCCATCCTTTTGCTTCCACCATATCAGTTTGTCAGGTCCAGACATTGGCTAGATCGTCGGAAACCGGAGGTAAAGCAAATCGAGTTGGTCATGCAGGCACCCGAGACACGCACCACTATGTGGTCGTTCATTGGCTTTCAAGACTCTGCCAAGATGCATGCGCGTTTCCAGATTTACACCGAATCAGAAGAATTCCAGACTCATGTTGGGGCCCATTTCATTGCACAAACAGCCGCAATTTGCCCCAGTATGGTTCAGCAGGTCATAGCCCGTGATGCGCTGGCAAGTCTGGTTGAGGACCTAAGTTTACTTCCTACTCTTGAAGGCATGGAGAGCGAGTCCCCCCTTTGTCTGGATGGGTCAAAACAGGTCTGGCTCGATGCAGAGAGGGGTGATAACAACCCGCTGACCTGGTATTTCCGTATTACCAGCACAGAGCGCGAGGCCCTGGAGACTATACAGCATGTCTCAGGCCGCATAACATTCCAGTCGTCTGAGGATATTAGTCGGATCTTTGATACCTATGAGCGGCTGGTTGATCACAAGCGGGCTCTCGGTTTGCTCGACGGGGAAGAGTCTGACCAAGTCATCAAGGGTAGTCGGAACATCTATAGGATGTTTGCCCCAGTGGTAGACTATAAAGCCAATAGCTACAAGGGGCTGCAGAAGCTTGTCTCCGCTGGAAACGAGTCTGCGGGACGCATACTGAAGCAAGATCCGCCACAAACCCTTCTCAGCGTTGGTCTGGGTGACAGCTTCTGTCAAGTGGCTGGAGTCTTCTTGAATTGCATGACGGACTGCGATGACGGCAAAATGTATCTGTCTAATCGGTCTGATATGTGGATGCGTTCACCCAGCTTCCCAATTGATGTAAGACCAGAGCGATGGGACGTATATGCGCGCCACCAGAGATCGCCAAAGGGGTATTTGAGCGATATATTTGCCTTCGATGCTGACAGCGGTAAACTAGTATGGGTAGTCTTGGGTCTTCAATTTGTTGAAGTATCGATTTCCGGCATGTCCCGACTCCTAACCAAATTGACTGAGGCTCAACCTGCGCAGCAGGCAGTCATCGCTGCAGCGGTCAGACCAGGCACGCCCTTAGCCGAACCCTTTGCCAAAAGGATCCCCCCAGCCCATGTTTTCATAACCACTCCGCCAACTAGCATCACTGAGCCCGACAGCCAGAAGGCCATCACAAAAAAAGAGGAAGACCCTGACATTCTCGGTGGTGTTCGGAGTTTGTTGATGAACTTGTTGGGGCTTGATGCGGATGAGATACAACTTCATTCCGACCTCGTCGAGCTGGGCATTGATTCTCTCCTAGCCATGGAGGTGGCTCGGGAAGTTGAGAAAAAGTTTGAAACCAAGTTTGAGCTCGAGGAGCTCATGGACATGACAGATGTTCGGAGTCTGGTTAATACTATTCGAACTAGCAAGGGAATAACAGCAAGCTCTGACTCCTCCCCGGGGATAGATGGAGACCGTAGTGATGAGCTTGTTATGACATCCTCGGTCAGTGACTCCATCGCTACCCCAGGAGGAGATGTTAATGGCGACATCCCTGGGATTTATAAGACAGGGGAAATTCAACTCTCGGCCCGCCGCATCACCGATATCTTCACAGAGACAAAATTACTCAGCGACCAATTCATCGAAGAGAATCAGCTCTCTGGATATTGCCACCACGTCCAGCCGAAACTAACGGAGTTGGTTGTTGTATATATCTTGGATGCCCTGGACCAAATGGGATGCTCGCTTCGCTCTGCGCTGCCCGGGGAGACAATCCCCCAAATCCCTCACCTCCCAAAACATGACAAGGTCATGGCTGTCTTTCGAGACTTGTTGGAAAAGGCCCGTCTTGTGAGTGTTCAATGCTCCACAATGACTCGGACAACTATTCCGGTCCCATCTAAACCCGCCTCCAAGTTGCTGCAAGAGCTCCTGCATGAATATCCCGAGCATTACTATGATCATATGCTCACCAGTCTGACGGGTACCAAGCTAGCAGATTGCTTGACCGGGAAGTTGGAGGGTATACATTTGCTGTTCGGCTCTCCTGAGGGACGAGAGCTGGCAGCGGGTATGTACGGGAAGTCCCCCATCAATATGGCTTGGCTGCGACAACTGCAGCTTTTCTGGGAGCAATTTATGGCTCAAGTCCCAGCGCACTGCGAGGAACCTCTCCATATCTTAGAATTGGGTGCAGGCACAGGCGGCACGACGGCGGCACTATTGCCGCTTCTTGCGCGGTCGGGTATCCCTGTGAGCTACACGGCCAGTGATATCTCACCTTCGCTAGTTGCTGGACTTCGGAAGCGCTTCAAAGAGTACCCATGGATGCGGTTTGAGGTGGTGGACATTGAAAAGGAAGCCCCTGGTAAACTTCTGGAAAGTCAGCATATTGTGCTAGCAACGAATTGTGTCCATGCCACGCACAATCTGGCAAAAACCACCAAAAATATTCATAAAATGCTTCGTCCAGACGGCTTCCTTACCCTACTGGAAATGACCGAGCCACTACCTTGGGTTGATTCGGTCTTTGGGCTGGTTGAAGGGTGGTGGCTATTCAATGATGGTCGTCATCACGCGCTTGTTCAGCCAGAGATTTGGGAAAAGACCCTACACGGCAGCGGATATGGGAAAGTTGAGTGGACCGATGGCGATTTGCCTGAAAATTCCATTCAACGGCTTATCATAGCCCTTGCCTCGCCTGAGAAACACAGCCGGGTATCCGAGTTTTCCCTTCCACCTTTGAAGACCCCGGCTGACTTCTCTGCCCGTCAAATAGTAATCGACTCGTTGGTTCACAAACACATCGATGGCTTTGTGGCCCCGAGTTTGCCTCCCATTGGTAAAAGTACGCGCCGTTGTGTACTAGTCACAGGTGCCACGGGGTGTTTGGGTTCTCACATCGTCGCCCACCTGGCCGAGCTGCCCGATGTGCGAAGAGTAATCTGCCTGAACAGGGGACGCGATTCAGACGCAGCCGCACGACAGCTTGAGGCTTTGGAATTGTGGGGTCTCCTCGATGAAAACATTTCGAAATTGGATGTCATAGAAACTGACTCGTCAGCGCCCACCCTTGGTCTCTGTCCCCAGAAATACCAGTATCTTGTCAAGAACGTAACTGATATTGTCCATAATGCGTGGGCTATGAGCATGACGCGTCCGGTGCGTGGATTTGAACCCAAATTTAAGGCCATGCGCAATCTGATTGATCTGTCTCGTGCCTGCGCGTCGGAGGGGCGAAAAGTCGGATTCCAGTTTATTTCCTCCGTCGCGGTCGTCGGATGTCACCCGTTCCTAAGTGGTCAGGCAAGAGTCCCGGAGCAAAGAGTCACCGTCGAGTCGGCGTTGCCGATGGGATATGCCGATGCCAAGCTTGTCTGTGAGCATATGCTCGACAAGTCTCTGCACCGGTATCCTGAGTCCTTTCGCACGAGTTCCGTGAGAGTAGGACAGATCTCGGGATCTAAAGTGAATGGCAACTGGAATCCCGTGGAGCACCTCGTGCATTTAATCAAGTCGTCTCACACGCTCGGGGTGTTCCCAGCTCTCGATGGAGTATGTCTATTCAACTCCTTCACTCCCCCTAAGCTTTAGTCTAACATTTCCTTAGGTTCTGTCCTGGTGTCCCGTTAATGATGTGGCTGCCACTTTACGAGATCTACTCCTAGGAGATCAGCCTGTGTACCCTATCTACCACATCGAGAATCCAGTGCGACAGCCGTGGCCCGAAATGGCCGTCATTATTTCAAAAGCACTGAATATCCCCCCGACTAGTATAATTCCATACGAAGAATGGCTTCATAGCGTGCGTCAATTCCCACCCAGCTTGATGGCCTCCGAAAATCCTGCGGCGAGGCTGGCGGACTTCTTCGAGATGGATTTTGTGCGCATGGCCTGCGGTGGCGTGATACTCGACACAGCCCATACCAAAGAGCATTCTGAGACATTTAGGGGATTGGGTTCGATTGATGAGTCCTTAGTTAGGAAGTATATTCAGGCGTGGAAGGAATCTGGGTTCTTGCATTCATAACTCTTCGAGGTAGCCTGTGTTCATTTACGTCGACGGCTAGTCTGATGTCATTTACACCAATACAAGAGACCTACGGAGTACCAGCTGCGCCAAGAAGAGCTTGATATTGAATGATCCCTGATAAGCTATGGCTGTGATGATAGCATCGCGACATAGGAGTAAAACGAGAAACTGAAAAAAAATGACCGCTCCGCATCAGGGGGTATTGTAAAGTACATTGAAACGCAAGCCATGAAACCCAGAGTCTAGAGACACCAGAGAAAGAAAGTCTCTGTTAGACTTGAAATCACCAGCTCGTCAATCGCTTAGCTCTGTCGAATCCACCTCGCAGCTGCCACTCCGGGTGAACAACCTTTCCTTCCAGGACGGTGTAGTTCACAATCCCTTCACAGTGCTCTGGCTTGACCCTCGCCAGCCAGATCATCTGCTGTTCTTTCTTGCGATAGACGAGCACGTTCGCAGAAAACTTGTGTCCTCCAACGTGAGAGACAAAGTAAATGCCCACGCCGCCAGGTCGGTCATCGTCCATATCCCGATAGAGGTTCCTCTTGCGCAAGTGACGCTCCATTTCCTTCTTGATCAAGGGAGCAGTGATTCCGCAGCGAGCATCGCGGCGCTTGTGGGAGCACAACAGAATGACATAGTCATGGGGACACGGGCGCGAAGTCAATCGCGAATCAGTAACGGGCTGGGATGGACTTCCCAGTGGCACATCAATGAATTTCTCGACGACATGCTTGACATCCGAGTAAGCAACCTCGTCCACGAAAGTGAAGGATGGCAGCAACAGAATTGTGGTCTTGGAGCCCCCAGGCACTTCTCCGTTGGGCCCATTGAGGTTTGAAGCCGAAATCATGATGCGCTTTTTACAAAATTAGCATGTTCTCACATCGCTGCTGCTAAGTCAAGTAAACAAACCCCGTGCTTGGACTTGCCCTCCGATTTAAAGGCTTCCATCAAGCTCCCTTCTTCCTGTTCGATCTTGGGAGCCCAATCCGTCTTTCCGGTTGCAACAAGGACGTGCGCGTGGAACTCCTTGATGAATCCATACATCGGAAGAGTAGTGTCGATTTTGACATTGTTAGGGCACTTCACAGTGCAGTCATTGCAGTCGTCTCGGCAGTTAGCCCCGTCAACTTTCGGATCGACTTCGGGAAAGATGTATTTCTTGCGCCCAGTAGCGATTGCTACCAGCGAGCGAAACATAGCGCAGTTGAGGATGGAAGAAGAGGTACGAAGAGAAGACACCTTTTGTAAGTAACCGGGGACTTGGGTGGGCCCTGAACTTATTTTGAGCCGCCGATCTACTCGGACTTAAGCCCCGTCGGACATCGGAGTTAAGGCCGAATGGGGTTAATTTCCCGAACCTCGTCCTCCCGACTTTGGGATCGACGAAGACGTCTGCTTAGCTCTTTCCCTGTGGGCGAACCGATACAGGATATCACGATCTTACATGTCTGTGCCTTTTATGAGAGGTGATCAAGACCCGAAATATGACAACGCAGACTATGTAGGTAACTTTCCCAAGTGGGTTCAATCATGCGTTTCTTTGTGGAGCCCGGTCATTGGATTATTGCACAGTCCTTCCGATGTGAATTGTGAAGCCAGGGCAATGACTAAACATATGTGTGCCTACCGGTAGCGCAAATTACATATGGTATATCTAGGGTGGCTGACAAAGGCTCTACCGGATGTGTCCCATTTGAATTCAGATGAATGAGCAGATGACCTCTCGAGAGCCCACCGGGTACAATTCCGTTCTCTCCTTTGGGTAACCTGAAAGTTGCTAAGACATTTGGATTTGACAGAAGGTTTGGGCTCCCAAATCTTCCTCCATGACCCATAAGCCTACCTACATATGGCGTTGTAAGGCCCTCGGCGCTTTGAACTGAAGATCTTCGCTATAGCATATCACAACTCGCCAAGAGTGTCTTTCTTAGCGAGGCGAACAAATCGAGAAGTATGCACCCGTGATAGGCCCTGAGCAAGTTCGTCCCAAGAGAACATTAAAAGGTTCGAGGGCTGAACACGAGTCTCTGGGAAAGTTCGAGACCGCGATACCCAAGAACTCATGTTAACCACTTTGGGACATTGATCGCCCAGAGGTACTTTGGTCGAGGTAAGCAGCGGTATTTCAATCCCCTAGGTGTGCCTAGAACTGGCGATATACGCCATTTGTCGTCGTTCCACGCACTATTCATAGTCCTATTTCAAGCTTACCAGCCAGTGACTGTGGGGGTCGGGCCAAGCGGTTGAATCAGATATCGTACCCGATTATTAGACTTTCAATCCATTATGAGGCCACAGAAATGCATTTTATAAGTATAGCAATATAGTAACAGATTTACGAGGTAGGGTACTACAGATGTAGTGAGCCTTAGTCAGTCTTACTCTGGCGAGGATGTGCCTCGTCTTCCGAACCTTAACGTGGTTAAGCGTCTGGACACCAATAGCTTATGTAGCTCAGGAGGTAGGGTATGAGACACTCCATAGGTTTCGATAAGTAGTGTGTACAAGGAAACATAGCTAGGTAAACTAGATATACTTCGAATTACCTGGCGCGGAAATTGATACAAACTCGAATTCGACAGGTGGCTAAGAACACTACCAGTGAGCAAACCTCTTGCGAGAATTACCACACTCAATGTCAGAAATTGAAATGGCAGCGAAGAGTCGTCGGCAACAGAATAGTCTCGCGTGCGAGGAATGCCGCTCACGGAAGCTCAAGTGTGATATGAGCGAACCCCAGTGTGGATCCTGTTGTAATCTCGGCCTTACGTGCATCGCCAATCCATTGCGACGGCCAAGAGGACCACGCAAAGGACACGTGAAGATCCTGAAATCCCGAATCGGTGGGATGCTTTCTCGCAGATTATCTAAACCCAGCCCTTGCTAACGAACCAGGGACAGCGACCCTTGAGCGGCAATTATACGGCAACGTCGAGGTCCACCCCGGCTCCCCTCCAGAGATTGGAGACAATCTGACATGCGATTCCTTGGAAGTGGATAGGGTTGTGGGAGCAAATATCGGGGATGCAGCCATCGACCATGTCGGAGTGACCTTACACGGTGGGTCAGATTGCATGGAGCGTCTGATGAGCGCACAACCGACGGAATTTCCTGAGTGGGCTGAAGCTATGCCCTTGTATTTCGAAAGCGAATCGAACCGGAAACAAGAAACCATTTCCAATCTTATGCTCCTGGCACCTTCATCGCCTTTAGCAATGACCCAGAGGCCCACATTGAAGCCAGCCCTGGATGCTAGTGTTGTCCTTTCAGACCTAGACTCTAGAATTGTGTCATTTACGCCTCCCGTTCCCGTCCAAATAACACAACTAGAGTGTGCAGATCTGTATGCTTCCCCCGCGCATTTAGATGTTACAACTACTTATTAGGACCAGGGATGACATGTTCTTCGATAGAGCTTACCTATTCGCCCCGATAATCAATCGGCAGCGCTACTTTGCCAGAGCCCCCGGAGATTTGGGGGAGAGCAAAGCGTTTTACTGTCTACAAAACGCCATGCGCTTGCTTGCAGGATCTCTGGGAAGCCAGTTCAAGCCCATGCTTCCCATATTGTACACACACACCAGTGCAATATTGGACTCTTGGCTTCAGGACGTATTGGACGAACCCATTCCAATAGAGATAATTCAGGCACAGCTGCTGCTAGCCTTGTATGAGATTCTGAAGGACAATCCGCAAAAAGGATGGACTAGTGCAGGAAAGTGTTTTCTCTTGATCCGTCGAGAAAAGTTGCATCAGATAGACAACCCCAGCATTAGTCGGTCATGTCGAATATCGTGGGTGGAAGATGAAGAGAGGCGACGCACTTTCTGGACAGCGTACGCGCTCGAGCGGTATGCCAACCTAGTGCACGGGCAACCTCTTGCATTGGATGATCAACTGGTAAGCTTCATGAGGTAGCGAAAAAAAGGAACTGTTCAATCGTACCTAATGGGTCTGCTCTCCAGATACTCACACGATTACCCGCCATCGAGACCGCATTTCTACGAAAGGAAGGAATCATGACCGAATTCCTACCCTCGGCGATGTCTCAAAATAGTAACCAGCCGCTCTCTGCATTTGCGAGATCAATGGTCGTAGTAACCATTCTTGCACGATGCCTGGCGCATCAAAACCAGTGCAATGTCGAACGCATCACGGATCCTACATCAAAGGAATATCTGGCACGGCACCGAGCGTTGGACAAGGCATTAACTCGGGAGATTGAAGGGACATCATGCCACGACTCGACTGATCTCGAGCTTCGTAATTCTACCAACTTGTTTATCGAGATGATCACAGAGGCCGCTGTCATAGTGCTATTTAATGCCCTTGGTCGCGTCTCTGAACGCCCTGGAGACCTGTATCGGGCATATGAGAAACGAGCCTGCAAGGCAGCAGAAGGTATCCGTAATCAGGCACAAAGCTTGAACCAACTGGGCTTTTTCAAAGTGAGTCCCGCTACCGTTTGAGGTATTGAAGTTGTTCTCACGCAGACAGATCCACCCGTTCACTCCAATTGCACTGTTCATCTGCGGCGGCTTCACTCGGTTGGGCGAGGCGTTGAATCCACAAGCCGACGAGCACTTAAAGGAGATTTTATGCTCGCTGCAGTACTTAGCAACTGCGAACAACCTTGCAGGGATACTGCATCTCGAGCTTAAGCACAAACCGAGGAAGGAGATCGATAATGAGGGGGTAGTAGGGTTTTGGTAACGTACATGACTGGTGGGAAACTTTGGAGCCGGCACGGCAAGCAGTGCATCTATATATTGTCTTCGGTCATATCTGCGGTGATAGCTCATCAAACACCAATAAATACCCAGAAGTGGGTCATTCTATAAGAGAGATCGTGCCTGGCAAAAAGTCGTTTTGGCTGAGCTCTAGACATACATTCTCAACCCTGATCTTCGACTAAGACTGGATCCGCAAGTTGACCTTGAAACATCATCGATTTTTAAAAAGATATCAATATGCAATGTGGCAAGCTATTGATTGGGAGATACCCCTGAAATAACACAATGGTCTTCGGTGTCAAGTCCATAGAAGGCAAGACGAAACCCCGAGGCCGATCGGATATTTCGCCCGTCGGAGATGCCAGATTGGGACATTTTCGGAGATATCGGATATACCCTTTTCGATCATTTCGCCGGTATACTCCATAGCTGGGGGATAAAGATATAAATAGTCATCTGATTCTAAGAACCCAAAGCTTGAACAACCAGCAATTCAAGACATACCTCCCCCAGAAACCACAAATTCCAATTTAAAACTCCGCTTTGCATCCACTCTCACATTACGTTGCAATCGTCCAAGCCCACACACAATGACCCAAATTAACACCGACGATGCTAAGGCCCCGGCCTACACCCCCCTCGACCCCGTCGAGTGCGACAAGCCTGAGAAGCAAGAGCCAGCACAGTAAGTTATAGCCCTTTTCGTTTCCCTTACAGCGCTATTCTAGACCTGGACCATGTCAACTAACATTCGCTTAGCACAAGCCCCAAGGCGGATTGCATCATCCACGGGCCCAGCCAAGTCCCTCTTGTGGACAACGAATTGCAGAAGTCGCAGGCAGCGGAGATCATCCGCACTGTGACAGCAGCACTGACTGACATCGCCGATGAGAACAAATGCACTAAGTGCACGGTGGAGAACATCTCGACTCTACTCACAGGCCTCGTCCGCGATCTCAGAACAGTGAAGCAGAGTGGTGCGTGGTCGAAGGAAGACAAGAAGGCTTTCAAGGCGGAGGTCAAGGCTTTGTTGAAGCCAGTCAAGAAGGATGTGAAGAGCCTTTGGAAAGCGAACTAATAGCTCCATTCGATGTTTTCTTTATGACCATGGCAAGCAGAGCAGTGTACACTAGGCTATGGTTTGCTTTCGGACGATTTTAGCGTTTATGTTTACAACAACAGCCAATTCTTAGAGAGAGATACGCGATGTCTCTTTCTAAGGATTGATGCTTAGGAATGGGAAATATTGTTATCTGAGAATCCATATGTTTATTTGAACTTCTGACTTTCTCCCATGCATAGATAGTGTTACATTATAAGTAAACCATACAGAAGCTGGCAATTGAGGACATCTGGTATCTAGAAAATCACATTGATGTACGTTCATGTAGTAGTAGAGGTACGTTGCCGGATCGAAAGCGGGAAGACGCAGAATTCAAGTGGGCTTCTCCACTATCGCAAATTGCACTGGATTATGGAAATTGCAAGACCACCGATAATATGGAATCTGACGTCAAATTAAGATTTCTGAGTCCCACGGTACTTGACACGCGCTAAGTCGGAAGCTTAAGTCAAGCATCACCTCCCGGCTCGAAAAGCACTGGGACCAATTAGCAAGATGCAACAACATGTCATCTTGCCCCTAAATTTGGCAAGTATCAATACGACTTTTATCATGTCCCTACGACTTCTCATCGAAAGTCGATGTCCGAGTTGTGACATCTAGACCTTCAAAACTGTGAAACTACTGTTGAAGCACAAACCACTAGATGCCTGACGTTATCGGTGATATTCAGGCTTTGAGTGGGTTTCCATAAATGATAACTGAGAGATCCAGGGCATAACATTATTATATCAGTAACCTTACATTTGGCGACTGATATCGGAAAATAATGAAGGTTCACACCTCGTAGGAATTTTCCCGGTGAGCATTCGTCAATATGTTGAGCTGTGATGGCAGATGGAAGCCATTCAAAGAGTATGAAGTACACGTAGTGCCAAGAAGAACTATACCTAGCCAGAGTTAGGAGAGACCCTGTTCACGCTAGAGTTAAAGCAGTATAGCAATGCTGACAGGCTTATCAGGTGACGAACCCCTCCCACTACACATTGGTTTGGTGTGTAACCAATGTCATTCCATTTCGGGTGCCAACTGCCTTGCTCGGTCTACATTTAAACTCAATTTTTGCTGAAATTCGGGTGCGCTTTGTTCATCTGGATTTCCATTTTGAATGTTTCATGGTTTCTAGGGGCAGTGCATCTAGTTCTCGAGGGCTCATAATATGGTGTCATGGCTGAAAAGCAACCAACTGATCGTCTTCTTGATTGGTTACAACAGCCAGATTATCCCGTTCCCCCTGACCCAGCCCCGGGCAGAGTTGACGCGGCTTCTATCCCTGGACAGCGCCGTGAAGGTTCAAGTGTAGCAAATCATCCACAAAACTCGTTGGAAGATATTTTGCAACATGATCCATCGATGCGCAATGGGCTTCCAGAGGCAATTAGCCTACCGGATTCCCATGCGTCTTCTTCCAATGCCGGCGAACATGGCCTCAATCAAAATTCGCCCAAAGATTCATTGGAAATCATTTTGAAATCAGGTCCGCCAGTGATACCATCTGCTATCCCATTGCCTGGTGTTCGAAGAAAGAAGAGAAAGTCTGGGTCTGCATATGACCAGACCCTTGAAAATGCCGGAAAGGTCTTGGAACATATCAGGGAAGGAAATGTTCGTAAACACTCTCGTCACCAGCGAACATCAATTGTCTGCTACGATTACTCGAACAGCGTCAGATCAGAACCAAAAACAATTCAAAAGGCTAAAGATATCGCATCTCTGGCATACACGGGACCAAATATACAACAGCGCCTGCTCATTGTCGAGGATTTGTCGAAACCGACAATAAATGCCCTGGGAGGAACTTTCGGCATCAATCCAGAATTCTTTGAAGAACATCTACTAAATTCTGGATATGCGGGTGCAGAATATGACATGTTGCCGGCTCGAATGTGGGCCACGGCATCACTGAAAAAGTCCTATGTGTCAATGCGGTGGATCCGGCCTGTTTACCGAGTCCCCATGTATTCTTCAAATCGTAGCATGAAGGATCTTGCTAAAATCAGCATATCTGGGAAGGAGAATCCAGTCGAAACTGTTGGTGACACGGGCAAGGTGCCCCCAAAGATGCAGGGCCACATTGAACACTTCACACGCCATGGGGTTGTTACAACGCGAGTTTCCACTAACATATTTCGATCGGAGTGGCGTCTGTGGACAGACCCCACAAAGGCATCGAGTACAAAAAGGGAATGTGGATTGGAAGAGAGGGTATCGGTCTGGAAAGGGCAGCTTACAGCCCGTGACTGCAAGATTGGTAAGTGCTCGAGCCTTTGAAGGTGAATAAAAAAGTATAACCATCGCTCGAGACTGATTGGTACGCAGTGATTATGCTATTGGATCCATTGCCAAAAGTGGAAGAAGAGCATCCAGCAACAGCTACTAAAACATATGACTGGGGTCTCTCCGAAGGAGATGAGGACTTGAATATCTCCGAGGCAGATACTGACTCGGCTGAAAAGGGAATTGCTCATATCTTATATGGGACAAGGTCTCCGTTCGCCAGAGATGGACCCCTCCCAATGAGATGGGTTCGAACTATCAAAAGACGGATGGATAGAGGACCTGTACGTTCCATGCAGTGGAAGAATAATTTGAAGCAGAACGAGCGATTATCGTCGATTAAAATCATCATCGAGCACATTGCTCCTCGTCACGAAGTCACTGTTGATCTAGACCATGTCTTTCAAACACAAGAATCTGCGGCTTATTTTGGAAAGAATCTGCAGTCCTCCACATCGACATCTGACGGGGTTTGTGGAGCGCTTGAGCGGCATGCTGGATCAGTTGGCTTGGGCGGGCCGTTATTCCAGATCATTAGACAAGACACCTTCACACTTCTTCGACAACTAGGCCATGTTCTTGATGAAGTGGAGCTCGGGGTTCTTGACGTCACTAAAATGGAAGATCGCTTATCTTCATGGCTCCAATTGATAGGTCGTGCACAACGAGAGCTTCCAGAGCTCGAAGCTTCCATAAAACCATTCATGGCCTGGCTTCATCTGAATGCAATCGAAGACAGCCCAGCTGGCGAATCGCAAGTTCTACAAGATATTTGCGATCTTTCGGAACACATTAAACAAATGTGCGATCGGCTCCAGCGGACTTCGGCCTTGTTGAACTCCAATATGGGCCTCCTGGGTAGCCGGCGTTCTATCGATGAGGTTCAAGCTGTGAACAGGTTGACTGAGCTCGCATTTGTTTTTATTCCCCTATCATTCACAACATCAGTCTTCGGTATGCAAGTGGAGCCCTTTGCTGATCCCGTTCCCCTACGATCATTCTTTATCCTTGCTGTGGGTATGGTGACATTTGCTTACTTGATGCGAATGACCATGCGGAGCCAGTGGGTCGCTTACCTCAAGATGGTTGTCAAATATGATATTCGAAGATACGCAGAAAACCACGGACTGCCTATTCCCACGCGATCAGTCCCAGTACTCCTAACCGTTCGTTGGATAGGGAGCTGGTTTGACCTCAGTGGTATAAAACGAACTTGGACGCGGGCAATGCGACCAATGAGGAGACTATGGGTGAGGATTTGGGACGTGTCTGGTTTTTTAATCCTCTCTGTCTTGTTGAATGGATCGATTTCAGGGATACCAATAGCTGTTCTCTGGACACGAGATCTGGATCCCAGTACTCAGGGGGCCGTCACTATCGCGATTGTCATTATGGTCATCGCCAGTGTGGGCATTCCATTTTGGCACTGGTGCGATCCAGACTTTCGGAATGCATTTCCAAAATTCCTGTCGGATAGGGTCCATCGCTGTCCATCTTGGGTTATGAAGCCACTCATCTTATTGATCCTCCCCGTGATCTTCATGATAGTCTCTCTGGCACTGATCTGGACTCGTCCACTCACTACAGGTATCAAGGCTGCCCTTACGGTTGGAATTCTCATGTTCGGGATTATTTTCATTGCGCCAGTCATTTTGAGACGAATCTTTTACCGATTGAGTTTCGTTTGAATGTGACGACGTTCTTAAAAAAAGTACGAAAATGAAAATGGAAAATTGCGATATGGAATTGCGCACAGCCAATGTCAGTATGCCAGCAGTAAAATAACCTAGCAGGTGTCTACGGAGGTGTACGCTCTTAGCCTACCTACCTATAACTATTGAGGAGGGGAGGAAATATATGTGAAGAGGACTGGTAGACGTACTATTAAGAATACAGCGAGGAACCTTGGGGTACTACTGAGAAGACATCATAAGCTTGCAAACGCAGCATGGAAACCTTCGCCTGACCTGGCTGCTTTGCACACTTATGACTCATGACGGTCTATTTCATAGGTAATTCAGGTATTCTAATTTTCTCCCTGCTTAAAAACAGCCACGTTCAGGCCGAAATTCAAGAAAGAAATTCCCGAGCGCCGTATGAAGTGAACCCTCACAGTTCTACACTACGACAGGTTGAGTAAGCGAGTCCAATCGGGGCCCAGAATCAGCTTGTCTAACTCGGAAGATCCAGAGGAGCTGAACCGGACCACAAACCCCGACTCGTGAGGCACATGGATATGAGGGTACAATCAAAGGTTGTGTGCCGCGATCGCTTGAACTAAGTCAAAAGCCAAAAAGATGTATCCCTATGTAGTAATTGTTAATATACCTTCATCAATCGAGGGTAGCACGTGATAGAGTCCATGGGGTTGGGCCTGGAGGACTTTTGTCAGCTGAGAGGGGCGTTCTGGAGATCAACTAACAAGGCCCCCACGTCGACTAAACAATTTCGCAGTCGGGCTTTGAAACCAAGGCAACAATGGGCGGATGTGCTTGTAAGTCTGTCCCTCAATCGTATGAAAATAGCGGATCTGTGAATATCAGTCGTGCTGACGCGAGGTCCGGGAACATAGCGACATGGTCGCGGTTCATACCGATGATTGGCTACCATCATGTTCTCATGATTATTCTGTTGATTCCAATTTCCTTCTTCTGTAAGAGTTTCAAGACCTTGCCAATACCTCCTCCTTTGGTTCTGCCGGAACTAATGTACCCCGTACATTCAGCCGTCTTGATAGCAAGCTGTACTTCTAGCAATATGAGCAATGTCTACTTGCTGTCGCTAGAGTATAAAACACCAAGCTCCCCAATAGCTACATCAACGGGACAGATAAACACAGCGATTGCACAGGCTATACACAATGTGTCGCAATTTGAAGTCGGAGGGGACTTCAAAGTACGCGCAGGGTACATGGGAATCTGCGTGGGCCAAAAGGATGAAGAGTTCATTTGTTCCAAAAACATCCGAATGCTGGCAAATATGGTCCGACTAGACAAGAAGACTGTCATTGACGGGAATACCACCATAGAAGTCATGCAAGACCCGCTCAATCTGATTATGATTGCGGAGACATTCAAGGAAAAGATCGTTTTTGATGGTTTGATGTAAGTGCAACTGAGGGCCCCTCTTTGTGACGTGGTGAAATATGCTCATGCAATGAACGAAGATATATTGCGATCCTGGCGTGCTTCATTTGTTTCATTATTTTGTCGACATTCCCAGGATGGCACGAGGAAATAGACGATGATGGCTCTGAACGTGAGGTCAAGCCATTTCCTTCGCGTCCATTATCCCATATTGTCATGTACCTTTCATTCCTTGGGGCTGGATTTGGGTTTATCTCTGTGTTGTGGCAGCATATCAATAGCAGCTCCACCGTATCGATGGCCGAGACTCTCACTTATGGCGGAGTCACGGGCCATGTTGGAGCCCTCGCGATGTCACTAGGTTGGATTGCAGTAGGCGCAACTGGTTTGGTTGGGATTGGGCTTCACGTGATGATCCTGAGTATCGAGCTTATTCGAGTACTGACCGACGACGAGGATTGAGGAGTAACGTGGGTATCGTGAACGGGTCCGTGAGAAAGCGTTTTTTGGTAAATCCGGCAGTTTCTTTTGCTTCTTTGCTATTTCTCCGGGCTTTTTCTTCCAGAGTTCTTCTAGTTCAACTCTTTGCCCCAAATATCATCTCCTTGGATGTATGTTGTCCCTGGGTTCCAGAGCTGTGATATTGGCAGCGGCGATTGCATTTTAGCCCGATTTGATAAATATTTGCTTAGGAGCGTTGCTCTTCTCCTCTGCCTGGCGCTCAATCTTTTCACAGCAGCACATGGTATTGGTTGATCTGTTCGGGTTGAATATGACCCGGGTGCCCTGGATCGACAATCCTTTGGCGTTGAGTTTTGCACGACTCCTTAGCACTGATCAGCCTTCAAATTGAACCAACCACAGTGGCTCTGACAGATCGTCCCGAAAGATCAAGAATGCACCATATATCCGCCTACCGCAGCATCAAATATACTCAGGGGGGACGGCCCATTGGTAGTCTTGTCGACGCAGGTGTTTCGGTAATACGACCTTCGCGCTGGATAAGGGAAGCGATTTGATTAGCAGAAGGTGAGGTGTGTATCGTGGAGTCTATCGCACATAGTAAAGGGATTTTCAGATCCAATGGAGAGGATAACTGTCGTGTCTGGAGTCCTTGTGTCAGGGCGATCAGACCCCCGAGCGGCCGATATGAAGTGCGCAAAGGGAAGGATGACCATTATCACAGGTAATGATAACAACATCGCTTCATGCAAGCTGTGACGTAGGCCCCGGCAAAATAGTGGTATCATCAAGCGAGGGAGGAAATATTGGATCTCTGGAAGCTGGGGAAGTGCCAAAGGAGGGAGCCGATGCCTGTGACTCGAAGGCGAAAACAAGCTTCCCGCGCCAGGACCCTGTTCAAAATAGCAACTCGGCCCAGTAGCCTTCTCAAACTAGTGACCATATGTGTCTCTGTGCATGTATCTAGGGATTCTTGTGATGCACTGAATGATTGCCAAAACCTTGCTCATATTCCTGCTTCATCAATACCGACCACCCCGCTCGTGAGAGAATTGCCAGTTGTCCATCGCCTTCATTTGGCTTTGTTTACCTTTGTCCTTCACTTTTCATGCTTAAAGGATTTAGATTTCTATGAGATCAAGAAAGTTACATGCAAAGTCCACAGAAGGATTCAAACTGGCGACAAAGGCATAGGAAATCACAAGGTTGTCCATCTCACGCCGAAAAGAGCCATTCAGGCTCCTGGGAAAGATTGATAGCCTTACCAGAGACTCCATTTGCCATCTTTGTCTTCCCAAGATATCCCATTCTTTGCTGGTAATCCCGAATAGTATCTTCCTGCATCTTCGTTGAGTCAAAATGCCAGATCTTAAATGACCGATCTTTAACTTCTTCCAAGCATGACTCGGCCTTCGCTATTTTGGCCGGATCCGCCCACTCAGGTTGTTGAAACAGATCGCAAACACGGCGGCTACTATTGACAAGCCACTGAGTACGGGTTCGTCGAATGTTATCATATGTCTCAAACGCGGCGCGCAAAGCATCGCCTGTAGACACGTTACGATCCCGGACTATCTGACTTGTTTGCTCGGGTATCATAGTGCACAGACAGAGCACATCCTCCACCCCGAACGATGCGCCGGCTCCATGGTGTGGGGTGGATGCGTGTGCTGCATCGCCGACAAGACAGACGCGACCTTTGTTATATTTTGGGAGCGGGTATTCAGCGAGGTCAAAGAGCGCCCATTGATCAAGCTCCTCAGGGAATAGCTCTACAAGATTCCGTACTGGCAGACTCCAGTCCGAGAGGGCGTGTGAGACAGCCTTTCTAGAGACCCAGGCGGTAGTGGGTTTGTCAAGTGGCCACTCGTCGGGGTCAGAGATGATCACCGTTGCACCGATGGTGTTTGTGTTGACTGGGTAGTGAATGAGGTGCGCCTTTGGCCCAAGGTGCATGTGTTGTCTGTGGGTCTTATATTCACCGATGGCAGTGCAGACTTTATCCATGGGAATAAGTGCCCGATACGCGACCTGGTGGCTATACTGCGGGTACGAAGCAGGATCGTCTGCACCAAGGAGAAGTCTTCGGACAGTGGATTTGATACCATCGGTCGCAATAACTTTTTCAAATTAGCAACAACCCGCAGGTAACATCGATGGAGAGGTCACAACATACCAGCATCGGCCTCAACGATGTTTCCATCAGTGAAGTACAGCACCACCTTATCTTTGTCCTCCTCGTCAACAATCATCTCCAGTCGCTTCTGGAGGTGAATCACACCCTCGGGGATTTCCTTGACCAAATCGTCCAGAAACTGATCTCGACGGACGGTCTCCCACCCGCCGATTCCCGCATCGAGCCTCAGCAACGGCTTCTGGTACATCGGATCGTCTTCACGCTGTACCCCATGCCCGTTGATATACCTCAGGTACGATTTCGGATCATTTTGATCCAGTGACACATTGACCGCACCGCCAGATCGAAGAGCGCGCACAATACCTGGGCAGATCTTCTCCATGCACTGGACGGTGTTACGTGTGAATCCGATGCCAGCACCAATCTCGCGAAAGTTGCGCGCCTGTTCAAAGAGTTTCACTTGCACTCCACGGCGAGTGAGACCGGCGGCTAGGACGAGTCCCACAATGCCACCTCCGATGATGGCAATTTCTGGGGTGTTTGGTAGACATGTCATCTTGGGTACCTGGTAGCTGCGGCGCGCGCAACCAGTTGGATTTGATTAGAGGTATTGGGTGAGAAATGAAGTTCCCTATGTGCCCTTTGTTTATATTGTACAAAACATCCAATTTTAAATTCTCCAGGTATTATGCTAGATGACGAGCTTTGTCTATGGTCCGACACAATCAGCATTATCAAAAGTTCCGAATCTTCTATACCCGGCGACTGAAAAGAAACTCCGAAAAGAATGCACTTCGATTTACAGGCAAGATTTTTTATCAAGGCCAAAGTACTCTACTTGAACGTATGCATGTATAGTGAGAATAATATTTCTCCAATAAAATGCAGCCCGTCCAGTGATAAGGTAACTCGTACTGATGGCCCGGGCGATCTCAAAATAACAGATCAAAGTCACAGATATATTCGTCTTGCAATTCCGTCTGATGCTCAGCTTATGCTCCAATTCGTTGAGGTCAAAGATTCGCCGATGTCATTGATTTATGAACAGCCACAAAATAAACAATACTCACATAAAGCACTAAGATTTCTAACAGGCAAGGACATTGTATCATATGTCCCGAGTCCACAATCTATCTCCGACCACGCCGGTGCGGTATGCCACGTTGAAGATCTCTCGTACCACAGGGATAACGTCTTTTGCTTTGATCGGCACGCGATGATCGCCCCCCATTCTACCAGCATTGTACTTCTCAAATCACAATGCTGATACAGTAATCTGCGGTGCAGCTCCAAATTCGGATCAAGCATACCGTGGACGTGAATTGTTGGAATCTTCACTCGGTATTCCATCGGGTCAACGCTGAATTCCTGGCCTGTAGTACACTGTGTCGCGTCGATGAATCCGGCAGGCCTAGAAACCTCTGGATTGAGCCAACGCAAAGGCCCTCGTCCAGCTAATAGGATAGCGAACCGGTAGACTGGGATTGTCTTGTTCTGGAATACTTGTTGGTTCGCCAGGATGCTAGCAGCCAAATGGGCACCTTGGCTGAATCCCAAGAGCCCGACCCATTCACCAGTCGCGCCGCGCTTGTCGTCAGCTTGTTGAGCGGCAAATAGAGAATCTTCAATCCCATTCACAATTTGATATTCATCAAGGATGGGATCCCTTGCATGTACACGAAACCACGCTTTGAAAGGCCCGTAGTCTTTGTAGGCGGCTGTCACATCAGATCCTGGCCGGGCGGGAAGAGGTGCCTCAGCGTACACAAGTCGAAAATGAGAGCTGAGCATTCGCTCTAGCACGCGGCATTGCATGCGGAAAATGCGAGCATTGGTGCCTCCGCCATGAAGACAAAGAATTCGTGGCAGAGCAAGGTTGGTCTGCATAGCAATGATATCTGGCTGGACGCGTTTTGGAACGGTTCCCTCGAGAAAGATGAACTTGTGATGACGGATTATCTTGATGTCACTCTCAAGCGCAGTAGAAGGAATTTATTACCGCCCAGTTTCCATCGGACAGAAGGAGTGATAAACAAATAATGCCCACGGAGTAAATATATTTGCTCTCAGATATGGATTAGGCAGTGGTCAGTAGATCAGGTCCGCCGAAGGTAAGTTATCAGGCTTTGTATCTGCGAGCCTGTAGATGACGCCATTTAGTATGACCATAAGACTTTCCACAGGAGGCAACATGCATTGTGAAAACAATTCGTATTCTGAATATGAAGCTATTGATGTAGACATAGAAGGTGTGATGATAGAGTTTAGAGCGTCAACTTACTTTCAAAATGTAGAGCAAAATCCGTGGCGTCAGAATTTCTATAGAAACATCGATTGGGGGATTTACCGCCTGTTTCTGCTGTGTTTGTATCAATATCACCCTTTGTTTAGCTTCTGTCTTCCTGCTATATTTCTGAGGCAATCTGTATCTGGTGGCCTCTTATCCGGTGAAACATATCCGGAATCCCCGTGGGCCTATTTATGGAATTGTATAGCCCTGATTTAAGTAACAGATGGCTGCGAGTTGGTCATGCGAGTTTGTAGCATCATTTTACATTAGTTGCGTGTAATAGGGATTCACGTTACTCGGTGACCTGCATGAAGGTATGTTATCTACTCCACTCATCTTCCCTTAGGGAGGGGCCGGATACCCGGCCAGTTAGTCCACGAGTTCATTCTGATGACTTTTGCGGAGTATTTTGGATCATTCCAAGGTTGGGGCTGAGAATGGTAAGCCCGAGCTGACATCCTAATATGGTTAATCTCCGATATCTAGGGATCGCGTCACTCGGCCCTTAACTCCGGTCATCTCCCAATGGTACCAAAGGCTTCGGACTTACCAAATGCAGCCAATCTCCGACAGTCCCAATCATTAAGCTTTGTGACCCCGTGAGTATAGCATTGTGAGGGTATGTTTTCTACGGTCAATAAAGCTCTTGGAGATTTCACTTTTGTTTATCTTCATCAATTTTCTCATCTCCTCTTCACCAACGTCTTCACGAATATCCACAATCAAATTTCAAAGATTATTATCCCAAGCATCTTCACCGGCTCGCCAGAATGGCAGACAAGACCGTCGAGCCGTCTGTGCCAGAGGAGAAGCCCCCGGCCCGGCACCTGCTCCAAACGGTGGTACATTGGCATGGCTGAATGTCCTGGGAAGCTTCATGCTTTACTTCAACACCTGGGGTATCCTGAACACTTTTGGGGCCTACCAGACATACTATGAGTCCGGCGCGCTGTTCCACGCCAATTCCTCCGAAATCTCGTGGGTCGGCTCCATTGCAGCATTCATGCTCCTGTTCGTTGGCATTTTCGTCGGCCCGATTTACGACCGCGGTTACCTACGCGCCCTTCTGATTGTTGGCTCGTTGATGGTAGTCATCGGACATATGATGTTGAGTCTGTGTCACGAGTTCTGGCAAGTTCTGCTAGCACAGGGCTTTGCCGTCGGCATCGGGACTGGCTGTCTCTTCGTTCCCTGCGTCGCAATCATTCCCCAATACTTCACAACCAAGATGGGAGCTGCAATGGGCGCCGCTGCTTCCGGTTCTGCACTTGGGGGTATCATCTATCCAATTGTTCTGTACCGACTGATCAATCAAATCGGCTTCCCCTGGGCTGTACGCGTGATCGGGTTCATCGCCCTGGGCACACTGCTTCTTCCGGTCGGTCTCATGCGCCTACGTGTCCAACCGCCCAAGGCGCGCGCTTTGGTTGATCCCACCGCTTTCAAAGACCTAGCCTATCTGGCTTTCATCTTTACTAGTCTTGTTGCGTACATGGGGCTATTCGTCATTCTGTTCTACTTGTCCTTCTATGCAGAGGCTAATCACCTCACGAGTAGCAGTTTGGCTTTCTACCTCGTTCCTATCTTCAATGCAGCGTCTGTCTTTGGCCGTACAATCCCGAATAAGCTGGCTGACCGGTTCGGACCGTTCAACCTTCTCATTCCTGCCACCATGTCCTCCGGTATCTTAATGCTTTGCATGATGGCGGTCCATTCAAAGGCCTCTGTGATTGTCATGGCTGCTCTGTCCGGTTTCATGAGCGGTGCATTGATCGGGCTGCCTCCAATGTGCCTGGCAATCTTGACCACGGACAAGTCAAAGCTCGGCACCCGCGTGGGCATGGGATATGCCATCATCGCACTCGGTGTGTTGGCCAGTGGTCCTAGCAGTGGGGCAATTCTCCGCAACAGTGGTGGGTCCCTGGATTGGCAAAGCCTGTGGATCTTCGGTGGCGTTCCAACCTGTGCTTCTGCTCTCGGATATGCCGCTATTCGGGTCGCCAAGTACGGCGTGAAGCTGAACATCAAGGCTTGAAGATCCGGCTTCTGATTTTTACGGTGATTAGGTTTGCTTTTTATGGACGTGAATAATGGTTTAATGGCTTTACTGGGAGTTGAGGCAGATGGCCCGGCGCTTTGAGCGAAAGTTCAGCACTTACGGGAGGATTGAGACTCTGCTCTGTGGCCCCGAATGGGGGCCCTTTGATACCTAGGCAGATAATTGAAATATTTTCAAAGCTTCAGATTTAAATGACACTTGTAATCGTATTTCCTAGTGTAATGATATTTCCCAGTTGAAAAGTCCAGGTGAACATTCACATGGCGGTCCTAACTCCACATTTGAACGGTGCGACAACAAGCTTCTCCATTTCCCACATGCCCGCATCGGCAAATGGATTGTTCCCTATAATTTCCCGAACTCGGGCCTCGGTGGTCGCATGGAACATCAATACGCTACTACGCGCCTCTATCGGATCATCGGCAGTTCTGGGATGCGCAGCGAGGGTTGGGCCGCCGAAAACGATGGTCCCATCGAGAATGTATGGCTTCAAGTGTGCCACGTGCGCATCATAATGCAAGGCCCAGTCTTTAAGCGCACCGGTCTTAATGGGGACTTGCACAAGGTAGTCGTGGTTATCGGACATTTTGCGGGACGAACTTGGACATGCGGTTGTGGACATTGCGGTACAGTCAGATCTCGGGTTGTCGCAGTGAAAGGCCTTCTCGATTAGGTATTCTCTTCGTCTTGGAATTATGCGGAGATTGAAAGTTCTCACTAGATTGCAACGGACTTCGCAAGCTGACTAGAGTCGGCAGAATGTTTGGAAGGTTATATCAATGGCATCTCGGAGTAAAGTATTTTCAGTTGCATTCCTACCGGCTTGCTAAAGGAAAGGCTAAATTTGATTTGTCCGAGACAGTCTCATTCTCTCGCCATGAAGGTTTCACTCCTTATTGTGAGATCCTCTTAGCTACCGACAGACTAGCCAGGAATGAGTCTGACCATAAGCCGGTGCTGCCGGCGTAAGGTTTGAAACGCTTGATTCGGAGTATCTATCCAGACTTGTGGCCCATATTGGATGCCTGCTAGATCCATAGGGCTATGATGCAAATGGACCGAGATATCTCGCGTGAAAATCAGATAAGTGTATTAGTAGAAACCAATTAAAATACTTAACCCAAGATACTCGGACTAACAAAGCCGAATCAATCTGGAGGAGAAACCACAATCATGGAAAATGCTGACAGCATCCCTCCAACTTCCATCCCCACTGTGGACATCAGCGCCTGGGTCGACGAACATGCCCCAGAGACCGCCAAAGACGAGGTCGTCAATGCTATGCGCGATGCATGTTCAACACTCGGCTTTTTCTATCTCGTCGGTCACGGGATTCCCGAGGAAGATCGCCACACCGTCCTCGAATGCACTCGTCGGTATTTCGCCCTTCCAACAGAAGAAAAGATGGATACTTGGATTGGCAAGGCCATGGGCAGGTCGTTCCGCGGCTATGAGCCATCTGCGCTGCAGGTACATCAGGAGGGTCTATTGCCAGATACCAAAGAGGCGAGATTCCAAAAATAACCAGTTCAAGCGTATTTGCTGACCTTGCGCAAAAAGGGGTTTATCATTGGGCGTGAGACACCGGCAGATGCCCCGGAGGCAGGGACCTTCCATACCGGTCCCAACCAGTGGCCTAGGACACTCCGCGAAGAGGACTTCCGTATCCCGCTGATGGAATACCATGGTAAGATGATCGAGATGGTGAAGGTTATTCTGAAGGTTCTGGCACGGGGGCTTCCTGCACAATGGAACTGTCCACCTGACGTATTTGATGGGTTGACGGTTGATCCCTCTGCGCCCTTGCGATTGCTGTATTATGCTCCTCAGCCGATCAAACGAGCGCATCAATTTGGAGGTGGGTACCTAGAAAGCCAAAAATGTCTGGATAGAGAGTGCTGACAATCTGTATTAAGTGGGTGAGCATACCGACTTTGGGAACGTTTCGGTCCTACTGCAAGAAGAAGGAACCGAGGGCCTGGAGGTTCTGTATCCCCCGACGCGGACTTGGGTGCCAGTGCCGGTAAAGGCTCACTCATATGTGATCAATATGGGCGACATGATGCAGAAGTGGACGGTGGGATATTATCGGAGTGCGACCCACCGGGTGGTCAATTCCAGTACCAAGGCACGGTACAGTGCTCCATTCTTTATGAATGGCAACCTGGATCTAAGATGCCATGCCTTAGATGGGTCTGGGGAAGTGACTGTCATTGGGGAACACATTCGGCGCAGGTTAATGGAGACGATTGAAGGTGAGGCGGGAAGGAAGTTGGCCCTTTGAGAACACATACGTTTTCCGGAGAACGTACTGAGGCAATGTTCAAACGAAAACAACAGCGCATTGTGATGGAATAGCTGGAAAATCTAAGGTCCTATAGGCATTCTTCTTCAACTCATTAGACCAGTAATTTGTAGGTCGGACCCTTTGTACCATGCTCAGCTGTCTCCCTCGTCTCTAGCACGAAAGCACTGCCGGACGCGACAATGACCACTATCATCTCAACTCTCACTATCAAATCCCTTGCGCATACTGAAAAGGTCATTTGGGTCTTCTTTCACCTTTATGGCAATAGGCTGAGCACCATTTGACCCTCAGAATGTTACTTGGGAATTTTGTCCATTGGAATCAGCCTCGTTCTGATATGCACCTCTCCTGCCTGGTTCAAATGAGTTGAGCAGCGACACTTCTTTCTAGATATTCATTTCTTGGCTAGGACCCAGTGAAAGGGCACATCGCGTGAGACTCCATTTTCTTCTTCAACATCCACAATAACCTCATCAATCTCTATCTCATAGCCAATCTCGATGAGAATTCTCATCAACTCTTCTCTGCCCCAGCTACTCCAATGCATCGTACCTTTGGTAGCGCCCAACCAAGATTCATTAGAAGCGCTCTCAAATGCAGCCTCGGAGAAATTTGCCAGAAACCGGCCCCCGGGTTTTAGCCAATTGAAAATGCCACTGAGGATAGTTGTTTGTTCGGTCCTTGGAAGGTGAATAATAGAATACATAGCCATCACAGCATCGAATTGCTCCGGGGCGAATTCCAACTGCATCATATCCCCTTGTATGAGCTGCACGGAGGGAGGAAGTCGTTTTCTGGCCAGGGCAATCTGGGTCTCGGATATGTCATTTGCAGTGACGCTAAGATGTTCACGCGATGCCAAGAGTTGGGTGCAGGGTACGCCGGCGCCACATCCTAATTCGAGAATGCGAGCTGGGTGGTTTGCCTTGACCGAATCAAGAGATTGAAGCATGCGATCGAGATAAGAAAGGCGCAGTTCATGCGTGGGTTGTGTCCAGCTTAGATAGACTTCAGCAGTTTCATCGTAGGCTTTCTTGATATCTTGCTTGATTTGATAGCTCTCGATGGCCTCGGGCATTATGGCGGAGTGCGCTTTGATTGAGCGTGGGGATGCCGTATAAGAATTCAGGTGGGAAATGCAGATGTGAAGGGGAGGAAGGCTATCAATATATATGCTCATGATATCCTTCGTTTTTGTACCATCATTCTGTGATCGGACCTCTTCTAATCTAATTACGAATGACTCATCTGAATATGGGTCTACTGTGCTTGTCTGTGATCCCGAATAGGACTAAAATGAGGAAGCCCGATACCTCATCTATATTCATAGGTATCATGCGATGGCCATAAGGGGAAACGGCGCTTCTCCACGGTTTTCCTCGGTAGTCATTTGCCATATCCAGAGTGTAAGGGGTACTAGATACGAGAGGGAGAAAAGGGTATACTGCGCCCACAGCGGATGTGGTGTCTAGACGCTTTATAGTTGACTTTCCATATTCTTTTGTCTTATTTGCTCATGGCCTTCCATTTCAGGTGGACGGTCCTTGATCCATCGAGCACATCGCGAGGACTCAGCTACCACTTTGAGAAATGGTTGGATGATTATATATCGCAGAATTATCAATCTTTTCTACGATAAATCAAGTACACATTCTGCATGTTGTTCCGATTGTAATTCTCATTGACCTCGTCATCCTACTGCTCGCAGCGCGACCTTGAAGGTCCTTGACCGGGTCACCAGGGCGCTTCCAGGGTTTTCAGGTCAAAATGGATCTCCAGCTATGGCCCGCTTTTGTGATCGTGTCTTCAACAGCCCGGCCGGGCTAGCTCAATCGGTAGAGCGTAAGACTCTTAATCTTAAGGCTGCGGTTTCGACCCCCGCGTTCGGCTATTCCTACAAACAAACCTCAAGATTTCTTTTTTGCCTTTCTTTTTTATTTCTTTTTCCATCGCTGAGCATGTCCCAACACCTCATAAGGAGCGTGGACGAAGTAATACGTGTACCCTACCGTTGAGACGTTCTTTTTGATACTTTCAGACTACTATTTTAGCTGGAAGAAGAAAAGAGTCCTGGGCTTGACTTGAGGGACTACAGTACCCCGTAATCGTTGCCTGAATAGACAGTGAAAAGGAAAATCGAATAACTACTGTTTCTGCTGCTCTCTATGATTTTGCAGTTGGAGCTCACTATACCTAAGTACACTTTGTGTTTGAGTAATCTAAGGAGGTCATAACTATATTTTCCTTTCTGAAGACGATAGCTTTCTAGGATAAAAGTTATTTTATCGATGGTTCCGAGTCCAATGGTCCACAGCATTGAGAATATATATCACCGGCATCAACGGCTCATCCGGTGGCGACAAAGCCCACAAACCGACAAAGACCAAAATCCAAAGACGAGAATTGTTCTTAACTTGGACATCCAAAGATTGACCAAAAAGAGAGTTGATACTGCTAAACATCGCTGTGAGTCTGACAGCATTCTTTCGCCAATCAGGAAGGGGTTTAAAGTCTCCGATATGTAACCTCCCTGGGCAGCTCACGCACGCGATACAGTTCTATTCGGGGGCCCAGACCAGGCTCTACGCTACTAAGAAGAGGGTGACTGGAAACCCCCTCCATTCGTCTGAGAGAGAGAAGTATTCCCACCGGGTTGTTTCTTCTGAGGCAATGTAGGTGTAGCGGAAAAGTGGGCATCGAAAATTGATAGAGGTCGAAGTCCTAGTTTATTTACGTGGATACGGGCAGGAAATTCTTCATACGTTGTCCTGCACAATTGAATCGCTAATCGAATAATTAAGCACAAATTTCATGTCATACGAAGACGTTTTGGATCTCCTGTCCCTGGCTGACGTAGCTGTCGTTTTACCGCTCGTGATCGCTGCAAAGTCGGTCGACATTTCAATGTGGAGCGGTGGAAATCGATGATCAACGCTCGGCCAAGTTCTTCATTCCAAAGAACATTGTCAGGCCGTAGATCTTCGTGAATGATTCCCAAGGCTTTGATTTCTTTGCTTGATCTGCGAATTTCCTGGCGGAGCCAAGGCGCCAGCTCCATCGATGCTGTACTTTCTCCCCCCAGCCCATCACGAGCATATGACGAATCTCCCCAGCTCCATGAAGAAAATAAATTTTCGCCAAGTCGATCGTACCCAGGAAAATAGGCACAGCAGACCCTTGGGCCTTGCGCAGGATTTGGTATACCTGCGCTTCGCGGGAGACTTCTTTCCATAGCCCCGACGTGGTTCCTTTTCCAACGACAGTGTAGCCATATACGAGACAAGTAAGTTTGAACGGCGCACCGTATGCCCCGCAATCTCCAAGGGGTGTGCATCGGTCAACGTTTTCGTCCAGTTGTCCTTTTAGTGAACGCACTAAATCTTCTGAGGTAATCGGATGTTGGAGATCGTCTTTGCTTCGACGATGGAGCATCACATTTGGACAGGAGTCGTCTAGAACACCGCCAGACTGCAATCCGAGTAAACATCGCTGCGTGCAAAATTGCGCATTGCGATATGGCGCCTGTTTGCCTTGGTTATCCCCTAGGTCCCGTTGACGACCTGCTCGTTGGGTAGATGGGGAGGATGTGACTTGGCTGAAGCCCCGTTTGCGACCTATTACTTCGTTCGAATCGGATCCCGATGAGTCTGGAGATTGCGAGCGACGCTGTAAGCCCGAAGGTGCACAGCTGGCTTGAGATCTTGTAGGCAATCGAGGAGCTGCTGTCGTTGGAGAATCCGGTGGAGATGACGAAGGCTCATAAGCCGAACCGGATTCCGGACTCGTATACTCTAGGGCTGTACTATCGGAGTGGGTAAGGGTCTGCTGCAGTTCTGCTTTGGGAATCTGAGAACGAGTGTGGTCAAAACCGGCCGTCCAAAGAGGGAGCTCTGATCGTGTGGAATTTCGCCATTCCTGGCCACGCGTAGGTGAGCGAAAAGCCATCAAACAAAGACATAGGATTCTTGCAACTGAAGTCTTCGTCTGTTGGAAACTATCCTCAGCATCTCCATCTATCTCGCTGTTAGGATCACATAAGAAATAATAAAGCGTGCTAGGATCATCATATGGAACACGGAGGAGGACACGAGCAATCCCGTTAGTCACGTAGGAGTACTCAAGCCCTTCCTGAATCATCACATGGTACTCCTGGACAAGAGCGGAGCAGACGAGGCGCTCTGCATTATACCTTAACTTCGCTTCCTTATTCGTAGGTATTTTATTCGATTTGACCATATCCTTCCATAAGTCCATTGGTCGAAGCCCTAGCCGAAGGGTAGCGACGGGAAGCTTATGAGGCGGCTTATACTCGACAGTCGCGAGGAGAGTTGTAGTGTTGCTGTCGACACGATGGATGCAGAACTGATCAGGTCTTGGGTTGGGTACAGTTGACGCTTGGCTTGTATCCGCTTTAGTGGTATCATTGTCATTTAGGGAATTAGTATGGTTGCTGAACTGGATACCATCCCCAAGGCAGAGCTCGTCGCGAGCAGCGGGTAGTTTGCATAACTCAGTGACTATATCGTGGACATGTTCTTCCACGGCCAATCGCTCATAGGCTTCGAGTTCTTGCTCACAGCTTACAGGCTTATGACAAAGTCGTCGGCCTAACTCTTGTAGCCCATGCAATGATAAGAACGAATGTGGCGGCCCCCCTGGTGCCAACTGAAGGTAGCTGTAGACGGACCTGTAGAGCTCCGACAGTTGTTCTGGGCAGTCGGTCCAGTGTTCTAACCGTGTTGGGCAATATTTCCCGGTGGGAATGGGTATTTTCCCTGTGGTCGAACGAGATGGTGTGTCGGCTCTCAATGGTCGAGAGAGCAGGTCGTGGGAATGGCACAAAAACTCCACGAAATTGGTCGGTCGGGTGCGCGCTTCAGCTTGTTCCCGTTTCTCTTTCTCCTGTCTGGCCTCATCTTCTGCCTGCTTCCGCCTCTCCTGTTCCTGTAGATAAAGAGATTTGTAATCTGGAGAGCTGTTGGCAGCCATCGACTTCGTTGGGAAAGGGAAACAATAGCTGGAGACAACCGCGGCAGGTCCCGACCGGACGATGCAGCAGGCTTTTGTCAGCTGACCATGGCTCACGGCAGAGGTATTTTCCCGGGAAATGGTATATGTCGACTCAATATCGTGCAATGAAATCACGGTACCTTTCGACTCAACTAATATCCGCGTCCCTCGTGGCTAAAATAAGGGCACGGTAGCCACTCGCTCCTGGACTGCGCGCAGAGATGTTTCCTGAATATCATTGGCTAAACAGTCTCCCCACACCAATCTTGCCCGTTCCTAATACCCCAGACACCCAGGTCTGCTGCAAGAATTATCCACCCTGCCCACCCAGATGATGGCCACTGTTAAATGAAAATTGAGCAATAGAAAATAAAACAATCAGTTTTTTTTCGACCAGACATCTTCGCCTAGAGGAACGAGATCTGAGGAATGGTCCTACAATTAAGCCAAGCGGTTAGGAGGGAAAGGAGGTACTTGGTTATCTCTTGACCATAACTTACCTTGACTTGCAAAGACAACGCCTTAACCTCACTTCGAGTTGGGATTCGCCGGCTTGTTCAGCACAGCATTCCAATGGCATTACCCTGTGCCCGAGAAGGGAAGCTACATGACTGTCATTGTGGATCTTCTGCGGCCTCTTTCCGAGGGCGAAGCGACTCTGAATAGCTCGGATGCACAGGTCCAGCCCAACATTAACCTCAACTTCTTTGGCAGTGACTTGGACATTGTCACTATGCGGAAAGGTATGCGCTGCGTTCAAGACATTGTTGTCGCGGAGTAGCCCTGGAAGGTGCCATTACATTCCAATGACGATGTGAACCGTGCTGTTCGGGATCGTAGCCAGACCGAACTCCGTGAGACAATCCCTACTAATGCCTTGAAAGGAGTCTAATAATTTGCTTTACAGATCCACGTGGCACGGCACGCTTCTCGAAGAGCATTCACCAGGGCGTCGTTGACTCGAAGTTGCGAGTCTATGGAATACGCAACCTCAGAATCGCAGATGCCTCTGCCATCCCTGCAACCCCCGATTGCCGTGTTCAAAACACGACCTACATGATTGGCTAAAAGGTAAGTAGGAAATCCGCGGCCTCTGAGCGATAATTTAACACATCATCTAGGGCGTGGACATCATCAAGCCTGAGCACAAAGATCTATATGAAGCCAAGAACATTCCCTACCTTGTCTCTAGCAAAGCTTGATCTGCTACAGATTTCTTAGGACTTGCGTGATGCTTTTTCTATATGCGAACATATATATTGCCTTGGTCAGCAATACTGCGTGTTCTTCCTTACTTGAAGATAGTTGGGTTGACTTTCTTTGACGATTTCTTTTGTCTTGTCTGCATTGCTGGTTTTGGCCTTATCGCTCGGGTGTAGAGTCCTCGAGGCTGCATGGAATTTTCATATGCACCGTGAGGACTGATATACATCCTGGATTTTTATACTTTGGATGCACCACCGTAAGTTGTTCGAGTTGGCGTTGGGACGATATTCTGCATTGTAGCACGTATGTAAAGCGAACAAAACTGAGCTAATGAATTGATCATCATAACTATCTGTATCATCATACCTCCCATATAAACTTTGAGAAACGAAGAACCTTGGAAGATATGTGTACCAAAAACTGCTAAAAAAAAGACTGCTAGAAAGACTGCTAGAAAGACTGCTAGAAAGACTGCTAGAAAGACTGCTAGAAAGACTGCTAGAAAGATTGCTGGAAAGAATACTGGAGGAACTACTGGAAAGACTATGGGAAAGACATCGCACGGCCATAAACGCGGCCGAGTATATGAGCCTCTTTACTTGGCCTACCTGCGGTCTAAGGTTGGACATGAGTATCTTGACTAAACATTTATTAAGGTCGCCGCCATAGTAACTTAGGTATCTACGTATGTTTTGCTGCCAGCTTGAAATCAGGCACTCCCAGTCAGGAAATTCTATTGTGATCTAATAGATTACTGCGCGCTACACAGCTTCGCATATGCGTGTATCACTGTATAAAGAACCCCCATTCCTTGAAGACAGACGGAACAAAGATCACGAAACTGGTACTGGGGCTATTCTGACTTCAACGGCACCGGTATTATCCTTAATATCCTCGAACACATCATTCATCCGACAGAAGTAGGTGGTACCTTGCCGCTCATCGCCTCCGGTCACTATACCGAAAACCTTGCCATCGACTCTGGTTATCCAAGCACCAGAGTCTCCAAGTCGTGCGAATGGAATGGAATCCTCAGGAGTCGCGGTCTTGGAGACCCAAGTGATGACGAGATCGTATCCAGGTCCCTTCTTGCTTTCAAGCCGATCAAGCCTGATAGATTCCAAGCCATGATGCACCGAACACGTCATGCCAGTAGATCGCCCGGACTTGTAAAGTCTTAGTCCATCGCAGACATCCAGGATTGAGCCACCATAATGCGTGAAGGTGATCGGCGTGTGGGTCAGTGGATTGCACTCGAACCCCTGAAAACTCATGAATTAGTCTGAAAAAAGAGACAGATAACATGCAACTCACATTTTTACCAGAGACGTAGTCTCTGTGCATTTGTCGGTGGATTCTATTCCTCGACATTTTAATCAGAGCCCAGTCAACGGCGACCCGATCATTGTTCTCATCAAGTCGGGTGCGGTTCATCCCACTTCCGGCAGCAACATGTCCGAGGTAATATGCTCCATTGTCCAGCATTTTTGCATATGCATCCCGCTCCTTCTCCAATTGTCGAATGCACCTCAGCGTAGCCTCATACCCAACCTTGGCAGAATCTGACAGTCTCCCATGTCTTCCCTTGTCGATCTCGACTTTTGAGTCATAGAAAGAAGCGTTCTTCAGCTTTCTAATGGACTCTTTCAGTGAGTCGATCGTGGTTCTCAGATCCTGGGGTGCTGGGTGGTCGATTCGGAGAATGCGCTTCGCGATATCAAGGAACAAAGCACTGTCGTGCATCGTCAGGGGGTGTCTTACCCATCTCTCAAGTCCTGAATGGCAATGTTAGCTAGGGCTCTGTACATGAAATATGGGTATTTACCCTGTTTAGCATCGGAAGTTCGAAGATAGCGATCTCGATGATACATTTCTGGCGGGTAGACGCAGTGAAAGCAGGTAAGAGCATATGTATCCCAACTCTCTTGGCCTTTGAATCGGAGTTGGACAAAGCCACCCAAGGTGGAAGAGCCTGCTGAGCTTCGATGTATTCCGATGCTAACCCCGGGGTACACCGATCCATTGGCAGCCTCAATTGGAACTATCTGGTTCCAGACAAAGGATTTGGTTGCATCTTTCATGAACAAAACATCTACTGCTGCTTCACCAAATGCCACAAGAATACCATGTACATATCGTGCAGCGGTAATGAATGGATTTTCGCACGTTTTGCGGACACGGATGATTACCGTCACTGGATTGGAGCTGCGAAGGGGGTTTGTTCCATACCGAAAACAGTCCAATCCAACCCAGTCATGGGTGTTAGGACAACGGGACACGATCTCCTGCGCGAGGTTCTTCCACTTAAGGAAGATTGAATGGCTTGACTCAACAGGCGAGCAATAGATGCCATTGAACAGGTCTGTTTCGATGATCTCAACCGAGATTCCATGATGACGGTGGTTTATTAGCGACTGGTCAATCTCCTTTGCAGCTCGGTACCATAATTCTGGCTGTGGTTGATTTGGCATTGTGACAAGCACGGTTGTGACTTGTTCAGGCTCCGGGTCAAACTTGGAGTATCTTCCCACGAGCCGAATGCCTTGATACTGCAGATGAAGGTCACCAAGGACTTCTGCCGCATATCCTTCGATCTCGTACACAGTGTCGGGGTCATAATGCGGACCAGTTATAATCGTACCAGCTGGCAGTGAGCATAAATAAGGGCCTCCCGCGCGGAATGCTGACTGTATAAAGCCCATTTTATCAATGATAACGGGGCCATCGAATGGCGAGGACGTGGATGATGCTGAGTAAAAGCCCATTGAATGAGCGCTCACTTGTGAGAAGGAAGATCTGGCGGCAGCTGATGAAGAGAACATGGCGAAATGTCAAATTTGAGGATAGAGAAATGGGCCCAGAGTAAAGAAGGGGAAATTGAGAGAGGATCGGATTAGCAGGTGGATAGCTGGGACAACAAATGCAGAGTTAAATGAGAAAATAGATGCAGGATGATAGTTGGCTCCGGGGATAGGTAAGGCTAAGTCCTGCGACTCAAAGGCTCCGATCCGAAACGAGGATGAATAAAGTATAATCCGTTTGGGAAGCGGTCCAAAGCTGCCTTATGTGGGAGTATAACGTAGGGCTATTTGGCTTCTCAAACCCATGGTTAAGACTCGGTGTGCCACCTACACAAGTGATGCTCGGTTTGAGATGGATTTAATAGAGTCTAGCATTGGCTGAGTTGTGTAAATCTCATCAGATCAATTTTAATTTATTCTATTAGATTGGGTTAACGTTATTCCCTCGACCCTATGGTTTAATGTACTCGAGATCCCCTTGTGGCCCATCTTCCTACACGCCTTATTCGTCCTCAAGTCAGCCAGATCCCCGATCGATGTCGCTTCAACGAAGTTCCCGGGATCTCCATGTTTGCTTTGATCTTTCCAGCAGCGCTCATAGCTGAATGAGCTGCTTCGCCTCGGGGGTGGGGAGATATCTATACCTTCGTCAGCTGCAGTCCCGTTATTACGTCTAGTATAAGATGCAGATTGTCGGCCATATTGAACTCGCTGCCGTTGAGTTTGCTTCCTTTTAGCTTCATGCAATCGAGCCTGAATCTGGCCTCTCTGCGCGGTTAGTATTTGCCACTTCTCCTCTTCCTTCGCGGCCTTAAAAGATTTGCCGATGAGAATGGGTAGTTGGAAGCAGTTAATGGAGGGAATATGCGAAGTGCAATTGCAGAGAGCGAGAGAAAAGCGAACTACTTCGATTGGGTTTGTCTTGTTTGCACTACCGGTTTGTGGCCTTATCTTTCAGGCGGAGAGTCCTCGAGATTGCATGGAAGCCTCATGGAAGCCTCATTTACACCGCGAGGACTGATCTACAGGGATAATGCTATCTACATGGATCGTCAGAATTAGCGCTCATCAAACCTCCACTATTACTGGGATCTTCCGGCCATTTACTCTTTTGTAGGTACTTCTGCGGAAGCGACTCAAGTTGATTCCCCCGTTGCAGCTGCGGCCTCTAACTACCTGCATATATCCACCTTGCCTAGATATCTTCATTGGCGATCGGCGCCACACAAGGCCGAAGAGGGAAAGGAATGACATCTTGAAACCAATTTCGTGACATTAGTAAGTTTCTGAGAAGAAATTGAGAGTTGTCCAGTTTGAGACTCCCTTGATGCAGCCTGCAATAATTTGACTTGCAAGGATAAACCTCCAGCGCCACACAACCAGCAGAGGATTGAATAAAAGGATACCTAGATATTCAGTTAAGAATGCAAGGCTCCCGCACAGATCAAGGCTTTCAGCTTGGTGTCGACGTTGGTGGCACATTCACAGACATTTACGTGTTTACCCCGCGTGGCAAAACAGTTCGTGCCAAAGTCCCAACCACCATCCCGGATCAAAGCATCGGCATCCAACGTGGTATTGCAAAAGCACGCCAATTGCTTAAAGACCAGTTTGGCTGGTCGGGCGCTTTCCAGTTTATCCATCATGGTACCACGACGGCCACCAATGCTGTGCTTGAAGGTAAAGGTGCCCGTACGGCGCTGGTCGTCACCTCTGGTCACAAGGATATACTAGCATTACGTCGCTCCCAAATCCCCGGGGGATTGGGAGCATGGCTGCATTGGACATCGCCAGATCCCATTGTGCCTCTCGAGCGCGTCGTGCAGTGTAAAGAACGGATGTCAGTGCATGGCGAGACAGTCAGGGCTGTCGATGTCGAGGATCTGCGACACAGCTTGCGGGAACTGTCCCGGCAAAAGCCAGAGGCAATTGCTATTTCGCTTCTGAACTCGCATAGCAATGATTCTCATGAGCGTGCAGTCGAGCAAGTAGTTCGCGAAGAGCTTGGTAATGATGTTGCCATCATTTGCTCGGCTGACGTGTTGCGTGAGGTTGGTGAGTACGAGCGGACAGTCACAACGTGCACAAACACACTGGTCAAACCGGTCGTCCAGAAATATCTACAGAATTTGTCTGAGGTTCTTGCTGCAGAAAGCGAGACCATTCGCGTTCTCAAGAGCGATGGTGGTCTGACCAGTCTAACACTCGCTTCTGAGTTGCCGGTCAACATTCTCATGTCTGGCCCTGCCGGTGGCGTCAAGGGGGTCGCTGATGTCGTGACTCGCAGCACCCCATACAAGAACCTGATCACGCTGGATATGGGAGGAACTTCGACAGATTGCGCGGTAATTTATAATGGGCAGCCCCAGTTACGGCGCGAAACTGTCGTGGGTAGCCTGTCTGTTCGCGCGCCGGCAATCGATATTAAGACCGTCGGAGCGGGAGGAGGTTCCATCACGACATATATGGAACTCACGGAGACCTTACGCGTAGGTCCTGAGAGCGCAGGTGCGACGCCCGGTCCAGCATGCTATGGAAAAGGCGGAAGGCAAGCGACGATCACCGATGCAAATTTAGTCCTCGGTTATCTACCCAAGACATTGCTAGGTGGTGAATTTGCACTCGATATTCAAGCTGCTGTGACGGCAGTTGAACATATTGCAAAGCAGATGAAGCTCCCTGTCATTCAGACAGCTGAAGATATAATCACAATGATCAATGAAACAATGTACGGAGCACTGCGTCTTGTCTCTGTGGAGCAGGGTTATGATCCTCGCGAATTTGCCTTGGTTGCCTTTGGCGGTGCCGGCCCTCTGCATGCTAACGCTGTGGGTGAGCTACTTGGAGCATGGCCTGTGATTATCCCACCTTCCCCTGGGATTCTGTGTGCACAGGGTGATGTGACTACCAAGCTCCGACATGAACAATCAGCTACCTTCATTCGTGTTGTCTCCACGACCACTGTCGCCGAGGCTCGAGAGCAGTACAATGTGCTGGAACGTGAATGTCATGAAACTTTGCAGAGAACATCGGGATCTTCATGGCCCGTGACTTGGAAGGCAACACACCATGCAGACCTGCGCTACAAGGGGCAAGCTTTGACGATCACGATTGAGCTTGGAGCAGAGCATCTATGTCTGAGTACGGAAGAATGGCATGGTATCTTGCGGCAAAGGTTCGAGAAACAGCACAAAAAAATGTTCACCTATTGCTTGCCAGACTTTGAACTCGAGTTGATGAGACTGGGAGTCGTGTTGGAAGACGCCTCCCCGAATATTCCTACCCCCAAAATCGAAAAAGTAACTTTCAATAGCAGTCCATCTTTGAATGCAAAGATTGGAGAACAGACAATCATCTTGCAAGGTAAAGAGCAGCGAGCAAGCTTGTGGGACCGTCAAAAGATTACCAAACAAGGAATCCAAGTGACAGGGCCCTGCATTATCTCTGAGATGGACAGCAATACACTCATTTTGCCAGGATATTATGGTGAGATTGACGACATCGGGAATATCTTGATCAATCCACTTGAAACAAAGCCTCAAGCTACTATCACCCACACTCGTGAATCAGCCAATGACCTTGTCAAAAACACGCCTTTGATCCCGACATTGATATCCTCGACTCTGGCTTCTATTCGTGGAGAGATGGATACAATGATGGTACGATGCAGCATGTCACCAGCTATCAGAGAGCAGCAGGACGAATTCAATGTAATTACGGATTCCAACGGGAAAATGCTAGTGGGTCAATTTGGAAGTTTCATCACCCAATTCCTCGATGTTTGGGATGGTACCATCGAAGAAGGCGATGTGTTTATTACCAACGATACCTATCAAGTGCAGGGTGCTATCAGCCATCTCAATGATATCATTGCATTCTTGCCCATATTTCACGACGGTCACATCATCGGCTACGCCTCCCAATTTGGTCACTTGACAGATGTGGGAGGCATCGTCCCTGGAAGCATGTCAATTAATGCCACCTCGGTCTTCGATGATGGCGTACAGATCCCCTGCATAAAACTGTACACGCGTGGCGTGATGAACTCTGATTTGGTAGACCTTCTATGTCGCAACTCTCGCCAGCCCGCATGGTATCGGTCTGATTTGACTGCCATTGTAGCATCATGCTCGATGGCGGCTACAAGAGTTCGCGAGTTGGCCACCCGCTTTGGCAGTGAGGTATACCTAGCCGCATGTTCGGAATTGCTATGTCGGAACCGCAATGGGTTTTCGAAGATTATCGAGCGCCAGTTCGATGACCTGGAAAGCAAATTTACAGACTTCGTCGATGACGATGGCCATGGCGTGGGGCCCTGGGCACTCACTTGTTCAATGAAAAAAGTGGACGAGAATCGACTCCGATTTGATTGGAGTGGCACTTCCCCTCAGAGCGAACATAGTATCAATTTCTATCTTTCGGAAACAATGTTCAGGATGTTCATCGGATACTATCTCATTGCAGCTGCTGCCCCGGGCACAGTTATCAACGACGGGTTCCATGATCTCATTGACGTCCATATCCCTGAAGGAACTGTGCTCAAACCAGTTCGCCCTGCACCTATCTCATGTCGAACCCATCTCATGGGACGGACATTGGACATCGTGCAGGCTCTGATCGGCCAGAAGAATGACTCCTATCAAGCTGCCGCTGGCTTCAGTGACTCCCCTCACTTCTTTTATTCCGGTTTCAAGCCTGACGGCGAGTGGTATCAGCTTTACCAGATTGGCTTCGGTGGTGTACCCGCACGTCAAGCCGGCGATGGTCCTGATTGTCACTGTCTTTTCCCTGCCATCAAATCCATTCCAACGGAAATTATCGAGCTAAACTACCCACTGCGCATTGAAGCTAACGAGAGTGTTGCCGACAGTGGTGGACCCGGGTTCTACCGTGGTGTCAATGCTCAACGTACTTTATATCGTTTCTTAGCTCGTGGAGAGTTCAGCCTTCATGATGACCGGTGGTTCACGAAGCCATGGGGACTGAAGGGTGGTAAGCCAGGCCAACGATCTCGGAAGATACTATACCGGTACTCGCAGTCTGAAGAGAGTCCCCCGACAAGGATTTTACCCTCCAAATGCGATCATATTCGTGTTGATCCGGGTGATCTTCTCGAGTGGATTACATGGGGTGGGGGTGGACTAGGTGATCCGTTGACCCGCCCAGCTGAGAAGGTTGCCCTAGAGGTACACAGAAAGCTTGTCACCATGGAGGGGGCTCGTTCGGGATATGGCGTTGTTGTCAACGCGGATTTCATGGTGAACGAGCCGGAGACTGAGGCTCTCCGGGCACAAATGCAGATGGAGCGTAGTCTGCTTAAGGAATCTTCGATATATGATCGCGGGGGAAGCATTGAAAGGTTGCAGGAAACATGTCTGCAGGAGACTGGACTCGAAGCCCCGCTTCCTCAATGGGAAACTGAGCTCTATGGCCCCCACGCCGGACTGCCTTACGTGAAAGACTGGTTCTCTAGCATGAAGGTACGCAAAGGATGGCAGCTGAGCTGAGCTCTGATAGCGGCGATAGAACTTGCTGTTAGGATGAGGGTTATATGTAGAGAAGGTTTAAGTACAGCAACTTTTATATCTCGACAGAAATGGGCGATTTCTCTTTTATTCTTTAGCAAACATCACATCCGTCCGTACAGTGTACTTAACACCTCGGAACACATCATCTCCGCCATGAAACAGATTTCTTTGCTGAAAGATAAGAATCGACCCCGTCTTCGGAAAGATGCGAACGGGATCTCTGGAGTCCATATCGGCCATGAATGAGGTTGCGCCTCCAAGTAGAGTCTCATCCTTCTCCGAAGGCTCTTTGGGAGAAACACGACGACTCTTCTCAGACCCCAGTTTACCAAAATCAACATCTCCCCACTTTGAAAACCACCAATTATCATTCTCAGCCTCTTGGATATGTGGCTCCAATTCCTCCATATTCTGCTCCCCATCTCCATTCAAGTACAAATGAACAGTATAAAGCGACTTCTCCTCCTGATCAGGGGTAACATAACACCCATCCCAATGAGGCCGGAAATAATCACCATTCTCATAACGCAAGAATCGCATGCGCTCATTCAACCGGCTGAGACGAAAGATCTCGCCTCGTTTTGCAGGCCCAAGACCCGTCACCAGAGGTTTATTCTGCATGCGGTCGATCCCACACTCGCGCATAAAAGGCATGAGTCGATCTAGTATTCTGCCCGCAATATCGGTCGAGTCCAATATAATCCGCCCGCTGTTTCGCGTGATAGTGGACATGACTTCTTTGCCGTTGCCGGCATTGACCTTCGCGCGCTCCCACGTTGGGGGCGAGAGCGTTGAGTCCGAGGACTGCGTTCTTGTTTGTTCTTCTGCTAAGCGGAGCAGTTCCTTGCATTCGGCTTCTGTCATGAAGTCGTCCACGACTGCAGCGAAGTATCCTTTGTAAGAGGGGATGGGTGGGGTTGTGTGCTCGAAGTCGAGCTTGTGCAGGGTTGCGTTTGGCGGTGGGCCCCGAAGGAACCCTTCTGGGATCTCTTGGGCTGTCATGGTGTCGCAGTTCTAGTGTCAAAAGGAGGAGGAAAGGTCGTAAATGTACGGTGTACTTTCCAGGGGGCGAGGCTTATGTATACCCCAGTCCCCACTTTTGGAGGCTCTGCGCGGGCCGCGCGGCTGCCTGTGTACAGCCCCCGTCAGGGATCGTAAGAGTCGTCCGCTTGGCAGCTGGGAACTGAACTGCAGATTTTATCTCTCCAAGCAACTCACGGTCCTATTGATCTGGTAATCTATTTTTGCACCCCAAGTTGTGGCTGACAATCATCTCTTAGCCGTCTAGTACCCGAATAGCCTCCCCCAGGTCTCAGTACCAACAATGCCACTAGAGACAACCTGACCATGCCGAGACATACAGCATCGATCAGACAACACGGTATGAAAGTGAGCCCAAAGAAATGACTCATCATGCCAAGCACACATATTGGTGAAGCTGAATAGGAGTGTAGTAAATATGTCCGGAGTAGTATGTAGGCACCATTGCATCGAAGAAGTGTGTACGAAGTAGGACCAGCCATATAGGCAAGTTTGAACCATAAAGTTTCTTTCAAGGATTACAACGGTCTCTATTGGCAATACATGTCTACTTCTCCAGTCATCCTGATGAACGGGTCGAAAAGATGTATCTTGTCATGTCGATGTATAAGAACCAATCTTGGAAGGGGCTAGACCTCCGCACCAGCCCACAAAGCCCAAAGCCCAAAGCCCAAGGCCCAAGGCCCAACCCGCCCCGAGCTAAAAATGGGCTGGGCTTTGGGCCCGGTCCCTAGGCCCATCGATAGGCTATGGGCCTAGGGTAGAAGCCCACTGGGCTTTTATGGGGGCCCAATGGGCCTCAAACAATACAAACATGCTAATTCTTGGCAGATACATAAGTAATGTATAATTTTTCTAGTATTTCTAGGTATTTAGATTACCCTCTAAGCCCTAAATTGACCAAGCTCTTCCGCGCTAAGCTCATAGACTTGAACATGTTACATGCGTGAAAAACAGACATTAATCAGCAGGTTTATGAGTGCTGAGACTGTGTTTATGCATACAAATGGGCTTTATGGGGGCCCATAAGGCCCCCAATAATGGGCCGTGGGCTTAGTTGGGCTTCGAAGCTAGGGCCCAACCAAGCCCATTGCGGAGGTCTAGAAGGGGCTAGCTATCCCAACTCTCCTTTTCGTTCATATCTATGGACTACCTAAGTACTATTGATATGCCTAGAGCAAAGGGCTAAATTCTCTAGATAGAATTGGGGGAATTCAAAAAGCTGCAAGCACGGCAGTTCTCTAAAATTAGCGATAATCAATTTCTGTCCAGAAAGCCACCCCTAGCACCATTCAAGATCTAGAACATCATTCGCGGTGTGTAGATGGCCCGTTAATTTAGTCATAGCCTCCCATTTCTATGATGAACATGTCACCAGTTTGAAAACGAATCCTACGAAGTGCTTCGTGAAGGTCCTCTCCCTCCAGCTCAAGTGCAGCTTCGACATCCGGCTTGAGCGCTTCCGGGATCTAAATCCAGTCAGCAGGTGCTCAAAACGCCTTCAACTAGTCTGTCATACCTTGAACCAAATCTCGTTGCTTTTGTTGCACTTTTCGCAGACAGACCCGGTGCTGCTCGTGTCCACAAGGTGGGTTGGACACATTTGTATGCATATGAAGGAGCTAAGGGGAATCTGGCCACACGTTCTTGTCACTTTGAGAGCGGCTGCTCTGATCATCTGTATCCTGATACGAGGAGAGCGCCTCAACTTTATAGGTGTTTCGATGGATGAGTCGGTCATGGTGAATTGACAATAGTGAAAATCACTTTGCTGGCTATTGCTGGTGGGATTTGCTGAACGCTGATGAGCTCCCGTGAATCTTTTACAGGGGGATTTGAGATTATCTCTGGTTCTCTTTATAAATTCAGGCAGATTAAGACATTGGCTCAGATGGTTCATTCTATACAGAAGCTTGCAAAAACGGAGGGCCTGTTACATCCAGTTTCTGAATCTCGGCAGTTCCATTGTATGAACAAAGTAATAAAACATGGACCTAGCAATATTCTGTCTTTTTATCATCAGAATAAGCCTCTAAGGATGACTATCCTTAGCCAAGGTCGGAATTGTATGAACAAAGACTTGTTCCGATTGCGACTCACCCAGAGCGACACTCTTTAACAATGGCCAGAGACAAAAGCAATAAGGTGAGACAGCGTAGCTATTGGGAATCAAAGACATAATATGCAGGATCTAAGTCATCAAAGATTTGAAGACATTAGGGTAAAGACATTAGGGTAAAGATCAAAAGCACCCACGAACATAGATCTATCTTCAGAGCCAAAATTCCTGATTATGTCAGCCTTTTCCAGCCACTGTGGCACACAGGAATGTGGCTGTGTGTTTCCTGATTGGCTCGCGGCTCATCTGGACTCTCTCATCCTCACCTCACATTGTTGGAGCATGATTGAGCAACAAAATATTATCGTCTATCGCTTCAGCCTGAAATAAAACTTTCTCATCTAGCTCTGCTATCTTTGGTCTGGATTTCTTTTCATATATAACATCCATCGCAGGGTAATCTGATCAAGAACAAAACGCAATCCCCGGGATCACCTCCTTGTCTAAGGCCTGGAAGTCCTGTCAATTTCAAAAACCAAGTGCAAATCTCTCCTTATATCCATCTCAATATTGTTGATTTGCCTCCAAATTCAGGCATTATTGGGTGTGAATCTGACCCCTTCAATCAATTCTCTTACCGCAAGCCATGTCAAATTTCCCATCAATGGCTGCCACCAATCAAACCCCCACCCAGGAGCCCGCAGCTAGCAACAGTGGGACCATAGGGTTGGACTCGGAAATTCAACTTGTCTCATCACTAGCAAAACTACAGGAACTTGAACGGAAGGTAGGTTGCGAATGAGCTATTACACCTCTATCGCAAAAAGCCAAGCTAACGCGATATTCAGATTCATGAATTGCGCGAGTTCATGCCCCAGCGCTTACTAGAGCCTCTAGTACCTATTTCAAATCCAGGCAAAGTGACGGCCGACAACCCAATCGCTGAAACACCGCAGATCCTCCGCACTCATCTTGACGAGGCTGCACGTGCACGCGTGGCGGATGTCCAGCAGTTCCAGGCTTTGTGGCGAGATCCAGAACTGCAATCTGTCTGGAGTCACGTTGAATCCCGCATCAATGAGTCTAATGGCCAACTCCTCCAGCCCAGTGGGAAGTGGGAGAGAGACTATGACGTTCTTCTGGAGGAGCTAGCGAGAAAGGAAAAATTAAAGGTTGATGAAAGCCAGCGAGAGGCGGAAGAAGCTGAACGAACCAAGGCGCAATCTACCGAAGGCGAATGGCAGAAAGTTCTGGAGCGATTTGTCGAGCGAAACGTGCCTAGTGTACGAGTTGTGAAGAGCCAGGATGAGTCTTCTTTGGCAGTGGCACTTGTTAGGGTGGGTATTGTCTTCCAGGTAAAGGGGGTATCTGAGCCTGGCTCCCCAGCCTTTGAATGGGAGGTCACAAGCAAAAGCACAAGTCGATCACCGACCAAACTTGAGAACGCTATTTTAGAGTGTTTGAGCTCGCGTCCCCGAAAATGGGACCTTGCTTTCTTGTTGGTATGTTTCAATATTCACTTTCAGGCAGGATTTCGCTAATTCCGGCATAGGATATGATATCTTCCTACGCAGATATTAAACAAACACCATGTGTGAAGTGCAACCGTCTGACCAACAACGGCGCCCAACTCCCGACTCTCCGCCACCCGCAGACGAACCAACAACCTGCCGAGGGGCCACCACGTATATACACTTTTGACGCATTGCATTCGGGCTGTTAACCGGGCAGCTATACACTTGTAATACAGGTGCGAAGTTAGAAAAACAGCATATTCGTTTTTGAATCAATGATTGGAATTATTTGAGCAATCTAGTCCAATCAACAGCATCAAAACAATGTATCCTTCCTTCGCAGTACACGATCTTCCCATTGCTCTTATCATAACCATTCAGAATGCACCTCATCCCATTCGCCCCCATTGTCTTCAATCCCTATGTCTACCATAGATACTGTCATGCCAAAACTCCGCCGGATATTCAACTCCATTCCGATCCCAATATCGCCGTGGTACACAGTGCACCTCCTCTTTCCCAAACCATTTCCCCTTCCGAGGCCTTCCCCCATTGCAATATTCAACACCGCTCCATGTGCCATGATCCGGGACATGGTACTTTCTCGTGCGGAAATCATAGCGCTCGCCAGCGGGTCGGCCCGCCCAGGGGAATGGACTGAAGTCCGAGTTCGGGTCGCGAGGGTCACTTTCCCACCGAGACCATTCTTCTTGTCTAGGGCCGGATGGGCGTGAGGGTTCGTCTGGGCTGTCGGACTTGGGCTGGTTGATTCGGCCCACGTAAATGTCAGGCCCCTTGTTTGTGAGGACGTCAAATAGACGCCAGCGCCGAGGCCAGTGTTGTGGATTCCCAGGCCGTGGATCTTTGGGCCAGATCCAACCGAGTTGAGATGGCATGGTTCTTTTTTTGCGAAGCTCGTCTTTGGTGAGGTAGTGTTTAGATCAGGATGAGGAATGTAAGATGGATCCAGTGGGTTCGAATGTATCTTCTAGGTCATAGCAGAAGTAAATGGGACAATAGACAAGATGGCCTTTTTTATATCCACCTGTGGACTGCTATACTTCCTTATCAATGAACGGCTTTCTGTTCAGAGACAATGAAGCCTTTGCGGCAGCTTCCCGCGAATTCTTTCGCTCTTTTTGAAACCATGTCTGACTTTTAGTACAAGGAGTGACATAGTGCTGCTTTGGCATGCTTCTGTTTTAAATTGCACAACAATTGCATAGGATATGAAACCAGGAGTCTAGGTCTTTGTAGGAAACTAACTGGAAAATGTAGTTTCTCGGGCCCTCCGCGCCAATCATTCTAGACCTCCTCGCCATGGGTAGTTCACAGAATGAGAGCATTACAATAGTGGTCTCATTGCCGCTGCTCATGGCAAGGGTACTCTCCGTAGACATACAGCACCTCGTGGAGATCGAGGGACCTCCGCGCCTGCGCAAATGACCTCGACGACATCATCGACCCGCCGGGGGGAGCGGCAAATCAGCTCGCTTGAGTATACAACGACTAAGCATCGTCGCGAACGACTAAGCGATCATTGTAGTCACGGCGACTGGAAGATAGAAAAGAACTCTCGGTCCCAGTAGACTTCGCTCTTCTTTCATTCCATCTGTATCCTCAATCTGCAAGATCATCCAAAGCTTCATCAAAGCATTCATCAAAGCATTCATCCAAGTAGCAGTTTTATCAAGTCACCAAGTCATCAGCCCAAATCGACACCAGAATGGATACTTCTGAGGGTGATACAGCCCTTCAAGGTGTTGTCGACCGTGTAGGCGATGTCCAGCAACCAACTGAGCTCGACCAGCAAGGTAATGTCTTCGCGCAAGGCCAATATTTCATCGAGGCTAACGCCCAGCAAGCCAACTTTCATCAGCCTGGCCAAGCTCTTCAGCGAGCCCAGGTGTTTCAGCAAGACCAGGTGCTTCAGCAAGACCAGGTGCTTCAGCAAGACCAGGTGCTCCAGCAAGACCAAGCTTCTCAGCAATATCTTCTAGCTCTTGAGCAATACCAAGCTCTTCAGCGATACCGAGCTATTCAACAAGCACCAGTTTCTCAGCAAGGCCAAGCATATCCCGAGACCAGCTTCGCCCAAGGCCATGGCAACCCAATGGCCTTCGGCAACCCCCAACATGATGACATCCTGCACATCAATACCACAAATCCCATGCATGGGGTAGTCGACAACGAGGATAACAATCTCGAACAGCAAGCTGCTGTTCCCAAAGAGCAAATTGATGCTCCCAAGCAGGGCAAGTCCAGTCCCACCATCGCAGCCACCAAGCGCAGGAAGACATCCAAGAAAGCGATGAAAGGATCCATGCCGCCCCGACGATCTACTCGAGTGGCCAAGGCCCAGCAATCGGCTCAACCCGAGACAACGAGCACAACCAAGAACAGCAACCAATCCGACATGACCAAAGCAGCAGAGGCTCCTGAGCAAGAGGATGATAATCAGCAAGGCAGCTCCAAGCAGGAAAATCCCTATCAGCAGCCTAGTTCATACCAACAAGCCAACGTTCCTCAGCCTCCCACTCTCCAGCAGACCAGTCCTCAACAGCAAACCTTTGTCTACCCCCAGACTGCTGGAGAGTCCGCGACGACGAACGTTGCAAGCTATCACCAAGTTGCTGACGGCGAGCAAAACACTGCTCAGGGTAATGCTTACCAGCTACCCATCTCCCTTCAACAGGGCATTGCTCCCTGGCCCAGCACCCCCCACACCGACAATCCCTTCCAGCCCCGTTCTCCTTGGCCCAATCCTGCGCAGACAAATGCATACCAGCAGGCTGCCACCCGGGCCAATTCCCCTCAGCACGGCACCCCCCAAGCTGACCCTGCTGCTGCAGATGCTGCCTCACGAGAGCAGCGCCGTGCTGAGCTACGGGAACTGGTCAACCTTGACCCTGTCAGGTTGATCAGGGCAAACGAGAGGCTGCTAGGGATTGCTGCCCGATACCAGGAGGCGGGACTGGCAACCCCCCTCTATGGGCAGAACTCGTTTCGGTGTTTGGAGGAGGACGGGATCCCAGATCCCGGATACGCTTGGGTCATGCGGACTCTGCATGCCAACCTGGCTTATCTCCAGACTCTGGATGAGGAGGAGATGGCCAGGTTGGCGGGGTTTTCAGGATGGCAATCCTGAATTTGGATTCTGGGAGCGGTTGTGGCGGCCGCCTGCCACCACGGGTGGGGCAGGCGGCCGTTAATAGTTCTTAATCAATGTGTTCTGTCTTGAGTTTCATTCAGTTTGTTCTTAGTAGGTTTCTTTGCGTAGTCTGATAGTCGGCGATATAGTGATCTCGAAGTGACTTACGATCAGTTGATATCCAAAGTAAGGTAGAATCACTTCCGAAAGCATACATAGGCGAAAGTCAGAGATATGGTCTCATATCTCAGAGGTAATTGAAGTTCAGTTAATAGTCATCTGATAGGGTTAGACCTTCAAAGTCTCTCACTTCTGAGGTTGATAACTTGACATCTCGTTTCTCTTCTTTTCTCCGTGCTGTGTAGCCTGTGAGCATCGCCATTAAGTCAGTATAGAGTCGATATATGAAAAGGCCTTTAAGACTTTGAACGTGCCGGCGATGATCTCGAGTCCACAAGATATCGAATATAGCAGTAGTTACCGTGCAGTGTTAACAAACTGTCGAAAGATAGTAGAACAACGGGCCACACATCGCTGCTCATAGTATGAATTCAAGAAGCACGACAGAAAAGACACGACCAGAATGAGAGAGCTTATGCCACAGGGGTTGTATTAATATAGAGCCGAAAATACAGATTTAAGAAATCAACAATTGTCCACCGCGGCTTCTTGAAGAATGAACAGTTTAAATAAAGATCAAGGATAAGATGCAAACAAGCCAGAATACATCTTCACCTATGTCAACACATCATGCAACGCCGTATTCTTGCTATTATCGTCAATCCAAATCGCTTCAAAATATGCAACGCCCCAAAATGGAAAAAGAAAATGTTCATGAGAAGTCAATGCAATGGCACTCAGCGAGTGCCTATCAGAGGGCGAAGAGACCAGCACTGCCTGCAAACCAGGTGAATGAAGCGAATGTGATCACGGCCATACCGAAGGTGAACTTAAGGGCTTGGCGACTCGTCTCGGACAAGGCGCTGTTGCAGGTGGCGCACATGAATTCTAGAAAATTTAGTATACTTTCTGAAAAAATAATAGTGGGCGTAGATACTTACCACCAAGTGGAGTGTAAGGCTGAGGAGTGTACATTCCGAAGGCGTAGCCGCCGTTCTGAGAGCTCAAGTGTCCTGCGGTGGCCGGGTCACCGATTTCCTTGCTGGCATCATAAATAATCAAAGTATACGACGCAGTAAGCAAGGGAATGGTGGCCGAGGATTGATACTTGTTGGTATCCCACACCACCCTTCCGGTTTGCTCCACGGTCATGTTGGAGGTAAGCGTGTATTTCATCGAATTGAGACTGCATGTAGCGATAACGTTCACCGCAGACGGTGTGACTGACAGCGAGGTATAGTTCCACACGAATGTCACATCCTGACCAATCTTATAGTAGGTGGTGGACGAGGAAGCGGGGGTGATCATGGACACACCTCCGGCAGCGGCAGCAGGGTCAATGGAAATCGAGGTGGTAGCAGTGGTCTTGGGTTTTCCCGTCTGTGTGCCAGTTGTCTTGCCGGTAGCCGTCTCGGAATCGGTCCCAGTGCCTGTTCTGGTGTCTGTGTTTGTGCCAGTCTCGGTTTCGGTAGCGGTTCCAGTAGCGGTTCCAGTAGCGGTTCCAGTGGCAGTCTCGGTGGCAGAGTCGGTGGCAGAGCCGGTATCAGTTTCGGAAGCAGTCTCGGAGCCAGTCTCGGAGGCAGTTTGGGCAGCTTTGGTAGCTTCCGATGTTTCGGCAGTCGCTGTCTCTTCGGCAGTTGCTGTATCAGTGGTGTCTGAAACACAAGTCAGCATTGCCCACAATGTTATGGAAACAGACCTGCCTACCTGCACGCTTATTCAAAGAGTCACCATCCAACAATGCCCCATAGGGCCGCCATGGCCAGGCCGATGATATCGTCCCCAGCAACAAGAGAGTGCAGAGCACACTCAGAAACACGAACCGCATATCGAGGGTTTGGTGAAAAGTTGATGAGATTCAAGGACCGGGCGACCGAGGTATCACTCCCTGGATCGAAAGATGGTCTGGACTGATCACACCCCTTACACGACCTGGAATGACTTGTCGAAAAACAGCGTTCTGAGACGAAAAGATGGCAGGCTTGCTGATTTGACGTCTGGACCCAGCAATTGCGGTTGCTATGGGATAACGATCCGAGGACGTGGAGCGCAGAAAATGTTATTAATCCCTTAGCCACTCTAGACCCTGAAACATGCAGATCACGGGGGGGGGTGTGGGTTATGGCGGAAGATTGACAGAGGATTGGCGAAGGGGAGAATTCTCGATCCAAATCAACGATCGTGAACAGCTTCAAGATGAAGAATAAACGAGTGTCTTCAGCCCGCAGGAAATTGAGGAACAACGAGAGGGAAACCCCCGTAGAGAAAGAGAGATGTTTGACCTGTATTGCGGAGCTAAACCCAAACGGGCCATAGTGGCTGTCAAGCATGTGAGACATCGGCTATTTATAGTGGCTGTCGACTATTTTGACCATCAACTGATCGATTGGCCTTGAAAGGCGTCAAGGTTTTCACCTGGGGAATCTCTCAGCTCCATGCCTGTACTTATTCGGGCTGGCTAACGCAAAATCTGGTCGTTTTACCTCAAAAACTGCCCTGGAGACAACATTGCCCCACAAACATACTTTAGTATTTACGATCGTTTTGATAACACTACAGAATCATCTTTCATTAAGCCCTAGGTCCTCCGTATATACGGAGTATAAACATCGTTAGTCGTATGTCCAATATTCTTGGTGGCTGGTTTGGCCGATATCAACACTTGTCGAGTCAAGATTTATGCCGTCAACGCCAACCCAGGACTGATATATATCCGTGTTTAAACCTCCACAGAACCTATCTAGACCTACATTTGATCATCTATAGAAACTACACAACGCAAGGTACCACGGCAAGCCTCAATACCACAGTTATGATTCCTCATACGGACAACACCCTAATGCCCTGGTACAGTACGTGTATACTTACAAAAGGAAAAGAATAGGCATATCAAAGCCATCAGCAATAGTGTGTTCAATTCTGACCGCCTATTGCTTCTATTACTTCAGGCCCTTTTCTCTCAAAGTTTGGCTGCAGGAACAAATATTGTTCATTTAGCAATGGCGTATATTGTTACACCCATGACCCCCGAAACCGATATATCTAAGCTACACTCGCCACTTCGACGTTTCAAGGATGGGCCTCTTTTGGTTCCGCTGGAGAAATTCTCCCGATGGTGGGGGTGGCGATCTAACGATGGCCAATGGGGAGCCGAGGGGGTTGGGGGATCGAAGGATGAAATGGAAAGTCGAAAGCTTATGGGGATCAATTGTGCTTTCTATCAATCTCGGTAGGAAGACGCTAGATTCATGAAACTGGATGTGGCGTTGTTGGTGACTCATGTCAGCCCGATTTGAGATCAGACTATCTACCTAAGCACTTGAGATGACCTAAAGTAAGATAGCCAAACAATCAAAACATCAGGGAGCAAATATCCTGGATACGTCAAATTGGGCTAAGTGGATTAAGGCAGAGGATTCGAAAGACAATAATAATACATTAATTAGAAGGTAATATCAAGATCCAACACTCGCTACAAGCTCAAAGATATCATAGCTCACTTAAGCAGACTTTGCGGGCACAGCGTGGAGCTCAATCTTATCACAGCCTTCAGGAACAGCAGGTTCCTGGACAGACTTGCTGAGGAAGTGGAGGTTGGGGAAGAACTGGCCAGCCTCGACGTTGGTAGGGCACCCTATACAAAAAACCGTCAGCTGGCTGCACATAATACAATTTTGTTATAAGGGGAAGATAAACACTTACACAACCAGCCATCCCAGGTCTCGCTCGGTCCCTTAATTCCCTCAGGGCTGTTAGAGAATCCCCTGGAGCCGTGAGTGGGCTTGATGCTGATCTGAGCGCGCTCCTTGCGGACACCTGTATGATGTCATTGTGGTTAGCAATCCGGCTTCAAGACAAGTACATTGACCAGATCAGGTCTAAGCTTACCCTCCACGTTGATTAGGTCCAATCTCCAGGGCTCGTTGGACCCCCGGGTCTTGACATCGAGAATGATGGAGCCGTTGGCGAAGGTAAAGACGGCGGCACGGTCAGCAGTAGCGCCAGCGAAGACGGCCTCATTGTTGAGGGGGTCATTGATGATGCCACGACCAACGGAGAGGTACAGATCGTTGTGAGAGCTGTTGCTGGCGCCAGAGGTCTTCAAGCTGAAGAGTCGCTCAGATGGGGCGGCGGCCACAGCGGTGGCGAGGAGGGCAATGGTAGCGAAGAACTTCATTTTGGGTGATGAATTGAACGAAGATTATAGTCTGAGGGGGTTTCGATTGAATTTATCAAAAAGAGGGGGTGTTATAGTGACGGGGATGTGGCGTACTTATATGCCATTGGATCCGTGGGACACAATTGATGAACTCATGGTCCACGGGGGTGGAGTATAGGGCCATCGGACTGTTTCGAGTAGCGCAGATCCAGCACTTCCTTGGGATCCAAATAGAAGTTCTGTCTTTGAGGGATCTGTCAACTTGGTCTCCAGCTTCGTTTGGATCTTTGATGCCGGTGCTCTTCTTTGTTTTTTTTGGCCCGTTGCATACATGTAGGCAAGGCACTTGCCTCAAACAGACACTATGCAAACTGCGCCTGCAGGATCTTGTTTTGATCCACGTCTTGTTCGAGGCTGTGTATGGGGTAAATGAAAGGGCTGATCCACCGGATCCTGAGACTGGTGATTACAATCGACATCCTGAAAAGGTCCTAAGTGGGTATCGACCTAGTTATACCATCCGAGCCAGTCATGATTGTGATCGAGTGCAGATCACATCCACAAGTGCCTCGTCTCTCTATTGATGGCACTGTCTACTCCGTACAACATACGACATCAATTCGTGATGTCAAAGACACATTTTACCTTTAGTATTGGCTTGTACAAGGAGATAACAGGATTCTTGTTTCACAGATGAGTTCATTAAGCAATCTGATCGGGATAAAGAGACTTGGGCTGAAGTAAACAAAGGAAAAGAAAATAAACGATGCCAAGATGCCGTGGAGCTGTTCCCCTGAATCCTGCCCGACTGACTCCATGAATATCCAGTCGTTGCGACACTGAAAATCTCTTGCCCCTTTGGCGCGCGCGAAACCCTCCCTTCTGATGTTGTCCGATTGCGAGATAATTTGTGGTCCTAACAGAAATAGAACATGGCCCACTGGGATTATTGAAGTTGAAGCCTGTTGGAAATATTAATAGCATTGCATTTCACCCCTTTCTTTTGCGAGGTATGGGGTACTATACAACACTCTTTGATACTTGGCGTACAGCAGTGGCTTGAGCAGTTTGTCGCTAAAGAATAACCGCGCTAAAGACCCTGGCTAGGGTTGGGGCGTTTTAAGCATGTGCCCTAGTGGATACATCCCCTGCACGCAGTACAAATAAGCAGCGTACGGAGTACGGAGAGTGACATTATGTATATTCATTGATGTCTGTTGTATGAAGATATTATGCAATTGGATAGAAGCAGGGTATCTGTATTGTTATTATCATTCCTCATCACATCGTGAAACCCACTATCTTACATAAATCTCCTATTATAGGAGAGACACACTCTGATCACATTTATGGTTCCCTCACTGTCCCCGAGTATTGGCATTTCGGGCAAATTCAGGCTTCAGAGTCCACCGGCCTCGACGATCGCGACCATGTTTCAATGTCGCAACCTTCTTCAATGACTCTTGAAACTCAGCAACTCGCTGGGGATTGGAGCAGTAAGGATTGAAATGTTCAACAATCGACTGCGAGAAAGTTGGCCCGCGCTGAGAGGCAAGGTAATTACAGATTAAAGGAACAAAGTCTTTGCCGCGTGGCATACGCGCTGATGAAGCGTTGGTGTCAGGAGTTCTCTGTCCGGCAGCAGCAGGGTTAAGCCTAGCTAACAGGTCTGAGGATGAAGGTCCTGCCCCAGCAGGTCGGGCGGAGCTGCCACCAGCCCGTGGATCTTCCCGACCCCCCATACCGAAACGACCCGTCCACGTAGGAAGTCCAATCGGGAGGGCTCGGGCAGTCTCTTCGGCTTTGCGAAGCTCTTCAGCGGCTTCGTTGGCGACGCGACGAGCTTCGGCTTCAATCATTTTGGGATCTGCACGAACGACCCGCTTGCCATTTACAATTTGGTCGTGTTCAAGTGCAGAGTGGACGCCAGAACGTGCAAAAATGCCGTGCATGATACGGTCTTCGGAGGTTTTGGCGTTTTTCTCCTCTTCTGTAATGTTTTGGAACTCTTCAACATTGGCAACACCATGGATATCATTGATACCATCTTCCTTCCTGGGAGTCGGGACAAGCTTATTCTTGCTGCCTCGGGGATCTTTGCCTTCTTCCTGATATGTGACTTCGGCGTTTTTGAACAATCTTGTCGTCTCTAGCTCGTTGTCATTTTCGTCTGTCAGAGTGAACAGATCATAAAGATCACTCAGCTCGAAACCTTCTCGCTGATGGGGATCACGGGTGATTTTATTTGTCATAAATTGTTTGAATATCTGACGGTGATAGATCTTCTCTTCGATAGTGCCTTTGGTCATAAGACGGAAGATAGTCACATCACGCTTTTGACCTAAACGCCATGCGCGCTCTCGCGCCTGCAGGTCGGTCGATGGATTCCAGTCGGGATCGTAAATAATGACACGGTCAGCACCTGTCAGATTGACACCGATCCCGCCCACACGCGTGGTGAGCAAGAAGACATGGATATCAGGGTCATTGTTGAATGTGTCAACCAGAGGCTGACGTTCCTTAATCGGGGTAGATCCGTCCATTCGGCGGTAGTTGAACCCGCCCAGAATGCCAAGGAATTTCTCGATGATGTCCAGCATCAGACGGCCCTGGGTGAAAAGCAGGGTTTTGTGGCCTGTGTCTCTCCAGACCTCAAGCAAGCCCTTCAGAACCTGCATCTTTCCAGACCGCTCTGCATCACCGTAGTCCGCGTCATGAGAGCGCAAAGTGTGGTCTGCTAGGTCTGGATGATTGCTGATTTTGCGCAAAATATCAATACCATACAGCGAATTCCTTTTCCCTCGTATGATGGACTTCATGTCATCCGAGCCGAGGAACCTCTGGTAGATGGTACGCTGCAATTGGGTCAGTTTGCAGAAAATCACCTGCTCGCTTTTCTGCGGCAGGTCAGATGTAACATCGGCTTTGAAGCGCTGGAGCAGATAGGGACTGATGGCATCTTTCAGAGTCTCTGCACATTTCGCAGCTGTCTGCACTTGAAGGTTTGATGCAGATGCGTAGCCACCCTGACGGATGGGAATCTCAAACTGATTTTTGAATGTAACGAGGTTTCCTAAGCGCATTGGAAACACGAAATCAAAAAGGGACCAAAGATCCACCAAGCTATTCTGCATTGGGGTTCCTGAGAGAATGATGCGATGAGGAGTGCGGAGTTCCTTGCAGCTGAACGTAATACCAGCATCTGGATTGCGAATTTTATGACCTTCATCAAGGATAGCGCAGCTCCATTCAACATCAACGAGGGCATCTGCATAGGACTGCAGTCCAGAGTAGGTGGTTACAAGGACATGTCCCTCCTCGGTGACTCGCTTGATGATTTTTTTAGCTGCTTTTTGACCGGCAGATAGGTGACGTGAACTACGACTGTCCATCATTTCTGACGAAAGCGCTTTTTCCCGGCTGCTTTCCTTCCCAAGATTGATCATACCACTACCCGATGAGTGTAGGATGGAAACACGAAAGGGCGGCCACCAGCGATGAAATTCATTGACCCATTGTTTCATAAGAGTTGCAGGGCAGACAATGATAGCAGGCTTGGTGAGCATGTTGCTATGATGCAGTGCCGCAAGATAGGAGATCGCCTGGATCGTTTTCCCCAGTCCCATCTCGTCTCCGATTATCCCACCAACGGTTTGCTGGTGTAATTCCCACAGCCATTGAACTCCCGTTTTCTGGTAGGGAAATAGAAAGCGGCTGATGTCTCCAGGGACTCGCAGGCCATTATCGAGTTCCATTGCTGGTTCAGTGGGATGTGGCTTGAGCCACTCTTCTTCATTCGGGTCATCTTCGATAGAAGGACTACCAGTTTGTCGTCGAGCAGAGCTTCTTCGACTGATCCATTCTCGGACACGTGTCTGATAGATTACCTCGTTTCCATCGTCGAGTCCACTCAGATCTTCGAGTTCATTTTTTGCTTTTCCTTGCTTTCGCTTGCGACTTGACTTGGTGTCAGGAAGGGTGTCGGGTATGAACTCCTCATCCTCAGATGTAACGTCAGCCTCTTCCGAGGCAACATAGCTTGCTGAGGATTCTGCCTCTGAAGAAACCTGCCGATCCGCCTTTCTACGTTTGGTCCTGCTAACTTCGTCAAAACCAAAGTCTGGGCGCGCAAGATCCCTGTGAGATGCGGCTGGCAGATGTTTGGCCTGTTCGCGCTCCTCCTCCTCCTTCTGTTGATCCTCAGTATCAACGAGTGCATCATGAAGATTGGCAAGTGGTCCATCTCTGGTACCCTCTTGCATTGATGCGAATGGAGTGATTTTGCCGGTTCGCAGGAGGTAGTCCCGGCGAGACTCATTCGCCAGCCGCCCTGAGCCATGCGCCACCGTCGCATTCCCTTGCGACTCGCGCCTTTCATCGATGCGCTGTTGTATATCTCTCAAGTCTTTCCCCAGATCTGTCTTACAGATCTGCAGCCTTTCCAGCTCATTCTCGAGCCGACGGCGAGTGGCGGCCCCGACAGGTTGTGTTAGGCGGTGGCGCGATTGGCGAATTTGAGAATCGACTCGTCTAGAAGGTTAATTAGCAATGCAGTAATAGCGCGGGAAGGTTGCTTGCTCTCACTCCCGGTCAACAAGGGCCTTCTCAAGCCGCTTGATGTCATTCTCCTCCGCCTTGTCGGCTAGAGCTTTATCGGCCTAAAAAGGGATAGTCGTGAGCCAAATTCCATGGCTAAATGAGAGTGTGATCATACTTGACGAGTGATATCTCTTTCGAGATCATCCTGGTTGCGGACATCCGCCTGGAGATCTCGCAGGCGGCTCGCCTCGTCGTTTGTGGTCATAGTGGCTGTTGTCCAAATAAAGATTGTATGAAGTGAGAAGAAGGAGTGAGAGACTAAAACAACCCACTCTAAGCAAGTGAAATCATGATGAATCCCCAAAGAGCAAAGATAATAGCACAATACCACAGGCAGCAATGAGTCCAGATGAATAGAATCCAATCCAATCTAGATCTTTATCGGAGGCAATGGCATAATTGCTCACCGCCTGGGACACCGCTCACGTGAATTGACAGGTGACTGGCGGGCGATTAAGTAATCTGTCTTACTCGCTCAGGCGCAGGTGAGAAGCTGGGCAGCTACCTGGAGATAGTTTTGTTATGATTATTGTATGATGGTGTTTACACTGTTGCTCCAAATTCACATGTGTACTACCCCTTATCTCATCACATAAAATCATGAATTTCACTCATTCGTTCTTCATGCTCTATGCTTCCCGACCTGCCCGCTGTGGAATCGATGACGTCGCAGCATCAGCCTCTATAAGACTCCATGACGATGCTGTTCGATTCTGATCAGGACATCGGGATAGATCTGTAGAGCCCTACGCAGTGGGAACTGACCAGTTAGCACCAGAGAGAGAGCCCTATTAGGCTCGGACAGTTGGGTATGCAATGAAGCGTCGATCATACGAAAGAGTCATGTCGCCAAGGAGACCACAATCCATTACGATGCCCAGGATGCGAAGAGGATCACCAGGTTGAATCGGTCTCTTGGTAGGGAATATATATTACAGTATGGCTCCTTAGTTGGAGATAGAATATCCCTTTATAGAGCCCACAATAAATGTTGAATTCCAAATTGGCGAGCAAGGTTTAACCTCCCCTTCTCTAGATGTCTTGTCTTTCCCCTCTTCCCGATCTCTTGTGTCTCCGTATATCTCTGTGCGCTGATGGACCGTTCATTCTAAGTTCTACTTGTTGATGCCATCCTTGTCCTCGTTGGTTCCCCGTTTTCACCGGGCCCCAACACAGTTCTCTTGACTTGGCTGAATACCCAGCCGCGCCTACGTCTACTGCGTCGCAACCAAATTGCGACCGCCCCCCTCTTCCCTTCGAACTTGTCTTCACCAACAATTCCTCAAATGATGAAGTATAGAACGATCTTATTTTAACGCCAATTCCCTACTGTTTATCTCCTGTTTCTCGAATTGCGTCCACACCCGCCACACACCTGCGGTCGCATTCCGAGTGCCGTCCCCGCTGGCATCCCACGGACCCTGATCGCAGTGCTTCTAACGACAGGGGCTTCGACTGTCGCCGGTCGTTTGCACAAGGAATTTGAAAAATGGATCCTGGGTGGCAGCCTTACCAAGATCCTTTGATGGGTCATCCTTCGCAGTTCAATACTGGGTTGGCGTCTCATCCTCAGCAACTGGGCTCGAAATACGGGCAGCCACCACAATCACAGCCGCCCGTCGGATATACGTACGAGACCTTCCAAACTCCTGGCACGACATCCAACCCCCCTTCAGCCGGCACAAACTCCAAAACCGTATCCATGGCTTCCTCCCCCACCGCCACGCCACGTACTCGGGATTATGTCACCGATGCGGATACCACCATGGAGGACGCCGACCCGTACAACCGGGCGAAGTACCCCTCGAGGCCAAACCACAATCGCGCATCGTCTCAATTCTTGAACCAAGCAGAGGAATCATCAGCTGCCCGAAGGTACTCCCCGGGGAATGTTCTTTCGCCGCCGATGTCGTACCCCACAAGTCCTGGCAAGTCCCAGGGCTCTTATGGATTCCCATCCGCACCCCAGAGTGCTTCCCGGCGGTCACCTGCGAAGCCTGAATATGCATCTCCACCACAAGCATATCAATCCCCTCCATGTGAGCTTGATTTCAGTCACTTACTGACTCTTTGAGTGTTTGCTAATAACTGGATAGCCAACCGTCCACCTAGACTACCTCCACTTCAATCCGGAGACCTTAGCCCAGACCAATACTACCCGCCATCAGCTTCCTCACACATGAGTCCAGGCTTTGGTCAAGGATCGCGATCACCGCGATCCGGTTCTTTGCCATCTCAAACCCCTCTAATACCCGGTCGAGGTCCTGTGCCCAAGTTCCAAAAGATCCAGTCTGTGCAAGAACTACATCCGCGCACGAATGTACAACCTGCATATCGGCGTGCCAACCCAGAGGGCGGATTCATCAGTGTAAGTGATCAGAAACCCCAACTGCCCTTGTAATCAAGCTAACCCATTCTGGCAGCCACTTCAATCATTGACAACCCACCTCCCGGCCACCTACCGCATATGCAACCCCGGATTCAACTATGAGTCTTCGAGAAACCCGCGGCGAGTATTAACCAAGCCCAGCAAAGGCGTCAAGAACGATGGATACGACAATGAGGATAGTGATTATATCCTCTATGTCAACGATATTCTTGGAAGCGAGGAAGCTGGCCACAAGTATGCCCTCATTCAATCCCGAATTGCTGACCATGGAACTGACAATCATTTCTGTTTAGGAACCGATACCTCATTCTTGATGTCCTAGGCCAAGGTACCTTCGGCCAAGTTGTGAAATGTCAAAATTTGAAGACCGGAGAAGTAGTAGCCGTCAAAGTGATCAAAAACAAGACTGCGTACTTCAATCAGAGCATGATGGAAGTTTCCGTGTTGGATCTGGTATGCTATATGCTTGCACCATCCACAATTAAACGCCTGCTAATTTCCCACAGCTCAACAGCAAATATGACAAGAATGACGACCATCACCTGCTTCGTCTCAAGGACACATTTATTCATCGCCAGCACTTGTGTCTTGCATTCGAATTGCTCAGTGTTAATCTATACGAATTGATCAAGCAAAATCAATTCCGTGGATTGAGCACTACTCTTGTCCGTGTGTTTGCCCAGCAATTGTTGAACGCCCTGAGCTTGCTAAACAAGGCGCACTTGATCCATTGTGATCTAAAGCCGGAAAACATCCTCCTTAAGAAGTCAGTATTTGTTACTTATCGTTAGGATCCACTTCTGACCATTCATAGCCTCGAGAGCCCGATCATCAAGGTCATTGATTTCGGCTCTGCCTGTGATGAACGCCAGACAGTCTACACTTACATTCAATCGCGGTTTTACCGTTCTCCTGAAGTATTGTTAGGTCTTCCGTATGTATATCAATCTCCTTCGTCCTGCACTTGCCTAATGTTTCCCTAGATATTCCTCTGCGATTGACATGTGGTCTCTTGGCTGTATCGTCGTGGAGCTCTTTTTAGGTCTCCCTCTGTTCCCTGGTTCATCGGAGTATAATCAAGTATGTCGGATTGTTGAGATGCTGGGTATCCCGCCAACGTGGATGCTGGAGATGGGCAAGCAGTCTGGAGAATTCTTTGAAAAGACACAAGATGAGTTCGGAAGAAAGACCTACCGCCTCAAAAGCTTAGAGCAGTATTCCCGGGAGCACAACACAAAGGAACAGCCAAGCAAGAAGTATTTCTCTGCGTCGACACTGGAAGAGATTATTCGCAGTTACCCGATGCCCCGGAAGAACATGAAGCAAGCAGAAATCGACCGAGGTGGGTTTTCTCCTTTGTTTTTCTTTGTCTTGCTCGAGACTTGACTAATAATCGCAGAACTGAACAATCGGATTGCTTTCATCGACTTCGTGCGGGGTCTCCTGTCAACCAACCCTCTCGAGCGGTGGTCTCCCCAACAAGCCAAGCTACATCCATTCATCACCCAGCAAAAGTTTACTGGTCCCTTTATGCCACCAATGAATCTCAAGTATTCAACGGCCACTAAGCCTGCTCCGGGTGTTCAGCAACAACAGCAGGCTGAGGCTGCTAGCAAACAGAGAGCAGCTCAGGCTGCGCATGCGCAAAATGCATATGCCGCGCAAATGAATCAATTCCACACGCCGCCTCAAGCCCCGCCTCCAGCCCCCCTATGTACAACGGGATGTACCAACAAGCGGCACCGCCTCCTCCATACCCTAGTCAGCAGCCACCAGGCTACGGTCATCAGATGGGAATGATGCCAAACAACCAGATGCCTCCCCAGAGTCTTTACGCACAAGCGACTACTCGAGCAGGCCGTCAACGAGCATCCACTATGGACCCTAATGGAGGAATCCCAACTACCATCCAACGAGTTGCTAGCCACCTGGATCCCAACGCGCCGATTCGATTGCAACCTAGCCCTGCATACTATCCACCTCCTCCTGATGGGTACGTCGATGCTAACGCCAATCAACGGCGCCGTGGGAGTCGAACAAGTGGTGGGAACCAACGCAATCGGGATTTCATCCGCACTCTCGAGGATGGTGTGCTGACCGAAGGATACATGGGTCAGAACCAATGGCACTAGGGCGGTAGGATAAAAGAGCCTCCGATGTGCACATTCTTCACTATCATTTGAGAGCTAGCAAACCCGATATATGATACTCTTTCTCCCCGGCCAAGTGTCAAATGAGCCCAGGGCGTTGTGTTTGGAAGGCTTGCTGCACTGACCCATTCCTCGCCAGCCAATCTGTTCTTATCTAGCCGACTCTTGTAAGTACGAGTCGCAAAAGACCCGTCAGCGGTTCCACGCGGTCTACGATGGTCTCGGACTGCTGATACACGATCTGCATTGCTAGCGGTAGATCGATCCGCACGCTCGCACACCGCGAGCTGTGCCCATCAGTGGCCAAATGCTTCGCTGCAAAGATCACTCCCCGCATTATGTCTGTTTCATTGCGTCTGATTACGTTTCTTGCTGTGTTACGATCCAAATTATGTTCTGCAATTTCTTTCTTCTTCTCTTAGGCAGGGCTTCGGCATATCTGGCTGCCTTTCTTGTGAAATTTTCTTTCTCAGCATAGCCTGGATGGAGCATGAACGAACGATCTCATCCATACTCTTTTCTCCACGTAACTCTGTCTTGATCAATTGACTTTTCCTGAGGATGTTGATTCCATTTCTTTTCTTTTCCTGGTCTTCGTCGGGCGTAAAACTTGCGGTCGTTTCTCGCGGTGTCTGCGGCATGTTGATTGTTTCACGGGATTCTCATCCTCGTTCTTCTTTGTACACATTCGAGACCGAGATGGGAATTGAACCACAAGCGCGTGGATCATCTGGGTCCATGAGTCGAGTCCTATGTCCTTGTCGCGCTTTCCATGGATGGACCTTGTTTGCCCCCTGGTTGCCTGATCGGTCAGGCCTTCGCTCTTCGTGGAGAGGAATCAGTCTCTCGTTTTTGTCCCATTCTCAGTCGCTCTGAATGTTTTCGTATCTGGCGTCAAATATCCGAGAGCTGATTCACAGTAGGAATAATAGTAACAAAGCCGATTGAGCAAAAGACGAAGTATAAAAACAGTGGTCGCTGTTTCTTTGTTCTGGGCTATGCCTGATTAGGTTTAGTCAGCCCCTCGCTTAAATTTCGTGTGTGGCTCTCAACTACGGGAACTTCAACTTTGTGTCGCCGACGACCTGATTTTTCAGCTTTCGGATCGCCATTTCAATCACAGAAACCGTAATCCGCAAACATGGCGTCGCGTTTCTTCTACGGCAGCGGCAGCGACAGCGACAGCTCGTCTGATGAGGAGGAGGAGGTCTACCAATCCGGCTCCGGCAGCGAAGATGAGTCTTCCGAGGAAGAGTCTGACTCCGGCTCTGGTACCGACAGCGATGAGGAGGAGGACACCCGCACCGGTGCCTCTAAGTTCTTGCACGATGATTCCGACAGCGAGGAGAGTGAGGAGGAGGAGAAGGTCACAATCGTCAAGTCAGCCAAGGACAAGCGTCTCGAGGGTCTCGAGAGCACCATCCGCCTGATTGACAACGCCGAGAAGATCAACGACTGGGCTGTTATCGCCACTGGTGAGTCTACATGCCACATACGGGGACTGAAGACTTAGGGGAAATGAGGAGTCTGGGAACGGCATCCACTGACATGATTCACACACAGAGTTCGATAACCTGAACCGCCAGATGCTGAAGATTACCGGTCCCACCCCCAAGGTCTACATTCAGGCCGTTGCCGAACTCGAAGATTTCACCAACGAGACCGCCACCAAGCAGAAGGCCTCTGGCAAGAAGATGAACGCTAGCAACAGCAAGGGTTTCAACGCCGTCAAGCAGAAGATCAAGAAGAACAACAAGGAGTACGCCACCCTGGTCGAGAAGTACCGTGCCAACAAGGATGCCTTCATGGCCGATGAAGTTGAGGAGAAGCCCGCCCCTGCTCCTGCCCCCAAGCCCACCAAGGTCGAGAAGATCGCGAACTTCGCCGCCGCCGCCGCCGCCGGTGCTGAGGATGATGGTTTCGCTACAGTTGGCCGTGGTGGCAAGACTCTTCAGTACACTCCCGAGAGCATCCTCAAGCACCTCCGTGTTATTGTTGAGTCCCGCGGAAAGAAGAACACCGACCGTGCCGACCAGATCCGCACCATGCAGAAGCTCCTCGAGGTTGCCACTACTCCCTACCAACGCATCCGCACCTACATGACCCTGATCTCCACCCGCTTCGATCTCACAGCCACATCCAACGCCACCTACATGTCAAGTGAGCAATGGCAGGCCGCCAACGAGGAATACTCCGCCCTCCTTTCAGTCCTGGAAGAGAACCGTCAATTCCTTGTCAGTGAGACCGCTGACGACTGGGAGGATGACGAGAAGCAACCCACTGTTGCTGAGGGTGAAACTTTCCTCATTCCGGGCTCTGTTGTATCACTCGTGGAGCACCTGGATGACAGCCTCACCAAGGGTCTCCGCGAGATCGATCCCCACACCTCAGAGTACATCGAGCGTCTTACCGACGAGCAGGCTCTCTACTCTTCGCTTGTTCGCTCGCAGCTTTACATCGAGAGCCTCAAGGGTGCCGATAAGAATGGTCAGGACAGCATGAACAGATTGGTCATCAGACGATTGGAGCACATCTACTTCAAGCCCTCTAATGTCATTGCCATTGTTGAGCAAGCCAAGGACAAGGCTGTTCCCACAACTATCGAGTCAGCCGTCACTGCCAGCTACAAGCCTGGAGATATTCAGAGTCTCGTTGCTTCCATCTGCAATTACATGTTCGCCAACAGCGACGGCATTCCCCGTGCCCGTGCTATGCTGTGCCAGATCTACTTCCTCGCCCTGCACGACCAATACTACAAGTCTCGCGACTTGATGCTCATGTCTCACCTGACTGAGAACATCTCCACTTTCGATGTCAGCACTCAGATCTTGTTCAACCGTACCCTTGTCCAGATCGGTCTTTGTGCCTTCCGCGGTGGTCTCATCTATGAGGCTCAGAACACTCTTGGTGAGATCTGCGGTACCGGCCGTCAAAAGGAGCTTCTTGCTCAGGGTATCATCATGCAACGATACTCCACCGTCTCCCCCGAGCAGGAGCGTCTGGAACGCCAGCGCCAGCTGCCCTTCCACATGCACATCAACCTCGAGTTGCTCGAGTGCGTTTACCTCACCAGCAGTGCTTTGCTTGAGGTGCCCTTGATGGCACAGACTTCTTCCACTCCCGAACTGCGCCGCCGCATGATCTCCAAGACCTTCCGCCGCATGTTGGACTACAACGAGCGCCAGATCTTCACCGGTCCCCCCGAGAACACTCGCGACGGTGTCATTGCTGGAGCCAAGGCTCTCGCCGCTGGTGACTGGAAGCTCTCCGCCGCCACCTTTGCCGCTATCAAGATCTGGGACCTCATGCCCCAGCCTGATAAGATCAAGGCTATGCTGTCCCGCCAGACCCAAGAGGAGGGTCTGCGCACTTACCTCTTCACCTACGCCCCCTACTACGACAGCCTCTCCATCTCTTCCCTGGCCACCATGTTCGAACTCGAGCCTAAGAAGATCGTCTCCATTATCTCCCGCATGATCTCGCACGAAGAGCTCGCCGCCGCTCTTGACCAGGTCAACGACGCCATCATCTTCCGCAAGGGCGTCGAGCTCTCCCGCCTCCAGTCCCAGATTGTCACCCTGGCCGACAAATCCACCAGCCTTCTCGAGTCCAACGAGAAGACCCTCGAGCAGCGCACCCAGGGTATGGCCAATGCCTTCCAGCGCGAACACGGTCCCGGTGCCCGTGGTGGCCGCGGTGGCCGCGGTCGTGGCGGTGGTCGTGGCGGTGCCCGCATTCCCCAGGGCGATCGCCGACCTGGTGGCCAGCAGTTCGGTGGTGGTGCATTGGGCGCAGCGATCAAGGCTTAGATTGTGATGTAATGGCATGTTCTTTTTTTTCTCACCCTTTCTTCATGGTTTCTTTTTTTACTCCTGTCATCCCCTCCCGTGTTAGTACGACCGTTCCTTGCTTTTTAGGTCGGAAAAATTGCCCCGTTCTTTCTGCGCTTTTTTTTTTGTGATTGATCAAGATGATATTCACGTATGGAAATGATCGAGAAAGAATAAAGGTGCATATGGTTAGAAATTGATGCCTTATGGAATAGTTCTTAATTCCTGTGTCTGTGTAGCTCCTAGAATTTGTGTATATAATGGTCATTTTGCAGCATCGAGGTCGTGGGATCCTAATTTACTCCGAGGCCATGACCAGATAGCCCAATGGAAACCTTCCCGGTGTCAAAGAAAACAACCACTTCCCACCTGGCCAGCATGGAGGTCCTCTTTCTTTCACCATCAGCACCGGCCTTATTACACTCCATCAACTAACTCAAAACTACAAGTGGGTTTTTGGCCGACTGAAATCAGAGGTCCAGCCTCTTTGTCGCCGGTTCTTTCACGGTCATCACCTTCCCATTTACTCCGTACAGCCTTACACCAAACAAAAGGTTGATCAACTGGATCCCTTGGCCCAAAGACATCTCGGCAGGCGCGAGTATGTGGATCTTTGCAAAGTTTTCGACTATGTACTTGCAGGTGCGTCATTGTCAGTGGATCAAATCTTCATTTTCCTCGTGTCATGACACTTCCTGCAGGAATACCCTTACTAGTCGAGCAGGCTTTGATACTAAAGTGGACTGCGCTTTGGCAGACAGACCATACCCGTCTCAGAGACTCCCCCCAGTCGACCATTGCGCTCTGTTTAAATGTACTCCCTGCTAGATTGACCTTGTCAAATACGCTCGGTTCATCTATATCTTCTTTGAACACAAGCCTTCCATCGGAGGAAGCATTTCCAGGGACCTAGAGATGAGACAAAGAACGTGAAAGCAACACAGGGCTGGATTCCAGACAGACCATATTCCAGCGCCGAGTCACTTCCATTCATGACTTGCGTACTCGAACCCCCAGATTTCCTTTGTTTTCGGGTTCATGAGCCTTTTGGAAATCCAAAAATAGCATCTCCCGAGATGGCTGTCTCGATGAGGTCTTTTTTCTCTACAGAAAAAAAGCCTGCCGCAAAATACATTCCTACCGGGTCATTCCAATTTGTTGTGTTTTCCTTTTCTTTGTCTCGATATAACTCAGTCTCCCAAGTTGCTTGACTACAAATATCTTCATATATGCCGCAATCTTAATGCATATTTCTCATTCTCAGCCGTCCGGCCTCACCCTTCCATACCACGCGCACAGTCACCTTCCTTTTTGAGAAAATGCCTACTACTCGCCGCCAAAGACGAGGGACCTCAGAGCCTGCGGAAGTTCAGGATCCTGAGGCTCCCGCGATTGAGAGTTCAGGTACGACGAGTCGCAGCACTGGACTCTTCTCTCATTCCGCTCAAATCCCAGCTCGCTGGCCTACCGACCCAGAGGAGCTCAAGAAATATGTGGATTACGCCATGTTCCATGAGTATTCAGCGCCGCCACCTCCCCCGCCTAAACTTCCTCCCAGACAAAAGCGTTGGAGACATGAGGGAGATGAGGCTATCACCGAAATGAAAGACGTGCCAGAAGGTTGGAATCCCAATGATCTTGATATCGATGAGGACGATGTCGACGGCCAGATTGAGAGATGCTTGGAGCGGATCGATGATGGAATCATGCCCCAAATCTTCGAAGTGAAATTGGAAATGTACCAGAAGAGAAAGAAAGCTTTCAAGGACATGATCAAATCCGAACCATCTGGGCTCAGCTGGGGCGTCGTTCAGCGCTTGGATACATTGAAAATTATCGAAGCTCATGTCGTTGAGGAAGGGGATCCGGATGATCAACTTCCCAATATCAGAGCCCTCATGGAATCTTACAGAAGTAAGAAATTGACGTTCAAGAGTGGCATGGTCAGCTATTGGTCGGAAGGCAGGCAGCTCAATTCGCCCGAGAAGTTCGACGAGAATGTCCACAAGAGAATGCTCAAAAGCCATGATACCACCAGATCTTGGTGGGTGGAAGGTGTAAGTCAACCATACTAGCCTACAAAAGATCCTTTCTGATTTATGTCTTGTTCAGCTTTCGGGTGTCAGTCCTGTCAACATGGGAATACTTTGGGCATTCCCACCACGGAACCTCCAACGCGGACATGAGGTACATCTGAATTAACCTCTGTACTCAATCCTTTGTTCTAACTTCGAACTTCTGTCTTTCTTATAGTATCTAGTTGATGTTTCACCTGATGTCCGGGGTGCCAATCCCCCAACGTTCTGCCTCAAGGTAGTTCATGATACCGGTGCTGACGTTATGGGAATGCCTAGACAATACATAGATTTGATCAGTTCAGGACATAAAAAGCTAGCATTACAGGGATATCAGGTCGCGCAAACTGCTGGTGGTCTGGTAACGTGCAGGATGTATGAGATTGATGTCACCATGGCTACTTGCCTAGGCGCACATCCACTCGCGGGAGGTCCCTGGATGAGGGTCCAGCTCATGGAAATTCAAAACCTCTCAAGCGGCCGTCCTGGGGCAATCCTTTCAGGGCCCTTCCTCCGGTTTATGTGCTATACTGCCACATGTCCAGATGACCAGGGCAATCTACATATCACTTGGAACAAGAGTGACCTGGGTTTTCTGACGGATTTAGCCCCGGGCTTTATGCCAGCACCACTACCTTTTGCACAGGTGATTCCTGCATCTCCCGGAGGTGGCCCGCCAGCAGTGTTAGGAACAGCGGCAGCATTGGCAACGCAACCGGCGCCATCACTAAAACGAGCCAAAACTCCCACTCCCACTCCGCCAGCACCACGAAAGAAGCAACGGCCCGCACGTCCTTGAACTTGAGATCGTGGTTTTGCATTCATTCTTTGATTTGATGCTCGCAGTTCCGGTCCCATTTTTGTTATATTGGGGGAAACCGTGGGTTCCATTTGCTTTCTCTCTTTCCACAAGCATGCTATATCACATCTCTCTGTGCATGTGGTCTGTCTTCCATTTGACTTACATATGGAATGTCTTGGCCTTCTGTTTTCTTATTTGTCTTGGATCGATCATTCGTTATACATCTGTTTCAATTGATAGTCATAGTACATACAGTAGACATAAGTATTTGCACCCCCGCCCCACACCCGTAGTATTACGTAATATTCTACCGGCATAAAAACAATCCCATATATCATAATTGTCTCTAATAACAAGATATAAATGCCGGGAATGGTGCCAGGAGGTAAAAAGATGATAATCTAGGCTATTTATCTCGAAAAAGCAGTTTTATCTACAGTTTGAGGGCTTTACTCATAAACACTATCCGTATCAAGAAGGCGGTGTAGGCGGTGAGCGATGTTGGGCCAAGGGGGGGGTGCAAATACTTATGTGCAGTCACTGTACATATCAACTCTCGATTACGCGTCCGAAATCCTTTCAAATGCCCAATTCGGTTATATAGTATATAGTTGAGATCCACCAGATTCTTCATAGCAATGAGCCCTTCATAATGTTTTCTTGATCTTTGGGGAAACATATAATGGCATTCAACCTTCCATTCCGCTTGGCTCTTAACAAATCACACAGCCATAGAGTCAATCGGCCTTGGCGGCCTTGGGAGGGTACTTCTTCCCATCCTTATCGACCTGAGGAGTGCAAGAGCACCACTCAGCCTCGGGGATCGAGTCCATCACCGAAGGGATGTGGCTTCCACAGCCCCACCAGGAGGCCTTGTCTATAGTAATCAGTCAGAGGTTGTCTACTCCCACGGAGAGATGGTACTACTCACTGCAGGTCGAGCAGGTAGCCTTCATACACATGATGAAAATGGATTCAGATATGGGACGTGAGAGGAGGATATGAGGAAGGTATGAGGAAGATCACTGAATCAGCTCTGGGGTAAAGAGGTGTCACTGTGGGAGATGTGCTTTTATAACCTCTTCCAATGGCTCCGGGATTAGTCATAGCCATGAGGAGTCGCCGATGTCTGGAGCCCGAATCCCCGATATACTGCCTATAGGGATTTAAATCGAGCCTGGGTATCGATCTGGCTGGATACTGGTTTACGTATTGAATCTTTGCATTGGATTATTCTGGTATGCAGAGGCATCGCGGCCTGTGTTATTTTCGGATGTAATGCAATGCATTGCGGCCTTAGTGCCTTAATTTGGCCTGATGTTGGCCGGATGTTGGCCTTAATTCTGACCGCTTATAGACCCTACCTACATAGGTATGTGTTGCGAAGACACGTGACCTCCTAGCACTTTAGTCTAGTCTAGCTAGCTTTCCTTCTTCTTCCTTTTCTCTTAGCACGCACAATAAAAAGATTTTCCAGTCCACTCCTTTTCATGAGTAGTCGTACAGGATTATCTCTCTATCAGGTTATGAGTCCTTTGCTGTCGAAGCCTCTATATAACTGCAAGCTTCGCATCTTCTGATTCCTCCGACGAGACCCTAGTGCTGCGTCGTACCGACCTACTGTGGGGTGTTTTTGCAGACTTTTCACTAGTCACCCCAACAACACCCTACCCCACCTACCCACCCAATATACCCTATATAGTCATCCCAATTTCTCTCTAGTATCCGAATACCTAGGTAGAAAACTAGATACTATTATCTGATTAGCCGTTCGACTTCTCTATTAACCGCTAAACAGACTTTATTAGCCGTTCGACTCTTCTATTAACCGCCGTATAACCTTATTAGCCGTTCGACTTCTATTAACCGCCGTATCTTATTAGCTATTCGACCTTCTTATTAACTACCGAACCCTATATAGACTACTAATATATCGGAGTCCTTTAATATTAGGGACTTCGCTATTAGTCGATATAAGATTAACTATATAGATTTAGTACCGAAACTAAAAGGATAGTCTAACTATAGAGATTAGAAGATAGCTATATATCTAGCCCTTCTTACTAATAATAGATACTATACTAGGATAATCTCTTATAGAATTCCCTCCCTAAACAAACCTAAGTACTTCGAAGTCTCTCGATAGGCTATAGAATAGGCTTTACTCGCGGAAGCACGGGAGGCGTAGGTATAACGCGACGATAATATTACGATTACTACTACGGATATCCGAGAAAGAATAAAGGAGATTAAGGAAATTAATAAGACACTTCGGAAAAAGTATAAAAATAAGCTTAACAATTAGTAATCTTATAATACCCGAACTCTTATTTATATCCGGAAAACTCTCGTACCCGAGCCCTTATTAGTTATTACTTAAATTGCGGATATACGTAAAGCTTTTAGTAAGCTTCGGAAGATATATACGATAAAGTCTTATTAATAAGCCTATACCTACTATTTAAAGTGGATTAACCTACGGTATAAGAATAGATCTCCCTCGGACTTTATAAGGAGGTTTTAAGAGGCCCTTCGTGACTTTATTACTATAGACGAAGAGCCCTCTTAAATAATTAAGCTATATTAGTTTAAAAAGGCTATTATAGAGAATCCTCGTTATCTTTCCTTTTTATAGAACCTACGAGTTAATAAAAAAGATAAGACTTTTATAGAAAGAGTATATATCGAGTTTATCGAGGTAGAGACTAATAATCGTTCCTTTAACGTTTCTTAATTAACCCTATCTACGAATACTATATTTACTAAAGATGCTTCTAATAAGGATAAGAAATCTAGTAGAAATAATAAAAAGGGTGTAAATACTACCTCTTCTTCTTCTTCTTCTAAAGATAAGTCTAAACCTAAGGGTAAGGATAAAAATAAGAAGAAAAAGAAGCCTTTTAAACGGGAGGAAAATATTATCTTTTATAAATATTATAACGTCCTAGGAAATCACTATTCTAGGAATTACCCTTTATAGAAAAATAGTATATCTTCTAATATAATCCTTTATTAATAACTATAGTAATAATATACTATTTAGTAAGTCCTAGTTCCCTAGCTAGGCTAAGTTATAGGTTAGGTAGATAGTTAGGGTCGTATTATCTCGCTAAACTACACTATTAATACTATTTTCCCTTAATAAGGAGCTTCTTCTAGAGATCTAGTTACGAAATATAATAATCTCTTTATAAATACTATTTTTAGTGTACTTATAGTATTAAAAGAAGGTCTATCTATAGGAGATAATAATATCTCTCGCTAGATAATTAATTTTAGTACTAGCACCTATATAACCCCTTATAGGTCTATCTTCGTTAATTTTAGGCCCTATATAGTCCTAGTTTCTACGGCTATAGGCGATACTTTTTATACTAAGGGCTATAGAGACGTTATTTTAAGAATATTAAATATATTAGACGAATATATTAGACCTTTTATCTTATATAAGGTCTAGCTTACCCTAGATCTTAAGGCTAGCCTAATCTCTATATCTACACTAGATAAGGAAGATATCGGTACCTTAGTTAAAAATAGTATTATAACCTTTAAAGCTTCTAGTTCTACTATTAAGTCTAGTTCTAATACTACTATTAGTTTTATAACTTATAAAGGAGAATACTACTAGCTTAACTACCTAGGAATTAATAAAATCGATACTATACTTTCTAATAATCTAAATATACTAACTAGATCTCTAAACTCTATTTTTACTACTAAAAATAGAAATAGGTCTTCTATAATTTCTATTAACCTAGCTTACTAACGTGCTTATTATACTAGAGAAAATAGAGTTCGTAAGATAGAAACCTATACCGAAGGTATTAAATTAAAAAAAGGTACTAGCGTTACTTTTCCCTATACTCTATATATTAAGGGTAAGGGTTATACTCTCCTATTTAGAAAGGAAAGGTCTATTAGGTCTAAACTAGGCGAATATTTATATATCAACGTCTAGGGTCTAATCTTAATTATATTATATAGTAGAGAAAAATACTTTATTACCTTTACTAACGACGCTACGCGCTTTTACTAGCTTTTTCTACTTAAATCTCGGTCTTAGGTAACCGAGACTTTTATTTAGCTAAAAAATTATCTTTAAACTTAATTTAGCTATTAAGTTAAAAGGGTTTATAGTAATAATACCTCGGAGTATCGGCCTTTAGGCGTATATCTTTCGTAAAATAGTATTATTTAGGACCCTACTCCTCCTTATACGAAGTAGCTAAATAGTGTTACCGAGATTAAAAATCGATACCTCGTTAAACCCCTTATTACTATTATATCTAAATACTAGCTTCCGAAATACCTTTAGGGTTATCTACTAGGGAGAATTAACTATACTATAAATCGACTCTTTACCTTAAAGATTAGTATATCCCTATATAAGGCCCTTTATAGGAAGAAGCCTAATCTTAGTAATTTACGTATACTTAGCTATTAATACTAGTTCTTAATTCTAAAGGAAAAACGCCTTATAAAGCTAGATCCGTATATATAGGAAGCGAGATTAATTATTTATAACGAAGGAGATAATTATATACTATATAATATACACACTAAGAAGATTAAACGCTCCCGAAATATTATTTTTAATAAAAATCCGATACTAGAGGCACTACCTATACTAGACTATAATCTATAGGTGCTATCTTAGGGTTAATCTTAATCTTAATCTAGATCTTAGTCTTAAAAGCGATACGTTCCGATCGACTTTATTTATAACGAATACGAAGATCTCTTAGATTTACTAGATACTAATCTTCCGGAAAATAAGTATAATACCCTATAATTTAATAATCCTTTTAAGATTCGCACTAGGTCTATACTACCCCCTCCGGTAGTTAAAGACTACCTAAAAGATATTATATATTCTCCGGCGAGTCCTCCGCTAGATACTACTAGTCCTATTATATTAGAGCCTAATATTTAATTTTACGATACCTCCCTTAATACCTCTCTCGACGATCTCCTTCTAAACCCTAATTCTTTCGAGTTACCTTTTAACGACGGAAATAATAAAATAGCGGGTAGTCTAGGTAGTAGTATAGAGGGATAATAGTAGGAAGATAGTCCCTACTTTAACGTAGGTAGGGTTAGGGCTCCCGTAAAGCTATAGACTACTTCCCGGTAGTTTATTATAGACTTCTCGTATTTAGGCATTCTTCTAGAACGTATAGATAATCCTAATTTCGTTATCCCGACTAGATCTCGATAGACTAAGTCTAGTTAAGATAGTATATAGCGTTTAACTAGACTTAGGAAGCCTAGTTAGGTATATATTAAAAGCTTAGCTAGTCGGTCATTCTTTAATATAAATATCCTATAATTTCTAGCTAATTCTCCCGATATCTTAATTAATCTTTTCACTACGGCGATAACTAAAGAATAATATACTCTATCTAAGCTAACGTCTAAGGACGTAGGTTTTAAACTAAATAGCTAGAAGGAAGCTATATCTTATATTAAAAAAGATAAATAGTTAGTAGTAGTATATAAAGAACTAGCTCGATAACTTAAAAACGGTATGTAGCGGCGTATTCCTCGATTATTAAAAAAAGGTCGACGACCCCTAATATTATAATAGGTATTTAAGATTAAATATAATAGAACCTATAAAGCTCGGCTAGTTACCCGTAGTTTTCGATAAATTAAGGATCTTAACTTCTATAAGGTCTATACTATTATTACGAAACCTATATCTTTTAAGATTTTTACTATAATTACTACTTCTAAGGGTTAGAAAATACACTATATTAATATTATAACCGCCTTCCTTTATACTAAACTAAAGGAGCCTATTAAGATAGAGCTACCTAAGGGACTAAAAGAATAGTATCCGGATAATATTAGTCTCCTAATAAAAATAATTTATAGACTAAAGTAGTCTCCTAGAGAGTAGTATAAATTACTCTATAACGTGCTTATATCTATAGGTTTCACTCGCACTTAGTTAGATCATTCTATCTTTATTAGGTATAGTAGTTCTTAATATAGTAGTTCTTAATATAGAAAGGCCCCCTTATACGTTATAATTTACGTCGACGATCTACTAGTTATATCCCCGTTAGATTAAAAGATTAAGGACTTTAAAGTTACTATTTCGAAACATTTTAACACTTCCGATAAAGGAGTCCTTAAAAGATATCTTATAATTAATATATACTATAATAATAGTTCTATCTATCTCTCTTAGAGTGACTATATTAATAAGATTCTTACCCGCTTTAGTCTTAAAAATTATAAAATAGTCGCTACCCTAATAGATAAAAAAATACCCTTTATTATTTTTAACGGTATTACGTTAAAAATTAAAATTAAGAAGTTTTAGATAAAAATTAGGACCCTAATCTAGCTAATAGTCTCTATAAGACTAGATATTACTTTCGTTATTATTAGGCTTACGAAATATACTAAAAACCTAGGTACTAGCCACTTTAAGGCGTTAAAACGAGTTTTTCGCTATCTTACTAGCACTAAGTATCTTATAATTTACTTTTATCCGGTTAAGAAATATAACTCTATTAATTATTATACTAGAATTAGAGACTATCTTCTTTTCGGTTTCTATAATATAGACTAGGTAGGTCTATATAGCGAAAAGGGTCTCTTAATATCTAGTTTTATATTTAAAATAGCGGGTAGAGCTATCTTATAGACTTCTAAAAAGTAAGCTTATATAGCATTATCTACTACTAAGTCTAAATATATTATAGAGGCTCTTACTACGTAGGAAGCTATCTAGCTAATTTAGTTATTAATAGAGATCGGTATTTTAGGACTTTTTTAGAAGCCTATTCCTATTTATACGGATAATAATAGTGCTATTGCACTAGCTTCTAACCCTAAATTTCATACCGCTACGAAATATATTACTATCAGATACTATCGACTTCGTAAGGAAGTTGCTATAGGAACTATAAACTTCATCAAGATTCCTACTACTAAGATAGCTGCTGATAGACTAACGAAACCCCTTAGGAAGATCATATTTAAAAGGTTTATTGCGCAGCTAGGATTGACTATCTACAACTGATTGAACGTTGATTTTCATACTGAAAATGGGGGGTTTAACTGAATACTGGTTTTTCAAAATGGAGAGAGATAGAAAGGATCAGACAGTTTACGACTATAGCACTAGTCGTGGGGGGTGTTGCGAAGACACGTGACCTCCTAGCACTTTAGTCTAGTCTAGCTAGCTTTCCTTCTTCTTCCTTTTCTCTTAGCACGCACAATAAAAAGATTTTCCAGTCCACTCCTTTTCATGAGTAGTCGTACAGGATTATCTCTCTATCAGTATGTAGGTACATGTAGGATATAGTGTATTGCAAAGCCGTCGGCACGGAATAACGAGTACGCCGCACTACTCCTTTGACTACATAGGTAACTCGACAACTTCTTTACTACCTCACTCCATCAAGATAAGCTTAATAGACTTGAGTTTTATTGTGTGAAATAGAGAATTAAGTTTGTATTAGTGGAGTAAAGTGATAAATTAGAGGTTCAAACCGCCTAAAAATTATGCTATGTATCGATTTGTATGGCAGAAATAGCTTTGCGTTAACAGGGCTGGATGTTGTGCAAGCCAGATACCTATTCAGGCACCTATAGGCCTCTGTAACTGTAATTCGGGTATCTTGGTTTTTCTGCCGATGCCAAATCAAGACATCAAGGCACTAATGTATGCATTAAATCCGAGAGTAACCGTGGCCGCTATGTCCCTGTGTATTCTCGATTGGTAGAAGTGGCGTAGAAGTACCTAGTGAAGCGTTTGGTGGAAATCCGCGTCGGTGGGGCTATCGCGGCAAACCCGACATCCACGTTGCCAAAATATCCTCCAGGGATATTTTGTTGCCACCACGCCGATATACCAATTATTCACGAGTAAATCATGACGGTCATTGCTGTGGCTGGGGGCTCTGGTGGAGTGGGGAAGACTATCGTGGAGAAATTACTTGAGTCTGAGTTCGATATCGTCATTTTATCCCGCAGTGTACGTAGAGAGACTCGAGAGATGCCTCTTCTCGAGAAGAAGTCCTAACAGCTCCTTAAGGCAAAACAGCACTATTCCTCGCAGAAAGTTCCAAATGTGCAGATTGACTATGATGACATCCCCTCAATGGCGCATGAGCTTGAGCGACACACCATTCACACGATCATATCTGCCATTGGTCTTGTTTCTGATGAGACCAGTCAGTCTCAGCTGAACTTGATCGAAGCTGCAGAGAGGTCAGCATCGACGAAACGGTTTATCCCCAGTGAATTCTCATTCGTCCAAACCACCGAGTAGGTCAGCTCCAGCTCCAGCTGTGTACTATTCGATCCTGATACTCAGCACCTAAAGGCTACTCCCGATTGACCCTAGCATTCAGTACTGGCTCGATGCCGCAGATCGTCTGAAGTCCAGTAGCTTGGAATACACCCGGGTAATTCCTGGTTTCTTTATGGACTATTGGGGAATGCCACACATCCAAACCCATCTCCAGCCGTTTACCTTCGGTATTGATATATCCAGTGGCACAGCTGCGATCCCAGGAGACGGTAACAACGTGATCTGTATGACATACACGTACGACATGGCCACCTACTTGGTCAAAGCACTTGACCTTGATGAATGGCCCGAGTTCAGTGTGATTGTTGGAGACGAAGTTACATACAACCAGGTTCTCAGCATGGCGGAAGAATTCACCGGTATGCATATATCGTACAACTTTGTCTGAAGTAGACTTACATACTAATACTCATTTCCCAAATAGGTAAAAAGTTCCAGGTTACCTACGACACCCTGGAGCAGATTGAGTCTGGTGATGTCACTGTCCCTCGTCAGCCAGATGGTATGAAATCTTCTGCAGAAGAACTCAAAGAGATGACTGCGTTGGTGAGCAGACTCACAGTCAATAACGTTTTCCGATTGCCGAATGATCGTCTCAATACTCGGTTCCCTGCCGTCAAGCCAATTGCCATGAGGGAATTCTTACAGAAGGCCTGGAATTGAAATAATGCAGAATCTCATTATTACTAGTCATTTTCTTATTGGCGAAGAATATCTCATTGCGATAGATTCATTGCCACGGCTTGGAATAAATGAATGGCTTTTCGCAACAACGGCACAAGGAAACTCAAACATCAAATATCAAGCAGCCTCTCATTACTTCCGCCTGACAGTCTCAATACTCAAAGACATAAGCAAAATATCGACAATATTAGGCGTTCCTTCTCTCAAAGTCAAATTTCTGCCGTTAGGTCATTAATGTGACCCTCTAGCAGATGGGTCCAGGGCGCTCAACTCCAATGCAGACCTGTCGGCCTGGGATCAAGTTGGAGCACCATGGGTTGATATCGGTGTTCCAGCATAAAAGCTGGGTCATTGTGAATCTATTCTGGTTATGGGCGATTATATCCCAACAGGTGTCTCCGTTATTGACAGTATAAAATTGGTTGCCTGCATTTGTGTTAGCCCAACCTGTGATTTTGGGGCATTATATCAGCCCAACTCACAATACTGGCTCAACTGCCATGCTTGGGTAGTATCAACGGCTGCAGCTGTGGCAAGGGAAGCAACTCCCAAGATGCACAGGAGAGATTGGACACAGAAGGCAACCATTTTGTGCTAGGAATGCAGGCTTGGGCTTTCTGGCTGTAGTGTAGGGGACTGGCGATAAATCTGAAAAGTCTTTGCTGGAAAAAGAAGAACTGCCGTGAGAAATTCATGTGGCCTCTTATATTCCACGCTCGCTAAAGCTTGAAGAGCTAAATTCTAAGTCATGGGGGGTGGTTTGACCCTATCAGACAAGTGCATATGACTTGGGAAACACCATACCTGAACATCACCCCGCTGGAGACATGTACCTCAGCCGCAGGTTGCATCTATGATATGTTATGGTAACCATGTCTACTACTTTACAATACGGCTTTTGAGACAATGTGGATGGCAACATCGCCGCGAGTTCGAGGTCAGCCAATCGTGCCAGCGAGCCCATGCTCACCACAACTTCATCTATGCCAATTGCTCAATATCTGTCTCGGCTTCACCGACAGAATTATTTTTTGTTTTACGGTTACATTGCTCTTGGATATAGTCCCTCGAGAGACAGTAACCTTGGTTAGGGAGGCCCAGTCTGTCATGCAGATAATAGTGCGACAATGGCCTGAACCACGACCATTCACCTGGGGTAAAGCAAAGGTAGTGCAAGCCGACATCCCAAGACATAGCTGGATCGTGTGACGAGGATGCATTGGATGTGGCGGTCAATGAGCTACAATTACTTTTCACTCTATAAGCGAGTGATTTGGGCTTTGTTATGGTTCGCGGCTATTTGCTACGACTAGATTGGGTTGTCATACAGAGTAACATCCGCAGTTGCATCGACGTGGCTCTAGATAAACAATGGTATAGGGTAGCTAGTTCGATGGAAGAGTTTAATGAGTGAGCCTTGAACTATGAAAATATCTCGCAGCTCGAACAGCCGCTGGTACTCCATTTTCACAGTACTTTGGCTGAACCAGTGTCACGCATGGGAGTACAATAATCGCCCAATTTGAATCCAATAGATCACGTCATGTAATTGATGAGCTGATGGGCAATCTGAGGCTATTACCAGGCTTGTCCGATCTAAGACGGTGATACCACGGGTTTTAGTTTATATATAGTGCATCTCTTGTTTATTTAGAACTGATATCCGAGACGTGGCAAAGGGTCTGCAAAGCGAGTGATCAGAAGAAGGTCTAGACTCATGTCCCAAAATTGGTATATGCCATATAGACTAATTGTTCCGAAAGTTCGAAAATAAGTCTTCCAGAATACCGAGATGATTATTCTGCGCCACTTCGGCAGGCCGTCGATCCTCCCCGATGGACTCTAACGGGGAGTACACATAATGAACATTCCTCATCACGCAATTTGAGAGATATCACAAGCCATGCTTTAGTGGATGCCCACCATCTATGTGAGTGATTTGAATCAGTTGATCGCCAACTGGGCAATATATAAAATTCACACCTGAGGCAGAAAATGATGAGACAGCATTTATGCCCGCCCGCGTCCAGGTGCATGCGGGATGAGCGTTTCTTCTCGGGAAGCCTCGTGTTGTTTGAGCCTGCAAGTCTTGATCAAACATCATCATTGAAATCACATATAGACTCACAACTCCGGACAAGCATCATAGCTCTAGTGAAACTCAACCATCCTTCTGCATGATGGGTGGGAACACCAACAGCGTTGTACGGCTTGCAAAGGTATCGAATGGTCGACCTTCTTGGTCCCCATACGCCGAGGATCTGACTACAATTGGACGCTGATATATACGCGCGCTACAAAGGTCTGCTGTGTCTGCGAGTGAAAGAAAGATCAAGTGTGATGGAAGGTGACTCCTTTGTGTCCCCTGTAGAAAATTCGACTTGCTCTACAAGTACTGATACAAAGACACCGTGCGACATAGCGGAAGGCCCAACCAGTATTTTCTGCTTTGTTTACTCAAACATTGGAAGGTGTGGATTTTTTGCAGTGAAATACATCAGCACAACCTGGGACAGCGCATCTAGTCTCTACAAGAAAGGTTGCGAATATTGAGGATCTGGGCGCAGGCCATGCCCGGCCATCTAGGGTATCCAATCCAAGGCTATTTTCTTCAAGCGATGCCATCGCTAAAGCGCCTTTGATAGTCGAAGCTGAGACCAGGTGAGGCGATGGTGACGGAGAGCCGTCTACTCTGAAGTCTCAAAGGGCGCTTGTTAGCGAGTATTGGCTCATCGACTAGCTTCTCAACGGTTGCACAAACGACCGTGCTGACTAGGCCTCGGTGCATCTACGCACTTTCGGTCGTTCTCCTGAGGGTTTGGGCTGGCGGGAAGCAAAATGGGTAATTATGTATGATGGCATGCTGCTCAGAGACGCGATATTCGAGGGTCGCTGGCTGATCGATAACCTCGGACTCTTCGAGAGGAACATCAAAGCAGATGCTCGCAGCCACCATCATTCTGGATCAATCTTGGGCTTGTACTTGAATGTTTTTGAAACGTTTAACGGGGCTCTGTCTCTTCTTAGGCCTGAAAGTTTCATGGTCAACAGGCGCTTTTCATGAAATCCAAACTTTCCCTCATAATATGCAATATTGCTGTCGTCTTTGCATATAAGAGACGGAAAGGGATCCCTGGCCCGAGCAGCTTCCCCTGGCAAAGATCCCTGGGTCATGTGAAAATCATAATCTCCTCGCTGTCCAGGCCCTCTCAGATCAGCAATCTTCTTCCGGCGCACGCCACCAAATCCCCAATGTCTATGAATGTCTACCGCCGCTGTACGTCTGTTGCAAAACATTGGGTTGCAGAAATCTAATTCATTTGGACGACCGGTAACCCAAGTCTACGAATAGAGAAGGGTGTTCTCGGTAAATATCAACAGAAGCAGCCAGAGGAGTGGTTCAGCTGATCAGTCAAGTCCTACAGGCGCGCCACTATTACCTACTCCTCTTTCTTGGAATTGTCAAAACATGTAAGCTGGTGGCCCCCGGCTTGTGTGCATGTGATGGGGCGGAAAGCACTGGAACTTTGTGGAATTGAACATCATCATGGAGCTCGTTATCGTATACTAATATGACAATTCGGGAACTCTGCCTACAAGATGGTCATGCCAGGTGATGCTTTGGTCATGATGGCAGTTCGGTACAGGAGCATTCTTCCAAGTGGGACTTGCTTCCTTGTCGTTCAGTCTGGCCACCGGCCTTAACATATCCATCCGGCCCCACGGGCTATTCTCAAATTTCATCATAAATGGCGAGCCTTGAGCAAGATATTGCGGGAACACCCTCTTCCATCCATCAATTACCTGGATCATAATCTCCGACACAAATTGGTCTGGAGACGGCCGCGCAAATTTGAACGTATTGAGTGTTTTCTGTACCACTTCAACTGGATAGAGGCCAACCTCAGCATCGACAAGAATGGCGTCTCCCGCCACAAGCGAGCTTACAACGTGATATGAGCCTCCTTTCTGGGCTCTATCCCGAATAGCTAACATTGTCGCCAGAGCACCGACAACCCCAGTAGTCATATCAGAGACCGGCAATGGTGGAAGGACGCTCATTCCTTCATCAAATCCCAATGAGCGACCCATCACATATGAAGCACCTGATGCAGCATCTCCAATCTGCTGCCAGCCAGGTCTCTCGGCAAAAGGTCCAGATGGACCATAGCAGTTCTCATCAACGTAGATTACCCCCTTGTTTCTTTTGGTTGCCATATTCAGCATGCTTTGTAGGCCGAGTCCCTTGCGATCTAGTGATCCATAGCGAAAACCCTGGACAAACACATCTGCCTCGCCAACAAGCTCCTTCAGTCGCGCCATATCCTCCTCTGTTCCAATATCGAGATCGATCGTGCGTTTTCCGGCGTTGAGTGTGAGTTGGAGAACCTATCAAGCAGGCATATCAGTATTTGGTGTGAAGGTAATAGTAATCTGATTTACTCACATTTAGATCTGCTAATCTACTACAGTTGACACGGATAACATCCGCACCGAAAGATGCAAGAATCACGCCGATAGTAGGACCAGCGATGATCCGCACCATTTCCACAACCTTGATCCCAGCCAAAGGCCGACGATCAGGCAGCTGAACCATAGGAACCGGAGGAGTCGGTTGCGCATATGACTCGCGCGTATAGTTGATGAGTGGATATTCAGCAAGTCGCTTTCCCATTTCGGTCTTCCTCCAGCCTTCAGGAGAGTAGCAGATACTTCCACACAGACCATGTCTCACATTATGCATCTCGAGCTCATCGGGACTCCATTTCTGCATATGTTCTCGAATATATTCATATCCCTCTGTGAGGGATTTCAATGGCACGTTCATATCGATGCCCATCGAACAAAGTGTCTTGCTTGCATCCAAAGATCCGTGAAGTTGATACCACACCCCAGAATTCTTTGTGGGATATAATGCAGTGGCTCGAGCAGCCAATGGCCCTACACCAAAACCTTGCTCGAAATCCCTGTCAAATATCTTGGAGAGTTCTTGGGCCCGTGCGAGAGTCGAAATATCTTTGCCATTCACATATGCGGTAAACGTCGATGCAAGCCATATCCCAGCATGGTCTGTGTCCACCGTCACGCTTGCTTCCTTGGCCAGGTTTCCATCCCGCAACTCCAGGAGTTCGTTTCCAACTACTCCACACATGGCATGCAGAGCGGCTGTCACGACGGGGGACTTCATCGGACCGGGAACCATGGGTTCCGGTCGGCCTTCAAACTTGACAGTGTTCCATAGAGCAGGATCCTTTGTGAAACCGGGTGTTCTCGACGCGAGGAGCTCGAAGATTCGACGGGCATCTTCCGGTACGGAAAGTACATACTTGTCGATATAGGTTCCGGGTCCGTAGACCTCATCTCCGGCAATCGTCTCGTGCATTTTGGGTCAATTGGGAGGAAGCAATGAAGAGAAACAAGGGTTTGAAACGGATGCCCATGGGTATTGACCCAGAAAACACCCCTATTGTCTCTTTACACTCGCACCAGAGGCAGTGTACTGGGAAATTTCTTTTGGAACAAGACCATTGTGTTCTTATCATCCATAGTCCAGCACGCCGTATTTTCGAAGCTCTCGGCATCATGCCAAGAACCCACACACACGAGCCCAAGATAATTGGTTCAAAGACTGTGACTATCACAGCCTTGCAGTCGGACATGTTCATTACGCGATCTGACCACACGCGGCGCTTTTAGAGAATACCAAGGAAGTAATGTGATCCCCAAACCAATTATTGACACGGCTGAGGCTGTGATTAAGGTCCATGCGCTCATACTATTGGCTCGATCAACACGGCGCCCATCGTGGCGATTGATACCTACTCCGCACAGATGGACCATTCCCCACAGCCGACGGGGTCTATGATTCGAAGGATCGGCAGTAATTGTTCGAGTGCTTAGGTAGGGGTTGGTGCTTTTGTGCCTCGGATGATCTTTCAATTGGGCCGAGCAATAGAGGGGTTACCACACAGAACACTTAGGCAAAGAAGATAAATACGAAGAGACCGGCGAATGTAAGTTGGTTTCATTTCAAGAATTTACTGCGCCAAGGGGCTGTTGCACTAATATTGACGTAAACTAACCGAACTAACTAGGTAGACCATGTCTGCAAGTCGAAGTGAAAATAGCCGACGGCCAGTCCGAGTCGCCAATTGCTCTGGCTATCATGGTATAGACGATGTTACCCTAATTTGGCTAACAATGCTAACGATACAATAAAGGCGATCCTGCATACGAGATGCATCGCCAAGCGACACTGGGGGATGTTGATTTCATTACAGGTGACTATCTGGCGGGTATGGTCCTTGGCATAATCACTAAGATGTGAGGCTAACTAAAAGAAGAGGTTAATATGGCGAATAACGCCCAGGCTTACCAACGCGGCGAGCACGCCGGATATGAGGAGACGGCCTGGGAGGGAATCCAGCAAACCATCGATGTCATTGCCAACAAGGGCATCAAAGTCGTGTTAAATGGAGGAGCTCTCAATCCGAAAGGGTTGGCTCTGAAAGTGCATGAATTGGTAAGTAGGGCAGTTGCCTCTATTAAAGAAGTTCAATTGCTAAATTTTATGAACAGATCCGCCAGAAAAGCCTTGCTTTGCGAGTGGCTTATCTCTCGGGGGACGACCTCTATGCAAGATTTGGCCCCAACATGCCGCAATCTGCGGAGGAGCTACAGCATTTCGATGCGGATAACAATTCAGTGAAACCTGGCCCCCTTACCTATGCATTCACCGTTGCTGACAAGCCCGTCCCCATGTTATCAGCGCACGCATACCTTGGCGCTCGAGGTATCGTGGACGGGCTCCGCCGCGGAGCTGATATTATCATATGCGGCCGTGTATCAGATGCTAGTCCCGTCATTGCGGCTGCCTGGTACTGGCATTCCTGGACGGAGACTGACTATGACCGTCTGGCTGGTTCGTTGGTAGCGGGACACCTTATTGAATGCTCGGCATATGTTACTGGAGGCAATTTCTCTGGGTTTGATCGGTACTCAATTGATACATTCGTCGAGCCGGGGTTTCCTATTGCGGAGATTGATAGTGATGGATCTTGTGTTGTTGCGAAACACCCTGGTACAGGTGGTATGGTAGATGTTGATACTGTTCGGTGTCAATTTCTATATGAGCTTCAGGGAAGTGTCTACTTGAATGGCGATGTCAGTGCTATTTTGGATGATATTGTTGTTGAACAAGCTGGAGAGGATAGGTAAGCGCTTTCGTTCAGTTGTCGTCATATTTTTCTATTCACTAATATTGCTTCCAGGGTTCGCGTTAGTGGAATACGAGGTTATGCGCCTCCTCCAACTACCAAGCTGGCTGTATTCTATCCCGGTGGCTTCGAGGCTCAACTTCTACTGAATGCTACTGGATATGGATCTAGTGAGAAATGGGACCTGATTGAAAAACAATTTCGTCATTTCCTGCCGCAGGAATCGGTTGCTAGCATCGATACGCTTGAATTTCAGAGGTAATTCAATACCTGCTATGGTTCAGAAGACCTCTAATCATTGAGAATAGAATCGGCGTCCCTGCTTCCAACCCTAAATCACAGCGACACAGCACAACATACCTCCGGGTTTTCGTTGCTGCAGTCGAGTTCAATGCCGTTCTTGCTGTCGCAAAAGCATTGAAAGAGATTTCTCTCAAGCATTTCTCCGGTACGACTGCTTTTTTTCTATAATGGTATACTCCCAGTTGACTATAAGAACCTAGGATTTCACACTTCTTTCGACATGCGCACAGCAATCCCTCGCCCATTCCTGGTCTATTATCCTGCTATAGTCAAACAAGAAGATCTCAACGAAGAAATCAACTTCATCGAGGGTCCCGATTTCATCACCTCGTTTCCAACAGGTCATCCACCAGCATATAGAGCTCTACAGCCACGCGCAAGCTACAACCACACTCCATCCAGCGAAGAAATTGCCCTGCTCCAATCTCCAACCCGGTCTATCCGACTGGGCGATATTGCTCTGGGCCGATCAGGCGATAAAGGAGCTAATCTTAACTTCGGCATCTTCGTTCCTGACATTAAGCACTGGCCTTGGTTGCGGTCTTACATGAGCATTGAGCGGATGCGAGAGATGCTCGTCGAAGATGACGATTGGGACGAGTCGTTCTTGGTTGAGAGGGTAGAATTCTCGCATATACATGCTGTGCATTTTGTGATTTATGGAATCCTTGGTCGAGGTGTCAGTAGTGCGAGTCGATTGGATGGGTTCGGTAAGGGATTTGCGGATTATGTGCGTGATAAGATTGTGGAGGTTCCGTTGCAGATTTTGGAATAAATTCTATTGGCCTATGTGAAAGTTTTATTGATTGATGAGAATGCAGAGGTCTGATGGCATATCAAGTGAAATACATATTGGATGTATTTAAACATCATCAGGTCGAGAAAGCAACGCATGATCAAGAACCTTATTCAAACGCTTCGATATGTACCGAGGCTGTTAGATGCTCGATATTATGAGTATATGGCCGCTGTGGTGGCAGTAGGTAGATACTATAATCTTGTTCAGGAGACTACTACAACAGTGACAGCTCCAGAATGCATGCTTATCGATCCATCGAATATCAAATGCCACTCGTTATCCTTGCGGTTTGTACGTGGTGTTGAATGAAGCCTTAGACTCCTGAATTTGGAATCCGTACTCTTGACGGTCAAGTTATGATATGATCGGCATATAGGAGTCGATACTACTGCGGATTTCGTCGATTGAATTTCTGCCTTGGATTCCAGGAGGGAAAACCCCCAAATTTACCTGATTTATATCAACATACGTAGACTGTCAGAATCTGTCGGCTTCCAGATTTCTGAAATTGAATCTCTCACTTCTGAGATGAATGCAATGATCAAAGAAGAGGAAGAAGAGACAATGTTTGACCAAGGCGGTAGTGAGAGCGGTGTCAGTTCTGCCCATCTCACATGTCAGATGTGCTTCCCAATCGGGATTAGCTTTCTTTTATATCTCCTGCCCATCACATGGTGCTTCGTCTTTGCTCATATTTCCCCTGGCTTTAGACCTCAAGGTACGAAGATGAAGTACATTGTGGTCACCGGAGGTGAGTTGAAGAGAGATCTACCCCAAGTCGCTCTCCCGTTGGTCTGTGGAGAAAAGCGGGGCAGTCTCCATATTTCCTATTTCGTGTCGCAAGTATGAACTGACCTATAGTTAGGCGTCATCTCTGGAGCGGGAAAGGGCATCGTCGCTTCCAGCACAGGTCTCTTGCTCCAGAGCAAGGGCTTCATCGTCACAACCATCAAGATAGATCCTTACATTAACATTGATGCGGGGACTTTGGGTCCACTTCAGTGAGTTCTGTCAATCAAATATAGCTCCTCTAGCCCCCATATTGATTGATCCAGGCATGGAGAAGTCTTTGTGACAGATGATGGAGGGGAGTTGAATTTCGATCTTGGGAATTATGAACGCTATCTTTCAATCACACTCCAATATGATCATAATCTCACAACGGGGAAGATCTATCGAAATATCATCACCGGGGAACGAGCCGGTGATTATTTAGGCAAAACTGTTCAGGTTGTGCCTCACGTCACAAATGCCATTCAGGAATATATCGAACGGACGGCAAAAATACCTGTTGACGAGTCCCAGGTCGAACCTGATGTGTGCATTGTTGAGCTTGGCGGTACCGTAGGGGATATCGAGAGCTCGCCCTTTATCTACGCACTGGCTCGCCTTCGAAAGAGAGTCGGCAAAGAAAATTTCGTCCAGATTCATGTAGCTTATGTCCCCATGGTACCGTAAGGGCTTCTCATCAATGCGCAGGGAAATAATATTCAAGCTAACCTTGGACTAGGCCGGGACCTTCTGGTGAGCAAAAGACAAAACCGACGCAGAGATCTATCTCTGACGTCCGTAGCGCCGGGTTAAGTCCACTTTTGGTATGCTATCTCTCTTGGTTCATATATATCATGCCGTTCAAACTAATCAATGTGAGATTGCCTGTCGTTGCGATGTGGCATTGGGTCCGGCTACCATTGAAAAGATTGCCACAATGTGCTCAATGGAGCCAGAACAGGTCATTTCCGTACACGACGGGCCAACAACATACTACGTACCTCTCCTGCTGGCGAAACAAAACCTTCTCAGCATCCTCAGCGAACATCTCGAACTCCCGTCAGATCGAACACCGACAAGGCGTATGGAACAAGGTAAGCGCATATGGACCGACTGGGTTAATCTTGTTCGAAGTCAAGAGACATTGACCGAAACGGTATCAATCGCCATCGTGGGCAAATACATCGCCAATAAAAACGCCTACCTGAGTGTCACCAAGGCGCTCGAACACGCAGCTATGTACTGCCGCAAAAAGGTCGATCTCATATGGATTGACGCCGCCCACCTCGAGGACCAGACCCGCGAAAATTGGCCAGCGAAATATCACAAGGCCTGGCATGATCTATGTGCCAGTCAAGGCGTTCTTGTGCCTGGCGGCTTTGGCAGTCGCGCTAACGAAGGAATAATGAAGGCAATCACCTGGGCAAGGATTAATAAAAAGCCATTCTTGGGCGTGTGTCTTGGCATGCAACTCGCAGTGGTCGAATATGCCCGCAATGTGATGCATATCGTGGGTGCTGGGAGCGAGGAATTCTGCCCAAAATCCGAGAGAAATGTGATCGTGCACATGCCTGAATCTAGTCAGAACAAACCGGATGGCTCTATGCGTCTGGGGAAGCACCCATGCATCTTCCAGAAGGGGACTGAGTGGTCGAAGCTGCGGTCCTTGTATGGGTCCGCAGTATCCCAAATTGAGGAGCGTCACCGGAACCAATATGAGATTAACCCGGAGAAGGGTGAGGATATTGAGAATGCCGGTCTTGCGTTCGTTGGCAAGGATTTTACTGGCAGACGCATCGAGGTCGTTGAGATTCGCGACCATCCCTTCTTCGTTGGTGTGCAGTTCCACCCTGAATATCTGAGTCGGGTGTTGCAGCCCAGCAGAGTGTTCGTTGGTTTATTTGCTGCCGCGGCTGGGTGTCTGACCGATGCCATAATGGCATTGCAAGGGGGCGAAAGAAGCGTTGTAGAAGGGTACTAGAGGACCTTGAAGCAATCCAAGGTGCTAATGTCTAGGGATCGTCCTCGCTGGACTATGCCATCCTTGTAATGACTTAGCACAAGCTTGCATAACTCTTGCTTATGACATCTCATCCAAAGCTTAGAAATCAATTCTCTCGAGTTGGAAATCAATTCATTCATTCTATCGATTTGCCGGTAGCGTCATATTCTATTATAAATCTATATGATCGCGCCTTCGTTGAAACTAAATAGATATATTTAATGCAATGCCGTCCCCCAACCTTATAGCTAATGCTCATACCGTTATCAATCAATCCGTCGAACCACCAAAATGGCATTTTCAAACGAGGCAGCATGGATCGTCACAGAAAAAGCAAGGCCCTTCAAAGTCGAAGCAGCTCCAGAACCACACCCCCTAGAAAACGAGGTTGTTATCAAAGTCGCCTACGCCGCCGTTAACCCTACAGATTGGAAGGTAATACCAGTCTCTAGTCAACGTCCCATCCATCCATTAAAAGCTCTCCATATTACAGATGCAAGAAGCTCCATACATGGAACTCCAATATCCCTACATTTTGGGAACAGACGTCAGCGGAACAATAGTCCAACTCGGGTCCAACGTCACCCGATTCCACCTCGGCCAGAGAGTGATAGGGCAAGTTGATCCTCTACGAAACGCGATACTACAAACTCCTCTAACCTCCCATCCACAGCCACTGTGACGGTCAGCTCACAATAGCCAGCCACTCGGGATACCAGCGGTACACGACCTGCAAGGAAATCCTTGTATCTGCAGTTCCCGATTCCCTGCCACTGGGGAACGCCGCTGTCCTCCCCTTGTCGATTTCCACGGCAGCCAGTGCGCTCTTCCATTATCTGGAGCTCCCATACCCAACGCTGAACCCCAAGCCCACCGGCAAGACACTTCTAGTGTGGGGCGGTAGCTCTTCCGTGGGCAGTTCGGCGATCCAGCTTGGTCTAGGAGCTGGTTTCGATGTGATCGCCACTGCTGGCAGCTCTAATCTTGAGTATGTCAAGAATCTGGGGGCCTCGGCCTTCGATCACCGAGATCCAGATGTCGAAGATAAGATCCTGCAGGTTCTGAAGCCCGGTGATGTTGTTTTCGATCCTATTAGCACGGAAAATACGCAGAGATCTTGCGGTAGGATTCTCGGCGCTATTGGGGGTGGGAAGCTTCCTTTGGTGCTGCCTTCTCAATCGGTTGTGCCTGCCAATGTTGATACGTTTTTTGGTATGTTTTTTTTTATCTACATGTACTTGCAGGGGTTTTATGGTTTCGCTAACGTGAGTACAGTTAATGGATTGGTGCCGGGTTTGACTAACTTGGACGTTGGGGATGCAGTGTGGCGTAACTATATCCCCCAGGCGTTGGCGAGTGGGAAGTTCCAGGCCAAGCCAGATCCCTTAGTCCTCGAGGGAGGTCTAGAGAGGGTTCAGGAGGGTGTTGATCTCCTGAAGAAAGGGGTTTCGGCGAAGAAGATTGTTATTGAGATAGAGAAAGAGTAGAGGGATATAGTATTGGATATGGGATGGAGGTTTGAAGCAAGTCTTTTTTTTAGTATAACTTCATTCCATACCAATTGAGCAGTGCTGGAAGCAGATTCCTCGATCTGGTTTATATACGTAGCTTTTACAGCGCCATGGAACCAAAATCCCACAACCAATCCGCGGCCAGACTAAGGCGCTAACTTGACGCATCAAGGTGAAGGTCAATGGCGCGAAGTCATCGAGTGAGTTGGATGCTGTCAATGAACGCATCAGTAGCTCAGTTGGTAGAGCGTGCGATTGCAATTACCAGCACTCATCGCAAGGTCACGCGTTCGAACCGCGTCTGGAGCTTAGCAACTTCTTTTTGATTTTTTTGCTCCATCTTTGTCGTCCCATTCCCTGTTTTTAACGTGATTTTCCTGTGATCACTTGGTTGTTCGTCATGTACGGAGTAGAATAGATGTGCTTGAGGATCAATGAAAGGACTGGGTTGGAGAAAGCGTGCCTACTTCTAAAACAGATTGACAGAGGCATTGTCATCCCTACGTGGGAAAACCGGCTGCTCAATGTGTCCTCAAAGGCTGCAACATTGGAAGGGTCATGGATACTGACAATCGGCAGACCAGGTCGAAGAATCTATACTCTTGGAAGTCTATAAGGAAAAGACAGAAGCAACTTTCGAGTGAAGCAACAGTATTATTTGATTGATGCAATTGAACCCCAACCCATTTAGAAGATAAGCAGTTCTTCCACAGTCATGCCGTCAACTGATTTCATGCAAAAAAAGGCCCCGAAAGCCCGACGATGCGGGGATTAAGTTGAAAAATCGAGATGCGAAGAAAAGGACATAATGAAAAGCAGAGAGGTATGGTGTGACGTTCACGACAAAACTCAACAAGATGGGTGATCAGCAATTGCCACCGAGAATGAAAATGAAGATGGAAAGAAGTGGGTGTATAATGCGTATGGTGGATAATGTGTACAGAGAATGGGAAATGAATGGGTAGAAGAACGGATAAGTGTCGCTCCAGGTCGAATCAAAAACCAGAATGGGAGAAAAAGTCTTGACCTGAATCGCTTGCGAGAAGAAGAGGCTTATGCAGAATCGAAATGGGTTGGCGAAGAGCCTGGAGAGGTAATGGCGGGATTGGTATCACATGTTTGTCAGGTGCACCGTGTCACGCTGAAACAGTTTAATCTGAATGCGTAGCACGCTTCCAGAACTTCCAGCCTTCTCTCTTTTCTTCCACTCCGACACCAACAAGGCGCTCGATGCCTTCGGGACCCTCAGCGTTCTCGAACTTCTGTTGATCGATTTCCTCGCCACCCTCTTCATCTGAGCCGTTACGGAGGACAGCTGGGTAGAGGACACCAATACCGTCACCGCCGAGTGTGACCTCGTATCTGGTGAAACCTTCTTCGTCGAACTTCTTTTCGAGCTCCTGCTTGACTTTCGGGTTCGCATTGGGCCGGAGGAGCGTGATGGCGCATCCACCGCCACCTGCGCCGGTCAGCTTTGTCCAACCAATGTCGGCGTAATCAACAAGTTCGCGGATACGCTCGAGACGGGGGTGGGAGACGCCCAAAGAGACGAGGAAGCCGTGGTTGATGCGAATCAGGGTGCCGAAGTGAGCAAGTGTGCTTTCGGACATTCCATCGAAGTCGGGGTCCTCGATCAAGCGTCGTGCGGAGCAGGTCACTTGATCGATGCCATTGAGAATGGACTCCGTCACAATAGAATGGGCCTCTCGCAAGGCTCCCACTTTGTCGACTTCCGTCTTTGTGGAACGCGCTTGTTGGGTGTTGACAAGGAGGAGGGGTAGTTCGGGGAAAGTAGGCAGTGACACGACGGTTGGAGGTTTGGAATAATCGTCGCGCCGGAAAATCACAGCCTTGCCGCCCGCGGCCACCGTGTTGTCCACCCCGCTGGGATTGCCATGGATACAGAGCTCTCCAACGAACGCCCAGCGGTTGATGCGCTCAATCTGTGTCTCTGCCTCCTCTGGCGGCTGGTCTGGGTGGGGTCCGGCGAGTGTTCGAATTTGAAGAAGGAGTGCAGCACTGAGACAGACGCAGACACTAGCACTGCTGCCCAGGCCGGCTCCAGTGGGGATGGTAGAACGGAGTGTGTAAATGGCACCTGCACTTTGCGGCGAACCCAGGGAGAGGAAGAGGTAGAGGAATGAGGAGGCGGAACGAATATGGATGTTGCGCTGCTCCTCCGGAAGGCCCGTGGAGACGCCCTGGAGGTGCGGTTCGATTGCTTCGACGAGTTCGGGGTCGAGCTCGGTGACTAGGCTGTAGTAAAACTTCTTTTTGAAGGTTCGTGGAACTTGTTCCAAGGTAGGGCATCAATGTCCCAAGTGTGACTGAGGCCCAAGTCGCGGAAGTTCAAGGTGATCGAGCGCTGTGATTTCGAGAGGGTGGTGACAAGGAGGTAAGAGCGAAGAGAGATGGCTGCGGCCATGGCAGCCTTACCGTGGACCACAGCATGCTCTCCAAATACAATGACCTTACCCGGCGCAGACACCATGAAGGTGGGCGCCATGGGTGACGAAGCCTTGCGAGCCATTATCGGCCGCTTGCGTTCTCTGGTACCGTTCGCCTCGTGTGATTCTGAGGAGACGGAGGCGCTGTCGGAGCTATCGTCGAGGACACCGTTTCCATTCACGCCCTGGGGATGCATCGGGAAGATTTTCACCGTATTTTCAGGAACGAAGTCGACTGTACGACGTGAAAGGGGAATCGCTCCCATATCGCCATTCAATGGGCGTGTGGCATTCTCGGTCATGACAGGCGGGTTTAGAATTCGAGGGGCGACAAAGGAGGCGGGTATGTATTAAAAGGGGTAACGGTGGTCAAAGAAGAAGACAATCAACCAACATAATCAAGCCAAGCAAAAGATGTAGTACTAGATCGGATAGGACCCTCTCTGAAGCAACTGGAGTAAATGTTGGGGGATTGACAGAGTGCTCGAGGCTACTGGGTATACCAGGGAACGAGGCGTTGTAGCCCAATCACAGCCACCACAATACCAATTGGTCATCGTGGTTTATATTACGGAGGACCGACTATATCGCGTGGTTCCTGCGATGCCCTCGATTTTCGTTCTTCTATCTTCTTTACCACATTGCCCGGTCTTCTTTTCGTCCTGCTATTGCGATTATCCTTGCCTTTTACCGAGCGCAGAGATTTTGTGGCGTGCAGTAGCGCCGGGATGATCATCTCTATGCCTTTGTTATGGTCGATTTACGCCGTACATCCACAGGTGGTTGGAGTCTAATAATAGATACTTGCTGAGAATCGCCAGGAATGTAACAAATATGTGCATGCGTACGCTGTCAAATAGGACGAATGCTGGGTCCAGTACAGAATCTAAGCCGAAAATGTCACAAAATTCTAGTGCTATGTACAACTTTGTATAAGCCGCGAATCATCAATTCGTCAGAGGTTCATCGTCACAGTCATGCTATTGCTGTGCACCAGCAGACACGGGGGCAGGTCTTGCCATAGGACTTCCAAGTCACTCAGGTAAGATGCACTGTCCTCCACGCTAAGCGATGTCCCCTCCACGGGAGACGGCAGAGTCGTGAAAATCACAGCCGTATCACCACTCTGCTGGGCCATCAACTCGTTCAGAATCAAATGCTGTGCACGGCTTGGAAGATCATTGAAAGACAGTGGAAGTGATGCAACACCAGGGTACCCTGTTGCATGTGGGCTGCCGTGGGCACCGGGAAAGGTGGAGGACACAGCGGATTGACGGCGAGCATAGATCGAATCGAGTTTACTTGCAAATCGCGGAGGTGAGCTGTGCGCTGCAAACATGATGGACGGTCCAATGCCCTCCTCGGCTTCAGTATTCACTCTGGCCTCGGGAATAGGCGCGGAGCTAAACCGATGACTGGAAGCGGACCGGCCCATTGGGGGCCGCGGGTCAGAAGATTTGCTTTTCGGCGACGCCTCGGGCTCAAGTATGGATGGAATTCTCTGGTTGGACAGGAGTTCCTCCAGTTGGCTCGGGGGCACGGGTGTGCATGGAGAGTCTGCACTAGGGCTGCAATCATCGGTCTTCGACCGGCCAAGGAGTCTTGAAGAGCCGGAAACAGGCATGGCCTCATTTCGAGCGCTGGCTATGTCCTCTCCGCCGTCTTCTGGGTCACTGTTATACAATTCCAGGTCACTATCTTCGCTCTCACTCGAGTTATCGAAACTGTCGTAGTCAACAAACGCATCTAGCAACCGATGCGTTTGCATGCCGAGGTTCACTCCTCCTAGAGCCCGGAAGCTAGAGACAGACCGTCTGCGACGAGTGGATTGAATCAGTTTCCTCAACCCAGTCACTCGTTGAGGCAAAGGCCGTGCTCCGCTATCTTGGCTTGATTGACTTTGGAAGCTAAATGCCTTGTCGAAATGTATACAGTCACTTGCTCTATCCGAGTCTTGGGGGTCTTGATCTTGGGCACGAGCTCTTAAAAGCCCTTGCCACCAGTCCTCGCCCTGTAAGGTGGAATGAACCTTCTCTCGGGCATCGGCTGTAACCGAAGTATCCCCATTGACAATGGTGCGATAAGCCTGGAGATCACCACAGGCAAGCCAGAAGACCAAAACTTCGGCCTCGATTCGTAATTTCTCAAGGAGAGCCTCAACCCTCCTTCTCTCGTCTTCTACATCCGTCTCGTACTCCACGAACACGGCAACTCGAACCTTATATGTCTTCTTCCACGATGGAACAGTATTGAGAATACAGCCCAGCTGAAGAATCAAAGTGTATGTGTCAAAGTTGGTGGTCAGCACATTTTGCTTGCTTGCACTATCCGCCCCAAGCTCGGCGGACATCTGAATAGGCCACAAATCGATGTATTTCTTAGTGTGGTGGCCATGAGGATCCGGTATCTCCAAATCCTCGAACCCCTTAGCCACGGCAACATTGATACGAAGCTTGAAAAGCAAGTCTTCGAGAATTGTTACATAGCTTTGTCCACTCATGGGAGGGTTTGCCGCCCTAGACTCGCTTGACTCATCGAGTCGCGGGCCCGAATTGATCGATTGACGCCTATTCTTGGAATCTCTGCGGCCGCTGTTGGTAGATAACGTTTCGACAAGGGACTGATCCGGTCGGAACTGGTCGATCACAACGATGTTGGGCCGCATGCCTCCTAGGCCAGAATTCAAGACAATATTCCGCATTCCCCACTCTGCAGCAGGCGAGACGGAAATATTGACAAAGGCTTTGATCTTAGAATTTTCCACAAACTTTGTCCATGCTGTATGTTTTCGGCGTGCTTCAGGGACAGCTGCTGAAAAGTCATCCGTCACAAGCACGTGGGCTAGTACAAACAAAGCGCCTTTCTTCAACGAGTTGCAGAAAGAAACCATTTTGTACTGCTTGTCAAGGTCGCTGACAAAGAGCAGGATCTGAGGACGCCAGAACTTGACGTGCTCTTGACGCAGGCGAAGCAAGTATTTCCGGACTTGATGATAGATCAAACTCTGACTAACATCACCCCAAGGTTTAGGCGGCGAGCTGTAATGAATCAAAAGGAAGAGAATCACCAATATGCCAACACAGCCTGTGGCGTAGAGACCATCCACGAAAAACATACTGACCCCACTGACTAGTGTCCCCGCCGCTGCGGTCTGCCAGTTGAAATAGTGGAATGATGGACGGAAGTTGGGAGCAGAGCCAATCTTCAACAGGAAACAGGCAAGATTGGTCACAAGGAAGGTCATCAAATAGGTCATTGTGACAAAAGATGCGATGCGATTGATGTCGAAGAGCATTGTGATCTGGGCGAATACATAGGTGACGATGATGGCATAGACTGGATCGTCAGTTTTCTGCGTTCCTTGGCCGAATATTCCTAGGCCAGGTAACAGGCAATCTCGCGCAATAGCTTGAAGAAGCTTCGCAGAGCCTATCACACCCATCAGAGCGGAGAAGAAACTAGTCGCGAATTCTCCAAGAAGAATCACGCTATCAGAGGCATTGACCTGGGATTAATTAGATCAAGCGTCGAGTGTTTCACCCAACTTGAAACTTACAATTTGTATAACATTGACGTTATTATAGAATGACTCGCGTGTTACTGAGGCTGCCATTGCAAGGATGACAAGACCGTAGGAGACAAAGGTCAAGGCTAATCCCGAGAGTGTACCCTTGGGAATAGCCTTACTCGGATGCTTCAAGTCGCCAGACATACTTGCACCCCTGATAACCAATCAGTAATTGATTCAAAAGAGTTGCATACTCTACTTACGCAAAAATGCCTCCCGTTGCAGGAAATAGAATGCCAAAGAGATCTTGGAAGTTCTCTCGTCCTTTGATTTGGCTTCCCGCAGCTCCTTTGGTTAGATGAGGTTTAAGATTCCCCATCAACGTCTTCAAACGAAGCCCCGTGAACTCCACGCCCTGACGAGGAACTGGGAAAGGCTTCATTAAAACCGCAGAGAGCGGAATACTGAAGGTGGCCACCAGTAGAATGACCAGCAGCCCATTGCTCGCCCTCGCAAAGATAGAGCTCCCTGCCAAGCAGATACTTGTGCAGAATAGCAGTATAATGGTTCCCCACAGATACTGCCACCAAAAACCTTCTGCGAGAAAGTTGGCCCAGTCGCCAGAGTGCATCCCAAAATTCTGGGTGAAACAGTCCACCAAGCCGACAGCATTCATGCCAGTATTGAACACAGAGCCAAGATAGAATACAATGCCAATGGAGCCACCGAATTCAGGGCCTAGAGATCTAGAAATCAGGTAGTATGCACCACCGCCTCGGACAGTCCCGTTTGTTGCAATTGCGGACAAAGACATCGTTGTCACAAGATTGATTGTATATGATACAAGTAGCAGCCCTTTCATGTATTAGATTTGTGGCAGCCAGGCCTTACGAGTAAATATGCTCACCTAAAATCCCCAATACACCAGCTTGTCCTAGAATGAACCCGAATCGAAGGAACATAAGAATGCTCAAGACATTCAACGTTGTTGGAACAAAAACACCGGAGAAGGTACCAAGCTTCTTCGGCTCATCAACCGATCGGGATCGATGCCCACTCTTCTCCTTCCTATCGGCGCGGGAGTCGCGGAGAGGACCCGCAGACAAGGCCGTATGGTGCGAAGCGGCATCTCCACTAGTATCCTGTTCTTGAACGTGATCTCCTCGTTTATGCCACCATCGAGAAAAGCCTCGGAAATAATCCGAGGCTGTTGACCGACGTCGCACATCTGCTAGCTCTGATGAATTCACAGGCTCATATGGACGGGCCCATGGAGTCGATGGCCAAGATAGCAAGCGAGTACGTTCGTCGGGAGCAGTTTGAGACGAGGCCCCTGGATCGAGGCGTGAGACATCTTCTTGGGCAGTTCGAGTCGCGAAGGTTGGGCGTCGGCGAGACAAGGAGTCGGAGGTTTCTCCGACTCGTTCGACCGCCATATCAGTTGCAAAATTTATGAAATGAACATGAGGAACTCAAGAGAAACTACAATGTCAGTACTGAGTACGGAGTAATGGTATCCAATAGTCCCACCCAGACTATTGAGTCTGCAGAGAGACAGCGCTAGTGAACACCACAACAAGAAAAACAAGCTCAATGGACATGTCCAATTCATGACGTTAGTGTGCAAACAATGCAAACCTCCCCAACCGCAACTGGAGCTGATCGGCCGTGGCCTCGCCGCTTGGCGCGCCATTAATCTGTGTCTCAAACACTCCTCTGTTACATCTGGGGCTTTTCACCCAAATATCCCTCCTCAAGCATTTAGATCACCCTTCCCTGTTGATTCAGCAACCCGGCGAATTTTCCATGCCCATTCATCAAGTCTAGATAAGGCATCCTGTCAGGAGCCAACTTGACCCCAAGGCCACTTTCGAAATGGCGGACAATGGAGAGGGCTCGTCTCTAAATCCCACCCGGTCTATGCCCATATCCTCGTCCTCGGTGCGCTCAAGGTCCCCCGCACCTGAATTTGGTAACAGGCAAGCTTCTATAGCAAGACTGGCATCACCTGTGCCCTCCCCTTCCTTGGGCACCTCTTTGTCGTCTCGACAGGGTATTCCATCCATCAGACCTATCACAACAACAGCCGCCGGCGAACAAGAGTTTTCCAAATCCTTCGCCAACCCTTCTTCACTTCCTGGTCCTGGTCATTCGATCATCGCCTCCCAACTCCAAGAAAGTCTCGGTCGTTCGCCGCCACGATTTGGAACTCCCCCACGACACAACGGGTCTCCTGCGCTGCAGGCAGCTCTGGATAATAGACCGTTAGCCTCTCAATATGGCTCTTTCGACACCAAGAATGGACTCGATTCTCCGGGAATGGCTCCGGTTGAGGACCCGGAGGTTGTCAAGCGGCATCTCGTCACGGAACACACAGACAATCAGTCGGAAATTGCGACCAGCTTTGGTGGCGAGGATAATTTCTCGAGTCTACAGCTTCAGGGCGGTGATATCACACGGCAAGTCTACCGTTGGGCGGAGGATGCCGAGGCCGAAGCTGCAGGGCGGTTCTTGCGCAGTAAGAGTTTCAGTGTGAGCAGACCAAGGCCAGAGGCTGAGACGGAAGACATCGACACAATCAGGGTCCCAGGAGGGTTCCGTAGAGACTATCTACGGAGAGCAGCTGGAAGTCCCCACCGTGGAAGCGTCCGGGGATCCACTTCAGGAGCGCCCCATGGAAATGGCGCGCCTCAACTACCAACTACTAGCTTTTTGGAATTCTTGACTCTCTATGGTCATTTCGCAGGAGAAGAACTGGAGGAGGATGATGAAGTTCTAGGACCGGATGAGTACTTCTCATCCGACACTTGGGATGAGCCAGAAGAGGGCAGAGAGTCTGGGGAAGACGCGGCGTTATTGCAGGGTGATACACCAGGTCGGAAGAAGAGAAAGCACAAGCAGCGCTCACCGGCAGGCACAACCACTACAACGGGTGCAGTACTTTTGCTGCTCAAGTCCTTCGTTGGTACTGGTATTTTGTTCTTGCCCCGGGCTTTTTTCAATGGTGGGATGCTCTTCAGTAGCTTGGTGCTACTGGGAGTCTCGATTCTGAGCTACTATGCCTTCATCCTTTTGGTGAATACACGCATGAAAATCGAAGGCTCTTTCGGTGACATCGGTGGGATTCTATACGGCAAGCACATGCGACGCATCATTCTCGGTTCAATTGTCCTGAGTCAATTAGGCTTTGTTTCAGCGTATATTGTCTTCGTTTCGCAAAATCTGCAGGCGTTTGTGCTGGCCGTGAGCAAGTGTGTGACACTTATCGACATCAAGTACTTGGTTTTGTTGCAGCTGATCATCTTCCTGCCTCTATCTTTGATTCGGGATATCAGCAAACTTGGATTCACAGCGCTGATTGCCGATGTCTTCATTCTCCTGGGTCTGCTATACATATATTACTACGACGTCAGCACTCTGGTTGACCAGGGCGGCATTTCCGACGTCATTTCCTTCAACCCAGCAACTTGGTCCATGTTCATTGGTACCGCCATCTTCACTTACGAAGGTATCGGTTTGATTATCCCGATTCAAGAATCAATGCAAAAGCCAAGCAGATTCCCTGGTGTTCTGGCTGGTGTCATGGTTGTGATCACCTTCATCTTCCTATCTGCCGGTGCCTTGAGTTACGCGGCTTACGGCTCGGCAACAAAGACGGTCATTCTTCTGAACCTGCCCCAGGATGATAAATTCGTCAATGTGGTCCAGTTCCTCTACTCGCTTGCCATTCTGCTGAGTACTCCGTTACAGCTCTTCCCCGCCATCCGCATCATGGAAAACGAGCTATTCACTCGCAGTGGCAAGTACAACCCATATATCAAATGGAAGAAGAATGGATTCCGCTTCTTCTTGGTCATGGTCTGCGCTGTTATCGCCTGGTATGGTGCGGCTGATCTAGACAAGTTTGTTTCGCTTGTCGGAAGCTTTGCTTGTGTTCCACTGATCTATGTATACCCGGTATGTCATTTTCCTTCATCCCCATAATCATCACAAACGGTATGACTGACTGATTATTTTGATATAGCCACTCTTGCACCTGCGCGCTTGTGCTCGGTCCAAACGCCAGGCGATTGCCGATGTAACGCTTGCTGTCTTTGGCGCTGTCTGTTGCGTCTACACGACATATTTAACTCTTGTGAGCTGGATGGGCCCCGAGGTTCCTCAAAGCCCAGGATACTGTGACTCTCATTGATGATTCCTTTCGTTTGCTTTCTTTTTCTTTTGCTTTCTTTCTTCTGGTTACTGTAGAGCGTGGCGAGTTGACCAGTTGGTCTTGTTGCATTTCTCGGTTTTATATCTACACTAAACTGGCATGTCTTTCATTGAGTTCTCACATGCTCCTTCAACACATGGCGGCCATCTGTGTGATGTTCAGTCACAATTTTGAGCAAATTGTCAGCATAGTTGGCGAATCTTGCGGGTCAAGCTATCCTTGTTGCACACATCTTTTCTTTGATTTGAAGGACTATCTACTTCAATCATTTAGCTGTGTAGCTTTCTATAGAACCTTGGAACTTTATCCAGGAATATATCAGCCAAGAAACCCAACTTTTTGATCGAGTCCTGAGGTTATTATGATAAAAACCAAGTCATTCCAACAAGGAATATTATTCATGTGTAATAAAGAGCCTATGTACAGTAACTATCAGGAGACTGAAACTGCCTAGGTGCATAGCAGCCAGCACTGATAACTAAGCGTCTTCCTCAAACCCGCGGGTGTCCCTCTATATACCTGCTTTTTATCATTGTCCAAGACTTATCTTCTAATCTTAAGGCAAAGACCAGTGGATCATATGGTGTTGGAGGTGCAATGCCGCGAAAACGAGATAAACATTTATATTAGCCCCAAATAAGAACGCAAAAGCAGAATCAGTTTCTTCTCGGAGACGAGATCTAAGCACCAGCCTCAGTGGCCGCACCGCCCTTGGCAGCAGCCTGCTCAGCGAGCTGCTTTTCCCGGCCGCCCCAGCTGTAAAGTAAAGACAGGTTAGAATCCAGCGGTTTGCGACAAGTATAGACCAAGACAAATTCGCTTGGGATTTGTCTAGAAGGGATGAAACGTACTTCCAGTAGTTCAGATAACGGTAGGCCTGGGTAGTCTGAGCGCCGAAGTTGGTCAAGTGGCACGCGAAGAGGAGGTAGTTCTTGGGGGTAACGGCGAGGGAGTAGCGCATGAAAGTGGCAGCGTAGATGACGAGGGCGCCAGTCATGGGGCCGGAGATACTGTGGAGACGGAACCATCAGTATAGCTGCTCAAACGTAATTGTAGATGGGAGAGCGCTTTCAACGGAAGCATCAGCGCTCAGCATTCATTAGATAACGACTCACATCTCAGCATCCTTCTGTGTGTCCATCACAGCGGCAATGGGGATACCGAAGTTGGAGACAGGGCCCCAGAAGTCTAGGAACCATCATTGACTGTTAGCAATCTGGTACTCTTTCGTGTGGTATTGCTTTGTATAGCTGTAGATTCAACCAAAGGCGCATTCCTCTCATCCTCGAGGTTACCTTCAATGCTTATTCTCCTCCGGTCTCATTCGCCGTTGGCCGATCTCGGGGCGGGAAGAGCTTCGGGAAACTTGGGGTTGATACGTACGAGTTGAGCAAACATAGTCCAGCACCGAGTTGGAGCGGATCTTAGCGTTGATAGCCTTAATAACAGCAGCCATTGCGAAATTGCTGGAAGGGATATCACACGGGATTGGGATTGGGGATGTGAGGTCGGTATCTGAAGGGTGCGGAACTGCTCGACTCACCGGCGTCGGCCGTGTCACGTGAAGTGCATTACTGCGGTATCATCTTGGCTGAAACTGATCTTTTATCATCCGCAATCATAATGCTGTATTATCTTGATCTGTAGAAGCCCGTAATGATCATTGGTCATGTTTCTTGCGGTGTTTGGAGGTGTGGTCCTTATGGATTGTATCTCTAAACCGCTATGATCTAAACAACTATGTATAAATATATCTTAGACTGATGCTCTTACGTATCACCCCAATTTTGAAAATCCATCCAATGCCATGGCCCGACAAGAGAATGATTAAAGCGAAGTAGTATCAATACTCTCTCTGGTGACATAAGGGTGAGGCTACTACATACCTATTAGCCTACCCAGACCTTTGTGGCATGGGAAGAAGGGTGGAAGGCCAGCAAGTGTATCGATCTAGCAAGGAAGCGCATATAGGATAAAGCATTGAGAAATTAAACGTTTTTGAATCAAAAGGCCGCGTTAAAAAGGTAGCATTATTTTTGACCTAATGCGAATTTCAAAAGGATTTTAGTCGTTTGGTCCCGTTCCTCGACACGACCTCTATCCATGCGCCGCAACGCCTTGCCCAGTAGAATATCGGGTAATCTAGCCTGTTCGCGTATCGTTGTCTCTTGCTGGAAGCGTGGACAGGGGTTCTTGTTATGTGTTTGAGCCGCCCTTTTCCTTTCCGGGTGAAATCAGATCGCCAATGACATGAAGCATAGAGTTTTCCGCTGTACACATTTGCAATTATCTGCCACCAAATCCAGGGGGCGGGTATCCGCGTCCCTGACCAGGAGGCTGGAAGCCGGGGGGAGGTTGGAAACCGGCAGCTATGAAAATGAGATATTAGTACAAAGGGATTGATTGGAAGGATCAAATTGCAAACTTACGGGGACCACCCTGGGGAGCGAATCCAGGAGGGGGCGCGAAACCAGCTAGAGCGAATCAGTCAACTTAAATCCCGGTCACTGTGAACAAATGGGAGTTACTTACGAGGACCACCACCGGGGGGCCTCCACGTCCAGCGAAGCCTGGAGGAGGGGCACCGGGGAAACCACCAGGAGGGAATCCGAAGCCACCAGGGGGTGGGGGTCCACCAACACCGGCTGCAGGGCCTCCGAGTCCGACAGGCAGGCCGCGACCAGCGGGCTTGCTGATACCAGGGCCCGCGGCAAGAGTAGCAGCGGCGCCGGGTCCTGCGGTGCCAAGTCGCGCAGAGGGTTCGGCAGAAGGAGGACCCTCAACAGAGCAAGAAACGACTTGAGCTCCACGAACAATAGTGAGGCCAAGGCTGCGCTTCTCTTCAGCTTCGACGAGCGGGGCGTTGGCGGGACCGCCTTGGGGCTTGGATTTGCGCTTGATGCGACGGAATTCTTCTGTGTCGGCGAGAACGAGGTTCATGTGCTATAAAACAGAAGTGTCAGTCCAGCGCATCATTCCCCTTTATATTTGAAAGACGGTGAAATACCTTATCGAACGCAAGCATGGAACCGGTCATTTGACGTCCATCGTTCAAGGTCACACGCATGCGGTAGTTAATCTGAGAAAGAGATTAGATACTTCAATCCAAAATGTCAGTTCATTTGAGTGGGACTCACAAGGTTTTGCTAGATTAAAGAGGTTAGCGACAGCCATTGACCGCAGGAGTTTCGGGGGTGCAAATGGGGACGAGAAACTTACCATCTTGTGGGAGGCCATGGTGGCTGAAGATTGCGCACGGATGCGACTTGGGAGATCAAAAAAATAGTGACCAGTAGATAGAGAAAGTCTCTCTACTGCGATGGATGAAGCAGAGATGCGAGATCCTATCGAAAGTGGGAAGCTTAAGCTCTGTCAAGGTGCTCCCAGTTCTTGATATCAGATTACCTAAGATATGAGTCAGCACTGGGTCCCAACCTTGATGCCTCAGGCGCAAAAGGGGAAATGCAGCCCAGGTCAGGTGACTGACATATCTGACTAATCAGGAATTAGGCTCATTACCTAATCTAGCATCAGGGCTTTCAAATCACGTGAAGTAACCCACAGTGCACACATTTCTTCCCGCGATCACTCCGTCTCTTCAGTCGACAACCACTTCACGCCCAACCGCCGTCATGGTATGTTTAGGTTCCTGCTATCCAAAATGCATATTCCCAATCGAATGCCCTCTTCCTTGTCACTGGATTTATTCTGGTCAACAACCTGAAGATCCCCATTCTGCGCGCATCCCATCTCCAATTTCCTCCAATATCTATATTTTTGACTAGATCCACCACCTGCAACTGGAAACTAACATGACACAGTCCGCCCAAGTCGCTAAGGCCGAGAACCCCAACCGCTCCCTTCGCTTGTCGAAGCTGGTTCTGAACATCTCCGTCGGAGAGTCCGGTGATAGACTCACTCGTGCCGCCAAGGTGCTCGAGCAGCTCTCCGGTCAGACCCCCGTCTACAGCAAGGCCCGTTACACCGTCCGTAGCTTCGGTATCCGTCGTAACGAGAAGATCTCCGTCCACGTCACCATCCGTGGCGCCAAGGCCGAGGAGATCCTCGAGCGTGGCCTCAAGGTCAAGGAGTACGAGCTCCGCAAGCGCAACTTCTCCGAGACCGGTAACTTCGGATTCGGTATCTCCGAGCACATCGATCTCGGCATCAAGTACGATCCCGGTATTGGTATCTACGGCATGGACTTCTTCGTCTGCATGTAAGTTTTGCACCGGCCCTTTTGATATCGAATCGCACGTTGTATGGACATTGGATATTAACAAACAATTACAGGGACCGCCCCGGTGCCCGTGTTGCCAAGCGCCGCCGTGCCCAGTCCAAGATCGGTGTCAACCACCGCATCACCACCACCGAGACCATGAAGTGGTACAAGACCAAGTACGATGGAATTATCCGTTAAGTTTGAGAAATCAGACATAATGGCTGGGTAGGGCCTGTGAAGTACGAGCTACTCGACAAGAACCAAAAAATGATCCCGAATACTCGAGGAAACAAAAATTGTGGACGGGCACCCCGTTGCCAGTCATCGGGCCCCAATGGTCTCTGCATCCAACATGGTCTTGATTTTGTACTTTGGCAACCAGGATAGGCGTGGGAGAGACATGAATTCATTATTACCCTTTTACTGCTGCTTTTCCCTTTTCACAATGAGGCTTCACGAGAGGTGATGTTTTCCGCATAACCATTGTTGAAAAGGATGGCGGACACTGGGTTTCAATCTGGTGTCCAGCCAAGACTCGCTTGAGAATGCCTCCAAGGCTTCGTCAAAGAGTCGGTCTCTTTCCACATGAGAATTTCCTCGTGATGGGCTGAGTACCTTGTTCTGGCCTATCTTGTCTGTCCTTCTTCCTATCCTCATAGGTGCCATTTGCCTGGCGTAGACCTAGACTGCTCGTAGTTGTAGAGCGATGGTATCGTCCTTCCCGAGGGCGCATGAGTTTATCAACCTGGGGAAAGCCGAATCCACTCTCCGTATGTCCCATTCAATTCCGCTTTGTCCTACAGGCGGACGACAGGGGGTGGGAGGCCTAGACGGCGGCCCAACCCTCCCCAACATGCAACCCCGAATCCTTCGTGCTTTTACCCGACAGTCTTCCCTCGGCGAAATTCGGTCACTCTCCACCCATCATGGAAAGTTACCGGTGCTTGGCAATCAAAACGAAATTATACCTGACACGCCTAGGTCACATAGTGCTCCATTTAGCCTGCGCAGAGCTTTCTGGAATCCGGTGGCAAGAGCCAATGCCGCACGAATTGACCCCGAGCACTTGAATCATCCCTCCGATTCCCCGCACGATCAATTAATCCACTGGTCTAGGCATTAGTTTTCATGCATATCGCTTGCCAGTGCGACCTCAATGGTACCCCTGTGATTTTTACTCGAACCCGAAGACATTCGCGTTGCATCCGTTGTTCTTTGCACTATAACCGGTGTGGCGTTCGAACATTCTCAAATGCCGTGAAGTCACTCCCCAAAGAGATGGTTCCAGATAACACAAAAACAATACTTGCGGAGTCTAGCACAACTTGCACAGAAAAGGCTTTTAGTCCAATTGAAATAATCCTTGGAGCTTGTAACGGTGTTGATCGAGTCGCTGGTTATGTTTCTCGGAGTCTGGATGTGAGCCTGCAAACTATACGCTGCAATGGCTCAAGGCGTGGAACACGGCGGCAAATCTACGCAGGTATGGGAAATATAGAAACCAGCATCTGAAAGCTGACATATCAGGATCAAAGGAGTGCGATACAAAATATTCGAATTGTCCAAAAATATATAACCATCGTCTCATATCCGCTCATTAACATATCCTTCACATGAATCATGATCCAACAAACTATAGAGAATTATGTTGAAGCCGCTATAATGCCCTTATTTGGATGGCAGAAGCAGAAGCATCAGAAATTACCCCCAATTCCAAAATCACCACCCTTCAGCAAACCCGAATTCACTTTTTCTCCTCCGCCATTTCGATAGTCTCTCCCTGTGACTTATCCTCCATAGTACCTGTTTCCAGATCCATGTTTTTGGCTTCGGCTGTCTCATCAACTGCAGCTACAACACTTTCGAAGCGGCGACCACGCTTCTCAGGGCCAATAGCAGTAGTGACCATGATACCGAGAGCAATGATGGCAGTGGCGATTCCCATCACAGGTCCGTAGGCATCCACACGATGGCCGGATTTGCTGGTGACGCTGTTGGATTCAGAGATCGCATTCACAATCTGCGCCGATGGCGAGGAGATCATGTTTCCAATTTGGTATGTCAGACCGGTGAAGGAAGAACGGAAGGCAGGGGGAGATAGCTCGTTCAGATGGACGGGAATCACACCCCATGCACCCTGAACGAAGAACTGCATGAAGAATCCTGATGCACTCAGAGATGCTTCGCCCTCGGGAAGAATCCATGCGGGGATGAGAATTCCGGAAACAAGGGCAGCGAAGATGATTGCTCGGCGACGACCGAAGAATTGGGACAAGTAACCGATAATGGTACCACCTACACAGGCTCCTGTCTTCATCAGAATGGAAGCCCGCGAGGCACCCGCGTTATCGAGCTCCTTCGCTGTGAGCATGAATGTGGTGTACGAGTCTTGGGATGTGTGGGAGTAGTAGTTGAACTATATCATGGAAGAGATTAGATAAATGTTGGAAAGGGATATAATATCAGGTGGAACATACCCAGGTCATGAGGATGATGCAGTAGATGCACATGCGCCACTCCTTACCCAACATGCTGATTGTTTCGCGCCAGAATTACCCAGCTTTCATTGTTCGCCTGCCAGCTTTCTTGGCTTCGACGAAAGACTTTGACTCGGGGAAGCAGATTCGAATTAGACCAACGCCAATTGAGAGACCGGCTGCGCAGCAAAAGTGTTAGTGGCAAGAAAATATTAGTCAATAAGGAGACATACCTGCGATCCAGAACACAGTCTTCCAACTCTCTGTCTCACCACCGATACCGAGATTGGCACACGCTGCAAACACGTATCCCATGGAATAACCTTGTTGAAGGATTCCAGACATGAGTCCTCTCGCATTGACCCTGATTTGAAACATTGTTAATGAGAGTCACCTAAGTATGTGAAGAGAATACTCACGGGCAATGTTCTAATGCCATCGCCATAGCATTTCCATAAACGCCACCCATGAAAAGACCAAACAGACTACGCACAGCCAGGAACTGCTGGAACGTCTGACTGTAAATGGTAGCGACTTGCAATAGACCTAAAACGATCATGTTGATCACCATGGGCCATTTACGACCGTACTTGTCACCGGCAAAACCGAAGAATGCAGCTCCGACACTCCTCAGCAGCAAGGTCAGAGTAATTGCTGTCGTAATGTCTGTTTTGCTTCTGTCATAGTATTTTGCCAGCTTGACTGTTTGGATGGAGAGGGCATGGAAATCGAAGGCATCGGCAGTCCACGCCAGGAGGCCCACCAGGAAGAATACCCAGTCTCGAGCTGAAAGTTGTGCCATCAAGCTGATAGGGTTCTTGATGGGCTCTGGAGTTTGCCACTCAGCGTAGGTCTCTCCATGCTCATTGGTGATCTCGACACGCTGTTTCCAGATGAAAAGATCCCCGAAGGCCTGGCGTGCTGTGGCAAGGGTGCCACTTGGAATAGAGTCTGCCCTCTCATTTGGAGTTTCCATAATGGGAGTATATGAAAGAGGAAGAGGAGGAGGAAGAGGAGGAGGAAGAGAGAGAAAGAAAGAGAGAGAGGAAAAGAGAATCAACGTTGGCCAACAAGGATATTTGCAGGATGGAGGAGCAGGCAAGCCAACTAAAAGAATGACCAGACTACTCTAAACAAAGCAGGCCAGAAAATTCAATAGCAGACACGTCGGGAACAGTCCGAGGAATCTTGTGTGAATTCCTCTCAAATCCGGCGTTTGCGCTCACCAATTTATAACCACCACCCCAGATTTATCCCCGCATCTCCATCCCGTCTTTTGCTCGTGGGGAAGGCCAAAAATATACCGCTGCACCCCAGGATATCCCGAGTTTTGCGGCGGTAGTATGCCACTCTGTCTATCAGCCAAGCACATGCCAAGGGCTTGGAAGCACCGTGCCTCCAATGCGAGGAGGTCAACCGAGCGACACCTCGAATCACATACTTTAAGGCTGGCTTGGCGTGGGGAGGGTCTTGTCCAGAGATCCTTCTTGGCTTGGCTCAGCCGACATAAACAAGCACCAACAAGCCGGATGGCGCTGTGCGCGTGGCCATTGATCCGTTACGCCGAAAACCTTTGCGCAAATATGGGCCGGTATGCACTCAGGTGGCTCCGGTTCGGTTTTGAAGGCGAGTTTACGGCTTAGACCGTCGGTTTAATTTCCTCCGGGGCATTAGCGGGCTCTCAGGAATCGGCTAGATTGACCTCGACCGGGGAAATGTCTTGGTTTGGGGTCGGGGAAGTTGGGGACGGCAAGTCTGTATTTAAAAACAAGTGTATGCCGAAAATCACCGAATGCGAGGTTTGGGCACCGCTGATCTGATGACGTCCAGAGGATTGAGGCGGATCTAGAAAAGCTCATGATGGTTGGGTGGTCTGATCCACTCCTAGAGTGGATCTGGGTAAGGGGCCAATTTCCAACTACGGAGTACCAATCTCCTGAATAGGGAGTCTTGGCTCTTTGAGCCACGAGGCATGCAGGGCTTACTTTTTATGCTGGCTTCCGTATGCTTACTCCGCACAACGCCCACAAACGCCTATGTACATGGCTATGGGCTGATATGCGGATTAGGTCTATACCCTACGACATTCTGATCTCACTTGCGAGGGTCAGCTTATATTCTTATCCGGGCGTCCAGGATTACGTCAAACATTAGCTCGGGTTGGCGGAGGAATCTCTTTTAAAGCATAGACCAAGTGAGATGTATCTTGAGAATCGTATTCACAATCCATTCGAAAAATCATGACCATGTCGAAAGAAAGACCGATACAAACTGGCCTAGGTGGATATGGGAAAGTTGGGAGCCAGTATAGTAAAGATCGGAGTATTTACTCTGAAGGCGGTCAGTTCCACCTGGGCCCAACTACACTGTTAGGTAGAGAGGTATGAGGATTGCGAGTTATCCCCGTTTTGTTCGAAAGTGATCTGACGATTGAATAGTTACTTGTTTGCTTCAATTCACTTTGAGCTCTTTCTCTTCCTCTTCTCTACAAACACATCTGAAAGAGACAATCTCAGAAGCCCCTGTATCACGTGACTGCCCATAAGCGACACCTCAGCAACGACAGCAGCGGCCTCCTGAGGTCACTTCCGCATCTACCAGATCTCAACCCCCCTCTTCTCTTCATACAGTTCCTTCTTTTCTTTTTCTTCCTCTTGACATTCGCTCCTCCCCCATCGCCCTTTTCATCATACTTCAATTCTTCTGCCTTCTTTGCGTGGCGTTTCATTCGGAGGACCAGGTCGTACTGCGGCCTACGTAAATATGGCACCTCTCCCTATCAAGTTCACAGAGCTGGTCAACGTACGTGGTTGCCCCTCATCTATCTCCCATCACAATCTAGAGCTTTGAAACTGACCTGCGCATCAATTCTACAGTTGACCTCTGTCGGCATTGCGGTATGTATAGTCCAACCGTGATTCTGGGCGATGCTTCGCGACCAGCTCCAGCTTCGAGGCGGATGCACCGGCCGAACGCCATAAGAAATTTAGATCACTTGGGCAGGTTACTAATGTTTTGAATCACAGCCGGTATCAATTGGCTTTACTTCATGTGTGAGTTGTTTCCTGTCGCCTTGCGACTACCCCTCAAAAATAGAACCTTGGACCCCGGCTGACTTGATAACTCTCATCCATAGACACTAGAATCTGATCACTACGTCTGTGTCCGCCAAAAGCTCGACGAAGATGGCAAGCCCGAAGTCATCATTATCGACCTCAAGAACAGCAATGACGTTCTACGACGCCCGATCAACGCGGACAGTGCAATCATGCACTGGAACAAGAACATTATCGCCCTGAAGGCCCAGGGACGCACCATTCAGATCTTCGATCTTAGCGCGAGGCAAAAGCTCAAGTCAGCGGTTATGAATGAAGATATTGTCTACTGGAAGTGGTTCAGCGATAAGTCTTTGGGACTGGTCACAGACTCCGCAGTTTACCACTGGGATGTCTACGATGCTACGCAGCAGAACCCCGTGAAGATGTTCGACCGACTGCCCAATCTTGCTGTATGTGATTTGAGATGCGGATGAAATGGTGTCAGGTTGGATGCTAATCTACGAGCGCTTTCTAGGGTTGCCAAATTATCAACTACCGCGTTAATACTGAGGAGAAGTGGATGGTGGTCGTTGGTATCAGCCAGCAGCAGGGCCGCGTTGTTGGATCAATGCAGCTCTACTCCAAGGAGCGCGGAATCTCCCAGTTCATCGAAGGCCATGCCGCCTCTTTCGCCACTATCAACGTTGAAGGCTCTCCCCTCCCTCACAGCCTCTTCACCTTCGCTGTCCGTACTCAAACCGGCGCCAAGCTTCAAATCGCCGAAATCGACCACCAAGAACCCAATCCCCGCTTCCAGAAGAAGGCCGTCGATGTGTACTTCCCTCAAGAGGCCGTCAACGATTTCCCCGTCGCGATGCAGGTGTCTAGCAAGTATGACATCGTGTATCTCGTTACGAAATATGGCTTCATCCACCTTTATGATCTCGAGACTGGCACTTGCATTTTCATGAACCGTATCTCCAGCGAGACAATCTTCACCACATCACCAGATTCCGAAGGTGCTGGTCTGGTCGGTGTCAACCGCAAGGGCCAGGTTCTGTCCGTCAGCGTGGACGAGACCACGATTATCCAGTACCTCATGGAGAACCCCGCCATGTCTGGTCTGGCTGTTAAACTTGCCTCGAAGGCCGGCCTTCCAGGTGCGGATCACTTGTACCAGCAGCAGTTTGACTCCCTTATGGCCTCTCAAGATTATACCGAAGCTGCCAAGATTGCCGCCAACTCTCCTCGCGGTTTCCTCCGCACTCTGGACACTATCAACCGTTTCAAGAGCGCTCCGCAGACTGGTCAGATGTCCGTTATCTTGCAATACTTTGGTATGCTGCTAGACAAGGGTTCGCTCAATAGATACGAAAGTGTCGAGCTTGTCCGACCTGTTTTGCAGCAGAACCGCAAGCACTTGCTTGAGAAGTGGATGCAGGAGAAGAAGCTGGAGGGCTCGGAGGAGCTGGGTGATATCATTCGGCCATACGACATGTCTCTTGCCCTGACCGTTTACCTCCAAGCTAATGTTCCCCACAAGGTTGTCGCTGGATTCGCCGAGACTGGTCAGTTCGACAAGATTCTTGCATACTCTAAGCAGGTTGGATACCAGCCCGACTACACTCAGCTGCTTCAGCACATCGTTCGCGTCAACCCCGAGAAGGGTGCCGAGTTCGCCACCCAGCTTGCTAATGAAGAGAGTGGCGCTTTGGTTGACCTTGACCGTGTTGTTGATGTGTTCCTCTCACAGAACATGATCCAGCAGGCCACTTCATTCCTCTTGGACGCTCTCAAGGACAACAAGCCTGAGCATGGCCACTTGCAAACTCGTCTTTTGGAGATGAACCTCGTCAACGCACCGCAGGTCGCTGATGCCATCCTCGGAAATGAGATCTTCACACACTTCGACCGTCCTCGTGTCGCTCAGCTTTGCGAGAACGCCGGCCTCATCCAGCGTGCCCTTGAGAACTCAGATGACCCTGCTGTGATCAAGCGCAACATTGTTCGCACTGACAAGCTGAGCCCCGAGTGGCTCATTAGCTACTTCGGCCGTCTGTCTGTGGAACAGTCTCTTGACTGCATGGACACTATGCTGGAATCGAACATCCGCCAGAACTTGCAATCTGTTGTTCAGATTGCCACCAAGTTCTCGGACCTTCTTGGTTCTAACCGTCTGATCGACCTTCTGGAGAAATACCGGACCGCTGAGGGTCTTTACTACTACTTGGGAAGCATTGTTAACCTCAGCGAGGACCCTGAAGTTCACTTCAAGTATATTGAGGCTGCCACTGCTATGAACCAGGTCACCGAGGTTGAGCGTATTTGCCGTGAGAGTAACTACTACAACCCCGAGAAGGTAAAGAACTTCCTGAAGGAAGCCCGCCTGACCGAGCAGCTGCCTTTGATCATCGTTTGTGATCGCTTCAATTTCATCCACGACCTGGTTCTGTACCTTTACCAGAACCAACAGTTCAAGTCCATCGAGGTCTATGTCCAGCGTGTCAACCCTAGTCGCGCTCCTTCTGTTGTTGGTGGCTTGCTCGACGTTGATTGTGAGGAGAGCATCATCAAGAACCTGCTTTCAACCGTTGACCCATCCGTCATCCCCATCGACGAGCTTGTTTCTGAGGTCGAGAGCCGAAACCGCCTTAAGTTGCTCCTGCCTTTCCTCGAGGCTACTCTTGCCACTGGCAACCAGCAGCAGGCTGTCTACAACGCACTCGCAAAGATCTACATCGACAGCAACAACGATCCCGAGAAGTTCCTCAAGGAGAACGACCAGTACGACACCCTCATTGTCGGAAAGTACTGCGAGAAGCGTGATCCCAACTTGGCCTACATTGCCTATAGCAAGGGTCAGAATGACTTGGAGCTCATCAGCATCACCAATGAAAACTCTATGTACCGTGCCCAGGCTCGTTACCTCGTTGAGCGTGCCGATCCCGAGATTTGGACCTTTGTCCTGAGCGAGAACAACGAGGGCCGCCGTTCCCTTGTTGACCAGGTCATCGCCACTGCGGTTCCCGAGTCCACGGAACCCGAGAAGGTGTCTGTTGCTGTCAAGTCGTTCCTCGAGGCTGATTTGCCCGGTGAGCTGATCGAGCTGCTTGAGAAGATCATTCTGGAGCCCTCGCCTTTCAGCGACAACACTAGCTTGCAGAACCTTCTGATGTTGACTGCCGCCAAGGCCGACAAGAGCCGCTTGATGGATTACATTCATCAGCTCAATGAATTCTCTGCCGATGAGATCGCTGAGATGTGTATTAACGTTGGTCTGTACGAGGAGGCCTTTGAGATCTACAAGAAGGTCAACAACCACTTGGCCGCCGTCAACGTGCTTGTGGAGAACATTGTCAGCATTGACCGTGCTCAAGAGTACGCCGAGCGCGTTGAGCTGTCTGAAGTTTGGAGCAAGGTTGCCAAGGCCCAGCTCGATGGTCTTCGCGTGACCGACTCAATTGAGTCTTACATTCGCGCAGAGGATCCCTCTAACTACCACGAGGTGATCGAGACCGCAACCCATGCTGGAAAGGACGAGGATCTCGTTAAATTCCTTCGCATGGCTCGCAAGACATTGCGTGAGCCTGCCATTGATACTGGTCTTGCTTTCTGCTTTGCCCGTTTGGATCAGCTCGCTGAACTCGAGGAGTTCCTCCGCAGCACCAACGTTGCTGACATCGAAGCTTCCGGTGACAAGGCTTACGCAGAAGGCTTCCACCACGCTGCTAAGATCTTCTTCACCAGCATCTCCAACTGGGCCAAGTTGGCCACTACCTTGGTTCACCTGGAAGACTACCAGGCTGCAGTTGAGTGTGCCCGCAAGGCCAACAGTGTGAAGGTCTGGAAACAGGTCAACGAGGCCTGTGTCAACAAGAAGGAATTCCGTCTTGCCCAGATTTGTGGTCTCAACCTCATTGTCCACGCAGAAGAACTGCAGAGCCTTGTTCGCCAGTACGAGCGTAATGGCTACTTCGATGAGCTGATTGCTGTCTTGGAGGCAGGCCTTGGTCTTGAGCGTGCTCACATGGGCATGTTCACTGAGCTTGGTATTGCTCTGTCCAAGTACCACCCCGATCAAGTTATGGAACACCTGAAGCTCTTCTGGTCCCGCATCAACATCCCCAAGATGATTCGGGCCTCTGAGGAGGCCAACCTCTGGCCTGAGCTGGTCTTCCTGTACTGCCACTATGATGAGTGGGACAACGCTGCTCTCGCCATGATGGAGCGCGCAGCCGATGCCTGGGAGCACCACTCGTTCAAGGATATTGTCGTCAAGGTTGCCAACTTGGAGATTTACTACCGGTCGCTGAACTTCTACCTCCAGGAGCAACCCCTCCTGCTCACTGACCTGCTCCAGGTCCTGACCCCTCGCATCGACGTCAACCGCGTTGTTCGCATTTTCCAGGGCTCTGATAACATCCCCTTGATCAAGCCTTTCCTGCTTAACGTTCAATCTCAAAACAAGCGTGCTGTCAATGACGCTATTAACGAGATTCTGATCGAGGAGGAGGACTACAAGCTGCTCAAGGACTCCGTTGATCAAAACGACAACTTCGATGCTGTGGCTCTCGCTCAGCGCCTCGAGAAGCACGACCTCATTTTCTTCCGCCAGATTGCGGCCAACATCTACCGCAACAACAAGCGCTGGGAGAAGTCCATTGCGCTCTCCAAGCAGGATAAGCTTTACAAGGATGCCATTGAAACCGCCGCCATCTCCGCCAAGCCTGAGGTTGTGGAGGAGCTTCTTCGTTACGTAAGTTTTCTACTTTCTGCTACCCATTGGATCGGTACTAATTGCAACTAGTTCGTCGATATTGGCAGCCGTGAGTGCTACGTCGGCATGCTCTACGCTTGCTACGATCTCATCCGCCCCGATGTCATTATGGAGATCTCATGGCGCAAGGGTCTTCACGACTTCACCATGCCATACATGATCAACTTCCTCTGCGAGCAGACTCGGTCGATTGAGATGCTCAAGAAGGACAACGAGGAGCGCAAGAAGCGCGAGCAGACGACCCGCACAGATGATGACAACACTCCCATCCTGCAGGGCTCGCGGCTCATGCTCACCCAGGGTCCCCAGTCTAACGGTGCCGGTCTCACTCCCCAGGCAACTGGATACCGCGGATTCTAGAACTGTGCACTGGTTGCGCTCTTGATTCTACGTTTCTAATTGCATTTGTAACATACAGCGGAGGTGATGGTTCGGGGTTGCAAAAGACACGATTTCATACGGGGGATAGGTACGCCGAGAGCGTACCACAGGAGGAACTCATGATAGCCCTTAATCTTGCTTTTTGATTTTTGTCCTTTTTCTTCGCCTGCATGTATTTGATAGGTTTGCGATTTTTTTTTATGCTTCTAACAGTCTGGCCATGGCCTGCTTTTCAGTAATAGCATTGCGATTTCCCCATTTTTCCACCTCGCAGTTACCTCGGCAATTCCTGTTTAAGAACCCTAGTGCCAAGGGTCCGCTTAGGGCCCAGGCAGATCCGCTTTGAGCATCCAAACATTTAAAGCCCTCGGTGAGGAAGGCAGCTTCGCCAAGCTGCCAAGGTAAATCATCTGCAACTATTTGTCTCCGTGGGATGGAGCATGACTCTTCCTGCAGATCGCTTATTGCCTCGCCAATTTTCATCTTTTCCCATGAGGTAGGATGGAAGGTTGGCATTGGACCGTGTCTTAGGCTATGACATGCTAGTGTAGCTCCCAGGGCCATCTCCCCCCACCTGCACTCACACAGAGCAAGTAAGCATAATTTACAGTTCTTTTTTTAGCCGTGTTACCTAACAGCTGACACCCATAGCTTGATTTTTTGATTTTTTTTTTGATTTTGGTCTTGCTTTATAGCGCCCACGAGCTCACGTTCCCGAAATCCCTTCTAGCCCGGCTAAGAAACAACGCTCAATCCGGGGGACACTTTAACCTGTGGAGATAGATCGAGCGCACGCAAGGGTTACTAGCGGGATGGTGGGGGCCTAGATATGTATTTCCGGGGGATTGTGATTGATGCAGAACGAAAACTAGACACACATCCACACATCCATGGACCAAAGGATGCAGAGCCTGACGCTGACGTGGTGATGTCAACGACCTCATGTTGGCAGATAAGCGCTCCGAGCGGTGATTGCCCAGTTTCACCTCTCTTGCATGGAGATACGGAGTACTCCGTAGACTCCCACCAAATAAAGCTTATCGGAGTAGAGCAAGGGAGTTCCAGGGTTGTCTCTGAGCACTGTAACACGTGTTGCATTCGCCAGTAGTCATGTCGCTCGTGTCAATCAGTGGAACAATACCGCTCGGAGTGTATAGATCAGCTTGGCATTTCCCCTGGGAATCCTAGTGGTCTCGGAATGCTGCACTCTTGGCTGCTTGGCTGCTTGTGCAAGGTTTTGCGACAAGACATTGAAGTTGTACCTGTCATACCGGGAGATTCGCTGGAGTACCATAGGGAGGAAAGGGTACAGAGTAGAGAATGGCAATTGGATTTTGCGGTGAGATCATGAGGGGCGCTTAACTGCTGAAGTGGGGGCAGAGATCATACTATGTTGTATGTGCTCTGTACGGAGTCCTCCGTACGGACACAAATGAGATAGCGTCATGGATTGCGACTATCGGCTAAGTATCGGAGTGAAGGCGAGATCAATTGCCAAGAGATGATCCTTTCCTCTAGAGAAATGGGACGCATGACCATCCTTTTCTAGTCTGCTTGCTGGACTACGGCAGCAGTCTGTGACCACCCCGCTAACCAGGATGTACCGCCTTCAGTTTCGGTTTCTGCCGTCAGAACCGAGGCAGAAAAATGGCAGAATATCTAAATCAGTTCAATGCACGAAACGATAGATCGTTAGGAAGCCTCTCTCGATGAATTAAATGCTGCTTTTTGATTGACCGAGCCATAATTGTGTAGCCAACCTATTCCCTAGGTGATTTCACTTTTAGATATCGTGGTATCTTCGAGACTTTACCTTTGTTATTGCTATACCCTACCTAACCCTACTCTGCTGAAGCACCTGCCTACTTTACGATTCACGCTCTTATTAAGGGAACATCTGTCGCTAGAGCTGATATCGTTACCGGATCTGGCCCCGTTACCACTACAGCTATTCTATCTCCTCCGCTTACCACTCCGGTTACCACTTACCTCTTGCCGCTTCCTTAGCGGAGGTAAGTAAAGCTCCGCGTGCTCTATCCTCATATCATTGAGAAGCCAAGCTCACATTCTCGTGATTCATCACTAAGAAGCATCAACTCTTGATACAGGCAGAGCATCTGGTCAAAGGCGGTGACCCAAAAAATAGGCGGTGAAAAAAAAAAGGCGGAACACGCTGGCGGGATGGTCGCAAATTACTGCCGTCGTTTTTGCCAATGAACTCGCAAGGCCAATTGATCATGTGAGTCAAATCGGGAATTTAGCCGCCTGGGTATCGGATAGGTGAGTGTTGCTCGGCCAAATCCTCTCCGAGGAAGTTCGAGCAGAGGGCTTGCATTTGTAGATGTCAATGGGAACTGACGATTGGCCCGATCCACTTCTTCCTGCACATGTCGAGAGTTCTCCGAGTCTCAGCCGTCGTGTTCCCTGCTTGTGCCCCTCAGGTTTCCCGTGAATATCCGCACAGTCGCGAATCAATTGTGGGTAGGCTGGATGTTGTTTTCTTCTGTTCACGTTTGTCCCGAGGGCCCGAGGTAGATCTCCGGAATGACTTACCTAAACTACCCGAGATTATCGTGGAGGATGAGGAGTTCTCGTGTCCGGGGAAAGGAAGAAAAGAGACTAAGTACCGTAGCGGTATGGAGTACGGAGGCCCTGAAGTCACCTGGGCATATCCGTGGGATGGGTATATGGCATCGCCAGGCCCCGCAGGTAAATACATGGATACCTGAAAACATGAATACATGATTCTTTAAATAATTCGATCACCAAATAATTGGATAATTGTATTAGTTGCTTATTCTGTTATTCCATTCGATTGGATCATTCTCGATTTTGGAAGACACTTTCCGGTGTACCGGTGAACCCGCTGTAAGTACCTGTTACCTCATTCCTGGAGTCAATCTGTGCCCCCGGAAATGTATCTGTGACAATGCAGATCACAGCTGGTGATTCCCCTCTTTATCTACCCCCCCTCCTCTCCCGTTCGACTTTTTTTTTTTCTTCTTTCTATTATGCTTGTCTTGTCTGTTTCTCTTTCTATTTAAACCTTTCACGATAACCTGCAATTTTGTGTTGCTGAGGTCCTTTTTATACAACTTTTACTTATACCTGCTCTATAGTGCAATTGCCCTGTGAAAACTGCCGAAACCGGACTGAAGTTGGAACCGGAGAGCTCCTCCAGCTTCCCTATAAGTGAGTCACCGCCCTCGCTTTCGATGATCCCGAGTAGGCTATTGAGGACTCCTACTGATCTCGTCCTCGCCAGAACACAAACTCCCTAACCCATCCCTCATTTCATATCACATCTATCATCATGGCTGCCCCGCACACCCAGCCGGAGAATGCCATTGATGAATCCGACTTCATCGAGGATCACAATGAGCACCACCAGGACTCAGTTCACCGTCGTCTGCGGGCCAACTCGACGATCATGCACTTCCAAAAGATTCTCGTTGCCAACCGTGGCGAAATCCCCATCCGTATCTTCCGTACCGCACACGAACTGTCCCTCCAGACGGTCGCAGTCTTCTCACACGAGGATCGCCTTTCAATGCATCGCCAGAAGGCTGATGAAGCCTACATGATCGGCCACCGCGGCCAATATACCCCCGTGGGTGCTTATCTGGCCGGTGATGAGATCATCAAGATTGCCCTGGAGCACGGTGTCCACCTAATCCACCCTGGTTACGGTTTCCTTTCGGAGAATGCCGAATTCGCACGCAATGTCGAGAAGGCTGGCATTGTCTTCGTTGGTCCTACTCCCGAAACTATCGATGCCCTCGGTGACAAGGTTTCCGCCCGTCGTGCTGCTATCAACTGCAATGTTCCCGTTGTCCCTGGTACCCCGGGTCCCGTTGAGCGCTACGAGGAGGTCAAGAGCTTCACTGATAAATATGGCTTCCCTATTATTATCAAGGCTGCCTTCGGTGGTGGTGGCCGTGGTATGCGTGTTGTGCGTAACCAGGCTGATCTGCGTGACTCCTTCGAGCGTGCTACCTCCGAGGCTCGCACCGCCTTCGGCAATGGTACCGTCTTCGTTGAGCGTTTCCTTGACCAACCTAAGCACATTGAAGTCCAGCTTCTGGGTGATAACCAGGGCAATGTCGTCCACCTCTTCGAGCGTGATTGCTCCGTCCAGCGTCGTCACCAGAAGGTCGTGGAGATTGCTCCTGCCAAGGATCTCCCCGTCGGAGTCCGTGATAAGATCTTGGCTGATGCCGTGAAATTGGCCAAGTCGGTTCGTTACCGCAACGCCGGTACTGCCGAGTTCCTGGTCTGTGGCAATGAGCACTACTTCATCGAGATCAACCCCAGAATCCAGGTCGAGCACACCATTACCGAGGAAATCACTGGTATCGATATCGTGGCTGCTCAGATCCAGATTGCTGCTGGTGCTACCCTTGAGCAGCTTGGCCTCACCCAGGACCGCATCTCTACTCGCGGTTTCGCCATTCAGTGCCGTATCACCACTGAGGACCCCGCCAAGGGCTTCTCCCCCGATACCGGCAAGATCGAGGTCTACCGTTCTGCTGGTGGCAATGGTGTTCGTCTGGACGGTGGTAACGGCTTTGCTGGTGCCATCATCACCCCTCACTACGACTCTATGCTGGTCAAGTGTACTTGCCGTGGCTCCACCTACGAGATCTCTCGTCGCAAGATGCTGCGTGCCCTTGTCGAGTTCCGTATTCGCGGTGTCAAGACCAACATTCCTTTCCTTGCCTCGCTGCTGAGCCACCCCACATTCATCGATGGCACTTGCTGGACTACTTTCATCGATGATACTCCCGAACTGTTCACCCTCGTCGGCAGCCAGAACCGTGCCCAGAAGCTTCTTGCCTACCTGGGTGACGTTGCTGTTAACGGCAGCAGCATTAAGGGACAGATTGGCGAGCCCAAGTTCAAGGGCGAGATCATTAAGCCCGTTCTTTACGATGCTGCAGGCAAGCCCCTTGATATCTCTTCTCCCTGCACTACTGGTTGGAAGCAGATCCTCGATAGCCAAGGTCCCGAAGCCTGGGCTCGCGCTGTGCGTGCTAACAAGGGCTGTTTGATTATGGACACCACCTGGCGTGATGCCCACCAGTCGCTGCTTGCCACCCGTGTGCGAACAATCGATATGCTGAACATCGCTGCCGAGACCAGCTACGCCTTGAGCAACGCTTACTCACTCGAGTGCTGGGGTGGAGCTACCTTCGATGTCGCTATGCGTTTCCTCTATGAGGATCCTTGGGACAGACTTCGTAAGATGCGCAAGGCTGTTCCTAACATTCCTTTCCAGATGCTGCTGCGTGGTGCCAACGGTGTTGCCTACTCTTCCCTCCCCGATAACGCTATCTACCACTTCTGTAAGCAGGCCAAGAAGTACGGTGTCGATATCTTCCGTGTTTTCGATGCTCTGAACGATCTTGACCAGCTCGAGGTTGGTATCAAGGCCGTCCACGAGGCCGGTGGTGTCGTTGAGGCCACCATGTGCTACAGTGGCGACATGTTGAACCCCAAGAAGAAGTACAGCTTGGAGTACTACATGGGCCTTGTGGACAAGATCGTGGAGATGCGTCCCCACGTTCTTGGAATCAAGGACATGGCTGGTGTTCTCAAGCCCCAGGCTGCTCGTCTGCTCGTCGGTTCCATCCGCAAGCGCTACCCCGACCTCCCCATCCACGTTCACACCCACGACTCCGCTGGAACCGGTGTTGCGTCCATGATTGCCTGTGCTGAGGCCGGTGCTGACGCTGTCGATGCCGCCACCGACAGTATGTCCGGTATGACCTCGCAGCCCAGCATTGGTGCTCTCCTTGCTTCGCTCCAGGGTACCGAGCTCGACCCCAAGCTGGACCTGGCACATGTTCGCGCCCTCGATAGCTACTGGGCTCAGCTTCGTCTGCTCTACTCTCCCTTCGAGGCTGGTCTGACCGGTCCCGATCCCGAGGTTTACGAGCACGAGATCCCCGGTGGCCAGCTGACCAACCTGATCTTCCAGGCCAGTCAACTGGGTCTCGGACAGCAGTGGGCCGAGACAAAGAAGGCATACGAGGTGGCCAACGAATTGCTGGGCGATATCGTCAAGGTCACTCCTTCCTCCAAGGTTTGTGGTGACTTCGCCTCCTGGATTGTCAGCAACAAGCTGTCCGCTCAGGATGTGCTCGACCGTGCCGATCAACTCGACTTCCCCGGATCAGTCTTGGAGTTCTTCGAAGGTTTGATGGGCCAGCCCTACGGTGGCTTCCCCGAGCCTTTGCGTACCAAGGCCCTGCGCGGTCGCCGCAAGCTCGATAAGCGCCCCGGTCTGTACCTCGAGCCCATGGACCTCATCAAGATCAAGAATGAGATCCGCGAGAAGTTCGGTGCTGCTACCGAGTGCGACGTTGCCAGTTACGCCATGTACCCCAAGGTGTTCGAGGATTACCGCAAGTTCGTGGCCAAGTTCGGTGATCTCTCCGTTCTGCCTACCCGCTACTTCCTGGCTAAGCCCGAGATCGGCGAGGAGTTCCACGTCGAGCTGGAGAAGGGTAAGGTCCTGATCCTGAAGTTGCTCGCCATCGGACCCCTCTCCGAGCAGACCGGCCAGCGTGAGGTCTTCTACGAGGTCAACGGTGAAGTCCGCCAGGTCAGCGTTGATGACCAGAATGCTTCCATCGATAACGTCGCCCGCCCCAAGGCCGATGCTGGGGACAGCAGCCAGGTCGGCGCTCCCATGAGCGGTGTCGTGGTTGAGATCCGCATCCACGACGGCCACGATGTCAAGAAGGGTGACCCCATTGCGGTGCTGAGCGCCATGAAGATGGTATGTTTTCTTTTTCTTTTGCTTTTTTCACCACCATGAATTGTCTTACTAACTTGATATTAGGAAATGGTGATCTCCGCCCCTCACAGTGGAAAGGTGTCCGGTCTCCAGGTCAAGGAGGGCGACTCCGTCGACGGTCAGGATCTGATCTGCAAGATCCACAAGGTGTAAAAGCATAGCAATTCTGTACTACTGAACCATGCACGACTCGTGATGCGTGATGTTGATTTGAACGTTTTTCTCAGCGTCTTTAGTTTCCTTCTCATGTTTTTCAATTCCATTTGAAATTTAGGGAATTCGCTATTCTAGCTTATTCGAGATGAATAAAAAGTGGTTCTTCTCAGCCAGGGTGTTCTATACTAACTAAAGTACCTAGCCCTAGAGGTAGAGTAGTGATCTGCTGTTCTTCGGCGCCCAGAAGTGGCCCCGATCGGACCCTTGCCGTCTTCCCCCGCAGAGCGTACTTTCTCTTCTCCAACTGCCCATGGAGAATTTGCCGATCTGCTGGATTTCTACCAATGAGACTCAATCGCCTCTTTATCTCGGCTACTTAGCGTCCGGAAATTGCGGAATGAAGCACCGAGACATACCATAAAGGGTGTGGCCATCCGATCTAGATTGAGTCTTGTTCGCCTTGAACACACGCACCGCCACCTAGCAATAGAAACCCCGTTTATCTTGGCCTACGACGTCAATCGGAAGTCATATCTCTAATACAAATACCTTGATTGAGAAAGAAACAAAGCAAGATGGAAACGATCCGCCGCAACCACATCAAATCCCTCGCCCATCGCGGCACAATTCAAGGCATAACGATATCAAATCCGTCTGAATCTAAAGACCTCTGCCATTACTTCGGCGGTGTCCGATACGGCCTCGCGCCTTCCCAGCGCTGGCGTCGCGCTCAGCCTCTGCCCGCGTCATTCACCTACGGCAGCGAGGAAGCACCTGGCCGCTGCGATGGCGGTGCGGGGCTATGTCCCCAGCCAGGGTTTCTGCATATCTCGCCTGAGAATCCGGATGCGTGGGATGAGGATTGTTTCCAGTGTAATATCTGGACGCCTGTTGGGGATGTGCCTGATGGGGGTTGGCCTGTTTTTGTTTTTATTCGTGAGTAACCTCTGATTTAGGTGGGATCTACAGATCCCACGGTCTGAACATGGGGGCATCTACTAATTAGTCGATGTGCTGATGTTGTCAGCGCAGATGGCGGATGGCTTCAATTCGGTACGCCCAATTCATTCAACGCCGCCGCGTTGATCGGCGAAGCCGATTTCAAGTGCGTGGTTGTGATGCCCGCGTACCGGGTCAACCTATTCGGATTTCTATATTCAGCAGAGCTGGAGCAGGATGCTGCGTCCGTTGGCGAGACTGTTGGGAACCACGGATTCTGGGACCAGAGACTGGCGCTGGAATGGACGAAGGAGAATATCCAGCTGTTTGGAGGTAATCCGAACCAAATTACCATCTCGGGGTACTCGGCAGGCGCAAACTCCGTCTTCCACCAACTAGCCTATGACCTCCGCCAACCAGACGAGAAATCTCTTATCCGCCAAGCTTGCATCTGGTCGAACAGTCCAGCTGTACAACCTAAACAACCTGCAGAAACCCAAGCCCAATTCAACCAACTACTAACGGCACTCCAAATCCCGCTCTCTCTCTCTGCAAGCGAGAAACTCGCCCATCTTCGCTCCCTACCGGCCAAGATCCTTCTCGACACAGCTAAGACTATCGAGATCCACCAATTCCGTCCAACGACAGATACATCTTTCATCTCCCCGTCGCTTTTCAAATCCCTTGACAGCGGCGCCTTCGCCCGCGCTCTGCTATCGCGCAATATCCGCCTCATCCTCGGCGAATGCAGCGACGAGCGTTTCCTCTACAGCACCTGGTTCCCGCCTGCAGCAGATAACCTCTCCGCATTGCGTACCCGGCTCATCGCCGATTATCCGGCGCACATAGTCGACGCTGTGATACAGTTGTACTACCCAGACGGCCGTCTCCCGGCGCATTGCAAGAACTGGATCGACGACGCGTGGGGTCGGGTGTATGCCGATATGCAGGTTCATCAAATGCAGCGGGGACTCTTGTATGCACTTACCGAGAATGAAGAGGGTGTTAATGCATCAGCGCTGCTGTATCGATATCGGATTGAGTGGCGGGCAAAGTGTGTGGATAATGCTTTGCCAGTTGAGTGGGGGGTTACGCATTCGTCGGATTATCCGGTTTGGTTCTTTGGGAATGGGGGGTCTTTGATTGGGAAGGAGAGGGAGGTTGTGAAAAGGGCTTTTGTTGAGCCTTTGGGGAGGTTCGTTAGTGGAGAAGGGGATTTTGGATGGGAGGTTTCTGGGTCTAAGGGTGTGAGGACGCTTAGAGGGGATGGGAGTGTTGAGATTTGTGAAGATGGGCAATTGGAGGAGGGAATTACGGTCTGGAAGAAGTTGCGGGAGGTGTATTTAGGAGGAAAGGAGTGAGACAGTGTATAGCGTCGAAGCTATCCCGTACGTACAAATATAGATGCCAAGCTTTCCCCGCATTTTCGACTACGTCAATGCCGATACTTCATATACATACGGACATCATATACATCATATTGGGATGAGATGGTGCAATAGAATGAGGCTACTCGAATGACAGTCTAGACTGACTTTAGTATAGCTATCTATAGCATGCACTCTGTCGATTTGGGCGTGATCTATTCGAAAGCACGGCGCTTCTATAAGAGATAGAGATACGATGTACGATATACACCAACGTACAGTATACAATATGCATGTAGCTGTAATCGCCAAATACGAGACGATGATTCACCAATTGAAGTGATCTGTAACCTAATGGCATCCCAATGCCACCAGACCCCGGTCATTTCTTCTGTTATAAGCCAGCTTCCCCTCTCTTCGTCTTCGCCATCTGAATCAATCTCCAACGTACTCCGTATTCCGGAGAAGCCCACGGTATGTATGCATCTATCTTCTAATTCCGTTTCCTTCTATCATCCCCCATCCCGTTTCCCTCCCAACAACCAACCCGAAACAATGACGTCGTCGACTCCCCCCTAGCATTATCTCATAACCATTCTCACCACTCTGCATCTGGACTCTTCTTTAATCCTCTCATCCTGATACCCACTGCACTAAAACCCCTTCCCAACGAACCCCCTTACTCACACCCACCACGGATTACTCCGCGTATCTAGACATCTCCAATATGTCTGACGACAACACCCGTCGCCACTGGCACGGAAGCCCCGGCGACCGTCACGAGCACTTGAACGTCTGGATGTCGGGCGGTGCCAAGGCGCCCACTTCTCGCGCTGCCTGGGCCATGATGCCAGGCATGGAGACTCCTCGGAGGGTATGTCATTTGCCTCTTTTCTTTTTCCTGTTTCTGTTTCTGTCTTCCCTTTATATACTCCACCCCTCTCCCTCCTCTCACTACCATCCTACTACAAACCATCTCAACCTACTACAAACCATCTATCAACTTGATCCCTGATCCCTGATCCCTGATCCCTCTACGTCCCACCTAACAACAATGAAGGACTCTACCAGCTCCACCTCCTCAAACGGCAAACAAGCCGAAGGCACATCCCCAACCCTCCCAACGGTGAGCGAACGCCGCCGATCCAGCACTACCTCTTCCACCGGCCTCTTCTCGAACCTGCATTCGCAGAAGCGCGACTCTACGGACCCGGATATGGCGACCCGTCGCGCGAGCTGGAACGAGCAGGCTGCGAAGGGCGGGTTCTTTTCGAAGTGGTGGGATGGTTACACGCGTGGTCCTAGCAAGTAAATTGTGATTTTGTGATTTGTGATTTTGGTTCTGGTTTCATGTTGGGAGGGCTTTGTATACGAGATTTTGGATATGGAGAGTGTGAATGTGGAAAGAAATAAAGAAAAGGGAATGCGGGTTGTGTTTGGACGCTGGGACTATGGGATTTTATGAGGTTAATGATATTCTCTCCAAAGTTCGTCTTCTCGAGATGTAGTATAGTCCTGGAAGGCTGGGGTTTCTGATAGAGGGCTTTAAGCTATAGTGCGAAGAGGGGGGGTTAGGCATGCTGACAAGGTACAGACCATAGGTCGATGGTTCCAGTTAATAGAGCTGAGCTAGAACTCGCCACTGCTTTTCAAATATAGAGCAATGTTCAATTAATTCACTTCCGGGGAGCGATTGCATCTTGCTATAGCTTGGTATGTGACATAGTCGGTACTGCGCATATACCGCTTTCTAAGAGAGGCGACAGAACATCGAATTCTCCCGGGGAAGGTGATCCTATTGATATTCTCTGGAAGACAGCCATTCTTTCCACTCCCCAATCTCCATTGACCCGGTCGAAACCCTTCAATTCCTCTCTTCAAAGTAATTGATCTCCTTAAGATCAGCAATCAAGAGAAATTGACTGCAGTGATGAAACGGAAGTCTTGTGCATCAAGCACAACATCTTGCATGTTAGGGGGTCGGACAGGAACATCGAATAGAGCACAATATGGGATTGTCAGTGGGGCACCATCAACTGTAGTTTCAGTCACATCCACTTCAGCACACATATATGGCTGCTGCATATTGAACGGCTGTTGGAGGAGGGGTGGCACGTTACCGGGATTCCGGCGGAGGCTGTCAATGTAGGCTCTGGTCAAGGGTCGAGGGGCATTGGGTGGAGCAAGCTGCCATTGTTCAAAATGTACAGCGGTCTTCTTGATAGATATGATAATCACCATGCGTACTTCTCCACCAGAGGCTCCGAACCACCATCTAGCATTTTGAAGTAGTCTTGGCAGGCTCTCAGATACACCAGTTTCAACAACCACGGTGGGCCATTGCAAGCTGGTGCGAGACGGCCAACGTGCAGAGGGGCTGAACACTTGGTCTCCCTCTTTGTCCCGCAATGGGGATTTATATCGCGTCGCTCCGCCCCAACGATATTGCTCATTTAGTCCCATCCTACCCAGTTGCAGAGTGACTGTCTGCGAGAGTCCCGTAGTGGTGTATTCATGGCGATACCCTGGTATCACGCGCAAAACACCTGTGCCACCTTCCAACTCATACCGGTAGTTCACGCCCTTCAGGCATCCATGGTCCTCGAAGAGTCGCTCGGAGATCGGGGGGTTATTTTGAGTAGTACAAGGAACTGGTTGCCGTTTTCTTCCTCGTCCTTTGCAAGTGTCTCTGCGATCTTCTCAGCTTCGAGTTGAACATATTTCAGGCCGCTGAATATGCGAGTTACGACACCAGATGGGAGCGCTGTCATAACGTCAGACATGCGGGCTACAGGCGAAAGAGCTTCGGGGGACATGGCATCAGGGGAAGAAATGAATTCAGGCGGAAAGAAAAACCAGGGTCAGTGTGAGGAAACAGTAAAGAATCGACAGCGGGTTGCCTATTTAAGAATCAGGATGACGTCAAATTTTGTACGATGGAGGTGTGGTAGAGAAGCTTGGAACTCTCTAGAGCTGACTTTTCCAACGGATCGATGCAATCTCCGAGAGACGAAAACACATCACTGAGATAATAGGTAGATCTGGGGGAAGTGGCCTGGGAAGGAACAGGGAAGGAATCGATGTCGACTGGAGAGAAATCGATGGGACATGATACAATAGCATCAGTTGCTGGAGACACGAAGGTGCGATGGACATATCATACTTCTGTCGACCCAAGATCCTGTTCGAGAACCACAAATTGGGACCCGGCTTAGAGCCATTGGGACTACCGGGGTGTACAGGAACGACCCCTTTGAACCGTCGGAATTCGGCTCAGATAGGATAATCGAATAGCTAGAAAATAAATATAGGAAATGACGGTACGGGGAAGTGTATTTCCAGCTGACAGACCAGTTATTAGGCTAGCCCTATTGCTACTAGGTACCATCACCTCACCCCATCGTCGTTTCCCACCCCTTCTCAATCATGACATCAACCCAGTACGCATCTTCCTCTCCGGCATCCAATCTCCTCCAGACTTCATTGACTAAGTTCAAACAGACATGAATCGGTTTCGGTGGTAGGACATGCAGAAAGGAAGTTAGACGACCGAGAATGAACTTGCGCGTGCGCGAGACTTCAATGGCCTCCATTGAGATCGTAGGAGTTGGATTTCGGTTGGCATTATTTGTATCATCGCCAGACATGTAGTCTTCCCCGTTCTGAGGTTGGCTGCCTGCATTCGTATTGGAGAGTCGCGGAAGACGGAGCTCCGAGCAGGATGCCACTAGGAGGAAAGGTTGGAGACAGCGGGTGCGTGATTCCAGGGGGATGGTCTTTAGACGAGAAAGGGTTGTTACGGCGAACTCGGTAAGCCAGTTGTTAGAGAGGGTTTCTAGGTCGGGGGTTGGTTGGGTGTCTGCTGGTGATTGTGGGGTTGGTTGATGCTGAGTAGAATGGCGGTAGAGATTGGGCGGAGAAGATGTTGTAGATGATGAATGAGCCGCGTTTTGAGTGGTATTTTGACCTGTCGCCGGGATGGGATCACCAAATCCAGTCGATAGGTTCATGCTATCGAGATCGATGGGGAAGAACGGATCGCGGGATACTGAGCCTGCGGTGGTAGAGTATTGAGGCGACGCGGAAGCTGGAGCAGGTAAACGGCTATGCAGTAGGTCTGGAAAAACACGATATAGCTGCATGAGACCAACACAACGGTACATTTCGGCCATCGTGAGAAGGTGCCAGACTGGGGTATCGTCGTCGCCAGGACTGACAATCTCGGCCTCGGAGGGATGGGCAAGACCCAAGAGGCGCTCTTCTAGCTGTCGAGCCTTCTCCATTGCCAATTGGGCACGGGTAATATCAGCCTGGGACGTGAACCTCCTCGAGTGGACGCGTTTCCGCTCATGACGGATGAGCTGCCCGACCTCATGTACGGTGAATTGTGTGTCGCGCGCGATGCCGGTCCACGGGTGTGGAACTCGCTGTAAAACTAGTGACTCGTCCATAGATGAAGTAGATCGACAATTGTCAGAGATGACCATGGTATCATTGTCTGCAACGAATGAGAGCAGCATCTCCCAGTAAATGAGAGCTTCTTCAAAGAAGCGATAGTTATTGCTGTCATTCTTAGAAAAGTCACCACCTGGGGGATGTGACGATGAAGAGATAGTGTTTAGCTGTTTGCGAAGCAGATTGAAAAATGATATACCTAGATCGGTTGGGTCGTGCCAACTAGCCGTCTGGCCAAGCATTAACAATGCCAGCAAAGACTTGTCATCTATTACTGCTTCACGCGTGATGATATTAACAGCCTCATCACGCATCTTCCGACCCATAGGCCCAAATTGAGGGAATTCACTGACAAGTGTTGCAGCTGCCATACTTTGCATTGTCCGGCACATCGCCAGTGAAGATCCCCAGAGACGGGATACCGTAGTCCGGAATGGGTTCATTTGACTGTCGTAGCTCGAGAACAGTGCAGCCACTTCCTTGAAATAGTACTCAATTAGAGTCCATGATGGATTATTCAGTGGACGGGAGATTGACATGAAGTTGTGCGATGCAGATCGCTGAGATGCGGGAGGATAACTGCGAACAATTGCCGAAGGTGAGAAGTCTCGGTACACATTGTCAACCGGTTCCTCAGTCGGCGTTGGTCCAATGAGTGACAGAAAATACGACAGGTCCATAGCCGCATCTCCATCATGGCCAAAATCATGGAAATTGTCTCTTTGGTGTGAGAAAGACGACGATGCCGCCACCGGGGATGGAGAGCATAGATCAGTCAGTTCAGGTAAAGATCCATGGCCCGGATGATCCCACAGGTTGTCACATAGAGCATTTGGCCCACTCAAGGGAAAGCTTGAAGGGCGAGATTCATGCGGCGGCTCAAAATTTGAGACATCCGGGACGACAGCATCGTCAATTGGGGGTTCCAATTGAACATTGGAGCCAGAAGCTGCCGGACTCGGGGTCCTCACTTCGGAGACCGACGCCGACACGGCAGGATTAGACTGCTCATACTTGGTGACCCAACGCAGGGATTGGGCATAGCCAGGGCACCGGACCCCCAAGCGGGTGCAACGACTACAGTCAGGTTTCTCTTCACCGCATTTGACCTGTGGGGATATGTTAGCGAGTATTCAAATTCTTCCGGAATCCACTCACCCGTTTACTCTTGCATCTTGCACAGCCATTTCTGGATTTCTTAACACGGCGCATTACTGACCAAGCATTGAAAAGATGATTCTTTCAAGATCCAGGGCATTGAAGATGCGGAGTACAGGCTGAGGGGAACATCGTGCGGGGGCGAATCGAGATAACGGGATTCTTTTGCCTCTTCGGGTCGAGAGGCTTGGCAGAGTCCAGTGACAGGCCAGTTTGCCTGCGTTATACGTTATACCTCACTGTGGTTGAGATCGAGCATACCAGCCTAGTGTCTACTATGAATTATCATCAACACAAATATCTACTTAGTAAATGAAAGGACTTCGATACAATCTGGATTGGAAATACACATGCTGACTCAGCCCCATGCCGGGCCTGGGCCCTGGAATGACTCGACTTCTAATTGACATCTACTCCAGAGCAAGGATCTAGTCATGCCGTACTTAGTGCGCAGCAAGGTGAGTAGCTACTCGGAAAAGCAATTACTCATCGTTCTAATATTTCCATAGCCAGTCTCCAAAGGGCTCTTTCGGACATTGAGAACCTCAATTATTAAGCCAGTGGTGATCCCGGCTAACGGACTGATATCAATTCCAACTCTCCGTACCAATTCTCTCGGGAGACCCTCATTGCGGAAACAGTCTGGTGGTGGTATCTCTTCTCATCGATTTTATTCAACTTCCACTGCAATGGCAAGCTCCGAACTCAAGCAGACTCTGACCCCAACCCTTCTCAATGACGTGCACAAGTTGTGGTTCGATCATCTAAGCAGCGAGGAGGCACTCATCCTGCCTGGATGGGGTGAGATGGGGAAGTGGTTTTCTCGTGACGACGATTTCGACAAGGCCTGCGGGTAAGAATGACTTATATCTGTGTTTCAACGGCAAGATGAAAGACTAATGAGCTCAAATAGCAAATTCTGCCCTGCCCTGGACAAAATCATTGAATCCGGGGCATCAGCTTCGGATATTCTATCAGCTGTCAACCCATCCTCCCCGTTGGACTGGCTCAATCTGATCATTCTACTTGACCAAATTTCCCGCAATTGCTACCGGGCAGCCGAGTCCAAGGTGGTGTTTGGGAAGTTCGACCCATTAGCCGAGGAAATTGCCCTCAAGGCGATTGAACAAGGGATACCGACCCAATCACCGTATTACAGGTATCGCATAGCTTACCGCACGTGGTTCCATATGCCTCTGATGCATTCGGAAAGTTTAGCTGTACATGAGCAAGCTATCAAGGTGCATGAGGATACGGCCAGGGATGTGAATGAGCTTCTAGCCAAGGACCCATTAACTCTAAGTGAAGAAGAAAAGATTTGTCACACTGTTTTATCCGGGAAAGCGGAGGCGCTCCAAGCACTCTTGAGCAGTACAATGGACTTTGAGAAGAGACACAAAGTCATCATTGAGCAGTTTGGACGATACCCGCATCGAAACCAGGCCTTGGGGAGAGTGTCTACTTCAGAGGAAATTGAGTACTTGGAAAATGGAGGGGAGACTTTTGGGTGAAGTCAACGCGAGCTTGTATCTACTCATCATGTTGTGTATAGCTACTAGACAGGTTGGTACCAAGTCATTTACAACGTGGAAATCAGGTCTATAGTTATAGGCAGCCGTCTTGCCCATTGCCTTTCGATTCCCTATGATATGATCGTTTTATGAGCCGACCGTTCATATGCTATATGAGGTGTACGCGACACTCTGCGGAGCTCCTAGCTCAATCCTGGATCGACGGTTTCTTCTTTGCGTTTGATTACTTTTTCGCTCACAGTTCATTTCCTAAGTTGGTTATGCTAGTGATATCGAGCACACTAAATGGACAGAACAACAAATCTGATTAGAACACCTTTGAAGAGGCATCATGTCGCTTGAGAGAGAGTTTAAAGTGACCGGGGATTGCATCGCTCAGGAATACTGCCGCCACATCGAAACAATGGAAGAGGCGTTGCTTATGCACACAAAATCGACAGCCGACCCCCTAGGGTTCCCTGAATATCCCACCATCTATCCAGCGGCGGTTCCTCAGCTTTCCCAAGGTATGGCACAAGGGGCGGTCTCAACGACAGGCGTTCTGGGGACCGATTTATCTCGGCGGCACCTCCTCCCCCAGCCTGCGCTTGATAGGGGATTTTTAGAGGATGCTGTTAGAGATACCTCGCAAGGATTCTATCGGCACGATCCTGGCTTCAGAAGTTGAATTCCGTGCCAGCATCTTATATCGGGCGCCTGTCAAGAATGGTCCCGTATGAAACTATCTGCGAGCGGACACGGACCCTCACTGTATAGCTTGATTTGTAGACCAATCCGCCACGTAGAATTCTCCCGCCATCAACTCATTCAGGCCCATGCACCTGTACTCTGTACTATTCAAAGAAACACCTTCACTTCATGATTCCGAGTCAACTGAGCGATATTACGGCGGGCTCGGCGTTTCGACATTCTGCCGAGCCCGGGATAGACGATGCCTCAACGTATTTCAACTTGCCTCTGCCACTTCTATTCTCTTGTTTGTAGTCTGTGAAATACGTATCCAGGTATTCCATCACCTTGATAACATGCGACGACCAATCCAGTTCGCTCCCTGGCCGAGAGTGACCGGCCGGTCACTCAGTTCCTACCTTTACTCCTTGCCGCTTCCCAGCACAAACCGTTACTTGTCTACCATTGAGCCGCCTCGATCGCCCTTTCAGTTTTCAGAAGATGGTCAGTCCGAATCAGCTGATGGCGGAGATCCCGAGCCGATGGCTAACTTCTGAATATCCCAGACCATTTCTCCGCATCCGCTTCCGAGGCTGCCTTGCGGTTAATGCCCCTAGGCGGATCAGCTACTCGCGGCGTTGGCTCCTCGGATGGGACCGGCTATAGGCAGCCGCTGTTGCAGATGCTCCGGCTCGATGGCATCAATGCTCGCATGGTGGGATCGCGAAAAGATGGATCCATGCCTAACAATAGCCACGAGGGCTGGCGCGGCTTCCGAATCGACCAAATCGAGCGCAAGGCTCGAAAATCCGCGGCCATGTTATCCCCAAATGTCTTCTTGGTTAACGCCGGCTCCAATGATTGCCTCCAGAAGTTCAATATTCCAGAGGCCGGTAACCGCGTGGGTGGTATGCTCGATTATCTGTGGCTGGCTTCCCCTCAGTGCACTATCCTCCTTTCTACTTTGATTCCTAGTGCGGATAAAGAGGTCGATTCGCTAGTGATGCGCGTTAACGACCAGTTCCGCGCTCTGGAGCAACAGAAGGCTACTGAGCAGAAAAAGATCGTTCTGGTGGATATGCATGCGTCGGATGGACCTGATGTTCAGGATTTTGCCGATGGTATACATCCCGATGACAAGGGTTATCATAGGATGGCGAGGTTATGGTTCCTTGGTGTACAGGAAGCCCTCCAGAAGGGGTTTATTGATGGGTCGAAATACATGTTGTGATAACAATATATGTCCATCAACGGACCTTTCTGTCCATGTACGCCCAACATTAGGAAACCAGAAATTATCCCATTAGTTTGTGATTGTGCCTATCTTAGTACTCATTAGTCATTTCGACGGCGAAGGCCACCATTGGCGGGAAGGATCGAGATTTGATTTCTAGGAGCTGCAAGCCTGCTTCTCGTGATCTTATGGTTCCTACAGACCCGCTCGCCCCAGAGAGAACTTTGAACGCCAGCAAAGCTGCGAATGTGGGTGATAGTGCACATGCAAGCGTGAAACATGTACGGAGTACGGAGTATACGCGGGAACGTCGGTGTCTCGTTATCGGCTTCGTTGCAAGATGCCGTGATTAGTCACATATTTTCCCTGGCCAATGAGACATATCCATATAGCCTTCTTAGCTTCTAACACTTCAAGCCGAATTTGGACGCTGCTTGTCTGGAAGATCATCAGTGATCAGGAACTGCTAAGCCTATCAGTGTCATCGGTGTGAAAAACACAGCAAATTACCAGGCCACAACAAAAACCAAGGTTCCTGTTTATAGCCTAGGCTTATACTGCGCTGACAAAGACAGTTTGCCTTGAATTTCAGGCCCCACTAGTGTGAACCGGGCTGGAGTGGCAGTGCTGGTTTCAGGATCAACCCACTTCCGGCAGGAATCAGCCAGCCCTCTTCGCTGTTGGGACTGATGACTGGGGAATGTCTCAGTCTGGCTGGATTTTCCTCGCAAAGGATAAGATTAGCCTGTACGATGGCTTCTCGACTCGACTTGGAGGGTGGGGACAGGCACCAAAAGGAGAACTCGGATACGAGGGCCAAGGGCTGAATTCTATGACAGGAGACGTGGAAATTGAGTATTTCATTTCAGTGTCTACAACATATTGAGCCAGCAGGTGCCAAGAAACCCTGAAAAAAGGGTCTGATGGAGCATCTTATTGCTAGGCTAGACGAGAAAGAAGGCCAGGTTTACAGACAGGGTGCCAGTTGGTCCTTTTGGTCAGTAGGAACGGGGAGGAACCACCGTCCAAGTCAATTGCAAGCACAGGACTCTATCCTATTCCGCATGTACTGCGTACTCCGTACTCGTCGTGAGTCGAGTGCAACATTCCGCATGGTGGAATGGCGCATCCCAAAGCGGTAAGTATGCACATGTCCCTTGGCCCCCTTACTCAAGCCCTGTTGCCCCCTTTTATTTTGGTTTGGCCAGCATTTTGGTCGAGATAGTTGACAATGTGTCTTGTACTGAAGGGCAAGTAGTAGTAAATCCAAGTGTAAAGAATAATGACAACCCGGTTCCAATCATATGACTTATCCTCAGACCTCATGCGTTGGACATGCACCCCGTACACGGGGGATCTGGACCAAGCGAATTAAGCCTTCCACTGGTTTCAGAAAATGCGCAACAATGAATAGGGGACACCGCATCTGCATCCAAGGAGTTTGCTAGCGACCGCGAACAAAGAATTTGATTGCTCCGATGTGGTCTCCAGTCGCGTGTCCAGTCTCCCTAAATCTGAGACACCCAACTCGATTTTGCAGTCGCACACTTACCAACATACACTGCCAATCTACTGTCCACGGCAGTTTTGGGATTCGAGAGAGTTGACCTCGAGGCAAACATGCGCATTCTGGCCTGGGCGGCCTTGTCTCGTTCATGATGATCGCCCCACGCCAATCCTCCATTCGCCCATTTATTGCTTCCCTACTGGCAGTCTCGGTGATATCATCCAAACTGCTCCATCTCTTCCAGCATGTCGCTTCTCTACCTCTCGGCCAGTTTCTCATTTACTTTCCGACATTTTTCATCCTCGAGACTCTCCTGTGCATAGGCGCGTGGGCTTTGCTGTTCAAGCTCACTGGCTTGAAATCCATTCTGGGCACTGTGGTGACAGTAACCATAACGTAAGTCCTTCTATCTACTAAGGCTGGGCTAAGTAAATTCCCCAAAATAGACCCTGGTTTTGACTGTTTTAGATCTCTGAGCTTCGTCTTGTCCGCGTCGCAGATTGGATTTTATTTCGTGACTGGCAGTGAGATCCGCTGGGATGCAGCCACCACTGTGGGCAATGACCCCGAAGGGAGAAAGTTAATGCTCAGCGGACTGAGATCATTTCTAGGAGCCGCAAGCTTGCTTCTTGTGCTCTCATGGTTCCTCAAATACTGGACGTACATTTTTATAAGCCATTGGATGTCTGCGCTATTTAGCTTACGATCGACCGGAACGGCAGACGAAGAAGTGCCTCTGGCGAAGATCCGAACAAAGTTGCGTGCAGAAAGACTCATTCGGTTTTGGACGGCGGGCGCTGTAGTAACTATTGGAGTTCTGCGTCTGGCTCGCCCTCAAGTCCCGTTCAATCATATGTCGGGAGCTATCCCGTTCAGCTTTTTCCAGGCGTTGGGGTCGCGGCCCGCTGAGCAGCATCAGACTGGAGACCAAGCATTTCCGCTCGCGAGCCTAGTTGACGAGCCATACTGGGAAGGCCCTCATGATCACTTCAAGGGCTGGGCCCCGGGAAACCCAGATCCGGACATCGAAGGCGATCGACCCGTATGGGCATCTGGAAATCTGCCAGCAGGGTTCGAGCGCTGGAATAAAACACATAATGGCAGAGAGAAGGACGGTAGCATTCCTCGGATTGGAAATGGAACTTCCCAAAAGACCTTTTACAGCCCGATCGACGACCCTCTGCGAATCACCAACCTCGAGCATGAAATGCTTGAGCCAGTGGCTCAGGCACTGAAGGACCACAAAGTCCCCATTACCCATGTCGTGCTTGTGTTGATGGAGAGTGCCCGGAAGGACATATTCCCTTTCAAGGCAGGTTCACATTTACACGAGGAGATCCTTTCGTCTTACAAGGCCCCACCCCCCGAAACACTTGAAAATGTCAACGCCAAGCTGTCACATTTGACACCAATTGCAGAGATGCTGACCGGTGAAGTGAGCGGATTTCCGACTGACATGAACAGTTCCGGCCTTCCCATTGCTGCATGGAACGATCTCACGGAACCAGGAATGGGTGGCATCAATGTGAACGGTATCCTGACTGGCAGCAGTCTATCTTTCAAAAGTGCGGTCATGAATTACTGTGGCGCAGGGCCACTACCAGTGAACTTCATGGATGAAGTCAATTCTCAATGCTATCAGCCATGTATCATGCAGATCTTCGAGTTATTCAATCAACTCAAGGAAAACTCGACTATAAAGAGTACTGGGGATTACAAGTCTGATGGGGGGCTTGAGCACATTCATGATCGGAACTGGACCTCTGTATTCATGCAGTCCATCACAGGACAGTATGATGACCAAGATAAGCTTAATGTGAAGATGGGCTTCCAAAATGCTATCTATCGCGAAGATATTAGCCCTGCAAGCTCTAAGCATCACCACGAGGGTATGGAGGAGATCAATTACTTTGGGTAAGATCAGTTCTCTCCAACATAAATGCTATGCAATGCTAATACTCTGTCTAGCTATCCGGAGAATGAGATTTACCCGTACCTACGAGATGTTGTCAACGATACAATCAAGAACAATGAACGACTGTTCCTGTCTCATTTCACCAGCACAACTCATCACCCATGGGGCACCCCTACCGCATACCAAAGAGAGCAATACTTTTCAAAAGACGGTATTGTGGCGAAGCACGAGGACATGAATAAATACCTCAACGCCGTCCGATACGTAGATACATGGCTTGGAGATATGATGAAGGTTCTCGACGAAGCCGGTATTGCAAACGAAACATTGGTTGTGTTCATAGGAGACCAGTAAGTTCCACCAGTTTCACAAACTCCGCAAAACAACCAGACGAACAGTGAACTAACTTCAACCAGTGGCCAGGCATTCTCCGAAGATACCCCAGTCTCCGGAACATATGAGAACGGACATATAAGCAATTTCCGCGTTCCACTCGTCTTCCGACACCCACTATTGCCCAGGCTTCAAGTGACAGCCAATGCAACATCGATGTCCGTTGTACCGACTATTCTCGACCTACTGGTGAACTCGGGCTCGTTGAACGAGATGGACTCCAGCGCAGCCCAAGACCTGATGAACGAATATGAAGGGCAGTCTTTGATACGCCCCTACCAAGCTACCCATAATGGCCGGCAAGCATGGAATTTTGGCATCATCAATCCCGGTGGCACAATGCTCAGCGTTGGCTCTGCAGCGGTCCCGTATAGACTCATATTGCCGCTCAGTCAGGACTTTGAATATGTGTTCTCCGATCTAGACACCGACCCAGACGAATTGAATCCATTACGGGGGTGGTCGCTCGAGGAGCTGACCGGGCGTGTTCAAACAAAGCATGGAGACAAAGCCGGAAAGTGGCTATCCGACGCCGAGAAGGTGGGGAAGTGGTGGATTAAAGAGCAAAAGAGGCTTTGGAATTACCAATAATAATACGAATGTCATTTTCCCTGTTCATTTCCAGACTCCCTCGTAAAAAAAGAAGAATACGAAGAAACACATTGCGTTGCTATTGTTCCGGTTTCTTTGTGTGTGCGCCTGAGGCCAACACGCGCCCCACCTCCACCTCATGTTTTATATCCGCCGCATCTCGCATTCGGTCTTTTGTTTTGGTCAATTCGCTTTTCAACTGGGATTTGATTGATTGTAACTGCCTAACTCCTCTCGACAGCGCAAATCCCAAGCGTGAGACGCAATCCCGAGTCATCCCGTGTATCTGACCCCTGTACCCCACCATTTGATTGCATCCCGACAATCATTCTTCCACTCTTAAGCTTCTCACTGCAATTTGCACCGCCCAATCATGGAGGGAACCTACTCTGCTGATCCCGAGTGGGCATCTGTCACTCCAATCGAGCTGGATGATGGCTCGGACTCGGGCGTCATGCCGCTGGCAACCATCGCCTATCCCCTCGAGTACCTTGAGGCGACCTCGTATCTTCGTGCCGTGATGGCCGCGAACGAGATGTCTGAACGAGCGTTGAAGTTGACTGAAGATGTTATCTCAATGAACCCAGCGCATTACACCGTATGGTAAGTTGGCTAGTAACAGCTTCCTCGCCGCATGCCACACCGATATCTAACATATTGTCCAGGATCTACCGTGCAAAGATTCTATTCGCATTGGAGAAGGATCTCAATGAAGAATTGGAGTGGCTGAACAACGTCTCATTGAAATACCTCAAAAACTATCAAATCTGGTACGTCTACAATGACCCGGCAAGCACCAACGAGTCATGAAAACAGAAAACACAAAACAAACCAAAACTAACAAAACCACCCAGGCACCATCGCCAAGTTCTGCTCTCATCAAAATCTCACTTCCCAACCTTCCCACCCAAAGAAGCAGATTTCTTAATGGAGATGTTCGCCCAAGACTCCAAGAACTACCACGTATGGACCTACCGCCACTGGCTCGTCCGCCACTTCCAACTCTGGGACCAACCGCGCGAGCTCGAGGACGTAGAATTCCTCCTGAAAGCCGACGTGCGTAACAACTCTGCCTGGAACCACCGGTACATGCTACGCTTCGGCCCGCGTGACACCTCCCTCCCAGACGCGGGGATGGTAAACGCCGGCAACCCTTCTACGGCGCCGACGGAGAAGGGCAAATTGCCTATTGTGGATGAGGACATGGTTGACGGTGAGCTGAAATTCGCGCAGGAGGCTATCTTGCGTGCGCCGGAGAACCGGAGTCCGTGGTGGTATGCGCGCGGTGTGCTGCGGGCTGCGGGGCGTGGGTTGGGTGAGTGGGAAGGGTTTGTTGGTGGATTTGTTGCGGAAGGTGCTGTTAAGAGTTCGCATGCTGTTGAGTGGTTGGCGGATGTTTTTGCGGAAGGTGGGAAGGAAGGGGAGGCTGTGAGGATGTTGACTATGCTTAAGGAGGAGTTTGATCCTATTCGAAAGAATTATTGGGATTATCGAATTCGGAAGCTGGATCAGGTTGTGGCTTGATTTCGGGTGGATTGGTACTGGGAATTGCGTGGTTGAGATGACTTCTAAGAGAATCAGATACATCTTTTTCTGCGGTATTGTGAATGAATGCGGATTTGTAAATAGAATTCTTTTTGCATTAAAGATTGTTGTATAGCTGTATGAACGACGTCGATGTCAAAGTCCAAGCCTCTATCTGTCCATCCCGAAAGCAAGGAAATATAAAAGAAACCAAAAAGACATAGTGCCGCAAATTAAACGTGAGAAGTTAAAAGAGAACAACAAAAAAAGGTATCAAAGTAGAGAGAAAACATAAGATCATCAATATTCATGCCCATCCCTCATCCAACATCTTGCGCCATTCAGAAGCCATATCAATAGTGACATAGCTACCACCACAGACAATAATCACAACCCTGCTCTGGGGAGTGAGACCAGAGACAAGCTGCTTAAGCTTAGAGCTTAGCTTATCGTCGACCTCCGGGTCAAGTTCTTGATCGGTGTCATTGTCCGTCGAACTCGACCGGTCATCCCCATAGCCCTCGTCACGGTATGAGATGATAGTCTCCTCAGACCCCCTCTTGCGCTTCTTGATACTCTGAGCGCTCGCGCCGGCAGTCGCCGATGCAGAGACTGCAGCAGCCGCATCACCAATGGCCGCCTCGATGCAAACACCACATGCGAGCTCGACGAGGAGTCGTTCGTCATTGGCAAGACGGAGCACGCCGCGGGCGGCGTCTGCATCTGAGAGGACGGTGCTGTGCACCTTAATACCCGGTGGCGGGGAAACAGCATACTGGAAGGTTGTTTCCGAGACACGGACAGCTCCGAGGGAGATAGCCTGGGATGTGATCTTTGGGAGGGAGACGAGGGAGTTCTTGGCGATAGCCGCGGCCAAGGAATCGGTACCGGCCGTTTCGATGGCGAGCAGGTGGATAGGGTTGAGTGTGGAAGTAGATTGTTTCTTCTGGCGACGTTTCTCGAGGCCCATGACGAGGCCGTTGAGGAGGCCTCCGCCGCCGACGCTGCAGAGGATGGCGTCTAGAGGGAGGGCTCGGTCATTGTAGGCGATTTTATCTTCGGGGGTGGTGATGGGGGGAAGCTGGGTTTCGAGTTCGTCGATGATTGTGCCGTTTCCTTCCCAGATGGGCTGGTTGTCGAAGGGATGGAGGGCGATCTTGATTATATCCCTGTCCTCATCGCCACTGTTCGTCTTCATGATGGTTTCCCGCATGTACTCTCCGGCCTCGGAGAATGTCTCGCCGTGGCGGATGACGTCTGCTGCTCCGGCTGCTCGGATCTTGTCAAGCATTAGAGGCTTGGTTCCCATGGGCACCACGACGGTGCATGGGTATCCCAGGCTTCGGGCTGCGCAGACGGCTGCCAGTCCGGCGTTTCCTCCGGACGAGGCGTAGAAGTGGACTCTGCGGCCTAGGTTTTCCGGGTTGCGAAGGTGGGAGAGGATCTGGTTGCCCATAGCACGGGACTTGAAGGAACCGCTGGGCTGGACGTTCTCCAGCTTCAGGAAGATTCTACATCCAGCTGCTCGGGAAAGACAGGCGGACTCGATCAGGGGTGTCTCGATCCATGGCGTTTTGAACTGCAATTTATCACAGGCAGAAACGTCGATGCTCCCCATTTCGGTATGTGTTGAACAAATGGAAGAGAAAGAAAAATGCTCTGTTGGTCACCGGAGGACTTTCAAGGTCAGAAGTATAAAGAGGCCGTTCCCAAAATAGTAATTTGTTTTCAGTCGAGTTGTTACACGGCGGTTGGGAGTGAAATCACTAAAATAGAGAGATATGAAGATGTCAGGAAGAAAGAGGAAAAAAGATAAATAGTAAAATATCCAAACTCCAGTATGCAGATATTAAGACATGTTTTGATATACAAAGTGAGCCTTCCAAGCTAGGGCAAATGTTTTCCGACGGGAAACTTGGTCGGTTTCCCGCCTCATCAAACTGGCCCGCGACATCCAACGATTCTGGCCCAGTCTTTCCCGTCGATAACCTTGTGGAAGACCGCTATCATAGTGGGTCGACCATGACATACTGCTGATGTTACAGTGGCCGGGCGTGCGAAATCTGGCGTCTCAGCTTTCGACTTGTGGAGGACCCGGGAAAAAAGCCTCATGGGATTTGGCGTGTCTGAGCGGAGATGATGCATATCTTTATTCAAGCGGATCTCTCGATCATTCATGATTGGCCATCGGCTGATTCCTCTTATCAAATCGAAAGCGCAAAACAGGGACATTACTCCTCAGTGAGCAAAGGAGGGAAAAGAATACCCTTCTTAACACCTTCGCCGTAATCTGAATCCGAACCGTACGCCGTGGCCGCAAAGGCCCGCTTGGAGGGGTCCGAGGTATCTACACGGAGCATTTCTAGAAGGTCATGAGACTTGCCGGGCATGAAGGGTTGCAGTAGAATGGCACTGATCCGCAGCGATTCCGCCACATTGTAGAGAACTCGTTGGGGGTTGGGAGTTTTCCACGGCTCCGCCGCGTGGAAGTATTTGTTAGTCTAGAAAAGGGAAAAATAGGTCAATACTCGCATCAAACCGTTCGGGAATGATCATCCCTTACCTTTTCGATGATGTTCATGGTTTCTTGCAGTGCGGCGCGGGGATTCAAGTTCTCCATATGCTCGGCAACCTTGGTCGGTGTCTGCTCCAAGATGTTTTGATGTTCAAGGTCCTCAGGGGTGGCTGCTGGAAGCTTATCCGAGACGGCATCCATAATGTATGAGCGCAAATTGCCACGCGCACATCCGATTGTGCGCTGGGCAAGGTTTCCGATGCCCCCCTGAAGCAATTTCTTGTAGTCTCGGATGATAAAGGAATTGTCGAAGTCCGCATCATCCGCAAGACCGCCACGGTAAGCTAGGAAAAATCTCATGCCATCAACTCCGAACCGCTCAATGGCGAAAAAGGGGTTCACAACATTGCCGGTGGATTTGGACATTTTTTCGCGATTCATCGTCCAGTGTCCGTGCACCAAGACGTTGCGAGGCAAAGGAAGATCAAGTGCCATGAGGAAAGCAGGCCAATAGACGCAGTGGAATCTGTGAAATGATTAACTTTCCACGGTTTTTTCCCGGGGAAACTAGCGAACTCACCGAACAATGTCTTTGCCAACGATGTGCAAATCCGCGGGCCATGCAGAATTATTCTCCTGTCCCGGGGGGAAAGGATATCCGGCTTTAGTCAAGTAGTTGACCAGAGCATCAAGCCACACGTAGATTGTCTGCGTATCATCACCGGGAACAGGGATGCCCCAGGTGAGACGTTCCGTGGGTCTAGAAATAGAGAGATCCTGCAGTCCCGTCTCAACAGAGTTGACCACAGCAGCTGTGTATGATGTAGGGGAAATGAATGGATCTTCTCTCTTGTACAATTCAAGTAGGCGATCCTTGAACGCTGAGAGACGGAAGTGATAATTGGTTTCTGATGACCACTCCACCTCTTTACCAGTTTCTATTGAGACCTAAATTCAATGAGTAGTTGCACTCATTGGAGAACTGCCATTTTACTTACCATGCGCTTCCTCCCTGTTGATGGGTCCAGGGAGTTTTGTACTTGCGTTTGCGGGTAGAATGTCTCATCACTGACCGAGTACCAACCCTCGTGTTTGGAGGTATAGATATACCCACGATGTTGCAACATTTCCTATTTCTGATCAGTCACGCACTGGCAGATATCAATTGTAGTCGCTTACCCAGAAATATTGGACAGCATCTCGATGCGCCGGGTCGGTAGTTCTGATGAAATGATCGTTGTCGAGGTTTGCAGCCTTTGCTAGTGCCTGTATCAACCGAATCCAGTCAGAAATGGGCCTAATTATGGCAAAAAGGGCTCATACCTCAAAAGTCCGGCAGTTCATGTCGCAAAATGCCTGGGTGTCCATGCCCGCTCGGTGCGCAGCCTGTTGAATCTGTGTTCATGTCAACTACCACTGTTCCCGAGTGTTACCAATTTGGGTATAGGTACCTTCATTCCATGCTCATCCGTTCCAGTCAATAGCTGAGCATCAGTGTTTCCGAGCAAGACCTGCCACCGTTTCATGATATCGGCGATGACCATTGTGTATAAATGACCGACATGAGGGGCTAAAGAGCGTATGTAATATTAGCAAAAAAGTTTGCATATGCATTCACTCCAATACTCACCAGCATTAACGTAGAAAATTGGCGTTGTCACATAATAAGGCTTGTCGGACTTTGGCGGCCCAGATGCAAGTCCGCGCCGGGGGATTGTCCATCCATGCCTGCGCGATGTACAGCTCCACGGCTGCCTCGGCCGCAAAAGCTGAGACGCTCTGAGTAACGAGCGAAGCGGCGTCCTTGCAGTAGCCATTGGATGAGTGATAAGGGTAAGGCAGGCTGCGGGCGTTGCATGTTATTCCGCGCGGCGATCTCGGGTGGTCCAAGCTTCTCCGCAACTCTCGGCCTTTTTTTGCGCCAGGCGCTTTGTCGCGATTACATCGTCCATTACATCGTCGACCAACCCAAGTCCTTATAAATACAGTTATTCCTCTCATTTGAACCTTCCCTTTCTTTCATCTCTCTTTGTATCAACCGCAGCCATCCTCTCAACTTCCCGGCCAATCTGCACATCTATCGCGATGGCTGCAGCAAGTGAGGATACGCTGACCAAAGTGTCAACCGAGGGTGAGTTTGATATGTTTAGAAGCTCTTTAATCTCATCTTCGAGTCAGAGTTTGGGGATATTGAGTATCAACTGACCTTTTGTCTCTGTCACTTTTAGCTGCGACAGAGTTCGTCAAGACCTTCTACCCGGCTCTGGGGCTGAATCGCCAGTCTCTCGGCTCCTATTACTCCCTGGAACCCACCACAATCATGTTCAACGGAAACGCCCTCGCAGATGGCGCTGCTGTTCAGGAAGTCTTTATGAACCAAATGTCGCCCGCACACTACGAGGTCCAGTCCTACGATTGCCAGATTATCAACAAAGCATACCCCACCGTTTTGCCGGGTGGTGGACTGAAGCCGCAGTCAGAGATGGGAGTCAAGGATATGTCGATACTTGTCGTGGTCAGTGGATTTGTGCGTTACGGAGAGGGTCGCGATCGCCCGCAGCGAGGGTTCAGTGAGACGTTTGTGCTGGTCCCCAATCCATCCGCGGAGCGGGCGAGAGGTCGCAAGGATTGGCTCATTCAAAGCCAAAATTTCCGCCTTGTCGTATGAGCAATCAACCACATGTCAGTTCGATCCTACGAATAATGAAAGATCTCTCACGACGATACGCCGCCATGAGACCTTATCTCATCTCACCACACGCAAGTGAAAGAGGCCCGGCCGAGGCCCCCATTTACGCATAATTGGCTACAGAATACGATGCAAATAAGAAATTTCAACCGTTGGAATTGCTTCGGAGGTGGAAAATCAGACGCCAAGAAGGGAAGGAAATTGTGGATGTCATGTCTCATGGATATGGGGTCAAGGCCCAGCCGATGTCTTGCGCGGTATGCGGAGATTTGCTTTGACCCTTTCCAGCAACTCCTCGCGTGTCGCCTTTTCGCTCGGTAAAAGGCCCCTCTGGTGAATTTGGTCAGTTTGTCATCAGAATAAGATTGTATGATTATCAATCATGTCCAAAACAAACCCATTCAGACGTACCGCACGAAGCCATCTTCTCGTCTCATCCATTGTCCAGTTTTCAGGGTCTAAGGTTCATCAGCCTGCGCTCTTCCATATGATGATCTCCTCTTACCTCCTGTAGGATCTGCTTGTGCGGGAAGAACATCGTTGCCCAAGATGGAATAGGCTGCCACCGCCGTCACCATTCCTGCGAATCCTATATGGGAATCCCTTGGTCAGAAACTTGCGGATCATCTTGACTGGGGTTCATCCACTCCGCACCAAGGAAGAGGTTCTAGCAAGCATTAGACATAGTTCATGAGGGTATAGATTAATATGTCAGTAGTACCTTGGAATTCAATGCCCGATCTAACGCGGTCGGCATGTTGAAGAACAATGTAATCAACTTTCTTGATGAGTTCCGTTCAAGGGGTACACAAAGGTCAAATATATAAAAAAAAGATCTGAAAGGACACGATGCAAAAGACAAGTCCCCAAGATCAGTAGACGTGAGCAGTTCGTCAAGACGGGCCCACCGCCACGCCAAGCCATCCCGTGCTGCTGCCTTCGAACTATACAACTGCAATTGCAACTTCCTCAACTCCATGGCACTTTCCATGGCACTTTCCATGGCACTTTCCATGAATTTGTATGTAAACACAAGTGACTATGTATGTAGGGATAAAATGCAATTCCTTGGAAGCCTGCAGTTAGATTTTTCACTCATTGATGCACCACTCTTTTGCATCGTACATCTATACTCAAGTCTATCATTACTGCCCTCTCCTCAAAGTACTTCAAACAGCCTGTCACAGTGGCAGATATGGAGGCAGTACTCGCTTTATCCGCAGTTACGTTCGTTGTTGCAATGGGGGTGGGCATCATACAAGGGTATACTTGCTCTTCATTGCAGCCTGGAACGGGTTACTCACCCTTTTTGCAGCGTGAACTTTTATAGGAGATATCGAGTCCGCCTGCAAATCCGATCAAAAGGCGTGTCTGAACAGAGTATGGATCTTGAGGCATTCAATCCTGAAGGAAACCCATCCACGCAGCCTCCGCCACGACTACATCGCCATGCACGGTTGGGAAGTAGAACTTCGCGATGGCCAGGGTATGCTGACCAGCGATGGCAATCGCGAACAATGCCAGACTATCATTTTTCGCCGTATCGCATCCCCGAGGAAGCAGAGACAGGATGCTCTATGCACCATGTTCCACGTCCACTGCAACCAAACATGGCAGCCACATTCCTGCCAGTTGCACCAGCCACACCCGCCCCACAAGCCACTGGGGCTGTTCATCCTGAGGCACCAATCCCGGCGCTGACTAAGCCAGGGCTTTCGCAGCTACAAGCCCTAACGTGATCCGCACACTCACCTGAGAGGCTCTAGTATCGACAGTGAGCCCTTCTCTTTTGCACCTTGCTTCAAAACACCCGCAACCGTCATTATGCCTGCCGAAGTCTCCGATATCAAGCAGTTCATTGAGATCTGCCGCCGGAAGGATGCCTCCTGTACGTTTCACCGAATTGAACGAACCCCGCGAGACTTCGAGATGATCATCGATGCTGACTGTTTACGCCTTTAGCCGCCCGGATCAAGAAGAACCGCAAGTCCCAGCAGACCAAGTTCAAGGTTCGCTGCCACACCAACCTCTACACCCTTGTCCTGAAGGACTCCGACAAGGCCGACAAGCTCAAGCAGAGCCTTCCCCCTGGTACGTTCCGATCGCTTCAACCCGCCATTTAAATTCCTGGGAACTTTTTTTTATGGAGGCTGTACACATTTTGGAAAATGGGAAATGAATGCGGCTTTGAACCTATGCTGACTGTTATTCTTTGAACAGCTCTCAAGGTTGTCGATGTCACCAAGGGCACCAAGAAGTCCAACTAAATCCGGTAACAATGGAATGAACGGATGATTGGAGTGCGGCGCGATTGGTTGTTATGCATGCAAGACCAACTGTTGGAGGGATACATGACATGGGCTTGGTCCCTCTGCGAGCTGACACGGGGAAACCTCCGTGGCGTGGAACATGACTTTTGCGTCGGGGGAGTTTCTTTGCGCTTTTCAAAACCGGCTGCTGTTATTCACCGGTCAGGCGACTCGCATTTTCTGGACGCACTCGAGGAACGCTTTTGTCGGAGCTTCCAGTCCCTACAACACAATGAAAAAAACAGTTGAAATACCATTACTAGGTTTCTCGTTCTCAGGTCGAGATCATCCTAATCTATTATCCTTATCATGGACGATTGTTCTTATGACTGGGTCTCCTCTGTGCAATCCATACGTAACCCCAGATAGACGCTAGTTGTGTCAGTCGATGATCCAATCGTCAAGTCTGCAACCATCCTATTTGTCTCGGTCGCCTTTCGCTTGACTCAAACTGGACTGTAGACTCGAGTCCGCTTGGATGAGAACCCTGATACAGTAGTAGACTAACACTTGTATATTGCGGTCATCTCGTTTCCTGATATAGCTTAATTGAACCCAAGAGAAAGGCTATTTTTACTTGGCGTTAATGTCTTTGATATCGACGTATCGGCATGCCGTGCCACACTCGATCTTTGTCTAGATCGAGTTCATACTTTGAATCGCGGCAATTGCATTGTCAGATATGGTTATTTTGAGAACAATAGCCTTCAAACGTCCTTGCCTTCGTTTCTTTCAATGAGAATCAAAGCAAAGAGGTCTCGATATCTTTCACCAAAGCTGTTTACATACATATATAATCTAGTGCGGAACCCGCCTAGATCTAGGAGAAACCACAACGCCGTGAACAATCGCAAAGTGATATCTTAACATTTACTCAAGAAAGAATAAAAAAATATGTCTCAAACAGCTTGCCCAGCCTCTGCCATGGGCAATTTTAGCCTACTTCCATCCGAAATTATATTCAAGATCCTGGACGACATTATGTGGAGTACCCCAACACTGGTACATGAAAACTTTTGCGCTATTAACCAGCTGATGAAAACTAACAAGCAATTCTATGCATTCATCAAAACAGGATGGTTGGGCAAAAAGTCATTTTCCTATCTCAAGGACAGTGTGAATGCGCTCGAATGGTACCAAGACGCCGAGCACGCATGGGAAACCCTACAAGCGCGTGGCATAGATTCCAGCAACGTGATGCCAATTGAAGGCCATCCCGACTGCGAGCTCGATCTCATCACCGGTATCATTTTCGACGACTGCCCAGAATGTTTCGAGTGGTTGGCCGAGAACCTTCCCCCAGCGTTGATGAGCTGCTGCAACGCAGGCGGTTGGTCCTTCCTTTCTCTAGCAATGCACGCCAAGTCCGAGAAGATACTTGATCGCTTGTTTCAGGCAGGCTACCCTCATGAGCCGAGTGACTTTATTTCCGGTAGAGCTAACGCTATGTTGGCGGACCCGTCGAATATTGGTGTTGCTGCCTCCTCCAAGGACCACCGGTCTTTCACTAAGCTTTTCTTGACATTGAGGGAATTATTGCATGGGCGTGGCTTTAACAGAACTATCAGGGATCGCCTCTCGAAATCAGAGAAAGTGGCTATTCGAAGTGTTGCTCCTCCAGAGCTCCAGAAGTTGCTTTACAATGCTGGAATGATGGTCCTGTACCCTTATCTTCGAAATGGCCCAAATTTCACTACCGAGGGCAACGAAACGACTGAATCTTCTCATGATTCGTAGAGTTATAGCTTTGTGCCTACGCTAAAGGTATAGTGTGTAAGATCTGCAGCATATTTCTGTGGGGGTAGCCTTTCTTTCCCAGCTTATTATACTAACTCATTCACTATATTAAATCACTTCGTCTTTGTTTTTGCATTCCCAGGAAACAATATCAATGTCATCACATAATCAATCATAATCTAACTTCCCTATTTAGAATGTAATCTCTACACCCCGCTACCAAGGCTCTGACAGAGTAGGCATCGTTCCGCGTGATGTTAACTACATACTCATAGTACGCTAGATGTCCCCCCGTAGATCATTACTCTTCAGGCCACGGCACTTCTTTCCTATACATCTTACCATTTACCCTGCTTGGCACGTCGCAGATTTCCTTGGCGTCAATCATCCTCCACAGATAGCCGAGGGTCTTATAGTGTCACAGAGCAATCCTATACTCCCGGCGGCCCGCTACCCCGGATCACCACGATCAATTACCGTTCTGAGCTGCAGAAATTATCCATGAAGGCAAGCGCCGGATGATTTTACTTCTGGCTTCTGCACTCCGCAAAGATGTGTACACTCGTGGAACTGATCTCCAAGCCCTTGGCTTGACTAGCTTTCTTCACAAGTATACAGCGGCCAATCCCATGACCCTAAGTGATATATCCTGGTAGAATTCTAGACGCCCAGGCCCTTTCCACTGATCCAATTAGCAATGCAAAGACTAGGCGCCGCTTTTCGTCTGTGATTTTCCACCAACAACTTCCCGCAAAAGGCTTCATATTTCACCCTCGATGTTACATTCCTGTGCGATTCTTGTTACCATTGGAGTAATTGTGTTTGACGCTATTCCAATATCAGAACGGACCTTTCTCAGAAGCATGATGCTCAAACAGATCAATAGTCCCGTAGACTTCTGGGAAACCAGAGCAGGAAGGACCCGGGACTACATATATAAAGACCAGGTGCCAGGGTCAAATTTATACACGACACAGACAGAATCATCCACCGCACTCTTCACCGAACTGTCAGACCAACATGACACTCTCAAAGCTATCTGCACTTCTAGCCTCCGCTTCCCTCGTTGCAGGCCATGCATATGTCTCTAGCATCGTAGCCGATGGCACAACGTGAGCCGGCCACACAACCAACCGTTTCATTCTCGTACTAAAGGCTAATCCCATTTCACCAGCTACACCGGCTACCTCGCCGACAGATACCCATACATGTCCGACCCCCCAGAGAGCGTCGGCTGGGCAACCACCGCAACCGACCTCGGTTTCGAAGACGGCACTGAATACCAACACCCGAACATCATCTGCCACCGGGACGGTGTCAATGCTGCTATAAGCGCTCCCGTCACCGCTGGTTCAGCCATTGACATCCAGTGGACAGACTGGCCGGAGTCGCATCACGGCCCTCTGATCACCTATCTTGCCTCGTGCAATGGAGACTGCAGCACGGTCGACAAGACCACCCTGGAGTTCTTCAAGATTGAAGAGGAGGGTCTAATTGATGGCTCGTCTCCTCCTGGTACATGGGCCAGCGATGACCTGATTGCTGCAGGGAATAAGTGGACCGTGAGGATTCCCTCGACCATCGCTTCGGGTAACTATGTTATGCGCCATGAGATTATTGGTCTTCACTCTGCCGGTCAGACCAATGGCGCTCAGAACTACCCGCAGTGCTTCAATTTGGAGATTACTGGCGGTGGAAGTGATACCCCTGCTGGCACACTGGGTGAGAAATTGTATACCAATACCGATCCGGGGATTTTGGTGGATATCTATTCTGGATTGACCGAATACATCATCCCCGGGCCTGCTTTGTATGCTTGATTCAACACCACAGAAAGGGAAAGGAGGGTGGGTTTGAGGATATGACGTCCCGAATGCTTGGTTCTAGTGCTTACTCAAGTTTTGCAATCCTATATACGTTTTCGATCTAAATACAACGAATTCCAAATAACAAATCCCAATGAAACCTCTATAACCCCAAACCTACTCCGTCCGCTCATAAGGCAAAGCAATAAACCCACACACCTTCGCCTCCTCAAGCTCCCGATCAACACCTGCAAGACTCAGATCCGACCTGCGCAACTCAAACTCCCCAAAGAAATTCGGCTCCTTCGAAACCTTCTCAAACCCAAGCCCCTCAAACAAAGCCAAACTCCTCACATTCGCCTGCCCAATCTTAACACTAAGACACTCAAACGCCAGCCCCTCCAGCGACCCCTCCGTCGCAACCCCCATCCTCAATTTCCGCACCGTCTCAACACCAACATCCCCACCCGCAACAAACTCATCCAGAATAGCCCCCTGGTTCTGGACGATATACCGCATGAACATAAGCAGCGCGGCACGGCCAAATCCACGGCGCTGGTTGACTTTCTCGGCAATCATGAGCTCGATCTCGCCGACTATCTGCGGCGGGCTGTCGCCTTCCTCGCCGTCATCGACGCGGAGGAAGAGATTGATATCGCCGACCATGGTGGAGGGGGAGTCACTTTCAGTTTGCAGTTGGGTTTGGGTGGGGATGTCGCCTTTGTCTGCTGTGATAGATCGGCAGACGATGAAGGTTAGTTTGTCGGCGTCTTGGCGCCAGCTGCGCTGCATTGAATATTCTTCTTCTAGAGTTAGGGGCTCTGAGGCTGTTGCTTCTTGGATTTCCTGTTTTCTTGGTAAGAATGGGGTCTGCTTGGGAGAGGGGTTGGTTATGGTTTGGATTGTAGTGGGCTTGGCTTACGGGGTCTTTCATCCATTCGTGATATCGGGGTACGTGCCATGATGAGTATGGGACTAGTAGAGCCTTTGAGGAGGAGAGGGCTGTTTGTTCCTCGGAGAGACGATTACATTAGGGTCTTCCATTTGGGTGATCGCTGGGCGACAGTATATATGTGGGTATGTGCATGGGAGTGGCGTACCGATGTTGGCATTGAGTAGCATGGTGATGTATGTTCAGGAAGCGATTCTTTTTTGTGCAGATGATCCAGAACGGGCAACGGGTGTATTTCTCCAGATCAAGACACGTTCGATGTCTATGAGGGCTCTTGATGGGAGCTATCGTCGAGGAAGTTGGTGGGATTGATTCTTCCCACTGTGGGTCTTGGCGCGTGGAGCCATTCGGGATGTATAGCTACGACGTGTCTTTGAGAATGGGTTTATACAACCACTAAAAGTAGTTGGGGAAGTTTGAGGTATTTCATTAGTGCCATATTTTGAATGGCATCTCTATTTGATTCATTTTTGTTCTTCCTGTCCCTTGAAAATCCCAAATCGGACAATCTCGACCTCTAGAGTCTCGGTATCAACCAAAATCAACTCTCCAGTCTCGTTAAATTTGGGAATAGCGAGTAGCCGAACACGAGCAGGTTCAGCACTATCGTCCGTATCCATCATTTCAGTGTCACCATCTAGGCGGAGAGGAACGTCGCCCTCGATGGTGGCAGTTTTGAATTGTGGTTGATTGCCGGCGAAGAAGATGTGAGGACAGGACTCAAGGATAAATGGATCTTCGGATTGGAATGGATACGACCCTGGAAGAAATTGTTAGCAAATATTCTTTGGGACAATTGGATGTCCAACATACAAATAGTATCCGGGGCGGTGGGAACGCCGCAGCGCCAGCGAAGCATGGCTTCCATGATTCGGATCCGGGCGTCGGAATCCACCTCGCTGTCTGGGCTACTATCGCCGCCTTCAATGGGGAGATATCGGAGAACATCGTCCACATTTTGGCCGCTGCATCCCCACAGTCTCCATCCCTCCACGTCCGCGTCCCACGGGTTTGTGACACTGTCGAACCAGCCCGCTTCGGGCTTCTCGTCCCCTTTAGGAGGCGGTGCGGAATATGCCCTTGCCTGGGGGAACATGGCACGGTGGATGCCCTGCTGAGGGAGGGAGAAGTTCGCTGGATCTTTCTCGCCCGACATGAGTGTGACCGGAATGCTAGGCAAGATCTCCGCTAGGAAGTTATCGAGTTGTGTGATAGGTGAGGCGTTGTATGCGGAGGCGTCATAGCCATACTTTTTCGGCTGGGCTTTTGCCGCAGTGTTGCCAGAGTTTGTTGATGCCACATCGGCAACTACACTGGCTCCAAGAGAGTTACCTGCGATGATCAAGCGGGTGATTTTGGAGGAGCTCGACGAAGGGCTGTTCTCGTCGTTGCCAGAGAATCCTGTGTACCCCAAAAGATAATCCGTCAATAGCTCCAAAGTGAGCGTGTCGCTTGAAGTTCCCGTGATTCCCAAACCACTGACGAAGGCGATCTTGCCGTGTTCCTTTCCGGCAAGTTCTACTCCGTTTTCCGGAGCTTTGCCCTCCCATCGTTGAGGTTGTGGCGCTAAATCCGGTAGTTTAATATCAATAACCTCAAAATCTCCGTCCGCATTTTCAGTTCCCAGAGCTGCGACAATGGCACCCGTCGCCAGTTGTGTAGATCGCAAGTAGTTTCCGGTGAGTCGTAAGCGGCCGGACTCATCTTCCATCATGATTTGTGTTGAAGAGGGATCGGACGGGTCGGTGTAGGTGCGGCGGGGAGGGGGCGCAGAAGTAAAGTTCTATGTATTGTTAATGAAAGTAAGAGCGAGAAAAAGACCACGACACTGACTTCTTTGCTAAGGTCGTCCAAAATATTGGGCTTCATTGGCAAGTCCATGTACACGGTGCCGGCGACCCAGCACAGCTCGCCTTGTCGGACGTCGAGGACTCGATCGACACGTCGCACTTTCTCTCCGGCAATCTAGATGTGAGAGCAGGTGTCAGGAGAGTCCATACGCTGGAATCCAAATCAATTCCCGTGTATCAATTGCCCTTACAATGAGTCCATCCCATGCATCTATGGCAACTTGTTCCACGGCTGGCTTCAATTTCGCGAGTCGCAAAAAGTACATGTCGCCATATTGCTGCTGGTAGTGCCGACCTGCGCCAGCCGGCAGATGGAATGTCAGGCGAGGATCATAATGAGAGGGTGTGCGGTAAACTGATTCCTGCTCTTGTTCCTCCTTGCTATCAAAACAGAGCACATTCAATGGTTAGCCAAAGCTCCGTGACAAGTGTCAGACTGGAACAAGGAAGAGTCTGAAGTTATTACCTAGGAGGACTCAAGAATGTGTAGTCTTCAGCATCCGGCGCCATGATTTCCGGAGCAATGCTGAGATATTGTGTTTGGGGATGGTTGGGGTGATGATGCAAAGAGATTTGACGCGCCCGCGCGTCAGTTAGCGCGTTCAATTACATTCCCGCTTTGGGATCTCGCACCAACTGGTTGACCGTTCAAGACATTTCGATGTTCAAGATATAACCGAATTGATTCGGCTATTTGTGGCATATGCATAAGATGGATACTGTGGACCTTTTTATAAATCCTAGCAAAGTTGTACAATATGCCCATAGAATCATGCCATATACAACATAGAAACGACCTTCGAGTCGACTCTACAGCTGATCACGTTCCGATCTATAGGAACGGTGGATCAAATTCAAGGGATTTATCTATATTTCATGCTGCAGTACTCCGTATATGAGGAATGTTTAGAGGATGCAGAAAGTACACAATATGCGGAGTACATAGTGTCCAAGTCGATTAGCCATCAGCTGCCTCGGTCCGCTTGAAGCTTCCCCGCATTCTTCATTCATCAAGACCGAAGCTCCAAATATATAATTCTCATAGCTCAGCTGGAGATACAGAGGACCATTGAGATACAGCCATCTATCAACTGCATTTGACTCTGAATTCTCATAAGCTACTATCCCCATCTGCACCAATAATCGAACAAACATGTCGCTACAAACACCGCTGACCTCCCTTCTCAAAATCCAGCACCCAGTGCTGCTAGCTGGCATGGCTCGAGCATCCAGCGCGCCGCTAGCAGCAGCAGTCTCCAACGCGGGAGGCCTGGGTACAATCGGAGGTCTTGGCTATTCACCAGAGCAATTATCAGAGATGCTCACAGAGCTCAAATCACTTCTCCGCGACCCCTCGCTCCCCTTTGGTGTGGACCTTGCACTACCCCAAGTCGGAGGTGGAGCGCGCGCAACAAATCACGACTACACCCACGGACATCTAGACGAGCTCATCGAAGTGACTATCTCCCACGGCGCAAAGCTCTTCGTCTCCGCTGTCGGTATTCCACCAGCGAAGACCATCAAGCGGCTCCATGAGGCCGGGATCCTGATTATGAATATGGTCGGTGCACCCAAGCACGCTGAGAAGGCTTTCAAGGCGGGCGTCGATATTGTCTGTGCGCAAGGCGGCGAGGGTGGCGGTCATACTGGTGATGTACCGTTCTCTGTGCTCGTGCCTGCTGTTGTGGATGTTGCGCGGAAGTATAAGAGCCCGTTGACAGGCCAGCCAGCGCTTGTTGTCGCGGCTGGTGGTGTCAATGATGGCCGCAGTTTGGCGGCGTCACTGATGTACGGTGCGGCGGGTGTTTGGGTGGGTACGCGGTTTGTCGCATCTGAAGAGAGTGGTGCCAGTCAGCTGCACAAGGAGGCGGTTGTTGGGGCGCAGTTTGGCGAGACCAAGCGCACCCTTGTTGTTAGTGGTCGACCTTTGCGCATGCTGCCCAATGACTATATCAAGGAGTGGGAGAAGCGGCCGATGGATATCGCCGATTTGACTTCCAAGGGTATTGTGCCTATGATGGATGATCTGGAGAAAGACAAGGATATTGATATGCCATTCCTCATGGGTGACGTCTCGGCCGGTATCAGTGAAATTAAACCGGCTGAGGTCATTGTGAAGGAGATGGTTCAGCAGGCCATTGATGTGCTCAGAGTCGGAGGTTCATACATCGGGCCTGCGAGTAAACTATAGATGTGATAGATTTTATACTTGCGATCGAAGGGTGGTAATTGACTGCTCCACTGGTATTTTCACATTTATCATATTCTTTCATTGTTGATAACACTTGACATGTACTTGTACAAAAACACATGGATACTCAGAAAGACTTGGAACCGACGAGGAAGATGTATTGCGCCTCAGTGACCACTGAGGACTATCGTGTGATAGACAAGTACAGATGGTGTGAACCCTCTACATTTTGTTATTCAACACGAACCCTCAAATTCACAGAAGCCACAAGAGACACCAAGGCAAATACTCCATTTACCGTGCGACTCAAACACAAACGTCATGATAAAGTCATCGAGGGTAGCCAAGTCATTTCAATCAAAATCGACATCAAATAAGTGGGAAGAATCTAGAAAACCAAGCCATTGACCCCTGCAGTGTTGCCATTGGCCCGAGCCTCCAAAAGATTTGGGGGCGGAGTTGGTCCGAAGACGGGCTTCTCTGAGGGTTGGTCAACCCGGGTTGGGGGTGGTTCGAGGTCTTCTTCGTCACTGATATCCTCCTCGTCATCTTCGTAGTCATCGTCGTACTCGCTTTCGGTACCTTCATCGTCACCCTCTAAATGATCATCGCCTTCAGCCAGGGCAAGGCCTTCGCCTCGGCCCTGAGCTTGCATGCGCCGGCAAAGGGCTTCTAGGTGGTGGCACTTTCGGCGCCACCTTTCAAGTTCTTCATGGTTCCGGGTCCGTTCCTCTGCCATTTCAAGGATATTGCGGTTAGTTTGCTCATGCTTTCGATTGAGAGTATGATTCTCCTTTTCTAGGCGTTTGGTCTTCTTGGACATTTCTTCCATCTCTTTGCGGAACGTAAGGAAAAGATCGTTGCTGTTGTTTAGAGTGTCCTCGACCTAAAGATCCTTGTCAGCGAGCGAGAATGGATGCGATGGGACCTGTAAGCCTTTCTGTACCTGCTTGAACTTTTCGACGTAGATGTTGAGCTGGCTGCGCAACTCGGCCTCGGTGTGGGAGAAAGTGGAAACTTGGGAAGTCAAAGCTCGGCTGCGGTTGGCCTCAACTTCACCTGCACGACGCTGGTCCTCAAACTTTGAGGCGAGACTTTGAATCTCGGAATCCTTGCCGCGCAGGAGGCCCCTATAATGCAGGTCGCGCGTGTCGAACTGCTCGCTGATGGTCTTGAGCTTGGCACGGAGCCTAAATCCCTCCAATCAGTATTTTAAAGGTCCCAAGAACGGAGAGAACATCGGAGTCGTACGCTTCATCCAAATCGAGATCCACCTTCTCGCTGCGAGGGTTTCCTTTCGCAGCCATGACATCTTGAATGTCATATAGGAGTGAGTCGAGACGTTCGTTGACAATCAAGCGCGCCCTCTTCTCCGTGTCCTCCAACTTCTTGTTCTCATCCTGCCAATTTGTTCAGTTTCCAGTTCCTCCCCGGTGTTTGGCGCACTCGTCTCGCGGCGCATGCTGAAGGACCCACCTTGACTTTCTTGTTCTCTTTCGTAAGTTCTCGACACAACTTTTCAAGTTTATCCTTCATCGTAATGGTTTTGCTGAGATCGGATTTGCCCTTGTCTTGGTCTTTCTGCAATTGATCGGCACGCTTCTTGCTCTTTGAATAATCACGATCCAACTTCTTCATATCCGCCAAGAGTTCGGTATACTTCTTATGGACGGTCTCGAGACGGGTCATAGGGGACTCAATGTTGTTCAAAAGCTGATTGAGGTCACGCGTTGCCTTTTTGACCTCGCGCTCTGTTCCAACATCCAAATTAGCGACCTTGAATTCCCAGGACTGACATCATGGTTCAGCGGCACCAAGCAAACAGGAATAATGCCATGACACCGCAAAAGACAGGGGGAGTCACGCACCAATTTCCGCCTCTTGGTCCTTCTCACCCGCGGCATCTTGCTCCAGCTGGGAGATTTTGGCGGCCAGCAGTTTAGATGTCTCGCTGGGGTCGGCCGCTTTCTTGCCCTTGTTCTTCTTTGCCATAGTGGTAGACGACATTTTAAAGGGTTGCTTTCGTAGACTATCGGAGTAACAACGTATTTGGCGATTCGATCCACGGGACGTTGGTAGACAGGTCGAAAGCCGAAAATTTGCGCAAAATAGGCGGGATACAGAGCAGGATGTAGACGGATCAATCACACGGAGGAAAGATCCCAGAGACAAGGCTCACGAGCGAGATCACTGACTCTGGGATGTAGGCGTCGTTCGTTTGTCGTAGCGTTCGGGAAAGAGCAAATGTTGGTCTCCGGAGCAGAACTTCGACGAGGGGACAATCTTAGTCATCGACCCAGAAGTGGAAGGCGCCTGGGAAACGGCGAGTACAAGAGCTGTTTCAGTAATCCAATCTGTATCGAGTAGGGTTTGACTGTCAATAAGGCGATTGGAAAAGTGACCAGAAGGGATGTCCACAAGTTCCTTCGGACATACTTCAACCCTATTGTGCCTCGGGGCCCGGGGCCATTCATGAGGCTTACGCTAGCAGAGATGATGTAAGCGGAATCTGGACTGTCGAGGTGGACATTTTCAACTCCGGGGTTGCGAGCTTGTTCTTGAAACCATCAATTCCCCAGAATCATGTTGCGCTCATCAATGCGCTTCGGTACGGCGCGGGTTGCCAACGCCCGCCCTTTTATCGGACGTTCATTAAAGCCGACCCAAACGATCCTTCCGCGCAATACCTCGAGAGCTGCATCGACAGTGACCAATTTGGATAACTTCCCCAAGGTCGGGGAAAAGCTCCATGGATTCACACTTAAAGAGAAGAAGCATGTTCCTGAGCTTCACTTGACTGCGGTCTGGCTGAAACACGACCAGACAGATGCAGACTACATGCATGTAGCAAGAGATGATAAGAATAATGTGTTTGGAATCGGGTTCAAGACAAACCCACCGGATGCTACTGGTGTGCCTCATATCTTGGAGCATACAACATTATGTGGCAGCGAGAAGTGAGCAAGAGTCCGATTATTCCCATCCCCTTGGTATCTCCGCTGACCTAGTAATCTCTCAAGATTTCCCATCCGAGACCCGTTCTTTAAGATGCTCCCTCGCTCCCTCTCAAATTTTATGAATGCTTTCACGGCTTCTGACCACACTACCTATCCATTTGCCACAACCAACAAGCAAGATTTCCAGAACCTCTTGTCCGTTTATCTCGATGCTACCCTGCATCCATTGCTCAAGGAATCCGACTTCAGACAAGAAGGTTGGCGCCTGGGTCCCGAGGATCCGCGTGCTGGAGAGTCAGTTCCCGGGCAAACCGAGACCAAGTTGTCATTGGAGGACATCGTGTTTAAGGGTGTTGTGTACAACGAGATGAAGGGCCAGATCTCCGATGCAAACTACCTCTACTACATTCGTTTTAAGGAGAGCATCTCCCCTTCGCTGAACAACTCGGGTGGAGACCCAGAGTATATCACAGATCTCACTCACAAACAGTTGACAGAATTCTCCAAACGCAACTACCACCCCAGCAACTCCAAGATCTTTACTTATGGTGATATGCCTCTGGCTGATCACTTGCAGCAGGTCGGTGCTGTCCTAGATGGTTTCCAAAAAGGACAAGCGGATACCGATATCAAGCTTCCTCTAGACCTCACCAAGGGACCTTTGAACGTAACGGTTCCTGGCCCCATCGACACATTTGCCGGCGAAGATAAGCAGCATAAGACGTCCACATCTTGGTATATGGGCGACACCACTGACATTGTGGAAACTTTCTCCGTTGGAATCGTTTCCTCGCTCCTCCTCGATGGCTACGGCTCACCAATGTACCGAGCTCTTGTTGAGAGCGGTCTTGGCTCTTCGTTCACGCCAAACACCGGTCTTGACTCGTCTGGCCGAACCCCCATTTTCTCGGTTGGACTTAACGGTGTGACAGAAGCAGATGCCCCAACTATCAAGGGCGTGATCCAGAATGTCTTCCGAGAATCGGTTGCGGCTGGTTTCAGCGAGGAGAAAGTTCGAGGTTTCCTCCATCAGCTGGAGCTCGCGCTACGCCACAAGACTGCGAACTTTGGAATTGGTGTGATGGAGAAAACCATCTCCACTTGGCTTAATGGCTCAAATCCCATGAAAGAGCTGGCATGGAATGATGTCATCAACGAGTTCAAGAGCCGATATGCGAAGCCTGGTTATCTGGAGTCCTTGGTGGAAAAATACCTCGTTAACGACCAGTGCATGACCTTTACCATGGTTGGTACTCCCACTTTTAACAAAGAATTGGACGAGAAGGAAGCGGTGCGCAAGGAGAAGAAACTTGCTCAGCTTATTGCCGAGCACGGATCGGTGGAGAAGGCTGTCACTAAGCTCGGAGAGGAGGAGTTGGAACTTCTCAAGATCCAAGAAGACGCCCATAATGCTGATCTGAGCTGCCTTCCATCTTTGAGAGTCAAGGATATCTCACGAGAGAAGGAACGCAAGCCTGTCCGTGAGTCCAAGGTCGAGGGCGCTGATGTTGTCTGGCGCGAGGCTCCCACCAATGGCTTGACTTACTTCCAGGCTTTGAACGACTTTGTGGATCTTCCCGATGATCTCAGGTTGCTCATGCCCTTGTTCAATGACTGCGTCATGCGTTTGGGAACTGCCAACCGGTCTATGGAACAGTGGGAAGATTTGATCAAACTGAAGACTGGAGGTATCTCGACATCGTCCTTCCTTGTATCGTCCCCAACGCACTTGGACCAATTTAAGGAGGGCATGCAGTTCTCCGGATTTGCAATTGACAAGAACATTCCCGAGATGCTGGAAATGCTCTCGGTTCTTGTTACAGAGACGGATTTCAATAGCCCTGCTGCGCCGGCGATGATCCAGGAACTCCTACGGATGACTACCAATGGAGCTTTGGATGCTATCGCAGGAACTGGTCACCGGTTCGCCGTCAACGCTGCGGCTGCTAGCCTGTCCCGAAGCTTTTGGGTCCAAGAGCAGCAGTCTGGTCTTGAGCAACTACAAGCCACTGCCAACCTGCTTCGGGACGCACAGTCCTCTCCCGAGCGCCTCCAGGAGCTGATTGAGAAGCTTCGCCTGATCCAGTCCTTCGCTATATCTTCTTCTAATCTCCGCGTTCGCATGGTCTGTGAAAAGGAGAGTGCCAGTGCCAACGAATCAATTCTGCAAAAGTGGATTTCCGGTCTGCCTCAAGCCCGTTCCCCAGCAGCTGACTTGGCCACCGCTTCCTTTAAGTCAGCTGACAAGGCATTCTATGATATGCCATACAAGGTCTATTACTCTGGCCAAGCTACTCAGACTGTGCCATTTGTCGACCCATCCAGCGCTCCTCTCAGCGTCTTGTCCCAGCTTCTTACTCACAACTACCTCCACCCTGAGATCCGCGAGAAGGGAGGTGCCTATGGTGCGGGTGCGAGCAACGGACCTATCAAGGGTATCTTCACCTTTATGAGCTACCGGGACCCGAACCCTCTGAACTCGCTCAAGGTCTTCAAGAACAGCGGTATCTTTGCTAGGGATCGTGCTTGGTCCGAACGCGAAATCGAGGAAGCCAAGCTTGGTATCTTCCAAGGCCTTGATGCCCCTATGAGCGTCGATGATGAAGGTTCCCGTTACTTCATGAGCGGTGTAACCCACGAAATGGATCAACGCTGGAGAGAGCAGGTCCTGGATGTCACCGCCAAGGACGTCAATGCAGCCGCCGAAAAATTCCTGGTGAATGGCACGCGGAAAACGACTTGCGTTCTCGGTGAGAAGAAGGACTGGGCTGATTCTGAATGGGAGCTGCGCAAGCTCTCCATGGATGCTACTGAGTAAGCAGCATCTTCAAAGAATCGCAAGTACTTGCTCTCATTGCCTTGCAAATATTCCCTTTAAACTCGGCATGATCCTTGTTTAGGGGAAGTGTACCACCACTTCATGTTCCCATGTTTTTCTATATGATTGCATTCCCCCGCATCACATCTTACGCTGTACATATATCCATGTATATCTAACCTGTATACATCTCCATTCTGCTCTTTCTTTGTTCTATCTCTCCTCCCTTTCCCTGACCATTTCCCAACCGCGCTGAAGATATTCACGTGCTTCGGCACAGAGCTCATCACATCTACAACCAGTCACTCCCTTTGGTTGCAAGGTGTCGCATTCATTTCCGTCATGGAGGATGCTCGCGCAAGAAAAAAGAGAATGTGAACCTCATGGTACACTTCTTTTCTCCGTTTTTCGGAACCGCCCTGGACCTATAAGTCTACACAGGACGGACTAAAAACGAGGGAACATTAATCTCACAAGATTCGTAGAAATTAGAAATATGCTCACAATCTACATCTTCGCACTTCCGAGGCAGTTGTCTGGTCTTTTTACGTTGCATAGATAGCACGTGAACCCCAAATGTAAACAAGGCAAACACTCGATCCCTTAGCTCTGATTGGAAGAACAGTAAAAAGCGGAGGAAGTGTAATCTCCCCGTGTTTGACGTTTGATAAGACACAACAGCTTCCGCTCACACCCCCTAACCTTTAATTTGCTACCCCAAAGTGTGATGAAGATCTACTCCGTGTAGCTATGAAACGTACTGCGGTGGGCCCTAGGCCGACCAAGGCTTGTGGTGAGTTGGGAGAGAGGGTATCCAATTGGCAAGAAGCTAACCCGGGAAAGTAAATTGCCGACGTCTGAAGGTATAGACATTGCACCTTCGCAATCTGCCTCTTGAAGCCAGGGGGAAATTTACATTATTTAGATGAAATGCGAAGTGTCCGGGCCACCTCCATGTCGCCGTTGTCGTCACACTCGAGCCGCTTGTATATTCAAACCGCGGGCCAATGTGAGCAGCATATCGAAATAATAACCCGAAAGAAGAGCTGATGTCCTAGCTAGGCTTCTGCAATGCATGACCTGCTGGAGATACAGCAAGATCATGTTGTTAATGCTGCCCCGGTGATCACAGATCACCAATCAATTCTGGATCGGCTGTCCAGGATCGAGGCTGCGCTAGGCATCGCCGAGGATCAAGTCACTTTGTCTCGTGAGGCAAGTCCCGAAGAAGATACAGAAGATGTCTCATTGCGGGGAGTATGGAAGGCACTTGCACATTTACGAGTCATTTCTCGTCCGCCCCCGGATGAAAGTGTCTGGTCCCGTCGCGTTGTGAAACAACTATGGACCTCGTATGTACTGTTCCAATAATGATGTTGCAATCGGTATCTGATGAGATGGCAGATTTATAAATGATCTTCCGCTTCTTCATTTTCTGAAGGATCATGGGGCGTTTACTTCCCCAACGCCTGTCCTCCTCGCTTCTGTGCTCTACATATCTGCTCTGCATCACCCACCAGCCGGGCTGAGTTCGTTAAACTCGGGCTATTTTACCGCTATCTGTTGTGCTATTGCGGAGCTTGCGACCCCACGTTTGCATCGACGCTCCCTGTATGCGGAAAAGAAGACAGATGAAGAGCAAAATGCTCCAACCCCACAATTAAAAAGAGAGGATGCATTTCACGACATCCTTGGCCTCATTATGGCTTGCCTGGGCTCTGAAGCTTATATTGAAACAACTGGATCGTGGATTGCAATGGCATATCGTATCTGGCTTGACTATCTTCCAACAGAAATGAATTCCACCACACTGGACTGGCGTGGGTTATTCTCTGGTCTCCAGGTAAGTGAGGTAATTGAGGCCCCAAGACAGAATATCTTGCTGAATCTGTTGATATAAGGTCATCGATATTGAACACGCCTCAATGCACATGTCATACCCACTACTTCCACGACACGCACCAGCCCCAGGTATACAAAGACTAGATAGTCACCAAGGACATGCCTTCCAGGGCCTCGCAGAAATGATGCATTTTGGATTGAGCCATTTTGTTGGCCGTGGACTTCCAAGCATCTGGTCTTCTATCAATGCTAGTGAGGCTGATACCGTGCCTGCGACTTGTTCTCCATTTACAGAGAATGATTCCCGTGTCATCCGACATTGGGCGCGTAAACTCGATGACTGGTTGGTACGATACAATGGCGCATCTCGTGAGTGTTTCTGATTCTCTAACGGAACTTCCAAATCTGACTGTAGCTAGAGCCAACACCGTCTGATCGAAAAGGTATCCTTATCCTACTACAGTATCATTTGCACAAACTATATGTCCTTTCAATTTATCACCCAGCTCGCGGGTTCGAGCTGAGTCCTGCGAACATCAGCACTTTTGAGCGACATGAGTTGCTAGTTTCAGCACGAGCGGTATTGAGACTCAGACAAGATGATGCGAGCATCTGGTCTAACTGGGACTTAGTAGTGAGTTCAATTCTACTTCCCATAGTATTTTTTCCTAACAAGATAGATGATCACCTGGGCGGCCGTGTTGCTACTGCAGGGCGTTGAAGACGGCATAACTCACCAACATGGTAAAGCAAATTCCAATCCCAAAGGGCAGCGCAATGAACTCCTTCTGATGTCAAATCTAGATCTGCATCTCATCCAAACCCATCTTCAGAGCCTAGAACGAAGAAGTCAATCTGCAACGAGCATTCACGCCGTTCTATCTCACCACCTCGAGTCCAACATGGAAGCCATGCACACTCCCCCAGATACAAGCCTGGCACTAGCCTTCCCAGGACCCCGCGCAGACGACTCATGGACTATATTCGACCAAGAAATTATGTCCCTTGCGAACCCGCCATGGCTATTCGAGGAATCGATGCAACTGCCACAGATCCAAAAATCATCCGCAGTGCACCAGTTACAGGCTGGACTCCCACCCGTCCAATACGATTCGGTCATGCTGGAACAGCCTTCGCAACACTTCGCAGCAAACACGCAGTAGGAATGTACACTCAGGATTGACAATTGATTGAACTAATTTGAGGACGAAAATAATATATAATCTAAACTCATGCTGTATTTAATCCACATCTAGGAACCTCCCCTATACTCTTCTCACACTAAATCTCAACTTGAAAGTATCCAATCCCTCATGATAATCCTTCATCACCTTATCATGTCCAGCCCACTTCTCCATCCAAGTCTCAACTTCCCACTGCGTCCCAGTTTCAGCACCTACTTGCTCCCAGAGCTTCTTCCACGTAGCGGGGTCATGGCGATAGTGCCCACCGGCAGCCTGTTCCTCTGGAGATGGAGGATCCACACGACCGACTTGCCGGCCGATAATAAGAGAATCAGGTTTGTCATGGAGAATCCCAACCAGCCGCTTGGCAACAAGAACCTGCTGGTCCCAGTTGAACAGATGGAAGAAGGAAGCGGCGTTGACAATATCGATTTTGTCCGTTAATTTCTTTACTAGATCAGAGTTATCGTCGAAGATATCTGCTACTATGAACTGGGCTTTGAGGGTGTCGTGATCATTGAAGAGATCGTAGCCAATATCGTAGAAGTCTTGACGTAGGTCCGAGGCATAGAGGTTCTCAGAGTGGACACCGTCAAAGACCTGGTATGATTTGTTAGTCTTTTTGTTCTATTAGTTAAGGCGATCCTAAGCCCAGGATTTGATGGCTTAGGTCGTGATGTATGTCTTGCTCACCAGTTGGCGCAGCTCTTGTCCGACTGCACACCCCACATCGAGCAGCTTTTGGCCGGACTTCAGTCTCTCCAGGATCTCCGGGTAGAGGGGAGATTGAGGGATGCTCAAGTCCAAGAATCGGAATGATCCAATGCATGGGTACGGGAACTGGAAGTTGGGGTTAGCAAAGGTACCGATTTCCCGACGCTGCGTCTTATATATTCGAAACCCTGAGTATTGAAAGCAAAGACATGGTTCTATCAATCCCGTTGCTGATATTGTACTTACTACGGCGAATGCACGGTCTCTCTGCGTGGTTCAATCATTATCAGTACTGTACTGTCTCACCACAGAACACGAGTAAGCAGACTCACCACTTTCTTCACATGTTCCACGACCTGATTAGGCGGTATTTTGCTATACTTCTCCAGCAGAGTCTTTGCCGGCTCAGGAGCCTCGGTCAATTCCGGCTCATACCAAGGGAACTGTTGGGGATCGAAGCCGCCATCGAGGATGGATTTGAGATCGGACTCGGCTTTGGCCATGATGACAGTTGCGGGTTGTTTGAACAGTACAATTGGACTATATTGGAGAGATTGCCACCGCTGCCTTTGAAATGAGTTGAATTCGCAAGACTCAGGGCAAGTCGGGAAATGAGGCGTGTGGGGCGTGTCCCCGCGATCGAGCACGCAATACGTCTTGTCTTCAGTGAAGACGGGTATTTAGCACAAGTTCAACGCTACCTAGCCAGGATCTGACATATAGTCTACAGTAGGTGTGTAAATACTTCTACCGTGCTCATATCTGAACTCGCCTTGATTTCCAGGCCACTGGTGGAGTGTGATGCTCCCTGAATTCATGGTGAGTGGAATAACGAATACTTTGGGAATACTATAAAGAAGAGAATCTAATTGCTATAAGGTGTATATGCTAACTGGGCAGGGCTTTCACGGCATGCCTTCTCAATCGCGCACTCCGCAAGTTGCTTCAGCTCCGACATCAATGCAGATGCCAATTTGAAGCGAATGACCTCACTCCTAGCAGTCCTGTGCGAAAGATTCTTCCCCATGATAGCCGTGATCACCTGTAGAAGATGTATATCGCTGCGCGTATGCAGGTCGAGGGGCGCTTGGAGGATACTGTAGAAAATAGCGAGCAGCGCAGACATAGGATAGAAAATGAGAGCCCTAAATGATTCTTGATTAACGGCCGACCTCGAAGCAGAGAAAAGAAACAAGAGACGAGGCACACATACCATAGGAAATCAGCTTTCAATACATGTTCTGCGGCTTCGAGATAGCAAAGTGTAGACCGACTTGCTTCAATGGATATCGCGAGACTGGAATTCACTCCGTCCACTAGCAAGCTCTCCCTGATCCATCTCTTGCAGCGAATGCTCGCCTGGTGAACGATGGACTTGCACAAGTAGTAATTTAGGCGTAGCATGACTGGGAACATGCAGACATTGGGATCCGAGGACTTATGTGTGAAGGAACTCGTCGGTCGCCATTCCAGTGGGATGGAAAGGCGCCACTCTTCTAGCTCGTCATCCAACTCTCGGATTGACTTGAGGATTTCCGCATCTGACTTTTTCCGAGAGGCCACTGAGTAAAGGGTGTCGTATGCTCGAGACTTAATGATGCTTAAACGGAGGTCAAATGGAAAGACCGGCCCTTTGAAAGTTAACTCCTTGCTCTCTGGATCAACGAATGCGCGATCTAAATAGCCGGGTGGAAGAGTCAGATCGCAATTGTCATCTGAAATCGTAGGTGGGAGGCCCGTCTGAAGAACAATGTCCTTATCCATCGAGTAGGTAAGCCAAAATAGATTGCGTAATGCCTGTTGTGTTTTTCGCGCACGACTGCCATGGGAGACTGTCTCATTATGATAAATGTTGGCACCGAGAAAGAACAATAAACGTGCGGCAATGGTACAAAAGTAATTGGCAGTCCATATGTTTCCGGATGCAAACTCATAAATAGTCTTTTCAGGGCGAGTTAGCTTTTCTAAATCCTCGAAAATCCTCATAGAATGCGAACGTCACTGACCAGCATGGTGACTGCCTGGGCACCCTCTATGTTGGCAAGTTGCGGCGATGTATGTGTAATAAGCAACTTGCATGTAAAGGCCAAGCCATGATAGTCCACAAACTCAGGTAGGGGATAGTTGTCAATGCCTTTGCTATGAAAGACGCATGACGAGAAGAGTAAAAATGCGATGACACATGCGCGAGAATTTAAATCTTCGAGACTGAACGTGGATCGTCCATGCCGATAGACTGATTTGATCGTATCTTCGAAGATTTATATGTCAATCACCGGAAATATTTGTTGTATAGCGAAATCGCTTTTGTAGGCTTCAAAGTAGCTGCGCACCACTTCAATTCCGGGTAAGGAAATCATGCTATGACTCGGTTCTGTATTCCAATCATCTTTCCCAGGACTTGACTGGTCCCATGAAATTACTCGTCCAGACCGAGCTTGGACCCATTGTCGACCCTCTGGTGAAAGGAACAGAGCAGACGTGAGTGAGTTGAACATGCCTAATTCCCGGCACGCAAACTGGCTATCCCCCATGGATAGAGCCGGAAGTAGATCCTCGCTGCTATTCCTTGCACCGGATGAGCCGCCTGTAGTTCTGCGACCATTCATAACGAATGGCTGAAGTGGCGATGCTACTTGAGTTTAGCTGCAACATTTCATTTCATGAGCCACTCGAAAGGAAGCTTACTGGAAGCGAGATGAGACGCGGGGATATTGGCAACCAAAGCCTGCTCAATATAGCTGATCCGTTCCGTTAAGCCTTGAACCCTTCGTTTGCTATTCTTATTGTCAGATACATACGGAATAGTAAACCTAAATTAATGATATGTAGATGTTACGTACCGGTAATCAACTCCACGTCTCTTTCTGCGCATCACACGCGTAAAGGTACAGGGCTGATCGTGATGATTGCACCAGTCACAACGAGGCTGTGCGGGGTCACATTTGATCTGAATTGTTAACTGGTGTCAGAAAAGCAGGGATGGGTACTGCGAACCTTGCGTTTGTGGCAGTTATCACAAGCGCGTGGGATGCCCTTGCGAGGGGCGTCGTTTGTAGCCATGGGAATCCGGAGAAATAGGGGGGATATGCTTCACCAGACCTCTGAGTGGCGTCTTAGCGGAGATCACCTGAAGAGCAATCATCTGGGCATGATGTCCAGGTGGCTTTACTCACTGAGCCCTCGAATACCCCCACAGAAGCTCACCCGACAGGAACAGAGCTTATATCACCCTAGGTCTTAAACAGGAACCGAGAGTTTTCGTTTTGTCGAGTGATACAGTACCTGTATCTTTCCCACATAGAATACTGCGCGAGCTGCTACGGGGCTGCTGAGCTACAGTGGTTTCTGCAGAATACTGAAAACTACCGCGATTGACTACGTCTCGGGTCACGGATCCAGCAATTTTCGAGAAGGTCTCGGTCATAGAACTTGAAAGCGACCTCGGAACTAAGAACGTTGGAAACTTCTTAGTACCTCACCTAGACCTGCCCAGGAGGGCACCGGCTTTAGGGCGCTAGGGCTAGCACATCCGCTTAGTCACGATTACTGGGCAGAGGTCAGGGGATCTTCAGCAGCCCTGGGCCCCTGGGGGGCAATCGTAGCTTGACTAAGCGGAGGTTCCAGCCCTGGAGTGGACCCGTCAAGCTCTAGAGATTGATTAAACTCATCTAATGACCTTCAAGCCAGGAGAGAGAAGTAGTGCACTGCCTCTTTTGATTTCATCACCCGGTCCTGGACATCAGCAACAGCGTCAGAAGGCAAACTCACAGTTCCAATAGGCAGTATTACATTCCCATCGGAGAGCCTTCTCTGGCGCTCTCTGCGGCTAGTTCCAACTATTAATGACTCGCTTGCTCTCCTTCTATTGCGGCAAATGCAGAAGGCTTATCCATCTGGAGTTCGACGATTAGTTTATGAGCATTACACTGACTCGCTAGAAAGAACCCTCTTGGCGGTCAAGAGCCAAATGCTCCAAGTGCTGTGAATCACTGTCTATAACGGTGGTAGGCCCAGGGAGCCCTGGTAATATTCCAGCTTTCTTAGGGAGGCAGTTAGGTGACGATTGGGGTGTCGTGGTAAATTGACCAAGGTTCGGTGTTCTATGAACGTATAGGCATGAGAAATATAGCCTGTAAACTCATCCGATTTGACATGTTCACCAGTTCCCTTCCTACCAGAGCAGCCCTTAATTACCTTTGTTTCACCGCGTTAAAGTATATACTTCGAGCCTCAATATCAAGGCTACCAGGTAGTTACGTTTGTCTTGATGCACAATAAATAAGATGTTAATATATTCATAGATGACTAGTGAACTATGTTCCAATTGTGATACCTGCATGTAGATACTATTGCCAGAGAACAAAGACATAGAAAGCACAGTTCTAAACAAGCACATATGAATCAAATTTTATAGGTTCATTCTATCTACAAAGCACATCTCCCTGTGTTGAATCCTCATCCAATAGGTAACTACATAAGTAGTGCATTGTGCATCAATAAAGATGAGCAGAAACCATGGCCACCAACTCTAGCAACAACAACGATGTCAGTGACATATAACGACATTCTCTTCCTTGCTCTGAGACACTCATCCAACACTTCGATATCTAGTACGCCCGAATCCCAACAATAATATGGCAAATCCGAACCCTCCGCAACAACCACGAGCTAGACGGCATCGCCATCTGGAACGCCATCCTCACCCTCCGATTCCCCCCAGCCCAAGGCTTCATCCACCCACAAATCCACAACATCTGGCACGGGGACCCTGACTCCTTCACTCTCGAACTCACCCACTTAAGATACGGCCAGCAGAACCCCGTTCTGGCACTGTACTACCGAAGCGTTAATCGGCGTGATGATAACCAATGGGACTACGCACAGCGCGCGCTGGAGATGTATCTTTCGGCTCGGTTTGGGGATCTCGCGGAATATGCGTTTCCGGTTTATGGGATCCTGGCGATTGGTGTGAAGGTGAAGGTTTTTACATACGATGGGCCGTCGAGGAGTATTGAGCCGTTTGTTCCGCCTTGGGATTTGGAGAGACATCACCAGCTGGTTTGGGATATGCTGGGCATGATTGCTGGGATTCATACCGGTGGTATTTCGGAGATGGGAGGTGGTGTGGATGTCTTGGGTGGGGAGGATAAGAAAGATGAGTGATGGAAATGGGGTTGGGATGGCTTGATGTTGGAAATCGATGGATCTGGATTGAGCTTCTGTTCATCAGGTGTATGCGGGTGCTACAGGTTCCGGGGTATGATGAGGATCATCATACTGTTCACGATTATGCTATGCCAGAAAAGAACACTACAATGAAGGGGTTAAATGACTACCAAGGCCAATTGGTGCATGGGGACCGAAAAAGCATAATAATTATTTTAAGGTCGTTGTGGGTGTTATCAAAATTTTCTTGTGCATTCAGATCTGATATGGGAATGCTTGGGGGATTGGTTACCTCGGAATTGTTGGATCAATGGGGGTATAGTGTAAGAAAGTCGCTCATGATATCATACAAAGTAGGCCAACGGGAAAGCTCCATAGTCATTGGCCCAAGGCAAATTACAGCAATATGCGTGGGGACCCTTCAGCGATCAATCGAGAGAGGTCGTATTGTCAGTCAGCTCATGGGGAGATACAGGCCTGGGCGAGGCTTTTGACAAGGCCTGAGAATCCATGGCGAATGACGAGGGTGACATGGAGAGAGGTGGGAAAGGCTCGGTTTGGTCGACGGAAAATCGGCGGCTTGATGACTCGCTGAGTGTCCTTTTAGGCGCATTGGGTTTATCCTCGTCCTTTATCATGACACTTGGATTAGTGGATGTTGTGGCAGCCTAAACCAGTACGGGTTAATTTTCTACTTTCAGTGTTCGCAGGAGGTGTCAAGTCACGTACCTTATCACTACCTCGCGGGTCAAGCCCTCGACTCAATGCCAGCTCGTGTGCAGCAAGCCTTTTTCTTGCAATCGCGGCCTCTTCAACCAATGCGGCCCGCTCCTCTTCTGTCTTCAAGTCTGCCATGGATGGAGTGCTAGCGCCCTGGGAGAATGCGGCGTTACTGTAAGAAGTGGATCGTCTTTGAGAGCGTTTCTTCTTCCGCTTTTTCTTGTCCACGGACGCGTCACCAACACTGGATGCAGATCCAGACTTGATAACCTCAGATTTGGCTCCGGATTGATCATCCGACTCTAAGCCCGTTCCACGGCGCCCGAAGGCAAGTGCGAATTCATCATCGAGAGGTACTGCATCTTCCTCTTCATCGCTAGGGAAAAGATCCCCGCGCGAGCTAAGAGAATTCTCCGTCGCACGAGATGACTGAGTCGCACTGCGATGCCTCCCGTTAATGTCGGGAGACAATCGGCCTGCGTCGTCATCCATAGCTTCCATTAGTGGTTCGTCTTCGTGCGCATAGCGCCGGGCTCCGGGATGTTCTTGAAGATCAGCAGCCGAAGGCCGGTACTTGACTCCTCTGGCACCAAATCTCCATGGAAAGCGCTCTAGAAAACCAAGCAATGAAGAGCTGGGGATCACAGTCGGGTCGGCGCGATTGTCCGGTATGTGTACGGTGCTTCTTCGCCTGGTATTGCGTGTCCCATAGCTCATCCTCCTAGGCCGGCGGGGTTGCTCTGCATTTCCGCGCGCCAGTCCGCTACCAGCGAGAAGACGGTCGAGTTCGCCGGACCCCCAACCTAGTAAGCCGTCGTCATCTTCTTCATTGTCCCAATCATCGTAGAAATCAAAGTTGGCCTCAGCTTGGCCGCGTCGTCGTCGCCTTAGGTGGTCTTCACGCCCTGGGAGGCAAGAGGCTGTACATGCAGCAATGCAGGTTCCAATGGATGTAAAACATGGTGAAATGTAATTGTGAGAGAAAGCGTAAATCCCTTCTTGCGCCGTCTCGTTGGCAGTCTCAAGGTTATACGAGATCTGGTTGATCCGCTGCCGGATGCGGGGGTCGCGCGATCGTATCATCTTGGGCAGCGACGAGAAGCGGCACGTCTGAATTTAGATCTTGGATGGTTCGCTCCACTGGCTGTCGCCGGCGACATTGGGAAAGTATTGGGGGAAATAGAGACAGGTGAAGTCGCAAGACGCATGCGATGATCCTAGATGCCTGCCCGAGCGCCCGTCATTGGTGGCTGAGTCAGCAGAACGGGTAGCCCTTTTGGGGGAAATTTGGTTGATGAAGATGCTGTGAAGACAAAGGCATAAAGGGAGTTGAGGCGAAAAGGGTATTCTCTTCGACCTTCAACATGGTCTACTATGTTCGGTTCTTGAAAACTCCCAGGACCCAGCAGCAGAAAGGCTCCCTCGTTATCTCAGCTCTTATCTGCATCACCACTGATTTGGGAGACTCTTTTCTCGCTGAAGATGCTGATTTGACGGTGACAGCCTATGGGCAATCTTCTGGGGCTACATTTGAAAAATCGACAAGATGGAATGCCAGTAATCGCGAGCTTGCCATCACCCTGGGTCCTCTCCCATCCCACCTGGCCCACCAGTCTATGGTGCTGACGGTGCAGGTACCACAGCTTCCAAGGCAAATTGAGCCTCGGTATCCGTCTATACCTTTAGTTGTTGGTGCGACAAGTGCACCGTTTGGGCCTCGTTCTACGCCAGCTGAGCAGTTGGTCCTACGCCGGATTAAGTACTCCAATACCGCGACCAGACCAATGGAGATTTGGGAAGAGACAGGAAATAGCATTGCTCGACACATATGGTAAGCCATTTTCTTTGTATCCGCGATAACCCTCTTGAGGTTCTAAACATAGACGTTTTCAGGGATGCTGGTCTCGCAACATGTACTTACATTCACATGACCCTCGAAAAATCAAGGACGGGGAGTAAACAGAGGAGCAAAACCACCGGATGCAAATTACCAGCTCTAGAACGGGCGCTATCCATCACCCGCGACCAGCCTCTCCAGGTGGTTGAGCTGGGGGCAGGATGTGGGATAGTGGGCATTGCCTTGGCACAGATGCTTCCCAACTGCTCGGTCTTGCTCACGGACCTCCCAGAGGTCGAGGAGATAATAACCCGAAATATTAATGCTGCCCAACCTGCCACCATGTCCACTCTTCACTATCAAAACCTCGATTGGGACGACCCGCCGGAGAACCTCTGCCCCCGGCCAATTGACCTAATTCTTGTCTCGGATTGCACCTACAATTCAGACAGTCTGCCAGCGCTAGTCGCTGCACTTGACCAATTGGTTCGGAGGTCCCCGGAGGCAATCATTTTGGTGGCCCTCAAAAGACGACATGACAGCGAAACCGTGTTCTTCGATTTGATGCGCTCTGCAGGCTTTACAGCGGTGCGGGATAGCATTCACATTCCCTCGCAATACGAGGAGGTGGATGAGATTGAGTTCTATTGCTACTGTCGATCAACTGAGCCAAATTAGCGTTAAAACCCGTGCAACATAGAAAAGAAAGGACAGAAGGAGACAAGCGGATTACGAGTCAACGGCCTTGAATGAAAGATGCACAGCAGCTTTGTTGCGACCACTCACTCTTACACCGAGGTAGGTAAATTCAGACCTAATACCTAGCAAAGTTCACATGCTCGACCGATCACTGATCTAGATCGGGAGCTTAACTCTAAACATACCGAGGATCCAGGTCAGCGAGCAAAATGTGAAGTTCGCTTTGTTTTTTTTTTTTTTTTTTTTTTTTTCTGCCGTCCAGCCCCTCGGTCTATTCTCTTTATACATATAAGCAGGTATTCCATAAGAGACAAGAAAGACAATCCTTGGACCCCACATCTAGTGTTCATGCCATCGATATCTTGTTAGAGGCTATGCATTGAGTCAGGTCGATCATTTTCGAGGATCAGGGTGTTGTAAGCCATATTCCCGCTGAGCATTCTGCTAATCCGCAGGCTGGGTTTCTAGTGCGCTGTCTTCCAGAATATTCATCGCAGATAAAATTTGCAGTTTGGGTCGACCCAGTGCATCCACTCTTCTTCGAGTGGAATCGTAGCCCCACCTGTAATTTGATTAATGAACATGTATAGAACAGAGCAAGTCAGAGTGCTAACACCAAGTGAAGATGAGACCGATAGGGCCTATATGAGGTATTTGCCGGAGTTGGCTGGAAGTATCGAGCGTAGCAATGGCACCGAACTGGAGAGTCTGCTCTGACGTTCATGACGAACGCATTTTTCTGACACTCATGGGGACCCACTATTTAAAGCTTTCGCCTAGATATTTTTGGCGAAGACCTTTTCTTTTCGTTTTGGTTCGAGGGCTCCTTGGTGCTTGTGGCTAGTGACTGGATCGAAAATGAGCTATTGCGAGCCGAGTGTTGGCCAGGACTAGGGCTCTGAAGCAGGAAAAACGAGTAAGCTGAGGTGGTCCGTGCGTGGGAGTGGACTCGGTGGGATCCCACGTCATATGCGTTCTCGGCCCAGGAGCTCAATGCCCCGACAACAGACACGGGCTCACGACTGCCGGTGAAAAACCTGCAAGGAAATCACTGCGATCTGGTTTATAGGTATGGAGTATACAGTTGTGCATGAAAAATACGCACAGGGGGCAGTATGTTGTACATCGACGATATGGCCACGTATCCACGCACTCAGAGGTACAGAGTACCTGGATTCTATTTAAATGTTGGATCGTCAAACAGGGATATACGCCCTCGCAGACAAATCAGAAGCAGCATATACCTATCGTACACCGCTGCAATCAAATCCAGCAATTCCGAGGGGCTGCACGGGATTTGACCTGCATCATGGAATACGTTGCAGAGATGCACCCTGGGCATGGACCTATGGTCCCCGAAATAAGAATGGATGCCTAAAAGCAAGCTCTAAGAAAAATAATCGCGCAAGCTTGTCTGGAATAGAACTAGACCTGATACAGAGTGAAAACACCGAAAGAAACAGACTTGGCCCGGTTGGGCGTCCAGGGCTCCCAGGGCTCCCAGGGCTTCCAGGAAGGTGAGTAAGCAACGCGGTTTTTTCCCCACGAAAGGGCCCCGTCATCTCCAGATTTCTCTCCCAACTCTCTCCCCTTTTTTTTTGGGTACAGCTGATTTACAAGGTGAGTCTTTTATTTCCAACCTGGTTTCGGATGTCCGTGTGTGACCTGTGCGGTGTTTGATGTCCCCAATCGTCGTGTGCCCTAAGCTCGCTCACTGCCCCCCTCCAAAAAATTTCTCAAATTTTCAAAATCTGGACTGTCCTCTCATCCGTCCTTTTTTTTCTCTCATAACTACCAGAGCACCTGGACCATCATAACCAGGCTTGCTAACTTTTTTTTCTTTTGGTTCTCAGACTTGTTGCTTCGGTCCTTTGGTCCACCTCTCACACTCCCAGCCTTTGGAATCCCCAAAGGCGATTCGGTCATCACGGCTCCAGTAGCCTCCCTTCTGGTTCTCAGCCAAATTGTCTCCACTCGACGTCTCCGCGACACTCTTAACAACATTCCACCTCCTGGTCTTCTCTGAATTCTCGTCCGGTGCGCCTCCTTTCGTCCCGTTGACGCCCCCGGAGATTATTCCCTCGTTCTCTGAGCTGCCGCATAGGACTTCTTCGAAGGTTCTTCCTCTTCAGGGGGAAGGGTCTAGGAGGCTTGGTCCAGTCAACTACGGTTGTGACACATTTCGTCCTCCCTAACGCGCAGTCGCCTGCCGATTTTTAAAAATCTTTTCTATTATCTCTCTCTTTCTGTGAAAATTGTGCTGAGTCGCAGCGGCATGGTTATGGCACCGACTGCGTGTGTATCGACTGCTGAAATATGCACTTTCAAAAAAAACTATATCAATAGTGCCGACCATCTCGGTCTGGTCAGCAGTCATGGCGGGGACAACAATTTGTTGCAATCGTCGTTGGCTGCCAAGGAATTGGTTCTGGATGTGTTGAGGAAGCGTGCGGCGGAGGTGGATGTGGAGCACTGTGGTGCTGGTGAGGAGGATGCTTTCTATGTGGCGGACATGGGGGAGGTCTACCGCCAGCATATGCGCTGGAAGATGAACTTGGGCCGTATCAAGCCCTTCTACGGTAGGTCTTTCACGATCACGGGATCTCACCCTCCAGAGCCTTGCTAACCAGTATCCGCACAGCTGTCAAGTGTAACCCTGACCCGGAAGTCCTCCGGCTCATGGCCCAGCTTGGCAACGGTTTCGACTGTGCCTCTAAGGCTGAGATTGAACTGGCTCTTCGGACTGGCATTGATCCCAGCCGCATTATTTATGCGCAGCCTTGCAAGACTAAGTCCTACTTGCGCTATGCCTCTGAGGTTGGCGTTAAGCAGATGACCTTTGACAATGCCGACGAGCTATACAAGATCAAGGCCACTTTCCCTGAGGCGGAGCTTTACCTCCGCATCCTGACCGATGATTCGACCAGTCTGTGCCGCCTGAGCATGAAGTTCGGTGCCTCCATGGACTTGGCTCGCCCATTGCTTGAATTGGCTTATAAATTGGACCTCAAGGTCGTCGGTGTGAGCTTCCACGTCGGATCTGGTGCTGAGGATCCCCGAGCTTTCCTGAAGGCTGTTCAAGATGCACGCTTGGTCTTCGATCATGCCGGAGAAATCGGCCACGAACTCCACACTCTGGATGTCGGCGGCGGTTTCTGCCAGGATACCTTCGAGAAGTTCGCGGGCATTCTAAGTGAAGCCGTGGATACTTACTTCCCACCGAACATCCGTGTCATCGCCGAGCCCGGTCGCTACTACGTAGCGACTGCCTACACTCTGGCCGCCAACGTCATTGCACGCCGTGACATCCCGGATCCCGTGGATCCCTCCCGTGACGCTTTCATGTTGTACCTCAACGATGGTGTCTATGGCAACTTCTCGAACATCATCTTCGATCACCAGCACCCGGTCGCTCAGGTTCTCACCTGCGCCTCGGACGACTCCCAGCCTGGTTCTCCGAACTCTGCGACTTCGGAAAACATTACTTATTCCATCTGGGGCCCGACTTGTGATGGCATCGATGTCATCACCCAGCGCATCGAGCTGCCTGCTCTGCTGAACACTGGTGACTGGCTCTTCTTCGAAGAGATGGGTGCCTACACCAAGTGCAGTGCTACTCGCTTCAACGGATTCTCCGACAATCACGAGGTGATCTACATCTCTAGCGAGAATGGTGCTTCTGCTTTGCTGAACTACTAGTTTAAAAAACTTTCTTCGTTCTATAACTGTCTGCTGTTTTGTGATTTTTTGGTTCGAAATACTTTCTGTTTGATGACCTCTGATTGTCTAATTGATTATATTTCTTGCGTTTTCGATGCATATTCCATTGCGTTTTTTCGCGCCCCTAGACGGTCAATTAGAATATAGAGCTCGCCTTGTGTTGCGTCGACATTTTTTTTTACATAGAAACCGCCTGTTAATTCTTGTGGTTGATATTCTGCGCCGTGGTTACGACTCATACTGCCTTCGAGCGCAACTAAAATGACTTGGTGTTTGAGTATCAGTTGTATCATGCTCTATCATCACATTTACAAGGTATCATCGTGAGAAATTAGTTACACCACAGCACAGCAACTATAAACAGATGGAGCCGGCTCCATCAAAATCTAGACCAAGCGCTCCACACTCAACTCCACACCGTCCCCTTCACTCGCCTGGACCAATCCTCCAGCCTCAAGCTTCTTCTTCCACTTAGCCGACTCATATCTGGCCAAGATCAACGTAATGCGTGCAATGACCGCCGGATCAGCAGATTCCGCAACCACCTCAGAAGGCGTACAAGTCCAGCGTCCAAACGCCCAATTCAGAATGTAATACTGAACTCCAGACGTCTCAATCTTCTTTCTCTCACCCAAATTGTCCGAGCTCTCAGCCGGAAGATCCTCGTTCGAGCACCGCACAATGCCCTTAATGCGATAAACCTCCTCACGAGGCGCGGACGCAAGCAACCGCTCCAAAGCGGCAACATCCACCGTCTTCCCCTGCCCCGCAGACTTCAACACAACAGAAAGAACCTCAACCTCGGACTGATGATCATGCTGATGATCATGCTGTTGACCATCATGACCATCCAAAGCCTCCTCAGACTTAAACAAAGCCCCATCAATCCCTAACAAAACATCCATATCCACCCTCCCCTTATTCGACTTCACCCAGGGCGTCTCAACCTCCAAATCACCCACCCGATCAAGACAAATATCAAACCGCTCCGGCAGATCCTCCCATTTATTGAAGACGATTAAATCCGTATACTTCGCCTGGATCTTCGCCGTGTACGACGTATCCTCATACCCCTCCCAATTCTCCACATCGATCACGCTGATGACGCCGTCGAGGACGAAATGCCCCTGTTCCCGCGCAAGCCGGTTTACCTCCATCGCGAGCGTTGCGGGGAATGCGCTGCCGCTGGTCTCGATGACGATGCGGTCGGGCTGCACTTCGGTGCGTAGCTGGTCCAGGGCATCGCTGAGTTGGCCGACAAGGTTGCAGCAGATGCAGCCGTTGAGGAGTTCGCGGACTCCGCTGATGGATTGCGTGGACGCGAGTTGGGAGTCGACTGCTACGTCGCCGAATTCGTTTTTGAGGAGCGCGAGCTTGTACGTTTTTGGGAGTTGCGGGATGAGGTTGAGGAGGATGGTTGTTTTGCCGGAGCCCAGGAAGCCGGTCACAATTGTTATAGGGATTGGTGCCATTTTTGAAACGGTTTGGGGCGTCTTTTGTATAGGTGTTTGTTGCGTTCCTGACGTTGGCGGGATGTCGATGGCCCGCCGATGACCCGCCGATGGAGGGGCTAGCCCTGGTTATGGAGCCCTAATTACCCGTTTGGGCTGGTATACTCACGATGACTCTTTTTTCAATGGATTTTTGTTTGTTGATGTAGGTATTTTGGATCGACCGATCCATTCATATTGTAGTCTTTTCTCCCATCTTCCGTGTATATGGATGAGATTTGCCTAGCTTCAGTCTGATCTGTTGGGATCAACGCTCCGCTATGATATCATCCAATATAGAGAGCTTGTCCATACCACAATCTAGGTGAAATTCCTGTTGAAAATAGCACGAAGTAACCATATCTATGGAGCTCCAAAGGGGCCGGTTGCAGTACAACCCCCATTGGAAACATAGAAGTACAGACTGAGGAGCACTGGCAGTCAAGCTCGCCAGAGATAGATTGTCAGTCTGTCTCACTTTACTACAGATATGTCGATATGATTCCAGGATATATAAACGTACGTTGGGATTGGGCCTCGTCTCTAATACCATACAAAAGGATGTGTTTTCTATCTAATCCAACATGAATGACAACTTGGTACTGAGTCCGTTGAAGTCGAGACCTCCTGAGAGACAGAGAACATCATTAATCGGCGAGAGCGTGCCCCCGATCAATGCCCAAAGACGAGAACGCCCGAATGATGGGGACACCGAGTCTAATTAGGCCACAAATGAATTCGCTTGTGTACACATGGCCAAGGATGATATCTCTTCCCTTCCCCGGGCCTCCATCGAGCGATGCCCCCGTCGCCTCGGGTGCTGTTAGCGATTGGGGGGATAGTAGGTGTGACTATTCCCACTGGCTGGTGATGAATTACTGACTGATTTCTCCATTGTTTCTAGCGTGAAGATGGACGCGATTTGTCAACCTTGGCTCTACCACGGTGACCTGTTTCGGAATCGGTCTCGCTTCCTGGTTGACTCCTTGCCGAAGATCGCCACACCCCCCATGCCCATCAAGTTATTGCCGTTTCTCCGGGGCACCATACCAGGTCCTGGATATACAGAAGAGGGTGATATGGCTCCAGATGCATGAAATAGTTCCCATGAATGACCACCGCGTCGGGGGTTCGCTCGACCAAGCTATCTGTGCCACTCTGTCCAATCGCAAAGGCTGCAATTGGGCCTTGTGTTATTTCCCGCGCGTTTAGGCCTTCCCGTGAATTTCGGTGGAGACTATAAACAGATTGTGGGCTGGATATGAGGGTTGGGTGTATATGAATGGCTATGCGCTGCATTGATGTCAACTGCAATATGATCGCATCGACAAGTCTGGTATGGGCCTCCACAACCGAATCGTGTTCGCCTGCTCATGCCCCTGTCATCGAATGCGTTCCGCCCGATATCCGTGTGCTGGAAAGAAGGGCCTATTGCCACATAAGTCCCGCGTCGACGAGCTGTTTTGTTGATGGATCGTTGCAGCTTCGTGTATGGTCGATATTTGAAGGGAATTTCTATGTCTGCGCTTGTAGATTCGTTGGAGAACATCCTTGCAAAGGTGACAGCTTACTTAGAGGTGCCTTTAGACGGATCGGAGAGATAGATTGAATGATGTATCTTACAGAATAGAGGAATTTGCAGTTACAGGTGTTGCATATGCTATATTCCAATTGCTTTCTCGTATCCTGTTCCGTCGCACATTTTATCATTTCCTGGAGACAGCCCGATCTGACTGGACAAAAGCTCCTTGAATCGTAGCGCTTAGCAGGAGACATCTAAAGTAGAGAATCAATCACAACCGGGAGACAGCGACAGCGCATCACTTATGGTGTATCTAGTCATAATGGCCGAAGCGCCAAATGCAAGATCATGCCGCTGCCAGAAGGCTTTGATTTGATCTCTAGAAACATGACATAGAAGGCCAAATCGGCCAGACCCACGGCCAGACCCACAACAATACTAGGATCATGTCTCGCCACCTCTACGTCAAGTCCTGGTGTGTGGACGACATACCTTTGAGCTTCGGGACGAAAGGCAGTGGCCTACTCGTCACGACGGGGATCAACGTAGGTGTCTACCAGTTCTATAGGGGCCGTAGGATACGTCTCCTGGACACACAAGGGTGCGACACCGGAGACAGGAAGCCTATATCCGTCCAAATGGGTCTGTTAGACGAGACAGATGGACTTATACTACAGTCATCTTCGGAGGAGTCACTTCTAACAAGTGATGAATGTCTATCTCAAGGGTGGAAGCTGTTTACCGAAGATCCCAAGTGGTCCTGTTCATTTCATGTCCTTGTTAGGTAGGCCCACACATACAAATGCAGGTCGTCTTCGGAACAAATACCATTGACTGTTGTATCATTTTCACCTCAATTGGAATGGTCTCTCTCATAGATTGTCCTCATGATCACCTAGGGCAATGTTTACTTTGCCCTCACTGTAGTAACTCTTTTCTTGAGGGTATAAATAGGGCCTCCTCCCCCATTCTTCTTTTTTTTTTCTTTCTCTCCTCCATCCTCTTCATCATTCCACTTCCATCCTTCCTGGATGACCTTCCTTCACTGGCCTCACGTGTCCACTCTACCAGTGTTTCATCTTTTATCCATCTCTCATCTTCAGTCAACACTGATCAGCCTCATCACTTGTTTACCTGATCACTTGTTTACCTCTTCACGTCTTCACGTCTTTACTTGATCATGTCCTTACTTGATCACTTGATCACTTGATCACTTGATCACTTCATCACTTGTTTACCTCTTCACGTCTTCACGTCTTTACTTGATCACTTCATTACTTGATCACTTCATTACTTGACCATGTCTTCATGTCTTTGCTTGATCATGTCCTTACTTGATCACTTGTTTACTTCTTCACTTTATGTTCACATGACTCCTCTATGCATACACACCCGAGTCACCTCACCTGACTTCCCTCAGCCCTAACATGACATGGGCTGTCACCATCCTACTTCATGCATGGTCTCTACCTACATCGACGTGAACACTCTACAGACGAGATGAGAACATGATGGGGAAAGGGATCTTGGTCTCGGTTTGTTTACAGTTTGGAACTCCACTCGCAACGCTGACTACCTACTAACAACCTTTGTATACAAAGGTCACGACGCGTCACCTCAACCATTTGTCGTGTCTGTTTATTCCGATGACCTCCTCCTCCCTTCCATCCCTTCCCTCCCTCAGCGAGCACCATGCACGCTTCGATCCTCCGGTCCTCCGAACTTTGGTGGTAAAAAAAGTGCTGGCGAGGGATGCAGGAAAGGGAAAACGGATTCTTCGAACTTTGGTGGTAAAAAAAGTGCTGGCGAGGGACGCAGGAAAGGGAAATTGGATTTTGTTCATCACAATATGGACCTGGCTACACATGCTGTAGCATCACAGTCTTTCTGGGCTCGGCAGCTGCTGCCATGGGACACACCTTGGCCCCCACACCAGCCCTTGTCTTGGACCATCGGTCACATCATCGAATGGAGTCATGGCCTCTGACCAACATTCCCCATCAAAGAAAAAAGAAAAAGAAAAAGAACAACAACAAAAGGAAAAGGAACATACTCGATCATTGGCACAAAGACTCAGCACACTGGTTTCAGCTGATGATACCACACACAAAAAAAAAAAAAAAGAAAGAAAGAAAAAAAAAGAAAGAAAAAGAGAAAAGGAAAAGGAGTTTGCTCTCTGGTTTCGGAAATCTTTGAAGCTTGGAACTTGGACAATCTTGTCTTATCATTGAGGAAAGAAAATGATCATATCACTGAATGGAAACATGAAATTGAAATGAAAGAAAGAAATGAAAGAAAGAAATGACTTGATACTTGGCTTTGATAAGGAAGAACAATACAAACATTGATGATACCTCATGATTCTAATTCGTTTCAAATCACTAAAATTGTGAACATTGTTGACTTTATCTATCCTGGTATTCTAAATCAAATGGCACATGTACCTAGAACCACAACCTTAGATCGAAGATACAGCCTCCCTGCCCTTGAAAGGCTCAATGCCTGTATATGACACTTTATGGTACCACGAAAGCTAGTGCGCATGTCCTTTGAGCTGCCAGTTCATTGGCCATGACGGTGTCAATTAACCAGTGAGACCAACTAGACTGGACAGAAAGACTCAACGTCCGAGAGCCAAGAGCTCTGATTAAACAACCATACACACACAGTCTTGTTTCAGGGCTCCACTTGTATATTGTAGTCTAAGATGTAATTTTGCCGGCACAGTGTTCCCTTCCACCAATATCTCGATAAGAGCTGGGCATAGAAAGCTGTAAAAACAAAATCCTTCACACAATCAGTCTCAGCATAAGAATCTCCATGGCCTAAAATGACTCACGTCTACAAACACCAGACTCATGACATTCAGTGCCTCGAAGTCGATCGATATTTCGACCCCGTCGTTCCCGTAGTCGGTCTATCGCTGGCTCTATTCCATGATCGATACTCGGATCGCTGGCGACGGGAGTGACGGGCTGGTGCACCGCGGTTCGTCACGACGGAGTGGTCTGTCGTATTCACGGACTGCTGGTTGTGGTCTCGGTTGGAACCGGCGTCGCTGCCTGAACGAGTAGAGCTTGTGGACCGGGAGCGCATTTTGATATTATGGATCTTGGAGAATACGAATTCTTAGAACGATAGTTATTGGATTCGGTGATATGTCAATGAACCCCAGAGGTATTGGCGCTCTCTTATACGAGGTGGCGGCGGTGGCACACTTGAGCCAGACCTTGGATATTTGACTTCATTGTGAACATATTTTGATGCAACCTGAGATCCAGACACTTAAGAACTGATTTTATCGAATCATAGGCGTTGGCCTATATTTTGCAGGTGGCTATGGAACCTGTAGACATTCAAGCATGTCCTATTGAGGCGGAGTATAACTAACTACCACCCTATGGAATGGGCGCGTCTCGTATCAATTTTGAGCCCTCCTATATATTCTACACCTCACAATATTTATCTAATCCATAAGACGGTAAACAATACTCTGTATGGGTGGTAGGCAACCAATACCCATTGACCTGAGCGCGGGCCCGGCAGAAGGAAACGTTGAGTTTAAAAATCCGATAAAAAGGCGGAGACGCCAAAAAGAATCCAACGTTGGGATTCTCGAAGATCTTTTGCTATACCACTCCGATCCTCTGAGACTTCATCAAAAGTCCCTTGGTACCCTCCGTCGGATCGGGTTAGTTGCCTACTTTAAATCCAACTACCTTCAGAGGTTCCACTATGCCGGGTCCCAAGATCACGTTCTATGTCGACCTCGTTAGCCCATTTTCATACCTTGGATACCACATCTTACGGGTATTATATGTCCTAAAAGCGCGGGAATCCTTTTTTTTATTAATGTGAGATGAATTTAGAACTCCTCGGCCTTCAAAAAATGCGAAATCACATACGTTCCAATTTTCTTAGGAGGGTTGATGCATGCATGTGGTAGCAGTCCGCCAATCACCATCAAGAGTAAGTAAAGCCCCTGTGCAGAAATCCCCGGACGGTGAGCACGTACTGACTATTTTTTCGCTATTATCAGACAAGAAGGAATATTTAGATATGCAGCGAGTCCGATGGGCCGGGTACTTCTCAGTCCCGATTGTTAAGGAATTCCCGAAAGGTTTCCCCTTCAGCACATTACCCGTGCAACGTGCGCTGTGTGCCGTCTCTCAGAAGACACCCGAGAAGCTCCCTGCCGTCCTTGACGCGCTGTTCCACGCTGTCTGGGTGCAAGGGAACACATCTGTCGGAGAGCCTGATGGCTTTGCGTCCCCCTTGGAGGGTGTACTTGGGAAGGAAGAGACGCAATGGGTTTTGTCTGCAGTAAGTCCATTATGATTGTGCTAGATATTCTATTACTCTTGTGCAGGAATGCGACCGCAAAGCCAAAAGCTAGCTCGGAGTTAACTCGTCCCGTAGATGAAACAACCGGACATCAAGGCCCTTCTGACCGCGAACACTGATCGTTCTTTTAGATCTGGGGCTTTTGGACTGCCATGGTTTGAGTGCACGAATTCCAAGGGCGAGACCGAAGGCTTCTGGGGTGTTGATCACTTGGGCCAGGTCGCTGACTTTTTGGGTTTGGATCGCGCCCTCGATAGGGGATTTAGAGCAGCTCTCTAAGAACCAGGCGAGATCGGGAATTGTAAAGTGAAGTGCTTGAGAATTTAACATTGAAGTAATATGCGTCTCTGCGAAATTTAATTTAATGTGTTGAGTGATGAACGAGGATCCTGTCCCCTACAGTGTAAAATGGAGAAGCGATCAGCACCATCTGCAATGCCCAACCAAACGCGCCGAAAAAGCAGACTGATTCCAATCTCCATTCAATAGAGATTGGACCCAAAAGCCCATAATTATATCCAAATCTATCTATTTCGGTAGTTGCAGATGCTTGTTGCTCATATGTTTGTCTCTCAGAAAGTCGCAAATTTGTTCGTCACTCATGTTGTCAATCCGTTCCTGTTCTTCGCGCGACGCAGCGGTAAGATCTAGAAGTACACCACCCTCGTCAATAACCATGACGAATAAACTCATCAAAAAGAACAAACCTTCGGATACTGTCTCTTCAGCCCCCTTGGCGCCACCTGAAAGAGCGCTTATCTGGTCTTGAACGGTATGTAATGCCCCCTGCGCAGCAGGGACCGCACTGTCCATAATAATCTCCTTCACGGCGCCAGCCTTTTCTTGAACGACGGACCCCACGGAATTCCCGATCTCCGAAAGTGAACTACCAGCAGTCATCGAGTCCAATTGGTGTTTTATGCCTGCAAGTACACCTTCCTGCCCCTCGTCATGGACGGGATTGTTCGCCTTCACCTCTGTCTCCGCCTGAGCTCGTTGTTCGCGCGCGACATCGGAATCCAAGTATAACGAGTCGGTGGAAGCGTTCGCGTTCGCGCTCATGATAATATGTTTCGGTGTTTTATAGAGGGGGTATTTTTCGCATTCTGGGAACGACACGGGCGCGTGAATCACGATTCGGAATGATAGGGATTATGCTGGGTCGTAGGGCTGAGGCCTGACGTAGGGCTGAATCCGGGTGTCTGGTCTTCTCCGATTGAATTCTGGGGTGGGGCGCTGGAGGGGCTATGACATTCGACAATGGAGTGATAGATGGTAATTCGTTCGCCGGAATAGGCAGCAGGCATTCAATTGGAGATTTGGCCTTGTTTCAGTGGTCTTTTGTACGTCGGCCAAGATGTCGGGGTCTGTCATTTGCCAATCGATCGTTCCTGGTAATGACGTCGTTGGGTTCCACCGTGGAGGGAGGTTGCAATTAATCTACGATACTGGGGATAGGCAGTTGTTCTGTTCTTGTTTGGAGAGGAGTTCCTTGTCTATTTGCATGGTCTTGGGGCTTTGACTCAGGGTTCGACAGATTTGAGTGCTTTGTGGGTGAGTCTCCTACGAGGAAGAATGTTGGCACCTAGGCTGAGATCGGGCCTAAGCTCCACTCTGATCGCCACGTCTTTATTGGAATTTGATATTAATTAAAGCAGTGGAGATTCCCTTCCGCTCTATCCTGGGCTATATTCTATACTAAGCCATGCGAGGTGACGCAAACGCAATACACTAGTTGTAGATCGCAGCCTGAAGACCAGGAATGATCTCGAGATCTTTTGGCTTGTATGTATACTTACCCTCAGTTGAAATCTTGACATCGCGATGTCTTCGTTGCTGTTGGGTTTGCCGCACTCTAACCCACTCTTCAGTTGTAAGGTGCTGCCCAAGTTCAGTGAACACATTAGTAGTCAAACCAAGTCGTTGAAGGACGGGGCTGTTCCGGATTGGGTCGAGGACAACATGGTTGTTGGGCCTTTATTCATCAGTCTCTTGATATACAGCCTTGTAGGATTATTGACAAGACTTACCGCGCGAAGTACAGCACACCCAAGCGGTCGATGTGGGCCTGGTCAGCAGGTGGTGCATGCACCCGATGAATGCTTGACTTGATTAATCCACCAGTAAGTGCTGTCAAAGCATCGCAGGTGTTGATAGTAATAGTACCGTCCTGCGGTTTCACCCATTTCCACTCGTTCTCTGAATTGAGAATTTGGAGTGCTGCCACTGGTTGCCGGAAAAGAAGGGTGACTGTTCCCAAGTCCGTGTGACCGGGGCTGTAAAGCTCGCCGACCTGTTTGTTGTCTTCGGTGCTGCGAGCTGCATAATGCATATAGTGCATAATGCATATAGCGCAGATGATCCTCGCCCTTCACATCGTACTGGTGATCGCGGACTAGTTGGTCCTCATCCGGCAGCTCGAGCAGGATTGCGAAGAGACGGAGCAGTTTCTCGACGACCTCGGTGTGACATTTCTACATTTCTCGTGAGTTGAAGGGTTCAATACGTCAAGAAAGTGGTATTTACCCGACTAAACTTTTCAATCTCCTTGATATTGTCTGCGAGAACCGAGGGCTGGGGTCGCTCGTGGTAACCATCGAACTTCGGAAGGTTGTACACCTGGACATTATCCTTGACACCATTTCCTAGGCTGAGATACCAGATGTCAGTTGATGTCCACGGCATCTTCAGGGACGGTCTTCTCACATTCGGTGTCCTGCAGGACGGTAAGAGTTGTACTCTCCTCTTTCAAGGTCACTGGCGCTGTGAAACTTGAGTTTCTCTTCAAGTGGCAAGGCATAAAATTCCCGCCCTAAAGCGAACTGGTTGTCAATCTCTTCTTGGCTGATGTTGAAGTTCTTCACATAGAAGAACCCTATTTTTAATAGCTAGTCAGCGCTAGAGCCAAGGAGTTTAGTTAAATTTTGATTTAGGGGAATTAGGTGGCGTTGGGACATGATAGTCTTGGTATCGATATCCGCCCTTGGCATGGAGATCACAGGGAGCTACGACTTACCAACATTTCTGACAGCATGATCGAGCTGCTTGACAAGGTCCTTCTTGCCACCTGGTTGTTCGTACTGGCTCAAGTCCAGTGTGATAAGCTCGGCCCAGTCAACTAGTTCACAGAGTCACATCAGCCTTATACACCCACTACTATATCAGGCGAACACTCCTCACGGTTTTCTTTGGTCACAGGGACTTGGTCATATTTCTCGATATACTGTGCCGGCATCTTACGAGATTTCTGATGTTCTGGTAGTGAATCCCAACGAGCTCGAAGGTCTCCTTGTCAGAATCAACACAACACCTCTGTGGGAGAACTACGACCTATATAATGCGCTTCGCACTTCATTCTGGCCATATACCCCGCATGACATACCCCAGCTGGCAAGAGCACGCAATCACATTGTGAGATGAGGCCTAAGATAACGGATAATATTCGGATGTTTTGCGGTAGGCCAAAATGTGCGCACGCCATCCTTTATCGGCATGTCGCCTCCACCGACGCATTAGAGTCAACCACACACAAGCTAATGCCAACTCGAGATGCATTCCCGTCTCCAAGACGGCTGGTATGGTGATCCAGATGTACTAGATCAGTGATTGTGCCAGCGGGCGGGGAAATTGATCAATATATCGCCGGGTCGGGTACACCTTCCAGGGTGCCGCGGAGCCATCATTAGCCTTGATACCTATAAATACCAATGACTATGGTCTTTTAGACGCTGAACTTTGCGTCTTACATTTTTGGTAGATAATATCGGATGTCTGAGAAGGCATTGACTCCCATGTCGGACCTGAAATCGAAAACTCGGAGATTGTCCTTGTTGGGACTTATCAAAGAGGTGTTCAATTGGTATCCGTCTTCCTATCCTAGCGAGGAAAGAAAGTAAGCAGAATTACGTATTTCTTTCACTGAGAAAACGCTGATGAAGTCAGACTATTGTTCAAATTGGACTTGTCAATTCTTATCTTCGCCTGTCTCTGTTGTAAGTATACGGGCCACACTAAGATTTGTACTTCAGCAACTAATGAAATTGTATAGACTTTGTCAAATACCTGGGTAAGCTTGCCACTGATATTCAATGCCTTTTCACTCGATACTAATATGCCACAGACCAGACAAACATCAGCAATGCATATGTCAGTGGTCTGAAAGAAGACTTTGGCCTATACGGCAATGAGCTTAACTACTTCAACATATGTTACTATACATCATATGTGCTATTTCAAATCCCGGGTTTACTACTTATGTCCCGTCCAAAATTGTGAGCTCAAGTGGTTGAAGATGCCCACATATAGCAACCATTGACCCGCATTACTAGGGCTCGTTGGCTATTACCTAGCCTCGAAATCCTCTGGGGTATCTGCACATTTGCCCAGAGCCGTGTGACAAATGTCAATCAGATCTATGCCCTTCGTTTCTTGGTTGGGATGCTGGAAGCACCTGTGTTCGCCGGAACCCATTTCATTCTTGGTGAGTCTGAGTTGCATGAGTATCTTCTTGGAACCATTTGACTAATGAGATATAAGGATCATGGTACACGGGCCCTGAACTATTCAAAAGAGCTGGTACATGGTTCATTTGTAACCCACTCGGTACTATGGTCAGTGGATACCTACAGGCGGCCGCTTATACCAACCTGTCGGGGGTTGGCGGTATGCCTGGTTGGAGGTGGTTATTTATTATTGACGGCATATTTACCATCCCCGTGGCATTGATTGGATACTTCATCTTTCCCGGTATTCCAGGCTCTCCGAAGCCATTCTTCCTGACGGACCATGATATTGCATTGGCCAAGGAGAGAACCAAGAGAGCTAAGATTCGCCAGCCTGGAAAACTGAATCTTGATGTGTTTAGGAGGGCCTTCAAGCGATGGCATATTTGGCTATTCGTTCCTCTTTACGTGTAAGCTCTATGTACTTCAAATCTGGAGTTGGATAATGCTAACAAATCTGTTAGATGCATGATCATCTGCTCTTATCCAAATAGCTATATGAGCCTGTGGCTCAAAGAAGAGGGATACTCCGTTACTCAAATCAATCAGCTCCCCACCGCCACTTATGCTATTAACATCGTTGTCTCCTGGCTTGGAACGACACTGGCTGAAATCTATCCCGAGTGGATCATTTATACCATCTCTTCGGCATGTTGTCTGTTTTCGACATTATGCATGATCATATGGGATATTCCTACGAGCCTGAAGTGAGTTCTCTTTTCAATCATCTTCCAAACACGGGTCCTAGGCTGATGATTATTTTCAAAGATTTGTTGCCTGGTACGTTTTTGGAGCAGCTGGGTGCTTGAGTCCAATCTTGTATTCCACCATCAATGTCATAGTCAGGGACGATGCCGAAGAGCGTGCTCTTATCATGGTAGGCCATCTTTCTACGATCTATAAATTGCGAAAGACTTACTGACTATCTTGTGTCTGGCGCTGCAGGGTTCCATGATGACATTTGGCTATTCGTTCAACATCTGGGTTCCTTTGCTGGCATACCCAACTGCCGGGCCCGACGGTGCACCGAGATGGCGAAAGGGATGGCCAATATCATTTGTCTTCTTCTTCCTTTTATGGGCAGGATTTATGGTCGCTATATTTATATGGAGAAGGTAAAAGTCGATTATCACATTTTGGTGGATATCCAGCTAACATATCATTCTAGGGAGCAAAAGAAGGAAGTCCTCCTGGCGTCCCAGGAGACTAGTGATGAGGAGAGGGACGCTATCTCAGTTGATGGAACCCCAGCGTTGAAAGAATGAATATAGATTCTAGCTACAATAACTAGAACTGTCGTCGATGGGAGGTGGCGAGCCCTGCTGTCATGCACTTTGAACGCTTTTGCGGTATATCCCCAGTGGATGTCTCTCTTGGCCCTACAAAATATATCTCATTTACAGTGATATCCTCTCCTTTGATTGCGCTAATCCCGAGGGCCTCGGGCTAAGTGAATAATAATCGCATGGCACAAATATATAACTTTCTCAGCTATCCAGTTTATTGGGGTATCTGCACCTGCTACAATATGAACATCCTCACCAAGCCTTTCTGGGCGGGAATATTATCTCAAAGCTAATCATTTAATTTCCAAAAGCTCTCATAACAGCAAGACCAGCCAGAGAGCCCGATGCAACCCGATTGTGACCTAAAAGATTGCTAGTCAGTTTGTCGAATCTATCACGCCGAAGGATGGGTTCAACATACCACCATATCGAATCCGTTCCCATCTGACCGTCTTCACAATCTCAGTGCCATCGCCGTTCTGGATATCATGCTTCCAGATCTTGATCTCACTTGGGCTGCCGTCCTCGGTCTTGTGATACGTCAAAGCCCCAGGGCCACCTTTAATGTTCTCGCCTGTGGCGGCCACCCAGACGCGGCGTCCCTCATACCAGGGAATTTCAGCATCATCAAAGGCGTGAACAATCGTCAGATCGAGGCTTTTGTCGGTATAATTCGTCTCCGAAACATCCACATCTGCTGGACTAACACCAGTGAGACGTGCCAGTCTCAGGCCAGTGTCCCAGCGGTCCACGATTTTACCGAGCAACCACTTCTGCACCCGAGGATATCCCATGAGAGGGGACAGCATGGGTGGTGTAATACCTTTCAGGCTGTATGATTGGATGAGGTTAGCCAAGCTGCTGAAGGATGCCAGCAGGATCACGCCGGCAAAAGGCTCAGCATTCTGGACAGCTGGCTGAATAGCTGTGGGGTCGGACGATCCGAATGCAAAACGCTCAGCGACTGCGGCTGTGACCGCAGTTCCAAGACTCTGGCCCATAATGACGATGCGAGAAGTGGGGATCTTGAACGCCCCTGCGGTCAGGAAGTTAACCAAGGATACACCATCTGTGATAAGTCCTTCTTCGGTGGGGGTTCCAGTGCTAACGCCGAAGCCACGGTAGTCAATTGCGAAGACGTGCACCGGGTTTGACGGCGTGGACAAACTGAGTAGCGTGTTGTAAGTCGCAGGGCGATTGGCAGAGCCCAGATGCGCCGCATTTCCATGGACTTGATTGCACCAATGTCAGCATATTTCAGTTTACAGAGATTCAGAAGATTCATCACCTACAGCTTACAACAACTCTTGCATTGGGGTCATTGGCGAGGAGCTTGTGGGCCACTGTTTTAGTGTAGTCCTCTGCTGGACCCGAAGCCGCATTGTCCATCAACTCTTGTTCATGTTCCAGGCAAAGATGTAAAGGCATCAAGTGCCAGCCATAGATTGTTTCATTGTCAGGGGTCACCAAATGGAAAGGTTGGACTTGGGTTCCTGCGAGGATCGGTTGAGCAAGATACATCGGCGTTCAACTGGGCAGATATACATACTTGAGAATCCAAATTGCTCGACCTGATTGACATCCTGCCACAGACTAGGATTGATTTTGTTGGCATAGAGGACACTGTGTTAAGTTAGCCTACTTTCGGCGCAATCCTGGGGTTCTAGATCCATACAAGCGTTGTACTTCAGGGAAGGTCAAAGAAAGGATAAAAAGCACATAGACCAGTCCACCAGCCGCGAGAGACCAGTAAGCCTTCCTGAAAATTGGCTTGAGTTCAACCATCTTTTACAGATTCAGGGGTGCTTGATGAGTGGGAATGGCCTCCTGCCCTCGAGAGCCCGACGGAGGTGAGCGGAGAAGCGACGGCGCTGATAAGCGGCGGTTTATCGCGTCTCTCATTTCTCCCTTCCACCCTCTCCACCCACCCCATCCACTCCGTCCGCTAGAGGATGGTTTCTATAATTTCATCGTGGATACCGTCGTTATCTCGTTGAATTCACCATGGCCGAAAAGCGCAAACTTCCAGCGCGTGAGCGACGCGAGCCCGCAGCCAAAAGACGTGTCTCCGAAGCCACGCCGCAGTCTCACAGGAAAAAGGCGCCAACGCCTCGCGCGCCGTCGCCCGAGCTAGTTGATTCCCCTTTACCAACCAAAGTTAAGGATGGGGATAGCTTGCCTGTTGTCCGTGTGCGACAGCCGGTCTCCTTATCAGACAAAGAGTACCAATCAATTGCCGAAAGGTTCGTCATTGCGCCCCCCATCGATATGACACACAACTGATTTTATCCGTGGCATCTTAATAGTGCTGTTCTTCTTGCCTCGTTGGAAAGATCGAAGAAAAAATGGCTAAGCGATGGAATCTTGGTTCGATACTATACCAAGCCGAAAAAGACGAAACGCGAACAAATCGAAAAGAACAACCCACCAAAGGATAGCATGGCGAAAGTTGGGCCTTGCGACGTCACAATCGGTCCTCATTTCTTCGATGCTATGATTTATATTGTTAAAGACCCCAGTGCGCCGCCGACACTTCAATACGCGCCCCCGCAACGACCGATGGTTCACTATGGCCACCCTAATAACTTCCAACAATACCGGCCGTACTCTACCCCGACCAACCAACAACGACCTGCGCAATATTCGCCCGCTCCTGGTCGTCCTGGGTACCCCGGAAGTCATGCGACGCCCCAGCAAGCTCGTGGCTCAAATCAAGGCAATGCGCCCTCTCCTCAAGGTGGATCAAGGCCAGCACAAGGGCAAAAGAGCCAGCCTGCCAAGCCCAGTCCGGATCCCGTCATTCAAATGCTGGCTACAAGGGCAGCGGCAGACCCTGAACTCAAGGCCTTGATGCGTGTTGTGGCCTCGAGTCAAGCATCGCAGGAACAGCTTCGCGCCTTCCAGGCACACATCGATGAGCTCAACGCCATCATAAAATCAAGAGAACAACAAGAACAACGTCAGCAAGCTTCTACTGGAACACCTGTACAACAACCAAGCACAACGCCACAATCTCAAACCCAGCAAAAGCAAGCTAACGACCCGAAGTCAACCCAAGCGCCACAGCAGTCCCAGACCCCATCAAAGCAGCCCCCCGCAAAGCCAGGAGTCCAGCCCCAGACCCCAGCGCAAGGATCATCAACTCAGCCTCAACCTCCCAAGAGCGCTAATGAGTCAGCTACCGTCAAGCCAGAGACATCATCCGCGGATACCAGCTCTCACCCGGTGGCACCTCCCTCGGTGCCAGCCCAACCTGCGACTCCTAGCTCTGTGAATACCCCAGGCCCAGCTACAACGGGCTCGCACCAGCAAACCCCCGTAGTGAATCCGACACCACCAGGTACTACTCAGCAGCTAGGAGCAAGACCAGGACCGCCGTTCACCCCTTATCAACAACCTTCGTATGGATCACAACCTCAACTGCAATCTCGTCCGCCGCAATACGGTTCTCCTGTTCCATTCCCCCGTCCACCTCCGATCCCATACGTATCCCCACTCATTCCTCCCCGGGTAAACTACAAGTCCGTGGTCTTCGAGTTCACGTCTCCTTTGACTCCATATGGAAGCAGCACATCAGGTCATGCTGGCTCAGGTGATCGTTATCTGTTCCCCGAATACACCATCTTGGAATGGCTCCCTGCCGAAAATACTGTGATTGCCTCCTTTTTGGTAGTACGGAAGGTTGCACCAAACACACCATTCCCCCTTGAAACCGCCACAGAGGCTGCCGGTTCGAAAGGCAAGGGCAAGGCGGCAGCCAAATCCAAGAAAGGTGATCCAAAGACTAAAATCGAGAACGGCAAAACTCCAACCGATACCCCTACCCCAAGCCAGCCAAGCACACCTGTCCCCGGAACACCACAAAAGCAAGAGCCATCAGACCAGAAGGGCGTCGTAACCCCGGGCCTCCCCGGTGCTACTCCCAACGAAGCCAATCTCAAGGAGTACTGGCAACCAGTCACGTTCCGAATCCACGCCCCTAATGCTAAAATCCTCGAGCCTCTAGCCCGCGTCGTCAAACCGGCTGACGAGGTCCGCAAATATATGAACGAGATTATGGACCGCGCCGAACGTGCGCCAGATGGCTACCTAGCCATGCGCCTCCCTCGCGAGGAGGCCCAGGAACCATTCGAAAAGGATGGAACGCCTGCCTCTTCTGGCAATGTTGGTTCTGGAACCCGTAGTCGCCTGTCCCGTGTTCAGCTCGCTGGCGATGAATCCGAGGTGGAAAATTCTGGGTTCGAGTTTGAGGAGGATGAAGATGATCTCAAGGATTTCTATGATGCTCCGAGTGGACTGCCGCCCTTGAAAGTGTAGGGTCTCGATATCCGGACAGAATGTATGAATAGAATCTGTCACTGGGAAGTCGGTTGTCAGTTCAATGCCGGTGAAAACAGCCCGGAGGTCGGTTGGGACTTCTGCAGTGAACACACATGTTTTAGATCGAACTTTGAATCCCGAACACGTCTCCATGTTGATACCTGTACAAGGAATCCGGATCTCCGTGTGCTAGTTGTCCAATGTAAGAAAATACAACAGTGAAGTTCTAAAGCTCTCGCATCTAGTAAACATGCATATCAACCAATTCTACAAGCAAGAACAAGCGGCTATACATCACTGAATCAATCATGACCAAGTAAAGCCAGCTTTCAGCAGCTAGCATTGTCTCAATTTGAGCAGGTATATGAGCCAGATGTACAATCTCGATCCAACTACCAAACACAAATAACATATGTAAGATTGACAGAGAACTCTTGATCCTCGAAACACCAAGCTTTTCCACCAAACCAGATCCCTCAAACATCTTCACATGCTTGCTACCTCCTGTCATTCCCAATAAGCCCCGCCGCCTCCAAAAGCCACCTCGCGCTCTCAGTCGCCGAATCACCAGCCCCAGCCTTGATGTTAATATTCCGACGACGTTCGGCCTCCGCGCCTTCGAACTCCCACTTCGCGCGCTGGATCTCCACCGCGCTCATGCTCGATTCTGTAGAGAGGGACTCATCACCCGGATCTGGGATGATACCCCAGATCTCAAGCGTGTATAGATCGAGTTTGATCTTTATGGGCGGGGCATCTAGTGAGGTATTCGCAGGGGGAAGGAAGACGCCGTCGTGGCCAACGGGGCAGGCGTGGAACTCGGCGGATTCGATGTTCGAGTCGATAATGAGACTGCCCGCTCCATGGGGTGTGGGGTGGGCTTGGTAAGTTCGGGACGGGGCAGGGATGTGGCAGCCGATTGCGATGCCGGTGTTTGTAGAGAAGTAGGCTGTTGGGGTGTTTGGTTTTCTAGCTGATATGGAAGGGTTGCCGGAGAGGAGGAGGTGTTTGGGGGATAGTTGGAAGAGGCAGGGAAGGAGGTCGGATGTTTTTGAGGTTCTTGGGGTTGATGTGGAGGTTTTCCAATTTTGGGGGATATAGGCGCCTAATGTTATTAGATCTTCGTTGGGGGAGTCTGCTAGAGATCCTTGGAGAAGGAGAAGGGTTGCTGATTGCCAGGTCAGGACGTGGTGGGAGAAGGAGGTCAGGGACGAGCCGTGGGCGCTTGTAGAAAAGACAGGGTGCAGTTTTACGCCACTGCGTAGGAAATTCAGATTCGGCGATGTGGAAGGAAGGAAAAACGAAAGATGAGCGTTCATTGTTGGGTTTAGTATGGCGGACTCAAAGCTCCCCGGGAGTGTTAGTCTAGCCGGTGATGGAAGAGGTTCTTCGCTCTCATCAGTATCCTCCGGTTCCGTCTCTGTGGCTGCGTCTTTTTGGCGATGCCGAGAAAGATCCAGATTCTTGCTAAACAGCATGTGCTCAAAAAGGGCAGTCAGCGGATCGAAAAGATACGGAAGTGACAATGATATCGTTCGAGCGAAAGCCTTATATGATATTCCCCCATCACTTTCTTCCGGTGAAAAAGCCGCAATGATACTGTCTGCTTCTGCTTGAACTTCTTCCATCCGCCGAGCATCCAGTCCAGATGTATATATCTTCAGAGTCTCCAAGGGCTTCAATGGTGCAATGACAAGTAGCAACATGAGCAGCCGGCGGAACGTGTCAATAGAAATCCGCGTCTGGTACATGGATTTATCAACTCGATGATCATGTTTGAACACCTCGATTGCATCGAGGGACTCGAGCGCTGCAAGTGCAAGATCATCGTCCTCATCCTCATCATAATCGTCGTTGGCGGGCTGATCTATTGAGAACCCAAGCGGATGTGAGTGCCCAGCCAAGGTTTCAGATTCGTCAGCCCCGGGTTCTCGGCTATCACCGGGGGTCCTTTTTCTCCCCACGTCTGCCAGACTGCCAAAGAGTAACTTGATTCGGTCCTTGCGCCCGCGCTTGAGCGCCTTCTCGTAGCGCTCAGTCAGGAGCACAACGACCTTAACCATGGCTTCGAAGGTCAATACACTTGGAGCCAGGGTGTTTTGGAATGGAAAAGCTCCTAAATAGGATACCATGCGGAATACCACAGGGCCTGCATCCAAGGGGTTCCCATGTGAAGCGGCGGTGTGGATGCCATCTGGGATACCGAGAAAGTCTGAGAGAGTCTTCTCATTCCAGTAGCGCAGGCCTCCCTGCTCCAAGGCCCGGGAGTAGAAGTTGTCTTTGAAATGCGTGAGCTCTAAAGGCGTAAAGCATTTTGTAGCGAAACGCTCGGCGAGTACCAAGCTCAACTCCTCTATTTATGGTCAGACATAGTTTCTTGATCAAATCGGACTTTCCTTGTTAAATCCAGGGCAATAGTTGGAGGTGGTTCATGGTAGATTAGAACTCGTAGATATCCATCGTCTTCATGTACTCGAACATAAACCTCAACTGGTAGGACTGACCTGCTGATGATGCAACACGCTCATTTGACTGGGCTGCACCCATTGTTCTGATGCGGGGACGACCCCACTGCTAGTTCACAGCTGCGTTCGGTCGAGGTGCTCGAGAGCTGAGTATTGAGCCAAAAGCTCAAAGAAGCAAGAGAAGCAAAAGAATAGGGGTGAATGTTCCAAAAAGGGGTCAAGTCGACATGGATCGCTACTATCAACAAACAGCATGCGGAGGTGGAGAGAGAAAATCAATGGGTCGACGTCAGATACTTGGATCTAGGCCTTGGAATTCTGCCTGAGGCCTCCAACGACCGGTATGATTGCGCGAATGCTATTAATAGCTGTTATTCGGACCAAAGTGTGTTTATATATCACACGAGTGTTTTTATTCTTTATTCTTCCGACCGCTAGCAAGATACAAGGCAAGGAAATTCGTTTTCGGGGTATCCGATCTTCAGATCTACTAGCCAAAACTTCAAGCTTAGAGCATGACAATACCAACGCCTCCCATTTTCGACTCATCGGGCAGGTTCTTTTCGTTAATTCCACCGGGAATAGGTGCAGCGCGGTAGTTGTACAAGTAGAAGTGGAGCTGACCATCACCAGCACCAAACTTGAGCTGCTCGAGGAAAAGGGGGTTATCGTGGGAGGTGAGAGCGTTGAAGACGTCGAAGCGGGCCTAAGCCAATGCAAGAAAAAGGCACAGTCAGCATATAGAACCTTATAAATCAAACGACAACAGTGTATGCAACATACCTGCTTGGCACAAATCAAAGCATCGTTCACCAGGACCTGCAAGCGTTCCTTGAAGGCCTGTTTGTCGTCAGAGAAAGCGGTCTCAGTCGCATAGTAGTACAGGTAGGCGGCGTGGACGGAGTCATGCTTAGGGTGATCGATCACTGTGGACTCGAGGTTGTAGAAGGAGACAAAGTCGGTGATCTTGTGTGTCTCTGGGTCCTCAGCAACATATGACCAGACGACCTGGTCCTTACCGGGCTGCTTCTTGTGCACCAGCCAGTGATCGATTTCCTCGCGGGTGAAGGCCTGGTTCATATCGAAGCGGCGCATGTAACGTTCCAACAGATCGAAGACGGCATCGATGTCCTTGGCTTCCATAGGCCGCAAACCGGGTGTGGATGTTTCGCTGGGGAGGTGGTTCTTCGTAATCATGCGAGCCTTGGTCGAGCCGTGGGGCAGGGGGGAGAATCCAACTTCGTAGAGCTTTAACCAATCCAGAGAACGGTGGTAGTAGCGGCAAGAGCTGACAGGTGTCGGTAGGATAACACCTCCAGTGTAAATGGCCTGGAAGATACCCTCGACATAGCAGCGACGGGTAATTTCCTTGATCAGAACGGGAGTCAAACGCTTAGAGCGGAGCTTCTTGTGAATGCACAGGAAGTTGATCTCGGTGACCTTGATGCGCTCGTCGCGAACGCGGAGCTCGGTGGGGACACCGCAGATAGAAGCGACCAGCTTACGCGACTTGGTGGCGCGTACGCCGACGTGCCATTCCTTCCTCCATCCGGGAGACATAAGGGCCCTATGTGCATATAGCATTAGCAAGATTATGATATAAGTACCAAAAGCTCCAAGGTCAACCGCACCAATGCAGGAAGGATTCCGAGTAACTGAAACGGAACATGGCGTTATCGTCCTCAACGTAGTGGTTATTAAGTAGCTCATAAAGCTCCTTCAGCTCCCCCTCGTTTGTAAGGTCAAGAGTGCACCACTCGAATCCATCAAGCAGCGCGTCGGGGGTCTTGGACACCCTCTCCGGGTCGATGACCTTGATAGGCCCCTGAACAATCTGCTTCTTGGCAGCATCATCAAAAGCAGGGACCGGCTGTGTCTGCCAAAACTTGTATGAGGCCATGTCCTTCTGGTTCTTTCCTCCCACTGCCAATCCAGTGAGCATCTGCGAAAGATCCATGTTGTGCAGTAGGGCGGCGGCCTGGTCCTTGTCCATTGCTGCGAGTTCTTTCTTCAGTGCGGGATTTTGGTCGAGGAGTAGAGAGGCAAAATTCGCGGGGAGCTTCTTTCCAGCTTCTGTTTGGATGTGAATAGCTGCGCATGAGATCGGGTGCCTGGTGCCTGGTGGGGGGAGGGGGACTTCAAGACCTACCTTTACCCGAGTCAGAGGGGGCCCCAGCCTCATCTTGGTTGCGGTTGGGGGCTTTGCCCTTCTTATCGCCTGAGTCGGACATAATGAGTGCAAGGTGTTGTGGAAGGAGGAATTGGATCGGGCCCCACGTTTCAGAGGCCGCGGATCACAGGTGGGGTCTGCGGGCAATTTGCCTTAATAATACATACTACGATGTCTAAACAGAGACATACCTGGATACTTATAACCCTCTACGGGTGCTGTAATTGTGTCAATGTTGATGGACTATTGCTTATGGATATGGTTCGGCTCAGGATATATTTGGCATTTGCAGCATAGTTGTGTGATGAAACCGGGACCCCTGTTCGCTGACGAAGTCTTAGTGGCCTCCAGGGCTGGCTGCAGCAGGAAGCTTGACAACACCTAGGTAGATAATAAAAATCCATGTAAAGGCGAGGCATCTACAGGAATTTGGAACAAAGTATTTCAAATGCATTGTATTTTGGGAATCTATTCTGGGAATCGAAGAATTGTTGAAATCCACACCAAAACACCTCTAGGTCCGCTCCATGCTAAGCCAAATCATATCTCGAGTGTTGATACAAGAATCAAAGAATCGTTGGAGCTCCAGGCTACCAGTTTTGGGGAAATTAGGCATCGCTAGGTGGCTTGGTTTCCACCACGTCAAGGAATCCACCAACCAGATGGATACTGCCTGTGACAAAAGTCATGACTGGGGCTTCATCCTTCTGCAGAGTCTTGCGTTCTTGGCCTGCGAGTTCCCGCGCGAAATCAACAGCCTCCTCAATGGTACCGAAGACATGTGTTTGAGCTTGGGGGTCAATAGCATTCCACTCGACGGCGAGGGACTTTTGCACTCGGAGAAGTTCAAGATCGTCAGCGTTGGTGTTCATGCTGACGAGATCGGGCCGGAAGCCTGCCTGTTTATATGTGATGTTGGTGCAGAATAGGGCATGTGTGAATGGGGTGTTATGTCCGAGGGCAGCGGCGAGGGTCTCGTGGAGAGCACGAGCAAGCGCTTTGCTATCACGAGTCTGCTGGTTGAAAATCAAGATTCGTGTCTTCTGAGCGGCAATATCTTCTGACGACGAATCGGCCAGAATGCGCGAGGCAAACCACTGGCCAGCCAAACGGATACTCTCCAAGGTATGTCCACCGTCGATGTACCATGAGACATTGTTCTCAAATCGGGTCTCGCACCGGCCCCCTAGGCGGGTTTCTTCAAGACCGGTCTTGAACTTCGCCGGGAGTGGTCCCTCCATGATATTCGCCGGAACATCAACACCAACTCGGTGCAAGAACTCTGCCGCGCTTGCTACTGCTACCGAGGCATTGGTGTACTGGAAATCTCCAGCCAGTCCAAGAGCAACCTTGCTGCTCTCGGGGTGAAGTTCAGAATGGCCACGCACAATGTCCAGCTGAGTTCCAGCCTCTTCAGCGCGTTTAAGCAAAACCTCCTCGGCGCTTGTAGGCTGCGGTGCCGCAAAGCCCTTCACGCCAGGCTTGATAATGCCACCCTTGTGCCAGGCAATCTGTTCAATCGTAGTTCCAAGCATTGCAGTGTGATCGATTCCAAGACTAGTGATCGCTGTCACCTTGGGCTGTGGGATGACGTTGGTACAATCATATTGACCACCGATTCCACATTCAATCACTGCGGCGTCCACAGCCTCGCTCAGGTAGGTGTGGAATGCCATCAGGGTCAAATAACGGAAATATTGTGGCTTAGTACCCGGTGCGGTGGGATCCTGGCCCGCCACCTTGGCGGACTGCTCAAGGCGATCCCATACTTCGAAGAAATAGCGCGCGAATTGTTCCTCGGACAATGGTTCGTTGTCAATCTTTATGCGCTCACGTGCGAATCGGAGATGGGGAGAGGTATAAAGGCCAATTTTGTGGAGTTTTGGTGCAGGTTGGTTGGGCTCTTCCTTGGTATATTGGGAGAGGATGGTGGAGATGAATGCGGAGGTTGAGCCTTTGCCTTTGCTGCCGGCAACGTGAACTGCATTCAAGCGATTGAGATCGGAAGGCTAGACGATTCAAAGATTTTGAGATTAGCTTGGATCATCATAATGCAAAAATCCTGCCATTGGCGCACCTTGTAACCAATGCGCTCTAACCACTCCACTGTCTCGGGGATGGAACGGGCGTTCATATCCTCCCTCGAGGTCGACTTCCGAAGCTCTTCCACGATCGCATAATTAGTTTGCAGTGAATTCAAAGAGGCAATTGCAGCCTGATGCAATCAATTGTCAGTAAATGCTCTATTTTGTGACGTTGTTGGCTCTCTGTCGCAAGGCCGATCTCGGCATACCTCATATGTTCGAGTCATGATGGGCGAACGGGTTGAAATTCGCCGTGCGCCAAATTGCCAGCGGATAGAGGACCAAATCCCTCTCATGGACAATACAAGTCCTTGTCTGTAGGTTCAAATGAGCAGACGGGGTAATTTAAAAAAAAACCCCCGGTAGCTCTAACGTTTATGGCTCTCTGGTTGATCCCACCTGCTCTCCTCGGGAAACCACTGGCCTTCTGGTCGGGAAGATCACGTGCCGTACACTACGACAACAGGTCAATCTGAAGTGGAAATATTGTTATGTCGCAAGTTCTATCAATCCTACCGAGAGGAATCAAATGCTTTACCAGACAAATATAATAATTGCCAGGTTTGTCAATGTCAAATGTGAATGGCTTCTGTGGGTGTCTCTAGGAGACCTACCTGTAGGTATGTATTGTAGTGGGGAGCCAGGTACTTAGACTTCCGCATGACCTAATATAACCCGGACCCAAACCGGACCCAACCTGGGTCCGGGGCCCTAACTTGGGTTATAAACGTAACATACGTGCCAAGGCCTGTCACTATATAAATTATGCATTTTCTGCCTATAATATTAAGTATTGCCTTTACGACTAACTCCAGTTGATCTTAATATCAGGGTAAATGTTATAACCTAACGTACGCGGAGTACGAATACGGTGCGCATATCTTGTAGCACATATCGGGTATTTAGGTTGGTAACCTGACACGACCAGTTGGTCGTCATAGTGGCTCTTTTGGTAAACGCTCTACCTTACCATTACTTCCTAGTTTTGCAAGTGGTGTCAGGCCCACTTGCCTTAACAATAGGGCTGGAAATTCATACGGAGATGGTAATTTCCCTGCAGAATAAAGAGTCGTGCTGATTGAGGAGTATATCATAATGGGGAAGACAGAGTAGACTCACAAAGGGGTTATGAGAGGAGATGATGGGGCGTTTGGATTCTAATATGGAGAGTTAGTCTTTGACTATAATTACTGGGGTACGGCAAGCAGGCAACCTTGTTCAGGCATAATCCCAATACCATGGTGAGGGACGACTAAAATAGTACAGTACATGTGTCATGCTTGTTCTGTTAATGTACATGAATAAACATTTGTACGCACACAACTCCTGACAGTGGCCAATATAAAAACTTGGTTGTCACTAGTTCCTTGGCCAAGACCAGCCTCTCCTTTGCTCTTCGCCCCCGGACGGACACAATGAGGTCGGGCTATATCAGTGTTGACTACAAGATCCAACGTTCCTACCTCTTTGTGGTGGTCGCCAATGTCGGCCCCGGCGGCGTCAGTCGCACCCTCTCCGTGGCCTACCGCCAGCACCCTGAGAAATACAACGCAAGAGGATCAGGGACACGAGTAGAGCACATGGTGGCCGACACCCTCGCGCTGATCGCGATTCTCTCAGATCCTGCCAACCGCGCCCCGCTTGAGGCGGAGAAGGCGATAGCGGAGGACTGGTATCGTCGCTCTCACGAGCCTCCTGTGAATGAACGACCCAGTGTGCCTGATCGCCCGCAGCCCCTTTATGTGCCCCCGAGCAAGCGTCGGCTGCGCGTGGAACCACTGCCAGAACTGCCATGGCAGGATGAGGCAGTCCGCACGTTTCCCTTCACTGCGACGTGCGTACTACTAGCGTTGCTACGGGGCGACCACAGATACTGGACCTGCATCGGCGACGTCAAGTTCCAGCCGCTGTCGACGGTATTCCGGGGCGACTGCAAAGAGTATGGTCTCATCGTGCTAGATATCTCTGATCTAAATAGCGGTGTTAAGTATGGCATTGCGGCGTTTAACATGCGCTACATGGCCCAGCTTTCGTGGCACAGCGACACGGGGGGCTGGGATCCTGTCGAAGACCCTCCACCAGCCCAGGAGCCGGATGTGGTCCTGGACCTTCCGCGGCCTCGAGAGCTGCTATCGATTGTTCAGTGGATAGGGGAGTATTACCACTGGTCGGATCTGAAGTCGCTACACATTGTCGAACAACTGGAGCTGAGGCCACTGGCGGATGCGACCTCCTTAGATTGTACGTTCCTCAAGGGAATTCGCACGATATTACCTGTGCTAACGGGGCAATGGTAGATATCTGGCCATCAGAATTAGTCCCGCCAGAGGTGGTTCCTCCTGGTCCGTCTCTTTCTAAACGGGTTCTCTCGAGCATCCGGAACTGTCAGTGACTCCGTCCCATCCATCGCATCTGCTAATCGCCCTAGCAGACATTCGACCTCCTAAGTCCACCGTCAAGCCGCCAGACTATATGGTCGGCTACTCTATAACAGACGACCGGCCGCCTGATACAAAAGAGGCGTCAACACCATCCTCCAGCAGGACCACACTGACTGAGCCACCACCACCAGTCCCAGCAGACATCGACCGTGCAATTCACGATCTGCTCGATCTCACCCAGGAACCCACCCCCGGACCCCTCCAGAAGAGAGAAAAGCCTGTGGTCAACATTAACTCATTTCCCAGTTCCGTTGGAGACTGCAGCAGAGACTTGAAGAGGAACCCTACAGGCTTGGTCCCTTTATGTTCTCCAGCCAGGTCCTGCGTGTTGCATATGCGGCGTGTCAGCACCTTAACTGGGTGGTATTTAACCTATCACCTCATATCATTACCGCCGCTATAAGATCAGATGAGCTTCGGGCTGCGTCTGCACTGAGTATCTGTGTTGACCAGCCCCGATTCGCAGAGTCGGGCCTCGGTGATCTTGCAGCAGCCCTGGCGCAGTCGACATCCCTTAAACAAGTCTGCCTTGTACATCGGCCGGACTATATGAACGACGATATATCAGCTCGTCTCCACTCATATATACTAAAACAATGGGAGAGTGACTCTAACCACACCATGAAGTCGAGAACCATCTATTCGACCTCAGCCTTCCTAACTGGTTTACGCAGTCGCGAATATCTTCCTTCGTCCCCGACGATTAGTTCTAGTCACACCTCCTTCTCTCCTACGGTCTTTCCTACGATACACCTCTTCATGTTTGACAGCACGAACGGTTCCAGCACTGGATATACGAGCTACTACTGTATGGAAAATACTATGTTAACCGCGGGGGACTTCGCCATCCGATTCCTCGGATACCTCCAAGCCCTGGGCCCAGAAATGCAACCTAACAAGGCGATCTTACGATTCGCCTATAACTGGGGGCTGTGGTTGTTCCCTCCCATCCGTGACGGGAGCCCCCACAGGCCACCCCGGTCCATTAAAACGGCATCATCAGCGGCAGATGAATTGGGCGTACGTCCCATTCCCCTAGGCTTCTTCGACCCCGAGCCGGATCTCAACAGCCCCTCCAGTGTCCGGCTGGGAGAGGTCCCACGCGGGGGTTGGGTGGTTCTTGTAGATCGACGAGATCCTAAAAGTGAACGGGGCGAGGACAAGCCCTTCCTACAATACTCTTTCGTGCGCATTCATGGCGCCCCCGTCGAGATGGCACCCGAGGAAGGGGAACAGCAACCCCATCAACAACATGCAGAACAACAACAGCAAAACCAACAAAAAGAAGAAGAAGAACCCCTAAACTCCCTTCAAGTAATTGGCGGGCTGACCGACTTCCTACGGATCACCGTGCCAGACACGGACATATCCACATGGGAGACACGGCTGGAGGTGGTCGAGAGCGAGGTATCTACCGCTTCAATCGAGACAACTCCGTCCAGCGTGTCGTCATCGACTCACGCGTCTGTGAATACGTGGGTCCGAAGGCTCATGGAACGGAGCCAACAGGGGGAGGAAACGGCCGAGCACGACGAGGTCGTGGAGCAACAGCGGCTAGAGCAGGAGCTCTTGGAGGCACAAATCGGGGTGGAAGAGGTCGAGACGGAAGAACCCTGCAGCAAGGTCCGCGCTATGGCGGAGAGCTTGGCTCTTACTTTGCTCGGCCGGTTACGGTGATTTAATGACCGACTATCCCTTTTAAGCTCCATCCTAATGTTGCCAAGTTGGAATCTTCTGGTTATTTCCCAAGAAAGCGTTGCGGACGTGTAAACTTGCAAGAACTGTAAAACTAAGTCCGGGGGGATGTCTTGATCTTTTATACTATACGTGCAGCTAGACCTCCGCAATGGGCCTGGTTGGGCCCTACCTTCGAAGCCCAACCAAGCCTATGGCCCATTATGGGGGCCCATGAGGCCCCCATTAAAGCCCATTTGTATGCATAAATATAGTCTTAGCGCTTATAAACCTACTGATTAATGTCCGTTCTTTATACATGCTTGAGTCTGTTGAGAACCATGCCTGAGGCAGGATTCTCTCATCCGCAGGATTAGCAACGCTACGCCTCTTTTGTCTTTTCTGCCGAAAAGCTCACCTTTGGGGGCCAAATTGAGGACTCCGATCCTCGGCACACAAAGGGGCATAAATAGCAGGAAAAGGCAGATATTATCTAGATCTTCAGACAATTCAATACTTCCACGAGATCTCCTGTTTTGCTGGATCTGTGCAGAACTGGGGTTCTGCGGGGTGCGAGCTGAGCCTTTCCGATTTGGCAGTGGCTGCAGGGTCTTTTGGGGGTAGGTAGGCCTGTGATGTTGATGCCTTCTGTGATTTTTGCCGTTTCCTGTAGGGGCTTGATCCCTATGTGGCATAGTCTGCGGTGCCAGGTGTCGATGTTGACCCTGTCCTTTTTTAGCTTGGTGGGTGGCTCGCTGGGAGAAGTCGAGGTGGTCTCCGAGGCCTGTTATTTTGAGCCACTGGATGAGTTTGTCTTCTATATCTTTATTGCTCTGCGGGTAGTGAGCATTTCTGGCTTTTCTACCTAAGAAAAGGCTCCTATTTCCGCCGAAAAAACTGCCTACGGATGCCTGATTTCTTAGGCTAATAACATAGAGGTCATCCTGAGAGACCCCTGCCCCTAGCTAGGGGACCTGAGCATGCAAAAATTGGAAAACGCCGCAAGTTCACCCAGCTAACTGGTGAAAGACGCTATTCCGCCGAAAAAGGCAATATCTCTTCTACCGAAAAAGGGACCCTTTTCTTAGGCAGAAAAGGCAGAAATGCTCGCTGCCCGTAGAGCAATAAAGATATAGAAGACAAACTCATCTAGTGGCTTAAAATAACAGTCCTCGGAGACCACCTCGACTTCTCCCAGCGAGCCACCCACCAAGCTAAAAAAGGACAGGGTCAACATCGACACCTGGCACCGCAGACTATGCTATATAGGGATCAAGCCCCTACAGGAAACGGCAAAAATCATAGAAGGCATTAACATTATAGGTCTACCTACCCCTAAAAGACCCTATAGCCACTACTAAATCGGAAAGGCTTAGCTCGCACCCTGTAGAACCCTAGTTCTGTATAGATCTAGTAAAATAGGAGATCTCGTATACCTCGATCTAGGGGGCGGGGGTAAAATACCTAGAGGTTAGGGAGGTAGCTACCGATACTAAATGATTAGTATCGACGACTTCGACGGATAGGGGGAAATATAGTTCACCTCCTATAAAGACTTCGTCCTAGACCTTATAATTAAAATAGTAAAACTATATTCTACTAAAAGAGAGACGATAATTAAGACCTTCGTAACCCCTAATCTCCCCCGCTACTAGTACTAGGAAGCAAAACACTACCGCCTAGTAGACTAAAGATCGGAGCCTTCTAGTTAGATCACGGAGGAGAGTTTAATAACTTCCGCCTATAAAAATAGGCTAAGGACACTAATACCTATCTATATTTCTTAGTATTATACGTATACGGATAAAATAGTAAAGTTAAAAGAATAATACGAATAGTGTAAGAACGTACTAGAGCTATCCTCGATAATACTAGACCCCTAGATATACTATAGCCTAAACTAATAAAAATAATAATAATAACCCGTAACCTTACCGTCTATTTCGGTAGAAAAAGAGAAGGTCTCCTAAACTAGACACTATATAAAATACGTTTCGGTAGAAAACCTAATATCTTATTCCTACGGATACCCGGTAGTAAGACTTACGTTATAAGAAGTCCTAAAGAGATTAGGGCTATAGTGTTACGACCCTCTGCTAGGAGAGTGCCTCATAGGCTAGATCCCGCCTGGTCCTATAACCTAGGACCTATGACCTAGCAGGGGTAGCATGACCCCCCGCTAGAGAGCGTATCATAAAGACTGAGTCCTGCCGGGTTAGGTAACCTAGTCCCGTGACCCGCTAGAGGTTATCCCTATAGAGACTACTAGGGGAACTTAGCTCTTTAGCGATTAGTTTATAAATATACTAGCACCCTACTATTCCTTTACTCTAGTTCTATATTACCTACTAGGACCCGCTAGTACGCCGGTCCTAATATTCTAATCGCTAAATCTTAATTAAACTAGACCGTTAGAATACGTAATATCGACGACTCGACGTACGAGCGACCGCCTAAGGGGAGCCTTAGCCCCGATCGCGGAAACGAACGACGTCCTAGGACCCCTATAACCCCTACTAGAAGAGGTAGAGATATAGGGAGTCGACGATAACCCTTAAGGAGGAAACCTACCGGATCCTATAATCCCGACTAAGGTAGATAAGGAGGCGGAACTCTAAGAGTTAGAGACCTTTAAAAGACGTTTAGCTAGGATAAAGGAGAAAAATAAGATCCGCGCGGAATTATAGGACGAAGAAGAAAATATAGTAATCTTATAGGCGAGAATATAAGGATCTAGAATCTATTAGGGTTCGCTAAGTAGTACTACTAGCTAAACTACCTACTAACTACCTAATATTATCTATATAAACTTAATTATATTATAAGGAAGTACCGGAGGCTACTTATCTTATTAGAAGAAAGTAAGAGAACCGTATATACCCTATAATATAATAATATATAGAGCTAAGAGTTTAGGTAAATATAATCTTTTTAAATTAAACTAGGAAGCCTTTTAGAATAGATACCCTAACTAGTTTACTAATAATATATATAAGATAGACTAAGTAACTAAGTTCTTAGCGCTAAAGGTTAATATAATATAGATAGAATATTATAGGAATAATCTAGGTATAATATTTATCTAGTTAGTCTTTAAAATATAGGCGCTTACTTAGATTACTAACCTTATTAAGATATAGCGAGAAGCTAAATATAATTAGTAATAGATAATATAAGCTAAATACTAAGATATATACTAATATATCTTAAAGCTTACCGGACTTTATAACCGCCTAAAAAATACGCTAACTAAATAAATAAGAATTAACTATTTAGAGATAGGTATTATTAAGAAGATATAAGACGAAATAAAGAAGTTTATAGCCCCTATTATAAATTAATAGGATAACTAAATAGCTTTCTATAACTAAATTAAAAAAGTAATACTAGATAGGATATTATATCTTAAAGAGGCTAAGAAGATAACGCTAAAAAATACTATAAACTTATAAAGATCTAATAGAAGATCTTTTAAAGGAAATAGCGCTTTCTCTATATAATAAGCTATAACTATTATAAAAGATAGAAAAGCTACTATAGGGTCTAAATAAGACTAAAGTAAAAATAATAAGTTTTATAACTTCTATAGTAAACTAGGCTACTATATAAAGGACTACTATAAGAAAGCTATAATAAACGCTATAGCCGCGGAAGAGTTAAAAAAATAAATAACTCTATACTATAGACTCTTATAATATTAGGGATAGTTCTTTTTAGAGAACGTAAAGGAGTATACTAAATACTTATCTATAATATACTAATATTAGATATTAAGACTAGAACCCTAATAGAGATAGCTAAAACGCTAATAGATAGTAGTATAATTTAGAGCTTTATAAGTTAGAAATAAGTAAAAGAGAACCTAAAAGAGATATATATAATAAATATCTACCTAATAGAAGCTATAGATAGATATAAAATCTTTTTATATAGAAGCTAAGAAGTATAGCTTAGCCTAATAGACCGGAATAGAATCTATAGAGTTATTAAGATAACTTATAAAGCTATAAATATAATAATCTATAATATAATCCTAGAAATAGATTAGCTTAGATTAGTAAATCCGGATATTAACTAAGTAATTAGTAAATAGGTATATAGAAATATAGCCCCGCTAGAGGTTAAAACCCTCCTATTAGAAGACTTTAAAGAAGAAGTAAGATTATAAAATATATTTAGAGAACTATACTTAGATATTAATAAGATTACTAAAAAGTTTATAGTAATACTAAAAGTAGTATAAAATTTAGATAGGACCCCCTATCTAATATAACTTTTAACTAAACTCCCGCTAGAATACTAAGATCTAGCTATTATAATAAGTAAAGAAGATACTATAGCCTTTCTAACCTATATAGAGTATAATTATATAATTAAATTAATACTAGATAAGATACCCTTTTAAAGACTAATATATATACTATCTACTAAGGAGTTAGAAATCCTCTACTAGTATATTAAGAAGAACTTTAAAAAAGGCTAGATCTAATACTTAAAAAGTTAATCGGATATACCTATTCTTTTTATACTAAAGAAAGATAGTAAGCTTAGACTTTATATAGACTATAGAGGGTTAAACGTAATTACTATTAAGAACCGCTACCCTCTACTACTAATTAATAAATCTCTAGTAAGATTATTAGAAGCCTAGATCTATATTAAACTAGATCTATAAGATACCTACTATAGGATCTATATAAAATAGGAAGATAAGTAGAAAATAGTATTTAAATATCGCTATAGATATTTTAAATATATAATAATACTATTTAGACTTACTAATATTCCTACTATCTTCTAAGTATACGTTAATAGAGCTTTAATAGGATTTATTAATATTTATTTAGTAATATATTTTAATAGTATACTAATCTTCTTAAAGGATAAAGAGACTTATATATACTATATCCGAAAAGTATTAGAACGCCTAATTAAATAAAGATTATTTATTAAACTAAATAAGTATATATTCTATATAGAGAGAGTTAACTTCTTAGGCTTTA